ATATTAAAGATATCTAAGGATCCGCTTCGGCACTTATAGCATACCTAGCTAGTCCTATAGGACCCCTCTTATAGTATCCACTTTAGGAAACAAACTAGATTTATAGTTATTATGCCATACCTAATAGGCCTAAAGGCCAGTCTAAACCATACCCCTTTTCTCTATATAAAACTAGAAATAGATTAAACCATCCCTCTTATATTAACCGTAGATAGTGCTAAACTAGCGAGTCCCTTTAATAGTACTAGTGAACTAGTACCATGAAGGATAGTCATCGTGCTTAACGAAGTTATATACGCACAGGATATAGATGATTACGCCCTTAGGGTCAAGTATACTAGACCTAAGCTAATCTCTTACCGGGGTCTATTCAGCGGGGATATCCTCCTATCGAAAAGAGGGGGAGAACCAGTTCCCAATCCATAAGGGGATTAGCACATCCTATATCTAATTAGCTTCCCTTCAGTATAGAGGTGAGAGGTAAGGGGTAAAATAAACTAGGTATTGGTCTTAGGGGCAGTATAAAACAGTCTCATCTACTCGTGATAGAATAGGAGACAGGGACAACAGATTCTTAGTTAGACGCGACACGTTAAGAGACGATAATAGGTCAGGGGACGGTGACGACATAGTGATATTCTATTCAAGTATGATCATTAGCATAGAGAGCTTCGTGATGGCTTCACTTCCTAAGTATACTAGAGTAGAATATATAGAAGTGGTGAGATAGTAAGAGAGGGTAGTAAGTAGAGAGGTATAGGAGGAAGAAGAAGGAGGAGAGAGAAAGTAGTATTTATATCGCAGTTCTAGAAGATTAGTTACTTCACTTCTTAACTAGCGCTACTAGTAATTACATATAATTACTAGTAATCAGGGATCATTAATAGCTTTTGCCTAATACTAATATTAAAAACTTAATTCTTTTAGTAGCTACTTCTTCTTCCTTATACATCTCGCCCCCCACCAACCCCCTCTCATAATTACCCTCCCTCGATCTAAGCTAAGCCTTCTTCTCGTGAAAACCTCTCGCCGTTAACATAGAGCAAGATATTAATAACTAGGATCTCAACCCTTCTATCCCAGACGAACTTCGGCAATAACTCGAGCGTATGCTGGTGCTACTAGAGGAAACCGACCCTCACACGCCATAAGCTAATATAACAGATATACTTAATACATCAACATCAAATCCTCCCCTCATAACTATTGACTCTTGTCCTATTATAGAGGAATACCCTACTAGCTTTAAAATAGCCCACAAACCGCTCCCGCATAATCTTTATACCGTTAAATTCGTTAAATACACCCGATCTATCCCTAAGTACCCCGAGACGCATCTAGAGGGGGTTGCCTATATTATGAATATTAAGTATCTATTAGATACTAATAATATTCGAAAGGCAGTATTTGCAGATATTCATTATAGATTCGGATATTATAATAGCGATAGATAGTAATAAACGAAGAACTCGCCAACCTTTCTTAATATGCCTTATATTTATATTCAGAAGCGATGCTCTAGGATCCAAGCTTATAAGCATACCTCGCCAGTAATCCTTAAAGGCTTTGACCATATAGAGGTCATAGAGGAACTTTTATCACAATACGGCCAACTACGAGAGGCGGTTAAAGCGTCTCGGAATAAAGCCATTAAACACGATCGCTGGCGGCATACTACTTACACCTTCTATCAAGACCAGAGGGCCGCCTACAAGGCGTCATGCGGTCAGAGATATCCTAGTGCACGGATAACACTTAAAATACTACAAAGCGTAGGCCATCCTACTCTCTAGTTATGTCTATTATACTAATGATATCATCTAGGGATCATAGTAGATTAGATACAGCCACTAGAGATTATCGCCAGGCCGAACCCCAAAGCACCACTAGAGAAATATTCTATTTCTAAGTAGAGTTAACTACACCTACCTCCTACACCTTTTCTCCTCTAGTAGTCCACTACCAGATAGTCAGACCATAGACTATATTACTATCCTATCAGCTATATCGAAACAGAAACGTTGTTATATATTACCTATACTACTAGTACTACTTATAATATATATATTAATCTCCACTAACATTTCATCTCTATTAGCTACACATCGGAGCAATAACACCATCGAACACCATAGCTATTAGGTCTACACCTTAATAGTAATCCCGAAAGACCTAAAGCGGTGCCCCTTCGTTACCTATATTTCTAAAGGAACACATACGCATCCACCACCTCCCATAAGTAAAACACCCCGTGATATTAAAGAGCGTCTAGAGGTATTGATCGCGAGTATAGATCTACCTACCCTTACTATTAGCAAGTTTTGGCTCCTAGATATAATACTAGATGGTGCTAATAATAGTATAGCTAAGTTCCTAAGAAGTAATCCCATAAAAGCGCTTCTTACGTTAGGCAGGTAGACCTCGGCATCGGAGATGCATGCTTCGCTAGCGTGTTGGGATATAATACAGGCCCTAATTAGAAAGCAGCGAGTTCTCATAAACCCAATCGGTTAAGGCTTCACTAGTTAGTCTTACTTCTTCTAATATGCATTAGAGTTACGACTAACAATATCTAGTATGCTATCTTGAGTACCTTTAAGAGCAGGCTACTCTAAATAAATAATACATCTAGGAAATGCATAATAATGGCGTCAATATGCGCATTATATATTTTACAGCTCAACAAGCTAAGTACTAGGCGATATATAAGGCGTTCGAGATGGACATAACCTTTAAAAGGGTCATAGGCAAAATCTTCGAGGTGGTATTTATTACTAAAGAAGACACTACTGGAAAAGGTTGGTTTTTTCTTGGGATTACTAGTAATAACTTATTAATACTAATCTTTCTTAGCGATTATGCTTGCTCGTGTCTATATTAATAAGGAATCCACTAAGATATATTATAGGCTTTACTAAGCCCTATTCATAAAGATTCGCGTTATTATAGGTAGGCTAGTCTAGTGGACACATATCGACGGTACTGGAATTTAATTAGTACATGTCGACTAATGCCCGAAGTAGATAAGTGGCTTTAGCTACTACCTTACCGAGATTAATACTATTTCTTCTTAGACTTAGCAGGATTATATCTAGCATATCTTTATATACTATAAGGTTCACTTTTATCGGAACCTTACAAAGTTTCGTAACACACTAGATTACCCGTTAATGAAATCCATTATAAACTCCACTATTAAACGCGAAGCTTATTTACAAACTCTGGATTTACTCTTACGGTCGAAAACACTAGGGGTTACTAATTAGGCAAGACATAAGAAGTAGCTATGGATTCTTTTTGGTCTTACCCCCTCTTGCTCTAAGATTCCCTAAAGCGTCTAGAAGAAATTTAACGGCCATATAAATCTTATTAAGGGGGTCCATGCTATAACTAATCGAAGTGGAATTCAAACCGGGTTAAATATAGCTATTAGAGATACAAAGGAGACGGATCTTCGTTCAATCTAAGATATTTAGGCTTTTATACGTACTAGAGTTCGGTCGAGCTAGGCGGTAACTACGCTAGTATCTCGAACTTACTATCAGCAGCGTGGGAAGCGCAAGGATATCAACGATAATAATGCTCTTTTTAGCGACCCTTTTACTAAGTTAGTGACTCCAAAGCCTATAAAGAAGAGCAAGAAAAAGATTAATATATCTAGCGAATAACCTAATGATATTCAGGATGATCTCTAGTTCTTACTAGCAACACCCGTGACTCCTATACCTATTATAAGGTCCCTTAGGGCTTCTTTAAAGCCCTCCTTAAAGCTTACTACGAAGACTTGACTAAATAAGGAGGATGAGATACTATTAGACACGGCCTTAAAAACACGGACTATTATAAATTGATCTCGGTCTCTAACACTAGGTCCCTCGACCTAATATAAGACTATCGATCTTACTATAACTTCACTAGTCCTAATGGAGAATAAGGATAAAGATATTAAGGATAAAGATAATAAGTGTGATAATACTATAGATAAGGAAAAGGATAACGATATAGATATAGATTAGAAAGTGGACTTCTTAATAGGCAAGATTAAACGGCGAATGCGCTTATAATATTCTAGTGTGTTTAAGAAGCTTTTAAAGGAGGAAAGAAGGAAGAATAAGGGAAAGGGGAAGAAGAAGGTAAAGGGGAAAAGGAAGTAATTTGACTTACGAGTAGTATTACTAGTGCATTTTAATAGTATTAGTAGATATTAGCATATATAGCTATCTTAGATTTACTTGCAACTTTAAACTTAGGCTTATAAGTTTATATATAGTAATACTTATAATTACTAGTGATTACTAGAAAAAATAGGTTTAAACATATTTCCTTTATAAGTCTCTACTTCGATAAACACTCTATCTTGATTCTTAGTATATATATATTCTAATTATACTTCATGTTCTTATAGATTTAAGTTCTTTATTATATATATATTATTACTTTAATTTACTTATAATTACTAGTAATCACTAGTGGTTCTAAATAGCCTACTAAGCCTAGCTAAGAGACTATTATTCTTATACATTATCTTACTAGTAATTACTAGTGATTATGGGTAATCAGTTAGTACTAGGCCAGGTGGCCTAAATAAGAAAAAGGGCACTAAACTACTTATAATTAGTGGTAATTCCTGGAAAATAAATAAAATATAGTCAAAAAAAATAAATTACCCCCTGGTTATGTCACCTAACTATTCTTATCATCACGTGACTGGCATTAACTCTAAATTTCACCTATAATTACTAGTAATAACTGGTAAAAAGCCTAAAAAGTCATATGACATGGCCAGGTGGATTTAAAAAAAAACCACCTGGTCACCTGATGAGCTGTATGGCGCATAAATTGCCCCACCGGATTCATCAAAACAGCCTTTGCTCATAAATACCTTCGGTATTTTCTGTGCATAAGGACTTGGAGGCCAGAACTTGTATAAAATAGTGTCGCTCTACATTACCTCGCTTTCAACACCACTATATTGTCATTTTAATCACACCACTGCACCAATGTCTTCTGGTCAGCGTATAATAGCTTTCATAGGTAAGCCAAATCTTTCTATTGAAGGCAAGAATGTCTGATTAATTTACCAGCAGGCCTGGGTGTGATGGGGTTCCCAATGGCCATCAACCTCCGCAAGAATATCGGACCCAGTGCGACTATCCTGATATGTGATGTGTCAGCGGACGCGGTCGCGAATTTTCAAAGCCAAACAACTGATCAAGGGCTTGTACAAGTGGTTGAAAATGGCTTCGAGGCAGTCCAAAAAGCGGTAAGCCCTGGAAAGCACAAATTAAGGAAAGAGAAGATGTGGTGACAGTCTTTGCGCAGGATATCGTGGTCACGATGCTACCCAATGGATCTGCTGTAGAGAGTGTCTATCTACACGCAGACACTGGGATCTTATCAGGCATTCGGCACCGCAATATAAAGGCAACAAAGGAGCTGATTATCATGGAATGCGGTACGATCGAGTCCGCTACCATCCAGAAAGTGGCGCAGGTCACTGAAAGTCTCAATAAAGACTTCCAGGGTGTGAAGTTCGTTGATGCCCCGGTGTCAGGGGGTCCGATGGGGGCCCAGGCAGGGACTCTTACCTTCATGGTAGGCGGGGAGCCGGCCTCATTCAAGGCGGCGAGGGAAATACTCCAACATATGGGAAACCCAGATGGAATTTTCCATTGCGGGGACGTCGGCGCTGGAACGGCATTCAAGGTCATCAACAACTATCTGTCAGCAATCACTAGCCTCGCGGCCAGCGAAGCCCTGAATATTGGTGCGAAGATGAAGCTAGATTTGAAGGCATTGACGAATGTCATTAATGTCAGCGGTGGTCAATGCTGGGTCACATCTAAAAGTAATCCGGTGCCCGGCATCCATGCAGATGCGCCCGCGAGCCGAGGATATGAAGGTGGGTTCCGCATTGAATTATGCTCCAAGGTGTTACAGATGGGCAGCGATTTGGCGAACGCGGTGGGTGCGAGGACCATTCTGGATAAACCGACGTTAAATGCGTTCAAGGAGGCGAGCAATGATCCTCGCTATAAGGGAAAAGATGCACGCGTGGTGTACAAGTGGCTGAATGAGCAGTCCTAGGGTGAACTGCTTACTGCATGAAGTGGCGGTCTATTGTATAATTCAGCTTTTTCTGATAACTAGATAAGACTTCTGTGCGCAGGATAAGCAGCAACGCAGTCACATTTTTCTCAATCTAGCCTATTTGTTTTTGCTCTATACTCTGCTCTCTAGACCGGCAGTATTTATGTCCATGGGTGTCAGTTCAAACATATATTCGCTATCTTTTGCGATCGAAAATGTGTGGAAAGCTGCGTGCTGCCATAACTCGAAAATGTGTTTTCTCTACGAGACGGGCGACTTCAGTTGTGTTTCGACTCATAGAAGAATTCACAGAAGCCGTGGTATTCACTCGGGAGGAAGGATAATGCGTAACCTCCTCGGGTAGTCAGGGCATTCATCGAGGGCTAACATATTAACCTTATAAGCCTCGAAGTGGAACGTCACAAATATAGATTTCCAAAAACCTGGTTAACTTCACTGGAGAGGGATGCTTTCATGCGCATGCAAACTATTTAATCTTGTTTTATTTCTCTTGCCAATCCATATATATGTAATGCCAGGAGTGAAAAGCAGTATTGCTTAGCCAAACGTTCCAAGGTTTCCACCACCCAATTAACTACCTAAGACTAGCCTTTGCATGGGTATATCAGCTGAATCACTGATATAATAGATTATAGCTAGTCCGTGTATTTGCGAGGGAAAAAGGAACAAATTCACTCGCCCAAGGAGACCGGGTTACGGAAGCTTATAAGGGAAAAAAGCTCGTTCAAAGAACTTTGGTATTGGTCTGTATTCTTTAGCCGGCAGAAAGGTTCAAATACTAGACTTACTCATACAGAGAGCCCCATAGCTAGAGAGTCTATGATCATGTATCTTAAATAAGGTGGAATTAGTCATTTCAACATGAACAAGCTAATTGCCTTGTTCTGCTTTAAAGAGCTATCTTCTTCTCCATAGTGGAATTCGAAACCAATCTACCCCTGGCATACGTGGACTAAATTTCTAGGTGCCTACGAGAAACGACGCTGGGCTTGTTTGGGGGAAGCGATTAAGTATCATCTGCGCATAACTTTTGACGCTCTACAACCTTTTTTTTTAAAAAAAAAACTTGAGACCATTTCGGGTATGGAGTGAACACTCAAGTCTTAGCTGTTCTCATATTTTGCGGTTTACGGAATCGGCCTAGAGATCACAATGAAAGGAAGGATAGCCTCGGCTTTGGTTGGTATGGAATATTTTATATCTGGCACAAGCGTGCCTAAATTAACAATACTTTAAGGGGTACGGACAGAATTTACAAACGATTGATGAAGCCAGGCACACGGTTATACTAGAACTATGCCAATTATAAGCGACGTGTTTCGTGGCTTCGCGGTCACCCCGCCATGATTTTCGTCTTCATAACAACTCTCTGTTTGCATACAGATATTGTACCTCTAGGATGCTCGACGAAAGCACACTGATCTAGGCAACAGCAAGGCCAAACATTATGAGCTGTAAATGCCATTTACTATAGCATGTTTCCTACAGTCGCTACTGCTGCCTAGTATTTTGATGTCCTACGTATAACTCTCGGTGCTGGGACCTAAGGGCGCACCTATAGTCCCTTAGCTCTCAATGAATCCACTCGGTTTAGCGAGGAATCTCTCTAGAAATACTCCGAATCTACAGATCAGAGAGGTGCGGACCTCATCATTTCTATATTGAGAGATCCAAAGACGGTTTACCGAACTACCATTAAACCGTGAAACCTTCTGGTGGAAATGGAGTTGGTGTTAATGAACATGTTAATGAACATGTTAATGAACATGTTAATGAACATGTTAATGAACACATATCTAGCCCCGTAACTGCTCCAAAACCGGAATGTTCAAGGATTGGTCACTGGACAGCAAAAGCTATGACTTTTGGCTTTCAATTAAATCAATTGAATGACCACTTGCTTGATATAAACTCAGTTAAAGATTCCAAGGTTTACGGTCTTTCAATCTTTGGAATCGTGACCAGCCAGCCGGGAATCATACCACGTTAGTACAATAGCTCCGGGCCACGCTGACACAATCTGCCACGATGGCCGATACATGCACACTTTTACCGATTATGCTGGCCTGGAGGGAATCTACAGTGAATGGTCACCCTTTTTCCAACCCCCGTCCATTCATATAAATTTCTGCCGTCGCAAAACTTGCTTGCCATTGCTTAATGGTTAGCACACCATCTTTCTGCTTCAGGAGATGCTTTCACACGACGCGGCATGTAACTACCAAGTATACAAAATAAACTTTTTCATGTTTCCAGCTAGTATAAGAGTAGTGGGGTGTACGCATGGGAATCGTCTTGTGTGGCGGTTTGGTGGGCCGTGATGGCGGTGAGGAAGTTGGGGTATGTGGGGGTATATACTCCTTTGCATCGCCACATAACGCCACTTGGAGTCCGTGCATAATTCGGAATGTGGGGTAATTGAAGACCATTGAGTTATTGGCCCTGGAGACTGTGAGAGTATGAATTCTCGCTGAATGTCACGAGCATGGGAGAAGTCAAATCAATCCTATCCCCGATTCAGCAACTCAGCAACCCCAGTCACCGCCTTCATTCTGAGAAATATGGCTACTTCATCCGCAATTATCATTGGTGGAAGACCAAGCGGCCTCCTGCTGACCCTAATGCTGGGCAAACAGGGTGTTCCTGTGTTGCACTCTGATAAGGGAGCTGTGCCAGGCTGGTTATGCCTGAATTCCTCCACGTTTTTAACGTATATATTGCCTTACCACACCCTGCGTCCAACAATCGTAATCGTTGTCATACTGGCTATGCCTTTCAAATACCTGGGTAAAAAAGAAAGAAAAAAGCCAAAACCAAAACCTGGAATGAAAAATAGTGACTAGATGACCCAGCTGTGTGGTACTTGACTAGAGCACTGACACACCTTCTGTATGACGGGATAGATATAAATGTTCCGACGGAGCGTTGATTTAAAGCGAGAACAGCAATGCCCTCTATTTGTGCAGGGTTTCACAAAAAAACCCTCCGAATCGAACACTTGCCAGGGAGGTCAAAGGAAGAAGAAGAAGAAAAACTCGATACAATTCGGTCAAGCAAAATTTGGCAATTGCTTCTTACAAAAATGTTGCTAGCAAAGTTCAACAAACGATCACATAGACAGCTGGGTCCTGGGGGTTCCTATCTTCGGCAAAGTCAAGTCGTTATCATGCGACCCTCCCGTACTTTCACACGAACCTTCATTTCATGCTGATAAGCGAACCAGTACGTAGTAATATGCCATGGCCGAGAAGGGTCGACCAGTTGAACATCGAAGTTGTACAGTAGCTGCGCGATATATTTGTGCATTTCAACCTAAATTGGTCAATAAGACAAGCTCTATGGGACTTTCGGACAGAGATCTATTGGGGTTGGATACCAAGGCAATGTTCCGACCAATGCACATTCTCGGACCATTCCCACCGAATGTCATCGTGATATTCTCGAAATATTTCGCCTTTTCTTCGTCTTCAACCCAGCGTTCTGGGCGGAATTCGTTGGCATCCTCTCCCCAGATATCGGGATCACGGTTCTGTGCCCTGGGGCTTATACCGACATTGGTTCCGGGCGGGATGGTGAAGCCGTCGATTATCAAATCTGGCGGTGCTTTCCTAAGTAGTTGCCACACGATGCTTGGGTGTAACCGGGTTGCTTCGGATATCACTGCATGCAGATATGGAAGTTGGCGGATTTCATTATACGGGCTTCCTTGTGAAGCCGAGATTCCCTTCGTTTCACGGTCACGAAAGTATTCATCAAGCTCTGCTTGCAGCTTCCGATAGGTCAAAGGATTGGAGCAGATATAGTAGAGACATGCGCGCATTCCAATAGAAGTAGTATCGGCTCCGGCGCCCCTATTTGCATGCTTAGAATCGATTCGACCATAAGTTACAGCAGTGCAACATACACTATGTTCATCGCTTCAATAAGAACCTCTCCGTCAGAAGCTGGCCTTCCGTCTTTCGTCTTCATTTGCAGAAAGTGGTTGAGCATATCATGACGCGCGACCGGATTCTTGCGCCGATCGTTGATCCTACCAACGCTCCACTGGCGAAAGTTTGCAAAGGCGTTAGGAATACCTAACAGTTTTGTAATTTTCCCAACTGAGGGTCTGTTGAGGGTCTGGCCTCTGCCTAAATATTTGAAATGGCCGAGAGTACCCATCATTATAAAGCCATCAAAGATAGCTTTTTGGACACCCATGACATCCGTTTCCGTTTTCAGGTGGCCAAGCTGCTCGCCATACGCTAACTCCCCAACGACGTCGTATGCAACGGCATTGGTCCATTCCGACATATCCACCACCTCATTGGAGTGCTCCTTCAACTTTTCAAAAAGTAAATCAAAACACCTTTGAATGATCTCTTCACCTTTTAGAATAGTGGTCATTGAGTAAGCGCCTGCCACTCGCTTGCGAAGAAAAGCGTGTTCTTTCTGGTTTTGGGTAGCGAAGAGTCCCGGTCCGGTTTTGGGAATATGCCATGTCGAATACCACTCTGTCTTTGGGGAATTGTTCCCAGTACCGTGGCCATAAATTCTCTTCATTGCTTTCTCGTCAACCAGAGATAGTTCATCGGGCGCAACTCGAACAACTCGACCGTACTTGGCATGGAGATCAAGAACGACGTCATGCCAGTTTCCCTTAAAGTACTGCCAGTCGCGCCAAAGGCCGGTATACCGAGCGAGCGTGGGACCTGGTACTTTAGCTAGGGGATGGAAGAACTGGCGGTAAATCCAGACGGTAGAAAGTGCCAAGGCTACCAAAATAAAAACCATGAACGGCCTTGAGACCTCAGCGTAGCTCAAAGCGTAGGTGGCCATGTTTGGTCTTCCTCAGATCTTCGATGAGGCGATCACCACAGTGTATGGATGTAATTGATACTGAGTTAATTAATATGAACAGCAAAGGTCTTTTTAGGAATTTATGGCTTTATGGATAGCAATTCCCACATACGTCAGTATCCCTTTCCCCCAAATTCTACACCCCACATTTGTTTTTACCCCGGGTTTTCCAGAACACCAACGTGGCGGTGATTATAATGCTCGAAATTACCCCACTTCAAGTCGCTAATTTCACGCCCACTGCAATTCCCACTTAGCTGGGTAGAGAGTGCGAGACGGCAATCAATCAAGCGTTGTTCGCTTTCCCGCGTACCCTGGGAATTTGGCAAGAGCGCCGAGCAAGTGGCCATACATCTTCCAGCGCATCCGCCCCAAAACCCGAGTTTGAAAAAGTGAGGTGAATGGTAAGAGTAAATGTGCAATTGTTAACGATGGTATCACAACGTCTGTAAGCTGAGAAAGAATAATGCAAAAGGAAAAAACATGAGCATCAACTGGTTTCAGTTTCTTTCGCTATGCATTGCCGTCACCATTCCGCATCTATGTGTATTTGACAATGTCACACCTCCCAGAGTCAAAATGAGCTCGGCGAATTTTCAATGCACCACTGCAGAATTGCCCGGCGCTGCTCCTGATGTTTGTCATGTTGTGGGTCTGGCACCCGGTATGCTAAACTACGAAATCGCAACACATTCACGCAGTACTTCGGGTTTCCCTCTGGCTCTCCAAGGGGGGGTGGATCAATGGGCTATGGTCAGTTATGACTGGGATGACGAAACTGCCTTGAAGTTAGCAAGCGAGTTCCAGCAGAATTCCCAGCAATGCTATGGTATTGGCGCTGCAAACAATGGAAGGCAACCAGAGAATAAGAATGCATGGTATGCGACCCTTCACTCTGAATATCTGAAAATCTTGAAAATACTAACAATAATTCGCTAATTCATACCGGTACGAAGACAGCAATGAAGCATATGGCAATAGAAAGAGCGCTTTTCAATCCATAATTTTGCTAGCTTCACCTTCTGAGACCCACCGTTCTCCAGTTCCTGCGGTACGCCCGAGTTGAGTTATCCCTCCTCTAGTAGGTGGGGATACAAACGTGATCACGATGATATACAGTCATCCCACTCGTCAGATACTAGATCTTTTGACACATGCTTCAATGCCAATCAGCAAGGCTGGTGGCCATCCTCCTCGGTGGGCCGGCGACAAAAATGCTATGATAAATATGGAGTTGTCTGACGGTAGCACTTGTATGTCAGCCGACTGACTACATTAGACCCGAGAGCTGGCCTTACAATTGGGACTCCCCTAATAATGACGAAGATGTTAAATGTTGCCTTGATATATATTATTATAACACCCCATAGTGACGTGTCCGTGGGGAGCCTAGTTAGGTGATTCGAACTTTACAAAGCCACAATGAGCAATAACACAATGAGCAATAACTATGGGCCAGCCTTCTATGATTATTTCTGGTTTCGGAGGATAATCTCTAGACAATATGACCATATAGTTCTGTAAATTCTATACCTGAATGAAAAATTCAAGATACAATAAAATAGAGAGTGATTCAATGTTCAGGGTTCTTCTTTACAGTGCATCGGATCAATAGCGCGATATGCTTTTCATTTAGGGCCAACAAAGCATCAGTGCGTATGTAATCTTCTTTTCGAATAGGTCCTATTTGAACTCGCATTTTCTAACCGTCGCCTGCACGCTCTCTGGGTATACTACCCAGTAATACGGATTGGACTTCGCTCGAGGTTCGACAAGATGGATCTAAACCGTAAGTAAAGAACATTGACCTAATGGTAAAGTACTTACATCGTAATTCATGAAAAGGGCCGTGACGAATTTTTTGATTTCAAAAAGGGCGACATGCTGGCCTAAACAGCCTCGAGTCCCGGCTCCGAACTTGTAAAATCAGACATTGAACGTACCAGGGAAGTCGGCTAAATTTGACTTACACTAAGCAGACTGGCTTCAAGCTTTCTGATATGCGACGGTTCGCCTTCTAACCAGCGATGGGGACGCCACTGATCCGCATCATCACCCCAGGCTGGCTTATAGCGGTTAGTGATATATGGACTCATGCCAACCACGGTACCTCCAGGGTAAAAATGACCACAGATTGTGGCTCCCTCTGCTGGGACTACTCGTTCAAGAGGCATAGCAAATGGAGCGTCAAGCCGAAGTGACTCTTTAATACAGGCATCTAGGAAGGGAAGGTCCTGCAGCTCATGCCATTGTGGAAAAGGTAGAGTGAGCCCGGTGGCAGTGCGTTGTATATCTGTTAGCTCGGCTCGTACTGCTTTTAGTGCGTCAGGGTTTTCTGCTAGAAAACAGACCACAGATCGAAGCATGGAAGCCGTGGAGTCAGCTCCACCAAGAATATTGGCAAAAGCCCAGGTAGACACAAATCGAAGTGGCACATTCTCCTTCTTCTCCTGGGCATTGAGATAATACCCGAGGAAGTCTCCTTCGGCAATTGGTCCGTCGACATTTGCATTAGGGTGCGATTTTGGATTCTCTCGACGTTGTTCCCGACGCTCTGAGATACGCGCCAGTACATAGTCCAGCAGAGGAGCAATGGCTTCGCGTTTGAAAAGGTTTGCTACCCAATTTTTATGCAAGAGCCAATCTAGCCATGGTATCTGTGTCATCTGCAAATAGTTGAGTTCTACTGCTTGTCAAAGTCCTCATGAATAACTTACGGGTCCGATGATCAGGTTTGCCCTCTTAACATCGTCCATGATGCCGTGTAAGTCTCTTCCATGCTGGATGTAGCCATATGGCCTGGAGAATGTCATCAGGCCCATGGTATCGTAGGATAAAAACTTCATCCACTGCGTCACGTCAAATTGTGCGCTGGTGGGCACAAATCGGCGATCAAGCTCGTCGAAGAACATTCGCGACGCACGGTCCATTCTTGGCTCAAAGGTAGATACAGCGTACGAGAGCGAGTAATAAACAGAGATGTGTTGCTTCATTTCTCGATTTGCCGCGTCATCCTCTGCGGTGAAGACAGATAACAGCAGGCCATCAGTGGTCCAGGGCCGGAAAGCGCGGTACATATTGCTCTGAATCGGTCGGATGTTGTTAGCATCCATCAACATGGAGAGACTCGCTTGCATATACGTTGGGCCGGCATACTTTTGAAAATCCACCGCGCAGGTTGAAAATCGTTTGAATGGCCTCCGGGTCACAAATGCATACTAGGTTGGGCCCGAAACGAACTGCGGGGCCATAACGTTGGTGAGCTCGGTCTTGGTGGAGGTGGAGGCGGCCATGACGTGCGAGGAAAAAGCGATAGAAGTTGGTAAATTTTGCAAGTAGAGGACCGGGAATGTGCTGCAACTGCGAATATGTGCGGTAGATGTGGTAAAGGAGGATTGTGGTGATTCCCAAAATCAGCACAACCAGTGGACGTTGCATATCCAAGGGCTCTAGAAGCATCTTCAGCAGTAGAAGTGATAAATACGGTTGGTAAAATTTGGAATACCACTTCCTTGTTAACTGTATCTGTAAGTAGGGGCTCTTCACAAAGTAGAATATAGGTAGGGCACAATAAGACTATATGACTCATGCATCTTTCGCCTCATCGTCAGCTCTCTCAGCAACTTACAATAGTGTTTCTTTTGAGGGATACAGCACTCAAGTGAAATATAAGAACTGAAAAGCTTGGATGGCAAAGAATATCTGGCCTAAGTTGCTCTTAAGATGTAAAGTGGTACATTCAGCGAAGAAGACCCCAGCAGAATGCAAGATATTTCTTTCTGCGGCTTTGCACACCGTAATTGTGGGTACTAGAGTTCTGACCTAAATTTCTCAGTGCACATCTTACACGAAACCTAGCCCGAGACAAGGCCGGCAAGATTGACCAATACATCGTCATGATCGCTCGCCATGATTTGAAGAGGACAATCTTGGTGCAGAACCGGTGAGCCATGTTGCTACCAAGGAGAATCGGATAGACTTCCCCACTTACATGCCATCCATATGCACATGTGTGGCCAGAAACCGGACGAATACGAGGCAACTTTAAATCAATTCATGGAGTGAAAATTGCCGAGGAATGGCGGAAGAAAGTGTCCCTAATGTCGGTCTAGCAGGAGCTGACGGTAGCTAAGGTTGGATAAGGGTTATAGCACTGCTATTTCCAAACTAGTTCTCTCCGCAGTCATTTGCCGACTAAAGCCAGCTTTAGAACTCTGGTAGAGAATGAGAAGACACGTTATGGAATTAGCCTATATCTATGCTCTGACCATCAAAGGTAAACCAATTTAATTAGATCTGGTGAGACATGACGCTTGATTGGAATCAATTGATCACATATGCGCTACCTGGTTAAATTGCAAATTTCGCTTTCTGCAAGGAGCTTCATAGCGAAACAGCGGTGAGGTCAGTCATGCCCGACCAATTTATTGCTGTTGATAATCAAGACATAAACTGGTTCATTCCGTTGGTTCGATGAAATCTCAGACGCGTTGCATTCCTGGATGTAAGCCCCTTTCTCATCAGTTGCTAACCCTCAATGATGCTCTCAGGCCGCATGAAGCGAAGTCTATCCTGGCTCTCAGACAATGCCTCTGCCGAGCCAAATGTTCCAAAGGACGTTTTGGGAATGGACATGGCAGAGAATTGGCTTATTCGACCAGACGTACACCCTTTAATTAAAGCCGCAGTTGCATTAGGCCTGAGCCAAAAAGATCTCTCATACTCCCAAGAGCTGGGTGGATCTCCAGGCCTTCTAAATGTATCGGCAGCATTTTTCAATCGTTTCTTCTCTCCTCAAATTCCCGTTTTGCCCGAGCATATTTTGACAAGCACAGGATGTTCGACGGTCATTGAGTCCCTCATATTTTCCATTTGTGATACTGGGGATGGCATACTTCTCGAAACACCCATGTGGGATGGGTTTGCTGTCACGTCAACGCTGAGGAATAACGTCCATATAGTTCCGGTGGAACACTCAACACGACCAAAAAATGCATCAGATTTTGTACAGCATTACAGCGAAGCGATGAAACTGGCAACGTGTCCCATTCGGGGCCTCATCGTTTGCAATCCTCATAACCCTATTGGTCAAATCTATCCTACTCTGTGGTTGGAGGCGCTGCTTCAATTATGCGAAGCTCACAACATTCACTTCATTTCGGACGAGATATACGGTCTTTCGAATTTTGGAGCGACTACGTGTGGTCAATATGCCAATCCTGATACTGTGATCGGACTAGAAACGAAGTTCACGTCGATCTTGTCGATAGACCTGAAGCGACTTGGCGTGGACCCAGCCCGTGTACATGTAGCTTACAGTATCAGCAAGGATTTTGGTAGCAGCGGGGTTCGACTGGTTTGTCGGAATATCCAATTAGTAGGCACGCGCAGACCAATGCTGATGCATCCCAGGGCTATCTCATTACGCAGTCCAATCCCGGGCTTCGCCGTGCACTAGCGGTCCTCAACAAATTTAAAGTGTGTAACATGACATCTATTGCTGTGGCTTCTCTCTTTTCGAATCTGCAGACGGTTGGAATTATGCTGGACAATAACAAAATTCGTCTGCGCAAAGCAGCGGAGATAGTAGAAGATTTCTTGTCATTCCACAAGATTGTTTTCTACTCACCGGTTGCTGGTTGCGTCATGTGGGGGCGCATTGGGGGCGAGCGAGCAACAAAGGAAACCGACGCAGAGCTATTTGGAAAACTTGCAGCAGCAGGTGTGGTCCTTGGGGCCGGTTCCAGGTTCAAGAGCCAAGAGCCGGGCTGGTTCAGAATTACGTTTGCTCTACCCCGGAAGCATCTGATCGAAGGACTCCGCCGAATCGAGATTGGGATGGAGGCAACGCGAAGGTGGATACCCGAGAAAGCCCAACTGTGAAGCCAATTGCATTTGATGTATGCTTGAGAGAGACAACGCATAGTGTGGATTTAAAAGCCACAGAAACTTTATTTGTGTTCGCGCAGAAGTGACCCATATCTCTTAGACATTTCATTTGGTTTTCTACTTGCTGCAACGCACGCATTGGTCGAAAGTGAGGAGTCTAACAAGGCTAAGATCGTGGATAGATCGCCGTATCGATCTACTCGAAGTGGCAGTAGACGTAGGAAGACATTCTGGGGAGACATAGTAAAGAGCGTGGAGAGAAGGGCGAGTGGGATATCTATCTGGGCAGGAAAATTCTCTTGTTTATGGGAAGCGGATCATGGATGATGGGGAAGGCAGTGATGGTACATCAGACCAACCTAACGATAGGTGATCTGTACGCCACAGGCTTTTCCCTAACATATCACCACTTCCGATAGAACTACAGACCTTCCCATTGACCCTACTCAGCGCCATGGCGACTCAACTGGTCATCAGATCGGTGGAACCACCTGCGCCACTAAAGCCTTTTTTATGACATGTGTGCTCACTTAAGTCCTCTGTGCAGCTGCATGCATTGGTGTTACACTGCATATCCCCTCGTACTCACACCCCCACTACGTTTGGATATATACTTACTCTACGGAAATCGCAGCGCGGAATACGAATCTACATTAAAGGTGCGACGTCATATTGGAGGTAGGAATCCTCATAAGCTAGCACTTTTAACGGTAACCAGCTTAACATTGTGCAGTCAATTCAGCAACTTCAATAACACCAACAAACCTAAATAACGTTGTTGTGATGATTAGCATCAGCATCCTCCAGGCTGGGATCATCTCCAGGTGATTGAACCAAGGCAATGTGCAGAAGCGTGCATTCTCATGGCTTCATTAGAGTTCAAGTTCTCTATATAGCTAACCTAACTGGTAAAGAGACTTTGAAGCAATGCTATATATTCAAATGCCGAGCTGAGCTCGTATAGAGGGTACTTTAGTTGTAAGACCAATCTTCAGCTCCAACGGTATATCCGTTTGATAGTCGTAGCCCTATTGGCAGACCTTGGGTATATCTGTGAGGATAGGCCTTCCCATTTCGTCTGCAGACTACCTCATCAATGTGCATATGCAAATTGTAGCTGCCACTAATTAGACTAGGCCAGTTTGACGGAATTGGAGTCTCACGCATTCATCTCTTCAATTGTCAACTTCCCCTGCTCGCTCTTCACTACGTAAATTGGACTCTCAGTATTGCTAGAGAACCCTGCGATGACGTTAGTGGGGAAAGGCCAGGAGAATGTTTAGTGATTGCAACTCACCGATCCGCTCGTTGATATTTTGCGAGGCTCGCGCCGCTGCTGCCTGAACCTTGGTGGCTCTGGGCAAACGGACAGACTCATAGACAGACAGAGACTCAAATATATCTCCCGTGAAGAACTTTTTGCTAAAAACAATGCCCAAGGCCGCTGCGTCTTCGATTGCCATACAGGCGGCCTGGCTTTGGTGAGGCATCATCTGAAAGTTTCTTAGCTCCATTCTTTGACCATGAGAGATGTAACACTGTGACGTACTGGGTGAGCTGCATCACCTAGTAAGCAGACCATGCCTTTTGCAATATATAGATACGGGTCGCTGTGGAAAATAGGATTTGTCAGTTCATTGCCAATTTATGTGATAGGCCCAACTTACTGCATCCATAAACGCCATGGCTGAATTTCCTTCCCAAAAGCCAGATGCCCGCGGACTTGCGCATCGAGCTGAGGATACAGCCCAAGCAACTCTTCCACTGGGCGGTCAGCTTCCCCCAGGAATGATCCACGTAGTTTCCTTTCTCCCTCGGGAAGAAGCAATAGTATGACAGCAGCTTCCCTCCTCGGCATGGAGAGAGAACAATTTTGTCCCAGATCTCCCCGTGACCACCCCAGAACTGCAGGGCGTTATCTTGTGAGAAGTCAGGAAGACCATTGGCGATCGCCTCTTCAGTAACAACATTTGCATGTAGGCAGCTAGACTCAGCAGGTCGCTTCTCAGGCCAAATACCGAGAACACCACGAACGGCAGATCCGATGCCATCCGCGCCGACAATGACATCATGGTTGACCGACCGTCCGTTCTCAAACTCAATCAAACCGGTGTTGACATCGATGTTCTTGCACTGACATGGAAAGTATTAGATCCGCTGCAGACGACACTGGTGCAAGTAGATGCCCAGAGTGACTTGACATATTACCTTGTGATTTAAGAATACTTTTGCCGGCATCCCCTCCCCGTCCCCTAATGCTGAATCCTTCAGCATGCTGTGCATACACTGCCGCTGAAACATGTAGTACACATATCCCCATCGTTCCTCATAATCATCTAGCTCGTACTCAGTCATGATCTTCCCCGTCGTCCAATCGCGGCTGATGAGCCTTTGTAGAATTACCCCGTCACCTTTAGCGATATCTACTCCCCATTCGTGCAACCAGCGCGTACCGTTTGCGGCACACGAAATAGAAGCCCCGACCTGACCGATAAAGTCGACACGTTCATAAATAGATACCTTGTGGCCGGCACGGCGCAGAGCTGTCGCCGCGGACATTCCTCCTATCCCGCCGCCGACAACAGCGATGTCCAACTGCCTCCAGCCAGGAGAAGAAAATGTACGCGTGAAGAGACGACTTCCCCAAGATAAATTGCACAATTTGTTCTTGGCTTGAAGGCCTTTTCTCATGTCGTGTCCTTGTTGGGCTGATACCAGGTGAAGATACCTGTTTAAGATCATTTCATCTGTGGGTTCCTGGGCCCGGACAGTTGAGAAACGAGGAAATATCGCAAATCAATTAGGATTGAGAATGTCTTCTCTTCACTACCTGTCGGCAAATGACGAGGGTTGACACCACTGGGTTGAACCATTTCCTTCAACTTCTGCACGGGAGGGCTGGAGTAATATACCCAGGGTCATTAAGGAAATGCTTGAAACCTACCAGTGAGAAGGGGATGTGATTGTTTTCTCGGCTATCTGAAACTACAGCCCCACTATTTGGTTGTCCTGTCGTAGTTATTGTTCTGCAGTTTTGGTTACCCATGGTTCTTAGATCTATGAGCTATTTATGCATGGGAATAGTAATTATGGTAGGGTCGTCAAAGCGTAAATCCTTGAAAATCACAAAACGCCTCATTCAGAAGGCTTCAATAAACTTTCGGAATCATATTGGGATATTTTCAAGTAATATCATCGTCTGCTTGAGGCTATCCTAAAATGTTTTCACCCTGTGAGAAGGCAAAAACTCATTTCCCATGCAGTGCAGACTGCATCAGCCTAGAACCTTCCAAGGTTGCACAACATTGTCCCTATGTCCTGGCGACCCACTAGATAGCACTGATGGTTTTGAATTGGGGGTGTATCATGGAGGAACAGTAAACCTGAGAATGCGAGCATCGGACAGGCTCAAAGAAAGGCGTTTTATGTTGCAGACCTGGCGCGAAATGTTGAATTGTGGCATCAAATATACATGGTAGAAAAGTGGCAACACTAGATTACGCGGTGTAGACACTATGGAAGCTAAGCAAACTCGGAAGCTATGCCAAGGCCGACTATCGGTCATGGTATGTGTCAAATGACTACACCGACTTATAACACAAACAAGCGCAGGCGCTCACAATGAACAGGTTGATCTATGCAAAGAAGCCCAGATGCATTCTTTTAGGCAGTTTTTTCAAGTCTCATCGTATACACCCCCCACCCCCGAAAAAGAAAATCATAATAAAAATAACAAGGTTTCCAAGGATTCAGTTCTAGGCCCAATTTTTGTGGCAAGTTTGACTCGGCCTTGCATGATCAAAAGATCCGACCAGGTCATTTGGATGGAGTAAGTGGTATTTCAAAGTTCTTCACCGACTTTACGGGACTGTTCGACGTGGTCCACCAGCGTCCAAGGAGCACATCAAACTTTTTGGCATCTTATCTAACCACAAACCTTCCTCCAGTAGTTGATGTTCAGTCGCAGCTACACACTGCATGATGATCGGGATCGTACAATCCAGATGGTCACCGGCCGATGGCTTCCAACGCTATCCCCGATCGGTATTGATGCATTCCCGATCCAATCTTGCCTTCGAGCAAGATATAGAAATTGCGGGAATCAATCTCCTGTTCTGCGTAACTACATGACCTAATTTCGGTCTACGTTTGATAGGATAGCGGACTGAAACCACGGTAGAATCCCCTGTTGCCAGGATCCTGATCTGTCCAAAAGTGTCGAATCATCAACAGACGGTTTTGTCCTGCAGCATGGTAATATGCATGATTGAAGTCTCATGATGTATCTTAATGTGAGCAATAGGTTGATCGGGATACATATCATACATTAGTAATCCATCAAGGGGGAAATCCCATATTGCTTCAACTGGGAAGAAGAGTCTGGACTTCAGCCACTATCGGGTTAATTTGACCTTGGTAACTACATCTGTGCCTCCTTACAAGATAATCATTCCTATCTGCAGCACTGCGCAAGATCTGAATATCACGTTGCTTGAAGTTCGCCCAATTCCCCATGCTTGGTATTGAGCAATATGCCAGCCCAGAGAACAGAGCAAGGTCAACCCCATCCCGATCTCTCTATCGCTACTGAGCCTAATGACATCGAAGCGGTTCCCACGCTCCTTCGGGAGATAACAGAAGCCTACGACGCCTTTACTACCAGTAATGCAGGAAGAGATGACTTGCTTGCCAAATGTCGCACCTTGGTTCAAGCTTTGGAAACTCCACGGGAAACTATGATCTATCACTGTTGGGCGCATGCAAGTACTCCGCCGTTCCCTTTGTGCCTTGTAGACTCAATAGGATTGACTGGCAGGCAGACTGGTGTAATGGCTGGCCTAAACTTTGGTGTGGACTCGGGTTTGTGGGAACTCATGGCGCAGGGCGGCGACAAGTCACAAAAAGTGGGCGAGTTGGCAGACAAGCTTGGGATTGATCCTGTACTTTTAAGTATGTTCCGCGTGGTCCGATTTGGTTATGCTAGCTGACGGCCTATAAGGCCGACTACTGCGCCATCTCAGCGCCACTGGATATCTCATCGAGACTGGCGTGGACGAATACCAGTTGACGAATTACATGAAGGCGATGAGCATTCCGGCGATTGGCAATAGCTACCTTGCTATGTGAGCTGATTCTCTCAAACATCGGCTTTTTCTTGGTTAGCAGCTCACATTCGCAGGCTTTCCTGCACAAGTGCCGGTCCTATGAGATTCCACGAGTTCTCCCGAAAGCGAGGCTGGGTGAATCCCAACAACGCAAAAGACACCGCACTGATGTACGCATACGGAACGACGATGGATACCTTTACATGGCAACAGTCTCTAGGTTATGGCTCACATTTCAGTGACCACATGAGCGGCTACGCCCTTGGCTCTTTGCCCTGGATGGCTCCCAGCTTCTACTCAGTGAAAGAGAGGCTGATCGACGGCGCTGACACGGATCCAGACGCTCCGTTTCTCGTTGATATTGGCGGAAACGTGGGTCGTGACCTAGAGCTGTTTCACAAATTTCACCCCAAGGTCCCAGGGAAGCTGATCCTTCAAGATCTACCCGTGATCATAGGTCAAATCCAGGATTTAGAATCGTCTATTCTCCGTATAGAGTACGATTTCCATACGAAACAGCCCGTCACTGGTAAGGCCCATATGGCACAACAAATGTTCAATCTCGACACGAATAAATATACTTACACTACCAGGTGCCCGAGCCTATTATTTGCATAATTGCTTGCATGACTGGCCAGACGAAGTATGTGAAAGCATTCTTGCGCAGGTGAAGGCTGCCATGAAGCATGGATATAGCAGGCTATTGATTCATGAGCATGTGATACCAGAAACAGCTGCCTCATGGGAAGCCACGGCACTCGACATGGTTATGCTGACACTTATGTCTGCTCAAGAACGGACACGTACAGCTTGGTATGACCTCATTGAAACGAGGGCGGGCCTTACCATTAATAAGATTTGGAACGGTGGCAAGGGTTCCCAGAGTCTGATCGAGTGTGAGCTATCATTTGACAGTGCAATTTGATCTTATCCTAGAAGTGCTTCATCCTAGTGAGGTCGGTCGTGGGGAGATCACCATTGGTGAGGACATAGCCAAGGGGGCGAGAGTTCGCTATAGAGGTGCCCTCTGCCCGGGGTCGCCTCTCCTAGCGGGGATCATCGGGTGTAGGTATTGGAGTAGAACTCCGTGACTCTGAGGAGGTTTGCGAATTCCCCGTGTTTAAGGAACTGGAGGTACTTTAGTGCCTCTCGATTGCCTACTAGGGGGTAGGTAGGCCGCCTAGGCCAAAGGCTTAGTAAGCGCTGAGTCTTTCGGTATAGTACGATGTACTCTAGGGACTTAGCATGACCGCACTTGCCTTTAAGGGGGGCGTCCTCGTCTTAGAAATGTTGTTGGTACCACTTAAAGTCCCCGTGAAGGGTCACTCTGCGTAGGCTGCAATTCATCCCATCATGACACAGCAATCACTTAGGCAGCATCCAGCCCTTATAGGATATGTCAGCAGCGCTTTTAGTGTTTACTGCGTCTTAAGCTACCTTCAGGGATTTGACAATGGGTTTCCATCTTTATCAAGAGGGGGTCTCCGAACACCCCGGTGTCCTTGGAGGCTTCCTCTTCCCTGTCTTTCACCTCACTGAGCTAGCAGCATGATATACCCGACTTGTACTTCGAACAAAATACCTAAGATATAAGGCATATTCAGTCTTTGGCCCAACTCAAGAAATCACTGAGTGAGGGGCAGGGCTGGGGAGGAGGGAAAAAGGCAAAGTTGTTGCTATATTTCTCGGCATGCAAACGGAATTCTTGAAATCAAAAGGCCCACTTATCACCCAGTAAATCTGCTATATTTCATACGAAGTACATTCACGTTCAAAGACTTTTGAATAGAAGAAGGCAACATTTCGTAACGGTGTTCAGCTTAAAACAAGCGAAGAATATGGTATATCATAATCATCAAAGCAGTCGGTTCTGTCAGTTACAATCTGGCCCCGGATCATTCAACCCTCCACCTCCGCTTGATGTAGTCTCACAGTCACAGAATCAGCTGGACAAGACGTAAGCGAAACACCATACCGAATCTCCCGCTCAGAGTGCACATCCTCAACCTTATCAAACTTCTGTAACAACCTCACCAGAACATAGCTTGACCTCATCAAAGCAAATTGTTGGCCAATGCACGTTCTAGGTCCCCCATTGAACGGAATGTATTCCCAGGCGACCTTCCGGCCGATCCACCTGTCCGGATTGAAAATTTCAGCATCCTCGCCCCAAATATCCTTTCGGCGGTGTAAAACGTAGGTGCTGTACATAACTGTACGGCCCTTGCGGAGGTATACTGGAGAGGTACCGTCTTTACCGCCGCCACGTGGGAGCGTAGTATCTGTTAATGCGCAACGTCGGTTGAACGGTACGACAGGGTAAAGACGAAGGGTTTCGTTGAGAAAATGCTGGAGGTACTGGCACGACTTCAAGGATGCAAAGTCCATGTTCTTCGGCTGATCATAAGTACCAAATTCCTTGAGAATATCACTCCGAAGTCTTGCAAACATATTGGAATGTCTTGCGAGAAGGAGGATCGACCAGCTCAGTAGAGAAGCTGTTGTGTCACGGCCTGCTAGGAGAACATTGAGAGATTCATCGCGCAACCTGACGGGATCTTTTGTAGTACCAGTCAGGGCTTTCAAGAACGTATACTGCGACTTAGGCTCTTCGGTACTATGGACTCTTTCTTCCAGTTGATGCACCTCCTTCAGAGCACAGTTGACATATCGGTCGACGAATGAATGCAAAATCTTGATGCACTTCTTAAACTCCTTATTGTAGATGACCCAGTAGAGCCGCTCGAAGCGCAGTCGCTCTGCAAGATACCACATACATCGATCAAACCCGTAGAGAAAGCTATCATCAGAGGCCTGTCCGGTTTCCTTTTGCATAGCCGTAATCTGGCTATCACAGCTTTTACCGAAGAGGAATTCCGTGGCCGAGTCAAGGGTAAGACGGAAGAAGACGGCTTGAATATCCACCGGTGAGGACCAGCCGTTAGATAGCGTGGGAATGACATGCAACGCATTTTGGACATGATATTCTTCCCTATCAAGGTTGTTCATCTGATCTCGCGTAAATTGAGGTCGTAGTAGTGATCGGGAGCGCGCCCAGCTCTCGCCATCAGTAGTGAACTATGTGCAGTCAGCCAAGTCCTTCTGCCCCTTATACAAAAGCGCTATCTCGGCAAGGGGAAACAACTCACGATTCCATGGCCAACAACAGGACTGGCTACATTGCGACGCATATCACCTAAACCGAAATCCTTGAACTGAGTCGCCAACATAGCTTGGATATTCTTGGGGTCTGTCGTCAAAAAGTTCTCCCGACCAGCTTGGCATATACGAAAAGTAGAAACGTATCTGTCGTGTCGACGAGATAGAAAAGCCACTCTTCTCTCAGCTAGCTGCGGGAGCAGTTTCTCTCGTGCGGCGTCAAGTGTCTCGCGAAGTGTGGAAATACCGAAAGGGTCTTGGCTGGGGTAGAGAGGGGCTTTTTCACAGCCTAATTTACGTGATTTCTGGGTATGACGCCAGTTAAAATAGACGGAGTGTAACATACTCCCAGTAATGGCGAGTGCCACAATCGCTGCAAGTAACCCGTCATGTATGAAGAGGGTACCAAACATTGGCATACTAGTATATGAGGTGCTTGAGTACGCTTTTGTGACAGTTAAGACAGCGGAAGGATCTGACTGAGATGAATTAGAACTGAGAGGATGAAGAGTTCTATTTAGATATTGTCAAATATATAGAAATTTGAATAAGACTAGCAAAACGGGCCAAAATATTATGAGCGAGTATTTGTGTCCGCTGTAGACTGTAATTTTCAGTAATTACGCAGGGATTGAAGGATAGTACTCTTTTCGCAGTTGATCAACAACATACGAGTCTAAATTTGGCGTACATGAACAACAATTCCATGGTTTTTGCAAGATTAGATAGTGGGACGCCTTAATAATGCCTTACGACAGCCACGTGTCGCCCCGCCTGCCCATGAGCGGCACATTTTCCCTAAACCAGTATTCCTTAGCCTTTTCGGCCACCTGCTTAGCGTAAGTAACATCTCATTCGGCATCGTTACCGTGAAACCCCTGAGGCTGTGTAGTGTTTCTACAGTGCCAGGTGTTCTCACTTGGCAAAATAAAAATAGACGTGGGGGATAATTGTATGCAATGACGTGTTTGTAGATGGCACCCTTTGGTACTACAACGCTGGCTTATATGCCTGTTGAGTGGCTTATAACAAGTTTGATGGCAGACTTGGGTTTTATGGAAATTATGACGCACACCATACGAGATTACCAGTATATCCTTGTCTATGTTGCATTGTTACTGCCACTGATAACAACATATTATGCATGTCTAGCATCTCTCCCGTGGGGTCCATCAAGTTATCCGTATCTACTAGAGTTGCCATTCCTCATCAGAGCAGCTTACAATGCCCTTTGTGTTTATTGACTCCGTGAGCGTCAAAAACGGTCTTTGAACACCAGTCCCATCATGTCAATTCCAGGAAAAGATAAAACTTCCTTGTCTCCCGGACACTCATCCTCGCAGCCAAATTCCAGAGTGAAAATGGAAGGGAACTCTTATAGTCCTCGTTCTGACGTCTTTAATCAACGTTAGATAGAGTCCATATATCATGGCAGCAGGTGCATTCGAAATCACTGACGAGGTCGTCTTTTCAGGCTATGACGTGAGCAGTGTGGCCGATATCCAGCCCGCCCTTTACAGGTCCTTTGGAAACATTACGCTTCTCTCATGGATCAGCCTGTCGTTTGGTCTCGCCGTGTTTGCTGTCCTATCCATCTCCCGCAAGATCATGTATTGTTTCGATATGAAATAGATCTATGTTGTTAGCGTTATGATCATTATAACTGGCGCTGCGGTGGCTGGTGCTGCCTCCAATCTTCCTACCGTCATTGTTGGAAGAATCATTATCGGCGTAGGTGGTGATGTCGTTTACCAAGGGTATAACACGATCTATCTTCGATGTCTTGAGGGTCTTGGAGCTCACAGTAACATAGCAACTTGACACCTGTAGCTTCCTTCTCCACGCCCGATGAGACACCCCGTCTATTTGGCCTTCTGAGCGCAGTATGGGCTATGGGCCTGGTCATTGGAGGCCCTATCGGGTCTGCTCTGGCCTCGGACAAACAAACCACCTGGCGGTGGGCTTTCTACATGAACCTACCTTGGCTGGGTATCAGTCTCGCGGCCGCCATTGTCTGCCTCGGAAATACATAGGGCCAGATAGCCCGCCGCTCTTCTTCGCGTTAGCTCGTGGTCACAGTGCTATGCAGCAAACTGTCCGTCTTCTTCCTTTCGTTCTGGTCTTCATCGCTGTTGTAATGCTTGTTGGTGGGTTGCTCCCGGTCCTTGGCCGCTATAACCTGATCTACATCGTTGCAGGTATTACAACTGTGGCAAACGCGGGGGCCATGACCGGGACACTAAGCCCCAATGTCTCCGAATCGCAGATACTATGCCTAGAAGCACTCATGGTTGTTGGCCTTAGCTGTTCGTTCCAGCACGGTGTGGGTGTCTCGAATGTGATAAACAAGAACCCACGCGATCGCTTCGACAGCGCGATCGTGTTCAACATGGCACAGATGGGTGGTTTTGCAATTGCTCTGGCGATTGCAGGGTCGGTGTCTCAAAATGCAGGATACAGCCTGCTGACGGACGCCATTGGGAATAAAGAGTAGTCGGAACAAGACCTGCAGGGGTATCCTCGGCAGTAAGGTAGTCTAGCAATCCCGAGGTTCTTTCTCGTGGATTCAATACCGTGGCCACCGTGATTGAGCGGAATTTTGTTTAGTGGTTGCCAGTGGTGCCATTTGCCTCGCGTGCGGGTTGGTGGTGAAGTGGGAGCGATTGAACTACGGCGAGAACAAAAGCAAGCATGCGGGGACTTGAATGAGTGCCTCTCAGCACGACCTATTTTCAGCCACCACTCAGCTCCTATTGGTATGCATCTTTCCAGCTGATCGCGGGAAAGGAGTTGACGGACTTGCTTGCCATCTAACACCTTGCAGTCTTTCTTTTATGGCCCACATAATGTGAAAAATCAGTCAAGTTGGACGGGTCTATCAATCTTCTGTTCCTTAGGAGAGCCCAATTTGCGTGTAGTCATTTTCGTGTTCCGATAAAAAAGATGAGACCGTGGCTGAGGAAGCTCCTTGATGGCGATACAAGCGCCCAAGCACGAAAGACCCCTGCGACTAGATACAATATTTTGAAGGATACAACAGAACGACAAGCCTCGTCACAAAGCCGGCATAAAGTCTAAATAGGGATGGAAGATTGTCCATGGGATGCTTAACGTCTAGCTCGAACAGGCAAGAAACTATACTGTATTTCAACGGGCACTTTCTCGCCATTTCTATGGCCTTCATTCAAAGATTAAAATCCAGGGTGTTCATTGCTACACTATGTCACCATGTCAATTTTCTCGCTCGCCTTCCTAGAACTCACTATTAGGCGGTCGTTCATCTCCCATCTGATTTGATGAAAATAGTGAAGGTGATATCAACCAACTGAGAATTCAGACCTGATGGTGGGTAGTTGACACAATGCAGCTCGCACCCGATGGTTCACAGTGAGCCTGTTCCCATAACGTGTGCGCCAAGACCGAGTCGCAGCTTGCACTCTGGCCATATTAGATGTTCAGAGAGAGCAGCCATAATTTCGTATCTGAGTCATATCTTCTTCGCTCCTCTCTTATTCAGCCTGTTAAATGTTTATAGCTATATAGCCAAATCATTCAAAGGAAATTTGAAGAAAACAATGGTTTCACAGCGTCATCCTTATACTAATTTTACCTATACAATCAACTAATGTGAAATACAAGCTACTAACTTAGACATAGGTTAAGCTTGCTCAGATAACGACACGTAGCTCCAATCTACTTGAATTCAACTTTCCTCCCATACTTAAGACCCTAAGGAAGGCTCTAGTTTAGTAGACTAGACGTACGCCTATTGGATAGGGTCACTTTATCCACCTATATTGGAAAGGGATCCATTCTATTTTCCCCTCATTCTAATGGTTTAAATTTCATGTGTACTTTCCTATCTTAACGTATCAGTTTACTACGTGTTCCTGATTGTAAACATATGAAATGTAATCATATAATTCTGTAGCTCCAATAATGGTGAATTCGCGATGAGTTCGCGGTGAAAGAATGGTTCTTAAATTTATACTTGAATAACGAAACAATTTCCTTGCAGCTAGAAGGCGGCTCCTAGATCACGATCTCGTTCTAAAAATCTTTCACATCAATGCATAAAATTAGTGATCAATATGTAAACTCATCGTACCCTTAAATATTTTCCACGTGCGTACTAGGGTCTCCCGCCTTTTCACCCCTAGCAGCTTGAGACATTCGGCGTTGCCTGTTGACTTCCATCATTTGCTTTGCAAATGGTGATCGCTCACGAATTTTAGGGCCATTGCGGTAGAAGTAATATATCGGCGCAGTAACAAGTATCGAGACGCAAGCAAGGATTGTGGAAGCATACGCGTATGGGAATTTGTCACCAATATTCTCAAACATTGGTGTGGAATACATAGCTGCAATTCCGGCCAGAAAGTCGCGCGCGAAGTCGTTGCCTCCCGTAGCAGAAGCTGCATATTCTCCGTATGCAGCAACGGTGTAGTCAATGGAAGATTGGTAGATAGAATACTGTGCGACATTAGAACCCTCTTGTCATTGCGCAGAGATAGCTCACATTAGCAATGCCTATTACCATGGTGAATATCATAGGCGCAATCCAATGGACATTCGGTGGGCCCAGAGTTGTCCATGCGAAGCCAAAAAGGCCAATAGGCAGACAGGGTATGACTGTGAACATCACAAATACCTTGTGATTAACCGCGGGTCTATTATTCCCATGCTTGAAAGTCTTAGCTTACCGTATAGCAACCACCATAATCGTGCTTCTGGAGGCACTGATTCGGAACCGTTTTTTCGTCTTTTTTGTCTAAACATATGGATCGAGGGCAAGAATGACAGGTACGCGAGGAAATAACCTATAAGCAGCCTAGCAGAAGATCAAGGTTTCAGCATGCGAAGCTCAACCTGTTTTGCTCAAAGAGAAGACAGGCTTTCACTCACGGTAGAAATGCAAGACTTATTTGAATCGTCCCAAAGCCCCACTGTTTGTAGACTGGTTGAAACCCTTGGAGAAATGTAAAGATCAAAGAATCGCTGAACCCGCTGAGTAGCGAAAGCCAAAGGACAATGGGCTCAGTGAATAGCATAACGAATGGTCGTTTCCATACTCTCCAGACTTCATGTGGGGAGAGCTCGAAACCGTGAATTTCGTGCGGACCCCAAATGTTGACTTTCCCTGGTCCGGCCTTGCGTCTCCTCTTCGCTACCCTATCGAGGATAATGGTAGCTCTCGTTTCCGGTACCAGGAAGAAGTGCATGATTTGAACACATCCACCAGCCAGGAGCTGAACCCAGAAAATCCAGGCCAGTGGATGGCGGTCTTCTACGAATCCACCAACGACGGCTCCAACGACTGATCCTCCAACGGACGATAAGACGAGGAACGCGACAGCATATTCCTGATCATCGGGCTCCCACATATCTGCAATCACTCCCAGTGTCACCGAGCCACCGGCTGTACTCAATCCCCCAAGCAACCGGACAACAATATACGTCGCAAAGTTGGGAGCAAGGGCACATGGTAATTGCCAGATGTTCACGAGGAAAAGACTCAATTGTTGGGTTGGCCATCGCCCTAGTTCCTCACTCCAAGGAGCCCAAAGCTCGCATCCAAAGGCGTAGGCGCAGAGAAAGGTTAGCTGGGGAATTCTCGCGACTTGTTCGCTAACATTGTGCTCCTTCGAAATCGCCGCGACGCCGTTCGCGTACAGACTTGCGTTCAGGTTGATTGATATTTGGATACAAAACATCACACAGAGGATTTGCCATTTTCTCCAACAAGGATAGCTATATCCCAGCTCGTCGTAGGCGGCAGACTGTGTCAGCTCGATCTTGTTGGTATCCGGCAAGGGGTTTGTTCCTCCTATGTCACTTGAGCCCACTGTCTCTAGATCTGGGTGTCTATCGATTGATTCGTCGTTGAATTGATTAGTGGATGCCATATCGCCGGAATAAATTTGTACGATCAATATGAACGAAAGAATAATTGGGTTTGGAAGTGGAATCATATGGATTATTTCAACTGACTAGTTCATAGGAATCATACTTCCATGACGTGTGTGGAACTCTCCTCCAGTGGACATTCCACGGCTTTGCTCCTCCAAGTTCCAAGATATTACTCCTGGAGGTGAGTTATTCCGGACTTCCCAATTATGACCGAGCGATCAAACCATGGAAACGGAGATGGAAAGACACTGGATTCGTGGACGGTACGAGTCAGCAGGCAAATCCCGACACGATGCCACTTCTCACTCACTCGCTCTTTTTTTCTTGATTTAGATTTCATCTTGTAGCTTCAACGTAAATCGGCGCGATAGCAACAAAAGCGTTGCCACTCTCGTATGTGACGCATGTCCGCTCGCTTGGTGGTGGATTACGTTAACACCTGACTACATGCCTCGTAAACAAGGCATCCGGGGTTTGCCTACAATACTCTCGGCCTCGTTGCCCGTCACGGGGGTGTGATTAAGATTCAATTTTATAAGACAAGCTGGGAATTTGCTTGAACGCTTGGGTGTCGACTATACGTGCTAAGGTTTCAAGCCTAGAAGTTGAGCATACCAACATAATAGGCGGTTCATAATAGCGGTCGGAACTAGAAAGGTAGATCCAAAAGTGTCTATATCAAAGGCTTTTCAATGCCAGATGCATCGCCCTGCCCCAAAGTCCCAAAGATCACGATTATATGAGTCTGATGAGACGGCGTACATGGGCTGCTCCCTGTAGAGACTTGAGCTTCTGACCTGAAGGATTCTGGCTCCGGGAATAAAGATGGATCTATGCACCAGTCTGCCAAGCCAAGACGGACCCGAGATACCTCAACAGGTTGTCTAGTCCATCTTATAAAATTGGATCTGAGGCTGTGGTGAGATCTGAAATGGGTTTCCGATCAGAGGGAGACCGGGGGGAGACGGGATGTTGGTGCGTGGTTCTTTTGAGACCCGTAACATAGATAGAAAATAGGCACAAAGAAGATAAAGCAAAAGGTCAGAGTCATAGTGGTGTTGTCGCTCGTTTGAACCAATGAGAGGGAGGATTGCTATCATTTCGCTTACTATCATCGATGCTAAGTCTCACACGTAAGATATTCAAGAGAAGCAGATCAACAAGGCTAGGGTCAGGAAGATACAGTTCGCAAAATATCCGGATCGCACAGTGAAGAATCCATTTGACTCAATATACGCAACGACGTTGTGCTAAATTCAAGAATCAAGTGATCAATCGTCGCAAATTTTCCAATCTGTCTAACTGATGATTGATTGTGACTCGATAGACCGGCAGATCATCTACAATATGGGCCATGCCAGTCTTATAGGCTCCTTGCTTTTACGACTAAGTTGCACTGGATTTTCCCTTCTTTATTAGCGACATCTGGCAGTCCAGGGAAAGTCCATGATACCCTGCAATGATCCTCTGGACGACGAACGGGTCTCAGACTATCCAATTTGGCCTTGGCTTGCTATCTGAGTTGTCAGACACAGCTGCGTACCCTACGAGAAAGATAAGTAGCTTGATGGAGAATGAAGTCAGACTGTGAGCCTAACAGAAACAGTCAAACATTTACTACAAATATGGCCTCATCACTCTTACTTCAGCCCAAAAATGTAACACATCATCCTGAACGCCACTTCGGCTAACGATAGTTACCTTCAGTATCAATATATTGAAAGCGAGAGAGCAAAAAGAGAATGGCAATCACATGTCTCGAACGAGAGTATTCTTCAGTATGGTACGAAAAAATTCTGATCTTACGCTAGCATAACAGATCTTGCAAAGCCACTGCTAATATACTGAGTCTCCTTATCAAAATAAACGGAACCAGTAGTGCAAAGTCGCCTACCGGGCCAGGATCGATTACCGTGTAAGATCATCTCTAACCACCCGTTTCTGCAAGTTAGTGAGCTCTTCTCCATTTTTAGGACTAGATAGTTATAAAAGCCTTCGCTAGAGTAACAATCTCATTTCCCGTATACCTCTCCGCTATTTACAGACTCAATAATGGGCGACAAGATTAGCTAAAAGGTGCATAAATACCGCCAGCTATCCTAGGCGTCGTTCGCTCAATAAAATGCTAGATCCTATCACAGTGTCACACATATGCTTCCACGTTTGCGATTCATGCGCTCCGAGTCGAAAGGTCCTAGTCGACATTATGAAGTGTGGAGCCGGGACAACTCATCGGGATTCCCCCTCTGGAATTCGAATGGCCCCATGCCGGCGTCGGAAAAACCGGGAATCTAGAGTTCATTAACAAGTAGCGGTTTGAAATTTATCCGATTTGCAGCATCCTGGTCGACTATTTATATTAAAGGATGTTTAGATCTTATTCAGATTAAGAATGTACGCACATCGATTCCTTATCATTGCGTTTGCAACGTTGAGCCACACCACCGGACTACCACAATAATGCCTCTCAAATACAACCCGGATATAGATATCCCGGACCTTGCAGGGCAGTCTATCTTTATCACCGGAGGTCAGAAAGACCATGGCAGAATCTCCATTCATCATGAGCTAAATTAATCCATCAAGCACTGGAGGTTTGGGTGCATGCTCTGCACTAGAACTTGCCAGGCACAATCCAGCTCATATATACATCAGCGGTCGAAACCTAAAGAGGGCTGAAAACATCGTAACATAAGTCCAGAGCAACAACCTTGGAAGACCAGCAATGTCACAAAAGTGACATTTATAGAGTGTGATTTATCCTCTCTTTCCTTGGTACAGAGAGCAGCTGAACAATTTCTCGCACAAAAACCAAGCCCACGACTGGATACTCTCATGTGCAACGCAGGAATCATGACGAGACCCCCATGAACATCAAAGGATGGCTATGAGATTCAATTTGCGACGAATTATCTTGGCCATGCGCTTTTGATTCGCAAACTGCTCCCACTCATTGAAAAGACGGCAAGCGAAGGCGGCCACGGGCGCATTATCGTTCTCTCTTCATCAGCCTGGGGCCTCCATCCCAGTGGTGGTATACAATTTGGTCGCCTTCGCACGGGGCAAGACTTTCCGGCTGGTGGACCTTGGCAGCGGTACGGACAAGCCAAGTTGGCTAACCTGCTGTATGCGCGTGAGTTGGCCAGACGTTATTCCCATTCGACATGCGTCTCTGTGCATCCTGGGATTGTGGAGACCGGATTGTTCGACGAGATAAGTTTCAAGAACAGGATGCTTATGTATTTGGCATTATGGTGGGTTATGGTACAACCACATCAAGGCGCTTATAGTCAACTTTGGACAGCGACAAGACCCAAAGAGGAGCTTATGAATGGGTGCTTTTATCTCCCTGTTGGAAAATTGGGGGATGGGGGGCTAGGGAGGAAGGCCAAAATTGGTAAGGGGACACTTGCACGGCAGTTGTGGGACTGGACAGAGGATGTCTTAAACGAATTGAAGGTTGTTAAATTGGCACTAGATTGGTCGTCATAACAAGGCTACAAATGAAATGCATTTCAAGATAATCATGTCTATGAAGAGGTTTGTTCTGTATCACAAGCTGTACTACTTACAGTTTGAGCTATATTTAGTTTCACCACCCTACACACAGAGATTTCTTCTCGAATCCTCTTTCGGAAGAAACACTCCTGATTGCAGTTAATCTTTCCTTGAACCCCATTCTTGAAGAGTATGCCGCGACAGCGCTTTTGCATATCTTGAATCGCACTTTGGAAAATTCTCCTGCGTATACTGTAGACTGCTACACAATGTAGGGATAATTAGATATACAATTATGAATTTATTAAACCTGTGAATATGCTTTTAAAGCTCCGGGAAAAACAGGTCTACAAAACTGTCATCGAATCGGTCATGAGCAAAATGCCACTGATCAACACCTCCTGCTGCTGCTAAACGTGAGGAATTTGTTCGCGGACCAGCATTGGAATCAGTCTGGGTCGTAAGCTGGGGCGTGTCAAATTCTGCACCAGGGGCTGGTGTGATAGATTCCCGTATATCAGTATCAGTAGGCGCGGTGGCATGCTCTTCAATTAAGTCAAAAGAAAAAGAGTTCTCATCGACGGGTTGCTGCCTATGGGGGCGCGATGGCAAATCGCTCACATTGAGATTCATGGGCAATGCCAGCCGGCGGAGTGAACTGTCACATAGTTGCCAGGCTCGATGAGCAGCAATACTATGTCTGGACATTCTGTGGAGCCATCGTATACATTTCTTCGCCAACTGTAATAGAATGCTCGCTTCCTCCGGCAGATGAATGCAATCGTAGGATATTTCAAGAATAATGATTGTTATTGTTTGCATAGCATAATGGAGAAGGCACCACCAATGGCAAATTCCTTCTAAGTCGCTGGCTTTCCCCTCGTCTGGGATCAGATGGGCCATTTGGATGGCTGACTTGATGGCTGACACAGCCATGGATTTCGTGAACACGTATTCTTCATTCGTGCTTTGTGAAATTTCTTTGTGTTGTCGACAAAGGCATGGGCGTCCTAGCATCATTCGTGCGCTGTGATATTGGAAAGCTAGGCGCGTCATTTCGTCAGGAGCTTGATAGTAATCATGCAAGCGAGTGAAATCTAAGTCAGGCGGAAGCGAGCCGAGCCAGATATCGACCCTTTCTCGGATCTCGTCAATTCGGCTTTTGAGTTCCCTCCAGGGTTGGTGAACAGCGTCTACCGCGTACACGCGATCTAATAGCTCCTGCACCAGTAATGTGAGGTCACAAGAATACAAAAAGTAAAGTCCATTAGAAACAGGGAGGCATTGGAGCCATCCAGGAGCAGAGGGTGTATGCCGTTCGTTCCGGGATCTGGTAAATGGTGCTCTTCGAAAATACGAGCTACTCATGGCATCATTTATTTGCCTGTCCCGATATTGAGGATTGTTAAGAAGAGAGGTAGCCGGTTCCTGGTCTAACTCTTGTTCCTCGAACGGGAGTGGAAAAGGTGATGCGCACATGCTCACCGAGATACAATTAGGCCGGCCAGTCATTAGGCTGAGTTTGTTCTCGATTGTAATGAGAGACCACCAAACCCTATTCCGAACCTCTTTAGAAACATTCGTGATCATTGGGTTGCTGCTTTTCAAGTTAATTCCGAGGGCCACCGCGGAACGGATGGCCAATGCCGACATTCTCCATGCCCTGTACCCTAACCGTCAGCTGAGTCCAAGGTATGGGAACTGTAAGCATTACCGATGAATTTGGTCTGTGGAAAGAAGATAGAAAGCCATTAAGCCCTCCACTTGCACTTGTTGGAGATCTGGATGGCGAAAAACCTCATCTCCGCTCATGCTTAACATTCGAGCTCGAGTCAAATAAAGAAGATGATCTTTAGGATCCCCACGCCAATTCAACTCAGCAGTATGAGCATAGATAGCGGCAATTGCGAAAACAATGTTCAGGATAGCCATCCACTTGTCACCAGGAAGATTAGGTCTGTCGAAAAACCTCTCATACTGGCTACAAAATAAAGGGCGGTTGATAATAGGGATGTAAGGGTGAGCCACACGCATATAGGTATCGAGAAGCCGATCAGCTAGGGACCGAGGGGGGACCCAATACATCTGTACAGGCTCTGATACTCCTATATCGAAATCGTCAACGTGATAATTTATCTCGTGGGGGCCCAAATAATTGCCCGCAGTGTAGTCTTTGTCAAGGGTATTGGTGCATTGTAGGACCTCTTGCTGCAGTCGTTGCATCCACGTAATCTCCGAGCTTTTGCCTATATATCCCGTGGCTCGAGATTCCTTAGTCAGATTGACATCGTATTCGACTTCGTCCAAGGCACTCAGTGACCCAATGGAAGAATCCGAGCTAGCTGGCTCATACGCCGGTTCTTGGGGCGTTTCGGCAAGATCTTCACGGACTTGATCGCCGTTGATATCGTTAGATACATAATCAGAGTCTGATTCCTGCTATAGAGCTCATCATCTAGTATCAGCCACTAAATGCTCGGTGTGCATCATGGAAATATTAGTGCACACGTGCATGAAAGAGTCCTTTCTTACCAAAAATTCCTGAATTCTTTTAGCCGTGCGCCCGGGCACAAATTGCTCAGCTTCCTTCAATAGGCTCTGAGAAACTTGCAATTTCTTGAAAAGCTCTTCCTGCTGTCTGGTTTTCGAGTTGGTCAACGTGAATACTGCACGGATATGAACTGCGTTCGCCTACCTCTTTAATACTTCGCGCATTCCCAGAGGATATAAACAAGCCACTCGCAGCTCTCGGCATTGTCTGCAGCTCGGAGTATCGCCACTACATTTGGTTTTTCTAATCCGGCATGATTCGCATGCGCGTGGAACACGTCTGCTTAGCCTCGGTGCAGCAGCTGAACGCTGTCGGGGAATCGCAATCTTCATATTCCCATGGGTTCCAGTATTCAGACGGTTCATTGATATGCCGGGATGGAGTATCTCATTTGACATCCTTGGGGTGCTGGGTGCGTTGGGGGTAGCGAGTTTGTCGGGATTGTCGATGCCGGTGAGGCGCAATTCCGCCATAACATCTATCCTTCCCTTGTGTTTTTATTCATACATGTATAAAATCTGATGAAGATTGATGGGCATGGGTTTCTCAGCAAAATACTGGTGGAAAGAAAGCCGGTCTAAATTCAGGGCGCGATGCATGAAGGTGGATGTGACCGCTCACGGAAGATGACGTCATGATACGGTAATCCAGAAGGATTCCATATATACCTCTAATATCCAGCATGTTCCAGCAATTCCCCAATTCGAGAAGAAGAACACGGACATTTCTCACCAATACGGAAGCTGTTTGACTAACAAAGTCTGCTGTGTCCTCATGTCCAACAGATTGAAGGGGCCGGCCTACATCTCCGCGCGGGCTGGACCCGCGAGTGAGCAAAGTGTAAGCCGATCAATCTATCTTGATGCGCGCTAAAAATTAGGCAGGGATCATCCCAGCGGCAAACCAATACTTATACCAACTTAATAGGGAAATCCGAAAACTGCGATCAGTGATGGTATCGACGATCAGGAACCATCGCAAGTCGATAAATACCGCGGTGAGCTGAAACAGCCTATAGCAACCATACCAGCCATACCAACCAAGTATCACGGCATGATATACGAGCTGTATGAGGCAATCCAGCAGGCGGATAGGGCTCGCGAACAGGAATTGTTCAGCCAGATTCCAGATGGCAAAACTGCCCAGCAAGTCCGCGTATTCCTTTATGGGATGTTAGCGAATGCAAGATTGGCTGAAATGAATGATGAGATTGCTGGTCGCTCAACCAATTCTCTCTCCGGAATAGAAATGGAAATGGAAGGTGATTTACCAAGGGCTCGGCCAAGGGTTTTGGATATTCAATATTTGTGTGAAGTTGCTCCAGTGAGGGTTCCTGCAAGGCCGTGGACTACCGTAACTGATAGCGATGACCTTGTTTCTCATTTGGTATCCCTTTACCTCACTTGGGGCTACCCGTTCTACGCGTTCTTCTGCGTGGACACATTTGTGAAACACATGCAAATCGGGCATCTTCAGTCGGACTTCTGTAGTCCCTTCTTAGTGAATGCCCTTCTCGCCAACGCATGTGTAAGTTACAAGGCTCCTTGGACTATACTATATTCAAAATAATAACCAAAGGAAGTTCTACTCAGACTATACGGAGGCGTATAGTCTACCTGGGGACGTGAAAAGGAAGGGTGCCCATTTTCTGGCCGAAGCAGAATCATACCTGAAATCGCACCAAACTGATGGGAGAGGGGATATACGACTAGCCTCCTTACAGGCATCACTTCTGCTATATGAAAGGTAGCAGTATCTTGAGCAAATGTGGAAGCTGTCCTGACTCTCTTCTAATCATTCAACAGATACTCGCTGTCAGGCTACGACAACTATGGATACACAATGCTTCATCGAGCGATAGGGATGGCAGAATCAATTGGCATAGTGAACAGTACTAGGATGCTAAATTTGGGAGCACCACACCTTACTATTGATATGAAACGCTCTCTACAGAGAACCGCGTGGGGGCTGTTCCAAATCGATACGTAGGTCCATCGTCACTCTGGCAAAGCGTGAAAAGTAACGGATGTGAACTGACATGCACAGGATTGTCCACATGAATTTCCTGAAACGGAGTCAGATCAAGATCGTAAACCTCGATCGAATCTCCCGTGATGAGACTCTTCCACAGGAAGTGTGGACGCCTTATCCGAAAAAGGGCAACCGTCGTCAGTCTCACATGAGTCAGTACTTTGACGAAGCTTGCAGGCTCTCTTTTATAGCAAGAGACGCCTCTTGGAACATTTTGCGAACCGATGATGGAAGCATAAAGCGAGAGCTTTACAGGCGGCTATGCGAGTGGGAAGATGCCCTGCCCTCTACCTTGAAGCAGATAGAGGATCCAGCGCCGTACATTCTCATACTCAGGTTTGTGTTTTCCCTTCTTTTTAAGTCTATCGACTGCGACGGCACTTACCATATTGACGATGCATCGTGGAACAGAATGCGCTACCACACTCTGATAATAAATCTATGCTACCATGACCTCGAAAGTGACATGCTCACGGGAACAACCGATTTGGACCTAACTAGCTCAGATGGCGATTTCAATCCCCAAAAAATCGCCGTTTGCTCTGCACGAGAAATAGCGTCTTTGATCCGAAAATTCGGAACAGATTACGGGCTGGAATATAGCCATCAGTTTGCGATGTACGCTATTAACGTCTCATTGTTCTGCTTGCTGGCGCAGAAAGACTTTGATATCCGGGATCCCGATTTTTTAAGTTTGACCGAAGGATTCTCGATTGTTGCATGTCGATCACAGGTGGGAAGGCATTTGTTCCGAGCTTTTAAAATAACCATTCGCTCCCGAAGTCAAGCTGGATTGATTAAGAGCCCGAGTGATGTTTCCCCCGGCATTAGGGAGCTTTTGGGTGCACGAAAAGATTACATTGAGCTTGACAAGTGGGATCATAATGCAGAATGTTTGGCTGAAGTGGAAGGGGAAAGAAGCTTCATCAGAGATATTGGGGTTGATCCTACGGTGCCCGGACTCCACCAGATGCTTAAGTGGTACGAACATCTGAGCCTGGGCGAGGAAACGCAATGGAGGAAGAATCATGCGTCTGCATTTTGAGTTTCTCCTCACTCTCTGTCTTCGAAAACTTTTGACAAATCATATCAAGGTTATACTAGCCCTGGAGATACGGCCTAGCATGATCTCCTGGCATTGTCCCGAACCGTATGCTGCCTAGTGGACTTTCTCGTGGTTCAAAATCCAAAATAGATTGCCCGAAATCATCGATGCCCACTAGAGCTGATATGCATCCAAAGTAACAGTCAGAGAGAGTATGGGTTCGTTACTTATGATCTCAGATTGACTCTCTCGGCCGACACGTTGAATAATCTGGGGGAACTTGCAATTTTTAGAGTCCACCTGAGAGCATCACCAAGTCAATACGGCTTCTTGAGGTTAGCGAAGGCGATCATATATCGTGACAGCACATCCTGGATTTGCTAGTTTACGTTGACGCCAATGTCTATTTCATTAAAGGTCCATGATTCAGCGATGATAGTAAGACAGCCAATACGGCAATGGCTTAGGTTTTCACTAGAATTATACAAGTATGATGACTACATACAAGCCTTCTTTTCAAAACTGCCTGTTCCACGCATTTTAATCAACTATTAGAGTATTATACAGCTTACTTGAAAGTCCCGGAAATTCAAGTTAGCAAAAGTGGATCAAGAAGACACCGGGCAGAGTCGTCCGTTGTTATTCCACGAGTAGGGCAGCGGATCAGTGGTTTGAACCTCCCAGTCCTCGGCGCCGACAGCAGTGAGAGCGAAGAAGAGACCATTTGGATCGTATTTTTGCTTCAGTGCGTAAAGACGAGGGTAATTAGTGCCATAAAAGGCCTCCTGCAGGTTTGGCTCCAGAAGATCGGCCTCGCTCATATAGGCGCCAGAGTCCGGGGCGATCTCACGGAGCACATCCATCCACTCGGTCACAAAGAGCGAGGACTCCTTGATCACATCCCAAGAAGAGGTAAAGTTCCATTCAGAGCCGACGATGACGTGAGTCATGGTGTCACGCCATGCGGGGAGCACAGAGTTGTCCTTTGGTGGGTCGACGGCGATACCAGTACCACTAACGTGGAAACCAGCGAGGAAGAGACCCTACTATTGTGAGAATCTCGTATAAATACAACACAGGGAACTATGAGACTTATGACTCACCTGATCCACGGCGTCCTTGTAGGCAGCCCAGGTCTTGTTGCGGAGGGTATCACTCTGGAAAACACTGCGAGGGAGCAGACGGGAAGCGGTCTTGACGACATCAGTTCCGACATATTCTTGAGGGAAAGCATCAACCCAAACATCGTAGCTAATAATGGAAATTAGTAGGGAACCGAAAAAAAGGGTCGAGATTAGCGGAGAAAGCAAACGCACAAGTTATCCGCGTTGTTGTACCACGGAGTGTACGTGATGTTCAAGCTGTCTAGGGTGTTAAACCATGGAGCCACCAGAGCCTTGGTCTCGGCAAGACTCATATTTGGTGCGATGAAAGATTCCATGCGGAAATAGTAGTCAGTATCACCAGCATAGGCAGTGCCAATCTCAGCCGAGTCAGCACCGATATAGTAATAGCCATAGGTACCAGCATCAACAAAGTCCTCAAAGTTGTCGAGGTATGACGAAACCGCAGCCCAGAAAGCATCCGGACCAGGAGTGTCACTCACAGTGAAGTTGAAGGTCACGGAAGTGGTCTCCAGTTTAGGTAAGGCCTTGACAACCAGAGAAGTGACGACACCAATGGTGCTACCACCGCCACCACGAAGCATCCAGAAGACATCTGAATTCTCGGTGGAGCTAGCAGTGATGAAGCGACCATCGGCAAGAACAACTACGCATGATCAGTAAGAAAGTCCAGAAAAGCTGAACCAGCGAAAATACGGGTCTAAACTTACCTTGCATGGAGAGGACTTGATCGGCTGCCATACCGTACATGCTGGACAAGGGGGAGTGACCACCACCAGCAGTGTAGCCACCACCCAAGCCAACAGTGACCGCCTCACCGCCAACGACGGAGTGACCCAGAGAATTAGCAAACTCATAGGCCTCCCAAACCTGAACACCCGAGCCAAACTTGATGGCCGGGCCAATGTAGCCATTGGCGGCCTCATAGTTGGAAAGGTACTCTTTCTCCTTCAGGTAATGGGTCCAAATGGCGAGAGCTCCTTTACCAGCTGCCTTACCATTGAAATCATGACCAGTGTTCTTCACCACAAATCGCAGGTTCAGGTTACGGGCAAAATTGACCGCCAGTTGGACCTGAGCGACGGTGGAAATGTTGACAGCATAAGTTGGGTAAGCGCCCTGCTTGCAGGTCGAAGTGTAGTTATACGGTGAGGGCAAACAGGTGCGGCCCTCGTACAATGGCAGCATAATGGAAGTCGGATCATCCATGTGCAGGTCTGAGCTAAGCCAGTCTGCGGTGATGGTCGCGCACTTGGTAGCATCATACTCTGGCCAGTCGGGGTAGCAATAGGCCGCCAGCGGCTTGGTCTTGATCAGAGACCCGCCAATCAAGATATCAAAAACGTCCCAGACCAATTCGGAAGGCCACAAAAGATCTCCGGGCATAGGCTTGCAACGGTGGCTCACACTACGCTTACTCATCGTGGAGCTTGAGTTGGTAGCGTTCGCAAAAGCAAACATGCTAGCAATGGTCTCGTTTTGCAACGTCTGAGCCACATCGACCAGTGCACTCTCCGTCAGCTGCAGCTTTTCATACGCAAACAATGCAGAGGCAGTCACAGTCGTCTCTGCTGCTGTGAGTGATACAGTAGACAGAGCCTGAGCGAGTGAGGCGCTGACCACGAGAGCTAGTCCACTCACACCCTTCATGGTGACAAACAATCAAAGAAGAATTCCACGAATGAAGAGAAGTGAAGAAACAAAAAGAGACTCGGATGAAAGTGAAAGTGAAAGTAAGGTTTAACCCCTGTCAACAACGTGGTTAAGTATTGGGAAGGCTTGCTTCTTAAATCTAAATCTATCAACGGTACTTGACCGACCACGCGGTAACCGACTCCAAGTCAAAATTACCGGCGGAAGCGACCGGACATTCTAATAGCTAAAAGGAGTTGTTGACGCCTTAATTAGAAATTAAATGAAGGTAAATGGTGGTTGGCGGACTAGAGGAACGCCGCATAGTTAGCGGTGCATTAGTTATGTCGCTAAAATGTGGAAGACGCCGCCAAACGGTCACTTAATTTAGCACGGAAACCGAAGTACGCCGGTGTCTCACTAATGCGGTTAGATTGCCTGATTGCCACCATTGAATTGCTCTTCCAGTAGAATTCTCTGGGCCAAAAGATATCAGTCTCCATAACTTTTCAAATGATAGATCCACGTGTCAAAGGCGCTTTTGCTCTGTAGGCATTGTTTTTATCTGTCATGCTGAATCCCGATCTTGGCCCCCAACTCGGCTCCGGGTCTTCCTGAAAATCGACGCTAAGCACGCAAGATCGCACGGCTCTGCCTAATTCATAACTTGCTAAAGTCCTGGGGTTTAGCGTCGGAGACCCAGCCAATCAAGGACAACCACCAGCCAGAGCCTTACTCGGTACTCGATTTGACTTTCGCAGGATTGCAAGGGTGTACCGAAAGCCACAATATGGAAAACAAAACAAAAGGACTGTTCAAGACTACTTGAATTCCAGCTGCAGGGGTAACAGCTGCAGGGGTAAATAATAGCTACACACCTAGCCCTTGTCCGCTTTCTTTGTGACGTTTCTGTCTAACATCCAGCTGTGAACTTACATTTATTTTAGGGAAGAGAGGGATATGCATCAAAACAAATGGGCTCCAGCGACAACCTACAGCCGCAGGCTATTGGCTTAATATTCGCCTTCCCCTCCCTTGCGACCGTCGCTGTGGCTCTGCGAATTTACAGTCGCACATTGACAAGGTCTTTTGGCGCAGGTTAGTCTGACGTTCCTGGCGTTCGTTATCCTGATTTGGAGTATATGATATTAACTATGAGTAGACGACTGGGTTATTTACATCGCATTAGTGAGTCCTCTCCACCGTGCAGATTATGGGACCATCTCATTGACAGATCGGCAGATCTTATACTGGGCGGAGACATTTACTTCGTATAAAGGTAAGATGTGCAGGTAAACATGCACGGGTAGTCCATGATAAAACTAAGAACCTTCTAGTGATCATTTATACATACATCGGATACAATGTCGCCGATATCCCTAAAGATTATCCTGCGGTTCTCGGTAACAAATATGGCTATGCGGTACGTAATGAGGCTTTTCGAATACAGCGAAAAATAGGACGTTGCTAACAAAGCCAAGACCGAGCTCATATACAACCCTATTCTGGCTCTAGTCAAGACCTCCATCCTCATCTTTCTGTTACGTCTGACCGGCCAGAAAAAGTTGGTACGCCAGGCCATTTGGGGACTTTTAATCTTCAATGGCATCGCCGCTCTCGTTACATTCCTCATCACTGTTTTCCACTGTGTGCCCATCGCCTATAACTGGGATTCAACCGCATATCCCAACGCGAGATGTTTGAACTTTGCCGACTTTGTTACCGGCACAGCTTCTGTCTCCATCTTCACCGATGTTCTATCCTTGATGCTACCTTCCTGGATTGTTTATGAGCTCCAAATGCAATGGAACCAGAAGCTTATGCTGATCGGCATTCTCTCGTTTGGTCTCTTGTAAGTACTTTGATTGATCTCAATTGACTCTATGCTAATTCAACAAGAACTGTTACCGCAGGCATTGTTCGCGTCATTCTCCTTGACAACTACGACCGTCATATCCCGAAGGATTACACCCATACTGTCCTATTTTGTGTGTCTACCATTGAAGTCGGCCTGTCTTTCGTCGCTGCCTGTGCTCCCTCGTTCAAGCCCCTGGTGGCGCGGCTTCTCCCAAAGCTCTTGGGCGGCTCGTCCCGAAGCGGTCGGTACCACAACGACTCCACTGCCCGCAGTCGGGCGCGGAATTACAACCTCGAGAACATGTCCAACTTCACCCGACGGACGAATGATCAGATCCTTACCATTGTCGAGGCCGGGGAGAACGAGCCGGGCTACGGGCCTGCTGAGCCAAGTCCCAAGAATATGATCACCATGACCACGCAGATGGAGGTAACTTGGGACCACCAACCCAATCGCCAGCAACAGCACACCAGCAGTACAGAGAGTCTCGTTCATGCGAAGTAGCCTGTGCTTAGTGGTGCAGGGCAAAGGGAAATTCTTTATGTGTATATTCTGCATTAAGCGGGTATGTGTAAACTAGTAAAATTGGTAGATTATGCAGTGTTTTCATCGACTCCTATGCACCTACCTACACATGTGGATTCTGGAAGCCTCGATGGGACATGAACCTGTCCCCACTGCCCACCATAGGCATATTAAAATATTTTTGAAAATCCCGTTTACACAACCAGAGGGTGGAAAGCCATCGGAATGCACTGTGGGGTCCCTTGATCAATTAGGCCTAGCGCCCGGTCCCGTCTTTGTCCCGCCGAGGTCCGAGCAAAAACATGCACTGGTTCTGGAATATTTCCCCTGGAAAAACGCCACGGCTAGCCACCATCAGTAGGCTTAGTATAATCCGTAGTCACATAAGAGGGCCTCCTTTCAACTAGTTAATTTCCGAGCAGGTCCCGCTACATGACATCAATACTCCGCAAAGAATACTAATTGATTCCCAAATATGTTTGGATAAATTATCCCCCGAATCAACAAAATGATAGCGATAGCTTATCAAAAGATTTTTTTACAACCAAGCCATATCATTGCCATAGCAAAGAAGATTCCCTTTAAACCTTCTGACATGATTGTGATTATATTCCAAGCTTGAACCCCTTACCTGCAATCTTGAATCTGCACAAAACGATCTCGGGAAGCACTCCCAAACAGGATAAAATACCGGTAATCGACTAGATTGAAGCTTACGCTTGGCACCTCGTTATATATAGAGACATCTGGGAATCATTATAAGCTAATTGAGAAGCGGCATTCCCTCGTTTCAGATTTATGTAAGAAATAATAATATCTACAGTAGTCAGTCTATCTTCTTACGAACTTTCGAGTCGGCTAAAAAGGTCCAGCTTTTCTAATACATCTATTTTACGTACTATAAAAGGTATGTGGCTATCAACATGGCTATGAACTACGCGTTACATCTGATAGCCTATAGGGAGAGAAAAATCCAGACTGTCAGAGGTATGACACTCATCCTACCGATGAAGGAAAGCATGCATACTAGAGTGGAGACATAATAAATTAATAATCCTCCCGGCTATTTCCAGTTCAAGTGATTGACTTTTTTTTGTTTTTCAATACGTAGTCTCCATTTCGCCAAGATAGAGCATGAACTTATTAGGCGCACCGATTGGAAAAATTCGACGTGAGTATGGTGTACAAGTGAACACAAATGTGGCCCCAATCTATCGCGATTTTAAAAAAAAATAGGCGCCACGTGTGTTCTGAGCATGGGCTTTCTCTTCGAAGGCAGAACTGCTCCTGTAGATAGCGGCATATTCATTTTTAACTGTGAGCTATCGTATTATTTGTACCAGTCAGAAAGGCGCGCTATGAAAAATTGCAACTATGATAAGTTGTGCAAATTCGAAAATTAGAGTGTACGTAGTCTGAAATTGCAAAAAATAAATAGGAAAGACAAGAGAGGGAAAGAACCGTAAAAGTGGAAAGCCCGGAAAGGGGTACAAGCAATGACGAATAGAAAAGCAATGACGAATGGAAAAGCAATGACGAATGGAAAAGCAATGACGAATGGAAAAGCAATGACGAATGGAAAAGCAATGACGAATGGAAAAGCAATGACGAATGGAAAAGCAATGACGAATGGTTAATTCAACAGACATAGAAAGTGCTGGTCATGATGTGATAAGCTATCATCGAGCAAATTGATTCTATGATTGCGACGTGGGATTATAAAACAAACAGACACACATGTACTAAGGTTTCCCGTCTTATTTTCTCATATTTATCTATTATTAATGTGGTGATCTTAATCTTCCACTCGGCTATGTGCAACTTATGACTCCACAAGGTTAACGGCCGCGCTTTCAGCGCGACCTCGCCCTTGTATGACTCCATAAACAAGCATTGGTGAGACCTAATCAATTATGCATAGGTAATCCATTAAGTAAATAGTCCATAGTAAATCAAGATTCCTCGTACTCATCAGAGCTGGGCGAAACTCTAACTATCTCTTCCCCGCATTCTCAATGTGGGAGCTTGAAAATAATGGGACATTCCAGGACATTAGAGCCCAAGTACATGATATTGGGCTACATATAGAAAAGGACCTACCTACTCTAGGGCTGCTTGAATGCAAGAGCTTTAAAAACCATCTTACAACTTCAGAACGTGGTTGCGCTTATTTTTTGCTTCGTAAGCAAAGATATCCTCTATTTAACGTATTTCACAAGCGTGCGGGCCACCCGATGGAGCGGGCCACCCCAAAACATATAGTGAATGAGATAAAATACAACCTAATATCTCAACAACAAGAGCTTCTATTATAATCTCCTTATAGAAATATACTCCTTAGACTATCTCTAGTACGTCCCTGGAGTTTAAAAGATTTTTATGGCTAAAGAAGGACGAAATATATATTTTGACCCCAAAGAGCTAGATCACGGTGTATTTTTTGGTAACCTTATCAGACCCTTCGTTAAATTATACCAGATCTCAGAGTCTACCTAAGCTTGCCGTAGGGAAACAGTATCGAAAATTTAATACGGTTTACTCGCGTTGTTGTTGAGATATTGAATTACATTTACTATGTGTTTTGGGGTGGCCCGCTGCATCGGGTGGCCCGCTCGCTTGTGAAATACGTTATGTGTTCATCTACTTCAGTGAAAGTGTCCCGTAACGTTGCTCATGTTGGCCCTATTGCAACGAGTGGCATGAGCCAAGTCACACAACAGTGCGACAAAGCTTAAGTCATTTGAGAGTCAAGTCTATTGATATTCCAAATCAACCTCTCTGGAGATCATTCAAATATGCGGTCACCCTTTGCACTAAAATGCGCCTCGGCCTTGCTTGGTCCGGGTCACTCAACTGATGGGAGGCATTGGGAATAACCAAACTGCGAGGATCCCAAAACTCCTTCCCGTCAGCATCAATAGCTCTCTCCCACCGTTGAAGAAGCGCACCCTTATTGACCCAGGGAGGAACGGACTGATCTCGGCCCGAATATAGTACCAACAGTTTCTGCTTCAAAAGCCCTCTAGCCCCGACCATTCCAAAGGTCTCAGCAAGGCGCTCATCGCTCAAGTCCGAGCTAAACAGATCATCTTCCTCGGGATTCTCTGGGCTGTCGGGACTAGTCAAGCTGAGAAAGCGCCGACTGCTCACTGGCGTGGAGGTGGAATATCCAATCCGACCAGTCACTGACAACGGCACAAGCGTGTCCACTGAATTACCATCTTCATATGTATTGTTCCGTGCTTCTTCGACCGCTTTATTGTAAATATCACGCATCTCAGCAGGGCTGTCTCGCTCAGTCCCATCCGTCAAAACCTGAAGAATGCCTTCACGATCCGATACCGGGGATTGCATGATGGCTCCATCGATAGGAGTGCGTGAAATAGGCTTCCAATCGCGATCGAGAACAGGATGTGCTGGTCGTGGGTTCGGGCAATTAATGTAATGCATTACATCTTGACAGCCTGTTGAAGAACCCATAACAACCACCTTTCCAGTGCCATAGTGAGGCTCCTTATATTCCCGAACATAGTTCACACATTGCGCAATCTCGTCGATATCCTGGCCAAGTCGGCCCATGCCCCAGCCCCCGTAGGAACAACCCAGTACTAGGTTAAAGATTGTCCATTCTGTTCCTTCCAGTGCCGATGCCAGATCAGCTACATATTCCACTGTACCAAGGCCATCGCCTAATCCGCCAACAAAGATAAGGGTATGTGGTTTGCGGGGGGAACCGCGGGTGTGTTCGAAAGCGACAAGCCGGGAAGTCTGCAAAGGGGATGCACAAATATTAGTGATTGAGTAAGCCATTTGAATTTGGTGGAGGATCTTTGTGGAATGACTCACAATATGGTGCAGAACACCTGGCTGGCCGCGGGCCAGGGAGCTAGAGGCTTTGATCTGCATGTCGATAGTTGGTAAGGAAGAGAAGGAGGGAGTTCGGATCAGATAAGACAGTCCATCAGATAACCGGTAGCAGAGGAATCGGAGGATAACGGGCACGTTGGATGCCTGATTAAAGAGGCACCAATAACCGCACCAGCGCACATCCAGCTCCCCTAGACTGGTTCTAGAGTGGATGATGTTTTACCTAGTGAGTACTCTCAAGCAAATTCTGCTGTTGAAGGTGCTGGACATTTAATTTGCCTCCTGCACTTTGGAAGCTGAAAAGGTGGAAAATGGAGGTTGGTCAGGGATACCGAACAACTTTATTTGGCTCTGCTGTTCCTAGGTCCCTCCCTTTACCTGTCACTGGGCATTCTCCATTGTCAGACCTGACGGCATAGCGGCCAATTCTTGAGGCAAATGCAATGGGTAAAGTATTCAGTCCTCACTACGAGTACAGATCTGTCAATATACATTGTCGGGTCGGGAGCTTTGCCGTTCTTTCCTAGCCAGATTCCAAGGTTGGACAAGGCCGTGCATTTCAATGGCATATCTATAAATTTCTTTTGCAACGAGATCATGTGTCATGTCCATGTAACCCGCCGTCTAAAATCCAAGATTCATTGTCATCATTGTCATCCTGGACACGCCGCCAAGTCTGTTTCGGCTCCGCTCTCGCAAATTTCTCAACAGTCTTGCCATCTGGAGCGTGCCATACGGGTCGCATTAAACCACCAGCCGCAAGAAGCGGATTCCTACTAAATGCATGCCGGCCAGAAGACTCTGAGGGCTCTTGTGTATCTGCATCCAGCAGGTCCGGCTCATTGGGCTCCGGTGTTGACTCCACAGCCGCAGATTGATAGACCCGTCGCACTTTTCCACCCTTGATATCAAGACTCATCACGGTCTTCTTCTTTTCCCACTCCGGACGGGCCTTTGCTTCCAGCTCGCGCTGAATGCGCTGCTGCTTTTTCAGTGCGAGTGCCCGCTGTGCTGGGCTCATCCACAGCGTCGTGGCGGTATTGGGGGTTTCAAAGTCGGCCGCTTCGTCGACCACTTTGGTTCGCTGAGCATTTTGCGCTTGGAAGTTAAGCAATTTATCGCGGTGGGCTCTGGCGGCGTCAAGTTTGCTAGAAGTCACCGATTCAGAACCAGAGAGTGGTCGCGGTCCACCCTCGTGGTGAACGCCTTCGTTGTGAGCGCGCATTTTCTCTTGGCCACGCTCATTTCGAAGTTCTCGGATCATACTTTGCACTTCTTCGGCGGATAAAAGCGATGTGCCGCAGAAGGAGCATGGTTGCAACCCTTCCAGTGCGCAGATTATTTTTCCGCAGTTGAGACAGTTTGGAGCAGGTTCGAATAACGGGTGGATCGACGCATAACACGTACATTTTCGTCTCTCCGTGCTCAGGCCAGGGTTGGTAGACACCTCCAGGGCAGCGATGGCGGCCGTCAGGTCGGAAATATTGTTGGTTGTGAGAGATTCGCTTCCCTTAGAAGGTTTGGCGTTGCCGGTCTTTCGAGTTGTTTTGCTCGGTTTGGACCGCACATTTGGCAGCATATCTGACAGCACCGGGCCAGAAGCTGACGGGGGATGTTTTGAAGAGGTAGGTATCGGCGACTGGTTGCGCGATGGCGCGGACGAGCCAGACACAGAGGCCTCGGGCGTTGGTACTGACAAGGGGGGCTTGCTGGCAGACATGTAGTCTTCCACCTTCTCTGCCTTCATGTACGCTCCTCTTATATTGCCGTAGTTGTCTGGACGGCGTGGCGGACCAGCGCTGTGCAGCGGTTTCTTTTCCTTTTTGTTTCTGCCCCGGGGACGATCATGTTTAACAGGTAGCGCGTTGGGGGTATAGGGAGTCGCCGACCGCGTATCACGACGTGCATTGAATGAGGTGATGAATTCCAGGGCTGCGGGGGAGTCGCCGAGAAGATTTTTGAGATGATCGGCACAGTCATCTTTGGCGAGGCCTGCTGAATAGTCGACGATCTGCTTTAAAGATTCCTCATCCAGCGGGAGGAGTTGGCTGAGCCGAGGCAAGGCCCAAGTTGCGAGGTCGGCCATGGGTTTATACGTAGATGCGAAAGGTTGAAAAAGCGAATGCGGAGATACAAAGTGGGACCGCGTGGTGTGAGATTGCGGGAAGTTCGGAGGTGCAGAGGTGAAGCCGGCGCAGCGGGCGCATGGACATTGAAGGATTTGGCAATGTATGGCAGGGCTTCCCAGTCTAGCCTGCAGAACTTGGTCTCTTTCACGGAAACTGACGTTATGCTTGGGAGCTGGTCGTGCCAAGGAGACCCACGTGAACTATTATCTTGCCCCTTACCGCCTCTACAACTGGGCTGTAATTTCTCTTGGCAGCGCATTTGGCACCGCTGTCAGGCATAACAGTCATGATGTGAAGCGAAGCGGACCATGACAATAAGTTCTTGCACATTCTCCCCGTGTATGTAATTTCTTTTCTCTATCAGCTCTATAAAGACAATGACCAGGTTAAGATATTGGTTCAAAAGAAAACCGACAAGACTTGAAGAAGCCAGGGATTTCAAAGGGCGAGACAGGCAACCCTGGCTGAAAGATTAGAGAAGAAGAGGCTGCATCGCCCCTTGCGAATCCAAGTACCCACGCAAGTATGATTATTCATCATTGAACCTTTCCTCTCGAGTCCACGGGCCAGATCTCCTCTATAACCCCGTTGCGGTAGGCATAATAAAAGTCGTGCAAGTTGACGGTAGGGTCAATATGGCTAGGGACCATTTCCACACGATCACCAACAGCCAGATCAGGCGTACCATTGCTCCAGCTAAGTGATCCTTGTTCATCACCCAGAACTCCGTAAATGTACCTTGGGTCTTTGCACTCGGCTAGGCCACTATCCGTTGTGAGTGACTTCAGTCCCGTGTCGATCGTAACGGTTTGCGGACCTTGTTTGCTCAAAACGGTGGACAAAAGGGTAAGGCTGTTGGAGTAGAAGGTGCCTACGGCATTTCGGTAATCGGTGTCCATGAAGATGAAAGAACCGGGTTGGAGCTCTGTCACACCAGGAACTGTTGCACAGAATTCCGCTGTGCCAGTTCCTCCGGTAGTAACGACCTCCATGGTGAAGCCCGCCTTGCGTAACAAATTCGCCGTGTCGGTAAGGATTTTCATGGACTGTAGGCACTGGCTTCTGCGGTCCTCTCTATCATGCAAATGCTGCAAATGGCCCTCGTAGCCTTGCACTCCGATCAATTTGAGATGCTTCAGCCCGGCAACATGCTGCGCTAGGGCCATGGCTGGATCACCCGGTTTGACACCCGTGCGGTGAAGGCCAACATCAAGGTCAATCAGAACAGTGATCGGCTCTTCGATGCCCGACACTTTCAGGGCCTCATTGATGGAGGTTGCACCAATTTCACTGTCCACGACGATTCGAATGCTCCGGTGATTGCGATACAGTTCCACAAGCCTCTTCACCTTCGCGGGGCCAATGATCTCACATGTGATCAGGAGGTCCTCGAACCCAGCCGCCGCAATAACTTCCGCCTCGCTCACTTTTGCGACACAGCCTCCCTTTGCTCCAGCTGTTGCCAATTTGTTTGCCACGATTGCGCTTTTTGTCGTTTTGAGATGAGGACGAATGTTCAATCCCGTTGGAAGGAGCTTGTCCATTAACTTTTTGATATTGGCCTCACACAGATCAAGGTCAACAATCATTGAAGGCGTATCAAGGCTGTCGATGTGATCACCGACCTTAGGGGAATACATGTTTGTTGATGCCGAGTGGCTAGGCAAAGGAATGGAACAAAACCGTCACAATAGAACTCGTCCAGACTAATGTTTAAGGAAGAGTAGTTGCTGTTACTAGAAAAGATACCCCTTTTTATCCCTTGCTGTGTGGGATCACCATAGAGTCAGGCGGGGTACAAGGCCTGAGCGCCTACCAGAAATTCCGGATTGTGCCTAAGGCACCCGTTCTGGGCGTTGAATGTTCCAATTGAACCTCAAGTGGGGGAAGGCAGACAAATCAAGATAATGCTTGGTAAGGTCGTGAAACGAGCTGGGTGGTTCGAGGAGTCATGCGAGATGAAAGTGCGGGGAATTCGGTGCTAGTCCTCGGAGGGGCAGTCGCAAAGGGTAGATCGCCAAGTTGGAATTGCTTGGCAACCAGTCCAGGGGAAAGCTGATTCTTTCAAAACAAAGGGAGAAGCTGGAGTTGCTCTTTAAACGATCCAAGGAAAGCAAGTGGAGTCGTTGATTCACGTCACTCACTTGGCCATTTGTGTTGTCTGTAATGTTGGAGTCACGGCACCACGTGACATACTCGAAGGGCTTGTAGTCTACGCCTCTTTAGATACTGTGACCAAATGGAAGGTTGCATCTGGTCTTTAGAATGTCTATCTTCGTACGCATTGCATCAGTGTTCACTCCCACCATGTTCATCGTAGAGTCTGGGCAGGGGGATCTAGGATGTCCATATTCCGTGGCATTGTAGATTATAGTCTCATCGATAAGTCACGCGATAAAGTATCTTTCTCTCAGTTATAACATCTTTCTCTCTAGACATTGGTTAACTGATCAACCTTTATGTACACAGAGTAACCCGCCCCGGGGCAAACTGTTAAGTCTAGACTGCTGTGGGCCAACCAAACAAGCCAGCGCGGGTAATAGTAACCAATCGGAAACCATTCTCGGAACCTCGATATCCACTTGGCATCAGCCCTGGATTCAGTGTTGGGTTCATTGCTTGTTTCTTACAGGGGTCTGGAGGCAAGATTTCTCCTTTCGTTTTGGTTTCTTTTACTATGTAGGGTTTGTAGGTGACTATGATTCAACAGTCAATTTCCACGTCCGCTCGAACCGTAGTCGAAATGAAAGTGTTGTCATGGGAGTCATTGCCAGACAGCACTTTGAGCTCCTAGAGAGGCAATCGGGCGCTTAGCCCATTGAAGCATGAGCAAGTTAGAGCTCTGCTGCATCGAAACGGCTTCTATTGTGGCTAAACTTCCCTCATTCTGAAGTTTATGAACGTTTCCATGTGACCCAGGCGTTTGGGGCTCGCCTTGATATAAGATCCCGAGCCTCTTGTAGCATGTGGGCTACCTCTCTTGTGTGCGCTACATGTCTTTCTAATCGAGATTATCTGCGGGCCAGTGGAGGGAGGTCGATATCGTTTTCGACTGAGTTGGCTTCTTTCCAACCTAACAACGGCTTAAGACTAAAGTGAGTACATGGACTGTACAGTATATATATTTTGCATGCTTGGGCTATTTGATTACGACTGTTGAATCGATGAGGCCACTTCCTGTTCGAGGCGGTAGTAGTCCACTTGTGATGACCATGACCTGACCTAATAGATGATTCACCCTTATACTCCATCTAAGGGCCTTATAAAGGTTTAATACTGTGTTCCTGGTGGATTATTCAAATAAATCCAAAAAAACCCCCCTATAAAAGTGACCGCCAGGTACATACCTGATAATAGGCTGGCTACTGCACCTAAAACGTCATATTCGTACATCTGGTGGCCAGAAACTGCATACTCTTGCCCCATCAACTTGAGTAGATTTTTTAGTTTGGGGGGTCTCACTTCCAACCAACCATGAATGGTTTTGTCGAACACGAAATACAAGTAAATAATTGAATTCATGGCACTTGATGCCCTAATATTCAGGCGTTAACATTCCTTATGCCTGACAGATAAGGGACTAGATCTAACCTGATTTGGGCTAGTGGATCTCATATCGGAAATAATTGTTCCGTTGTCTTCATTTTCCATTACGACGGGCTACAGATTAGCAACAGTTCAAACTCCAAGAATTTTCTGCCGGACTAGAGCCAATTTCGAGCTATCATTTGGTGATGGCAATCACAGGCGCCGCTTGGAGCAGAGCCCTGCGCAGCCGACTGCTCCAGCAGAGACTCGCGCTCGGCAATGCTAGTCAACATTTTGAATTGCGAACTGCATCCAGAATCTTGCGAAGCTATACGACAGCAACTGCCGGTCAAGATGATCCACATATCAGCGCGGACCAGGATACCTCCCTCGCATCTCTATCTGCACCGCGATCAACTTTCCCTGACAACGCCTCCGGTCGGAACTCACGTCGTCTCAAGGTGTCTTCGGGTGAGTCTGAAGCCAGGAAACGTGAGGATTTGTTGATGGAGATTGCGCAACAGTCCTCATCTCACATCAATCGCAAACATGTCCGTCTGGAGATGGAGTGGGTACAGGATCCGCTTCTATTGGCACAGCGAGTCTCGACGGCCCTAAGAGGTGGTGATCCTGCCATGGCGGTAGCACTCGCTCGGGAGGCAACAAAGCAGATCCCAGGGACAAAGTTTGTCGTGGCATGGAATCGAATTTTTGGGTATTGTTTTGATATGGGCCACCCAAAGCCGGCCCTGAGGTTTTTCAACGATGTAAGTTTCACCCGGCATCCATCTAACGGTGGTCTTAAGACCCCACTCGCTGACCTCAATCCCGACAGATGAAAAAGCGCGCTGGAAAACCAAACCCCCAAACGTTCACCATCCTCCTCATGGGCCTTCGGAAATCCTCCAAAGTTCCTGGCTTTGACATTGTACGAACTGCGGAAGCCATTTATAACTCAATTTCTGCCGAGAATTCCGGAGTTGAGCGTGACATAATCCATACCAATGCAATGCTATCAGTCTGCCAATACCACGGTGATATGGACTCTCTTTGGCGCATTGCTGGGAGTCTTCCGGAACAGGGACCAGGAGCGCCGGACATGTCAACTTATACGGCCATCCTGGGAACGCTCCTGTTTGCCCATCGCAACAAAATCAAGACCATGGATGCCAGTCAGATCGACCATATATTTTCTCTCAAGGCTCAGCTCATCAACGATGGCAAAAGGATATGGGCCGATATTCTCTACCGATGGCAAAATGACGGCCTACCTCCTGACGCTCATGTGGTGCAATCCATGGCTGCACTGCTGCTAGAAGGTGCCAGTGATCATGATTACTACGATGTTTTCGCTCTCTATCATCAAACCATGGGAATCCCCATTTTTTCAAAACGGCCACCAGAAAGCGCTAGAGATACGCCTACCTCCACCTGGAAGATGAGACAAACTAAAATGTCTGAGCCGCCTGTGGAGGAGGACGTTCCATTCGTGGATGAAAACAATCGGACCTTGAAATTAGACAAGGATGGGCAAAAGGAGGAAGAGCCGTCCATTGAGAGAGAAGAGGAAAATTTCGACTCGCTCTTTGATCCCCTTCCTATAGGACCTGTACCGGAACTCCAGCCAGGGAACAAAGACCTTACAGTAATTCAGGAGGCTTGTCTCAATATCACTCAGGGGAGTAAATCTGGTTATGAGTACTGGAAACATTTGACATCGGGATCAACATCACCACACATCGAGCCTGACGAGGTCGCTGCCATCCAGTTCCTGCGCCTTCTCCGAATATCACGAGCAAGCAACAAGGCCGTTGAAGTTGTTCGGGGCCAGCTGATCCAGTCGGGGCAAATTAGCGGGAAAATCTTTCATATTGCTCTGTCTGTCTGTCGTCGTGACAAACACAATCATTCGTGTCTTATGCATGCGAATGAAATCATGGATATTATGGGCAAATCTTTACTTCTCCCTGATCTCCGTGCGCTCCAGGGATATTTGGAATTGGTTCAAGCACTATCTCAACAACCAGATATCCTCATGTATTTGAGAGGCTTGGGCATCGAAGAAGGGCGCGAGGCCCGTACCTTGCGGACCCTGGGAAAGAAATTGCAAGCGAAGCTTCACCTCTTTGCGCTTGCGACTCTTCGACCTCATTTCGCTCACCTCCATGAGGCCATGGAGCGAGGAAAGCCGCTTTCAAAAGGCCGTTGGGACTCGGCTCGCAATGAGAACTCTGTCCCGGGGGCCCTGGCTGTCAAGATAATGGCCCGCATTCGTCTGATGATCGACGAAGTCTTGAAATCCGAGTACTCAACTTTCGTCTCAAAGGCCGACCGCAGAGTGCTCGAATCAGAGTCCACCATGCTGAAGAAATATTCCAATCGGGATGTCATTATGAGGTTGAACTCACAAACTGTCTTTGCTACACAACAGCAGCGCAGCATGTACCGCGCAAGAAGATCCATTCCTGCGGTGTCGGGTACATGTGAACTTGATGAGCAAAGAACTGAGGAGGCATTGGATTCTTCTTCTCGTCCGGCTGAATCGGAGGCTTGATCTCTCGGTTTTCTTCTGGGTGACTGACTTTGCCACGTTAATGAAGTCTTCGCCCCTGTACAACATCTGTATATCAACTGGTTTCGTGGCGTTTTGGTTTGCATCTGTACAAAGAAGCATGTATCATTCTCTGCTTGGCATATATAGAATACTTGATCAATACCACTGCATATTTGTACTTTACTTAAGTTTCAGGAGGACGTTTGAAGATTTCAAGGGGCCCTTTGGGGGAAGCTAACACGTTTGCTATCATTATTGACAAAAGTACGCTCTTGGACAGTGAAACGACTTTTGAGAGGAATGAATTGCTTATCGTGGAATACGCCATGCTTTCGTATATATGTCTTTCTAGTCATTCAATTCCCATGTGCATTGACAACATGCAGTTTATACTTTGTTTTCTTGACTTCCCAGCTTGCTAAGCTGATTGCGCTTTTTGTTGTTTTTTGATCCGAATCGTACTTCAATGACTCATCGAAAAGCTCGGATGATGGTACCAACAATTTTTTGCCTACAATGACATGAAATTGAGATAGGCGATTTTTCCCGAGTCCTTGGTTAATCCATGTGCCTTTATCACCCAGTGGACCCGATCCCCGTTCACGGGTAAGCTTATGGACTTGATATTCGATCATTCTGCAGTTGACACTGACCAAATTTTTACGATACCTATATGCTTGACTATTTACATCATATTCACGAGTAGCTGCCATGGCCTCCCTGTCCCATAACCATGCCAGAATACGAATTGAATTGCCTAGGGAGGAATGGATGGTGCAGAAGTCCCCAGGTGGCAGTGTCGCAGAGTCCATGGGTTTATATAACTTAATCAACCTGGAGCCTGACGCCCAGGAAGCAACATTCTGTATAGAGGAAATTGAATGAAAAAGGGCAGAATTCAAGAAAAACCAGGTTCCAAGATTGTCGCGTCTGCAGAATTGGCTCGTTATCAGGTTGATTGTACAGTATATTTTTGACAGGTGGATAACACCTTTGCCAAACCATGCAAAGTTCCTTTTTTCTTTTTCCTTCTTTTCTTTTTGGCATCCACTTTTGACCTTCTGAGGGCTTCATCGTAATCAATTGCAGAATCAAATATTTCAATGGCATGGTGACCCGGGAGAACTTGCATTGTCGATATGGGCAACGTCACGTCATTATACCCTGGATGGTGGAACGCCATGTGCGGAGATCATGACAAGCTGCCCCTCGTTTATGTTGCCGATTCCCGTGGAAGAATGTGCATGTCCTGTAAGAAGTACACCACGTCCTCGTTTCCAGGCCGTTTTGATCAGCTTTTCGGTGATATTCCGGTCAATTGCGCGAGATGCGCATATGATGGCAGAATTCATTCATGTGCGGAGTTTTAAAAACTTTTGTTCGACCCCGGAGAATACAATAAATTCATAGATCAACTCACGGATTTAAACCGCGGCGGGAGAAAGCTAGAAAAAACATTATATTGATCACAAGATAAGCTTTGAACAATCATGGATGATATCAGCTTATCCGATGGGCAGAAATCTCTCTCCAATGTCAAAAAAAAAAAAATCCTGCTCAATGCGTTCGATATATCCACAGTGGGACATTTGTCCCCTGGCCAATGGAAGGTGTGTTTGATGCTGTCAATTTCGGGGAGATCGTCACCTGACAAGTATGGAATTCAAAAGACAAATCGGCCACGAAGCGCAAACTTGATTACTGGATCATCCTAGCTAGACTGCTGGAACGCGGTGGTATCAACGCCTTGTTTCTGGCAGATACCACAGGAGCACACGAGACCTACCAGGGTAGGGCAGACGTGTGTGTTCGGTGAGCTGCCCAATGGCCCATGACAGATCCAACGATTGTGAGTAGACTGGGGATACAGAGCATAGTCAGTCCAGCACTCAGCATTCTTAGCCAATCTTTGCAATGGCCGCGGTGACAAAAAACCTTGCCTTTCGGCATAGCAGCCTCCACATCATTTGAACAGCAATTTTTGCTTGCCAAGCGATTTTCTACCTTGGACCACAGGCTTTGGGAAAGCTCGTGGGCATCAGATGCACTCTTTCTCAATCCGAAGACCGACTCCTACGTCGATCCAGAGAAGGGCCGCACAATCAATCACAAGGGAAAGTAACACTCCTTGAATACCAGACATATCGTCGATCCGTCTCCTCAGCGCAAATAATTCCTCTTCCAACCAGGTACCTCGTCCGCCGGAGCGAGCTTTGCCTCGACTCGCGCGGAAGCCATCTTTGTTCCTTCACATTCACTGGAGATCCTTCGACCAAAAATTGAAAAAGTTCGCAAGCAGGCATCGGAGCTAGGTCGTGATCCACAATCCATCGAATTCTTCGGCACATTCACGCCCATCGTGGGACGAACTGACAAAGAAGCACTGCAGAAATATGAAGAACTTAGGAAGTACGCCACCGTGGTCGACGGATTGGTTCTCTTTAGTGGCTGGACAGGCATCGACATTTCCAATATTCCCTTAGATCAAGAGATCACAACAGCCGACTCACTGGAGGCTGGAAAGGTGACCAGTCTTCTCGACTCGTTATTCAGTACCAGTAAGGACGTTCCACGATGAACCCCTCGTATTGTTGCGGAGAAAGCTGCTATTGGTGGCCTTGGGCCAGTGGCTATTGGGAGCCCACAAATCGTTGCGGATGAGATGGAGCGCTGGATTCGTAAGGCAGACCTCGATGGTTTCAACATTGGTTGTGTGACCACACCAGGTACCTTTGAAGATCTGATTGATTTGGTCATTCCGGATTTACGGCGGCGAGGTCTCTATCCTGAGGATCTGGCTGACTCCGATGAACCTCTCACTGCTCGGGAGAAGATATACGGCCGAGGTCAGAAGGATTTAGGTGACGATCGTCCGGGAGCTCGCTACAAATACGATGTGTATCAACAGGATCCGCCATATGTTGAACAATAAGTTGGCTGGTTTTCAAGATTTTGTGGGATTAGACATTCAACAGTATGGTTTAGCCCGCATGGAAGTGTTCAACATGCCTGCTGCGAGTCATTAAAACAATCCGACAAATTGACCGATGAATTTACACGGATCACTTGATTGTCAGACTAATGTTCAAAGAAGCACCTTAGTCAACTTGAGGAATTGTTGCGAAATGAAATGTTTCAGATGACAAGATTAACTCGATACATACAAAACATGGAGAAATGCGGGTGATTTGGTAATATTACCATGTTATGACCAGCACGGGACTGTAATGCCACTCTAGCCTCTCCGGGAGAGCTTCCAAGCCATCAACAACTACGTTGTACTTCACCTGCCACACTACTTGGTGCTTTAATCCTCAGGCAATGCTTTTTCAATAATACCTATTCAACCGCTTCTTCTTGATCTCTCATTCAAAACCATTACGAACAATTATGGCGACCGTGCAGCACGGCCAGTCGCACGGTGACTTGCATGACGACGATTCCCTTCTAGACGATGACCTGATCGATGCCGATGATGGTGAGTATCTGTTCCCAATAGCTTATTTTGAGGATGCTTTCAAATTCGTTACTCATAATAATATACTGGCTCTTTAGCTATCGAAGCCGATGACCCCCTACATGAAACCTCCGACACAGCCCCTCTCCGAGGCAACATTGAATCCGACCCCGGCTCGCGAGGGGGAAGTCGATCGGGCTACGGAAACTATCTTACATCCTCCATCCCAGGTGAAGATCGTCGTGCGACCCAAAATACCATTGATGAATCTGTTTGGGCCACCTTGTCGCGCGACTTGGTGGCCGTCGGGGAGAAGATGCGCCAGGTGCTGTGGCCTAAGTACCTCCTGGGAGGCATGATGCAACGCGGCGGTGGTGGTATCGGTGGTGCTGCAGAGAGAGGCGAGGCTTCTGGATTTGGTCATAACCTGCGCGGGCTCGTTGGACGCTGGCCGGATGCCGATGTTGTCTTGCAGGGTGGAATGAGTGATGGGCTGCGTGACTGGGACCTATGGTATGTTACGAGTGTTCTCTTTTTATGGTCAGTATGGTCTTTCAGGCTAATGATGTGTATCTCAAAGGGGGCCGTTAATCTTTTGCTTGGTGCTGAGCTTGTTCTTGTCTGTCGCCAAGGGTGACCAATCATCGCTGGTTTTCTCGGGTGTATTCTGCATTGTCTGGATTGGAGAGGCAGCTGTGACTCTTCAGATCAAACTACTTGGTGGTAAAATGTATGTTCTGCTGACTTTTGTCCTCACATCGATTTGCTATACTAACACTGGCTCGCTTTGCAGCTCTTTCTTCCAGTCGATCTGCATCATCGGTTACACACTCTTCCCACTCGTCATCGCTGCTCTGCTCAGCGCACTTGGACTGCCTACTATCGCCAGAATCCCTGTTTATCTCGTCCTCGTGGCTTGGTCGTTGGCGGCAGGAGTGAGTATCTTAGGTGGCTCAGGTGTTGTTCGGAACCGGGTAGGCATTGCCGTGTACCCACTCTTTGTGTTCTACATTGCGATTGGATGTCTTTGTTTTATTAGTTAATGGTACAGAGAGAAGTGCTCGTTTGGCCATCAACGAGTTTCGGATACGGTGAATTCGGACTTAACTGGGACACTGGAGGAAAACATCGAATGAAATTGCAATGCAAACATGTATACATATCTTTCAACAGCCTTGGGCTATGTTCTACTGTGGCTTTCCAAATACCTAGGTACTTGGAATGATCTTCAATATGCTTTCCTGGATTGTTGTTGCCTTTTTAGTCTGTATATGTTGCGTGTTGCCTAGGTAGTATATGCTGCTCAATATGCGCTGGAAACGAGACTTCAGCTATTGGTAATTCCAATAAGGGTAAGAGAGATCAGGAACCGTGTGTGTAGAGGGTTTATTTACTTCCCATAAATAGAGCGCTATCAACGTGATAAACTCGACTTCCTTCACTGGTTTTCTATTGTTGATACCTTGTAAAGTGAAGCCCAAATTCACTGCGGGGCGAAGCGGTGACCGGAACAACACTCAGACATCTTCGCCGCTTTCCAACTTCATCTTTTCTCCCCCAACCTCTACCTCCTCGACTTCGATTCTGTTCGTCTGAATCGCGTCTATTCTCGAAGCTCCTGCTTTGTTCCAATTCATTCAAATCCTAACCCTTGTCTACTTACGAAAATCTACAATCCTTGCACTAGTCTCCACCATCTCCGTTACTTGAGAGCTTGTCATTGTTATGGCTCCCATGGATGAACCGGTGCCCACGATGGGTGAGTAATCTTTATACCTTGCCCGATCTTTGTGTGCCTTTTCTCGACTCTACTCTGCCAATCTGCACATTCACTGGCATCGTATGGCAGCTGTGAATATATGCCGACAGGTGGGATCTCGAGGGAGCGATAACTTCCTATATCTCCGGCGCCAGCTGCGCATTCTTCCCATGCCTGCCACTTGCAAACTGCCTATCTGCTGTGCGGTCTGAATAAGTTTATGTTTTGCGGTGATAATCTTTGCATAAGCTGACATTGCTTTTTGTTTTGTTCCAGCAACCGGCGGAGAATCCCCACCTTCCGACAACGATGGCGGCGAGCGTCCTGTTCGCAAGCAACTCAAAGAAACCTCCATCGAATCCGCCCCCGTAAACGCCAACGAGAACGCCAGCAGCCGCAAGCGCTCTTTTGAAGAATCCCGCGACCACCATGATGACCCCTGCGAGAACGGCGAGAACCGACGAAAGCGATCGCGAGAGGGCACACCATCAAATACTGATAATGCCGAATTGAATACGGGCAAGCATACAAGCTCTGGCGCCCAGTCATTGAATGTGAGTGAACACGACATACCAAATATCCTTTGGGACGCCCCCCTGGAATCGGCCCTAGATACCCCACGCCATGTATCATTCGGAGCACCCTCCATCACTTCCCTCAAGGACATCTTGAATGATCATCTGGACTTCGACGCATATTATGGCGAATTTATTGAAGATCGTCTCTGGGCTCTCAAAAACGTGGAGATGGGTTTGGAAGAGGCCGACCAATTCCATGCGAATCAAGAGAGATTCTTCTTTGAAGAGCTCGAGCGTCTCCAGGAGGCCCAGTCGTATGTGGAGATGGCTCAGGAGCGCACCAATGAGGAGCGGGGCTCAATAAAAGCAGCACAGGCTCTACTTGCGTGGGAGAAGGACCGACTCGAGAGGGCGCTCAGATCAATAGAAGAAGAATCTTCCCCGCAGAGCCCTGGAAGTGACCACCCAGCCAGTCTCTCTCCTTCGACGCCCAAGTCCAGCACCGAGATACCGTTCCAGACAGAACAATCTTCGCCCCATGGCTGTCCTGGAAGCCCTGAGCCCTGGGCAGCATGTCTTCTTCCTGGAGACCCCCACCCCGCCACCCTGTCCAATGGTCACTTCAAATCGCGCCCAGCTCCAAGAAGCCAGAGCCCTCCTGAGTCCAACCTGGGGATCTTGACCCCGGATCCCTCGGTGGCAGATAAATACACACAAACTACTATAATCAGCATACAGACCCCACCGGACATGCACAAAGAGATTTATAAGCCAAATACCAACGAACTCTCACAGGACCAGACACCCCCCACGATCGAACCCACCCACGAAACCATGGATGACGGATCGGCAAAATCTCTGGCGAAGAAGAGAAGCCTCGAGCAGCTTGAGGAAGGTTCCAAGAAAGCGGATATGACGAACGACTCACCACCATCCCCTGCTGGTCCCGCCGATGCCAAGCCGACTTCCGATGGAGAGCCCGAGAAGAAGAAACATCGTGATAACTCCCAGGAACGGGATACCAAGACCGATAATGTTTGTCCATCTCTTTTTTCACCTCGTCAACATGCTAATGCTCTTTTCACGCAGGTATTTGCTGCAAGCGCCTTTGGGAAAGCAGCCGCGTCTCCATTTGCCTCGCTAAACATGATTCAGGATTCAACGAAAGACTCTCAAAAGCCTTCTCCTGCCTCTGCATTCGCCTCGTCTAGTCTGGCCGCATTTGCAGGCTCTGAGAGTTCTCCGTTTGGTGCACTAGGAGGCTCAACTCAATCTGTCTTCAAAACCGCCGCCTCTGGTACAGGGAGCTTTGCAACTCCCTCCGTCTTCAACTCTGTCGCCTCTGGTGCAAACAGCTTTGCAGCCCCCTCTGGCACTTCTACTTTCGGTGCCCTGGGAAGTGGATTTACAGGTGTTGGTGGTGGATTCGGTGCTGCTGCTAAAGCTGGTGGCCTGACCAGTTTTGCGTCCAATAATGCCCCGGTCACTCTCGGTGAACACAAGGCCAAGCCTCTTGGTGCCGAAGATTCCGAAGGCGACGAGAGTGACAGCAATGATGAAGACAACACGAACACATTCGAGGCGTCCAAGACCGATGAGCGTTTCTACGCACAGAACAGTATGCTTCCGTACACCTCCTCTCTTCAACTTTACTGTGCTAACTGCGTTTACCTAGTTGAAACTGGCGAAGAAGAGGAAGAAACCGTCTTCTCGTGCAAGGCCAAGCTGTTCCATTTTCAAAACAAAGAGTGGAAAGAGCGTGGTATTGGTACTTTCAAAGTCAATGTTCGCCAGGGCGCCGATGGCAAACAAACTGGCCGTATGCTCATGCGGGCCGATGGCGCCATGCGTGTGATTCTGAACGGCCCGATTTTCAAGGGCATGAACTATGGAGATGCAAAGAATGAGGCGCCAATCAACAAGCAAATTCTTCTTGCCAGCGTGGAAGAAGGTCGCACCGTTCCTCTATTGTTGCGTGTAAGTTCACTTTCCCCTCTAGTCTTTTGATGTACTGACATTTCTTTCAGACTGGAAACGAGTCATATGCGAGGGAACTTTACGATATTATCGATGATCTACTGAAGGACTCAGATGCATAAAGTCAACTTTGCCCATCGAGAAGTATCAAGAAGCGGAAAGAGTACAGTGAGGATTAGGTGCACATTGGAGTTTACGCGTTTACTGTGTGTGATATCTCATTATTAGCGTTTATCAATTTATTCACATGTTTTTGCCGCTTGCAAGATCATTTGTTCAGTTGGAAGAATGTCCGGTGTCCGATCTCGCTGCGGCAATTTCGAAAGTCGCGTTTGACCAAAGGAGTTGGGTTTCTTTTTAACTCCAATGCCCTTTGTTGTTGACTTTTCGCAGACACAAAATGGTGGAAGAAATTGGCATCTCGACTCCCATCTCTCTCACATTCCCCAAGACGACCTACGTCTCAAGCCAACTCATTTGCATCGATGTCCACATATCTAATTTCCATGATATCCTAGACGACCAATTAAACATCCACCTGCGCATATATTGCCAAGACAATCTTCAACCATCTCTAATCACGCGCTGATCCTATACAATCATCTATGCACTATACCCGAGCCAAGACAAGCGATCATCGCCCGCCTCAACCATTTGACATCCTCTCCACCATACACAAACGCACCCTCTTCCCCGCATATTTACTGGGGGAACTTCCCAAGCTCGGACTCCTCCTCGCAACAGAAGACAATTCGAGACGTTTGATCTCACCGCCGCCGGCGATCTTGGCATCACCGTAGTTGCGACGCCAGACAGAGGCTGTGTGGATGGGAAAATATTTCCTGGTCGCGCCGTGATTCTCCCACTTGATATCAGGCAGGGTGGGAGTCATCCTACGGCGCAGCATGCATGGGCTCTCATCTTAGCGCTAGCGAGAAATGTGCCGGCAGATGACGCCGTAATGAAGCACGCGTATCCAAATGTTTCCAGTACCTGAAAGACTGGGTTAGCCAAAGGCCTGACGGGACAACAATAGGGGTGACTGGGTTGGGAAGACTCGGTGCTACGGTAGCCCGGATTGGAAACTTGGCATTCCTGATGTGAATCGTTTGCTGGAGCGAGAATTTGTCACAGGGACAAGGCCGATCGGAAGGCCCAGGAGACGGGGTTGACAGCTCATCAGCCAGACGGAAGTCGGACCTTTCGGGTTGTAGGCAAGGAGCTCTTGAGTGAGGTAGATGCTGTGAGTCTGCATTATGTGCTCAATAAGCGATCGAGGGGAATCGTTGGGGAACAGGAGCTAAGGCAGATAAAAGAGTCGGCTTTGCTGGTGAAAACTTCCCGTAGCCCGTTGATTGATGTGGCGACTTTGTTTAAAGCTTTGCAGACGGGGCGGATTGGAGGTGCGCCGTCGGATGTCTTCGACCTTGAGCCATTACCTGCGGATATTCCGTGGCTCTCGATGGATTGCAGAACGGGGTCGATTACTATTGACACTCCATATGGGGTATTTTGAGGAAGGGATCATGCATGCATTGTGTGATGAGACGGCGAAGAATCTGGGACGATGGTTGGATGGACAGAGGTTTTACATCATCTCAATTAAGATGAACAGTGGTTAATACACTTCAATCATACAAATGTTTTCATGCAAGGCCCGGGCAAAGGACCAAAGCCGGATCAGCTTTTCACGGTCACTACAAAAAGCCGTGGGTACCGAAGCAAGACTCGACCATCAACCGACGAAGGATATGTTTCCTTCAAGCGCCTCAAATATTCTTTCAAGAACGCATCTTTCTCCTCTGGTTGCAACAAATCCACGTAAGGCCTCAATCCGGTCCCTTTGACCCATTCAATGATGGCTTCGTGATTCTCAAGCGAATGATAATAGCTTGTATGGAAGAGGCTCACCTCCGAATAAAGTGGCTTGAGCTGCTTATGAATCTCCTGCAGCGACTGAAACGTATCCCGGCCGACAGATTGTAACTTCGCCGCCCAGGGCCCGGTCTTGAATGTCTCTCTCATCAAAACATGGGAGGGTTCATTGAGGTTGTCGGGAACCTGAAAGGCAAATACTCCTCCAGTCGGTTTAATTCCAATCAATCTCTTGATGACCCCAATGCGCTCTTTTCTCCCAAGCCATTGGAAAACGGCATTGGAGTAGTAAAGATCAATTGGGGCTTCGGGTGTGTAGGTGTTCAAATCTGCGATACTGAATTTCAAGTGGGGGAGAATGGATTTGGCTTGGCGGATCATGTCCGGGGATGAATCCATCCCCACCAGTAGAGCGTCGGGGTAGCGAGACTCCAGGACGACAGTTGAGTTTCCCGGACCACACCCCAGGTCTACCAATCTTTTCGGGCTCTGTAGGGAAACCCTGGCAGAAAGATCGCGGGCTGGTTGGGTACGTTCATCTTTGAATTTGAGGTACTGTGCTGCGCTCCAGTCGTATGCGGGGTTGGCGGTGGACATGGAGACGTGCAATGATGCGGGAATCACTCGGAGGGGGGGCAGAGTCTTCTTGACGATTTTTGGAGGAACATGTCAAGGCCTCTGGTTCTGTGTAGAGCAATGGCTGAGGCAATAACAGCCTTCCAAGCTTGAAGAGTAGATCTGGAGCGTGGTAGGAAATAGGAACTTGGGGATGTCGATCACTTCGAGCGATGCGAATCAGATAGTACACAAGCTTGCAGACCAATATTCCCGGAATTTTTAGCAACTGAAGCAGAGCGGTATGAGCCGATCTGACTTAGTCGCCCGAGCTTGCATTTATAGAGATGCCGATTGTCTAGTCGCGTGTACTGGGTCAGAACCCGAGAGACTGCCGATGATCGGGAAATAACCCTTGATCAGAGCAACATCGGACCACAGCTGCTGGAATACGGAAACCAGATATGATTATATGCTCTGATATTAGCTGCAAGTATTGAAAGCGCATTTCAAGGGTATGTGTCCAACCTAGTTCTCCCATATGCGACTGGCATGACGTCACTGGATACTATATCTTCGCGCGTACTCCACGCTGTAATTGCAGGTTTCTCGGTTTTCGCAGACTGTTCGGCATCTCAGCGTAAAAAAAACCCCCTCGAGATCCTGAGCATTGTCCTTCAGATAACAAGCCTGGAATGACTTTGGAGCACTCATACAGGTGGACGAGATATTGAAGAACGCATGTACATATCCCTTTGGGTTATATTGGTACACGTGACATCGCGTGTCGCTTCCGCGAACTCACATTTCACTAACTTTCCCCGTAGTTGACAATTCTTGGAGCATTGCCCAAGGTCGTGATGGCGCATCATGTCAAAGTCCCCTTCAAGCAGTTCGAATTCTTTGAAACGAAAGCAGTCTCATGACGATAAGTGGACCGCTGGGCCTCCGCCTTCATCCCTTGACGCGTCTCTGAAATCAGCCGTCGAATCCACAATAGCTGGATCTCGCCCCCCTACGTCCGAAACGCCGACATTGGAAATTGGACCAAACAAGAAAAAGAAATCAGGACAAGGAAAAACAGCCACGTCCACAACTGCAAAACCCAAGGTTCTAAAAAAAAGATCCCCAGTTGCACCATGGCCCGATGCACTGAGACGCTTGTCACAGACTCAACGAGCATTGAACCTAGTGTACACATTCTGCTGTACACGTAAACAATTTGCGACCACATTCGAGAATATCAAGACAGCAGTGCAGGCACAACTTGGTCAAGATCGAGAACTTACCGTTGAAGATATCGCGCGGGTAAAGGCGCTGGTCCCGGGAGCTGTGCGCTTTGAGTATGTCGACGAAACAAAGTTGGAAACGACTGTTGGAGAGAAGGACATTGCCGACTATGGGGCGAGCCATCGGGGCAGTCTTTGGAAAACCGAGGCACTGAAGGACACTGCAGACCCGAATGAAGAAAGCCCCGGAATCACAAGGAATGTCCTGTTGTTCGAATTTGTTGACGGGGATCTCAAGCGAGAGGTCATAGACCCGAGAACGGGAGAACCAGTCAAACCAGTGCGCCGAATGAGAGACGAGGATCTAAAAATGCCAGTCTACAGCCAAAAGCAGATGCTGAAGCTGATTGAGAAACGCAATGCTAAGTTTTCTGATGCCATTGATGCATTTCTAGTTCGCTGCGAAGACCAGGTCATTGATCCTGTGCTCCTGTTGGAACAGGAGAAAGATCTATACATCCCTACGCCTCCTGATAGTGGAGCCAATACTCCTGCCGCCGCCAAAGCCCCTGCCGCCATCCCCAAGGAGCGTCTGTCCATCGCGGAGATCGTCGCGGAGATCCGAGAGATGGATTGGTATCATGCTCAGATCGTCCCAGAGGGACATCGGGTATTTGATGCCCAGTCTCCGGTTTATGGTGATTTGACATTCCGGCTGTCGCAAGATCTGGTCAACACCCTATACAATACAAAGGGCATCACCCAGCTATACTCCCATCAAGCAGAGGCAATAAATCACCTCTATGAGGGTCATAATGTGATTGTTTCTACTTCGACCAGCTCGGGCAAATCACTCATCTATCAAATTCCCATGCTCCACGAGTTGGAAAAAGACCCTGATAGCAGGGGCATGTACATCTTCCCTACCAAGGCTTTAGCTCAAGACCAACGACGCAGTATGATGGATCTCTTGCAATATATGAATGGTCTACAACATATCATGGTGGAGACCTTTGATGGTGACACGCCGATGGAAAGTCGCAATCTTATTCGCGATGAAGCACGAATTATATTCACCAACCCAGACATGCTACATATCACAATTCTGCCCCAGGAAAGCGCCTGGCGCACGTTTTTAAAGAATTTGAAATTCGTGGTTGTTGACGAACTACATGTCTACAACGGCCTATTCGGATCACACGTCGCATTCATCATGCGCCGACTTCGCAGAATTTGCGCCGCCGTGGGCAATCGGCATGTCAAATTCATATCGTGCTCTGCCACCGTTGCGAACCCGGAAGCGCACATGAAATCCGTCTTCGGTGTCCAGAATGTGAAGCTGATAGATTTTGATGGGTCCCCCTCGGGCCGGAAGGAGTTTGTCTGCTGGAACACTCCATTCAAAGACCCAGCGGATCCAACCTCAGGACGCGCTGACAGCGTTGCTGAGACCGCACGTCTGTTTTGTCAGTTGATACTCAGAGGTGTCAGGGTCATCGCTTTCTGCCGGATCAGAAAGATGTGTGAGATCCTACTGCAGGCCGTGAGGAATGAGTTCCAGGCTCTCGAGCGTCCTGAGGTGGGCAAATTGGTGATGGGCTACCGCGGTGGTTACAGCCCCCAGGATCGACGTCGCATCGAGAAAGAGATGTTCGAAGGGAAACTGATGGGCATAGTGGCGACGAATGCTCTTGAATTGGGTGTTGACATCGGATCCTTGGACGCAGTAATCACTTTGGGGTTTCCCTACTCGATCTCCAATCTACGTCAACAGAGTGGCCGGGCTGGGCGACGCAACAAAGACTCTTTATCGGTGTTGGTCGGGGACAGGTACCCAACAGATCAGCATTACATGCAGAATCCAGATGAAATTTTCACTCGACCCAACTGTGAACTCCAGATCGACCTTGCCAATGAGCTCATCTTGGAGGGGCATGTTCAGTGCGCTGCATTCGAAGCGCCCATTTTCCCCGATGAAGACCGTATCTATTTCGGTGACCAACTCTACGCTGTCGTAGCAACTCGCCTCATCAAGGATAGTATGGGCTTTTACCACTGCCACGAGCGCTTTCGACCCCAGCCCTCAAGATGTGTCTCCATCCGGGACACAGAAGATCAGCATTTCGCAGTAATCGATACAACCCACAACCGCAATGTCGTCCTTGAAGAAGTGGAGGCTTCTCGCGCCTTTTTCACCATCTATGAAGGTGGTATCTTTCTACACCAAGGCGAAACCTACCTCGTCCAAGAACTGAACACAGAACGCCATTTTGCCAGAGTAACCCGCGTCCACGTTGACTGGAGTACCATGCAGCGCGACTTCACCGACATCGACCCCGTCGAGACAGAGACCATGCGCCCCATCACCGCAGATCCGTCCGGCTGTCGCGCATTTTTCGGAGCTGTTCAAATCCACGCAGTCGTATATGGGTTTTTCAAGGTAGACAAACGCGGCCGAGTGCTCGATGCCGTAGAGGTTGACAACCCACCCATCGATATCCTGACAAAGGGGATGTGGCTTGATGTTCCATCGCGGGCAATCACGATCCTTGAATCACACAGATTAAACATTGCAGCCGCAATCCACGCCGCAGAACATGCGGTTCTCTCTCTTCTCCCATCTTTTGTCATTTCCTCGCCTGGTGACGTCCGCACAGAATGCAAAGTCGCCAAAAAGGAACTTGGTCGTCCGCTCCGTCGTGCAAACGAGACTTCCGTCTCCGATAAAAAGGAACTTCAGAAACTCCTCCAGCCACCTTCCCGGCAACGGCCTGCTCGTCTCACGTTTTATGATGCGAAGGGTGGGTCATGTGGGTCGGGTATTGCGAGTAAAGCATTCGAATTTATCGGCTTACTCCTCCGACGTGCCGTTGCACGTATCGAAGCATGCGCCTGTCTCTCGCCGCAAGGCTGTGTGGAATGTGTATGTGACGAGCGCTGCAAGGAAATGAATCTTGTTATGAGCAAAGCCGGCGCGGGTGTGATTCTGCGATGCTTACTTGACTGGGAGGTAGACATTGACGCTTTACCTTGGGGTGAGGATGTTGACGGACACGAGTTCGGTGTTATGGGTGGCGAGTTGGCGGGTGGATATGAGACGGTCATCATGGCCAACGAAATTCCATGGAAGGCTGGATGTAGCCCTGACGAAAGGCAAAACTGAGAAGACATTTGTATGCAGTTTTATTACATACTATCATGTACATACCAGAAGAAAGATTTGAGTGCACAGGAGACTTTCAATGTTGAATCTATCGAAGCTCTCCCACCTGCATACCCAATGAAAATTACATGTAGCCAAAGGAAAGATAAATGATGAGGGTAAACAGAAGAAATACACACGCAGTGTAGATTGACACACGAAAAGGCCCAAGAAAATGCGATTCATATGACTTTCTTCGATAATGTACTGTCTAAGCAGTCGGGTATATAATAAACATACACATCAAGTCATGACCGAGAGAATGCTGGGGTATAGGGTTGGGGTTGATATCAGAAGATGGGTATAAGGGAGCAGAGAAGGACGGAAAGGGACGAAAAGGATGTGAGAAATGAGTATTAGCCTGCAACGTGAACATTCCTTTGGGGGGTGATTCGGTCGGTGTGGCCGGCCACCAAAAGGCTTGATGTCCAATCAGACAATAACACCAAGTGTACCTGCTGGGTGGCCATCGAGATGTTTGCATGGGAGTGAGGCTGATAGGTAAGACTTGGCAGGTATGACCACAAGGAAGAAATCCAAATCTCCGGCGGAGGATAGGCAAAGCCCACAACCCGATGGTTCATATAAGCTAGATCAACGACCAAGGACGGACCATGACGTGGCTGATGTCTGAAAGATCGGCAAACGCGTCACCACAGCTGGGATCAACGGACAGAAAGGAAGGTTGCCCTCTTCAGGAGAAGCCACCGTGGCTGCTATCATGGCTGCTTCCAGGGCTCAGCTCATCTCCCTCGTCGTTGACATTCAGTTTCCAGAACATGGATTTCATGTCGCGTACATTAGAGCGGAAGTCATCGCGAGGCTGCTCTAGGCGATCATCGGTCATGGCACGGACTTCGCGGATCAGATCTGGGTAGCCTTCGTCGTTGGGAAGCCACCAGTGCATGAGCTCGGGTAGTTGCCAGAGGGTGGAGAGGACTTCGCGGAATTTAGGTTGCATTATGTACCTGATTGCCCCGGGGAGGTCAGCTGCTGGATCGCATGGCGAGATAGAAATGAAGAATGGTAAAAATAAAGGAAAACCTACCCAGTCTGTTCCATCTGGGCAATCCTGCGCCGACACCACATCTGATTTTTGACGTCTCTGGGGAGGAACATGCTCGTGAGCCCTATGCTGTTCTTGAACCCGATGCAAGCCCCGTTTTCTTTCTCTGGCCATCGGTCGATGGTTTCCATCAACTGGGCTTGTTCCCAGGCCAACTTTGTTAGGTCCGGCAGTAGGGGCTGTCTCAATGCAAGCATTGTCTGATATTTATACATCAGTTCAGTCGAGAGGAGGTCAATCCAGATGTAATTCGCATCCCACAGGGCTCCTTCGTGGATCCGGCCTGTCACAAAGGGATCCACAATATCATCTTCGGTTAATGGCACTTTATTCGGATACGAGCGTACGGTGTATTCACTGTCGTCGAATGCTCTCATAATGTTTTTTGCCCGTTCAATCGTCTGCCCGAGCTGCTCGTTCTGCACGGCAAAATCTTCGAAAGGAATCATGCCACGAGACAGTTTGGCATATAGGGAAGCCATGTCTAAACCAAACCTGCGGTTAATCGATGCGACCAGCGAGAGCTGCTTGAGTGCGTCATCGGGGTCGAGAGCCGCTTGCTCTGCGTCGAACTGTTCTTTGGCGAGGTACCAATCTCGACTGAGAATCGCCTCTGTGCCGGCCAGAATCCCCGCAACGACATCGAAGCGCGCGTACCAGAGAAAGATGTTTGTATGTAATTCGTTTAGATTGGACGAGTCCGGCGTCAACAGTTCCCGCATCAATGCGTGGGCGGCTTGGTGATGATCGATCAAGTTAACCCAATCACCAGTGTATTCCTGGTTGGAAAAAAAAAAAAAAGAAAGCATCAGCAAGAGGTGGATCAGAGAGAGAAAAATTTAGAAAGAAGAGGCACTCTACCTCAAAAGTGGTCAAGACAAGAACTGTACACAAGGTTGCCTCGTTATGTTCCTCGCCAGAGCCAAGTGATTTCCGCAAGAGAACAAGGGCTTTATTGTAATATTTGAGGAATGTAAACAGCTTCCCTCCCGGGCTATGCAAGGTGTGATGATATGCAGCAAAGCCTACAAGGGCATATAGCAAAGGCTTATATTGCAGGGCAAGTTCGATGATGTTGTGTTGAATAAAAGCCCGGCTGGGTTGTCTCAAGAAAAAATGACCGGGTGTGATAAATTCCTGGTGAAAATTCAGGTAGAATCTCAAATCGTCTGGAAGTCGGGCTGCATTGAGCATATCTGTCGTGGACTGAGAGACGCTGGCCGACCGCACGCTCACCGACTCGAAGCGTGATGAGGACTCGGTAGAAGGGGAGCTGCCCGGGTCCATATTGAACGACCCGGGCTCGGAGGCCTGTTTCAAACTTGGTTTTCGAAGTGATTGTGCACTCTGCGTTCTGTGTAGGTCGGGTCGAGATGTGCTGGGACTGGTGGGCGACCGAGAACCTAGCCCGGGATTGTCGGGTTCTTCCTCATCAATGATCGGCTCCAGAGGACTGATCTCATCGAATTCCAGTCGACCTGATGAGTCACTTCCTTGCGAGGGAGGGCGTGTACCACGCGATTTGGTGGATGAGCGGGCGCCACCCTTGGACGGTCCGGATGTGGGGGATGGGTAGACGCAATCCCGACTTCCCTTGCGGCAACGCTCGCAGACAGGGCGAGACTCATCGCATTTGATCCGACGGGAGCGGCAGGTGAAGCAACCGCTCCGGGTTCGTTTGTGTTTCTTTGGATCCGGGAGAGGTTGGAGCAAGGTCGATTGCTTCGGGTATGATGGCGCGGGCACAGTCATGGCCGGCGGCGCGGCGGAGGGATCGTGCCATAGCGCAATGTTTTCGGGATACTGAGCTGAGCCGAATAGCGAATAGGCGGACATGGTTGAATCCTGCTGCATTGAATCGAAAAAGCCGGCCAGGGCGGCCTGGGACTGATGATATGATGATTGCTCCATGATGGTTCGTGCCCGTAGTTAAGCTCCGCGCAGATCTCCCCCCGCAAATTTAGCGTAAAGCTCCTGATTATTGCATCATTCAGAACTGGAGATTATTGCAAGCCAGAAATATATATAGTAAAGCCCTGAGAAGCGTCAGTGGAGTGGATGTGGATATGAAGTCCGATGTACACAGGTGGGTGTGGTAAGTGTAGGGGGTGGGGTGAGGTTGACCCGGACTATTGGATGTTGGATATGGGCGGAGATTAATAGAGCAAAACTCCCTGATTTTTTTTTTTTTTTAGTCTTTCCGTTTCCGTTGTACTTATGAAGCTCAGGTTCTCATGTTTGAAATTGTAGGTTTAAAAAATTAATTATCTTTTCTGATCTATAATTCTATGCTATTTTGGGGCACTTCCGGGCTCAACTACCGATCGTGATCGTGATGATCGGCATATCTAGGGGAAGTTTACCAAGGGGGAAAATAACAAAGTGAAAAATATACCGGATAGGAAATAGGAAGAACGGATAAATTATTCCAAAATGGTTCCAGGGATTTGCCCAATCTCAGCTGATGCAGGAAGTCAAGCCTCCGCGTTTTTACTCGGCGGAGTAGGGCGGAGGTCGCGGAGCCACAGTCCATGAACTAGAGGCAAATTGTACACCCAAAAAAATGGGGGAAAAAAGGAAAGGAAAAAAAAGGACAGAAAAGGACCGAAAGCATATCAGTATTAGCAGAAGTCGAACTGTGAATGGGCCCTTTCCCAATTCCCCACTCTGCATCAGCCACGTTGGGCTTATTTTTATCCTTAATCCCATTAAAGGAGCCTCGGGACTGGGAAGACAGAAGGAAAAGAAAAAGGGGGCTGTTGACGATCCTCTCCAGCCACAGGTGATATCACTGTTGGCTCGAGCCCCTAGTTTAGTTGCATGGACATCGTGATCAAAGCGCCTGTCATCTGGTGATCAAACAGAACAAATCGCGAATATGGAGTATATGGTAGGTCATAGTCATTTTTCACAATTTGTATCTAATTTCTTTTTCTTTTTCTTTTTCTTTTTCTTTTTCTTTCTCTTTTTCTTTTTCTTTTTCTTTTTCACTATTTTGAACATTCTCACGGACCCCGTCCGAAATCCGAAGAGGGGCAAAGCTATTAGTCCTCGACCATGATTGCGCAAGTGGAACCCCAAAGATAATCAACATGGGGCTCTTGAGGCAATTATCTTGGCAAAAGGAATGATGATTCCTACTCCAGAACAAATGATAGCACGGAGTGTCCCGCTCATCTACTCGGCAAATCTGAAACCTCGCCAGTAATATCGCTGTATCGCACCAAAAATGCCGAAAACGTTCTGTTCATGACGGCGATCGGATTGGAAGAGTGGAGCCTGACTAAGGGACTCTCGGATTCCGGTGGAAACTAAGCTTCATTTAGGGAAGTTATGATTCATGATTGGAACGCTAACCAAGCCCCATTTCTGGAATCAGAACACGGGGAATCCGGCACAGACGGGGGAAATAACCAGGGGCAATACACTTCCCCCCCCCCCCCCTTTTCAATCATCGTTAGCATTGTTCTTACTTTCTTTTATACCGAGCTATAAGCTATGCTACTATTCATACATGACTTTCCCGGGGGTTCTTTTTGGTTTTCCTTAAAATGATATTTCGTGCCTGATCGACGAAGATTTGACAGACAAGGTGGGCCATTGATCGAAAAAGACGCTAAGGTTGGACTCCACTGGGGGAAGAAATAAAAAGCAATAATTGTTGTTAAACACCGATTAATTCCACGAAATTAAAATTGCAGGAACAAGACAAATTGGTCGATCACGACAGCTGCATCGGCATGCTATTCGTGTATGAGCCCTCGACACATGTGCCATGTGGATGAAAGGTGAGCCGGTCTTCAAAGACAGTGGGGTTCTGGTCCATGTGGCCCCTTGAAATGACTTTTCAAGAACCGGGCGATCCTGCTTTTCGGTGCCGGAACTATCACGCTGGGCCAGAATGGGTAACATCTCCGTTTAGATCTTATTTAGACTGGGCCGGGACTTGGGGAAAGACCGTCTCCACTTGGCAAAAGAAACGTAGCCTCAATGAAGCTCGATCTCGGCCCGGTAAAAAAAAAAAAAAAAAAAAAGGAGGTGGTCTGAAGCTCGTATAGCTCGTATTATCTGTCATTCTCTCAGCCCTACAAACTTCGATATGTCATATAGCCTCGGTAAATATGCTCCTTGGCTGGGTTCCAGACAAGTCCAACGAAAAATTATGTCCAAGTGCATACAAAGTCAAAATGCATGTATATTACTTTCAAATGTTATATTGAGAATTCTTATGGAGCATATGAATAGGCGTATACATACGGCACATGGAGCATCTTCAGGGTTATATCGGACGTGCACTTTTGTGCTTCGGATAATATCCAGGTCCATGGTATATCTTACATGCTTCTAATAAATTTCAGGAACCTATATGTAGGGTCCGAGCACTACTTAATGAATCATCTTCGATGCATATTATAGGAGAAAGATCCTAGTAGGTTCGGAAAATCGGATTCCGAACAAAGCTTGATAATGTCCACGCCTTGAGCTTGCTACTGACAGATTCAGGTACCAAAAATCTCGCACATGTATAGGAGGCTACGAATACGTAGAATTATCCTAGAATAAAACGCCACGCACCGGTGCAGTTATCTCTCCCAAAGAGGCGTAGAGATCGGTCGATCCCACAACCTGTCGGATACGAATGCCCTTAATTGAGTTGGCGCCGGCCGTTTGAGCTGTGGCCCTCGTGTCTAGCGCCATAACAGTTTGTAAAATATTTCTGGATCCCATCAACTAAACCCACCCAGGTACATGCCAATCCCCACCTATCCACTACAACCGTATCCCGGGGGACGCACTACTGTACTTACAAACCTTTGCCTTTTCTAGTGTACATGACTGGTCTAGGACAAAAGTACCATTCACTAACTCCATCCTAGGCGCCAGCTTCCAGATGTAGACTTGCCTTGGCAGCAGGGTGCTTGCGACGGTGGATCCAACCAAGTGGCTCATGTCTGTATACTCTGGAGATCGTTGACAAGTTCTTGTTTCGCTCTCTTCTCTGTTCTTTTCTACTCCGTATTGATTGTCATCATCGGATCAGTCCCTCCGTTAACTCCGTGAGCAGCCACTTCGACCATGATGCGTGCAACGGTGTTGGCTCCATGGCTGTTGGGGCCGGAATGCTGATCCTCGAGGTTGCACTGCAGCAACATCCACCTTGACAGTGGCTGTGACCTTTGCTTCGGACTCGGATTCGTGCAGCAAAGATGTACATGTGACGAAAGTTCGACCGGTGAGATGGATGCAATTTCACATCCCTGCAAGTTATGCAAGCCCATCATTTTACTTTTGGGCGGGTTTGGGTGGAGGTGATTGTGGATATGTAGTAGTTTTAACTTTCTGTTGATGGGCATTGTTTCAATTCTCTTTCCGCGGCAATCTTAGCCGTTTCTTTCTTTCTTTTTTTTTTTTTTTTTTTTTTTTTTTTTTCCCTTTTTTTTCTTATTATGCTTTCTCCCTTTCGATCTCGGGGGTGTGTTATCCAGATTGATTTCCAAGGTTTTGAGTAATCAAACCAAAAACCCTTCTCCACCGGCCCCGGTTCTGGACTCCTTGTGCATGTCCTCGTATACTTGGTCATATTCGTGCAGATGAGCGATTTTCAATTGCATCATCTGCAGGGTGTCTCCATTTTTCTTGGCTCATTTCCCCTCGGCATTGCAGCGGCAACTTCTTATCTAGCCGTAGGGAAAGCGGAATTTCCGGTTTGTTCTAAGATTCATACATGATATTTTTGAATAGAGTCATAAAATCGTCAACAGCCCGATGATCTACATCGACGAAAGGGCCCGCCTCTAGTGGCAAATGGTGTGTTGCTGAGTGATGATGATGCTAAGGATGCTGGCGGCGGCGCTAGACAGGCAGCCTTGGAAGATATGATAGCCCACTTTAGGCTGATTTCCGAGCTGCCAGCTCCTTCAGCACCATGCCCACTCCCTCAATAACGGTGACCCATTCCGTTTCGTGAACTCGCTTCCCAAACGCCTCCAGATCTTCATCCTGGCCCTTTCGGAAGGGAATCTCCCGAACCAGAATGGGGTGACCCATGTCCACCTCGGAGATGACGTCGTGGATCATGACGCCGGTTTTGTCGATCTTGCCTTCCATCCAAGCGGCATGAGCGCGCTCAATCGCGTTCTGCGCCATTGCGAGATCAGCAAAACAAGATACTTTCATAACATTCATCCAGCGTGTATGCTCCACATTGAAACTTACCACACCATTAAAAGCGCCTGGCAGCGCTGGATGCAAATTGATTATGCGCACATTGGCCTCCTCCAGTGGCCTGAGAAATTCTGGTGAAAGGATGTGCATGAACCCAAGACAGATAACTAGCTCAGGCTGATCGGCGAGGATCAAGCGAGCCAGTTCGGCATCGTACTCCTCGCGCGCGGCCTGAACACCCTCAGGCGTCGCAGGGTGCTGCTTCTTGTACTTGACAAGGTTGTGGTATTCGGTAGGAATGTTCGCTTTCTGGGCACGCTCGAGGCCGAAGGCATCTTTGCGGTTGGAGAGGACACGGATGATGTTGGCGTTGAGAGTGCCCGCCGCGACTTGATCGATTACCGCCTGCAGGTTGGAACCATTGCCCGAGATGAGGACCGTGGTGCGAATGGGCGCAGACATTTTCGCTACGTGGGAAGTTTCGATTAGAATCTGAGCCTTTCGTCAACTTTTTTGAGGTCGGAGGGGTGTGGTTCGCGGGGCTTGAAGTTTCTCGGGACTGGTCGTTTTTCATCAGATATAGACATCGGGTCAGACCTTATGCCAATTCCGAGCTTTAGGGGGATTTAATTGAACAAGGTCCATTCTAGGGCAATATTTACATACCTGTGCAAGATCGAGTTGGGGAGACCTTATGAATAATACAGAAACTCGATGCCGCAATGGGAAAGTTTTGCTGCACGTGACCCGCGGGGTCGGCGGGGCACATGCAGTATCAGTACGACCTTGAATATTCCAGAAGAAATTTGTATGAGAGACTTCAAATTGGTATGCTAATCGTACACAAGGTGAAATAGCTTAAAGATGTCCCAATATTCCCTTGCACAGTACCATCGAACATGATGGACAGTCCCTAAACAGTCAAGACGCCAACAAGAACTCAAAGGGATAAAACTTTGGAAAACTTTGGAAACAGGAGGGTCAAATTAACCGAGACTAGATGTTCAGCGGTTCGAGAGACAATGCCTCTACACCTCAATGGCATGATCACCAAAAAATGAGAACGAAAGGCGCCAGAAATGGAGCGCAGCAGAGACTAAATGCTGAGGGGATATCAAATGAAAAGAAAAGTCGTTAAGAGCTCTAAGCAGACGCTGAATGCTAATGTTCAAAGGGGAGATTCAAGACCAATGGCCTAGGAGAAAATGTTGATAATGCAAGGCGCATCAAATAGCGGTACCCTCGGGAGCTGGAGCTGGAACGGCGTCGGCAGAAGCAGGGCCACTGTTACTGGGGGTTTCATCAACACCCTCACCTCGACATAGAGGACACGAGTTTCGTCCAGTAGTCAACCACTAACGTAATCAGTCAGTAACACCGCATCAAGCAGACTAAACCAGAGAAAACGGACCTGGTCAATACAATCCCGGTGGAAGACATGCTTGCATTTGACAAGCTCCCGGACTTCTTCGGCCACCTCGTAGTCGCTCAGGCAGATGAGACACCGCTCCCCATCCTGGATCTGAATGGCGCCAGCGCCATTAATAGACTCTGCAACCAAAGAGCCATCATACTCAACAAGTCGGAACAATCCGCCGGCAGAATTGACATCGGCTTGAGTGGCAACAGGAGGCTTGGCTGGGCCCAAAAGTGACGAAAGAAGGATCATGTCCTCATATGTGGGATTCTAGATACATGTTAACCATGCGATGGACGGATAGGTTCAAAGGGGAACATACATCAGTAAAGAGACTGGGGGTTGTGAGAGCCGGGTGGTTTTCTGACAAATTAGTTCCAACAACGTAGATCAACCAGCTCCGACCTCCGCTTGGAGTAGGCTGATCAGGTTCAACCACACCGTTACGGCGAACGGATCCAGAGCCAAGGGCACGATGACGGGCGTACTCAGAATCGCTTCGACGACGCTGTCGTGCAGCATTGGGCGGTGGGATGGACTCATCGGTAGGCTCTACAGTGGGTCGTAGGGAGTAATTCTCATGCAGCTGAGGCAAAACATTTGATGTCATGGCGGAGGCAGATGACGGCCTGCGGCTCGGCGTCGAGGTACTAGATGAGACAGCGGACATTCCCTGCTCAGCGGGCGTCGAGGGTGGAGGATGGGGGCCCCGGTGGACTTTCAGATAAGGCTGAAAGAGGGAAATTTGGCAAAGCGGTGCGAGGGCCAGCGTCGGATAATCTCCTGGGGGCATTTGCGCCTGAGTGCCGTAGAAGCTCCGCTACGCTGGGAATAGAGCCTGGGGGGCGTGGGACATGGAGTCTAGGACGTCCATCTGTCCGCTGTCCAAGATCACCAGGTGCCTCGTGTGGCCGCGGAATGGCATTTGGCGAGAGGAAAGGTAGCCCAAGCAGAGCATCCAGCCCCGGGCCCCCTGGAGCTGGTGGCCCATGTTCACTGTTGCCCCCACTGCCAGCTGGCACTGACCTGACCCCAACAACGACCAGAGTCACTGTTCGTCCTTCCGCTGTTTCTGGGGGCTCATCAACAGACATTCCATCCGATGGCGCTCCAGGAGTCTCAGATCCGCTGGTGCTGCGACCAAGTGGATTAGCACCAACAGGAGAATCAGCGTTGGCGAATCGGAAGACTCGTAAAAAATTGACTGGGGGTGAAGGTCCTTCATTTCCATTGTTGCTTGATCCCTCTGCTGATGCCGTCGGCTGAGCTTGAGTGGATGTGGCACTCTGCAAACTTTGGATGAAGTTCTCTAGAGACCCATCCAGGCCGTCGTTTCCTAGTGCTTGAATGTTTGGCAAAGGAGGCCCATTGGCACCAGACAATTGAGCTGCAATCGCTGCCGCGGCAAGTTGAAGCACCCGAGACAGAGGGGTTTGTTCTTCTCGTCGCAAAGAGCGTGCAGATCGTGCTCTCAAAAGACCAGGCAGTCGGCGCATTAACTGGGGATTGCCAGAAGGTGTAGCTCCATTAGCGTGCACGCTTGGCTCAACCGAGTCCAATTCATGCAAAGGCGCTCCGAAATCTAGTCGAGTGTCCATAGCACTAGGCAAGCTATCGCTCAGAGAAGGCCCGTGTGACAGGCGTGAAGAGTCATCTTCTTGTGACGAATTGCCTAACGAAGGTTGACCAAACATATGGGATATGGGTGTTGATAAAGAATGGCGCACCCGATGCAGTCGACCACTCCGACGCCAAGAGGCTCGACCGGGCTCAGTTAGACGGTCAGCGGTATTATCGAGAAATGGTGAGCCAGTTGCCGTATCCGCTATGACTGACGATTCGGCACGTGGGGGAATGAGATACGGCCCCCGAGCGGAACGTCGGCGGCTGATTCCCCGAGAACCAAGGGCACTGAATGGGCTGAAGCGGCCACTGCTATGTGCTGATTCAGACCTTGGCGGTGTCCTCGATACTAATCCATGCCTGTGTGCATGGCCCTCTGCAGGTGTCTCTTCCTGGCTGCTCAGGAGACCTCGGATGACGGAATTGGGTAGAATCCTGGAACCCAGCCTTGACATGGTAGATTGCCTTCTCGCCGCCATGCGTGTCATAGCCGTGGAGCGGTAATCCCTTTCATTTGCCTCCAGTTCCGGTACATCTTCCTCTTCGATGCTTCGCATTGGATGTGAACCCCCTCCAAAGTGGCTTGTGGGTTGTTGCCCTGTTTCCGGCGGCTCGTTTGTTTGGTTCGGTTCGAAATCGTGTGGACTAGTTGAGTTCATTTCCGCTGTGGACGAGGTACCAGCCTCTCCGTTCTGCTCAAATGGTTGCCTGTGGTTCATGTCTTCATCCCGCGTGCTGGGGTCACGCACAATCGAGGCCGGGGTCAGGTAATCCGGAAAGCCAATATCGGATGGATTTCGAGCCGTAGAAGAAGACTGTCCCATAGTAGCAAATCGCGGGAATGATGACTGAATATAGAGTTTTTTATAAACCGTCCACTGCCATGAGAGTCCCTAAAAGCGACCGTATCAGCAAAGTCCGCCCAACGACAAGGCGGGGTCCTGGGCAGAAAATCGAACCTGATGATAGTTACAGTGTGATACAAAATATTCGCAAAGCCCAAACGTGGTGTCACTCTCTATTTCCCAATGAATGGAGTGGTGACGACCTGGAGATCTGTACGGAATGCCGGGTACCGAATGGGTGGGGATCAATCGTCTCGGGGTTTCGGGAATGGCGAGAAAGGACAAAGGAACCGGCAAGGAGGCGGTGATGTGCTGATGAACAAGCAATGGGAGCGGAATACTTGAGACAATCTACCGTCTAACATACGCGCACAGCAGCCGCAGCAGCAGTCTCGAACGGTCTGACAAGCCCACAGTCGAGCCCACAGATACCCGCCGAGCTTTGGGAGAATGTAGCGATCGGAGGGTCCGCTGATGACGACGCCCAGGGGCGGCGGAGACTGTGGGGGAAACGACAGGAAACGGTTGAGGTAAAAAAGAGAAGAAAACCAATAGGGGGAAGGGGTAAATGGGAGGGGGGGAGAGCGAAGTTGAGAAGAGGCGCTGCGATAAAGATGATGTTTGCTTGCTTTGCTCGAGGACTTTATTAGTCAACGGGAACTAAGTTTAGCTTCTTTCAACACTTTTCGCTTTCGTCATTTCATTCATGATTCTCCACTTCTTTGGGAACTTACAAAAAAGCCCAGAATGAGATTTGTAAAATTGTGAGACCGGGCACATGGATGCTTCATCTTTGCCAGTCTTTGCATTGCCCTCCCTAGCCTCAATTTCATTATGGTCGAAGAAAAAGAAAGAATCGACCATGTCGATGGGCCGGACACAAAGTCGGCAGACGCGAAACAATCGGTCCCGGTGGGTAGTCCTCTGACCCTCACACCAAATGAAACCCATCAATATCAAGTCGCCGGTCTTCCTCTTGACCAGGAGTTGCCAGGAGGCCACTTCCCCCACGGGCCCGCCAAGAAGATAAAGCCCAAGATCAAAAATAAGGCAAAGATCAAGAAGGGTCAAAATATGGCAAAGCCGGCCCCAAGAACTTTGACAAACGGCCTGGCTCGACAACACCTCGCAGCGCTGACTCAAGTGCTTCATCGTTGTTTGTTAGATGGTGACTACCACCGAGCAGGAAGAGCATGGGGCCTCCTTTTACGAGAGAATTTCAAAGGGTGTCGTGCTGGAAGTCAAATTGGAGCGCAGATCTTGTTACGCCGAGGGGCTAAGCACCACCCCGGCGGTGCCAATGAAGCCGCTCACTCTCCTGCGACATTCACCATCAAGGGATTTGCGGAAGCGAAAGTATACTATGAAAAGTTGATTCTCGCTCATCCTTATTCAAAATCTGCTCCGCATCTACTCTCTGCTCTCCATTTTTATCCTGCCATGTTCGAGCATTGGATCGTATTTGCCCAAGAGGATAGCAGTCTGGAGAGAAAGAAAATAGAAAACGACGAGATGTCTGACGAAGAAGACTATGACTTTGACGATCAAGCATTGCACAAGAAACAGACACGCATCTCGGCTGTTCGAGCCCAGGAACTCGAGCAGGCTCGGCAAATCGCAATACGCATTGATGGTGTGCTTGGAAAACCACCTTACTCGGACTCCGCAAGGCTGCTCGAAATGCGGGGCATGGTGTCTCTTTGGATTGGCGATCTACTTATGTCTTCACTAGCACCAACCCCATTTCAGCAGGGAGAGCAAACTACAGATGCGATACTCACGGACGGCGGGTATAGCTCGTATGAAACACAGCTCGCACACAGTTTGACAATGGAAAAGAGGGGGCAGGCAGAGGAGCAGAGACTTTTAGAGATTGGCAAGGCACGAGAATTCCTGGAGCAAGCCAAGCAACGTGGAATACGAGTCGAGTACAATCTGGACGGTCTCGAGGGTTCTTCGAGTGATTCAAAAAACATGATTCACGAAACAGATATTAGCTTGAATGTATGATTGCTTCTGTTTTCATCCACAGAAAGGTTCTTTAGTATCATTTGTATATCTCTCAATGCTCTTGCATTCTCGCCTCGTTGATGGACATCATAGTACTTCGCCGAGTCGATAAGACCAAAGGATCCCCAATCAATATTTGTGGTCACGTGATCACGCGGTGATCTCGCGTCCGGTCAGCCTGACCAGTTCATTCTTCATCCCCTGGGCAACTTTTTTTTTTCTTGAAGGGGTTCCGCTGTTAGGTTCCGCTGTTAGGCTCCAGACGTCCGGGCTGAAGGGGGACATCACTCGGCAATTCCTGTCATTTCATCATGGGAGTGGGCGACTATGTCCACTCCAAGGAAGCTGGGCAGCCTCGTGCACCCGCTGACCTAGCACCGTCGCAACGCCAATTGCGGGCTGCACAGGCAAAAGTCGAGGTGCCTATCCAAGTGGGAGATTTCTATGCGCATGGGAGGGCCGCTCCATCAAATCTCCAGGAAACAAAGCCCATTCCCCATCAACCCTTTCCTGCCCACACCGGAAATGGAATGCACCGGGATGCCTTTGATACAGATGTGGAGGGAGTCGATGATTCAACAATTGCGGGAAACAGTGTCTTTGATTTTGATGATGGTCAACCTCAGGTCCAGTCTAATCCAAATGGTCGCTACATAGATACCTCACCACGTCCGTCTTACTTGCCCCGCCCTTCTCGGCATTCACGGGCATCCTGGTTTGACGGCATGGGTGACAAGGCCATGAAAAAAGCGGGCTTTGACTCTGATGACGCCGATGACACTTCCAGTCAAGTCACTTCGACGGCCCTTGCAATTGATGAGAAGGCCGAACCACAGCAGCAAGAACAACAGCCAAGCAGTTGGTACCTGGCTCACAAGCAACGTTCAACAGAAGAGCCACTAAGCAAGCGCTTGGAGAATTTCTGGTCTGCAAGTAAGAGAGCACCCAGATCAACAGATCAACAACAGACGGACGCTTGGCAAATGGCTTCTGTGGAGACAGTTAATGAACCTAGCCCGCCACGGAAACTGGGGCATATGTTGCCCCCCTCAGCCGCTAGGAAGATCATACTTCCTCACAGCATGTCAGCGACGCCCAGAACACGTTTCAGTCCACCCAAACCTTCCCTACTGGACCAATTAGACATATCTCCAACTCGTCACGGGTCTGAACCACCACCACAGGCTGGGCGAACTCTCAGTATCACAGCATTTGCGCAGCCCAGCCACAGTGACGACGACGAGGCTGGCATCGATGGAACGGTTCGCCTGAGCAGTAGACGAGGTAGCGAACACTCTTCCAATATCTTTGGTATCACAAATATGTCAGACCTGGGCCGCGATGAATCTGTGATTGAAGCCGGACAAGATTCATTGCTTGACCAGTCAAGCTCCAAGCGCGGCCGTCGCAACACAGTCATCCACAACAGCAAGCGGCATCTAGAATCAGATTATCCACCGCAGCAGCTGTACCAAAAATCATTCACCGATTTGCAGGCTGAACCATTCGAGAAAGCGCCAATACCCACTCCTCCCCCCATCAAGTCACCTTCGTTGCCACCCGAGCCCATTTTCGCTGCGAATGGCCAATCACAAGACGATGCGGTGTCTCGTCTTCTAAGCCTGAATGTTCAAGACCGCCAAATGTACCTGTCTCGCATGACCGTGGATGAGTGGGAAGACTGCGGAGACCAAATCATCGACCAATTCAGTCATCTTGTCATGAAAATGAAAAAATTGCGTCGCGCTCGTCGCCATACAGCTCAAGTATTTGAAGACGAAATCAGGCGTCGCCATGAACAAGTCGAGGCTCAAAATCAAGATCTTTCTGCCAAGCTGGATGAAATGAGAACCGGAGGCGCAGAAGTACTTCGCGGACGGAATCAATGAGTTATGATTTTGTCTTCAAGCCAATTCTGTCTTTTAATGTCTGCCAAATAATGACCTTGGTATCTTCTGTTCCGTTTTCTCATTTTTTTACATCCTCTCTTACGAATCGAGACGCTGTATCCGTTTATGCCCGATACCCTTTTATGAAACATATAATATCTTTTCGTGACTGTGCTGCTTCGTTGTACGATCAAAATAGTTGGGCCAGGCTGCTTGCCAGGTTTCTTCCGCTGGTTTATTGAGTTGGTACTTAACTGCAGAATAGATAATATGGACAGCCACGTCGTTATAATATCCTTTCGGTATTCTAACCGTAATATCACTTCGGAACATTGATCTAGTATAGCGGAGAGACAGAAGGCACCCAGGTCCAGGCTTTGGGACAACAGCATTTTAAGAATTTGTATTTGGTCAACAATCTAGCCCTTCCTCGTGTTTATACGAAGTACAGATGAATGCCTGTAACGCCATGACTAGCCCGCAATGCAATAACCATTCAGGAAGATGCGCCCAGCCAGATCTATGAAACAGAGTAGAAAAAGAAAGAGAAGTAGAGATGAAGAAAAATGAAGTCTCAGGTAAGGAGAGCTCTATGGACCACAGAATAGCAAGCTCATCGAGATACCGCTCCAGACTTATGTAGAGCAGCCGCGAGTCGCTTATAATCTTCAAGTAGAGCAGCCACATCTCCAACACGCAGATCTTGAGCATCTTGAGTATCGATGAACCTTTGGATGGGAGGATCGATCTTCTGTGTAGGTCGTGGGCTCGCGGTCGCACTCGCAGATTCTGTCGAGACAGGCGATATTCTGAGGCGATCCATCGCTGCAGGAGATAGTGGTCTAAGATTCGGTGTGTCCGAGCCGTTACGAGTATCGGGACCGGGGGCATTACGACCAAAGTTCTTGATCATGCCTGGAATGTGATTGAGAGGGTTAAGTGAGTTCCCAAAGTTCCGCATTGACTCTAGTGGGTTTTGAGGTGTGGCTGAAGATGGACTCGGAATGGGTTCGTCTCGCAGGGATGGAGCAATCGACCTTTTGCTGCTCGCTTGTGTCCGTGTACTGTCAGTGCTTCGGTCGCGGGGGGTGCGACCACCGCTGATTAAGCCTGTGGCTCTTGAGCTGCTTGTCGGCTGTGCACCGTCGTCAGATGGAATGGAATTTATAGATGCTAAATCGTCTTGTATGATATTTTGCTTGTTGACCAGGGGTTGGGCAACTAGGCGACGGGCTTCAGCCAATGTCTTTGGCAGCACGGGTCCAGTTGAATTAGGAACTTGAGTCTGTAGTTCTCTCAGGCGACCGAAAAGGAAGTTGAAAGAGTTGTCGAGAGAGGCGCCAATGTTTTTGAGACTCTGATCTGCCGTAGTACGCACTGCATCATTTGCTGCTTCAAGTACCTTGGCAGGTGGTTGGAATAAGTTACTCAGGCGTCGTTGCTGGGGCGCTGGAGAGGGGCGGGGGCGCGGCAATGTAGATGAGGCTGGTTCCTTGGTTTCCGGTTTGGTTATCTCTGGCGAAGCAGACACAGTGGTGACCGAAGATGTGGTGGTATCTTTGGCTGGTCTGAAAGGGTCGGGTCGCTCCGAAGATGGGGTTGCTGTTCCACTCGGAGTTCGGAGAGGTCCCTCCTGCAGCTCATCTGCTCGCAAACTGGATAGCTCGACATTCTCTAGGAAGCTGATAGCCGCTTCAAGATTGGTCAAGCAATATGCGGTCTCGCCATCGATCTTACTCGAGGATCTGAAGCGTTGAATGAAGAGTAGATTGCTGATAATGTTAATCCCATCAGCTGGACAGGTGATGAGAGAGTAGATCAACGTGGGAAGGATCTCATCTGCCGATGATGACGAAGGTAAGAGTTTGGTTAACGCGTCGACAATAGCTTTATGCGCGGCCGCTAGTTGTTGAAGTTTGCCAAGAGGGTATTTGTACTCGTTCATTTTTTCCAAAAAGTCTCTGGCTTGGGCCAAATAATCATTCGCCTCTTGCTGTTTCGTCTCTTCAACTGCTGATAAGTCGATTTCGATACCCAGATCTTTCAGGTTGATGCCTACCAGCAGCAAGGCGGCAGTTTTGGAGCGTAGCTTTTCATCTCGAACGTCATCCAAGGTGGTCTTATGTCTCCAGAGTTTGTCATAGACCAATTCACAGACTCTCCGTTCCGCAGCTTCTTCCATCACAGCACGTTTGTATTCCAGAGCTTTCCGTGCTCTCCTTCTGTCCGCAACTTCCGATGCCGTCAACATTTGCCGACCAGCAGCACTTTGCCGAACGTCATCCTGAGACTTTTTGTTGCCTAGCTTCGAAAAAGCACCTCCGCGGGAGACTGAAGCCTGCGGAGCAGGATCCCTATTGATACGTGAGGCAAGCGCAGAGATGTGTGTAGCGATATGGGATTCGGCGCGGTCATAGAAGACCTGGAAGAGTGAGGAGATTTTGTCGATCGTAGGAGGGGAGTTGTGTACTTTTGCGCTCAACGAGTTGATGAATCTGATGACGAATCCTATATTAGTTCTGTGAAAAGCCGTTAATACACCATAACCCAACCTACCGATCAGTCAAGCTAATCAGCTCAATGGGAAGCTCTTCCGAGGGGTCTTGCACGCTTCTTGACAGCACAAACCCCTCGTCAGCCTGGCCATCTGCACCGGCTGAATCGGCGGAGCCTCGTCTTTCAAACACATCAGATCCATTTTGCTGCCCCTCAGTATCGACGGATGAGGACACGGGCTGGGTGTCTTGATCGGCCGTTGCTCGTGCTGAAGGGTGGGCATCCGAGCTTTCCATTCTGGTGAAGGACCGGGTAGAGTGCAGAAAATGGCCAGCGCCATCGTCGGAGGGGCCAGACATGCTCTACAAGGGGGGCGACCTGGCCCTATGGCGCTAAGTCGTAAGTGACTCCGCCAGGTCCAGCTGATAGGCTCATGCGGATAGATGTCCGGTCCGAGCTCCGTGCGGCTAACCCACCCTGCGGCGCCGCGAATGTGCCAGAAGTGCAACGCATAGAATTGTAAGTTTAGAACTTTTGTTATATATCATGATTCGAAAATATATTGGCCGAGGTATTCAATACATATACAGCTATAAAGACTATGTTGCCAAGCTGATTTTACAGACGCGCCACAGGAGTGACATTGGCCTCGGTAGCAGCCTCAATTCGAGCACCAAGATTCTTGTTCACACGAGAGAACATGTGGTAAGTCTGCTTGCGAACACGCTCATGGGCACCACACAGATGTCCTGAAATGTTCTTGACAAAGTTCTCCTGTTGGCCAGGTTGGCGACCAAGGACTTGCCAAAGACCATTAGCCTGCAAGTAGTCCTCGTCAGTAACGGGGATTTGTTCAGCCATGACGGCGCCAGTCCACTTTTCGTGCTCCTGGCTCGCCTTAACGGGCTTGTAAGCCAGTGGGCGGAAGGTGGAAGGGTAGTTGGGATTGGCACCATAGTTGCCGTTAACGTTCATGGGACCGTCACGGTGCCACGGGCTGAACCCGCGGATGGGACAGTTGACGGGAATCTGCTCGTAGTTGCCGCCCAGGCGGTGGCGGTGTGTATCTGGGTAAGAGAAGAGACGAGCCTGAAGGACAGGGTCCGCGGAGGGTTCAACGCCAGGGACCATATGTGAGGGGGAGAACGCAGCCTGCTCAATCTCGGCGAAGTAATTCTGCGGGTTCTTGTTGAGAGTGAAGCGGCCGAATCGACGCAGGGGCACCTCACTTTGGGGCCAAACCTTCGTGAGGTCGAAGACACTCCAGCGGAACTTTTCGGCCTGCTCGGGGCTGAGGACCTGGACGTAGCAGGTCCATGAAGGGTTCTCACCCCGCTCAATGGCGTTGAACAGATCCTGGGTGTGCCAGTCGGGGTTCTCGGCGGACAGCCTGGTAGCCTCCTCGTTGGTGAAGGTCTTGTTGCCCTGATCGGTCTTGCAGTGGATCTGCACGTAGTTGAAAGTGCCATCAGGTTTGATCCACTTGTATGTGTGACCCGAGTAGGCGTTCATGTGACGGTATGAGTATGGAGTGCCGCGGTCACTGAACAGATGCATCACCTGGTGGACTGCCTCTTGATGGGTGGAAAGGTAATCCCAGAATGCGGTGGCATCTTTGAGGTTAGTCTGAGGGTTGCGCTTCTGGGTGTGGATGAAGACAGGGAACTTGGCAGGGTCACGCAAGAAGAAGACGGGAGTATTGTTGAATACCCAATCCCAGTTACCCTCCTCGGTGTAGAACTTGATGGCAAAGCCACGCGGATCACGAGCACTGTCTGCAGAGCCCTTTTCACCACCCACGGTAGAGAAGCGAGTAAGCATCTTGGTCTTCTTCCCGACGCCCTTGAGCATGTCGACAATGGTCTGTACATGGTGTTAGTGGAACAGGTCGAAGATGCTCTATGAGGTACTGACAATGTCGCTAATATCATCGGTGACTTCAAATTCGCCGAAGGCGCCAGCACCCTTGGCATGGACCACACGCTCGGGAATGCGTTCACGGTCGAAGTGTGCAAGCAGATCGATCAGGTGGAAGTCTTGCAGCAGCAGTGGGCCGTTGGGGCCTACGCGTTGAGACGCTTGGGGATCCATAACCTGGAAGATCTTCATATTAGATCGAATTTTCACGTAAGCAAATAACAGGGGGCCATCACGTACAGGGCAGCCATTAGAGGATGTGTAGACCGGGGACTCATTGTATCGGTAGGTTTCTACATACTAGTCAACATCAAGATCAAATGCGTTTATGGTACTTGGACATACTAGGCTCGTCGTCTTTACCCATGATGGCGAAGAGGGATTTTATGATAGATAATGGGAATCAGAAGCAAGCGGCGAGCATCATATAAAACCCCGAAAAAAGGGAATAGTGGAAAGCCATGAGAAAAAATTGCCATGAAGCCATAGGACCCACTCACGTTGCTCCAGGGCCTGCGATATCGAAATCATCCGCAGCTCATTGGCCCACAAATAACGGCTCGGAGCCGCGTGTTTACTCACGTCAAATCATGAAGCCAAAATCTCGGGAAGCTACCGGTTTCTAATTGTCTTCGGCAGGACAAGCCGCTATTCCGATCTGAAAGGTCGCAATTTCAAATTGCTACATCAATTCAATAATACTCACCGGGTATTCATTGAACAAATCAGATAGGACATAGAGTTTATTACTCAGTATGCCCACTGTGCAATTCGCTATTACCTATATAGTTCTATAATGAAGCTTCGTTCGTGCGCAATGTGATCAGGGCGGAAACCTCCGGCCTCCGGCTCGGCGGAACCCTGCCGAACCGCCGAGATAAGGGTTTGTTTATATGTACTACTTTTGACTGTTCTCATAGGTCGGACTTAAGGCTGTTCGAACGCTCGTAAACCACTGCGTGTATATCCACGCACTTTTGTAGATGAATATTGGAATCTGTCTCGCTATATGGATGATGTAAAATGTGCGATAAGCTATAAGTAACCCTGCCACGGCCGACAACTTTCATACAAAACCGATATCGATCTAACTCCCGAAGGGATCCAGCATGCTATTGACGGAACTGCCGACGGAGAACAACCTCGTCGGTGCGTTCGCTCCTTGGTGACCTCTGCATCGGTTTCATCCGAAAATGCTACCCTTTGTGCTTTGTTGGCGGCAATCTTTCCTTTAGCCGGCCCACCATCATATTAGGAAGTGGGACTTGGGAGGGGGAACTCGCTGTTGGCATTGATTGAGTTGCTTTTCTTACCTCCACCAACTGTGCTTTGGTTGCATAATGAGGGTTTAAGAATGGAAGGAGGAGCTAGATGAAAAGGATGATGAAATTCGGAATGACATCTTAAACAATCTGCACTATTTCCAACGGTTTTTTTTGACATGAGAGGAAGATCAAGAGGAAATACAAAGTTTGGGGGGAACAAACCAAAAGCAAGCCAGATGCAATTCGACAACACTGCATAGAAACCTTGGGAATACTGCCGTGGGGAGCTTTGCACCCGTGGACATCAGCATAGTCACTATAATGCTAGCTGGGAGTTGTTACTCCAACAGACTAACAATTTTTGATTTATTGGGATGTCCAGTGATCCCTTTCATTCCGCAAACTTAATTACTTTGTATACAAATTCGATCAAAAATCAAAATCAAAACATGACTCGAGACCACACATTAAAGAAAAAAATTGAAAATTGGAAAAAAAGATTACAAACAGATGTAGACGAAAAAAATTTGCATTGACGGGGAATCGAACCCCGCTCTGCCGCTGTAATACATTTGTATGGAAGGCGGCAATCATAACCACTAGACCACCAATGCTAGTTCATGTATAAGCAAACAATTAAACCATCTAAGAACGAAGCTCACTGGTCGCTGAACTACGACATTTTGTTCTATGATTAAATTCATACAGTGATTTGGGAGCCTTGAAGCTCCATATCATATCCTGAGTTTTCTACAAGTTGTCTATATGGGTTGTAGAAAATTCAGATGAAATGTGGGGATGTTTTTGCCCTTGTCGACAGCAACCACTATGTACAGTATACATATATCATCTGGCGTCGATTCTTATCTTGTCCCGCCACCTGGGCATCCCATCTGAACATCAAATATACCGAGGTGGCAACTAGAATCAGTCAAAAAGATTCATCGAAATACTTTAGTGCTTTTCTAGATGGAAGAGATCGAAAGCGTGACGCCTTGGACTCACTTCACTTTAAAGGTCTGCTTTATTCTGTCTAAGGCTCTTTCCCTATCTTTGTACCTCCCTACTTCTCAGGCATCTCTTAGTTCTCCAACCTTAATGCCTGAGAACAAATCTCGTGGGGCCAAGACAGACCTCATCGGCAGGAAATACACGGGCAATTATCATCAAGGTCCGTCATCACTCCCCCTCCCTTTTGCTGCGCATTCCACAAATGATGTGGATATTGGCATTCCTTGGGATGTGATGTCTGTGGGAAACACAGGCATTTATTCCTCTTTGTGAGTAATGCGAAGTGATGCTATGCTGTGAGCGCCATCGCCGTTCTGACCACCATTCTGCACACGAACTCACCTGCAGTATTATCAGCAGATGCAGGGCTGATATGAAGGAAGAGGAGCTGACCTGATCGACCATTGAGGGGGAAATTTTATGGAGTCATATCCATTCTTCATCGACACTGGTCACCTTTAGGATGTCATAGACACCCGAGACTACATACGCGCCCGTTATACATCGATTGATACATTGTCCCAGATTCAGAGAATTCAATCTCCGGAGGCTCAACTTAAGCATTGCATGGCTTAAGTATCCTGAAATGACACCATAAGGATGGGGGACATTGTGAATGGTATGACGATTACGATAGGATCTGACACACCATGTAATACTCAGGTTGAGGAATACAGCTAGAGATTATCGACGAGAAAGAATTCTACTTGCGACATGATGCGCTCGCTTTCCTTTTTGGGACCCCGATCGTACGTAAGGAGCTTACTAGTTAAACACCATATCATTCTCATATCTGGTATGGCTTATTGATCGTAATTCAGAAGGTAGAGACTGCATCTCGGATCAGGTTACAGTACTATAAGCTTACATGATGGTCGTGTTGATATTTTATATAAAAGTAGGTATGATACGTTAAGAGGACGGCAAATCCCCCCCAAATCTCAGCCTTGTACATTACGTAAAGCCAGTTTCCGTACCATCATAGCCTTACTCGACTCATTCCATCAAGCCAAACGAAGTAAAAAATCATTTTTGCCCGTTGAAGCTAGAGCTGTAGTTATGACTCAGAGAAAAGTATTGAGATGAGTCAAATTGAACCTTGTGATCTTGTCACGACAAGCCATTGATGAATGACATCTTGCCCTGGGGTATTACTAATTGTATTTTCTGGGCACAACAGCTGAAGGTGAGCAGCCAATTCACATAATCTACAGCATGCCAGACACTGTGCACCTCCCATACACCCTTCAAACATGGCTTGGCATGATCATTAGCAGAAGCAGGCCAGCGCCAAGGGGTCGTCCACGGGCGATCGATAGTATGTCCGGCCTGCAAGAACCACTGCAGTCTGTTGTACTGCCAAGTATCGATGATTTTGACGATTATCTACAGCATGACTGGACTGGAAATCCTCAACTTGTGAGCAACCACACATTTCCAGAATAGTCCAGCTGTCAATACATATTATGCTCGAACAAACCTCTCCGGGCATGAGAAGCGGTTTCTGGAGAATATAAATGCCTGTCGCGCCAGAATCACTTGGACTGACTTGAAAAGATTGATTTTTACAAGAATGCGTCTAGATCTTGAGCAAGCAGCTGCTGTGGTAGTATCTGCCATGGTGACCAGTGGCCATATGGACTATGCCAGAGAACTGGTCAAAGAAATGATCGGCATTCTTACTAGCAGCAACATGTGGATTCCGGAGGACAGCGATTTCGTCAGCAGCGAAGCAGAGACCATTGCACTCAGAAACCTTTGCGCAAAATTCCCAGTTTGGATTGCAAAAGCAGGAACGGAGATTGAGCCGCCACAGTCTCTATCTGACCTGATCGAAATACTTCTGCAGGACAGACGGTATGCGCCCCGCGATCGCTGTCTTCACATTCCAAACTGGATGTTCAAACAATCTGGAACTCAAAGACCAGAGTATATGAGCGAGTTCCACAGTACGGTGAGCCCCTCTGAGATATCAAAGGCCTTCCCGTCTTTCCCGCCAATGGATGATGTGATTGCTCTTCCCCGGAACACATTTCGTACATTACAACGTTCTATTTTCCGACTTTTTCGCTTCTGGAGAGCAGAATACCGGTTACAGTGTGACATACAAACCCTTGAGGGAGAGGCCTTCTTTCCGACAGAATGGATTGACGAACACGTGCTTAAAGCAGACAGTATTGCATACCTGGGTCATTGGTTCTTCCGCTGCCAGAGGCGACTGCAGAAGACAGTTGTCAGTAACGTCGCTTGGTCAAGATTCCTGCGTAAAGGTGAAGGGAAGACCATATACCAAAACAACATTAGTCTGCAGTCTACATTTGAGAAAGTCTTGGAGACCTTCGTAGAAAGGTTTTCAGGAGGAAGAGACGACGAGTCCCTTGGAACGCCTGAAAAGGTTCTCAAGGTGGTTGACCAGACCTGCATGTTGATGAAGGAGTACGTAAGTCTTTTTGGAGCAGGAAAGAAGGATAACCTCGTTTACAAATTGGGTAAACGAGGGGGAGGTGGCAGAGGCCCAGTTGACCAATACAATATGCTGTGCGATATCTTGGCAAAATTAAAAAGAAAAGCTCAAGACATGGGCATTTTGACTTTCCGGGGCCAGTACTTAAGTTTTTGACAAAGGATATTATGTCATGGGACAATGCTTGGGGGGATGACGCGTTTGCAAATCGGAAGATTCCTGAATGGGAGACTTGGCTCTCAAATCGAGCTATCGATGAATGAACGAGGAACAAAGTATTCTATACTTCTATATATGCTTCTATCTATATTCCCCAAGTCTCAAAGAAAGGTGTTCTGGAATAATAAGCAAAGAAATCAATTTGATTGAGCATTTGGGGCTTTCCCCCGCTCTTTGCGGAGTTGATAGATCTACAGCCTAATAACGCCTGACAGAATCATATCCAAATAAGTTTTGTCCACTCAGATACTTTCAATCTGTTGATTAGATTTAGTTCTCTTGGCGTAGCTATGACTGGGTCCTAAGTCGGCAAGTGGCGTGGTCACACCTAACGTATGCTACGGCGTGACCCGGTCTAAAGGATCGAGTACAGTCGTAGATCGCAACAGAACAGCAACTGCATGACGTAGTTTCACCAACATTGAAACTCTCCGCGTTTGATAAGTCTTCATATTCTCAGGTCCCTTGTTTCAGTCTAGCTCTATTGTGCGTATCTATCCATGTTAAAATACTGGTTCCGCCAACTGATTCCCTTTGATAAATTTTCTCTCTTCAATCTCTCTTTATCTCTCTTTCACTAGAAGTTAACTTCGAATCATGTCGGACGATGGCTCCGCTCCAGCTTATGAGGCTCCAGCATCTATGCGCAATGGCTATGGCACTACCTCACTCGCAGTCGATGTACACGGAGATAAAGACGACCCCGCTTCACCAACATATAAATCAAAAGAGCGTGATTTCATTGACAGACTGTCACGACAGCCAAGTTTCCTAGAGAATTTGGCGGACTCGAGGGACTCACAGTTCCCCGTGCAGGATAGAGGCGAGATAGAGCGATACTTTGTATGTGGACCTTTGCAAAGAGCCACGACAAGTTTACGTCTGATGACGAGATTTGGTACATAGCACGGGCCCCGGAACATGACTAAACACTCTAAATGGCCGATTGTCATGCGAGTTCAAGGGAGTATAATGCCTCAAATGATCTTGCCACTATTTCTAGTCGGTGGCTGGGCGACTCTGATCACCTGCATTTCTCATTTTTATCACAATCGTAAGTAATCTCTCATGAGTACGGAGCAGACGCTGACTCATATCTACCCCATGGGTGAAGTAGTGGGCATAAACAATATCCTGCTCACTGTTCTTGGTTTCGTGGTGGGCTTGTCATTGTCGTTCCGTGGTTCTAATGCTTACGAAAGGTAGCTGATCGAGCTGATCCAACGCCCACTTAGTGGCTAATATTGACGTGACTCAGATGGGCAGACGGACGCAAGTACTGGGCCTCGCTGATACAGACCTCGCGCAACTTATCTCGCATCATCTGGGTGCATTTCGGCGAAAGAGAGGGAGAGGATGGAAAAGTTGATATACTAAGGAAGCGGTATGTAAAGCCCATTTCGATGCTGTTGGATCATTGATGGATGAATAACTACCATGCATAGGTCTGCCTTGAACCTCATCCTCGCATTTGCTGTCGCTTTGAAACACAAACTTCGCTTCAAACCTGATGTGGCATACGAGGATTTGGCGGGCCTCGTCGCCCATTTGGATACGTTTGCCAGTCAAGCCCATGACCGCAGTGTCATGCACCCCTCATCAAAGACACTATGGAAATCCGTTGGAGAGTATCTAGGGCTCTCGTTTGCCAAATCCAATCCACGAAAACTGATCAAGAGGTCGAAGAAACCACTAGGACATCTTCCCATCGAGATCCTGATCCACTTATCTGCTTATATTGAATCGTGTGTGAAAAATGGCACGCTCTCCCTGGCTCAATACCAGGGCCAAGCATGTAGGTGCGACAAGTCTCTCAGACTGGAGATCACTGACCACATCGCGTAGTGACGATGATTTCCACGCTGAATGAAATATTGACTGGAACAGAGCGTGTACTAGACACCCCTTTACCTGCAGCATATAGCATTTCAATCTCGCAAATCTCTTGGATTTATGTGATGCTTCTTCCATTTCAAATCTACAAATTTTTGCACTGGACCACGATTCCCGCTTCTATGGGTAAGCCCACCAGGGTATGCAATCCTAGATAGTGTCACTAACGTCGTCTTTACAGTTGCGGCGTATATAATTATCGGCCTGCTCACCATCGGCAGCGAGATCGAAAACCCCTTCGGAGAGGACGTCAACGACCTCCCACTCACCACATATTGACGTCAGATTGCAAAAGAGCTTGATATAATCACAGCCACTCCTCCGCCAAATGTGGAAGACTTCATGAGCCGTCCAGAAAATCTCGTAATGTTTCCGCTCAGCCAGGAGGGCTATCCATCCTGGAAGGCGCGCAGCAAGGGAGATATTCGTGCTGCGCTTCGAGCCATGTCTATTTTGAGTCCAAGCCGAGAACCTACCTTGGATGAATCGAGTATCTCTACTCGAACGATGAGTTTCTCCAGGAACCCTACAGAATCTGTTTAATTTCAATCTAGGGGACTGTAGCATAGTCCTCTCTCCTCGAATCGGAGCTCTGATAGATGCGAAGCCATTCAGTAAACAGTTTTTTGAGGCGTGCCGTGAAATATTTGATTGATGACCTATGTTGAACGAACAGCGTGCATAGAGTCAATTAGGCATACTGCATTTCCATTCTCATAGGAAACTTTTACACGAGTGTGTGGAAGATATTGCGTGCTATATATTACCAACGACATAATTCGTTCGAACATACATAATATGTTATTATGTGTCACTGCATATACATCTGCCTTCGAACTTTCATTTTCAGAGGGTTTCAGCAATGACTTAACACACATCAAGGAACTTTGCAGTGGACCTTCAACTTCCAAGGTTTACCTTTGGATGTTTCTCTTTTCAATCCACATTTGAGGCAGATGGTAAACGCTTATGTAATCCGCGTTTGTCGTGACTTGACGCGACAACGTTAGTCTGCAGATCTCGTCAGATCGATAACCAATGGCCATTGCACAACAGACGTCACATAATCCGAAATGACGTCTCTGGCTTTTACCCTGGACCCAGATGCCATTGTTCGGTTCCATGAGATCTTCATATGCCTTGCTAAATTCAGCGATACCGTTGCCCTCGAGGCCGAGCCGGATCTTGTAAACCCCCTCACGTTGACCTGCCATCAGAAACACCGGTGCTGACTCCTAAATTCAGCTCCGACTGAGTGCCCTTAATTCCACAAAGACGGCATTTGCCTCTTTTGTGTGTGACAGGGAAGAATTTTTCCAGAAGTACGAGTTCAGTGTGAGCAGAAGCAATGGGTATTCGTTCCATGGTCAGGGCGGTGATCGGTTTTATTGTCAAATACTGCTCAAGGCATGTGAAAGACCAAGCCTGGTCTTGTATTGGAGCGTGAACACTAACCTTATATCTTAGGCACTGCTTTCCGTTTTCCGGGGGAAAATCGATCGTGGCAAAGAGACAGCGATAGAAGCTTGTCATGTAGAACTTCATGAAGACTACCACCAGACGCAATGCCGACTGAATATCAGGATGGACTGCGCCATGGGTGTGATCAAATCATACAAGCTGACTTATGAGCCGGCTGCGATTCAGCATGCCATATTTGATCCGAGCAGCACAACGAGCAAGTGGTCTGCGGATCCTCGATATTTGAAGCAGATCGTCGATCATTTCAGCGCATCTGCAGAACAGCTAGATATGTACGGCGATGATGAACAAGCTGTTTTCACGAGCTTTACGAAAAAAATTACGGATGGAGATGGTACGCGATTATTCAAGACTCTGGTCTCTGAAAACTTTCATCTTGACACATCTAATGCTGTCTACAGAACTTCTTAAAAATCCGATACACACCTCAGTTGCCGCCACAAAGGCGGATTTTGAAGAATTTTCCGTGGAAGACAACATGCACATCACTATCAATCTGAAAGACTTTAAAGCAGTAGTGTTTCATGCTGAAACGGGAATGGCCACAATGTCAGCACAGTATACCCGACCCTGCAAGCCAATGCAACTTACCTACGACATACCAGGTATAAAAGCGGAGTTCACTCTCATGACTCGCGGCGAAGCAGACCCCGACGACACACCGTCTTCATCACGGGCGACAATGCCGCAGCTCTCGCGGCGGACGGCCGCTCCTGTATCTACAACTGCCCAGGTCTCGACAAGAGATGCTTCATTCCGTGCTATGACGGAGAATACACCGATGCCACCCCCTCCCCCGCGGAATAGGCCTCTACGTCCGCTGCATGGGTCGTCGACGCAGGACCGTCTTTCTCGTAATTCCCCTATGGACAGACCCTCGGCATCGGCAGCATCAGAATCGGTGGAGTTTGATAGCCTCTTTGTGTCACAAGATGATGATCGATGGGATGAAATGATTACCAATGAAGAGCCGCAGGATATTCTTGGGTGGGATGCAACGGGTCAGGTATGTTGAAGCGTCTATTAGACTGAAGGATTGTGTAGCTGATGCAACTTAGACGCCACTCGAAGGAACCCTCCGTGACGCGGAACCAGATTTCCCGAAGCCAAAACGACGAAAAGATCAGACAGCAGAGGATGACCTGGGCATCCCCCCAACGCAACGCATATCACAGGTAAGTCTTCCATTATATCTGCGGGACTGATTTGTCTAATGGTGCACAGGTTCGCGGCATGGGTCTCTTTGACTAGACTTTGTTACTCAAATAATGTCAACATCAACTCCTTTCAGGTGCAGGTACCAAGTTGTGATCAATCCACAATCACCCAACTCGTCGCACATCCAGCCCCAACCCCAATAACCCTTTCACCAGCATTATAAACAGCATTCGGTACCGAAATCACCTTGAACGTGCCGGCCACATTGCCGTCGGAATTCGTATCCGGTCCACAGTTTCCGTGCTCGCCCCACCCAAAAGCCGCCACGGACCCATCCCGCAAGAGTGCAAGGACATGTTCACTACCAACGGCAATTCTATCCAAAGCAGGAAGACCAGGCGGCGGAAGTTGGCCGCGATCATTGCGGCCCCAGGCAACAAGCGAACTCTTCTTCGCAACGGCAGGGGACGAAGAACCTTCAGCTAGCGCAGCCACATGGACATAAATCCCATGCCAACTTGCCCCGATATCCTCCACCCCCCACAATGCAGCCCCACCCCTAACACTAGCAGAAGGAACACAGAAAGAATCCACACTAGCTCCTACACCTTCTTCACCTCGTATCCGTACCCGTAAAGCATCGGAATCATTCACATCCAAAATTCCCCACCGATTTTTCTTATCACCAAGAACCAAAAACTCCCCTTTCTCTCGCCTGCCAATCACAACCGTAAACTCCCGCCCACACACAGCGCCTGTCGCTGGAAACGGAATCCCCAAGATCTGCATTGGCGACCATATAATCTTTGCCCCCTTCAGTCCCTCGCCCAGCTGACCCTTTCGAGACGCACCCCATCCGTAGACATCTCCATTCGAGAGGATGGCAACCGAGTGTCCCATCCCGCTGGCTAGCGCAGAGACTGTGGTGCCAAGTGGTGGGAACTTAGATATCGATGTACCCGGTGTAACGGACATACCGTGTCTCATGGTGCTATCTCCGAGGCCGAGTTCGCCTTTCAGAGCCGATCCCTGGACAAAGACTTTATCATTGTGGATGGTGAGATCACTATGCTTATCAGAAGAATGGGTTTGTGATGATACATCGGCGACGAGGATAGACGCCTCCCATGTCGCGGAAACGGACTTAAACGTGTCAACGGTGCATCCAGTAGTGTGGTCCGTGATAATTACACGCTGGAATCGTAAAATATTCTTCTCTTCATTTCGGATTTTCTCTGTATTGGCTTTCAATTGGTCCTTTGAAAAGTCAATGTGCGTATCTGGACCGCAGCGTCCATCAGAATTGTCCCCGGCCGCATAGACATGACCCTGTCGCGTTAAGAGGAGTGTATGGTTCCCTCCAGCAACAATTTGAGCAATTTCGTCTTTCACTTGGCCGACTGAGCCCTGATCTTGATCCCCAGTAAATGCTGCAAATGGTGTGAAGAGGCATTGTGTTGGGGTAGACACATCTTCTGTGTGGCCAAGACCTAATTGACCGGACCCGTTGGAGCCGAAGGCGAGGAGCTTCATTTTCTTTCCTGTTGATTTTAATTCACTTTCCAACCTTCTCCTCGGTATATTTGCAGAACATTGGCGTCGTATAGCTGAGGACGATGCTTCATGTCGGGTTCCACGATCCAATGGTAATTCCCTTTTGGCGCCCACCACTTGCCGCTCCATATTACATAATCTGATTGCTGCGATTAACAGATATAATGCGGCGGCATCTATCTCCAATCCAGTACGAGGTATAAATTTCGTGCAGGATCTGATCCATTCATTCCTACTTGGCTCGTTGAATAGGTTGACCAGTCCATCCATACTGACATTTCCCCCAATTGAAACACTTATCAGATCGGCGTTTTGGGATTTCTCCGCGGTTACTTTGGGACATGATTGCAGTTGTCATTGCCTCCATAGAAATGGAATCTATGATTCGTCGGGCTTTGACTAGATATGGGGTCAGTAAGCTTAAGCCGGCCGAGTTCCGAAGGGTCTTCCGAGGAATACGGCAACTTTGGGATTTTGAAAAGTCAATTGCCATGTCCCACACTCCAGGGCTTGAAGTTCTAGATTGCGACATTTTACAAGGAGAAAAATGAAATTCGAGACTAGATTCCAATCAATGGAATCCATGATCATTCAAGCCGAAGCTGGGTATGTGAAGGTATCAACATCTAATTATAAACAGGCGCCAAATCAATGCAAGTCATGCAATGTCCAAAGCAAGCGGTGATCCGCTTGATCAAATATAAACAGCCCAAGAACACTTTTCCTAACGTCCCAAAATAAAAATAAAACAAGCCTGCCAAAAATGTATGGAATATGTACTGGAAGATCTCGTCTGATCATTCCTCTATGAGTGTTTTTCACTCGACGAGAAGGTATTTGACTCGCCGGAGAGCGTGCGCTGCTCGCTGGTATAAGCATGCCCGTTGGCATTGGATGATGTATTTTGTTGCTCAGAAGCGGCGGGCACGTTTGCGGGGTTGTCGTGCCGCTCGGCATTGGTGTAGGCCTCTTCGTCCACCTCGGCAGCGGGCGGCAAGGTAAAGTCATCCTTCCGGTTGGAGGATCCAGGCTTCTCCATGGGGCTCATGCCTTTGAACATGGGGCTGGTCCGGTGGAAGTAAGTGTGAACATGGCCCTCGAGCAGCGAGTCATCGGTGTCATCGACGCTGTCATCGCCGACTTCCTTCTCAGCATACTTCGAGGCCATGGCAGCCTCCCACTCCAGGCGGTACTCCTCAACCTTGTGCTGGTAGTCCTGCTCGGCATCGTAGTTGCGGTCGAGACGCAGGACAAAGCGCTCATACCAAGAAAGGTGCTTGGGGTGGACTGCAGGGCCATGGTATTCTTGCTCCCGGCCCTCCCGGAGGTACTGCCAGCGACGCTCCTGCTCCTTCAAATCCAGACCAGTGGTATCCGGCAGGAAGGCCAAAGTCAAAACAACACCAGCCAAGCCAAACCAGGGAACAACCAAAAATTTGGTTTGATCGGAGATGTAGTTGTAGAGAACAGCGGCCAGAAGAGCACCGGATTTACCAGCTGCAGCGGAGAGACCGTGAGCAGTGGCACGAATGGGCGTGGGGTAAACCTCCGCAGCCACCAGGAAGGTCACACTGTTCGGGCCAAACTGGTTGAAAAACGAGCTGAGGAAGTACATGGCCTGGAACTCCTTGATGTGTTCGGCCGAGGTGTAGTACTCGTAATGGAATGCGGGCACTACAAACAAGACAAAGCACATCAAGAAACCGAATGTCTGCATCCACTTGCGACCGTAGAGCTTGTTGTCGATGACGAAGGAAGCACAGTAGTAGCCGACCAGGGAGACACCCACGTTCACCAAGCTCCACAACCAAGTGGGCATGATTGAGTCGGTGGATGGACTGATCACAGAGATGAATTCGCTCTGGAACAGCTTGTTGCCGTAGAAGAACACATCGTTACAGAACCATCCACCCGCAGTTGCAATCAGACGAGGACCGAAGTACTTGAAAGTGAGACGCAGAGAGTCAACGTCATAACCAGTGACTGACGACTTCTTTTTCGCGGCGGTCAATTGCTTACTCGCCGCCTTCATGTGGTAGGCACGGTAGTAGACAAGCCACAGGGTTCCAGCGGCCGGGAGAGCGAAGGAGATACGGTATGTCCATTGGGTCGAAACGGCGGAGTAGGGGTTGTTGCCACTGCCGTGGTGGAAAATCAACAGAAGGATAATCAGCAGAGCCTGGTTGAAGAATTGACCCCAGCCCTGCATCAGGAAAGCGCTGGTAACCTTGCGGCCTCGGTGGAGGCGGTCCTCCTTGGTCGAGATCTTGCCGGAGCCCACTGCGTTCTCCATACCGCTGGTGGCAGTCATCGGGTATTCGCCGCCTAGTATTTGGTTAGTTGAGCCCTTCTTGTCCAGAGTGAATCCCGAGAGCCCACTTACCAACTCCGATACTGTAAAAGAACAGCGACCAGGCATAGCAAATCACCCATCCATTCATGGTGGTACCCCACGCAGCCGTGAGCATAATCAAACCGAGAAACATGATGGAAGCATCCTGAATCAAACCCCACCGACGTCCCAACCTGTATCTTTGTCAGTCTTCTTAATTTCTCTTTCCTTCCTGTGCTCGCGTGACCTACCAATCACCAATGATTCCGACCAGAATCTGACCGAAAATGATACCAATGATTTCCAAATAATCGACCGCATTGATCCACTGCTGGTTACACGTGGTGGCGGTATCCCAACAATCGGGGAATGTCTTCTCGAACAGCGGCTTGATGTTGCCGATGGAGAACAGCACATAACCCTCCAAACCCAGACCCGCACCAGGCAGGACCATATTGCGGAAGTAATATGAGACGGGCGAGAGGGGATCAACCTTGATCATCTCCCAGATGCTGGCCAGTTCTCGCCTAGTCTCTGCGGCATCGTAAGAGCCGACGAACTTGATCTTTTGACCGAGTGGCAAATCTGCCCAGTATGTTCCATCCTTTGTATAGCTGTCGTCCGGACGAATCAATTCGTCAAAAGCCCCCCTTTCATGAGTATCCATATCCTCCAACGGGTTGTGGGTGCCAGTCATGTCAGGCCCATGAGGGGCCCGTAATCCAAAGTCGGCCATGGCGAAGTGTGAAGCTTGATGCAATCAAGCGAGGATTGGCTGTGGACGGTGGTCCAAACCGAAGGGAGGTTCGAGGAGGGGGATGCAAAGAAGATGGTGGTTTGACCACAAAAAAAAATTCGGGGTGACCGAGCCAAATCCGGTGTGGACTTCAAGATCTTATATTTTTTGGGAAAAAAAGGTAACGGGATTCACGGAAGAGACTGGGCCCCGCTCCAGTCAGCCTTAATGGTAAAGTGGCAAGCTCCACTCATTCTCGCAGCTTCGTTTAACCAAAAACCAAGAAAAAGGCAAGAAACCCGCCCATCAGAGACTTCTTTACCTGCGGTTCGCACTCGCACGAAAACAGAAGGTGCAAGTGGACCCTGATGGAGCCACATGAGAAATCTACACCAATCATCACCGCACGTGGTGGCAGAATAACTCAATCTCTGCGCCCAGAGAATTCACCGCCTGCGATACTGGGCATCGGGGATCGGCGAAGTGGGGAAGCAAGCAGCTCAGACTCCGACTCCATCACAACTAGCGATTAGCCCCAGACCGACAAAATTGCTCGCGTGAGGTCCTGTCAGGATCCAAGAATGCACAGTTCAGCCCATGTTCGCCCCGAAAAAGCAATTATCCAACAGATCAGCACTCGTATCGGTCGATCTCAATGACGACCCCCCTTGATTGTCCGGGGAACCTTCGATTTCTCCCAATCTTCTCATGCAATGGCAGCTCGCATGTGCCCACGTGCGCACTTTCCTTTCTGTTACTAGTGCGGATCACCCGGAGTTGCATCATTTGGCCTAGTGGTTAGGTGCAGCAATGGATCCCCGTGCAGGTTCAGACCCTCGAGATCTGACGTCGCTGGTTGGCTTTTTTTAACTCCACGCTAGCATCTGGGGGAAAGGTGCCCCATCGGCCAGTCATATCCCCGGATGCGCGCACATGGTACCCTTAGCGCCGGTGGACTCCTTTGGGTACCCCCTCCCTTATCTAATGGGGATTCAAATGGCGGAATTGTCCTGCAATCTCGGCCTCTTGGCCCTACTTTGCGCGTCGCATGGGGCTTGCACGGTGGATTTGCTCTGTGTCAAGTCTCTTGCTCTGCCGCGCTTGTACTTGCCGCATGCCCTAGCTCCACTGAACCGTTGGATTTTTGTGACAGAATGTGGGACTACTGAACGAGTACATAATTGCACTCGCGTGATCTCTTTGCCGTTACCGCACTAACCGAAAGGAAAATTGGAGACCAATGGGCTTTCTTCCAGAGCTATCCGATTAAAGATTAAACATTTTGAGCTTGTTACTTTTTAGTTTTCGCTTTTTTTTTTTTGACTTTCGATCTTTGATCGGTCACCACTTGGACATGTTCATTCCAGCCTGGTCACTACAACTCATGGGAGTCTGGTTGGTTCACTTCGTGTTGCGAGAAGGCTGTCCAGTACCCACCAGAAGCTGACACGGGTGTATCAAACTTTGTTTACCTGAGCTCCAGGAGCTTGCACCCGGAGCTAACTAGAAGATCGTCAAGCAGCTTACACTTCAACCAATAAGAGCTGACAGGAATGACATGTGTACTTCTCTGTGCCCCAAGGGATACCGATCTAACCGAGCCGAAGGCACCGCCACCCGCTGTCTATGATCGCGCCTTTAGGGGCTCGGCCGGTTTCTAGAAGATTGCCTCACTGGGGCAAGCGCTTACCTTCTTGTTTCGGCTTGGGATCATTGAAGCCCGGAGGCTATGAGTTTCGTGCTATTTTGTCCTGATGTGAGTAAAGGTGTATACATCGTATGTCCCAGGCCCTTGAATAATTACCAAAGCCAAGTCACACAAGTTCTCCTGCCTACTGCATATCCCTTTTGGGGAAACAGCGCCCCGACTGTATGAGACGGGCGCGAAGATCGGCAACTAACAACATAGACCGGAATTTGTAAACAAGGGCTCCCCCCCCCCCCCCTGTTTTGGCTGATGGCATCGGAAAAGCGGCACATTTCCTTGTATTTCTTTCTTACCCCTGACTCTACCATGCATCTAGAAAAAGATGCCGATCAATGTATTGATCGTGAGCGAATTCAACCGGGAAATTCTTGCCCGACAGTGGAGAGAATTAAACAGGCTTCATTTAATAATCCGAGCATGAGGATCCGTACTCCGTACAGAAAGAACAATACATAAAAACATTATTCTTCATGCAGCAAATTCTACGGGATTTGCTAGTCTACGTAACACTGCTACCTACCCTACCCGTGGATGATATCAGCCCATGTCGCCGTTACATTCCAGCGCCATCCACCTCTTGATTCGAATGCCCCCTCATTATCATGTATGTGAATGACTCTCACCATTCAGGTGGGCGATATAAAGGTGATGAGTGGTTCGATAATTTATCATACTTCGTCAATTCCATCCCTGGATCTTGTTGTCAAGTTAACACATGCTGAGAACGGCCCAAATGCATTTCTTGATCATGAAAGGGTATTGAACAACCTTGGAAGCACCATCACTGGGCTTGCAAGACTAGACGGGAATTGCAAATACAGTGAAGAGGCCTCGAAAAATCATGATCAAATGAAACCGTAGAAGAAGTAGCCATGGTCAGGAGGTACCGTTGAGTTCTCAAAATCTCATTGGTTGGCCGCCACCACTGGAGCCGAGGTCCAGCGCGAACTTTGATGCCTGAGAAACCAGTCAAAAGTCCAGACCTCGCCTCATGCGCCGCCACCGGTTTTCCGCCACCTAGACACAAATATTCAACTCGAGGTGTTTGACTGCTCTAGTAAAAGCGGCGGTCAATCTCCTTGAACATGGAGATGGTTATGCGAATCAAAGACGTCACCTACTTATATTTTCCAGATGGCATACAGCATTCAAACTGCAAAAGGCTGAATGGATAGACTTGGTAATGGAAATCAAGTGAAAATGAGACCAGATTCAAACTAAAGCCTATTTCTCGCGATTGCCGGGATAGTCCGAATCATTAATTCTTCATAAGCCAACGGTGGAATACTATACCTAAGAAGACTCCAAGTCAGCATTAAGAAGCATATAAGTACCCTCTCCTGGTTCGGGAATACCCATTACCAACCTTACAATTTAGACCGTGTCCCAACCCGAGTCTATTTGCGTACTTTTCAATCCGCCACAGGACCGAGCACACTTTGGAGATCCCCACAAAGGCATTTCTATCAATCACCAAGCAGACAGATCTATTCCAGCCATTTGTTACTCTTCTCGGGCATGTGCAATTAACTTAACTCGATGATCTAACGCTTGCAGTCAACGAGGAGGCGTGACTATCTTCAACAGGCAAGATCTGACCTTCCAGCACCAAATAACCGAAGGCCAAGAGTGGTTCGGTTGCAGAAATTCATAGGCATTTTAGTCAGATATCCAGCACAAAAGAATCGAGAGGACATGTGCTTATAATCCCAAACAAGGACCTGGTATGAAACAGTGCAATATGTGAATAGGTTATTCATTGTTGTCGCAACATCATGAAACTTCAGGCTGTGCTTCATGATCTACCAAGACGTGGAGCCGACACGTTCTTTCGTGATGACCGATCACAGGAGCTCAGGGTATCTTCTGTCTTGTCTTTCCGAGCCACGTCATACTTTTTGCTCGAACTGGACGAGAAGCCTGAAATCTGGGGCGGGTTTTCAAATTACTCAATTTTGTTCAAATATGTAAATAGATTGAGCCCATGCCTTTCCTTGGCTTTTCGTGTAGACAAGACCTGATGTTCGGCCATCTCATATCCACTCCGTTGGCCACTACTTTCCACGGAAATGAATGGTAGGAAGTGTTGCAATATGGTATGATCGGCGATTCAAGCATCAAGGGAAGACCCTCCGATGTTGGAACGTGCTTCACGACAAGCATGAGTCCTGTATGTGTTCATGACTAATGATATGCGATTATAGCCTATCTGTGGATAAGTAGCGAGGCGCGCCATATTTTAATGATCAATCGTGTTAAATTTCAAATCATGAATGAAAAATAACACGGTCAATAAATTGGAGAAATTCAAATTGCAGTCCATGGAAGGTGGTCACGTACGACATGAAAAATTGAATCATGAACAGCTTCATCCTTGTCCAAGAAGAATATATCTCACCACCACCGTTCCCACTGCCGCACTGTATACCGACTAGAAGGAACCCACCTGGGCTCTCAATAAACAATAGTGATAAGAATTATCAACTCAGAAGCCCCTACTGTAGGGGTGTCACATACCTGAGTTTATGTTTCTCAGTTGAATTGACGTCCAGCTGCCTCGTGGGTCTGCTGCATGACTATTGAACATTACCCCCTGTCTACACATAGCAGTGTCAAGGCTAGCTCTACAACTCGTGGGTCTTAATCGTTAAACAGAGAGACCATATCTGACCCAATTCCTCTTGGTGGTTATCGTTCAACTTCCCCTCTTCGCATATGCAGATCATTCAACAGCCTTTCCCACGTTCTAATATATACATATATATTTTCTTTTGATTGTTTTTTTTTCTACAAAAATCAGAATTGAGCCTTGGAAGCTTGCCGGCTGCATTTTTAGTGATTGCTATTTTCAATGTCAGAAGCCGCCCTGTCGGGGGGTCATCTACAACCAGTCAAATCAAGTACCACGAAAATTATCGTCAAAGGAAAAAAAGAATTCACAATTCCTGGCAAAGCAATGACCCAAGGATTGTTGAATTACGCGTGACCTCATCCATCCTCGAATTGCCAGTGTGCAAGATCCCCAGTGGCTGGCAACATTCCTCACCCAACCCACCCGTTAACCCCTTCCAACCCAACCAAACACAATTCATGATCTCCATCGGATAATGGACCTACCCTTACCCGATCATTCTCGTTCCCCCGATGAGCATGCCCCGGACGATTAATCCTTCAACCTCGTGATGACAGCCCCCCGACATGTGGGATCGCGCTCCTGGCCTCGCCTGCTCCTGCCTACTAGCCCACACTGAGAATGATGGCGTGCATGCATGGGATAGGACTGTGTGGTGATATAAAGGGTCTGGGTATTGGAGAGTCACCGATTTTTGGAGTGTGCATCAGGTAGGTTTCATCTCAGCGTCGTGAGGTAGGTTATTCGGATTATGATTTGTTTTCCCCATACTAACTTGTTTGCAGTAGCTTCGAGTCTTGGTTTAGAGCCTCTTTATTATCTGATCCTTCATTCTGTTGGTCAGTACTCGACCTCCAGCGCAGTCTCTATGGCGATGAGGCTCTGCCAGTACTGACAATCATAGCCTCATTCAGCTGAAATGTCTCGGCCCAATTTGAAAGGGCTGTTCCCTGTGGCGGCAGCGTTCATCGCGTTCATCCTTACTCTTCTCTGCCTGTTCGCAGGCACGCAAAGGAACCTGCTCGATGGAGCGGACATCCTCACTGTACGTTGTGCACTCCGACCATGTCCCCCACGTCAAATCCAAGTCAGATCCCAGGCTAATCCACTTCTCTCAGCTCTACACCCCCGAAGGCGGATCCAGCTCCGGGATCCACGAGTTCTATTCCATCCATGTTATGTCATACTGCCAAGGGATATTGGACACAGTCGAACCCGGTGCACCAGGTAGCGCGCGCAACGTGACGCAGTGTTCGGACCGCCAGATTCTTTTCTCATTTGATCCGACGGACGCTTGGTCGGAAGCCATAACACATGGGCCTACATTAGAATGGCCTCGCGTGATCAGCGACGACTTCCACGCCTTCCGTCTCACGACACAAGCGATGGCGGTAATGTACTGCGTCGGCGTGAGCGCGGTGGGCGCCGTTCTCCTCGTGCGGGTATCGTCATTCATCTCGCGGAGGATGCAGCAGGGACCATTTGAGTTTGGATTCTTTGTGGTAAGTAGCAATTCATTTTCCTGTGCTCGCACCTCTCTCGGTGAGACAGATTCAGCTAACCATTGTCAGCTGGGATCCCTGAGTATGAGCATAGCGTCTATTATTGCGACGGTAGTAGCGTTTGAATTTGTGGCTTTGATCAATGCCCACGGGGACGGATCCAACGTGTCGGCTAGCTACGGGACCAAGTTCCTCGGCATGAGTTGGGCGGCTGCTGGGTTACTTTTAGCGGGGAGCATCGTCAGTTTGGTGAATCTGGTCCGGGGGCCGCACGTGGAGTCGCCCCCGGAAGACGAAGAGGGGTTAGAGAAGTTGGAGGGGTAACGACGGGACTGTGCGCTCATGCACTAACATCCCAATTGGAATGAGATGCAGGGTTCGGGGAAACTTGTCCACGGATTGTAGCCTAGCCCAAGATTTTGATTGATTGATTTGGGATGAGATGACGATGCCACCTGAATGAAACCAAATGCCCGTGTTCAAACCAATCACATATGGACCAGTAACTGGGGACGGAAATGAGCCAAGCCTAGACGGTATTCCTGGATGGCGACTTGACGATGGAGTAATCCTCTCCCAATTTTGGCGCTAAGTTATGGGTACCCAATAGAAGGGATACAATCGGGAAGTTTCTCTCGGTAAAAGGATCAATTAGGCCATGTAGCCCGGAGATGTAAGGGACTACAGGAAGACGCGACGACAAAGTAGACTCGAATAAACCTTGGAACCAAGTCGTTCTCATCTGCGACTAACGGGAGAAAACTGGGGCTGGTGGCCTGTCAGCCGTCGTCTTAGTACTAAAAGAAGTGGGGAATGGCGAAGGTCGATCAGGTTCAGGTCTTTCTGCATGGCGATTTGAATATCAGATTCGCATGCCACCTAAGTCAGCGCCGCAGGAACACAGTGCTCCGGAACAGCCAAAGCCCGGGGTTTGGGGAAAGGGCTAAGCCTCCTTGGACTTCGGCGCGATGATTCTCGGGAATGCGGAGGTGTTTCGCATGAGATACGGGATTTCCCGCGATCACAAATATGGTCATTTTTTGTACGCACTCGGGAGTTCCCACGCGCATGAACAAATCACAATGGCATAAGAGACCATGAGGGATAATACTGGACCCAAATGAGGTCAAGCGTAAAGCGTGTTAGGTGCCCGACGTAGGCCATACAGACTCGTTTACCAGTTCGTATCATACGGTATATTAGAAAATTATCTTAGATCTTAGGTACCAAGGACAACTGCTAATGTTAGGGGTTGTACATGCTATATAACCCGTTACACGATCAATGGGATTGTTGGGGCATGGAATAGAATGGAAGCGTAACCAAAAGAAAGCATAATGATGTTCTCATTGCTGATTGGGAAACAAGGCGGAGGCCTGTTCCGTGCGCCCCAATCGATGAAGTCATTCACTTTTGATAGAGGAAACGACGTTCCAAGGAAAACTCACGAGAATTCCGTTCTTTCTCTTTTGGTCATTCAATACAAATAGACCCCTCATTTCCCCTTTTTCTCTTTTCCCCTCAAACACTCTTCTCTTACCCACCAATCCTACACTGCACTTGATCTTGGATCTATACTCTATACTTCCACCTTACTTCATCCCCATCCTACTGTCCAATCATGGGTAAGAAAGCGATCCATTTTGGCGGCGGCAACATCGGCCGTGGCTTTGTGGCGGAGTTCCTTCACTCGGCCGGTTATGAAGTTGTCTTCATTGATGTGATGGACAACATCATCTCCGCCTTGCAATCCACCAAGTCCTACCAAGTCACCGAAGTCAGTGAGGAGGGTGAAACCACCAAGACCATTACCAACTACCGCGCCATCAACTCCAAGACCCATGAAGAAGATGTGGTCCAGGAAATCTCCACCGCCGATATTGTTACTTGCGCCGTGGGACCCAACATCCTGAAGTTCATTGCTCCGGTGATCGCCAAGGGTATTGATATCCGATCCACCCCTAAGCCACTGGCCGTCATTGCCTGCGAGAACATGATCGGTGGCACCGATGCTCTGCACGGCCATATCAAGGACAAGACTGACCCGGCCCGAGTCGAGACTCTCGGTCAGCGCGCCCAGTTTGCCAACTCGGCCATTGACCGCATCGTGCCTGCACAGCCTGCCGACGCCGGACTCAATGTGCGCATCGAGAAGTTCTACGAATGGGTCGTGGAGAAGTCTCCCTTTGGCGACGTGGGACACCCCGATATCGCCGCGATTCACTGGGTCGACCATCTCGAGCCTTATATCGAGCGCAAGCTGTTCACCGTCAACACCAGTCATGCGACTGCCGCTTACTACGGGACACATGCCGGAAAGAAAACCATCGCCGAGGCGATGCGTGATTCTTACATTAAGGGTGTTGTCCGGGATGTCCTGAACGAGACGGCCTCGCTCATCGTTGACAAGCATGAGATCACTGCCTCGGAACAGCAGCGCTACGTCGAGACTATCATCAGCCGGATCTCCAATCCCTACTTGGAAGACAGTGTCGAGCGTGTTGGTCGGGCCCCGATCCGCAAGCTGGGACGCAAGGAGCGATTCATTGGACCTGCCGCACAACTGGCGGAGCGCCATGCACGTTTCGAGGCATTGCTGGGATCCGTGGAAATGGCGCTGCGCTTCCAGAACATTGAGGGTGATGAGGAGAGTGTGGAATTGGCCAAGATCCTCAAAGAGAACTCACCTAGTGATGCTGCTGTTCAATTGACAGGCTTGGAGCGAGAGCACCCTCTATTCCAGCCCGTGGTGAAGGTGATCGACCGGGTGCAGTCCGAGGCAAAGTAGGTTTACATCTGCCTCCTGCATCTTTGGGTTGAGACTAACTGTTCAACTATAGGGCTCCGGGTCAGCCCCGCATCTAAGAGGCTTCCTCTGTGTATTCTTCCTGTCGCATGGAATACGGGCATACACGGCGCCACGGTGAACCGGCTTATGTCTTTTTCATTTTTCATTTTTATCTGATGACCTTACGATTTTTGCATGTATGAATTAGCCTAGCAAATGAACTGATTATGACTCAACGATGATCCTGTAGACAAAATGATTCTTAATTGCTCTTCCCAATTGCTGCCGTGACGATGTGGTTTCGTGCGACACTGATGCAATGCCTACGCAATCTCCAGGGTGCCATCCCCACCCCGGCATCACCCCTGGAACATGCTAGAACCCGGCCCTGCCCGCGGGATTGAATATCAGAATCTAGAAAATGACGACTGGCCAACAATGGATCCGACAATTACCCTGTCAGCTCACCGGATATTATTCCTATATTGCTGCCCGACACTGTTCAGTGCGGAAAAGTAATTTTCCTTCAAATGACCGAGTAGCCAATTACGCACCCAGGTCCGTTTCACTAGCATGCACCACTACTAAGCTTCCTCTGCTAGCGCCTACCAGTCAATTGCGGGGGTTTCTGAAATAAAATGTAAATTATTGGTGGCCGCACAGGCATTGGGTAGTCAGATGTAAACCGGGCGATCGAAGTACTTCCGAACCATCATTTCGATCTCAGAAATTCAGTGCAATGAACACAGGAAACAACCATCTCTGCTGAAAGAAAACAAAGGACGATCTTGTTCAAATGATTCTGTGTTCATTTCTCAGTCATTCCTTCCACCTTTGCCCCTGCAAGACGTTTCTGGGCAGCAATACCCCGAGCAAGGAGGTCCTCGTAAGCTAAACACCATTCTGTCAGCAAAGGTCCAATCAAGTCTGATCAGCCCATACCTTCAGTTGGCGGCGTAGCAACATGCTCACCGACCGGCACATCAAGATATTTGACAGAAGTTTCCGGAATAGAGATCTAAATCTTAGCTAACAATCACTCGCACGAAAAGTCCGAAACATACATTATGAGCCTTAAGGTCCGCACAAACCAGAGCAGCAGTGCGCTCAATATTCTTCATCAACACCCGTAGCTCGACCGTCGGGGACGAGCTCAAAAAACTCGGGATCCGGTTCTTGCCCAGAATCTGCTTCCAGCTGTACCATTTCACCGAAGTTGAAGGGATAGTGTAGTTATGTTTATCCAGCCAGGATAGACATTCCATATGATTGTAGGCAAGGAATAAGCCTCGATTAGCGCAGTGAGGCTCTTGTCTTGCGGCATTCATCAATTTTCCATCTGATTCGGCACGATTGGAATATTCACTGAGGAGTCTTTGGAATTCTCTCCTGTCGAGTCGGTTATGGAGAAGATTTGTTCTGATTGTGTCGATGATGCCTGCTGTTTTGGCCAGGAACTCAACTGCTGTTATGACTTCGGATGGTTCAGTCATTGCGATGGCTCTTTGGAAGGTGTCAAATGAGTTTCCGTGGTGACGAGATTTGGGGGGGTGTTAGGGTAGTTGGGTCTAGATGGATTTGCTCGTAACAAAGCAGCTGATCGGATACGAAGGATAGAGAACCAAGGGACGAGACCTGGGGAAATGATCCATTTCTTGAGTCACCTTTATCATTTGATACGGGACTTGACCGTTGGTCATAGGTTATTGTGAAACTCAACCATGGTTGACCTCGGATCTGATTGGTTCGCAGCTGATCAGAACCTGCCATTGAATCACTCATGCTGTGCCATTTTATTGACACCGTCAAACTTGATCGAACGACTTATGACAGCCTGGCGTACCCTATACTCCCGAAGTTGGGTACTTCTCGGGTATGACCGTCGCCGGGACCATAGTCAACGGCCTTTGCCAGACAAAATCAAATTTCATGATCAAAAGTCTTATCTTGGAAGAACCTTAAATTTAGCAGCAGCCGTGGGTTGAACATATGCAATTCTACTTAATCTATGAAGTTCATCGCATCTCTATGTCTATATTCATTGAATATCCTTTCGCATGAATACGATCTCGATATCCCATCTGTCTCCGTTCGCATCCCACACATCGTAGTAGTTCGGCACAGTCTTGATAGGTATATATCCCCGACGACCATACCAATCTTGGTTTGTGATCTACAGTATAAGAATTAGTCTTTGATACAAGCTTTTAGATTGTTTTAGTGCTCACCTTCGGAACAGCTCCGTAAGTCGAGATTGCAAAGTCTTCTCGCTGCTGGTGCTTACTCGTGACCGTGTCCAGCATGAGGGTCTGTGCACAAAGTGGCTCTCGAGTCGCCATGTCCTCAACGGCATCCATAGCTGCCCGACCAATTCCCTGGCCTTGAATGGTCTGCAAAATGAAAAAGCTTTTGATCCAGAAAACTCCTCTAGATGGGATATCAAGACCAACTCTATCGGCATCCTTGTTCTTCGAATCCAGGGAAATGTGGCCAATGGGCACAAAGGCTTCCTGTGATGCTACTCGTGATCTTCCATTCACGGAATCAGCCGTATCATATAGCAGTTCACTCTCGTCATTACCAGGATTTATAGCCGAGTCATCGGAGTGGCGAACCTATTAGTAAGTTAATGTGAGATGTCTCGCAGGCGATTAAACATTACGAGTACTCACAATCCAGTACATGCATTTCGTGCCTTTGATCTGTTCTTCGCGCCATTCTTTTTCCACTTTTTCATGATCCCAGTTACATTCAACTCGTTGCTTGTAGAGCCATGCTCGATGGGTTGCACATTTGGCATCCCAAGGGAAAAGCGAGACGGTTGATTTAGAAGTCATGGTGAATTGTAACGGACAGGAATCAGAAGAGGCGAATTCTATACTTAAACGTCTCAGAATTCTCACTGTCGGCATCTTCCGCTCTGTTTTCAAACGCCGGTAAACTAGTCCTGATTAGGCAAGTGACAGACCGAACCCCGGAATGACCCACACGGTTATGGAATAGAAGTGTAGATTGTTCTCATCCCATATATTTGTTAGAGTGTATAATAGATTACAGCTTACTATCCTTCCAAACAGGCGCCCTTTTCTCCACAAAAGCCTGCAATCCCTCTTTGATGTTCTCCCCCTCATACAATCTTTTAACCCAAGTATCCGACAACATCCCCGTCGCCTCATCCGCCCCAATGCCCTCCCACCCAAGCTTAATCCCCTCTCGACTTACCAGCACCGAATCAGGGCTATTTCCAGCAATCACAGTAGCAACAGCCAGCGCCCGCTCAACAAGAATCCGATTCCCCTCTTCAAGCGAAACTTCCTTACCCCCAACAACCACCACCTCATTCACAAGCCCCCACTTCTCTGCCTCGTTGGGAAGAACATTCCTTCCCGTAAGCGCCATATCCATCGCACGCTGTTTCCCGACTGTCCGGACAAGACGCGGCAGCGCCCCTGCAAGTGCGACCACGCCCCGCTTTACCTCTGGTAAGCCAAAGACACTGCGCGAAGACGCAATGACCAAGTCGCTGTTAATGATCATCTCTGAACCACCACCGAAGCAAAGACCATTCACCGCAGCAATGACGGGTTTTTTACCCTTTCTCCGGGCAAGGCCTCCGAAGCCGCTGTTGGGCATTGGGCTGCGGCTATTAGAGCCAGCGGTGTCATTCCATTCTAAATACGGTCAGTTGAATTCGTTTCAATATTTTATCAAACTCCAGCAAATCATAATAGCATAAGACTTGCGAATTAGAATAAAGTGGCCTCGAAACGAAGAAAACATACCTTTCAAATCGGCACCAGCACAGAACGCTCTCCCCGTCCCGGTGATTACACCCACTCTCAAGCTCGGCTCGTCATCCATCCACTCCCATACACCATGAAGATCTACATGACCTTGTGAATTGATGCAGTTGAGATCGCGTGGTCGGTTGAGGGTTACTAGGAGGACATGCGGAGCTGGAAAGGAGAGGAGGGCATGTTGGGGAGCAGGGGGTGGATTGACGAAGGGCATTATGAGTGTTTTTGCCAGCTGAAAAGATGTGAGTTTCAAATTGCATCAATGTGTTGCAAGAGACAGTTGAGATGTGTGGTCTTGGGTTCAAGGCAGAGTTATAAGTTGGAGTTAAGTTGCGGGTCCGATAAATGCGGAGAATGATGGAGATGCCGAGGGCCGATGGAGCAGAGCCGACCAAATGCCTTTTTCTAAAGTTGATCTATCATACTAATTTATATTGTTTTTTTTTTTGGTATTACTTTGAGAGATGGCACCAAGGATCTGCACGGTATTTGTAATTCCGGGCTCTTTTCCAGGATTCAAGTCTCCCGATGAGTGGACGTAAATCCAGCTGTGAAGCCCTTTACACCACTAAATCGCAAGCAGCAGCACAAAGCGGTCAGCGAAGAAGAGGGTCAGCTGTTTACTAGGTCAAATCTCTGACAATTCCACTTCTTCTGTATTATACCCATGATGCAACCCAAAGAATCACTATCCGAACTGCTTTTTCTCGAATTCCACATCTCTAGCGTGTGTGACGAAACATCCATCGTAATACAAGCCTGAAAGGAGACCCATCAGGATATCACCTAAGGACTGAATCGAATGCCTAGTAGGTCTAGATTGGTAAGTACAGAGCCCCATTGATATGGAAACCACCAACACATTCGAATAAGCCGCATTTCCTCCTGTGTACGCTGTTATTGGCATCACTAGTTTACGTATTCCCATCTCGCAGTCACGAAGGTGTTTCTGAATCATAATAATATTCCAACTATCATTAACACCCGGGTACCTCGGTATATGAACAATCAGATCGATACCTCCCCGTCATCCTCATTGTAAACGCCGAAAAAGGAATAACGCTCTCAAAAACAAAAATTCACAGGTAGATATCGAACAGCACAGTCTCAAGGAAGGTCCAAGGTCAAAGCTAACCCTTGTTGATCCATCCACTGTGCACCATGAAATCATAAATGCGGCTTGTTTTGGTGCCCTCGATCTAAAAAGGGTTAGCAAAAATCCGAGATGGCTCTCGGCGTAGGGAGTCTCACTTTGCAGATCGCGCGTGCATCCTTCTTTTTCAGATTGCCGCCTTGTTTCATTGCCTCCTTCAACATGGTCTCCTTGACGACCAGATATGGCTTCGGCATCAGGCGCAGCATGTTGCACACTTCAGCCTCTTCCTTAGTCAAGAGGTGTAGATCGGCTGCTCCCTCGCTGTCTAGCTTCCACGGGGACACTCCGCTTAAAGGCTGCACGACATATTTCGTCTTGGCTGGCGGGGGTGGAGCGGCATCACCGAGGAGGAACTGATCAAAGTCGTTCGGGGTGACGTCAGTCAAGTCAGGCAGCTTGTGGGGGTTTGCTGCGCTTTGGAGACGGAGAGGTAGCTCTGGGGTAGTGAGCTGAATCGCGGCGGTGGGTGTCTCTGAAATTTGGTTTTGCTTGGGGCGTGCACTGGCAAAACGATCAAAGGAGCCTTGTGGCAGTAGTCGTTGTGCACGTTGCTGTTTGTCCTGCTCGTACTTCTCACCGGCCTTCAAATCCCCAATGCCCATCTGGCGCCATTCCTGGAGCTGAGCGATAGCAAGACGTAGGTTGTGCTCGTATTCCAGTCCCTTGTTGAGGTCGTCAAAGTCCTTCTCGTTCATCATTCGAGCCAACGGTTTGGCTTTGTGCAGTAACTCCCGCTCTTCTTTGGACCGTTTCTTTTCCAGTGCGGTATTCTTCCGGTATTCGAGCAAATTGTGCTCGAAGAGAATCTTCTTGCGCTCCGTACGTGCCGTGAGCCGCGAATTATAGATGTCGACAACGGTCATTTTCAGCTCATTCTCCGCGTCCACCTCGCCGTTAGGGCCGATGCCCGCACCGGGTTCGAACGTCATGTGCTGAACCGCCTCCTCCGCATCGTTGAGGAACTCTGTCTCGAATTCCAGTCGACCAGGCATGTAACCCTGTACCTCATGACATGCTGGAACACTCGCCGTGGGTTTCTGTTTGGGGGTGGTAGGGGGCGCCGCCTTGGCTGCCTCTTTGCGCTCCTCGATACGTCGCTTCTTGCGTGTTTGGAACTCTTCCTTAGGTATGGCGTCTTGGAGACTGTGATCACCCGGATCGGCGCGGTCGGGGAGAGGGAAATTGGAGCTATTCACATAAGTATCGATATAGTGGTCGCGTACTTCATCCTTGCTGCGATAGCCACCGATGTGGTCGGCGATATCGGCCCAAGAGCCAAGTCCGTAAATCTCAGCGCCCTCGAGTAAAAGCAGCTCTTCATCGGCGCCCCAGTCTTCTTGGAAAATGGGAACGGAGTTCTGTTCGATGACTTGGAAGGGGTGGGATGATGGGTCGTGGTTCTTGGATTTCTCGCCCGCTGCAAAGCAGGGGACGCAGAGGTCATACTCATGGCAATTTGGATGCGCGCAGGAGATACGGACCTATGATAAGGCTGATTAGAATTCGAATCGCAAACTTGGAAGCTCAAAGGGACTCACCGTTGATGTCACGTCGGCTGAACAAACATCACAGTGGAACTTGGTGCCAGCCTCGGTGCCGCGCGAGGCGGTCTTCTTTCGTATTACACCCATCGGTCCTTGGTCTTTGTCATCCTCCACTGAATCCGAAGCCGTTGCGAAATCCCAAAAATCGCCCTCCCGAGATGTGAGAGGGCAATGACTGGGAGAGTTGAGGAAGAGGGTGAGAGCTGGGGTAGGATCTCCGCGCTGATCGGGGTTTGGGGAGATTAGTCCGCGTTAAGGCAATCGACACAACGGAGCTAGAGAAACACAGATATAAAACGAGATGATGCTTCAAGTCCTGAATGTGTAGACTTTATGATACTTGTACCATATGTTTCCGCTTCAATGGGTTTAATGAGTTTAACATTACAGTTTCTATGATCAAATGGATCCCTTTCGTGGCTGATACATGCACTGCCTCGTTTGTGGCTGGTAATTTCCCGCTCGTACAGACATGATACCAAGAATACCGGATCTGACAGCCCTACCGCACTTTAATCCTCTCCCGGGGGTGTAGCCAGGGTAATTGACATACGCCACTTTCCCCTCTTTCTTTAAGTTAGATTTCTCGATTTCTCCCCTGGAACTTCTTCTCTGATTCTCTCCTTTTATGTCTTCTGGCCTTATTGATTCTTGATTTTTTTTCCTTGCAAACTCGATTTCAAAGTGCTCTCAAGCCAAATCAAATCAGCGAGACAAGAGACTGTGAAGGTAGGATCGTCTCTTTTGCGCTGATCCGATCCCGTTGGTGGGTTTCAAAGGGAACTTTCGATGTTGACTTTGTTTGGTGACCCCAGTCTACACATCCGCGGTCAACTTTGGTCTTCGATCTTGTTGAGCAACCCCCTGGACAAGATTTGAAGAACATAAGTCAACAAAGACCGCCATCATGTCCTGGAAGCTCACCAAAAGTATGTTCAGTTGGTCTCCCTCCCTATTTCTCACCCCTCAAAATCAATGTGACACCCCTCCTTGAACAGTGGAGGCGGTGCATATGCAACATCTTCAGGGGAAATAAGATGGGGCTAACCAGCCCATACAGAACTGAAGGAGACGCACCTTGCCCCCTTGACACAAGGCTTTGGTCGGTCGTCGTCTACCTCGACAATCAAGGGCGACTCAAATGGCGGTGGTGATGAGACCCCAGTGGCCACACAGGCTCCGAGCATCCCCCCGACTCCTTCAACAAACGGCATCGGTAAGGAACACCGTCAAGATGGATGGGAGTAATCTCCGAGATCAATGCTAATTCCTCCGGTTCTGATTTTCCAGTCGCCTCGGAGTCCCTCGTGTCTCCCCCTGTGGCTCAAGTGAACCCAGGTATTCTAATCGTGACCCTCCACGAAGGCCGAGGATTGGCTTTGTCCCCTCAATTCCAGCAGATATTTAACTCGCATTTCCAAAACAACTCCTACGCTCCCTCGTCATTGCGTCCTAACACCTCCTCTTCGTCACATTCGTCGCATGGCCAATCCGGTTCCTACGTGCAGAATGCCCGACCGCAGTCCACTAGTGGGGGTATCAATTCCGCACCCACCATTCACGGCCGCTACTCCACCAAATATCTCCCGTACGCTCTGCTTGATTTTGAAAAGAACCAGGTCTTTGTCGACGCCGTGTCAGGTAACCCGGAGGCGCCTTTGTGGGCAGGAGACAGTACAGCCTTCAAATTTGACGTTTCCCGAAAAACCGAGTTAAACGTGCAGCTGTATCTGCGCAATCCTGCGGCCCGCGCTGGTGTCGGCCGTAGTGAGGACATCTTCCTGGGCGCCGTGAAGGTCCACCCCCGCTTCGAAGAGGCGGGTCAGCCCTACATCGAAGATCCCAAGTTGAGCAAAAAGGACAACCAGAAGGCCGCCGCCGCTCATGCTGAACAGGAGCGCATTCGGGGTCAGTCTGGCGCTGAGTGGCTGGACCTTCAGTTTGGAACCGGCTCCATCAAGATTGGTGTTTCATTTGTCGAGAATCGGCAGCGCAGTTTGAAGATGGAGGACTTCGACTTATTGAAGGTCGTTGGTAAGGGAAGTTTCGGCAAAGTCATGCAGGTCGTGTAAGATGGCACTCCCTCCTCCCTGTTTGACCCTCACATTGCTGATGATCCTTTCGTGAAACAGGAAGAATGATACCGGCCGAATCTACGCCTTGAAGACAATTCGCAAGGCTCATATCATCTCGAGATCTGAAGTTACTCACACTCTTGCGGAGCGCTCGGTGCTTGCGCAAATCAACAATCCTTTCATTGTCCCCTTGAAGTTCTCCTTCCAATCTCCTGAAAAGCTGTACCTGGTGCTGGCATTTGTGAACGGCGGAGAATTGTTCCATCACCTGCAAAGAGAACAGCGATTTGATATTAACCGCGCCCGGTTCTACACCGCAGAGCTGCTGTGTGCTCTTGAGTGTCTCCATGGATTCAAGGTCATTTACCGTGATCTTAAGCCTGAGAACATTCTGCTCGACTACACTGGTCACATCGCCCTCTGCGACTTCGGTCTGTGCAAGTTGGATATGAAGGACGAAGACCGAACAAACAGTAAGATTTGCGCCGTCTTTACTTTAAAGTCTTGGTTACTAATCCATTTCAGCTTTCTGTGGAACTCCCGAATACCTTGCGCCTGAACTTCTGCTTGGTAACGGTTACACCAAGACTGTGGATTGGTGGACCTTGGGTGTTTTGCTTTACGAGATGCTGACTGGCCTGCCTCCATTCTATGACGAGAACACCAACGAGATGTACCGCAAGATCTTGCAGGAGCCTCTAACCTTCCCCAGCAGTGACATTGTCCCGCCCGCTGCTCGGGATCTTCTCACCCGACTGCTGGACCGCGACCCCCAGCGCCGTCTCGGTGCCAGCGGTGCAGCAGAGATCAAGTCTCATCACTTCTTTGCCAACATTGACTGGCGCAAGCTGCTTCAGCGCAAGTATGAGCCTAGCTTCCGTCCAAACGTGGTATGTATTCCCCTTTTTCCCGATATCCTCATGGTACAGATGTTTTTTTTTCTAACCGCTCAATTCAGTCGGATGCCCGTGATACGGACAACTTCGATGAGGAATTCACATCGGAGAAACCACAAGACTCCTACGTCGATGGACCAGCCCTGTCACAGACCGTACAGGAGCAGTTCCTTGGATGGTCCTATAACCGTCCTATCGCCGGTCTCGGTGACGCCGGCGGCAGTGTCAAAGACCCATCATTTGGCAGCATCCCCGAGTAAAAGTACTAACTCTGCTTCGGGCTGCCTTTTCGACTAGATCGAGAAAGATCAATGTGCGAGAGAAGCTCATAGACGATTCTCCTTTGTACTGTGTTTTTTGTCCTGTTCCACACACATATCACCAATCTTGATCATTTTTCTCTCTTTTTCTGTCTTGTCTTTTGTTACTTTCCATCCCAAGGAGTCTGTGGCATCCTGGTCTCAAAGTCTCTCCAAGCTTAGAGACTTTTGTGTGGTTCATTATTTACCATCTTTCTTGTTTCCTCATCTCGCCTCCCCCATTGAGCGCTTTGGTTTTTTTTTCCTGGTGAATCCATCTCAGCGTCATCGAAAACCCCATAGGCAGGTTCCTTCTCAATCGTTTTCACGTTCGACATTATCAAGGGGTCATTATCTCTGTCTTGACTTTCTGTTTGTTTCGGGCGCGAGAATGATTTTCTGTATCCTTGACGGTCTACAATGGACAGTACCAAATACATTTCCTTTGAATTGACGATATACATATATGTATCATCCTCTAAGCTGGATATCTGTTAACAGTATACCATTTCAACGCAGTACTTGAAATATATTCTACCTATTTCAAATCCTTGATCCCTGACCATGGGGGATCCCAAGGTTAACTCTGTTCCAGCTTTTAAAATCTATTTTCTCCGTGGTGAAACCACGTGTTTCGTTGGCAAACCTGTACATAAGCCTAAGTATATTTTATGTGACGACTTCAAGAAAGGTACTATGATCATAGACGAGACCGTATCATTGTTCTATTCATTCAATCACCAAGATTGAGATATGGCCAGGGATTACAACTATAACGCAAAGGCAATAGTAGGGACGACAAGAGAAAAGAAATTGAGATAACAAAGTCGGACACACGTTAAGACGCCGCTCGCAATTCAGAAGTAACCGACTTCGGCAATTGGAAAATAAAATGCTCTTCTATCAACGCTTCGCCCGAGCATGTACGAATACAACCTGACCATTTTACTCCTCGGCCTCAGCCTCAGCTTCAGCTTCAGCTTCGGTCTCCTCCTCGGCATCCTCTTCAGATTCGGCTTCGGCTTCAGCCTCGGCTTCCACCTCGGGACCACCGTTTGTCGCGCTCGCGGGCTCGTTATCATCATCCGCGTTGATATCAATCAGAGACTCGGATGATGGGGGCTCGGGAATGCCCTCTTTCTCAAGACGAATGTACTCATCCCACTCTGGGAAGAGGTCATCATCTGTTGAAACATCGGGTGCACCTGGTGGAACTCCGATCAGACGGGCGACCTTGGACTTGCCCGAGGTGTCAAGAGACTCCTTCCACTGAACAACCAGTGCGGGTGCACGACTTGGCTTGTAGGTCTGAGCGAAAAAGACGGCCTCGGCAATGCGGTTGGTCTGGACGAGCAGGTCGATGCCACCATCGACATCACCAAGAGACCAGAGAGCAGAGAAGGCAACATTGTGTAGGCCTGCCTCGGAGGCCTGAGCAACTAGGGCACGGAGGCCTGCCCGGTTGTTGCTGGCAGTGTGTAGCAGTAAAAGAGAGCCGAAATCTTTCGAGTTGACAAAGCACTCCTCGGCAAGAGCAAGGTTCCACGACTCCATAGACTTGTCGCCAAGTAGCTTCCACCGATGGTTGTTTTCGACCTTTGCGTCGCGGGTAATCTGGAGGGCAGTTTCAAGATCGTTGAGTGAAAGGGCCAGGTCGAAGCGGTGCTCGGGGTCTGTAGCAACCTCAAGGGCCATCTCCTTGTATCCTTGACCCTCAAGGAAGCGGGCAACCTTGTTCATTTGATCTTGGGGCACATCCTCAAGTAGTTCGGCGGCCGTTTCCATATCGCCGCGCAGAACGACGGTCTGGTAGCTAACCATGCTGAGGGACAGGCCAAATGAAACAACATTAACGTCCTTGTCACACAAGTAGATTCGACCATCACGAGGCAGATATCCAAGAACATAGGCCGGCTGGTCCATGTGGCTGATTGAAATGACCTGGTCTCCAACAAGATAGTTCAAGCGGTTTGTAGAGCTAGAGAAAATGAGAACGTCTCCAACCCAGCAAGCACTTGTAATTGTTTCGTTAATAGAAGCGACAAGCTCGACGGCCGCCTCGACACCATCTTCATCGGCCTCCCCGTTGTTGACACCCTCGATAAAGGCCTCCTTCGAGTACCGCAAGACGTAGAAAGCGTCCTCGCACGCGAGTGTAACCAGTTCGCCAGACTCAGACCAGTAAACCTGTTTAAGATTGTCAGTTCATCACATCTTCGAACCTTCGTTACGTCTCGAGCTCACATTCTTGGGGTCAACTTCAATTCGTCGGACCAAGCTACCGGACTCCCAATCGAAAAGACCAATGCCACCTTGGCCCTTAACACCAAGCAGCACACCATCAGTGAGCCCCTCGGCTTGAAATCCGACATCAAGGCCACCGGATTGCTCCTTGAAGTTCTTGAAGATTTTGACACTTGTTGCGGATTCCCGGATAGCGTAATCATTGCTGTTGTCCTTGGAGCCCCAAGCGAAATCCAAAGCTTGGCCAAAAGCCTTGTTGCGCCATGCTAACGCTGTGTAAATTATGTATTCGCCATCACCACAGACTGAGACGAAACGTCCATTTGGCGAATGGGTCAATGTTTGTGGGTAGACCTCGCAGGTTCCCAGATCCTTGGCCGGCAACGAGAGAGGTTCGCCATCCTTCAGGCTCGCTTCACTGCCCTTGATGACTGACGAGACTACCTCACTGTGTCTGGCCCAAATGAGCTTACCGGATCCATCCATTGACACTGCGGGTTCCTCGCGACCCATCTTCACAACAACTGCGCCATCGTCGAAACCCATTGCGACTCCCTGTCGACCCCTTTGATAGGCGACACACCATGCGCGCTCCAAACCATAGCTTAGTGACTGCTCTAGTCGGTAGGTGTTTGCGTGCCAGATCTTAATTGTTCCATCCTCCGAACCAGAGATAATGACGGGCAATTCAGGGTGATAGCAGGCAAAGGAGACATTGCTAGTGTGGCCCTCCAATGTTGCAACAAGCGCTTTGGTGGTGTAGTCCCAGACTTTGATTGTCTTATCATCGCTGGTGGTCAAGAGGTATGGTTTATCGGCTCCAGGGTAGTAGTCGACGTGGTTGACGCCCTTGGTTTCGTGGGCCTCAAGAGTCGAGTTGGCGTGGGGGGAGCCAAGGCTCCAAATCTTGACAGTACGATCAAGACAGGAACTTGCGAAAGTGCTATTTTCCGTCTTAGCGGACGAAGAGCCACGTGTATAGCGAGACAATTCACTTACTTTGTGTCCTTGGGGTTGATCGCCATTCCCATCACGTAGTGGCTGTGGCCCTCGAAGACCTGAACACACTTCCAATTCTTCTCCCAATCCCACAACTTAATGGTCATGTCATCACTGGCAGTAAGAATGTAGGGCAGAGTCGGGTGGACAACGATTGAACGGATGTAGTCCGGGTGTGCTTCAAAGGAAGTGATCTTCTCGGAGGTATTGTAGTTGTAGACACGGAGCTGGAAGTCATCCGATCCGCAAACGATCCAGTTCTTCCGCGCAATGAATCGACCAGCACGAACGGGGACATCGGTGAGCTCAAAAGTTTTGATAATAGACTACATAAACGCTTAGTCTGTATCGGTATGATTGACCCAGTCAGAACATACCTGTGTCTCGTATGACCAGATGTAAACGTGACCTGGCGCGGCGAACGGGTTAGGAAATGGAGGTACTCGCAGATAATGCGTTGCTGAACATACCGCTGTACAAGGTGGTCAGGATCTGATGAGACATTAGTATGAATCAAGACTCCCGGGGACCATCGATTAGACTTACCCATGGCTCTGTGGGGTGGAAGTCAATACCCTTCACCCGCTCGGAGCGGGCAAAGAGTTGCCTCTGCATCATAACACTCTGGTCAGCAACCTTGCCAATTCCAATTATCTTCACGCTGACAAAGTATTTCCTTGCTACCAAGGGCAGCTACTGCCGAATGGACTCTGCGTACCTTGATGTCGAGCCGCATGTTGTGGGGTGGACGGAGTGTGTTTGTGTGATGCGACGATTGGGCGTATAGGAGCTAGAAATCCACGAGCCGCTCAGACAGCCCGAGGAAACAAGTGACAGACAAAGCTCGGGGTCAGCAGGGGAATCAAGATAAACACAGAGCTTTTCCCAGGAAGAGAGCCTAGCTAGAGGGGGCTCAGGGACAATCAATGTGTCCACAAGGGGATTCCCGCTCTCACCGCTTTCACATCATTCGAGATCTGATAGACCCGCATGTAAACATTTAGTGGAATAGCACTCTAATCTTTATTCACATTCAGCTATAGCTATGGGCAAAAGAGAATATTCCAAGCACTCGAATCAAATATTGCACGCCTAGTGACCGTGGTGGGCACACAGGCAACAATGCTGGGTCAGTGCGTCTGGAGGTCGTGATATATAACCCTAGTACAGAGATTCTGTAGTTACTTATGCATGGTTTTCAATACCACTTGGCAGTGGTGCGACCAAAGTGATGCTCATGTATTTAGATATTGAATCTGCAAACTCCCCAGCGCAAATTTAGATACCTAGGCACCTATTACATAGTAAACATCTGGTCAGTGTCAACCTTGGAACTACCTCTACTGCATTGTTGATGTCAATTGACTGATCAAAAGAAAAACGTGAAAATTTATTCGAACATCCCATCCTCTAATAGTTACAGAAACTGGCATTCCAAGCCTTTTTCCGGTATCTTCTTAATTACCGCGCTCGAAGTAGGTCCACTGACCGGGGGCAGGCTTTTCCTCAAGCTCCTCCCAACTATGAAAATAAGTCAGCATTCTGATGCAAATGAAAGACTTCAGCTATTACTCACACTTTCGCCTTGTACAGCTCATCCACAAGCTTGGACTCGGCCTCGGCGACCTGAATGATCTCCTCGATGAGGCCTGCACCAATCTTCTGCTCAATCTCGGAAATCCTGTTTGCATATTTTAGCCTCGGGGTCAAGTTTACAGTGTAGCTTGGGGATGAAATCGCATACTGGTCAGCCTCCAAAGCAGGCTCGCTCTCCCACTTCATAGAAACCTCGTGGAAGTCAGTCTCGTTGGCGGCTGACTCGCTACCCTCCTCGATGATCTTAATCCACTCGGCCTCTTCCGCCGCGGTACGGGTAGGACCCTCAGTCGTAGCAGACATTCCCTCACCATCCCACTCCTTACCGCGGGCTTCGTCGCTGAAATCCCGCTCTTGTGAAGCGGCGTAGGCGAATGCGCCATTCTTAAGCTGGAGCTGAGCGAAACGCTCGGGCTCGGCACCAATGGTCTTCTTCGCGCGCTCCAACCACGCATCGAAACCGGGGGGCTTCTGTGACTCAACGATCTGAAGACGGTGGCGGGTCAATGCCTCGACGGACTGGCGGTAGGCAGATGTTTCGGGGAAGGACTGCAGCTTCTGAAGGGTGTTGGTGTAAAGGAAGATCAAAGTCGGCCGGGGGCTCGGGTGGGTGAAGAGACCAGTCAATCCGGTGGGAGTGAAAGGTTCCAAGTACCGGGGCTTGACATTGGCCAACAGTCGAAGTGTAGACCTCATTGTGGTTGTGGTATGAATGATAATTGAAGGTTGCTGATTGCGGAGAGCCCAATTGGTCAGGGTGAGACGGCGGGCAAGTTCGATGGTCGGGGCCCGGATTAACAGAAGTTCCGCAATATGAGGAAGCAGGGGCAACATCGTTTCATTCAACTGTAATCCTCACGTCCGCTTAAGTTGGGACTTCGCCCGGTGTGTTGTCTGATTTTGTTCTTTTTACGGCTCGGGGCTTGGTCAATCCTCCCTGCTGCTTTCACATATCCTTTCGGTATCCCGCGCTCATCCCTCCCGGTCGTCCAATGTGCCACCTGTGACATTTCGCAATTTCACCCTTCGACCTTCGTCCTTCGTTTAAAAAGCCTCGAAGGATTCCTTTTTTTCCCCTTCTTCTTTCGGCTTTCTCATTTGAGGTAGAATACCTCTCCACAAATCGCCAAAATGAGAGCCTCCTGGTTGGGGTGGTCCCTCATCTCTCTATTAGCGGTTCCGACACTGTCCGCACCTTCGGACGGGGAATCGAGCAGTGTCAACCGATTGCAGAAAAGATCTAACAAAGGACTTGATCCTGAGGTGCCATCTGTTTTCAATGGCCTTGATGTGCCTCCGTTGTTCCAACTGACACAGAGTAATTTTGAAGAGACCACCAAAGATGGCATCTGGTTAGTATCCTCCATTCTATGCCGGCTATACCAGGCAATTCGGTGAATCTAACAGTCATAGGATGGTGAAACATTATTCCCCAGCCTGCGCTCACTGCAGAAAGGCTGCGCCATACTACCAAACAACCTACGAGTACTACTACGTGAGTGATCGTTCCTCAAGATCGATACCCCTCCCCCGTGCTAATAGCCAGCTCTAGACCTCGAACCCTATTACGCCATCTTCTGGAAAAACCCCGGACCCTAAATCCGTCAACTCCTTTACACAATACTATAACTTTCACTTCGCATCTATGAACTGTCTCACCGACGGCGACCTCTGCGAGAAACTTGGTATCGGAGCCTACCCAACCTTTGCCTTCTACGAAAACGGCGTGCAGAAGGACACTTTTGTCGGCGCGAAGAAAATTGAGGACCTGAGCAAGCTCATCGAAGAAAGGCTCGAGGCGACTAAGCCTGGTTCTCGTCCTCCGCAGGGCATCAAATTGCCCGAGGTTGGCGCACCTGGCGTGGACTCAACCGCAGAGCCTGATTCGCCGGTTGCGAAGGACAAGGACCCGGAGGCTGGAGTCAAGGCTGGAGAGAAGCAGAATGAACTGGTTTCTCAACAGACACCGCCGTCATCTGTGAACACCAAGTCGGATGATACCACTGTTGTCAAGACCAAGCCGAAGAGCGCACCCCCCAACCCGCAGGGCGTTTCCGTTCCCCTCACTGCCGAGAGCTTCCAAAAACTTGTGACCACTACGCAAGACTCCTGGTTTATCAAATTCTACGCCCCTTGGTGCCCCCACTGCCAGGCCATGGCTCCCAACTGGCAGGAGATGGCCAAGGAAATGAAAGACACCTTGAATATTGGTGAAGTGAACTGTGATGTTGAATCCCGCCTTTGTGAGGATGCGCGAGTCAACGCTTTCCCCACTATTTACTTCTTCCGTGGTGGTCAGCGAGTGGAATATACTGGTCTCCGTGGCCTGGGCGATTTGCTCTCGTTCACTAACAAGGCCATTGGTCCTTACTCTGAGATCGAGGACGTGGATGCAGCCACTTTCAAGGAGCTGGAGGAGACTGAAGAGGTCCTTTTCTTGTACTTTTACGACCTTGCGACCACGTCGGAGGACTTTGCGGCCATGGACCGTTTGACTCTCAGCCTTGTGGGTCACGCTCGGATTGTGAAGACCAGCAGCGCTGCTTTGGCCGAGCGATTCAAGATCTCGACCTGGCCACGCCTTTTGGTAGTCCGCGATGGTCGCCCCAACTATTACAACGCCCTTGCACCGAAGGATATGAGAGACTTCCGGCAAGTCCTGTCTTGGATGCAGACAGTTTGGCTGCCAATTGTTCCCGAACTCACGGCTTCCAATGCTCGCGAAATTATGGACGGCAAATACGTGGTCCTTGGTATTCTCAGCCGCCGCCGCTCCGACGATTTTAAGCAGTCTAGGCGGGAGTTGAAGGAAGCTGCTTCCGAGTGGATGGATAAGCAAATTCAACTGTTCCGCCTCGAGCGATCTGAACTTCGTGATGCCAAGCAATTGCGCATCGAGGAGGCGGATGACCGTAATGATCAGCGCGCGCTACGGGCCGCTAAGAACATGCGCATCACGATTCGCGAGGATGATAAGAAGCCGGTCCACTTTGCCTGGATTGATGGTGACTTCTGGGAGCGCTGGCTCCGCACTACTTACGGTATCGACGTGGAGAACGGTGACCGTGTCATTGTGAACGATGAAGATGTAAGCGCCTGTATTGAACCCACTTTGCGCCACTCATTACTAACACCTCACAGAACCGTCGTTACTGGGATACTGCTTCCAGTGGGGCTCCCATTATGGCCTCGCGTACCTCGATCCTTGAGACCATCCCTCTTGTCATTTCCTCCCCTCCCAAGCTGTCCCCTAAGTCCACGATCGGTACTCTGGAGACATTCTTCTTCTATACGCGATCCTTCCTCAGCAGTCACCCTATTCTATTCTTCATTCTCTTGGGCCTGACGGTGGCTGTGGCCGCAATTTTCGGCCGTGGACGCTTCCTGCGTCGCACTGGTCTTGCTCGTGGCGGCATTCTGGGCAACTCTAACGGTGGTACTAGTGGTGGCTTCTTCCACCTGGATGGGAAGGAGGGATTCTTGAACGGAGGTTCGACCGGAAAGGTCGACTAATGAGGGCATGTACAGTTCAGGTGTTTGGCTGCACGGTTTCTTATAATTTTTTGTTCCTTTTAGACTGTATTTGATTGATTTCAGGCTATCTTCCTGCTGCCCGGTCTCTTGGTCTTTGCATGTTCGACCCTGAGGTGTTGAAGCACATACTTCTTTTTTCATTATTAGTTTCATTCTGTCTTCTAGCAATCCAGAATTCAATTCCCCAAATTCCACCGTTTTCTAGCATTATTAGATGTGTACTTCCATCTTCCCCGGGTATTTGAATCAATTATGTGGCCTGTGATTGGTGGATGGGCTACTGATCACGTGCTTTGGCACATACCGACCCGTGATTGGCTGCGAAGTCGGGCACTCCCGGTTTTCGTCGTCCAAGTGCCAGCTCCTGTCCCTCTAGCATTTGTCCCACGATCTGCTCTCGCTGACCACAATGGTATGTCCTTACCTATGCGGACAATGTTTATCAAGCCTCCAAAACTATCCTGGTCTCGATCTTTATTGAGTCACCGTAAACGGGGGTCGGGTCGGACACATCGCGTCACCGACAAATGACCTTCCGGGATAGACGCGGAACGTACGATTCCTCTTTGAAAGCGATTGCTAACGCAGACATTCTTCTTCAACTCACAGGTTTTCACTCCTACCCTCCGCCGCGCTGCGGCCCAGGCCACCAGCTCTGCCTTTGCGCCCAAGTGAGACACCCCGAGCCTAAATCTTTTGGCCATATCGGAACCCCATGGACGATGCAGCAGGCCAAACAGTCACCGGATTGGATATGGGCTGGTATCCTACAGGGTGTAGGGCCATCTCCTCCAGGCTACCTGTTGGATGTGACTGGAGCATGACTCAATTCCTTCCGGCGGACTGTGCGGCCGGTGCAAAACTTCGTCATCTCGGAGATTACCGTGTGCTTGGAGGGTTGCACGATTGCCCACATAGAGCGACCCAGGGGAAATGATGCTAACATGATTTGTGTAGGATCGACATCACCCGTCGTGTCGCTGGCTTTGACATGACCAGTGCCGTTCGGGCGTAAGTCTACCCACCATCCCTTGAACTGACCATATTGAACAGTAGTGCTCATATATTATAATAGTGGTACCCTTGCTGCTTCCTTCGGTGTCTTCGCCGGTACCGCCGCTCTCTTCATGTTCGGCGAGGTCCCCCGTGTGCGCCGTGATATTCTCCAGAAGTTCCCCTTCCTGGACACCTACTACGACCGCACCATTGCCCCTGAGGACAACGTGAGTTCTTTGTCGCTTGTACTCCATTATTGGCCATAAGCTGTGGATATTAACTGCCGTGATAGCCCTTCTAGATCATTTCGCTTTGGTGGACGATGGGCGACATGCCATTGCCCCGGTACTGGAGATCAGGGGAAGTGTAGAATAGTGATGAAAGTCTTTTATGTTTTTGAATAGCACATAGAGGCAGCCGTTTTTCCAAACCAAATCCATGGTTAATCTTCTTTGTGAATGTGATCGTCGTTCTAGACCTCTCGCCTGTGACGGATCTTAGCTTACCCTAGTATGTGATAGCGAGTCATAGCAGATCTTAATATAGTCGATTCTGATATACCAAACGAGAAGCGAGAAGTATGCAAAAGCCACTTCTCCTAACAGGGCAGGTCCATGCAGTGTAGATAAGCATCGATGTATGCGAGTCCAACATCAACCGTCTTATCTCTGACCCCTGATATCACGAGATAAGGGCACATTCGCCTCCTTCGACGCCTGAAACTGCCCTGATGGGTTTGGTAGCTTTCTTGCCAAGCTAACTGGGGTAGCACGGATCTCATTCATTCGAATACAAGGCTTTTGAGTTCCAGGTCTACGAATCACAAGCCCCGCGGTGCGGAGAAGTCCATGCGCATCGCCCGAATCAAAGGATCCCTTGTCCTGCCGAGAAAGCCATCTGCTCGGGGATTGGTCTATCGCAGAATAATTCATCTATTACGGCATATATTATGTGATGGTCCAGTCGTTATCATATCGCGATTTGTGGAGAGAGCGTTGGACCAAAAGTAGGCCCCTGTTCGTCCCACCCCTCTTATTATGTCCTTCTAGCGGCCTTCCGCACTCCCGTGGTATGAGCTTCACATGGCTTGATTGGCTCAATCTCAAAGTGCCGTCATTGATAGATAACCAAAGTCGAACAGACCGCAGCTTCGTAGCTTGAAACCTAGGTAGTTTAAAACGGCCTGAGTTCCCTGGTCGGCAGGTCCGATACCAGACCTATAACTACGCTGCTGCCGTGTTGACAGTCTTTCTTTCTTCACACTTTCTTTGCTCTTTATTGATCTCCGTGTTCGCGGATGACCTTGGCCTTCCATCATGGAATCCAAATCATCTGATTCGGCATATAAACGGCCCTCGGTATACAGTGATACCCAGCATGCCCAGGTTACGTCTATATTGGCAGATGGCGACGTACCGTATGCGGACCATGAGATGGACGCGGATGAGCGGGTGATTATGGCCCTAGGTTACAAGCAGGAATTCAAGCGGGAGTTCTCCTTGTGGACGACTTTTTGTGTCAGTTTTGCCGTGCTCGGGTTACTTCCATCATTCGCAAGTACTTTGTATTATGGTGTGTCTCTTGTCAGTGCTTGGCCTTGCTCCCAGTCATCGCTAACATACTTGAACAGGTATGGGATATGCAGGAACAGCAGGTATGGTGTGGGGCTGGATCATCGCTATGATCTTTATCCAATGTATTGCGATGTCTATGGCGGAGCTGTGCTCGGCCATGCCTACGAGGTATGTCATTGTCACTCGCCTCGAATTACTCTGGACGTGGATTAACTTGCCATTCATATTTCCAGTGGCGGACTCTACTATGCTGCAGCTGTTCTCGCGCCCCCAGGCTGGGGCCCCTTAGCTGCATGGATCACAGGATGGTCCAACTGGATTGGACAAATCACTGCAGCACCATCAGTGGACTATGCGCTGGCCGCAATGATCTTGGCTGCCGGCTCAATCACCAACCCAGGCTATGTCCCAACAAATTGGCAGATCTATCTCCTAACGATCTTGATCATGATCATCCACACGGTGATCAGCAGTCTACCCACGAAACAGGTGGCACAATTCAACTCCTGGGGCTCAACATTCAATGTTCTCGCACTCGTCACCACCCTTATTGTCATCCCTGCAGCTACTAAGAACACTCCCAAATTTACACCCTCTCACAAAGTCTGGAGCGATATTAAGAACCAAACCGATTTCCCCGACGGCATTGCCGTGCTTATGACGTTCGTTGGTGTGATCTGGACCATGTCCGGCTATGATTCGCCCTTTCATCTGAGTGAGGAGTGTTCCAACGCCAACGTTGCCTCACCGCGTGCCATCGTCATGACATCCGGCGTCGGCGGCGTAATGGGCTGGTTCCTACAGCTCGTCGTTGCATACACGGTTACAGACATTGACGCAGTCATTGGTTCGGAATTGGGCCAACCGTGGGCTTCGTATCTGCTCCAGGTTCTACCTCAGCAGGCAGCACTTGGAATTCTCGCTCTGACGATCATTTGTGGCTTCTCTATGGGCCAGGGATGCATGGTCGCCGCTTCGCGGGTCACATATGCCTACGCTCGCGATGACTGCTTTCCTTTTTCAAAGTACTGGAAGCAGGTGAACAAAACCACACAGACGCCCGTCAATGCTGTGGTTCTCAACTCCATCCTAGGATGTATAATGTGTCTCCTGGTTCTTGCTGGCACCACCGCCATCGGCGCCCTTTTTTCTATCGGTGCTATAGCGCAATTCGTCGCTTTCATCATCCCCATTTTCATTCGTGTCTTCTTTGTGGGGAATCGCTTCCGTAAGGGACCTTGGAACCTCGGCCGCTGGGGGCCTCTGATCGGTGGTATTGGATGTTCTTTTGTTGCGCTCATGGTGCCTATATTGTGCTTGCCCAGCGTCACCAAGGGAGATCTGACTCCGGATCTTATGAACTGGACTTGTCTCGTCTATGGTGGACCGATGCTAGCTGTTCTGATCTGGTGGTTTGTTGATGCCCACCGCTGGTTCACCGGTCCCAAAGTCAATGTGGAGCATGCCATTCATGTTGTCCACGATGAGCCAGAAGTCAGTGAAGGTGTGGAGCCGGAACATGCGCAAGAGACCGAGACGACGAAGAGTGCCAAGTATGACGAAACTCTGCCGAAGTAGTATTGCAATATGTGGACTGTTTCGTTTCTTCTTCTTGTTCATAGGGTACTCGATGCCTATTGTTTTCTGTATATGATAACTATTCTTCATTCTCATTCTGCTTCAGCCCTCCCTTCGTCTGAACAATTGGTCCATTCTTAAATCTTTAGACTTTTTCGCGCCGAGAGATTGCCAATCTTCTGAAAATCTTTCACCGAGATTAGCGGGCATTTGCTGGCCATGGGCCCACCACTGCGAAGTCTAACCCATTTTCGAGAGGAGCATCGACAACACTCGGCCTGAGTCCTACACCAAAAGCATTCATTGTGAAACAATCCATCAAGTCAATTAATTACGCAACAAATCAACTGTGTGACAATAAATCCGATCTGGTATGTTGTGAAGATTGAACGATGAAGTTCCTGTAATCCCCTTCATTCCTACAATGTCGATCAAATTTACAGCGTCTATATTTCACTCCGCAATGTCTCCTCGCATTACCTATTTAGCCTTGGCAACATGGACCGAATAAAATTCCCTCCTTCTAAGAGCCATTATACAATCAAGCTAACAACCTGTTTCCAGTGCGTGGCCAACGACCAAGGATCCCGCGACACCCCGTTGACTGTATACAACCGCACAGCCTCACGGGCAGAAGTCTTCTGCGCACAAAAGCCCAACACCGAAGCTGCATCAAGTCTCGAAGAATCCATCACCACCAGAGACCTATTTTCATCTGCGTAGGTGATGACGCCGGCCTCCGCGAGATAATAACCTCCGCACACCAAAAAATGGAAAAAAGTGGAAGATTCTAGGACATAAATGCGGGTTGGTCATGGTTTCAGGACCATATGGGTGTTGGGGGTGAAAGGCAGAGTGCTGGGTCACTTTTGAGAATCAGATAATGCCCAGGTGATAACGTGTACCTAAAATCACTGAATAGGTTTAGATCAGAGAAATGTTTGTCGATATTGTGATGATGACAATAGACTTGACATTTCTCCATATTACCCACTTTGACATTGAGATGCTCCAGTGCCCCATCTGAGCTCAATTTTTTGGGTTCCGGTGCGATGGGCTCTCCCGTGGAGGTGTGGGCTACTCCACCAGCCCCAGATGTTTGACTTCTATATCCGCAATCTGGATGGCCTAGATGGCCTAGGCAATCGTGAAAATTTTGAATGGGAATTGATTGCAGATTATAATGCTTCGGTGTTTTAATTACTGCTACTATATTATTTCCGTGGAAAATTGGCGCAAGTGGTGGCTGGCGGCGGAGGATTAATCACCACTATATATATATGAGCTAGCATAGACTCGGTACTACGCATGCCGCAACGCTCAGATCCCCAGGGGCTCACGCTACACAGTAGCGGCAGAATTTAATTCTCCGACCTACCAGCGAAACGGACGACAGCCTGAGCCCACTCAATGCAAGTGATAAGAGGGAGATCACTCTGCAAAGTATTGTGTACACGGGGCCTCGCAGCGAGGCAGATCCTACACTACCGTTGAAACCACGAGGAGGGCCAATAAAGCGCTTAGATGGAGGGCAGGGCCAACAGAGACATCAAGCGGACAAATAACCAACAAGCCCCTCGCAAAGAGACAAAGCCGAACGTGAACTACTTCTCACCCCCCACGTACCCTGTACCGTATCTCAAATGGCTGGGATCCCCGGGGAGAATCCTGCGAATAGATCCACTGGTCCCCCCTGAACAGACCCCACCGTCGCGGTGGGCACTGGACATGGATGTAACGGAGAAATAAGTCGATGGGACACACAGATATGCTTAATCTGACTCCAGATGGGGGGCATCCACACCCCCTCTTTCTATTCTTCTGTTTCCCACGAGATACGCGACACGAGAGGATCCACCTTAGAAGAACTCTATCTCCAATAATACCTCTCATTTAACTGATATTCATGGCACTATGGTTTATTAGGTTGAGTTAGACGACAAACGTGATTTGATGGGCGCTAAGAAAGTGAAAATTTCAGTTTCGGATGATTGATAATATTTTCTTCAAAGGACCATAAGCCGGTGAGATAATACTCAACTTGGCATTGGTATGTAAAGTTTCGCATTAGTGTATGAAATACTAATATTTCGGCCACACTATCCATTCAGGGAAACTTTCAAGACACGGCTCATAACCCGATCGACACAGGGGCGAGTCTTGCCGACAACGATGTATCCGGTTCCTGGAGCCTTCGGATCCTTGCCATGGTGGAGTCGTTGGCGACTGTTCCTGAATCGGGAGACCCATTTCCCGAGGATTTCCAGATGGATGAGAGTTACGGTAGGGTAAATTATCGCGGTAAGCGAGGTGGCAGAGGGCGAAATGTATCATCGCGACGACATGAGGTATTGGCTGTGTATGGGACGGACCCAGTTTGCCGTTTTACAAGTCCGCCACTCAACAAAACGAAAATTACTGCGAATGCCCAATGAAAGACGACATGCACATTTAGGCAGCCATGGCTATTTTTATGATTTGATGATTTGGAAAGATGGATTTGAAGAACTTCTTCCCGACATTCCACGTACGCAAACAGCCATATAAAATACAATTCCGTCCATGGGTCTCAATTTGAACTATTTGCCTTCTAAGCCATATCACGGTACAAGCAATCATAGCGATTGATGAAAATCTGCAGAAAGAATATTCTTACGGTTCCATTGAAAGTCTATCCGAAACGAAATCCCATGACGCGGCCGCCAGGGGGGAATACAATATTACGGAATATTGGAATTCAAGAAGTTGAATTTTCTTTTACCTTTATGGGAATCCCAAGTCCACGGTACAACATACAGAATTGTACACTTCCGCGGCCTTCCCTCATTCCCCGAAAATTGACAGCCGATCCACCACTCCAACACATGGAGTGAAAGAAGCAAATAGCAAGATTAGAGTGACAATGAGAATCTCAAATATGGCTTGAACCCATATGAATATGAATTACGCATGTGATGAAAAAGGGACACCTCTCCCGGTTAACCTCGTGAGCTTATGAGGTGGGTGGCGTCCTCGAACCTCTCATCCGCTGGGGGCGGTGTGGCCATGTGATTGGTTGTTGAACGTCCTGAAACTTGACGATCCGGACTTGGCTCTTTGACTGCTTTCCGGCCTCTGCCGGTCAAAAATCGGATGAGTTACTCTAGGTTGGTTCGGAAGTACCTGAATATCAGTCACGTAGAATTTGTATACTGAGCTATACAATCTCTAGTATGCTAAGTATATTAGGTCGGTGGATACCTGTCCTCGTGAGGTCCTACCAATTCGGCCGAGATGGGGACGGAGAAGACGGGGATCATTACGATCTTAAAGCCGCGCACTATTTTGCAATGGTTCCATTGACTATGTACTTCAAAACCCCATCCGGGTCGGATATAGCCCTACGGGTAATGGGGTGCTATGAACCCGAGATAAAAAGGTCGGCATATGGGGGGATTGGTAATGGATGCCGCGCAAGAACCAAGCCTTCAAACATAGGAACTGAACACTAAAGGGAAAAAGAAAAATTACATGACGATCCTTAACCTTGGAAAGTGGGTTGGATCTCTACGCTAAGTGCTGGAGAATGGGTACCTTTGGGCGGAGTTTGATTCTGCAGTCAAATCCCAAAAGAGTAAAAGTGTTGGGCTAAAGGAAAAGAGAGGAGCCGGAAAACCGTCTCACCGTAGTTTGGAGGATCAGCCACCTTCAGGTTCCCCTCTATCTACCTCCTTAGTCTGTAGTAGCTGGAGTCTAAGTGCATCACTCGTGGACCGAACCGTCTTCGGGAGCCCCTGGGAGTGGATCCTCGCCAATTCCCGGCTATGCTGCCGAGTCTCCATGGATTCTAGTACCTGTATTTTATATTTAGTTTTTTTTTACCTGTAGTAGTAATCATCATTCTATATTCCCTTGGCCGAGTGAATTGTTGATATTAGTCAATGGACGCCTTCTTGGTCAGTTCTCAAATGCAAGTCAAGCCACGAAAACAAATTTACATCCCGGAACCCGCTATCCGGTGCGGCGCAACATACCGAGATGAAACGAGAAGGTTTGGCGAGGGAATTATGGTCTGTTTGGCCTGCCTTTTCGGTCACTAGCTTGGTAAATAAAAATTAGTCTCCCCCTCGCACGGATCAGGACCGTCTCCGCCAAGGATCTGATAGTTTTATGGCAAGTCACGAGGGGATGGTCAGATCCGATCATTGATTCCTGCAGAACCCTGGTCGAAGCCTTTTTGCAGGTCCACAATCGAAGCGGGAGAAGCTCTTGCGAATTTCTGCTGGTGGAGAACAGAGAGGGGCTAGGGTCGTACCTGGACAAGAGTACCTCGTATCTGATATATAGAATTAATTTTTTTCCATCGGTTTAAATGTTGAGTGTTTCCCTAAAATAAATCATAAACAGGATGCATAAGAGTTGGCTGAGACATCGAACCATTCCCCCAACCAACCCCTGGGAAGGTGGCATTGCTGGAAATTAGGTAATACTAGCGAGTCGAGATCGGGCGGAAGTACTGCGAAAGCCGGAGCTTAGGACGGAAGTGGATGATCCAATGGGAGCCCCTGAACACTTGCTAGTTGAACTAGTGTTGGAAGTTTCCCAGAACGTCCACAGGAAAGGTTTATCCATTAGACTCAACAGTAGTGCGCACTATTGCGGTCCACCGCTAAACTACTGTAAAAAGGTACGAAAGAGGAGGGGAGAAAAAGAATAAAATTCAAAAATACGTTTTAGGTAGAGGTACAGTAGTGTCGTTAGCTTGAGGAGAAAGTAAGCGGCTACGGCGCATCCACTAAAGGCAACAATGCATAGCCGTTACCGAGACACGTATCACAGAGTTCGGGGAAGAGACCAATTTTGAGTACGTACGCTTAGGATTAATGCTGATAATTATGTCCGAGGATCCCGCGTACACAAACGAACCTCGAGATGCAAGTCGCATGGAAGGGAAAACCATGAAAATAATTGCTAATGCACGATGAGGTCTGGTATCATCTGTTTCTAGCTAGATGACGTGCTGTTTTCCATTAGGAGAGATCAGTGCGAGAGAGCTCGACCGTTCGGTTCAAACGCTCGTTCACTCACTAGCGCCTGGTTACAGCGAAAGCAGGTCGTGAGCTCGAATGTGGGCCTCTGATTGAGTGATCGGGAGGAGAGTGTGCAATGGCACTGCATCTCCCTGCATGAGTGAGATGTGTGATCTGTTTACCTGCGGGGCGTGTCAAGCCACTGCGGAGCCAGGGTCAGGATGTCAGAACCACCGAGTCTCCAACTCCAACATCAATTGGGGTTTATGTACGGAGTACTCGATATCTATAGGAGGTTTATGCTGGGCTTGTTGCACAGTGATGGGCTATAATCATTCTGTTCCGATGCTTACCCCTTTTCAGACCGATGTGTTGTGTTGTAGGTCTGAGCATTTTCCATTGGTATCAATAGGGAAGCTCACTCCAATGTACATATGCGTACGGAGTACATCGGACAGCGCCGCGATCGGGTAAACAATGGAGCCTTACACGCATGTGGCAGTGGACTGGATTCTTTTTCCCCAGGTCCATATTCAGATGTCAGTTCAGGAATGAATCATTTCCGGATATATTCTAGGACTAAATTCCCTATATTGCCAATAAAGCCCGTAGATTGTTAATATATGTAAAACCCTTTAGACCTCGAGGACTCGATAATGTCTCATGTCTTCTCTGTTCAAGTCCATTCGAATCCGAGTCCTCTAGGATTATATAGAATCGGATCTGTACACGTACTCCGCTTGCGAGCAGGTGCGATCGGCCATTCCTCTCCGGGCCGTCTTCGGAAGACGCCCGGCATATCGTCATCGTTCCCTGTTCTGTACCAGAATTCCGCGCCTTTTGGCTCGTACGGTATTGACATTACCTTTTATTTTTTATTTTTCTGTATTTGAGTTCAATTCAAATTTCTCGTCTATGGTACCTATTCTTTGCCTCTCCCAAACTAACGGCTCCCGTCACCAATCATAGGAACATTTTCGGTTCTCGGGATTCTGGTTTTATTTTTTTTTTGGACATTTTCAATTTCCGTTTTTCCATTTTTTTTTTACATTTTCCATCTGAAACTTTCTGTGGTATGGTAACCTTGGTAAACCTGGTAAGTTTGCCCGCCCCCCAATTCTTTCCTTTTCCCTCTTTTTTCCCCCCAATCCCCCGTTCGCGATCGAACTGCCTTCTCAAACTGATCAGAGAAAAAAAAATTTCTTTCTTCCTCATCCTCCTAACCATCCCCATCAATTATCACCTAATTGGATTCTGTGGTCGTTCTTTTCCTGGGTTTTTCGACCTCGACGCATTCTTTGACGCGAAGCAGATCTGACTAGTTGTTGTCCTGCGAGTTGCAGACCCACTTGCACGCCCGCTTCCTTGGTGGATACAGAACCCATCGACGGTGACAACGTGCGGATAACACCAAAAAGTTCCCACACGACTTTCTTCGGTGGGTGACCGTGGGGAAATCTCCTCAAACCTTCCTTCTTGACCTTTTCTTTCTCCTCCCCCTCCTGGCCTTCTGTGACTTACCTTTGTGTGGAGTCAGACGTCCCTAATTGATCTGCCTCGTGACTTGGCACCTTTCCGCCTCGGGAAAAATTTCTAAAGAAACAAGGAGCAGTCTTTGGTTCAACGAGAAAGAGAAAGAAGTGGAAAAAAAAGAGCATCGCTGTTCGATGATTGCTTTGTGATCGTTTTCGACCATCTTAAATTCTCCTTTTGACGCGCTCTCCCTCGTCCAATTCTTCAAGATGGATCCCCGATCGCACCCTTCGCGGCCTGCCTCCACCCTCTCCCAGGGCTCCGCACCGCTCTCCTCGACCCCCATCTCGAGTATGCCGATGCCTCAATACTCGATGCAGCCGCAGTACCCGGTGTCGCAGCCGCACACTCTGCCGCCGCTCCAGCCTCATCACACTCAGTCGCCCGCGCCGCATCCCTACATGAGCCAGCCATACCGGCCCGACCTGTCACGGTTTCCCGCGTCGACTCACGACGTGTACGGGGCGTCGACTGCCCCCATCATGCCCGGCATGCACACGACCGTCGGTAGCCAACCACCGTCATTTTTGTCGCATCCTAACCACCAGACACAGGCCCACCCCTCTCAGTCGTACCCCCCGCCTCCGAGCGTGTTGCCTCCTGCGTCGAGCGCGCAGAGCTACCCTCAGCCCATTGCTCCGGCCCCGCCGCGTGACCGTCGCGACTTCAACGGTCTTCCCTCCGGGGCTTTCAGCTATTCCGATGGCAAGTCTTGGGGCATGAGCCCCGACGTGAATGGCGCGAATGGCTCGCCCTACGGGGCCAAGGAACCGCCACGGACGCAGGTCGTGGGCTCTCAGGGCCGCCGTGGTATCCTGCCTAGTGTTCCGGGCCGTGCGACTCCTGTCACCAACGGCATCAACGGTGCTGCAAAGAGCACCACCATTCCGGCCAAGGATGCGGATGGCAAATTCCCTTGCCCACACTGTAACAAGACCTACTTGCACGCTAAGCACCTGAAGCGCCATTTGCTGAGACGTGAGTATTTTCTACCCCTCAAGTCTTTCCACCACTTTTTTTCCTTTTTTTTTTTCTTGCGCTTTTGCTTTTGGCAAAAAAAAAAAAAAAAAAAAAAAAAAAAAAGGGTCTTTTGTTTAAATTGAAGCTAATGACGCGTCTTTTGTTGTTCCAATTAGACACTGGAGATCGGCCTTACATGTGTGTCCTCTGCAAGGACACCTTTTCTCGCAGTGATATCTTGAAGCGCCACTTCCAGAAGTGTTCAATTCGTCGGGGTAACCCCACGGGTGCGACCCACCTGTCGCACCCTCAGGCCCATCTGAAGCGGTCGCAGCAGGCGGCGGCCGCAGCAGCAGCGGCGAACCCCGCTAAGCCTATGGATGAAGTTAGTAATCCCGCCCCATCTTCCAATGGTGTTATGGGTGCGCAATTCAGCGACGGGCACGTGAATGGAAATGGAATGCCCGTTGGTCGTCCCACTTTCCATGAGCAGCAGCATCATATGGGGTTCGCGATGTCGCCGGCCAACGGTATGAGCCGTGGTCCGAGTGACAACGCGTATGCCGATCAGGCATCCGCGCGAGCTTCCTGGATGGCTGCGCCCAAGCAGAATCCGTACCTCATGCAGTCCGGCACCGATGCCCATGGCCAGCAACTGAGTGTTGATCGTCCTCTTGAACAGGTAAAGCCCCTGGTCGTCCCTGACCCTAAACACCCGGCTATGTCCGGTCCCCATTCGAACCAGCCTGACTGGTCAATGTTCCAGCACGGTCCATCCGACGGTTATATGAACCCCGTTTTCCCCCACTCCATGGCTACCGGCCAGGAATCGATCCACGCCCCCGTCGATGCGGATCGTAAGTTCTACCCCGCCACGACCGCCGGCGGCCCCGAGAGCGGTATGAACGGATTGTACCTGGCTTCGACTACTCTGAGCGGTGATGGTGAGTGAGCCCTGTGGTCTGTGTCGGCAATGCCAAAAAGAAAAGAGATATTAACGAGATTCCTCTTCAGGTACCGTTCAGCCTGCACGACAGTAAACAGCCTCGGATCATATGACGCGACGCGCCAATCCGGGAGAGATTAAACCCCAAAAAAGTGAAGGCCTATTCTGACCATCGTGAGGACTACTGGTGCAGATCCCCCCGCACGCGATGGATGCGAAGTTTCTCGTTTGCAGCCTTGATTTGATATCTTGTTCAAGGCAGCTCCAGCCGTGGCTCTTTTCTTTTTTACCCCCCTTAGACTTTGTCTTTTGTCTTTCCCTGCCAACCAAAAATGATTGTTTTACTACTCCCTGCCGCTTCCGCCTCTCCTCCCTGATCCCAACTCCGCTCGATCCAAGCGGTGTTTTTCCGATTCTGGCGTCCAGTTCTTGGTTTTGACATTTTGATTGTATTCATCCTTGATGACTCATTTTCCCTTTCAGATCCCATCTGGTGTGGGCATTCTTCACTCTACGAGTACAACTATACGGTGGTTGATTGCGAGTCTGGTTGATTTTTTATGCCCTCTTTGATGAGATGGGTAGGGTGGTTTCGTTCGGCGTCCACAACTATAGACATGGGCATGTGTTTTTGCGCGACTTCAGCAGAAAGAGAAAAGTCTTTTGTGGGAAGGCTCTTGTCGAATTATGCAGTGTTTCATCTTTACATCTTTCATTTTTCATCTTTTCCATTCTCTTTTCCTTTCTACTGGTTGTTCGTTTTTATCTTTTGTCCCCCGGTGCATTTGCATGGCCTGTAAGTAGAGTCGAGTCGGCACGGCACGAACATACATGCGCGCCTCGGGTTTGGTGTGATTTAGGGTGTTATGTCTTTTATTCTTGTTATCCCTCAGGGAAACTGCTCTATCGAAAAGCATCTAGAAATAGAGATGATCGTTTTCAGACTGGTGCGCCTGTAACTGCATGAACCGCCGAGCCGCGAAGATCCGATCAGATAATGGCCTGATGCTAGACAAAGCATTCGATAATAATAGTACTATAACATAATGAAACAAGACTAGTAGACCAATAGACCAATACCGCGGAGGTAGCCTGTTCCCAGCGTTTAGTTCACTCCGGGAACTTCCTGCTCGACGTCATGTCCATAATCCCCGGCATCTGATTGGTACGTCACCTCTCGGAACAAGTTGGACTCGGGATCTCTGACTTCCCCCGCCGTTCAGACCCTTCATATGCTCCGCTTTCCTTGAATTCTAGCCCGGGTCAAAGGAATAGGGCCGCTTGCTACATCTACTGATCAAGATCCCCTCGACCCCGCCGATTCGGCCATCACTCACCACATCGCGTACCAGCCATGTCCACCAACAGACCATTCCTCTCCAACTTCTTGGCCGCGTTCCGCGCCCAGTCCACCTTTAAAGCCTCCCAACCATCAACAGGCACATCCTCTCTATCCTCCTCAACACTCACCCAAAGCGCCCGCACAATAGCCTCCAAAGCTGCCGGTTCCAACTCTAACCCATCCTCCAGTTCCGCCTCAGCAAACCAATCTACATCTCACTCGCACTCAAGTGGGAATTCCATCCCACCGGGTGCATCAGCATCTACATCTACATCTCCGCCGGCTACGGCATCTCAGCCTCAGCACCATTCCCACCATTACCACCACACTTCTACCGCCTACTCAGAAACATCTCCTCCCCCGACACCGTCTTCTTCCACGCCGATCCCGATCAATCGTGGACCGGCAGATCGCCAGCGTCGCGGGAGCGATAGTTCTAGTGGCTCGGGCGGGTTTCGGGATGCGTTAGGGCCGGAGAAGTGGTATATCGGGGGCAAGACGCCTGCGGGGGAGGAACGATTTTATCGGTTGGGGATGGTGACGAACGGTGGGGGGAGACTTGGGGGTGGAGGGAGAGTGGGGAGTATTGATCAGTTGAGTCTGTGATGAACAAAAGTACCCACGGTTTCTCTGAAATTGCTTTTGTCGGTGGTCCTTCTTACGTGCAATGATTATGATGGTCATGTCTCTTTGGGCTTTCTCATGGCGTTATAGGTTTGGGGCGTTTTGAGATTTCTCTGGTGCGGATTGATTGGCTTTTCTTGAGTTCATGTTCGTGTTCATGAAACAAGAAAAGAAAAAAAAAAAAACTTTCAAGTTGTCAAGTCTTTTCGACTACATCTTTGGCATATCAGTGATGAAAAAGACTGGTTTTTTTTTTTTGGCAGTTCGGCAAACAATACAGCTTATGTTGATGCATCTTGAAATATCATGAGTTTTGGTATGACATGGCCGAGATACGATATTGAAGAGAAGATTTGTTCATGCTGAATACCGAGTCCATCTCACAACACCTGCTGTGTCGTACAGTGCAACACACCTCCAGTTCTCGGCAAAGCATTAACGGCCACTTGCCTGACTTCCCGCTCAGGGACAAGGCTCTTCATCATCTCTAAGGCCTTCCGATCCGCCTCGAGATCTCCAAACGCAGGAATCACCAAGCCTCCATTCACAAAGTAGAAATTCACATAAGATGCCGCCGGCCCATCCTCCTCTCCGGCAACATTCCCCTTCACAAGCTCCGGATCGGGCTCCTCAATATCATGTACCTGAAGTCTCCGTCCCTGCGCATCAGTAGCAGCATCCAGAATCTCCCTCGCCTCACGATAGATATCCCAGTAAACAGGCTCACATTTCGCGTGAGGCTTACAAACAACCACTACACCAGGTCTCACAAATCGTGCCTCTGCATCGATATGACAATCCGTAATATCCAACCCCTCCCGTCCAGGAATCCAGATAAACTTCTTAATCCCCAATAACCGAGCCAACTCAGTCTCGATATCTTCTTGCGAGAGACCTTCATTCCGCGAGGAAACCAACACGCTACTCGCAGCAGCCATGAAAGTTCCTTCGCCATCCATCTCAATACCACCACCCTCTAGACGGACTGACGATACAACCCGGGTAACGGGAGGATGTCTTCCATCTTGGTTCTCGAGTTCGAGAGCCCGGCGCGCGAAAAGGGTATTCTCCTCCCGTCGTGTGGAATCCATGATCGGCCAATCGGCACCCTCTTCTGCTAGTGCTGCTTCTTTATCGACTGAGCTGTTGTATAATAGCTCCTCAATCTTGTTCCCCCATTCGCAGAATTGGAAGTCGATTGCGTATCGCTGTTGTGGATCTTCGGCTCCGCGCACGTAAACGGGTCCTGTATCGCGGACCCAGCAGTGGTTTGTTGCGACGGGAATGAGAGTGATGTTCGATTCTTGGATAGGTCTATCATTGTTGGAGCTTGATTCTAGGCGCTTGGAGATGAGATTTTGGGCCTTTGAGAGGTCTTCTGGGCGCGCATGGAGGCGCACGGGCTCAAAGGCTGCGATTGTGCATGCTAGATCGATGATCTCAGTACAGGTGCTGTTGTATAAGGCTGGGAAGGTTGAGCAGCGAGTGGGAAAGCCGAGAATTGTGGCGAGGTGGGGAGTTGTTTCGGCGAGATAGGTGTATTTTTTAGTTTTGTCTGTTTCTGTGTGGAGATTTCCTTTGGATGCCATTGTTGCTGCAGAAGTGGTGATGTTTCGAGTTAATGCTGAGCAATGTCTTCTATTAGGCTGTATGTGTCTCGAGAGACGTGGATTGAGGTAACTCTATACTGTATGTCAGTCACAGGCGACATAAAACCGAAGCAATGAAAGCACCCACATCAATAGTACGCGTAGGTGCGTAGAAATTGCGTTTAGTACAAAGACCAAGAGAATTCAAAAGGGTTGACATTGTAAGATCACACCAAAGCGACGAATTGTAGAAGTATTTATGCAGTTGAAGTAAAAGATAAGAAGTTGACGTCGATCGAGTTCTGTCCCTTATTGCCCGAAAAAGGCAAGAAGACGCGATGATCGGGAAACTCAATTTGACTGCCTAATTTATACATTCACCAGAGTGTCTTTCCTACTAACATTCAAATGATGATTCTCTTCCTCTCTTCCTCCTTCCTCTCCATCTTCGTTATGTGTTCATGTTGATCTTCTCCTTCCCCAAGCCACCATATCGGCACCGCTGTCAATATAGCCAACATCCCCAGTGACATTGCGCCCCACCCGAACCGATACTCCACAAGCCCACCCCAAAAGTGGCCCTAGAAACACCCCGCAAATTGATACATGCTCTGGAGTCCAAATTTTTGTGCCATGGCTCCCTTAGGTCCCAGAACCAGCTGGTACTCCTCCATCACTATACGTGCTTACTGTGTCAGAGAATTATAGCCAACCGAAAACATTCTCAAAGATTGATCTCCACATGGCATCAGCCGCGGGATCAGTATTGGAGTAACCGTCTTTTGCCGAGTTCATCTCTTGTATGGTTTTTCTTCTTCTCTCACTCCGGGATATACTATACAAAACCAATTTCGGTCAAAATGAATGTGTTCTCATGGTCATACAGAACTTCTATCGCAGTGCTGGGAAAGGCAATCTTCTCGTGAAAACCATTGAAGTTGACGCCACAATTATCTTTGATTGTCTCGAGCACATGATTACAGCTCCCTTTGGGATAGTTGTGCCAGGTGCTGAGCAGTATACGCAGCGAAAACCACCCTCGTTTTCATTACATACAGCCCCCAATGGCCCAAGTGTCAGAGAATTTGGCTGTGAAGATCGAAACATCTTTCATATAGACGTGTCTGGCGCTAGATACGCGAAAGAACCGTGACTATCGCCGTTGATGGGCATGGGGCCGGGATCCCGGTTATCATGGTAATTCGGAGACAGTATTTGCCGCGGAAAGCTCTCCTAATGGCTTCTTGGAAGAGAAATTTGTATCAGAGGGGGCCTCAAACACTGCGGGCCCGTCTCCTCCCACTTCCCTTTTATGGTACCAAAGTCCAGACTGAGCAGGATTGACATTCGGTTTTTGTTTATACTTTCTTCGGGTGAACCAGATTGCGGCCAGGGCAACCAGGGTACACGCAAATACAGCCCCAATAACAGGACCGGCAATCCATGCTTTCGATGACTTGCCATCTGCTGATGTGTCCTGTGATGTGGCCGTGGGCGATACCGTCGAGCTCCCCGTGTTGGTAATTGCTCCCATGCTTGTCGCGGTTGGCGTTGTAAAATCAGTGGATTGCCAGCGAATGAAAACAGCCTTAGCATTTATACCATCAGGTGTCGTCATGCTAGATATTTCATTGGTTTTTGTGAATGTCCATGCGTGATTAGAATTGCTATTGGTGGAGGTGCATCGGTTCGTTGAGTACCAAACAAGCCCATTCTCAGTTTGAGCGCTATAACCTCTACATAGAACTTGCTTAGTAAATCACTCAATAGCGATGAATATCATAGCCTGAACTCACGATGGGCAACATGTTGCTCGGGTCTCTACATTTCCATCTAGAGAATTTGTTGACTGGCTCGCGACTGTATATCCTGATGGACATAGGCCGGGTGAGAAATAGAAGTCCGTGGCAGCTTTATATCCTGAAGGGAAACAGCTACTCCATTCCTTGGGTCCTTGACTTAACCATCAGCCGGCATCAGTGGCAGAAATGGCGGTGTCATAGTGGTAAGTCCCAGACAGGTATTCAATATACCAGGTGTCGGTAGTACACGCGGCCGCTGGTGAGAAGATGGTGGTAAGGGGTATGGCTGTTGCTGTCATGATTTTGGTTTTAAAGGTTACTGAAAGGAGGAATCAAGAGGCAAAAGAAGGCCCCTGACAATCCTTCTGGTTTGGTCAACCAAAAGTGGAGATAATTTGGGGGCCAGCGGAGCATGTCCCGACTTCCTTGGGAATAGCGCTAGGTGTGCCATGTCATGAATTTGCGGATCATCTCCAGGGCTTCTACGCTTGAATTTCTGTGCACTAATCTACTATATATCTACTTCCGACCGTTAGATTCTCGACGTATATAACCTTGGGAAGCTATGGACCCCATACGGACCGCACTGGAGATCAATGAGACCCAATCATTCCGAAGCCATGATTACTAATAAGCTACAATTAACTTAGTATCTAGTTAGTGAGTCGGTAGTTAGTTATCGGAATCTAGCGCTTATAGAAAGCTAGCGCTTAGGGAAGTCTAGTATATATTTATTAGAAAACGACCGGTTTTCATATGACTGGCCACTCTCCGGGGATCCATTGAGAACTAAGAAACAGTCAAGAAAAAGGTGTTAAGCAATTGACTTGATTATTGCCTAGGTGTGCTTAATAGTGAGGGAATGATCCGGTAATCTCCACTACAACGAGATGGATGTAAAAGCTTCCAGCGATTCCAGCTGTAGTTGTAGACGTCTCCCAGGGTAAAGCTGGCCCACAAATACTTGCCTCCCACTGACGCAAGATGGTCCGTGAGTCAAGACCATGATCTAGTCCCTACTTCGCTTGTGCTCCCACAAATATAAGCTGCAGATACTGATAGAGACCGGCGCAGCGTCTTGCATTTGAACTAGGAAGAGTTGGAGAAGAGTATCCGATAGTCCAAGTACCACTTGAATATAGCCCACGGAGGATACTCGAGCTCATTATGTCGTGTTCACTTCGGATTGACACAGATCATAGGAGATGGACTGCGGGATTGTAGAGGTGTACATAGATATATGGTTGGCTGGCTTTCAAATTTCCCTAGCATGAGGTTTCAGAATTTCGATTCATTCTGAGTCTCAATATCAAGTGGCTCTTATGATAACTTGGAGTTCTCATATAAAATAGATACATTCAAGTATGAGGAGGTATGGTCAATATTGAAAGGTATCCGGGACACATTGGAGCGGATGCACAGGTGATGGATCAATGATGTTTTGCTTTAGTCAATCCCAGTCTCTCAGATGTCTCTTCTCCCTCATGATCGCATTTCCCCGGTGGAGATCGCCGATTGAAGCGGGATTTGCTTCATAAGGGAGCAAGATCGGACGCCGGAATTTCGGATTCGGGAATGGAAGTCCCAGTCGAGACTAGTCGTGCAATAAGCTCTGGCGGCTCGAAACCCGAAATCTGGGGGAGAATTTTGCTCATCCAACAGATGTCTACTCCATCAATTTGCCTACACAAATTTGGAAAACAACAATATCCGGCTTGACATTGGTCAACTGTGTTCCACATTCTCCTATTTGACGTGTTTCGTAAGTGTTATCCGTGGAAAATACCGCTCAACGTTTGCGATAAGATCGGAAGTGGGGATCGGCCATTCGCGGGCATCGGAGGTGCCCGATACTCTGTCGCGGACGAGCGCATCAGCCCATTTTTCACTGAAATAAATAAAGAATCGCTTTCCTGGAACCACTTTCATCTGTCCTAACATTTCCTTTCCATACCTGTAGCTCATCTCCAGCTTACCTCCCTTCAGCCATCTACCCATCTTCAATCTCCGCTAATCTCTTATCTCCACCTTTCAACATGAGCGCTCTCGCTGCTGCCCGCTACGGCAAGGACAATGTCCGCGTGTACAAGGTGCACCGCGACGAGAAGAGTGGTATCCAGACCGTTGTCGAGATGACCGTCTGCGTCCTGCTGGAGGGTGACATTGAGACTTCGTGAGTGCACCAAACACTCTTATCAGTGGCAATCAGCTCGAATGGCTACAGAAGACTGAGCTAACACCAAATTCCCCTATAGCTACACCAGGGCCGACAACAGCGTTATCGTTGCTACCGACTCCATTAAGAACACCATCTACATCACCGCCAAGCAGCAGCCCGTGACCACCCCCGAGGTCTTCGGCTCCATCCTGGGTTCGCACTTCATCGAGAAGTACAGCCACATCCACGCCGCACACGTCAAGATTATCACTCACCGCTGGGTGCGCATGAACATCGACGGCAAGCCCCACCCGCACTCCTTCATCAAGGACAGCCCCGAGACCCGCAACGTGCAGGTCGATGTTGTTGAGGGCAAGGGCATCGATATCAACTCCTCAATCAACGGCCTGACCGTACTCAAGAGCACCGGCTCGCAATTCTGGGGCTTCCTCCGCGACGAGTTCACTACCCTCAAGGAGACCTGGGACCGCATTCTCAGCACTGATGTCTCGGCCAACTGGCAGTGGCGCCGCTTCAGCAATGTGTCTGAGGTGAAGGCTAATGTTGCCAAGTTCGATGCTACCTGGGAGGCTGCCCGGGCTATCACTCTTAAGACCTTTGCTGAGGATAACAGCGCCAGTGTGCAGGCTACCATGTACAAAATGGGCGAGCAGATTCTTGCTACTGCGCCTCTGCTTGAGACTGTGGAATATGAGCTGCCCAACAACCACTACTTCGAGATTGGTACGTTTGATCAATTTTATTGTTGTGAAGATCTCCTTCTAACTCCTCATAGATCTCAGCTGGCACAAGGGGACCAAGAACACCGGCAAGGACGCCGAGGTGTACGCTCCCCAGTCTAACCCCAACGGCCTTATCAAATGCACTGTTGGCCGTGCTGGCCCCAAGGCCAAGCTGTAAATGCCTCTCTAGCCGGACTCTGGAGTTCCCTGCATGATCTGTTGTCTTCCTTTCTCTTGTACATAATGTCTCTATATACCTCCGGGAGTGAAACCCCCAATTTCAGCTTGACAACACATTTCTTTTATTTTCACATAATTTGCTATATAAGTACAGACCGGGGTAGAAAATGACCCATAGGTCGGATTCGAAAAAGAGTAGCCAACAGAAAGGAGAATCAAAAGAAAATATCCCAAAGATAAGACTCCACACCCATGCGCTTGCGGTTTTGGATCATAACGCAGAAATAAATTACATCGCAATCCAGGTCAAGGATATAATCGAACAAGGTAGAAAAACATGTTTAAGCGGGAGTCTGAGCCTCCTTGGCCTCCTTGAAAGCTTCTTGGACTTCCCGGGTGGCTCCAATGACCGATTCGTTGCCGAACTTGACAATGTTCTGCTTGTAGGGATGGGCAAGTCCCTCGAAAGCTGGAAGAGAATAATGTTAGCCATCTGCATAGAGGTGTGCCAAATTCCATTCCAGTGATACTCACTCTTCAGTCGGGCCAACCGCGGCTCCTGCAGGCGGTTCTTAGGTAACATTCCCTTCACAGCACGGCGCAGAACCTCGCCTCCACCCCATTTCTGGAACATCTGATCCATAGTCATGCTCTTCAAGCTACCAGGGCGCGTGTTGTGTGAGTAGTACATCTTCTGGAATCGCTTCTTGCCGGTGGTCCGCAGGTCGTGACAGCCGGCAACCACAACGTAGTCTCCGCAGTCCGTCGAGGGGTCATAAATCGGCTTGTGCTTGCCCATCAGAACAAGGGCAATTGATGATGCCAGACGTCCGAGCGAACGGGAGTCAGAGCCGGCGTCGACATAGTGCCATGCGCGGGAGTATGCAAGACGGGTCTAGGAAGGCATAGTGTTAGCATCACGAGGGCTGTATCCTGCAATTGGCCGGGAAACGTCAGTCTGTGCAGTACGATGGGGTCATATTTACCTTGCCGACTGTTTGCGACATCGTGTCAGATATGTATGAAAGAGAGAGTGGGGAGGAAAACAACAGCAACCGCAACTCAAGCAAATCCCCGAAGTTCTGCGCATGCCAAACTCGGACTCCGCCTGGGCCCGATACACGTGACTACACGTGACCCCGATCCCATCATGTGATCAAGCCCTAAGCCAGGGAACCCAATTAAGCCAGTTCGGGACTAGTGCGTCCTAAGCGAAACCCGCACTAACAACCAGCAATTCAGGCGAATCACTGCAGTGTGGGAATTCGCGGTCGACTTCTTTTCCATCTCCCTCGACAACACACTCCTCCCTCAACGACAACCCACCATGGCTTCCGTCCCGAGTGTGCAATGCTTCGGCAAGAAGAAGACGGGTGAGTCTTGCGATTTCGATACCTCCATCCCTCGTTGAATTATTGCTGATCGAACTTTTTTCAATAGCCACCGCTGTCGCCCACTGCAAGGTATGAAGACGAAGCCTCCCCCCCCTCCGCTCTACATCCTATTGCGTCAATCAGATCTCGATGGAACTGCCTTGGAAAAGTTATTACGAATGGATCCGAACGAAAAGTTGTGGAATTGGAATTTTGATGTCGGGAAATATTTTTAATGGGCAACAACGAATTGATGGCGCATGGGATATCACACGAATGAAGAACAACGTACTGAGACTTTCCGAATTTACAGCAAGGCAAGGGCCTCATCAAGGTTAACGGCCAGCCCCTCTCCCTGGTCCAGCCCGAGATCCTCCGCTTCAAGGTACGCACTTGGAAACTTCTCCCCCTCCGCCAACCCAACAACAACCCATACCGTTGTCAAGCAATGCTTTCAGGGCGAACGACAACTTTCCCGAGGAACGCGATTCTAACCTAGCAACTCAACAGGTCTACGAGCCCCTCCTGATCGTTGGCACTGACAAGTTCGCTGGTGTCGACATCCGCGTCCGTGTCTCCGGTGGTGGTCACACTTCCCAGATCTACGCCATCCGTCAGGCCATCGCCAAGTCCATCGTCGCCTACTACCAGAAGTACGTCGATGAGCACTCCAAGATCCAGCTCAAGCAGGCTTTCGCCCAGTACGACAAGACCCTGCTCGTTGCCGATAACCGCCGCGCGGAGCCCAAGAAGTTCGGTGGTCGCGGTGCCCGCGCACGTTACCAGAAGTCCTACCGTTAAATTCCCACTTTGTCTTCTTTTTTTTACAAGAAATACTGCGGCGAAGGGAATTCACAAAATCGACGGAAAAATTATGGGGTTTTATGGAAAATCATGTCTTCATTTCATCGTTTCACGACTTGTTTTCCATTGAATCTTATTGGACTGGGTAACTAGGGAGGATCGTTATGTTGTTGCTGCGAGTGGTTTCGGATTTTTTTTTGGAACTGCTCGCGGACTGGTGAGAACAGGGTCGGTGTCGCGAGGTGTCTGCGGTCTACAGGCTCTCGTTCCCGGTGCCGATGCTGGATGTGTTGTGGAGAGAATGGATATTTTTCCCCTGGCGCGGTCATGAACGGCTGGAAAATATACCTAGCATAGGCCAGGAAAATCTGCTCAAATACACCGGGTTTTTATTGTTCATCTCGTTGCCTAGATTCATGTTCGTAGGCCCTATGTTGACTGCATGGCATCTCCAGGGTTGGACGCGGTATATCTCGTATATTACGTATACCTTTGTGCTCACTGCACATTACAGCTATTGGGCTGTTACTAGCTCATTAGCACTCGTTGACATTGGATGTGCCCCGCGTAACTAACTATAGGGCCTCCAGGTGGCGGTTCGAGAACCACTGACATCGCGTCATGAAGTTACCATTCTCACATTTCATACAACATGCACATATCATTTGTCACATTATCAATCACCTCCGGTGTCCACTATATCATACTGGCTTCCTACGAGCCCCGCTCATCACGTATGCCCTGCGCTGACAAGCCTTCCGTAGAACCAATTTAATCGGCCTTCTTCCACTGGACCATCCTCCTGGCGTCAAGACTCAGATATACTCTAGCGACTACTAATACGAAATTAGCTCTTCTAGATTGAGAAGTGCTAGGAATCTATATCGTCCCCTGGAAGACGCTGTTTCTCCTGCATACGATGCTAGGTATGCTACCCCACGTCAGAGGGCTTTGCGATGTGTAGTATTACATCCAGGACAAGTGGACGATATCATACAATGTGAGCTTGTCCAGTCCACAATAGGAGACCTTCATGGTCGGCACGAAGCCTAATCATAAACCTGAGGCGACCGAGCAATACGACAGACATTTTAGTCTGGTATGTCTATCATGTAAGAGACAAGCTTCTGGCCCAAACAGATGATTGTTCATATCGCATAGCGCTCCTACCAGTCAACGCCAGCTGAACACTAACGAGACTGCAGCCTCGCATGATCGGCCTTGTCTCTTGGTCTCTTGCTTGGAACGAGGGTCGTAGTAGCTGTCACATATCTAGGGTTATTTGGTTATCTAGGCACCGAATTCTCAAACCTGCAAAACACTTGTTCCTCTATCAATCTCAGCAAGCATAATCCAGTAGCAAGCTGAGTTCCCTATCTTTTCTACTTGTCCTCTCACCACGTCAGACAGACGATGATGGCTATAATCCCCCCCCTCAATCCCTATCTGTTATGCCAAAATTTGGTGATTGATTGCGCCAGGCTGATACTGATCGAAGTAATTTAGTTGCATTAAGTGTCGAAATTCTTGCTAGTGACTTATTATTTTTAAATCCTAGTACGTGGCAGAAATAAACACTTGTTTGATCTGAACCCATTCACAAAGTAATTCTAGCACAATAATGAAAGATTTCAAGTCAGAAGTCAGTGTATCAAGAATTGGCAAATGGTCAACGTCGATTGGGTGCTTGGGGCTCCATGTTGGTGCCTTACTGCCTTACTGCCTTACTGCCTGGAACTTACCTAAACCACTTTAACGCGTCCACGCGAGGCCCACAGCGCGTCGCGCCCTGGCTTCAGATCGCGATCCATATTCTCTCCTTCCCCGCAACCCATTGTCATTTTGTGTTCCCACTGGTGAATGGACAATCGTCCATCATAATCAACAAACATGCCTTCTGCTCGTGACAGACTCGCCGAGCTAAGGGCCCTCCGTGCCTCTGGGAAAAAGCGCCTCTCCACATACGAAGTCGAGGAGCAAGAAGATATCTATGAAGAGGTCGATGACGACGGCTATAAGAAGATTATCCGCGGTCGACTCGACGAGGACGACTTCGTCGTTGACGACAACGGCGCCGGCTATGCAGACGACGGTCGGGAAGTGTGGAACGAACGAGCACCTGAATACGATAGCGACGACAGTGATGGATTGCCTGCGCGCGGCAAGGCCGCCAAACGGAAGCGTGAGGAGGAGAAACAGCGCCAAGAGAAGATGAATAACGGTATCTCCAAATACTTTAACAGTGGCAATGCTGCTGTAGCTACTGCGGCCAAGCCCAAGGTGAGATTTTCTCGCAAGACCCTCTGCAATGGTAATCTGACTTTCTACGTAGCCAGTTGCGACTGCTGAAGACGATGCTTTCATGGCAGACCTCCTCGGAGAAGTGGATACGAATGTCGTCTCTAATCGTCCCCCTACGAGAAACATTGTCAAATCGGAAGCCCGGCGGAAAGTTCGCGTCCTCTCCCCGCCCACCCTTCAGAAACAGCACCGGGAGAACATTGGAGCAGGAGATGAGAACCATGTCCCAAGCTCCCCACCGAAGCATCAGCCAGCATTCAATTCCGACGATGATCTCGATGATGGCCCACTCCCTGCAGTGGAAGATGATGACATCTCCATGGGTGATCCGATGCCCTCCTCTCCTATAAGTAAGGCCGTGGAGCGCAAGATTGTCGTTCCGGTCAAAAAGGAAGAACCAGACGAAGAGGATATCGACATGATGGACATCGCGGAAGCCACGGTATCTGCCAGCACTAAGACCGCAAACGTCAATATCACAGGAAGTCGTCCTCCTCCAAAGATCAAGAAGGAGGAGCCCACCACACCTGCGAAGTCTTCGCCTACCAAACCTATGACCGAGCTATTGGATGCATCTTGGAACGACGTGAGAAACAAGTTGAACGTTCTGAGCAGCCCAGCACCGGAGATGCGTTCTTTTGGAAAGCTGCGTGCCCAGGATGTTGTCGAGGAGGATGGTAGCTTGCGATTCTTCTGGATGGACTACACTGAGATCAATGGGAGTCTGTGCTTGTTTGGAAAGGTGAAAAACAAGCAAAATGACTCGTACACCAGTGCCTTTGTCAAAATTGACAACATCCTTCGAAAGCTCTACTTCCTTCCTCGTGACCAGCGATTCAAGCAAGGCAGAGAAACAGAGGAGGAAGTTGGAATGGAGGACGTCTACCAAGAAGTGGATCAAATGATGTCCCGGATGAAGGTCGGCATGCACAAGATGAAGCCTTGCAGTCGAAAGTACGCATTTGAGATGCGCGGGGTGCCCAAGGAGGCAGATTACCTGAAGCTTCTCTATCCATACGACAAACCAGCGATCCCAATGGAGGTCAAGGGCGAAACTTTCTCTCACGTGTTTGGTACAAATACTTCCCTCTTTGAGCAATTTGTCCTGTGGAAGAACATCATGGGCCCTTGCTGGCTCAAGATTGATGAGGCCGACTTCTCTGCCGTGAACAATGCATCCTGGTGCAAATTTGAATGTCAAGCAGCCAAGCCGGCACTTATTACGCCTGTTCCAGAAACAGAGAACATGGAGACGCCACCTTTGACCCTCATGTCTCTTTCCTTCCGAACTCAACTTAATGTGAAGGAGAACAAACAGGAGATCTTGATGGTAAGTGCCCGAGTATATGAGAACATCTCGCTCTCGGATACGACACCGCCAGAGAAACTCCCTTGTAAGACATTTACCGTGATGCGCCCCTCTGGCCAATCATATCCCATGCACTTTGAGGCCGAATGCCGAAAACAGCGAGGTACAATCATGCTTGAGAAAAGCGAACAGTTCCTTCTCAGCAAGTTTTTGGCCATGTTTGAAAAGATGGACCCGGATGTGATTATGGGCCACCAGTTGCAGGATGTTGACCTTGGCATCCTCCTCAACCGCCTCCGAGAAAAGAAAACCCCTGGATGGCATAGAGTCGGCCGACTCAAGCGTGGCGATTGGCCAAAAAACTACAATAAGAACAGTGGCTTCTTTGCTGAGAGGCAACTCATTGCTGGTCGATTGATGTGTGATCTTGGAAACGATATGGGCAAGGTGAGTTTACTCGGGCTTGGAAGGCCCTCGATAAAGATGCTAATTGGGTCTTTAGTCTTTGATGATGAAATGTCAGTCCTGGAGCTTGACAGAAATGTGTCAGCTTTATCTTGGTGAGGGTAATACCCGCCAGGACTTAGATGTCGAAGCAGCTTTGAAGTCCTGGGCCTCAACCAAGGATGGTTTGATGAATTTTGTCAACCACTGCGATACCGATACCTATTTCATGGCTGCCCTGGTTCTGCGTCTGCAGATGCTCCCTCTTACCAAGGTCCTGACAAACATTGCCGGTAACTCGTGGGCGCGCACCCTCAGTGGTACTCGTGCAGAGCGAAACGAGTACATTCTGCTTCACGAGTTCCACCGCAACAAGTATATTTGTCCCGACAAGTATTCCTCCCGCTTACAGAAGGCCGAAGAAAAGATGAACGAGGATGAAGATAATGCAGGCGACAAGAAAAAGAAGGACAAATTCAAGGGTGGTCTCGTTTTCGAGCCCGAGAAAGGTCTCTATGACAGGTTCATCTTGGTCATGGACTTCAACAGTTTGTACCCTTCGATTATTCAGGAGTACAATATCTGTTTCACCACGGTGGATCGGAATGCTACGGTATGTACCCTTTAGTCTGTTGGAACGCTATTGGCTAGTTTCTAACCTTGTACAGGCCGAAAATGAAAATGAGGAGAGCGTTCCCGAGGTTCCTTCTTCAGACCAAGACCAGGGCATTCTGCCAAAGCTCATTGCAACATTGGTCGGTCGTCGACGTGAGGTGAAAAAATTGATGAAAGACAAGCGTGCCACGCCCGAGCAGCTCGCTCTGTGGGATACAAAGCAACTTGCCTTCAAGCTGACTGCCAACTCCATGTACGGTTGCTTGGGATACACGCAAAGTCGATTCTATGCTCGCCCCCTGGCAATGCTCACCACGTTCAAGGGTCGTGAAATTTTGCGAAGCACCAAGGAACTGGCTGAGAGCAGACAGCTCCGAGTTATCTATGGTGATACCGACTCTGTCATGATTAACACGAACATGGAAACTATTAGCGAGGCGCTTCAGGTCGGTGAGGAGTTCAAGAAAATGGTCAATGAGCGCTATAAGTTGCTAGAAATTGATATCGATAATGTCTTCCGCCGTCTACTCTTGCACGCCAAGAAGAAGTACGCCGCTGTGAATTTGACAGAAGTCGATGGCAAGTACGTTGAGAAGCTGGAGGTCAAAGGTCTGGACATGAAGAGACGTGAATACTGTGCGCTCTCTAAAGAGGTGTCGTCCAAGCTTCTGAACGAGATCCTTTCTGGCGAAGATCAGGAACTGGTTCTCAACAATGTTCACAACTACCTGCGCGAGCTTGCAGACAAGATGAAAGACTTTGCGATTCCGAACCAGAAATATGTCATCTACACGGTATGTGAAACCCTTTAGGCGGCTTTGGTCACTCGGCACTAACCTTTAAAAGAAACTTTCCAAACGACCCGAGGAGTATCCAAACAAGGAGACAATGCCTCCGGCGCAAGTTGCTCTCCGAGATATTGCCCGAGGCAAAACCATTCGACCAAACGACGTCATTTCGTACATTGTGACGAGTGGCGACGCGGAGACTTCTTCTCTCGCACCAGCCAAACGATCGTATAGTCCTCAGGATGTGTTGAAACCCAACTCAGGTCTCAAGCCTGACATTGAATTCTACCTGCTCAAGCAAATCTTCCCTCCCATTGAGCGTTTGTGTGCCCCGATCCCGGGAACCGACGCCGTCCGTCTCGCTGAATGCCTTGGACTCGACACCCGCAAGTATCAGATCAACACCTCTAGTTCCAATAGCCAACAGAATGCGGAGATCTTCCCGCTGGAGTCACAGATTCCAGACTCGGTCCGCTTTGCCAACGCCGAGCGGCTGGTTTTGATGTGCCGATACTGCAAGGAACAGTCGGTGTTTGAGGGGTTGGCGGGTTCCCCAGATATGTGCACTGCAAATGGCATCATTTGCCCCAACCAAGCCTGCCAAAAGCCCTTTGCGGTCATCACTATTGTCGCACAGCTGGAACACCAGATTCGTGAGCAGACCGATCGATACTACGATGGTTGGTTGGCCTGTGATGATTCGGCCTGTGGCAATCGCACACGGCAAATCAGTGTCTATGGACATCGTTGTCTGGGACCAAAGGGCCACGCTGAAGGTTGCTCAGGTCGCATGGCGTACGAGTACTCGGAGAAAGACATGTATAACCAGCTGCTGTATTTTGCCGGTCTGTTTGACGTGGACAAAGCTCAAACCGCCACCACCAAGGAGTCTGGTGAAACCAAGGACAGCATTTTCGCTTTGGCTGAATTCAATCGAACTCGTTTCGAAACAATTGGAGAGGTTGTAGACGGCTACCTGAAGAAGTGTGGTCGGCAATGGGTTGAGATGGATACCCTGTTCCAGTTCATGATACAATAAATGCCCGGGCGGCATTGATGTGGACATTCAATGTTTGTAAATAGCTAGTTTCTTGGGATGAAGGATTTTTAACGATGGGATTAAGTTGCATAATGTTATGTTCAAGTTTATAAATCAAGTTTCTTTCGATGAGTTTACGAGGAAAAACAAGAACCGCTCTCTTATCTTATCAAACCTCCCACCATCGGATCAGTGCCCCCCGCTCTTCACCTACGGCTTTTCATCGAACCCTACAACCTCGCCCAATTGGCTCCTGTGATCATGTCGCTTAAGCGGGTCCTGGTTATCGCGGGCTCTGACAGCTCTGGTGGCGCGTAAGTCTCCCTTCCTTCAACGCATGGGTGTCACCAGTGTGGAACCATTTGCCGGGTCCATTCGGCAGTTGCATCCTACCAATTGTCTCCAAGGCGATGCACCTGGCATGACATGATGATACCGTTGTTAACTAGATCACAGTGGTCTAGAAGCCGATCAAAGAGTTCTTGCCGCCCACGGATGCTATGCTCTCACAGCTACGACGGGATTGACAGCACAAAACACACTCGGCGTGCAAGACATCTTTGTTGTCCCATCAGAGTTTGTTCGAAAGCAGATCAATGCAGGGCTAGAGGATGTCGGCTGTGATGTAGTGAAACTTGGTTGGTTATATCAGGCTCACTCATCTTGCGGTTTACGGCTTACACTCAGTAGGCATGCTGTCGTCTGCGGAGACAATTGATGTCATTGCCGAGACATTACAAGCGCATCAAGTTCCCGCCATTGTCCTAGACCCGGTCATGGTATCTACTAGTGGAGCCCAGCTTCTCCCCGAGAAAGCCGTGAAAGAACTTCGAACAAAATTGCTCCCAATTACTACCATTCTCACACCCAATATCCCAGAAGCTCAGCTTCTGCTAAAGGATTCCGGTGTCGAGGCCCCTGAACCTGCTGACCTTCCTGGACTAATTGAGCTCGCCAAGCAGATCTGTGCCATGGGCCCAAAGGCTGTTCTGCTGAAGGGGGGACATCTACCTCTCACCAAGGACCTCAAGACAACTCAGAATCCCAAAGATGCAACCGCAGTCATCGATATTCTTTATGATGGTGTAAGAGGAGAAACATCGCTATTCGAAACCGAGTACTTGACCTCCAAGAACACTCACGGTACTGGCTGTTCTCTTGCCTCGGCAATCGCCGCTAACCTTGCCCTGGGTAAGGATATGGCGCGAGCGGTGCGAAGTGCTGTACGATTCGTTGAGGCGGGCATCAAAAGCAGCGTTGACTTGGGAAAGGGAAGCGGTCCGATCAACCACTTTCACTCGATTTATACTATGCCTTTTGCCCCGTTAGTGCCCCTTGTCTTTACACTCATGCATGGAATCATTTGCTGACACAATCAGTGGTCGGTTCGTTGAATATGTCCTGGATCACCCGGATGTTCAGCATGTATGGAAGAAATTTATGCATCACGACTTTGTTGAAGGTCTAGGCCAGGGTACGCTGCCCATGGAGCGATTCAAGGAATACCTTGTGCAAGACTACCTGTACTTGGTCAGTGCCCATCTTGACATTGCATATCTTAAACAATCTAATGAGATCCATCTAGGTTCAATTCGCTCGGTGCAATGCGCTCGCATCATACAAGTCGCAAAGTATGGACTCAATAGCCGCAGTATGTATTCCATATCTTTTGCAAGTAGTTTTTGGTATCTAAGTCTCGTGATACAGTCTGCACAAATTGTCCTTCATATTCAGCGAGAGATGGCCCTGCATCTGGACTATTGTGCCTCCTTTGGCCTTTCCAAGGAGGAAATGGAAAGACACCCTGAAACGATCGGTAAGGGAAACTTTCCCCATACATTCAGTCCTTTGCGGCCTCTAACTACAAAACCCTCAGCATGCACTGCATACAGCCGATACATTCTTGATGTGGGCCAGTCCGAAGATTGGCTTGCACTTCAGATGGCTTTAGCTCCCTGCTTGATCGGATATGGAGCCATTGCTAAGCGGCTCCATTCCGAGAAAGCGACCCTCCGTGAAGGAAACTTGTTCTGGAAATGGATCGAGAACTATATTGCCGACGACTATACTGAAGCTGTCCGGCTCGGATCAGGTACGAAGTGACTCATAATCTACAAGTTTCCGAGATTATTTTGGACTAATTGTTGTTATTCTTTGTTATTAGCGCTATTGGAGGAGCACATGCATAAGGTATCACCCAGCCGTGTGGAGAGCTTGATTAAGATATTCGTCCGAGCGACTGAACTAGAGATCAGCTTCTGGGATATGGGATTAAGCTCTATGAAGATGTGAAGTGAACTTACAGGAAACATGAATGAATGCCAACTGTGAAGTATCATCTGGTCTTTATTTAAACAAACAAAGCAAAAAGTCTAAAAATGATTTTCGTTCCAAAAGCATTCTAGACTAATCACGTGAGCGCTAGGCCTAATCGAGTACGCTTCTTTTTTTTTTTTTTTTTGCGCCTCCTTCCGCTTTTCTCCCCTGGCGCGACGACTTTTTTTCTGCTCCTTCTGAGTTCTCCAAGGACTTTATCTTCACTCACCCCTTCCTTTTCTCCTTCTTTATTCCCTTCCGGTTTCTCTTCCTTTCACCAGGTCACTCCTAGAAAGTTTACGAAACCTTCTTTCTTTTATTCATCATGTCTTACGGCGGTGGTGGTTACTCGCGCGGCGGCGGCGGCGGTGGTGGTGGTGGTGATTCCTACCGGTACGTCTTGCTGAAATTTTCACGATTTCCCTTTGTTATCGTCCAATCCTTCCCCCCTGCGTTCAACTTGCATCGGTTATGTATTGTATTTGTCTTCTCGTTGGGCGCGTCTAGCTGTGGTCGCCCAATTTTGATGTATCAGGCGCCATTGGGTCGGTGGCTAAGTCCTTTGTTATGACTATCGTCTTCCATTCTGTCCATGTTTTTTTGTCTTCCTTATCTTTCACATTCAAGCGAACACCTCGGCTAACATGCTCTCATTCTAGCTCCCGTGGAGGCGGCGGTGGTGGCTATGACAACGGCTACTCCAACGGGAATGGCTACTCCGGCGGCGGCGGCGGCGGCTATGGTGGTGGTGGTGGTGGTGGCTACGGCGGTGGCCGTGGTGGTGGTTTCAGCGGCGGCGCCGGTGGTGACCGTATGAACAACCTCGGCGCTGGCCTGAAGAAGCAGGACTGGGGTAAGTTGCAAGTCCCTTCTGATTCCCGACCGCAGAAAACTAACAAAATCAATCATTAGACCTCGACACCATGCCCAAGTTCGAGAAGTCCTTCTACAAGGAGCACCCCGATGTCACTGCTCGATCGGATGCTGAGATCGACGAGTACCGCAAGAAGATGGATATGGCTGTTCAGGGTCGCAATGTTCCTCGCCCCGTCGAGACTTTCGATGAGGCCAACTTCCCTGCCTACGTTTTGTCCGAGGTCAAGGCCCAGGGCTTCGAGCGCCCTACTGCTATTCAGTCTCAGGGTTGGCCCATGGCCCTCTCCGGTCGTGATGTCGTCGGTATTGCCGAGACTGGTTCCGGAAAGACCCTGTCCTACTGTCTCCCTGCTATTGTCCACATCAACGCCCAGCCCCTCCTCGCCCCTGGCGATGGTCCCATTGTCCTGGTCCTTGCTCCCACTCGTGAGCTTGCTGTCCAGATTCAGGCTGAGATCACCAAGTTCGGAAAGTCTTCTCGCATTCGCAACACCTGTGTCTACGGTGGTGTTCCCAAGGGACCCCAAATCCGTGACCTGTCCCGTGGTGTTGAGGTCTGCATTGCCACTCCCGGTCGTTTGATCGATATGCTGGAGGCTGGCCGCACTAACCTCCGTCGTGTCACTTACCTTGTTCTCGACGAGGCTGATCGCATGCTGGACATGGGTTTCGAGCCTCAAATTCGCAAGATCATTGGCCAGATTCGTCCTGACCGTCAGACTTGCATGTGGTCTGCTACCTGGCCCAAGGATGTCCGCCAGCTGGCATCTGACTTCCTGAACGAGTACATTCAGGTCAACGTCGGTTCTACCGACCTGTCCGCCAACCACCGTATTAACCAGATCGTTGAGGTGGTTTCTGACTTCGAGAAGCGTGACCGCATGATCAAGCACATGGAGAAGATCATGGAGGACCGCTCCAACAAGATTATCATTTTCACTGGCACCAAGCGTGTTGCTGATGAAATTACCCGCTTCCTTCGTCAAGATGGATGGCCCGCACTTTGTACGTCTTCACGCGATGTTTCAGTCCCTAGTATCATGTTGCTAACTTTTCTCTAGCCATTCACGGTGACAAGCAGCAAAACGAGCGTGATTGGGTCTTGAACGAGTTCAAGACCGGCAAGAGCCCCATCATGGTGGCCACTGATGTGGCTTCCCGTGGTATCGGTATGATCAAACTACATCCCCCTTCCCCACCCCTTCCCCATCTTATCCCCCCTGAGGGGCCCTTGAGAAAACTCACCCGTGTTGAATGTTTCATTATACATATGGCGCGGTGCTCAGCCTCTCTTGAAGCGTGTTGGTGTATACAACGACTTGTCCAGGTGGAACGTCAGGTCATCTTAAATGGTTATTATGCCAGGAGGACCTTGGACTCACGGTGCAGCGTAACAGAAAGCAGATCTGACAGGATTTTCTCCGACTCCTTTGTTGCAGAAACTCGCAAGCGAGTTGGAGTCTTTACATCCCGACGTGGTTCCTGAACTGTTTTTGAAAAGCTGCATTTATCCAAGGTTACTCTAGGACCGCGGTCTCTACCGCCACTTCCCATGGACTCGCTTCCCACGGGATCTTCTTGAAAGAAATTCCTCCAGAGAGCAGTGATGCATCAAGTCCTGCACGACTGAGAATAGGGCCTTCTTATGGCTCATTCTATTATTATCCCCACTAATGATCTGATTTGCTAACGAACATTTGTAAAAAGATGTGAAGGACATTACTCACGTTCTGAACTACGACTACCCCAACAACTCGGAGGACTATGTCCACCGTATTGGTCGTACCGCTCGTGCCGGTGCTAAGGGTACCGCCATTACCTTCTTCACCACTGACAGTATGTTTTGGTTCCCATGCATTGACCGTTGCCATCTTGATTGCTAATGATTTTCCTTTCGCAGACTCTAAGCAGGCTCGTGACTTGGTCACTATCCTTACTGAGGCTAAGCAGCAAATCGATCCCCGTCTCGCCGAGATGGTCCGTTACAGCGGTGGCGGCGGTGGCGGTGGCCGCTGGGGTGGCCGTGGCCGTGGCCGTGGTGGCTGGGGTGGTCGCGGCGGCGGCGGCGGCGGCGGTGGTGGTGGTGGTGGTTTCACCCAGGGCAACTCTGCTCCCCTTGGTGGCAACCGTCGCTGGTAAATGTCGTTTTGCTTACACTTCATGAGCTTTTGCGTCACCGGTAGACTTCCCTTGTTGTTTTATTTTTCTGCGTAATTCGGTACGGACGGCGTTTTTTTTCGATGTCATAGACAGTCTTACATGATTTCACCGGTTTATTGAGGGTCCATTGCGACTCATTCACGACAATCCCTAGACCTGGGATTCCACGGCCTCATACACGTCGATTCTTCGCAAAAGTTTCTTGTTCTGTCTCGGTGGCTCACTGCCTGTTTCTTTATCCTGATGGGAGTACAGTTGTATGTCCATAATTCAATTACTTACCATTTATCATTTCCAGTAGCTGTATTCAGAAACAAAGTCCTAGTCTAACTCTCCAACCATTCCTCCAACTCCGACGCCAACAGTCGATGAGTGTGACTCGTCATATGCCCAGTGTTGTACCAAAAGTACTCATCCAGCGGCGTCGGACACCCGTAAGCCCTATAATTCCACGCAATGTCGGGCTGGTCATAACCAGCACAGTAACTCGTCGTATTCACAATCCCAAATTCCGACGGATGATCTAAAATCCAACTCAACCGCGCGTGAGCATCAAATACCCGGATTTCCACATCCCTCTTCTCATCCCCAAACTTCTCCGCCCTCTGCGCCAACGCAGCATTATACCACGCCACCTGCGTCACATTGGGCGTGGGATAACTGCTATCCACATTACTCGGATCCCGATCCATAGGTGGAAGGTTCATGATGAGATACGATCTATACCCAAGATCGTATAAAGTATCGACAGAGTTGAACAACGTATTCGTCAGATTGGCATAAAATGTAGGAAAATCGACAGCATATTTCGCACTATCGCCGACGTCGTTTATGCCGATCCAGACTGCTACTAGGGTTTCGCTTGTCCTGAGGAACTTGGAGAGGGTTGTGTGGCCGTATGTTGCGTATTGCTTTATTTGGTCTACTATTGGGACGGTGAAGTTGTGGTGGAGTGGTGTGCTTGTATGTGTTAGTAAACGCTTCAAAGGGAAAAACAAACTGATGACCTGATCACGCACTACTCGGTTGAAATGTCTGCTCCTGCAAATGCAAAATCCCAAAGTTGTTTCTCGCATGATCGGGGTGATGTGAGACCTGGTTTTTCGCCGCATCCTGTGAGGTATTCAACCCAGTTTGGGCCGCCCTCTGCAGTTCCCGTCTATGTAGAAAGAAAGTTAACATTCATTTCGATGATTGGGTTTTACTTTTGCCCCTTGCCTGATTTTGAACAATCATGTCGGAGAGGAGTGTCTCTTCATTATACGAGAAATTGAAGCTGTCGCCTATGAAGCTATAATTTTGGTGGCCATGTGTCCCTTGGACGTATGTATATGAATCACCAAAAGCGAGGCTTCGTTTATTTTCGTCAGCCAAATCATTTGTGAGGTTGTCAGACTGGGAAGAAAGACTTACAGAGCTTTTTTGGAAGACCAGTCAAACTTGTCTGGTGACCGTGGTATCGCAGACGCAACGACCCATGGGATGAAGGCACTCGCGACTAATATAGAATTTGGAGAGAAGTTCATTTTGAACATATTATTGTTCTGTCTCAAACGGATGCAAGTCTTCAATGTTGACTGATGTTGTCTTGGCTGCCAAGGACATCTATTATATGGATTTGAGCTTGTGCTCAACCCCGCAATTGAACGAAGATCCGGGGTAATTCTGCAAACTAGACGGAAAATATTTCTCCGTCGGGGTTGTTTGTCCCAGCGCCGAGTGAGAACTTGTTGTTTTCATGTTTTAAGGGGAGCAGGGATCGAAAGGTGCTGTCTAACAGCATGTCCGGATCCCTAGGTTGGATGCCGCAAAGGATGCGCTAAGAAATGACCGGGACGCCTATTCCTAGGAAGGTTGCTCTATACCTTTCTTATATAATTGCATTGCCTGATGGCAGTACATTATTCATTTGCATTTGATAGGTGTTATATACATCACCATGCGTGGAAGTTGCTCAATTTCTTTAAGGTAAACGTCGTTGTGACGTGTCATACAGAGAAATACCTAGCTCATTCTATACGTTTCGAGACTGGGGATTGTCCGAGAAATCAGGATTGCAAGGGTCCACACCTTTGCAATGAATGGTAAGTGACCGCAAAAAAAGTACTGTTCTCTACATAGTCGGCAACTCGGGTGTCCTAAAGTGGCCGAAGCCCGTGTGACGGTACACATGTAAAGCGGACAACTGCGGTATGGAATTTGAAAAATAGTTCGAAGTGATAGATATGAACCAAGTACCTTGCTGTGGAGTTCCCCGAATTTGTATAGAAGGTATTGTGTAGAGAGTATTGTAATCCTCGGGCTCTTTTGGTGCATCTATCATACGAAGTGAGCCGAATCACAAGGTTACAGCAGTATGATAATACAAAGTTTCTCTAAATTGATTCTTGGAACTCCTCTGGGAAGCAATGAGCTAAGCATTGGATAGGCGAAATGCGAGAAGCAAGATGGGGGTTGTGGGGGCTGGTCTGTGGTCAGCAAGGAATTGCTCAGGACAAAGGCCTAACTAGGGCGGCGATGTGACGAGCAATAGACTATGGATTGGAATCATGAACACCGTTTATTCCAAGAAACTCACAGACCATATGAATAGCGTCCAACAATCAAGTAATCCATCCCCCGTTACCCATGTAGGAAATTGGCTGCTCTCTGGTTTCATCTGAGAATCCAGTCCACGCGCATATAGTCAATTGAAAGGATCTGTGTCCTTACTGTTCCAATATTTCTCCCCTGAAGCTTTACGCTCGATGTCATTCTGTCCCTTCTCTTTTACTGATGCAATGCAATTGATGTACGTATCTTAACCTCAGCCCTGAAATTTGAATTTCCGATGTCGGCCGTGACATCGATACATATTGGAAAGTTTAACTAGAATGGATTTGTCCCCGCTAGTATATTCGGGAGTACCAAATGTGATGTGACGGGGCTGCAGTTTATATGGCCCCCTATATATATCCACTTCAGCCCCCAGGATTTAGAGTAACTCAAATCCCCCGAGTGCATAAATATTGACATGTCAACTACCAGCCTTATACGGCTTAGTGGTTCAGTCTGAAATCCCGATGCTAGTTCGTAGCCTAACGCTCAAGATTTATGCTTAAATGGCCCACAATGAGGCCGTGCGATGCTAGCCTTCCTAGTAGGTTCCACAGCATCGACTAGGCTTACTATGAGAGAAAGGGATAAGAATACGCCAAGCACTGAGCGGTGGAGTTGTAGTTGATCAACCTAATGCTCGATGTAAACGTTATGGATATTCACAGTCTTCGGATTGGGCTACAATGTGGAATCTACCGACTCCAGCCTGTCGGGTAGTTAGAACCACAAGCTCCAAGATTCCCCTTGACAGCCCAGAAGTTACGTAGAGTTTGGGGGGAAAAGCTACGAAAAGAGTGGAGATAGCAAGGATAGGCACGCGAACCCAATATCTCATCCCAGCTCATCGATCGTCGCTCTCAAAAATGAGACGTGCGCTGACCTCGACCAACTCATCAAGAGAAGTGTGCATTTCCAACCGACTGCATGTCTCATGCACGTCTCCCAAAGTTTCTCATTCTGCATAACTAAAATCCCAAGAGGGCACCATGCAGTAGACTAAGACCCCATGTATGCCGAGACTGCATAAGCGCCGTTGACGTATTGCAATACGGCCACGATAGTACACAAAGAGCGAGGAGTTTCCGTGCATGATCCAAGGCAAAAACAAGCGACCGCAAAAGAAAAAGGTAAAAAAAAAGGTAAAAGACAATCCAAGGTGCAAAAAGACCGAATCATCCAATCCTTCGGGCTAGATCCCGCGTTTGGCCTGAGCGTCAAGCCGTAATTCCCGGACGCCATGCGCTAATCGGCCCCTGTCAAGTAAGACTGGATGACCCAATTTCCGTACATGTACGGAGCAGGCGTAGAATATGCATGGAAAATGTAACACTAGTCGGGCGGTTCCGATATAGATCGGAATGTTGAGTTGCCTCGCGCTTTTGCCTTTTTCCGATTTGCCTATTCCTTGACCATAGGGTTCAATCAGATATAAGCCATGCTATTACGGACGTACCTAGTAATAGGGATTACCATGAAGTAATGATTTCTTCATGTTAAACAAGATTTAGGATCTGACTTTGGCAAGGTTTCTGACTTGTTAAGAACATAATTCATCCGAATTGGGTTAACGGGATTCGGATCCTTGACCTGACAGTCTTAGTGGCTTTTCCCCTCTTCGCCCCCTGAGGTCTAACCGAGGCCAATTACCAAAGACCAAATTAGCAAATAGGGGGTAAAAAGGTCACCCGGACATTAATCAATTTTTGAATTTGTATTTTCAAATCAATTTTAGCTATGTTTTTTTGTTCCCAGAGATCATCGGCTGGGATTGTTTTGCCCGGTGATTACGCTTGCTCCGAAGCGGCCTAATTCGATCTACCGAAAGACGGGTGAGACTTACCATGTACGGCGTAGTACCGCCGCTAGTTAACCACAAAGCAGAAACACACGGGCCATGAAGTGGAGACATTCTTCCTATTTTCTAATTCCATTTAGGATTAGTAGCGCACGGGGCACGAAATGGAGACTCGGCAAGGAGGAAAAACCAGCTGGGCGAGGTACCCGAGGACCCAGTACGTACCCACTGACAGCTTTGCTTGTTCCCTTCATTTCGTTTCGCAAGCTTTGGCTATGATCGCCCAGGAATGGTGTTCCCGGTTGGACTTAGTTCTTGATGGGGCCCTGGGGAACGGTGGGATCGTCTCGAGTCCTTAGCTTTCTCCGGAGTTGACCCGTGGCTCGACCAGTCCATCTATGTTAACACGTGCACCGTGTCAAAGTCCTAAACGAGCTACTTACCAAACGCTTGACATCAATTATTTATGTTACCCCCTACATTACATGTGCCTATTAGGACACACGTAATAGAAAAGCCACAACCGCGGAAAGCGCCTCATAACGGTCGCCATTATGTGCAAGGGGAATCGCATCTGGGCAGGTATGCTGTATACTTGGTATCCGCACGGAAAACAAAAAGCCGACATCTCAACACCAATGCCAAGCTGTCTTTGGACGTGGACATGAAAACTGGGGACTGGAGTCCACTTTCGGAGGGATCGTCCGAGGTTACAGAGGTCCAGCATGACCTTCCGTATCCCGCGGACTGGAGCCCTGCGGCTGCGGCGTCCAATGACTGACGCGCCAAATGAATTTGATATCGATCATCCCGGGCTCGAGTCCGGATATCCCGTAACTTGGCCTGCCCTTTTGCCCTTTTGCCCTTCCGCGGAGCTCTCCGCGTAGGGCCCACTGGGGCCTGGTAGCCTGGCGGAGACGACTAGCTTGCCGAGGCTATAGCTCTTGACATGCAGAGTAAGATACGGAGAAGGAGAACTTGATAAGAGTGGATTTCTTGGGGGGGAAAGTTCGGAGACGGAGATGGAAGATGATTTTAGGTGGACGGCGTATGTACGCCGTATACGCATCGGCAAGCTCCCGGTGTACGTGGTAAAATGATAATAATTTCACCCAAATGCTTTGTCCTCACCGGCCGTGAAAGAATGAACCGGTTTCCACTGCGCGGGGGGTCAGATCGAGAACACTCGTTTCTACACCAATCATGGGCCCGACGGCGAAACATGAGCAGTCGCTTCCGAGATGGGAGCCTTGCATCCATGACCACCAATTGGCCGTTGCTTCCCTATCTAAAGGGGAAGAATTCAGCATTAATCTTAGAGTAATCATTACACAGAAAAAAACCCGGTCCCACTTTTTCTTCACCCACGAGGTTCCCTCATAGGCCACAGGAACCTTCAAAGGCGCCCGGAGAGCCGCCGATACTCCGCTCACACCAAGACGCGCTCAATGGCAATCTGGAGTAAACAGACCCGCTGGTTGGTGACCAATTACTGACCAATTGCCAAAAGCTCACTAAGATCGGGGGCTTGTTCCACGGGACTAAACCGCCCCCTTTTTACCCTTTGGGGATTTTGGGTTTTCTCCCAGCTGGCTATAATTAACCTGATTTCATATCGTATGATAAACCTGGGTTTTTGTAGTAGATGAGAACCACGGTAGTTGCTTTCTATCAGAGAATTTGGATTCGGAGAAACCTCCCAGTGGGACCATGCAAGGAAAAGGGGGAAATAATTGGGTAATTGGTATCGGGATTTTCCCCGCTCGAAAGTAGAAACACGCAGAATAGAGTCGAGTCCTCGAGGAATACATAAACCTCATGAATAATGAGAATCCTCTCATCCCTAGGAGGTGTCAGGGAGATAGCCTCCGATCACGGACAGTGGGGTTTTGTTGTGGTCTTTTTTTTTTTTCTTTTCTTTGGACCCACCGACGCGTTCCTGAGGTATTGTTGATACAGGGTTACGCGAGAGCCGGGAAAACAGCCCCCAATTCCTAATATCCATTGATTCTTGATAGACAAAAAAGATCTTATCAAAAAAAAAAAAAGGAGACCATAAGCACCCTATATGATGCAGATATGGCCCCCCTTTTAATATATCCGTCTACTCCTCTTCAAGACTTCTACCGAGGTAATCCCGTACGTCTATACACATTGTATAGCGTTGAAGTTTTTGATGGCTTAAATCACGATCATTTATCGATCGGTGCAAGTCGTATATTCTACCAAGCCAGGTAAGTGGATATTCTCAAAAGCAGCAATATCAAATACGATACCCATACCGGCTTCAACCGCTTCGGCTTTCAAATTGGCCAGCAAACTTTAGCCCTAAACCTAAACCGGCCGAGCCCCACACCACACGCACACGCTAGCAGGCTAGCACGCTAGCCACTAGCCCTGGTCTTCCCGAGTTCCATCGCTTCTGCTTCCCCCGTACGCTAGCCCCCACTTAGGTTTAGTCGCTTCTCGCTACTAAACCATTTCGGGCCTCGTTTCCATCTTTGGCCCCGTTGAGGTTTTGAGGTTCTGAGATTCTGAGGTTCGGGCACGCCATTCCTTAGTTTACCCATGGCCCCCCTCTTTTTTTTTTGTGGTTTCTTTTTTTTCCCTTGGTACGTACGGTTATTTTGGTTTCCCCCCTGTTCCAAACCCCTCGCACCGTGACACGATCTTGGTTGGTACCCACGGGCAGAAGACGCTAGGTTCACCGTCCTAAGACGCACCCGAGTTGCGGGTAGACTAGTCTGATGGGAGGCTAACCTTTATCACCACTTCATACGGTTCAGATTTCTCCCCGGTCAATAACAATTCGTTGGTATCAGAACCAAAAAAAAAAGAAAAAGAAAAGAAAAGGAGGTTGTTTTCGGATTTCGTCACATTTACGTCTGTTGGAAAAGGATCCGCTTTTTTTTCTTCTTATGTTCCCTGGCAAAGAGACAGGGACAGGATAATAATAATTCGGAAAAAAAAAAAAGATATTCATATCAAATTCCACAATCAGTAATGGTAATAAAAAAAATACATTATCACACGGACATAGGGGAACACTTAGCCGGGAGCTGTGAGGGGAAAGGGGGGCCCAGTCCAGTCGGAGTATTGAGTGGAAAAGGAAAATGTCCGGTCATGATGGCATTGGGTCTTTTCGGTTTATGCAGATATCAGGGGGAGAAAACCTGAATAATCTCACAATAATCTCAGAATTTTACGTTGCATTTGCAGTTGCTGGAGAATAAGATAATAGTCGTAGATAGGATTTAATTTTCGGTATCGTATTTGTGGCTCCAAAATTACGGTCCACTCGGATCCACAGCATCCTCGGATCCCACGAGGACATTCACCCTGCGAATCGACATTTAGGTGCTGTGTGCCAGCCCCTCTTGAACTTCCTTTTTTTCTTTCGAGATACCTTTCGTTCCGTGTCTATTTTTCCGTGCCGGTGCCTCGTGCTTACCGCCACCTGCAAGGCATCCTCATCCTAAAAAGCGAACTAAGATTTAAGCATCGGGGTATCGCTTGAACGCGCTTTGACAAGAACGCGTCGATCCGCCCTTCGTTTTCCCTTTAATCTCCACCCATCGATCTGCATTTCCTCCTTCGCCTCCCCCGGACTCATCTGTAAGTCATTCTGTCTTTTTCTCTCACTGTCCAACGTGACTGGTCATCTTGCTCCCTTGCTTTGTACCGATCAAGTCAATTTCCCCGACATCGTTTTTTTTTTTGCTCCGTCCAAAACCCCTCGCTGACTCGTGAAGGCGTGGTTAGTCGAACTCGGTTGAATCACTTCTTTCGACTCAATTCCATTCCAACGACGCCAATCTTTATGGACAACCGGCCTGCCTCCGAGTACGCACAGTCAGGTTCGCACTTTCCAGGACTCCAGCAACCGGCCTAAACCACCGCGCGCATACACAAAAAAACACATTCTGAACTTTCTCTTCCCACTCGCAGACCAGACTTCGACTGCTGCCAGTGCTCACTACTCTCACAACCACACCCCGCAACCCGAGGCTCGTCCACCCCAGTACACGCCACAACCTGACGTGCGACCTCCCACTCTTCCAGCCGCGAACACCCCTCAGTCCGATTACGGCTTGAATCCCCCACCGACTCGTTCGCCCGCCTACCAGGATTACCTCCCTCGTCCTCAGTCCTACACGCCTAATACCCAACCCGGCGGTGTTCCCAGTATGGCTCAAGCATCAAGTTCGTCCCTGCCTATGCCTGCAACCTTGCGCAGCCCGAACCTGAAGTCTGACGCCGTACCTCTAGATCCTTCGCTACCGGCCAACAGCCCCACCTATCCTCCTCCTTACTCCCCCTATCAGCCCCAGGGACACGACATGCAGTATCAAAGCCACCCGCCGCCTCCACATCAGATGTACGCGCGCCCGGAATGGCCCGGCTATGGTGGGCATTCACATGGGTTACCGGGTCCTTATAGTTCTCCTGCTACAACGGTTGGTTCCGCCTCCCCTGGTCCCGCATCCGCAGGATCGCGCCCTGGCCAGGTATGTTTTTGATGATTCCTGGTCCTGAAAAGGCTTCTTTCATCGTTGTCTTGGACGCCTCTGGGGCTTTCGACTTGGTCCTCTGGTCTCAGTCGCCCGCCCAGGGATTGTCAAAAACAGCGCCTCCCCTTGCCCATTCATTGGATTTGGCTATCTCCAATTTCGTTGGACCTCCCTTGATCGGGTCGCTAATGTTTATCACTTAATTTAGGTCTACTCTTTTGTTCCTATTCCTGGTGCTCAGCAACACAAGCGTCCTCGTCGCCGATACGAGGAGATTGAGCGCATGTATAAGTGTGGTTGGAATGGGTGTGAGAAGGCCTATGGTACTTTGAATCACTTGAACGCACACGTGACGATGCAATCGCACGGCGCGAAACGTACGCCAGAAGGTGAGTTTGAATTGCGTTGTTTTAAAATCATTGCGAGTGTATTTTTTTTTCCTTCGCAAACCTAAGTTGTTGTCGCAAATCGCTGGATTGGGTTAGCGCCGGCTGGTCCGCGCTAGTGAGTTACACTAGATCTCGCGGGGCCGCAGTAGCGTGGTCGACGGCGGAGGTTAGCTTGCATCGCTATCCCTTCCCGCCCCGCCGGATTCTTGATCCATGTCACGGACCATCCCTCCTTACACATATCTACTTGCACCTTGTTACTCTCATCAAACCCCACACTAACTAAACATCCCAGAATTCAAGGAAATTCGCAAGGAATGGAAGGCTCGCAAGAAGGAGGAAGATACACAGCGCAAGGCTGCCGAGGAGCGTGAGCGTGCTGCCGCCCAGGCACAGGCCAGCCATGTCGACGCCCCCGGTGGTCCTTCCGACCCTCAGGCTGCACAGCCCTCCGCCTACGGTGGTGGTGTCCGCCCTCAACTGCCTCCCATCGGTTACCAACCTGCGGACAGCCAAGTCCCTGGTCAATATGGCGGCCCTGGTGGTGGCCTGGTCTACCAGAGCAACGGACAGATGGGCTACCCTCCTAACTACCCACACTCTCCGTACCCCAACGGCCACGTCTACCAGTCACGTGAGTAAAAGAAACATCAACAACCCGTCGCCATCTTTGCCCGGATCAACCACCCTCCCCTTTCGGACTTGACCACTTTGACCTACCTTCGACCTCCAAGATCGGTCGGCTGATGACTTCGCTACGGCTCTCCAGAGACTCCAACGACCAGCTACCCCCAATAATCCTTTAATCGACTCTCCAACGTTGTGAAACGGAAACTGCATCTCCTTTTTGTCTTTTCATCCTTTTGTTCTGTCTTTCAATCACGATATCCCATTGCCTGTGACTCATGTCGTCCCGGATTCGGTCCCCTCCCTTCCTAAGTATTCCCCCTCGATGATACCAACCTCTGCGGCTATAATCCATCCAGTCAAAGAGTGGCTTTCCGACTTTGATCTCTCTTCCTGCTATTCTCCTTGTTTTAGAGCGCTTTCCAGCTCCGCAGGAATCTCCACTTCACAAAGAAAAGTGCTGGAACGCGTCCTTTTCTTCGTGTTTTTCCTTCCGGTTGCTTGACGCCAAGGTTGTGGCCTCAAGGAATGGTTGGGTGGCGGGCTTTTTGCATCTGTGTTTTATGTTCATGCGTGTCACATTTCTTCCCCTTTTTCCCCCCCCCCCCTCTCTCTGGGGCATTCCCTCCCAAAATGGATGGTTCTTTCTTTGATCTATGGGCGGTTCTCGTCTTTTGCTGCTGTAACTTGTGACTATGACTTTGCTATCTGCAGGAGTACCTATGGTCTCCTCGCCTCTCCACTATTAACGTATATTTCTGATCAGGTTATTTTGCCTGGAATGTTACCTTGTGCATTATTGTGATTCTGATTCTTGATTCCCTTTCTCTGATGTACTTGACTGGTTGGCTTCATGTTATTCAAAGATTTGCTTTGGCGTATATATTCAACTCCTGCTTATCAAGCCGATGAATAAGTTCAAAGTGAGCTGAGTGCAGTCATAAATGGAATAACATCGATGAAAGAAATAACCAGAGCCTCCCACTAAGTACTAGTAAACCTCCAAAAGCAAAGTAAAAACCCACAACTTAGACAAAGAGATCCAAAACAAGTCGTGGGCCACAGACGTCATCCGTCACATACTAGTCTGTTTAGTCTTAGCCACCAGCCTCGTACCAAAAGACATGGCAGGCGGAGCAGCTACCCGTAGCCCTAAGCATTGGGCACAAGTGACTAGTATCAGCCGATGGTAATTTTCAAATAAGGTTATTTTAGAGTTACCCGCCAGTGCCTTGGTGGGAATAAAATTTTTTTTTTTTCCATTTTTCAATTTTGGTTAAACCACACTAACCGTCCAAGGCTTGGTTTGGTTTGGTTTCTGTTTCGGTTCCTTGGCTTTTATTAGCGCATGTTAGCTGACATGCATAATGCCAATCACGGGATAATGGAGCTAGCGTGGATTTCTGGATGATAGTGTCTCATTTGTGTGGGATTTTTGGTACCTGTCGCTTCGGGATTTCCAGGGTGTAGGCATGTACATCGCGGGATTGGATTATTAATATGACTACAGGTCTAGGATATTGGATCACTAGGTCAACATCAACTATCTATTTTAATTTATCGAGATACAAAGATACTCGAACCTGATTGCACAGAACGTACCACGTTTGGAACTTCCGGGTCACCTGAAGAGTACGTACCTTTTCGTCTCCACAAAAGGTACTTACCAAGTCAACGTTTAGCGTCACAGCTACTTACATGAACGCATGAACTCTATCAAGCTCAGCTGCAGGGATACAAACTAGCACACTATTTATGTGGCTAAACTGCAGGTACACCTCGATTGGGGTTAGGCTGCCACGTGCTGAGGTGGGTCATGAAAACCCTGTCGATCGCCGGACGTAGGGTTCTTCCGTTTCTTTTCCCCTGACATCCTATAACTCATGGGAATGATTATGAGGCATTGAATTGTTCACATTCATTTGGAGATTGGGGCTGTGAAAGAATCACCCCTAGGCTCAATTGTGAGGAACGCCTCATCCCATTTACTTTCAGCCGGTCTAGCCTCGATTCTTTTTTCGTTTATTCGATTCCAAGTATCTGTACTCTATCTTTCTTTCTACTCTATAAGAAGACAGCAAGTCCTTGTCTCTAAAATTCCTTGATTAGCCTCGTTTTCTGTCAGATATATCTCAAAGATTCGTACAACTTTATCGATTATGCGCCTCTAAGTAGTCTGTTTGTATGAGTTTTAACATCTCAAGGGGTTCTGAGAGGGCCGTAGTCTTAATATTAGTCTTGTAATCAACTGGACAGTTCATAGTTAGTATCAACTTGAATCAAAATATCTCGCATTGCTTTAAATAAGGCCACATCCGCTGCTTGTTCTTCCATTCCCATAGTATCCGACCCTACCTGCTCCGGGCCGCTCGAGGTGGCACCGCGACGACTGAATTTGCTGAATACCACATTGATATCTGCTCTTTACTTTTCTCAGACAGAGAGGCCATTTGCCGCTCTAGTAGTACACTCAATCTTCTACCTCAACAGAATAATGATGGTCTTTGCCACAATGACCCAATTCAGTATGAAGACACTGCGCGCGTCTTGCTGAGGCATGCAGCATCACTACCGCGGACATTGAGACTTACAACAATGAAACTTCTGTTTGGACTAGCCGCGATGATATGAAATTTACAAAGTTCATCCGTCTTAGCTCTGGTTTGCCCCCAATGCCGGTTGTAGTGCTAAGTTATGTCTATCGTCCTCATATGACTGGCACCTCACACCCTGACAACATATTTGACTTCACTTCTGTCAACCTATGTGTAGCTCTACCTTGTGAGGTATGACTCCTATTACCTGTACTGCGTTGATGTATGTAGATATCCCCCTCAAGTGTAATTTGAATGGCGGCATGCTACAATACTGTGGACACTGACATCCGCTGTCTTCATCAAATCAATTTGACATGGAAGGACACCAACCGGTTAGCAAAACAGCGTCAAAGAGCTCTGCCGATACCAAGCCAGACACAGCAAAATAAGTCACTACGAAGATGGCTTCAAGCACACATCATCATTCACCAGCAAGTCCTCGAGTACCCGTTCCACCAATACAACCAAAACCACGAGCAAGAACAGATCAACAAAAAAAGCAATTGCTTCAGTGACGGGCGATCAATGATGCACTATGATCTTTACTAGAACGAAATGCAAGGGCGATAGTCATTTATTAGAAGGCAGATCTACGGGGTGCCTAAGCTTTCATGGAGATATTTCCCCGCTGAGAATACACGTACTTATTGAAGGTAGCAACGATCCATATATGAGTTGTGCCAATGGGCCGCTACAAAAAACCAGGTCTTAAGATCTCACCGATGCTGTGTGCAGTGTGTATAGCCCCAGCAGGCTCGGGCAATAATGTACAGTCCTATACGTCTGTGGGGTCGGCGCAATGTCAGTTGTACAGCGATTATACCCCGCCGGAGACTGAGTGAGATTTCATCAATTGTGAGACTATTACAGAAGCGTATCATGAGTAGATGTGAGATGTGGCTGTTTTAGTGATTTGTTGGAGAAATTTACGGGGAAAGAATGGAATAGAATGGTAGGGGCCAGGTTTACTGTGAAAGGTCTGCCTGACGCATCTGATTAGCAGAATATTGGAATACCCGAGACACTTTCGCGGGGTCTTGGCCAACAAGGTACCGTTGCTCTCGCCTTCTTGGTTCTTGCATTCATATACTCTAAATATTGGTTTTCGTATATCGTATTCATTCACCGGAGGCCTGACCTTGATTGTGGATTTAGGCTTGATGGGCCCAAGCGCTATTCTTTCCGTATTTTGCAGCCCGTGAAAGGCTCACAACAGAGGAGATACGAGCACTCAAGTACAATTAATATATTCATAGACAAGTCTAATGAATTTATACGGGTGTGCTGCTTTACGTCTTCATTGGGACTCGAGAAAACCTAAAATAAAGTTTGAAGGAGGCTCATCAGAGACGGAAGAAACGCCATTGGAGCTAACCTGGAGGGAAAGGAGAATCAGAAGCAATGAATACTACGGAAAGGTGAGCTATTGCCATCAAAATCTGAAAGTTTATCCTAAATTGTCTGGTTTCTCTCCACGCAATATCTGCCGAAATACTCCGTACATACTACGTGTTCACAACGCCAGGGAAAAAAATAAATCAGACCAATCCCTCGAATGATTCAGAAGTCAGGATGTGTCGCGGTCAAAAAAAGTTCAATAGAAAAGTGCGCCCAAGGGTATTCTTAATTCATACGTGGTACCCGTATATGTAGGGGCAGCTGGCCATGACCGGAATTCCCGCTCCTTCTAGATAGGTGCATTCATTATCTTAATATAGAACGCATGACAGGAAGGTCTGAGCGGCCAATATTTATTCGCCAACAAATAGTCGCCTCACTAGCGCCAGTGCGCACGCTTATTGCTTATCTGACACGTCTAGGCAATCGCGTATCCGGAACTCCGGCGCCGCACCCCACCCGAATGACCGGGTACGCCTCTTTCGCCAACTACGCACCACGCACCGAATATAGAGCCAGAATATGGAGCCAAATTATCCTAATAACGCACTCACTTTATAATCAGATTGCAACTTTTGGTGTGAGATCCTCCAGGGCTGGCGGCAAGAATATTCCACGATGTGGCTGGCTGAGTCGGAGCGGGCCCCACGATCTTGCCGTTGAACTGTGATTGGAGCGCTTTCGGCAATAATATATCGAATGGGATGACAGCTCACTCGAGACTCATATAGAACACAGCCTCGTCGGGTTTATAAATCATTTATCGTACCTGGGGGCGGGACACTTCATCCCGACTGTAATTGGCTCGTTCCGCTTCCTACTATACATTGATTCCGGTTTAACCGGATAAGCATCTCTCCCAGATTGAGATAATACGTTCGCCAAGTGACATGATAGCACAGCAGCACAATCCTCTCCTCGAGAATATGCACGGAACTCTGTTTGTATCAGCTACAGAACCTCAAATAGAGGAACAGGACGAAGACGAGAACACATGGTCTCCAATTCAGCTCGCCGCTGCCCAAGGGGATCTGTCTCAAGTGACGAGGCTCTTAGGCCAACCCTCAGTGGACCCTAATGAGCCTGCCAAAGGCTACTATGGACAGACTGCCCTCCAGGCTGCCTCTCAAAAAGGACACCTCGCCGTGGTTGAGACACTACTAGCGGCTGGGGCAGACGCCAACGCCCCGGGGGGAAACAATGGCGGGAGAACCGCGGTAGTCCTAGCCTCTGGAGCGGGCCACCTCAATATCGTCCGACGCTTAGTCTCCGCAGGTGCGGAGATTAATCGTCTGCCCCACAGGTATTCGGGCCGAACAGCTCTACAGGCCGCCGCTGAGGGAGGTCATACAGAACTCTTTCAATGGCTGCTCAAGCAGGGCGCAGATATCAATGCACCCGCTGGTAAAACTGGCGGTCGCACTGCGCTTCAAGCAGCAGCAGCAGGAGGCCACTCTGATATCGTGGAGATCCTCATCCGACAAAATGCTCCTATAAACGCCCCTGCCGTAAGGCATAAAGGCTTCACGGCACTTCAAGCTGCGGCTTTTGGAGGCCATCACCGGGTCGTCCATCGATTGTTAGATGCGGGAGCAGATGTGAATGCACTAGGGTCATATTATGAGGGATATACGGCGCTCGCGGCAGCGGCAGAATGTGGCCATTATGAGATTGTTAGAATGTTACTGCAGGCTGGTGCGGATGAATCTCTCATATCGGGAAACAAAGGATGGACGGCAACACAGATTGCAATCTTTAGAGGGCAAAAAGAAATTGCACAACTCCTTCAACAAACTGAGCAGACAGTCCTCGGTGCAGAACGAAGAAGATATTCAAAGGAGAGAAAGATAAAAGCACGGCCGATTGGATGGATTGACTATCGAGAGAGAGAGAAGAGAGAAATGTATCTACAAATGACGCCTCGGGCAAGAGTTTGAATTGCCATTCCGTCAGCATCCCCGAATACTAATCAATTAAGTTGGAGCTTCCCCTCGGGTTGCAATACTATTTTCCAATAAATTAAATTGATTTCTTGCCTGCTGCTCTGGATGATCCGCCTAAGGATATTTCCGAGAGGATCAAACGTATATTGCGAAGATCGATAAGTTGAGCAGATGATCATATTATGATTAGATACTAGAGTTGCTAGAGAGGTGTTCTGTAATGGAAAATCTCTAAGCAATGCACACAACCAGTGCGGGGTCTTTTCCCTTCTTAACAGCCTCGACGGCACAATAAAAGCAACTATCCTCTTTGATAACGTAGACAAATTGGCCTGGGGCAACTGTGATTGCCGCGGCTGCCAGTTGAGCCCGCCAGTTGGAGTTTGCTAGCAGTGTGACTGCTGACTGTGGTCTGCTGAGAAACACTGACCAGTTTTGAAAGGCGATTAGATCACTAGGCTAGCACTTATACGAGAGCTTGCCCTCAGCGTCTATATGCCTTTCAAAGAGGTTCCATTGAGTTTTCTGGCCCGCCTGGATTATGGTATCATGACTCCTTGTACCTTCATTCCTTCTAGATCAGGGGTGCATTGAGATTGCTACGTCCTGGCGCGTGAAAAGTACACTCTGCGTCCCGAGAGCTTGCTTGGAGACTGGACTCCTTGAAATGTATTTTTCGGAATTTCTATTCAACAAAACTGTGAAATCCTTTGACTATATCTTGAGCATATATATTACTTCTTATGGGACTCTTCAAGTTCAGCTTGTCAGTAGTCCACCTGGGCACTACTCTTGCATATCATGACCAAGTTTCTTCAGCCACGAATGAAGGACGCAGGTGCTGGTTACAATGATTGAGGACGGAAGAGTATTTTTGCATAGATTATTCCTCTAACTTTCATTACTCATCTAGGTCGAGAACCGTGGGCTTCTGCTGCTGATCATCAACGGCACAGCGACAGGTCTTGCGGTGATCATTGTGGGTTTTTGAAGAAATACCCAGGATATCCATCTCGAAACAGTTTGATATGGATAACTGTGCAATGGTACCAGCAATTTCCAAAGCTGTGCGAACCCCCGGGCTGATAGGTGTGGCTGTATAGATTCGATACGTGACGCATATAATATATACCCTGATCAGCGGCCTGATCAAAACAGTTCCTATTCGCGGCTCTTTTCTACCATTGTGCTTACCAGAAATTTCGGAAGCAACGTGGCTAATGGCCTAATAAGAAAATAGGATCGGGACAGGATGCATCATCACGCTAACCGCTTCCGCCATTTGAAGATAAAGATCAAGTACGTCCCCACGACGGCCATCGCGTAATTGAATAAGATGAACCCAATGAAGATTCCTATATTGCGGCCTCTTTGTGAAAAGCGGAAGTCGTATTGTTTTACCTAACGGGAGTTTAGGTTGTTAGCGAGGTCTGATCTCCACAGTGAATTTCCGGAAGAAATGAACAAACAAAAAGTATAACAAGAGACTAGGGAGGGGGAAGAGAGATCTCACATATTGATCGCCATTGGCGTAGCTGCAATACTCGCATTGCCCCGCCGCGCTGGCATCCACCAGGTACCCTGTCGAATTGGATTGGCTGAAGAACGCGGCAGCGTAGGAGCCGCAGGTCTCCGACGACGGGGCATTGAAGACGCTTAGCTCCGAGTTTTGACAGGTAATTTCTAGCGCGTGCATGGCATTGGTACCGATGCCTTCGATGAAATAATACAGCGGGGAGATGTTATAGAACCAGCGCCAACCGCGCGGGGTTAGGGGCGGCGGCGAGAGAGGGCCATTGAAGGTGTTGACCACTAGCCATACGAAGCCGGTGGCGACTTGTGCAGCCAGGGCGGTAGGGAATATGGCAGCAGTAAAATGGGCCAGACTGGCCACAAAGAGCGAGTAAAGCTCGTACATAAGGAATGCATAACCTGCGCGCGTTGAGATGGTGAAATATCCCACCATATAATTCCATAGTAGCCAGTAGACCAAGCCTCCAAGTAGGGTGAATGGAATCTCCACTACCAAGGCACTAATCGTAAACACGCTCCAATGGTAGAAGCGTGACTCATTCTCTCGGGCTAGGAATTGGTCCCGCAGGATGATGAACCTGGGCTCGATCTGGAGACTGAGGACAGGTCCGGTGATGACACTCACGAAGATGGAGAACATGCGGCCGCGAGAGTCCGTCAAGTTGTTAGATAGTTGTAGAAATGTCAAGCCGTTCATAAGACCCATCCAGATGTTAAGTTGGATCTTCCCTAGCACATAATCCGAGTCGCGCCAATAATTGATGAACGCACGTTGAGTAACCACCTGAAGCTGCTCCAGATAAGATGCGGCATAAACTCGATCAGATCTCGCAGAGTTTGCCACGTCTTTCTCCTCAAGCAGATGTTGAAGTTGCTCCTGTGTGGACCCGAACTCGGGCGAGTCTTGCCATATCTATTGCGGAAGGTAAGAACTGCAACCTTAAAATGACGGAGACGACATACCTTAAACCAATCTTCTTGGGGCTTAGCGCTGACGTCTAGCAGATAGTCGGCTGGATTCTCGGTATCATTACAGCGGCGTGTATAGCGAGCAAAGTAGTCGAGAATTGTTTTGCACCGCGGGCCAAGGGGTCCAAAGTACATCGTCTTCCCACCAGGAATCAAAAGTAGCAAGGAGTCAAACTGTTCAATCATCTGAAAAGATGGCTGGTGGATCGTGCACAGGATCGTTTGCCCGGAATCTGATAGCTTACGCATGAGTTGGACGATTGAAAGGGCCGAATTGCCATCTAAGCCCGAGGTGGGCTCATCAAGGAACAGAAGGATATCCGGCTTGGCCGCCAGCTCAACTCCAATACTGACACGCTTACGCCTCTCCAGATCTAGTCCAGCGCCCGGAACACCGATGACAGCATCGGCAATATCTTCCATGTCCAGGAGCCTGATGACCATTTCAACATGCGCCATCTTATATTCGAAAGAAATCGCTGCCGGGCGGCGGAGTCTCGCACTCAGCTGGAGAGCTTCTCGTACCGTGGACGACTCAAGATGGATATCATTCTGGTGGACGAAGCCAGTCCGACGACCAATTGATGCCGGGAGTGGACCTCCATCGAGATAAAGCCCTCCGGACAACACGCCAATTCGGATCCTCTGCGCAAGAGTGTCAAGAAGGGTCGTCTAGCATGTGTTTAAGTCAGTTCCAGCGCCCCTGTCTCAGAACCAGATGTGTTAGATGTGCATACCTTTCCCGCACCAGACATACCCATCAACGCAGTCATTGAGCCTGGCTGAAGCCACCCTGTATCGACTCATCAGTGAATTGTCCTAATAATTGAATGAAACCAACGACTTTACCTGACACATTCTCAAGCAAGCGCCTTCCATTGCCCAGTTCAAGAGTCAAGTCCTGCCATGCAAAGACGTGATTACTGGGCTCGAGATGCTTGGCGACTGACTCGCTATTTGAAGTTTCCTCAGAATTTCCGAATTCCTTGGTCACTGGTGGCTTTTCAATATCCGTTAGAGCGGCATTTGAGGTGCTCGTCCACGGCAGCTTTCGATAGTAGATAGTCGACATGTGTGCCGCTGCGTGACGGAACCTCTCCATACCGATTCTGTTGGAAGCACCATGGCGGTTACGTCAGTGACAGGATCGACAAAAACAGGAATAGAATGGCAGTGAGACATACGTGACTAAAACCGAAAAGAAGATGAAGAAGGCGGCGTTGATACCGACATTCCGCCATTTGTGAAGAGAGTGGAAACTATATTCAGCTATAAGGTAGAGCTTGCCGGAAAGCTCTAGATGACCGGGTAAGGATCCCGACACCGCACACGTCTGATAGCTGGTGTTATTGTAGGACAATCCCACGGGTACGGTATCTTTGGCACTGCATTGGTAAGTGCTGCTCCCGATCTCATTTAGAGCGATGGACTCAAAGATATAGTACATTGGCTGCGATAGAACGGAATTGTTAGTTTTCGATTACCCAGGACTTTTGCTCTCGCTCGGAACTCATACGTCGAGGTACCGAATCCATCCCAGCCAAACCTTCATGCCAGGTGGAGTGATATAGAATCCAGTGTAGATGATGAGGACATTGAGAAGCAGACCGACAGGCAGGATTGCTCGAGTGATGGAAGTTGTAAACACCGCAATGGCCCGAAACATCACGGAAAGGGCCATCAAGCCTATGTAAAGGGAGACGAGCCACGTGAAAAAGTGGCCGGCCGTGCGCTGAAAGTCAATCATCCAGTAGATTGGAAGGGAGTACAGGATGAAAATCAGCTTCCATGGGACATCGGCCAGAATCTGCCCCAGAGCGTACGCTCCGGGTCGGTAAAATCTTAGGGCCTTCTGTTTCAACAAAATTGGGCGTTGAACGAACGTATTTCCAAATTCCGCAGATGACTGTAGACCCATTATGAGCACACAGAAGAATAAGGCTGAGCAACGTGTGTACAGCCCTTCAGTTACGTTGCGTTGATTTCGAAACAGAGTTCCAAGAAGAAGTGCCTGCACAATAGTTCCTGCAGCCTCGGCAATCCAAGCAGCTCTGTCAGTCATAAAGATGCGATAATGACGAATAGTGCACTCGTAGACCTGACGATAAATCGGAAGAGCGTATCCAGAGGCTTTTATAGTCAATGGTGTGGGGCTTGGGGCCTTGGCTTGCTCCATTAACTGCTGATGAAAAGCACTCTCCCAGAACCGGGCTTCAAAATCAGCCGGTTGAAGAGGAGCCGGCCGATGAAGATTTTCACGTGGGATTCGACCATCCGGAGTCCCTGACATGGATGCAAGGAAGTCTGATATGGAAGTCCGTGGCGAGCAGTAAAATCCAAGAGATTCGAAGTACTCCTTGGCAGAAGAAGCCGGGCCAAAGTATGCTACATGGCCTTCATTCAATACCAATATCTTGTCGAATAGTGAAACAGCCAGGTCGCTCGCCTGATACAAAGACATCGCTGTCGCACATCCACTGCGCGTCGTATATTTCCGGAGAACAGTAAGGAAGCGGATTGCTGTGGATGAATCCAGACCTCGTGTAGGATTATCAAAGCAGAACAACCTTGAAAAGAGTCAGCTCAGCCCAGCGACATTGGACTCAGGGGCAGACCGACCTTGCACGGGTGCAAAACGCCTCAGCGAGAGATACTCGGCGACGCTGTCCACCACTGACTCCGCGAATATGATCGTTTCCAATACGTAAATCGGCGGCGTGGGTGAGACCCATGAGTTGCAGCACAGCTTGCAGGTCTTGCTCAAGGTTTAATGCGCGACCTTGTTGCGATATGCCGCGCCGGGCATTAAGAGCAAAGCTATGTTATTTGAGTAACAGCGTCTAGTGGCAAACACGAGAAAAACAAAAACCATGAAAAGGACATGAACGCACCGAAGCGTGGTGTTTACCGACAATGTAGGAAAGTGAACATCGTTTTCCCCTATCCAAGGCATTGAGTATCAGTTGGTTGAGAATGCAATGAGAGCGCGTGCCACCATACCAGTGAAAGCAATTTGATCGGGTCTGTTCTTCTTCGCTGCCGCTGCATCGAGCGGACCATACCAGACGTTACCCTCCATAGAGAGGTACTCTTCCCGCATATTGGCTAGGGCTTTGAGGAAAGTTGTACAACCACTGCCGGGTCGCCCCACAACCATCAGCATCTCTCCCTCGCGAATCGAGCCGGTTAACCTGTGGAGCAAGACCCGAGATGGAGCAGGCTTGCTGGACCACCAGCTAGTTGGACTAGCAAGCTTTAAGAGTTGAATACACGCCTCAGGGACATCTTTGACAAGTTGATGCTGTATAGAAACGTGGAGCGTGAGTGTCCTGAGCAAGAGTATTTCAAGGGTATGGTGAACAAACCCCAACACCGGCTCCTATTACAGACAGATTCTCAAAAACGATGCTTCCGCGGTCTTCTGACGTACTGGTATGACGAGCTAGGAAGTCGTCCAGCAATCGATCAATTTCCTCAGCCTCATGGTAACCTTTCTCGATCATGTCTTGATCTTGGGGCTTTATTGGTTCCATTGAATTACCCATAGCTGCTGTTCAAAGACTGATATCGGGGGAGCTGGCCATGGAGCATCTTGAAATTGGCTTCAACCAGTATATGAATTCAAACATCTTTCCCTGTGCCTCCCCTGTCGCCCGGCATGGTATGGTATGGAAGGGATTACGCAAAGGAGTAACCATTACTCCTCTTGGTTAGATAATGTGGATCAATGTCACCAAGTGGGACAAGTGGGGCAAACGGACGAAACTAATCTAGCGAGAGGGAGAAGATTCATAATAATTAGATAATTAGAAGATAACGTAGGAGACTGAGGGGTCAAACCCTATATATACCTTCCACTTTTATTGTTCAAGTATCGGTTCAATTCATACCACAACATGTCTGACTCTCCTATTGACCCTGATCAATTTACCCGAGCGGGTTCGATCACCAAAACCTACTACCGAGATGTCTATCCAGCCATTGAGCCGTCTAAGCCGGAATTCTCCCAGGCGGACAAAGTGTCTATTATCACAGGCGCCGGAAGTGGAATTGGCAGAGTAAGGGGCTATCTCACAATGACTAATTCATATTCTAATAAATTTCTGTTGTAGGCAATTGCACGAAGCCACGCCCAGTCCGGCGTGAAGAGACTAGTTCTCATCACCTTGTCCGAGTCGTCTGCAGAAGAAACCAAAATGGTCGTCCAAGCGGAGTTTCCCTTGGTTGAGATCCTCACGCTTCCCACCGATATTGCGGATGAGATGGCCGTGGCTCGGACCTTCGACACCATCAAAGACAAGTTCGGAATGGTCCACACTCTAGTCAACAACGCGGGGGTTTTTGCACCTGGTGCCCCCATTGTGGAGTCAGACTCAGCCACCTGGTGGAGAGACTTTGAGATCAACGTGCGCGGTACTTACCATGTCACTGCGGCCTTCTTGCGTTTGACCGCCCAGACGCAGGAGATCAAGCCCACGGTGGTGAACCTGATAAGCACACTCACGTTGACGCCTCCGACACTGAGCAGCTACTTCATTAGCAAAATGGGCGTGGCCAAGCTGACAGAGTTTATCACCGCTGAGAACCCCCACGTTACGGCGTATAGTCTGTCTCCCGGCATTGTCCTAACGAGTATGACATTGGATTCGTTTAAACCATTTGCCAAAGACACCGGTATGTCACAAAGCGTCTCAATTTCTCGGGAGATTTTCATTGCTAACCCTTCACCGCTCGTATAGCCGAATTGACTGGAGCCGTGACGGTGTACCTGGCGGCTAAGCGTCCCGAGTATCTCAGTGGCCGGCATCTATCTGTCAACTGGGATTTGGAAGAGCTGGAAGCTCGCCAGTCTGAGTTTGCTTCTTCGGATAAGTTGAAGATCGGACAATTTGTTTAAAAACGCCCTCAATATAACGCGGAGGATAAGATCTAAACGCGCTGTGAAATTCTTATATGCACAGAATTGTATGAATGGAATCTAAGACACATGACAAAACACGCGATGCAAAGACATTCTTGTCGTTACCGAGGAAAATGATCCATTCCCGGGGGAATCTCAGGGAGATCTATTAGCATATCATCAATTCCATGACAGTAACCCGACCAAGCTTTAGGGTCTACCGTGTCAGCCCAGGACCATAAAGCATCTGTCCCCGGACTAAGCAAGAAAGGACCGGAGGACTGTTCCAAGTCCACTCGATCCCAATGTTCCGTGACTTGCTCACCAGCAGGCGGAAGGGCATGCGGATGGGATGCAGAAGTTTGCGCATTGAGTACTTCCATGAGAACATCGACTCGGCCTAGGAGATAACGAGTCAGATGGACAGCCCGCGACGCAATAGGGTTTGAGGTCTTTGCTGTGTCGAAAACCTGAAAGGATAGCTCGACATGTTGTCGGGCAACGGGGAACCAGTAGCACAAAGGATAGGCCAATAAAAAGCCTACAAGAGTCAGGACTGCGTTCCAGACGTATTGATACACATCTGAGCATCCATAAAGAGCATCATGATTGAGCATGCGCCGGTGGACAGTCTCTATAACCTTCAAAGCGTGTTGAAGAGCTGTTGTCGCATGGACATCCGCTCTTGGGCTGCGTTGAGGGACCAGACCACGACTGGGAAACTGTATGAATGGGCGATGAAACCAAATAACAAGATCATGGAATTGAAGTTCGAGAAGTGTTTGCTGCAAGGCGCGAGTGGGTGATTGATGATACATCCATGCATCGTCATCGCGTTTCAATCCTTCTCCGGCTGCGTGCGTCAGAAGTTGATTGGCGCTACCGACAAGCACCAAGGTTTTGAATGGCTCCACCTTCACGATATGGTCTCTCCATTCATACAATCGAGTAATTTCGTGAGTGAGATGCTCCGCAGACAGTTCAATTCGTGTGATGGAATCGTTCGCACCCACTGTATCGTGGCGAGCCGCCAAGGATTCGGCAATCTTTTTGGTAACCACTGTTAGCGTGATAGTCGCTGAGTGAAAGACCAGCTCCGACAAGGCCGGGTCAGTGGATGGATTATAATTCGGCATGGTAAGTGTAGTGTCTCTTAGGGAGACAACCATGGGTTTACCTAGGTATCTCGAGCATCGAAAGTCGAGATGAACTAACATCCACCACACGCGACCACGGATCTCCGCCTCTTTCGCACTAACGTGAGGCGCCGGTGGCTTCTGCAGGTCGAGCGACTGCGCCAGTCGAACAGCCGCCCCCGTGATGTTATATGCGGTCAAGACCTCTCCAGAATTCAGCAGAAACAAAACCATTAGAATATGGCGTTGCACGTCCGACACAGATGGTTCCGCATATAGGAGATATTGACTGTTTGTCGCTAAGGCTTTCTGAAAGTAGGAAGCAAACAAAGCTACAATGGGGCTCTGCTGCTTGTCGGAAAAAGACCCTTGCGCCTCGACTAACTCTGTACTGATGCCCAGGAGACGATGGTGTAGTCCGGCATGATAGACTGATTGCAAGCAGTACGCCATTAGAGCGTTTTGCAAAGGCTCCTGCTTTTGATCTGGTTCAAGATCTAGCACAGCTTCCTGAGTCACAATCGGTACTAGGCATCGGTAGCGAGCCCAAAAGATTCTCAGAAGCCTCTCTTGGAGGTCTCGTAAGCCGGAACAGCTCGACTGCGTAAGGCCCTGCTCTGCATCTTGAATCAAGTCCGGAGTCGAATAAGAGGTCTCCGAAGAGAAAGATTCACTAGGACCTGGAGATGATTGTGCTGAAATCTGAGACACTACGGAACAAAAGGTGTCGATCCGTGAGATAAAGCCAGTGAGACAGTCCGGGTGGCGAGCGACTACATGAGTCGCGTCCCTTGGTGGATCGACCGGCGCGGACGAGCTCACTGACTGGGGAAGTGGACTACAGGAGGGGACTGATGGGCGAATATGCTGGGCTCTAGCGGAGCAAGACGGCGATAGAAGATGAGAGGGTTTAGGCTTGACGCACTTGACTTTGTTCGTTACACACTGTGAACACGGCAACCTGCCATCGCAACGAACACGATGCTCGCGACAGAAATCGCATGCTCGTCGTACTTTTCTTCGCTTAACGAGGGGACCTGATCTTGGAGGAGTAAAATTGTAAAGCATGACGAAGGGGGGATCTAGCCCAAGTGCGGCTGTGGGTGGAGGTTTCGCATCGCGGGAGGTAGTATTGAGGAGGGAATGATACAGTTTGTCGCTTCGTCGATACCAAAGGTGGATTAAGTGGATGTGGCTTTCTCCGGTTCCTGGCCAATAGGAAATTGGGGAGGAAGCAACCAATAGGAAACACAGGAGCCGTACACACTCCAGTCATCATCGTCGCAAGGCTAAAACTGTACCCTTCGGTAGAAGATAGTACCCGCCCTCGTAGCATTGGTCTGGGCCAAGGATGAGATTTTAGATCCCGTCTGTTTTACATCAGAGAATTACCTCCATTGACTCGTGCATTACAGATAGTCCATGAAGATATTTCTGGCTCCGTTGCGTACACGTGCGAGGAGTATGCTTTGACGCCATTCACCAAGAAAGAGCTCAAAGGGGCAATTCTACGAGAACTGAGTGTACGCTGAATCGAATCATATCATTCGTAACATCTTTGCCCGTCTATCGCAGTTTGACGGGAGAAAATAGCTAGTCAATATTCACTTATGTCCGTTAGTGATGGGTACTTTGACATCCAGAGAAACAAATCCCTCAGTTCCGCCCCCATTTTGCCACTGAGCAGCGCACATCTGCAGCAAGTCACCTTTCCGTTATTCTTGCCGTTGATGTTACAGGTACCGCCGGTAGGAGGGGCAGGGTTGCCACTGGTGGAAGAAGCAGCAGCAACGGCAGCCAGTGCAACAGTCGCAAGGGGGAACTTCATTTTGCAAGCTAAAAGAAGTAGGTAAAGATGTGCTTATGTGAGCTGGTAGCTTAAGAGATTGTAAAAAAGTAATTGATGAGGTGTTGGTACATTCCAATTGATGGAAAAGGTGCCTGGGCGATGATGCGCGGTTTATATACTTTTGAAGACCCTCACAAGCCCATTCAATCGCCTTTGCATGAACAGTCACTTTTCAATACACTGGAATCAGCCGTAGCAAGCAAATGAGATAAACTTGGCAATTAGCGTCGCTCTAATTGATCACCAAGATTGTCCGATGAGACTCACTATCGAAGCTAAGCATGTAGATCATAACCTTTTACAGCGTTTATCAGTCGATGAGTCGTGCCCATCTACCCCTTTTTGAGGATCATTTCGCCATCTAGCATCGCTCTGATTCATCACCGAGATTGTCCGATGAGATTCACTATCGAAGCCAAGAATGCAGATCAAGATCTACGTAGTCGATCCAATTCACCAGGTTTTGTCTTGACACGATCGATCTGAGCTAGTACGGATTCGTAGTTACGGGCCCCTTACCTTGTTTCTCATATTGGGCAACTTCTGAAGACTCCCGCTTGCCTCACCCGGAGAAAATTCGATTGAATCTCCACTACATTGACATTCTCTTGACCATTAACATCTAGTTAGAAGCTAGGAATGCGCCATATCAAATAGCCTATTGAAATCGTATGTTTCAAGGGCTACACAGATCGCATGGCATCCTCTGATGATGCCAATGCTTTGTTGATGAGACAAGGGGGTTGAGGTAAGGTCACACGTGAGTTGGGCTAGCGTAATGCATTTATTGAGATCGCTTTGTAGGCTGCTCACGCTGACGCTCAGAAGCGGATCAGCAGAGCGTCTCGTAATGCCCCTCTTCAGTAGGTACAACTAGTGAAGTGCCCACGTGTTTTTGGCATTAAATCCTTCAAATCACAAGGTCCTCTTTGAGAATCCACCTGCCTAGGTGATTCTTTGGGTGACATGACATAGCTATTGCTTGCCTAGGTAGAAACTTGGAAGGTTCAGGTGATGCCTGGAATAGCTATCCCTGTCCAGAGGCTCTCGAGGTTTACACTAGATACATAAGTTTCGGAAAATGTATTTGCAGGAGGCGACATCCAAGTGTCTTGGATCATATCCTCCGGTGATTTCGGAGATCGCCATCTAGAAAGGCCACTTTCTCCAACTTTGTTTCTGTGAACTTGACTGGATCCAATCGTCTTATATCTGCGATGATAATTTGTCTTTGTTAGCGTGCTTTTTCCATAATTTCTGTTTGCCTTTCATGGATGCTTGTTTACGCACACATTAATACTATTTATTTCTATCATTTCACATTTTTCGTGTCCAGATGTCACCCAATCTGGAGACAGACTGGGTGAAAGTCACCGGAAGATTAAGGATATTTATTACTACGCGAACGATGTCTTCCCGGTATAGGAACTGCTAGCACTCCCTGTGGGTCGGATCCAAGAAGCTACGGAGATAGGTGCTCGGTCACGGAGAAATAAATTATAGCAATCGTTCAGCTAGTTTGCGGTATCGTGGCCGGGCAATCCAAGCTGACGGGCGACAGGTCCTCGAGGGAATCAAGCATCTACGCGACCGGAGGAGATCCAGTGGAGTGTCGAGGTCGCGGTCGAGAGCAGAAACTTTGCCCAGTCTATCGAAGAGTCGCTCTCTACAGTAGCGCCCGACTATAGGTCAGTTTTGCCTTGGTATGTCTGGTGTTCGCAACTGACCTCAGACCAAACAGAACTATGATAGAGATTCGAAGCCTTCATCATCCTCGTAAATATGATACACGGGCGGGAAAGGCCGTGGCCTAATATCTGTCTACTTTTATCAAAACACTGAGCAGTAACAAGGGTTTCTTGGAAAGAGTGGGGGAACTCAGCCCTGCCGTATGTTTGAAGAATTATGGCCAGTGAACGAAAACTCCACTCTTGTGAAAGAGATCCGCGCTCATTTCCGAGCACATATCTAAGCATTTTATTCTCCTTCTACCCATACTCGCTACACGCTTCTTGTCTTTTAATAATGCTTTGACTTTCATTTAACAATGATTGGAAGTTTGATAGGTACAATACAATATATGCCAGTCTCCATCATGACCCATGAACAATCGGAATGCAGAACAATATCAAGTAACACGAAAATAGCTGGCGATATAACTCCCCCACGGATGACCGAAGAAACTAGGTGTTATACTGGACTTGAGAGGCCCGTATAACCCCCAGCTTGGAAAACATAGAGATAACCGAAACTAACAGCATAAAGGAACAAGGCTAGAAGTTTCACATATCTCGATTGTCTTTATACCACTTTTGGGCAATTTGATGCAGCTTTCTGCGATCAAGCTTGTTAGATCTTGTCCGAGGAATTCGGTCAACAAGGAGAAACAAGCTAGGCATCATGTGCTTGGGGAGCGTGCTATCGACTTCTTTCCGCATTGCCTTCACCAGATTATTCGCTCGAACACGATTTGTGATCGGAAGAAACGACATTTCATGGTCTGAAATTCCGGGAAGAAGGTTCGCTGGATTTTCATCCAGGTAAATAAAGGCCACCAGGATAGGGTCGTCGCTACCGTCAATCTCGCCAAGAATATCTATGACGCTGACATCGCCCGGCGAGAGAGTTCTTCGAAGGATGTACTCCACTTCAGTCGACTCAACACGCTCGCCGTTGAGTTTTAGAAGTGTGTCCTTTCGGCCCATGTGCTCCACTGTACCGTCATGGCGATAACGACCCAGATCACCAGACCGGTAGATGCGAGAACTTGCTGCTCGTGACGGGTGGAGGTCCGCAATCCACCGAGGTACTTCACTAAGGAATCCGACATCGGGTTTCTGGCAGATGTCATCTAAGTACCCACGGGAGAGGTGGGGACCTTCAATCAAAATCTCACCGACAGCGCCAATGGGCACTGGCCGCTGAGGAGAGGAAGTATTCGCAATCCAAATGGCACCGCTACCGGATTTTCCGACGACAGCATTGTGGCCTGCCTTGGGATTGTCGTTGTACGCGCAGAAGGTGGCTGCCTCGCCCATCCCGTACTGGTTTACAAGTTTCACATGAGGTCCCCATTTCAAGAGTAGATCATTTGACATGGGCTCACCCCCAATGCAAAGCAACTCGAGTGACGGAAGAGCCTTGGGGCTGATTTGAATAGCAACTGTTGGAGTCAAGAAGCTCATGTTGGCCTTGGTCAAATTGATGTTCTCAATCAGGCTCGAGAGGGATTTGTCGGGTGTGGGAACACAACAACAGCCACCGGCAGCCAGAGCTGTGAGGTACTCATTGTTACTGATGTCGAATGCATAGTCGTCGAATTGAAATACACGGCTGTGTCGGCCTAGACCAAGGACCTTGTTGTAATCGCGGATTGCGACGGCATAAGACCGATGTTCCTGGATAATACCCTTGGGCTGGCCTGTACTCCCAGAGGTAAATAGAATCAAACAGGCATTGTTTGGTTTGACGGTTGATGATAAAGGCCCAGTGGGAAGCTCTTTGAGCATGTCTCCCGAGATGGGAATCACGTCCGGGATAAGGGCGGCGTATTTTGATACATATTCAGGGGATGTGAGCATGACTTTAGCGTTGACACGATTGATGACTGAGTCAAGGAAGATGGGAGGGTCGCGAGCGTCGATAGATATATACGCGCCACCGGCTTTTAAAATTGCCAGGCGAGCAATAATGGCGAAAGACGACTTTTCGAAACAACTGAGAACGAACGTTTCAGGACCAACGCCAATATTGGTCAAGTGAAGAGCAAGACGGGATGTAACGTCATCCAGCTCTCGATAGGTGTAATCTCCATCCCACGAGTAGATTGCAGGGGCATCGGGGGTCAATCGCGCATGCTCCAGCGCCATGTCATGTAACAAGACCTCGTGAGGCTCCGAAACCTCCTTCGTAAACTTTTGCATAAGGATGAGGTCGAGATCTGAACACAAATCAAGGTCGCCCAAGGAAGTTGTGGGAGAACGGTATATGGATGCCACGATTTTGTTCAAGGAGTGAAGGAGACTTGTTGCGAACTCTTTGGACATTTCGGGCGAGGAGAACGCAAGGCTCGCATGTAATCTTCCATTATTGTTTGTCACATTGAGCATGAGCTTTGATTTGGGGATCTAGAGGAAGACGAGGTCAGTGGTGCAGAAAGAAGCGGGCATTGGAGATATAAACACAAGTGGTACCTTTGAATTGGCAGACAATGGAGCTTCTTGCAAAGTTGGGCGGTCCCCAGCATAGCGGAAGGCCGAGCTGAGAAAGGAATTCCTGCCATCGACAGCCGATCCGTCGTCAGGGTCCGTGGGGTGGATGCCTGCCTTGATGAGGCAAAAGTCCCGAACGAGATCTTTTAATGGGCGCTCCGAGGAGAATTCGAGAGCGCTTGAATTAATGCCCTGGCGCTCATCATCTATGTAGCACAAATTTGATTGAGGGTGGAATTCTAGGTACGTGGTTCTCACGGGAGAGAAGCCATTGAGCACAAGTAACCAGCAAACAACAAGAATCGACTCAATGTCAAGTTCCTGGGTTAATTCTGGACTCAAGTACTCTAAATACTGTGATTTTGCAGCTTCAAGGATATGGGATTCGCAAAGAGTGAGCGAGAGATCGACAGATTCTTGGGGGATCTGAGTTGGGGCTTTCTTGGGTAGCTTCACCGAGCTAATAGGGATTACAGAGGACCCATGCTCAAGAGTTGTAATCGAGGGTGCCATGATGGAGAATAATGAATGGAAGGAGAGAATGTCTCGTAAAAAGTCATTCAAACCGAGTGTCAATCAGATGTGTCCCGAGGCTGAATAAATAGAAATGAAAGATTGACCATAGGGATAGGGAGTGTTACAAAAGCTCGGCTTGGTCCATACGTAGCTGGTGGATCATTCCCGTGCGTCGTGCATATTATTTAGAAAATCAGGTTCAGCTGGATAGCTCATGCAGAATGTGGGTGATCGACACTACATATACGGAGTTTAGTGTCCCCACTTCTGGAACCAGTTCGGACCCAGCGGGGCACACAGCAGAGCAGACCCAGGATCAGGGGTCCTGACTATAAAGTGATCCTTATTTAGGGTATACCTCGTAGCTTCTATTCTTTCCACTCGCATATCATGAACTTTTAGCTTACAATTCTATTGCGAATGTTGCGGATCAAAAGATTGGTCATGCATGATGCATGGTAGTCACAGCGCATAATGTGAGGAACAGCAGTTACATGATTTCATTCCTTCCGGTAAGGAGATGTATCACCTGAGTGGGTCCAATCCGGGCTTTCCCGTCTCCCCCACGATTTGCATGTTTTCTTTTGTTTCAGCTGGAGATTCTGATTTTCAGCTCCTCATAACACAGCCTAGCCGAGGCTTTGGATCAATTTATTCTGAGTCTTGAGTCGTCGAACTCAAACAACTCAGAGGTTCAGTGACTATGGGGGCTTCGAAAATGTTCGCTGAATGGAGATCTTCCGGTAACTTTATGCTAGTGGCCCTATGTTTTGCCCTATTCACGGTACGTGCTCTTCAACTCGAGCGTGATCAAATTTCCACCTTGAAACTGACATAGTGGCAGGACACGTTCGTTTACGGCATCGTACGTATTTCTCGTCCGTAATCAGGATATCAGACCGATCTATGAAATCCATGCATTAGTTGACACAGCCTCTAGATTATACCCATTTTACCCTTCCTGTTGATCGGTCATGGAAACGTGGGCTCGGGGGACGGTAATCTTTATCTTGATTTTGTAACTTGCATATCTTGTTGACTGAATGCCATTAGTTCAAAAGTGGACTTCTGTTCTACTGGCGAGTTATGGAGTTGCTCTTTTACTTGGCGCTCGTGAGTATATATTCAATCTATATGTCTTCCGTGAGCTAATGCAATCAAAGCTACGATCGGTTGGTTTTGCGACAGATTTCGCTTGCAAAAAGCAACACTGGTCGGTGGTTCCATCGCCATGGCCCTAGCAACCGTTCTTTTTATCTCCGCGGATAATGTGTGGGTGTTCCTCGTCGCTCGAGTGTGCCAAGGCCTCTCCGGCGCGGTTGTCGGGGTTCTAGGCCTGAGCATGATTGCCGAAACATCCAGTCCGGAAAGGTTGGGCTCACGGATGGCTTGGGGATCAGCATCATTGACGTGGGGAATTATCTGTGGCCCTATTGCGGGTGGCTTCCTGTACGTTTGCCGTCATGTCTATCTCATCGACGATTTCCCAGTCTAACAAAGCAGCTTTTCCAAATTTGGCACTGGTGGTGCTTTCGGGCTCCCAATAGCACTGCTTGTGGTCGACTTTATCCTGCGAATATTGATCATACAAGAGACTGAAGGTCAGTTATTCCTATCTTTTTAACTTATGAGATTCTAATCAAGATAGACATAGATATTACCAAAGACGATGAGCAGGAGGATTCACCTCTCTTGGAAAACAGTGTCTCTAGCGATCATCCGTTGAGCTTTTGGGGTTTCCTACATCCGATAATGCTGGGTGTGATTTTTTGTGTTTTCGTGATTTCGTCCATATTATCTGCCTTTGAAACAGTAAGTTGTATACCCTACTACATAGAGAATGGCTCCGCTAACCAAGATGTAGACCCTGCCATTGTTTGTACTTGACACCTACCATTGGTCTAGTTTGGGCGCGGGTCTTATCTTTCTCCCAATGACGATACCTTCCATCCTCAGTACTCCAATTGCCCACCTTGTGAGGCGCTTTGTACCACGGACAATTGTGATGACTGGATTTTTCTTGATGGCAGTACCGATGGTATCCTTGCGGTGGACCCAAGAGAACACTATTCACCATGAAGTCGCGCTTGTTTCCTTGCTATTCATCATCGCAGTCAGCGTCACAGCCGTGCAAGCTACCATAATGGGAGATGTGTCTAACGCAGTTCGGAAAATTGAAACCTTTCACGGGATCACGGAAGAGGACAGCAGCGGACAGGGACGAGGCTTCGCACTCTGTAACATGGCATTTGCTGTGGGTCAAACACTAGGCCCAATTGGAGGTGGACTTATTAAACATGAATTAGGTTGGGGTTTTATGACGCTAGTCCTTGGGATTCTATGTCTTGTTGCTGGTATTTCGTCCTTCTTTTCGATTTCGGCAGCTGCACCTCCAGCCTACACGGGCGAGGTTGATGGAAATGAATGAGTATAATTTCATTTAATTATTAATATTCATGTATGAGGGGGTCTTCTCAGGAAACGGCGTTGAATAGGATATGGCTACGATCAAGTCCACATATAACAGGATTCTTCAGAATTCTACCAGTGAATAAATATGTGATTTAATTCCAAGGTTCTGGCCATCACATGAGTAGTGCTGTTCATGCATATCGGGAAGTGTGATGAGGACCTCAACCTTGCAGATCGTCCTACCCCACTCGACGGCATGAACGCTGGCGAAATTAGTGTTGTCATTTCTTGCGTGACAAGATGGACGGCAAATCCTGACGATCCGTGGTGCATGATGTCGCCCCTGCATATATGCATCCTATAATATTGCTTGCTTTTCCGGTTTCTGCTGTCCCCATACCCCGAGCCACGAATGAATCGCGAAATCAAAATTCCTTTTCTTGGCGACCATGCTTGTTCTGATTTCATTGGAGAACTCAATTCTATGGAGCCACAGTGGGCACATGTAGCAGCATATCGATCACATTGGACAAAGAGCGTACCATAAGTACCTGACAGAGAATTATTTTATTTCTGAGACCTACTTTGTACGGGGCGTCGGTCGCTTGTTTGCCTCTTAGTGTGATACGTTCCAGACTCACATGATATTTGTTTTCAGCTGCTGTCATCTCAGCCCCAGCATAGGAGCGGATATTACCCCAGTTATATGCAAGGGACATTCTTGCGTAAAATGCAATGCATACAAGTAAAACCACCGCCAACATGGGTAGATTCGCATTCGTCAGGAAAGCAAGGACAGCCGAGAGAGGATTTAGTCGGAAGATCGAGTCTCAATACTTTGGTAGTCGATCTTCTGCAGTAGTCTACTTGATCTCTACAGTATGATGTAGTACAAATACCTCTAGTGTGGAGTTCCTGTAGTTCATGCAGCCCGACGTCACCAATGCCCCCGGGAGCAGTGGCGTGCTGAGCTCAGAGACATCCCAAGGTTGATCGGCAAAAAACACCACTTGAAAAAGCAAAGAGCTATGTACTGGATACCGACTGAAAATCTTTGCGCCATGTATCTCCAGTCCTTCTCTGAAAGTCTCCATATTAAGTGGTGATCCTACCAAGCTGACATAATCTTTCGATGTACTTAGATCTTGCTTCTCATGATAAAAAGCTTCAAAAGCAAAACTTGGAGGCCCTTGCATATGGAAACATACATACTAGCAAGATATGTGCATGCTTGCACAACCTGAACATGTAATACCACCCTATTAGACATCTCGGTACAGAGGCAAACCCAGGTACAGTACATAGATGCACATGTACGGATACGTCTAGATGTACCACCAATAAGCAGGGGGACTAATGTGTCTCCACTTACTCGTGCATGCTACGCCATCGCAGCTGCAGCTCCAACTAGAGCTGACTCGAAAAGGAAAAGAAGGAAACACTATGACTTATATATTTGAATTCTTCTCCAAATATAAATATTATATCTAAACCACGCAAATCTGCTCACCAGATGTTTTTTCTCAAACACCTTGCCCAAACCAATCAAAAACCCAAAAAGCGCCGATCTTCCAAGATGTCAATTGCCGAGTCCACCGAGACCTCGGAGTACCAGTACTTCCCCATCATTGGAATTTCTGTGAACTCCGAGGATTCATCTAAGTTGGGTCCTGAGACCCCTGTCCCCATTCGTCAGAATATCGACACATGGAGCCAAGACCCCGCCAACGAGAAGCAGGTCAAGCTGTTTGTGATGGCATTGCTTCGTTTCCAACAGATTGATCCTAAAGAACGGGAGTCATACTTCCAAATTGCTGGAATTCACGGTCAGCCCAATGTGCTATGGGATGAGCCAACTATCGACGAGGATACAAAGGGCAAGGGATACTGTACTCACAACAATATCCTGTTCCCGATTTGGCACCGAGCTTACCTAGCACTTTACGAGGTAACTCACATTCATAGACCGCTTTTGGTATCCACTGACACTTCCTCAGCAACGTATTCACGAAATCATGGTTAAGGAGATTGTCCCTAATTTTGCGGAGGACCAGCGCCCCCAATGGCAAGAAGCTGCCGAGACATGGCGTCTGCCCTTCTGGGACTGGGGTCTCACTACTTCTGTCCCTGATCTGTGCAAGTACCCATACACCTTTGTGCCGACCGCAGACGGCACCGGCGAAGAAAGCATCCACAATCCTCTTTTCCAGTTCCGCATGCCAAACAATCAGCCTATGTCTGCTTATGGCATGGACAACTTCAAGGACCCCTGGGTTGATGATGGAGACATGCTATTCGTACGTATTCAATTCCCGGCATGAGAAAGCTACTTCTTCTGACTAAATCAGTATGGTGAATGTGTGGGAACCACTCGTTGGCCTGATGCGGGCGAGTCTGCCTCTGGTACCAACACATGGAAGTACGGTGTGGTGAATAACTACAAGGTGCAGGAGGCAATGAAGAAGCCAGCATGGGTTGCCGACTCGCCGTACGGTCAGCCATCCGAGATGATATACCGTCTATTATCAACTCCCATGGATTACACGACGTTTGCAACCACGGCTCAATTGACGGACGATCAGAACATCACGAACGACATCAATATTGAGTATCGTAAGTTCTTCATCGGAATTCAAATACCTTAAAACTCTCTGACCTTTTCTAGTCCACAATAACATTCACGGTTGGGTTGGTGGCGATCTCAATGGACACATGTCGCAGATCCCAGTCGCCTCATTTGACCCTATGTTTTGGCTTCACCATTGGTAATTTTATTTCCACCCGTACTATACTTACATACTAATAAGTCTTCTAGTAACATCGACCGTATTTTTGCCCTATGGCAAGCCCTCAACCCGGATAAGTGGTTTGAGAAGTCGACCGTCAACGAATTTTTCCAACAAGTCATTGGCCTCCCTAAGGGAACGGAGATCACCCCTAACACTCCTCTACGACCATTCCACAAAGATACCACTGGGACCCCCATGAAGCCTGTGGATGTTCGTTATCCTTACAAGCTTGGCCATACCTATCCCGAGTTACAGACCTGGACCTACAAGCCTGAGAACTACACTTCCGAGCCCTTCCTTGCAAACCTCCGGAAGACTATCAACGACCTCTACGGTATGTCGAGACAGCAGTTGATTGATGCAACCGGCAACATCAAGGGAGTGGAGTATTTGGAAGATGGTACAAAGTCTATGGACTATTCGTTTAGTGTTCGTTACCGCAAATATGCCATTGGTGGCGGTGAACCGTTTTGGATTCGTATCTACCTTTCCCAGGATGGTAAAACGCGAAACGCCAGCGTGGACTTGATCACTGAACTTTACAACTTCAGTCAGAAGCCCGAGGACAATTCAGGAAAGCTTGCATGTGGCAATTGCAAGGACAACAAGGACAACGACATGCGGTCTACTGCCAATATCTCGCTCACTCCTATCTTAATCAGTCTTCTCAAGTCGGGCAAAGACTTAGCCAGTCTTGCCAAGGATGATGTCCTGAAGTTCATCCAGGAGAGGGCTTATTGGAGAGTGTTTAAGTCAGGTAAGGAGCTGGAATCGTGGCAGGTGGATGCCCTGGACCTCAAGATTATCGGAAGCACAAACGATTCGACTGTCTACAACGATGCTACGAAGCCTCCAAAGCTGGAGAACTTCAAGGAGGAACCCACTATCTCCGGAGGGCCAGGTGGTGCCATGAACCCCGCCTTCAAGCAGCCCGTAACAGTTGCTCCTCCGGTCGTGCCTGCTATTCCTAAGGCTGCTCTTAAGGTTAATTCTTTCATACCCTTCAAGGAGGTCCTCAAGGCCGACGGCGTGGTCATCATCGACTCAGCCAGCCTGGACCTCACCCCCGCTAAGACTTCAGGTATCGACAACACCCAAATCTTCCTCAACGAGGGCAAAAACGGAGATGGAGATATCCTGTTCTTGCTCTCTATCAGACGAGCCGAGAACCAGATCGTCTTCAACACCAACATCGATAACGCCTTCGGAAAGGAAGTGCGTATCTCGTTGGAGAACAGGTTCAAGGGCAAAACGCCTTCTATTCTCATTCATGACCAGGGTGATGGCTATGAGGTGTTTATCGACTGGAAGCACGCCCTTTACTTTGAGAAGCGCGCTCCAGGCAAGATCGCCCAATCCGTGTCCTACGGCGTCAACGCTGGGCAGACACCTGCATGGTCTTCTAGCTTGAAGGTGAAGGTGTACGCTTCGATGAGGGAGGTGTTCCACCATTAGAGCCTTGGTCATTCGCCATGTCGGACTTGTACAAGAAAAGAATTCTGTCTCTACCGTATTGTTATATTTTCGGAGCTTTTTCGGGTGGAAGTTAGAGAGAAGAGCTATGATGGCCTAGCCTTTTTGTAATGGCATTTATCAGCCAGGTTGTTTCATGGCGATTTTTATATATCATCTTGCTTAGATATATTAGATACGCCATTCATGTTCATTGCCGATACCCGATTCCCAAATGGTAATCAGTCATAGTGCATTGCAATACCCGAAGAAATGACGGTATGCTCGCTTTACGTACGAAATAGTCCTATAGCCCCATAGAGGTGGCACAAATGAGCTAAAGTGGACGGCAAAGCACGCGAATCCTTCCTTGTGACGAAAACGTAATTTGGACTCCGACCACTGGCTAAAACGCCGGGAAGCAGAAGTCCCGGCTTCTTTCAGCCCTTTTTTCAGTTCTTTTTTTGTCTTCTTTCTCTTCTTATTTGTTTCTTCAAATTTCTATCTTTGGTTTTTCCCTTGCAATTTTAAATTTGTCATTGCACCATTTGTCGAAAGAGGAACAGAGCCTCAACTGTCCTTGATCGATGTGAGCCCAGATTCATTCAAGTTGTAAACATCTTTCTACTGCCGTTGAGTTGGCTATGGCGATAAATGATCTCAAATCGACCATACTGAGCTGAAAGGAGGTTGGTACCTTCGGCCATTGTTACCCGCTCCTATGTATTCAATGGTCGTATATCAAAATCGTACATTAAAGCATTAAGACCGGCTCACTCGCAACAACCTTGTTTTAGTGAAATGTAAGAGACTATTGTCCCCACATCCCAAAGATAAACATTTTGGGCACTAGTCCATTTCATTTCACTAACGTATAATAGGTGCGTCTAGGCCCTGTAAGATCTAGGATCGAGTGGCCATCGGAGCCGAGGCTACACAAACAGATGTGTCCGGGCAAAGTCGCGTGCACTTACCGACACCGCGACACATCTCGATTTTATGAGAAGATGCGTTCCTGATGCTGCAAAATGGCCCCCAAAAGCGGGCAACGCATCCCGTTCTTCCCCAAGGCAGATGCTGCGATTTTGACGTCGAAGCGTGCGCCCCCGCCGACTCGTCCGGAGACCGTGGGACCCATCTTCGATCGGGAAAATGCCGATCGGCCGATCGAATCATGGCCCTCAGACGTCGAAACGAACTTTTATCCCAGGACAAAGCCTTATGCGCCCGCAACCGTCCCCGAAAGGCCACCTGGGATCGCCGGTCGATACCTGCGTGCCTTCCTACCCGAAAATGAACGACTGAGGTTGTCCATGCTGTGGTACTATACACAAGACATCCTTAAGGAGGATGAGTTTCTCTCCGGCCTTCAGGAGAAAGCGCATCTTGCCCAGGAATCCACGGGATGGGAGTTCTCCGTCATCGGCATTCTTGATGTTAATGTTTATATCCGCTTGGCTACAGTGGGGCTTGAGCTAGGCATTCTTCCGCGTGGGGAAACGATTTGCGCCCACACGGTTACTCAACCCCCTGGTGTAAGTTACGTTGTGGGTCCCGGGCCCCTTACTTATGATTTGCTGATCATATCTCATAGAGCGTGTTTCTCCTACCCAAAATGATGGAGGATTGGAGATTCCAAGAGTCGCCATACCACGAGCTCGGCGGCCTTCGCGCCTACGCTGGCGCACCACTTCGTTTGCAGAACGAGAATGGAGAATGTGTGGGCCTTGGATCCCTCTGTGTAGCCTCAGGTAAAAGTGAAGAGCCTTTGACAGCATCGCAGCAACAGTCCTTGATTCGCCTAGCCGACTGGGTCGTCTCAGATCTCGTTCAATGTACAAGAGCAAGACGCCAGAGGGCGCGACGTCAAATGTCCGAACTCCTCGTCATGGCACAGAAGGAAACAGTAGTCTCTGATGCGCCCGTCCTCGAAATATTGAAAACTGTGTACGCCGATGCTGTAATCAGACTACAACCTTCCAATTCAAGCCAAGTCGAGGTTGAAGGACGCGATCCGATACCAATCTCGGAGATTGAAGAAGGCTTATGGGAAGATAACGACTACTTTGACGACTTCATTGCAAATTCGAACCATCTTGATCCTCCATCCAATAGGGTGGTACGTATTATCTCCGCTCCATGCGAATGCATATCGGGATCATCATTACTCGTCGTGGCATCCAAGGACATCCATCTTGTGTTTGATGATGTGGACGCATGGTTTGTTCAAGCATGTGCAGGCGTAATTTCCCAGATGTGGCGCAAAAGTCTTCTGATAGAAGCAATACATGCGAAAGAGAGATTCCTACAGGGGATTTCTCATCAACTCCGGACGCCGATTCATGGCATCCTTGGCTCTGTGGAACTTCTAGCCGAGGAGCTGCAGTCGCGGAACGTCAACGAGTCCGCCTTCCCGCTATCGGCATTGACGAAGGGAGATCCGTCGATCAACTTACGTGAACCCTCGACGTACCTCAACATAATCAAGACGGCGGGTCGTGATTTGACTTCGATCGTCAACAATCTGATTACTCTGAACAGATGGGCCGACATTGCCTTGACAGAGCGGGAGTATGACCTGCATACTGTTGATGAGCTCGAGGCCGAGATTCAAAACGAAATACTTAAGCTCACCTCAGGTGACACACGCTACAAGACCTCGATTTCTTTTACTCGCCACTTGCCGCCAGGTTTTGAGAGTTTCCGAAGTGATCTCGGCGTGCTTCGGGACAGCATCGCTCCATTGATCATCAACTCGATCCAGAACACCTTGGAAGGTATTGCGACAATAGCCATTTCCATACGTCCAGACTGCAAGCAACTTGTTGTCGACGTCAAGGATAATGGTCAAGGCATCCACCCCGATAATCAGCAACGCATATTTGAACCATACGAAAAGGTCAATTTACACACGGCAGGTGCTGGATTAGGCCTCACTCTAGCATCAAAATTCGCAACACTCCTTCACGGATCTGTCGAACTAATCTCATCGGATGTTGGTCGCGGCTCACACTTTCGAGCTACATTTCGTGAGTTCCAGTTTCTTTGCTCATCTCTCTCTCAGCCACTGGTCTCAAAATTCAATAATTTACCCTCAAAGTTCTTTAATATGTCGGCTGGCTCTAGTGGCGTATTGTTGAGTAATGACTTTACGGACTTTCTTACTCGCAATTCTTTCACTTCCTCGGACACTATGGAAGACTGCCTTGTTATTCTTGATGCTGTACCCGACTCAAAAACGCACTCCCTGCATTTGTCCCAAATCCCATTGGGACAAGTTGCCATCTGCCTTGTTCCTGATTCAGAAGGAAAGGCATCCTCTGAAGACTGCGCAAATAATATCGTCTATGTCTGCGAGCCTCTTTCGACCTCGAACATGTGCTTGGCGCTGGAAAGAGCACAAAACATTGTTGTGGGGGCCAAAATTACACACCCGGGCTTGCTAAATCCTGATCAACCTTATCACACGGCTCCGGAGCACTACCATGACCTTAGTACAGACGAGGAGGGCACGTCTAATCCATCTACATCCACCTCAATCAATCCCGACTCGGAGGAGACTACATCAAAGTCCCAACCTGATGCAGCAAATCATCTGGACCTGACGTTATCCAAACTGTTATCCCTCGATCTCACAAGTTCCCCTAGGCCCACTACTCTAATAGTCGACGATAATGCTATCAATCTCCGCATTGTAGAGATGTATTGCAACAAAAGAGGATTGCTATCGTATTCCGCGACCAACGGCTGCGAAGCTGTCGACATCTTTTCCCGGTGTCAATCATTGGCTGCCGCTGGCAACGGTGCTCCGATTGGTCTAGTCTTCATGGACTTGCAAATGCCAATTTGCGATGGTATCGAAGCAACCAAGCAAATACGACTTTTGGAGCGGCAAAACCAATGGGGAAAGATTGCGTTATTCATTATGACTGGCCAGGATAGTCCATCAGATAGAGCTGCTGCGGAGGATGCTGGCGCCGATGAATACCTTGTGAAGCCTGTTGTTATCAAGCAACTGGACCGTTTTGTGAAACAATATTTTCCAGCATTTGAGGCCTCTTAGAAACCGCACACGATCTCCAGAATGAGATGCTAAGTTAAATAATTTTCTGTTGCCATAATACAGGTGGGCTCCGCCTAGATTCTTCAAAGTCTGCAGGAGCAAGGTTTTCAATTAATACTTTCTTCTATTTTAACTAGGTCCTCGGCAAGCTGAAACGCCATTGTGATACCTGCACTCTCACTGATACCCTTTAGTTGTTTGACGATCCATTTGCGAGTTTGATGGCTAATCGTAGGAGACTTTCCGACCGTATACAGGTTCCAAATTAGCATATACCCGCCCGAGACGTTTGGCTGTTGGGGTTTATCGGCATCGGGTACCATTACAAGCCCTAAGCCCTGTGGAACACTGGCCAATATCTCCTCTCCTCTTCTTGACATGATATCCGTTGCGTACTGCAGCTTTGATGTAAGATTCATCTGACGCACATCGGGAGAAAGCGGATCATCGGCAAGAACCTTGGGCATAAGCCAGCATGTAATCTCGCAAACGATGATTTCAACCATTCGCGAGTTGTTCCAAAGCCTTATTGCCCAAGATGTCTTGTATAGATTATATCGACCATTATAAGAAATGAACCCTGCGCTCCCACACGCTTCCTGGATGGTTGTGTACGATTCCTGCCTAGCAAGGATATCAAGAACATGTTCGAAGTCATCTTGAATGGCAATAGATTCCTTTAGGAAGTCAAACCAAGATTTAGAGTAATGGACGCCTTTGTTTTTCCCTGCGACCTGTGCAAAGAGAGTCGCACATCGGCTAGCAAGTACTCCGAGTAACCAGAATGCATCAGAAGGGTCAGTATACTTGGTCGCCTCTTCCTGTAGCTCATGCATGTCATCTGGAAACGGCTGAACGCTTTGTATACAGGCAGTCGTCATATCTGCGCGTACCTGATTGAACATCAAGATGGCAGGCCTACTGGCAAATTGAGATTTACCTCGGGCAATCACCAGTGTTGCAGCCCCTTTGACATGTCGAACCCACGACTCAAAGTTTGAGACATGCTCGAAAACTCCAAGCGAAATTACCGACATCAAGGTACTATCTTTGAGTGACTCCACAGGGGATGCCAATGCATTATTCACATACTTGATCGCCTCGGAGTATTTGGCACGCGCGTGACGAACAAGCTCAGGTCGACGAGCTGCTAGCGCCACGAGGCCCACAGCCGCCATACTGGCGAGGAGAGTTGGGTTCTCAGCATCGGCAGAGTAGGCAGTTGGGATATAGGTCAGATATCCACGTGAGGGGTAGCGGCCACCCGCAACAAAGTCTTGGAGAAAATAGTTTACGCCTAGCTCGTCGAGATTCAGATCCGGGCCACGGGTCGGTGTGGTCAACGTAATAATCTCGGGAGCGGCTCTATCCTTCTGTGTTCTTTTCCTAGACCGTTTGATTGTGTGGCTTGTCTGGTCACGGAAAACTAGCTCCCATTCATCACGGTATCCAGGACAAGTTTCGCCCGTGCGAATGCATTGACCACACTGGGGAACTTGCTTGTCGCACTGTGTCGTGTTAATGCTATGACCGCTAAGGTAGACTGGGGGGGACCCACTTTTCGTTTGACGATTCGGCAATTTCCGCAACTTCTCGATGTCCTTGCGCGAGATACACTGTAGGTTGACATATCGAAGCATGCGTTGACAAAGTGATCAGAGAGAATAATGAGACAATGAAGAGGAAAGGAGGCTGGTATTTGTAGAACATCCTGGATCGACCAAGCTGAAGTGAGCTGAAGACAGCTGAAGTCGACTTGGAAACAAGCTACTGCACGCAGCCCCCGTTGAATGCCTCTCCGGGCGCGAACAAGCACTCCCGCTCTTGGCGGTCTCGGGGCCACCGTGGGAATGGAGTGAAGAAATTGGAAAAGGCTAAAATGATCCCTGTTGGCCCCCACCTGCAAGGCTGCGAAGCTGCGCAGTGACGAGACACTAGCATAGGAAGATCTGCGCCTCTTTGCCTAAAGAGGCATCCCAGAAGCAGCTTGACCACAGCCACTCAAAGCTGAAAGTTGTGTACGATGATTGGCTGCCAACCCTGTACACCCACCCGTTCACGCTAGTCTTATTTGGGTAACTTAGATGCTAGTCCAGTGAACGCACGGATTTGAAGATTTGACGATGCCAACAAAACCGCAAAACTTGATCTCGATAGAAAGTAGACTATGGCTGACTGGCTTCAGATCTGGGGGCCAGTCTATCAGAAGCAACCAGTATGTGTATGAAAAAAACACATAAATGGACACAGTCGTCCATGGAGAGGGGCACACAATTCTTTCTATACTACCCACCATACTCCATTCCTTCTCACGGTTTATTTTTATTCTGCTACTCTCTATCAGCACCATGGGAGCTGTCACATACAAAGATGGAATAGCCATTCTTCAACTCATCGTTTTTCCCTTCGTCCTTGTCGCTTCCCTTTTCATCTGGAAACGAACAGGCTGGAGAGTTGGCGCCAAGATCTGGCGATATCCCTTCACCCTTTCCCTCATTCGGCTTGCTGGCAGCATTGCGACATTAATCTCGATAAATGATAATTCGGAAGATGTCCAGATTGCTATATTTGTGTGCGAGTTGATTGGCATTGCGCCTCTGTTACTGGCTTATGTCGGGATGCTGCGACTAATGTGAGTTGGTGACGGAAAAAGCTATTCACCCTGACGAATTTAGTCTAACATATGTCTATAGTGATTTGGAAAAACAAATTCCACCTCGTCCTCTCGCATTGGTGACTCTTATGGCCATTATCGGCCTCATCCTTGGTATAATCGGGGTCAGCAAATCCCATACAACCACTCCAGGGACACTCACCAAAGCAGCCATGGGTCTCTTCCTCGCTGTATACGTGATCACCATGGTCATTACTGCTTGGTTGTTCTATACATTGTCTTTGGCATTGCTGAGTTATCAGAAAAAGCTGTTCCTTGGCATTGCCTTATCTGCTCCCTTACTGTTGGTTCGGCTGATCTACTCAGCCCTAAGCGATTACACCTCATACCAGCATTTCTCAATGAAATCCTTGCTCAACAGTGACCACACCAGCGTCACTGTCTACCTGTGCATGTCTGTTCTGGAAGAGATCATCTGCATGGTCATTGCTATGGTCTTTGGCGTATCGGCTGTTCTGGCGTCGGACTTTGTGAAGCCTACTCCGGAAGTGGAAGTGGAAATGAACCGGAAGGAGCGGTCTAACGGTGTGTGAGCAGGTAACAAAATGTCATGCGACAGATTCTTCGAAGTAGGGTTTGGGTATCCCAGCATATTTCTGGTTTTTGATTATTTCATATTTTTAGCGCGCATATTCTTAGAGATGTGAAATTTACAGGAAAGGAATGTGTCAAAGAACATATTATGGGATATGGTTGTACATGTATACACCTTGCAATAGGTATGATGGTAGCCCCTGAGGATTCAATCCGCTGAATTAGATCAAATCTGAAAATGCAATCTTTAATCAATCTATATATGTACTTTCCGGGCATGAAATCGGCCTGATGTTATTTCACAATGATTTTTGCACTCAATATATAGATTGCAGGGTCATGTGACACTGGGGTGCCACCATTCAGGGCGGGTATCTGTGCCTGGATCTTTTTTTTTTCGCTCTCCATATCACATCACCACATAGCAAACTTCTATACCATATATTGAGTCCTTTCCCTCATACAGACTAGGCCCAATACTATTCTTGTCAATTGAAAGAAAATGTAACCACAAGTATTTGGCATTCGATGCTTGTTACTACTACGAGATGATCTCTGCGACCCACAATCCCCCCTTATTTCTCCTTTCTCAGCCCCTGTACAGCGTAGTCACATAGGTAATATTTACTGTACCTGCAACACCATCTTATTCATATTACGATGTATTCCTTTTCTTTGATAATAATTTGGCTTACAGGTCAAACACACCCGGAAGTGGAGCTGTCGATTCCTCATGCAGCAGGCTTTTGGAACTGGCTTGCCCGAGGGATATAATTGGCAGACTAATGTGATCGGTCCGATGAGACTGAGCAACCGCGTTCCAATAATTGTTTGATAACGCCATTTTCCAATTCTCGGATATTCCGTAGTCTCAACCCATGAATCCTGTCAAAAATCAACTAGAGGAAGTGTGACTTCCATTCTACTGTTGAAAGGTCAATTTTGTGCTCCAAAATTGGGTCGGGATTTGAGAATCAAGATTCCAGTGAACAAATAAGGCAAGTGGATCGAGCTGATAGCCTAACTGGATCCAGCCCCTTACGTCTTCCTGGAATGCCAATGCACGGACCAGTGGATCGTCTTGTTTTCTCGATTTCAAGTCCACGATCACGATTAACCTCGCTGCATCCAATGTGGTCCTCTTTCAATTATTCTTCAAAATTGATTTATATGTACCTTGGTCTCAATGAAGGTGAAGCCGTACAGTAAGGAGAAAGTACATTTTTAGCCAAGTGAGCTTGGAAGCGATCCGTAAGAGTGGATACGCCAAGAGACCTAGAAGGGAGACTATAAGATCAAACATTGACAACTGTAGCCTTGATCGGATAGTCCGGTAGCTCATGCTGCAGATCCCCTTGTGGAGACAAGCGTGATTTACTGGCCCAATGAACGCGAAACGATTATGTGTAGCCCTGGGGGCTTTTTATTGAAATTGAGTCTTGGATTCCTTAACCTCGTGGTTGTCCCGGCTTTCACTGACGTGCTGCAAAATTGATCAGCACCATTCCAGCAACCATGAAGTTAGCCGTCCTGATGTCCCTTGTGGGACTGGGCACTAGCCTCACAATTGGAGCAAATGTAAAAAACCCAATTGCTGCCGGTCGGATTTCACCAACGAAGCAATTTGAGCTGAATTTGACATGGGAATCGGGAGCTCCCGATGGGGTCGCACGGGAACAATTTCTGGTCAATGGCCAGTTCCCTGGACCTCCACTCATCATGGATGAAGGAGATAACATTGAGGTGACGGTGAATAATCTCACCCCTTTCAATACCACAGTCCACTACCACGGTATCGAGTGAGTCCTCCAGCAACCAGGATAACGAACTCATATATAATAACATGTGGATAGACAGACAGGAACGCCATGGTCAGATGGTGTACCAGGAGTCTCACAGAGACAGATTTTTCCTGGCAAGCAATTTATCTCCAAATTCACTGTCGAGCAGCATGGTGCATATTGGTTAGTCAATTATTCAATGAGTTGGAAAGAGAGTCCAAGAGGTTTTAACGAACTCCAGGTACCACTCACATACTTCTGGGCAAATAATGGACGGCCTGTATGGTCCAATCTACATTAGGTTTGTTCCCATGATACTAAGCGCGTTATTATCAATGACTGATGGTTGAATATACAGGCCACGAAGTATTCCTGGAAGCTTGGCTAATGTCATAACAAATGATACATTCGAACAGACTCGGATATATGATGCCATTCGGTCACCGAGCCTGGTGATGCTTTCCGATTGGTTTCATATGACATCAGAAGAACTCCGAGAGGTCGCAATATCTGCCGACATCGATACCTTGTAAGTGATCTCAAGTTTTATTTGGGTGATTCGGAGCTCATTGAAACTGACTTGGCGTGAAGGTGTGCAGATTCTATTCTGATCAACGGAAAAGGGCGGGTCAATTGTCGCAATCCTAAGGTTTTGACTGACATGGTCCCTGCTTCGGTGAAATCTGTTCTGCAAGGCATGGAGTATACAGTAAAAGGGTACGCCATCAATCAAGATCTGCATTTAAAGACACTCGCGCTAAAAGAAAGATAAAGGTGCCTCCCACTTGCAAATACATATGCCCAAACGACGTTCGCACATAACTTCAGCGCAGTGCCACCATCCATGTTCTATGAATGCAACGCTACTAAATCGGCGGAAGAAGTCATCGAAGTTGACTCTTCAACTGGCTGGGCAAGTCTTGCTTTTATCGGATCAACTTCTATCTCAGCCCCATTAGGTGTGTACTTTGTCGGCCTTCATAAGCAGCCAGGCTAACTATCAAAGTGTCCATCAATAATCATTCGCTATGGGTCTATGAGGTTGATGGGTCATACATAAAACCTATTAAAGTTGACGTATGCCTCCTTTCCTTTTCAAGGTCTTTGGTACCAGATTTCGGGAGATGTTTCTGACGCAAAAAGCTTTCACGTAGGCGCTAACAATCAACAATGGTGGCCGATATTCCTGCTTGATACAATTGAACAAGATCCCGGGGAATTACTCGATTACAGCCGCGAATTCAGGATTCAACCAAAAGATTGCGGGCTTCGGTACTCTGTCCTATAAGCATGGACGCTCAGTGTTGACAGAACCTTCAATCAACTACGGTGGGATCGCAACAAATTCGGAGGTTGTTTCACTAGATGAAAGCGCGATTGAAATGTTCACTCCTAGCCAGCCTAATCAGCAGCCGGATGAGACCTACATCCTCACGATTGGCCGTATCGAAAAGGCTTGGGAGTGGTCTCTCAACGGAAATCACAGCTTCGGCCTAGCTATGGAGGCCGATCGGCCTTTTCTATGGGACCCTCAGTCCGCAGCCAAGAGTCCTTTGACCATCGCTACAAAGAACGATACATGGGTCGATTTGATCTTTTCCCTGTCTGGCAATGTCTCTACGCTCCAGCCTGGTCACCCACTCCACAAGCACTCCAATCGGGTTTATGTTCTAGTAAGTGCCACAAAGATTGAACCCGACAATTGTTCAAATGTCACTGACTCTCGAAATTAAGGGTACCGGCTCTGGCACCTTCAATTGGACGTCGGTCGCCGACGCTGTGAAGGCTATTCCCGAAAATTTCAACCTGATCAATCCCCCTATGAGAGGTTCGTCGTTCCAACGCGATGAGTACCTCGATAGCTAATTTATAATCCAAGACACATTTACGACGCTTCCTGCTTATAAAGGTGAAAGCTGGATGGCAATTCGCTATCATGGTATGTGATTTTCAACTTGGCCGAAGGTCCCGGGCTAACTGGTGCTGTGACTTTAGTACAAAATCCAGGGGTATGGAAATTTGACTTCTCAACACCTACATCGGTCCACATCACTAACCAAATAGGCATTCTTGCTTCACTGTCACATCGACCCCCATCTGACGGGAGGCATGGGGTACGTGTCTGATATGTGCACGGCTATGTGATGGAGTATGCTAAGTTACTGTCCTAGGCTCGCGATGTTAGACGGTATAGATTCATGGCCTCGAATTCCGGCCGAATATGGCCCCCACGGTCAGTGGGGAAGTATAGACTGTTGAAAATCGTACATACTGTCAACGCGAGGTGCTGGTCGGATCGGAGGTCAGAAGACACAAAGGCAAAGGAACATACGAGTGAGTGATACGATTACGCGAAGAACAAGACAGACAGGACAACATGCTGTATTATGGAGTGCTGTTACAGAGAAGACAGAAGCAAGAGGGAAAAGTGCTGATATGTGTTGAAATGGCCCCTACGTTTCTGTTCTTCAGATATTGCTGAGCATGTCTTTTACCCACCCTACCTACTATATTCACCTCATGTCGCGTATATCTCTTGTTCATACCTTTGTATTGAGGTAGTTTACTTACACTACATATGCTAATTTAATTATATTTCAAGCACATACGACCATAGGGTGTGGAGAACAGGGCTTCCCGTCCGCTCAGCCGTACTTAAGCCACACGCCGGTTAGTTAGTAGTATGGTGGGTGACCACATGCGAATCCTGACTGTTGTATGTTTTTTTTGCATGTTTTTTTTGCATGTTTTTTTTGCATGTTTTTTTTGCATGTTTTTTTTGCATGTTTTTTTTGCATGTTTTTTTTGCATGTTTTTTTTGCATGTTTTTTTTGCATGTTTTTTTTGCATGTTTTTTTTGCATGTTTTTTTTGCATGTTTTTTTTGCATGTTTTTTTTGCATGTTTTTTTTGCATGTTTTTTTTGCATGTTTTTTTTGCATGTTTTTTTTGCATGTTTTTTTTGCATGTTTTTTTGCATGTTTTTTTGCATGTTTTTTTGCATGTTTCATTTTTGGTGAATGGTTTTTAAAAAAAGGTGCTAGGACTAGTTGAGAGAAATGATGAAGGGTGACCACATGGTAAGTGTAGGGTGAAATTAACTACCCTAGGTGCTCTCCCATTCACATAATAACATTCTTGGCAATTTCTTTAAACCTGAAATGCTTGTTATTACTAGTGGTTTTGAGATATAGAGATACTATCTAGATACATTACTAACTTTGGAACAATAAAAGAGTCTAGTAAGAAATGAGTATAGTGGATCAAAAGACTAGTATCTTCTGAATCTACTATATAATATAATCCTAGAGTTGAGAGCAGCTTGTTCAACAGCATGGAATACCACCATGCCCCTAAAAATGGGATGCGTATTCGCTGTTCACTATATAGTAATATTATCTTATATTAAGACTGCTAATAGGCTGCATCAGTCCTTTTCAAGATTCGCGAACGGCATGTATTGACGTATCTTGCCATGGGAAATGGCCTCGTTCATCGACTTTGGATCAAGGACTCGCCCGGAGAAGAAGGCCCTGGCACTGGCCCAGTCATCCGTCTTGTGGGCCATCTGGACCACATCCCGCGATTGCAACATGAAGTCCATGATTTTGGGCGCCTGGCGGTCGCCGAACCAGTGGTCAGAAAATCCGCTGTAATAATTGAATTTGCGGAGCCAGCTGTTGTACGAGGGGTACGGGTAGTGCAATATCATCGCCTCTTCACCCGAAGGTGTGAATGTGCGGCCAGCCTGGCCAGAGAACGAATGGGGTCCTCTTGGCTCGACGCCAGGCCTGAGGCGGACTGCACTCTTGCCATTGCCGTACGCGGTAAATTTAGCGTTTTGATCTACCCCGTTCACCCAAAAGTACACGCAGTCTCTAAACGGATCTGAGGTCTCGAAGCCGACTGGAAGCGCCTCATGATTGATGAAAGTCACGAGGCCTACCTCAGGGTCTCTAGCCCAGGCAAGTGACTCGACTAGAGGTCCATAGAGCAACTCATCCAGGTCGATATGGAGCAGCCACTTGTAGCCACGTTCCATCAGATAAGCGATTGCATGCCTCGTATTGGCCACTTGGCGCCGAATGAGGCGGCTTTCTGGCGTCATATTAGGCTCGACTTGTGACCCTTCTAAGAGCGTGATCGGCTTGCCCTCGCATAGGTGCTCGAATAACGGCCGCTCATCTGGGTCGTCCATGTATATTATTACATGCTGTACCCAGCGGAGATGATAGTCAAGCCAGGTTGGAAGCGTAGGGCCGGGGTGTAGGACCGTGGTTGTTATCGCAATGGGTATATTAGCTCGTATCGTCTCTAAATCGCCCGCCCCGTATTCTGGGGCAAGCAAATAAGAATCATTTTGGATTGATGAGTTTCCATGGCACAGGTGGGAAACAGAGACAAGACAGAGTATATTCAAAATTAGAATCCGCAAAAATGCATCGAATCGGTTGCCCATTGCATCACATACTTCAAAGGAAGGTGCGGACGTAGTTGGAGGTGTGAAGTGGGATAAGATGGCTTGTTGGTCAAGGACTGTGAAAAGAAGTCAAGGATAAGACGGCAGTAATATTACAATTATCCCTCTCCAGGATTGGCCTATTCAGCATCCACCCAATGGGTTTGTATGGTACACCTAGCAATATCGGAACAACCGGATCGCAACATCCGGGTATAAGCCCGTGGTCCGGCGGCCAGTACCTATGCCGTGCCGCATTGCAATACTAAAAATAACAACAAAAGCTCGCCATTTTTCTCACGGCACTCATACATTACGGTTGCATACACGCACGTTGAACCTTACTATGTTTTAGACGTCTACACTATTATCCTTGCATTCATATTCAATGAAGAAAAAATCATTTTGAGCTACTAGAGTAAGTATATACTACCACATACCTTTTCAGACCATTCAAATCGCACCTTGTTGTGTAGGTAACTTGAGACGATGGAATTCTATGGATACTCGTCAGGATGAAGGGAAAACGAACGGGCTGGTATTGAACATACCGGACCCCCCAGAGACAAGCTTTTTCTCGCCCCGCTCGGACTGCGCTAAGCCTACGCGGCCAAGACAAGGCCCCACCATCTTTGCTTGATTTACTGTTGAAAGAGGGAAGAAGGTCGAAATGCATCTGCCTGATGATCACAAAGCTCTCAATGACAATACTAGGCTCCACTACCTATTGAAAACCACACTTTCGTGTACACAATTGGCTATGCCCGTGCTAGTCAGTACTGTCACGACCACATTCCAACGTGTACTTCTGGTAGGACACCACAACTTACGTAATTACTGTTCCCGGTTCTGGGCAAAAGGATTTGCCAGAGCACCCCGCATACGTAGCCTAGCTTGAGTTAAGCTTTATCTCGATTGTTTCAGTCTTGTGGACCTTTATGGCCTTTGTTTTCTTTCGAATTTTGTAAAATTGATGCACGTTGAATGCGATATCCTAGCTAGCATGTACATCTTTCCATTTCATTTTCGTCACCACGCCGCGAAAATCAAGGACTGCTCTCATGCTTCATCAAGGATGTTCTCTCTCTCGCCTTCCGGCATTTCTCAAGCCTAAACTGCCCATGATTTCTGACAATGGCTCATCAACGACCAACAGATATAAACCCTGACGCTTACTATACATCTCCGCTCACTCAGTGTCGGCTTTGACGTTATCGCGAGGTTTTGCAGGAGTCTTGCAGGAGTCAGCCAACTAAGTCAGCTCTGGCACGTATCGAGGACCTTCAGACAATTCCTTATTGGTGTGATAGGAAAAGATTCCATCTAGACACTCGAGCATTCCTAACCCGTCTCTCGGCATTTAGATACAGCCCGCGACTACTTAGCAATCCATTGCTAGGATAAGTCCACTCTGTCTTGGCTCGTCCGAGTCAGATATTACTCAGGATCCTATAGCTCAACAGCTGAATGAGTTTGAAGTATGTTATTTAGACGCCGATAAACAAAAAGCCATATAAGGAGCCAACAACCTTTGGAACTCTTCTTTGCCTTCATTGTGATTCTTTCGTTCTCGATATAGACTAGTTCAATTGCTCTCATGTCTCCTCTAATACCTTATCATGTTTCTGCTGGAAGTAATCCTCTTGTCAAGTGAGCGCGTTCTACCCTTAGTTTGCTGGAGGGACTCCCTCAGCTAAACACATGTTACTCTTAGGTTCGGAGGCGCTCTTATCACAGAGTTCCTGGAGCCGCCTCCGGGTCGATGTTTTTGCTTCCGTCAAGAATACTGCCTCAAACCCCCTATGAATGAGGAAGACCCCGACTATGACAAAATCAATGAAACTTTGAATCATCCGTCCAGCCCTCCTGTTCATTTCCAACCATTTCAGAACGAGTACTTCCGCGTGGAACGCGGTCGAATGTGTGTCGAGATGGACGGCGTTCTGCGTACTCTTACACCAGAAGACGGTGAGTTAATGGGCCGCGCTGGGTCTATCCATCGCTTCTACATCGCCCCGGACAGCACCGAAGACATGATCATCATCTTGAGTGCATCTGATTCCGGTCTGGATTACCAGCTGGATTGGGTTTTCTTCGAGAACTGGTATGGCTTGTGGCATGATTACCTCGTGCACGAAGGCAAGATGGATCTTATTCAGCTGCTTTGTGTAGGTGTGCCGTTCTAACCTCTTCCTCTTCTACCTCACCTCCACCCCTTCCACTGTGTGCAAGAAAGGGTCTATAACTGAAATCATATCACTCCCGCCACAGACATATGATGCGGGAGATGCATATCTCCTACCACCCGTGCGGTTACCCAATCGCATACGAAAGTTATTGGCTACTGGGGTGGAGTCATTGTAGATCGTTGGATTGGGAGACTTCTCGGCTATAAGCCCTTCTTCAAGGAGTATACGACCGACTGGGCTTACGCTGTGCACAAGATGGAAGCTTCTTCCTTCACCCGTCAGGTAGTTGGCCGCTCGTTTACGTCGGCCATGAGCTGGGCACATCTGCAATTCTGCCATTCCCATCATTGGTCAGCTCCCTTGCAACGTCCTCGCCGTTGGAAAACTCTGCAGTTCCAACCAGGAAGTCTACTGCTGCCAGACTGGTGCTGCTGTGAGTTAGCGTCCTGGATTCAGAACTTGTGTTCTGCGAAATTCTGACAACTTTACTAGGGGGGTCTCACCAATGCCGATCTTCTCAAATGCGGCAACATATAAATCATCGATAAGGACGATTAGGTGGCAAAACACGTTAGATTGGTGTACAGCAAGTCAGGAATAGACTAGGGGCAGACTGCATCTTCTGGTAAGGATTCCTAGAAGAGGGAGTGGAATCTGCGGTAGCGAACTCCACCTAGGCTCTTTTTGACTCGATGAAAACGTCCTTGAAGACTGATCACAGCTTCATGCCATCCATGGTTTTATATCTTATGAACGGTATCATAAGCATTTAGACTGATGATTATGGGATTGCTTGTAAGGCAAGAACAAAAATGAACTGAGTCTATCCAGCTACAGAACCGAAAACACAGTGTCAGTGGGAAGAAACAAGTATTCATTATGGCGTAGCCCGATCAGCTCTTGAACCACTAGCCGAGAACTTAATGAATGGACGAGAGTGCATATAAACTTATGTGCTGCAACCAGCTGACTATATCTGCGCATACTCATGCATAGCAGGAGTAGAAAGGACTCGGGAAAGTTAGCATAGTTCCAAGATTCACTTGAGAATAAGAAAAAGAAACTCACTCAGACTCTCCCCTCCATCCGACACATTTCCAACAATCAAATATATGAGTAGGATCATATCGATTCTTTACATCCAGAAGTCTGTCATAGAAAGCACCAAAATAGGTGTATTCCCAGTCAGGCTCTAGATAGCTTGCTTCATTCAAATAAGCTCCACCACCAGGACTCAGGTTCTTCAAAGGATCAACCGTGTGCAGCATCCCATCAGCAACGATTTTCAACTCGTCATCATCAAGTGGCTCGAGCCATTCGCCAACATGGATCACATGCCATAGAGCATTCCTCCATGCTGGATTGACGGCAGATGATTCATCTGCATTTGAATTGCTGACTGGCGTCTCGGAGACAACCTGAGTGCCAGTGAGATTGAAAAGACTTCTGGCCGTTGCGATTCCCTGCAAGACACCTTCAACCAACTCATCAATGGTCTCTTGCTCAGTAAACACCTCTGTAGGTATCAACCGTGACGAGAGAAGAGAGAAGATCCCAGATGGTTCGGTGATTTTGGCATCGGCCTCCGTCACTGACAGGTAACTGGCGTAGTTGGAGTAGGAACTATACTCATTGGCGGACACGGAAAGATCCGTACGATTGGCGAGGTACTGCGCAAATTTGGCGGTGGCGGACTTCAACTTCAAGCCATTGTCGCCATAAGGCAGTACCAAGCTGATGGCAAATTTCTCAGGAAAGTACTCGATCTGGCCGGTGACAAGCTGAGCAGACCAGTCAATCTGATTCTTAGCATGTTCAGTAAGGATCTCACGGAGGGCAACATTCTTCGTCGCATTGGTGTGAGGTCCAGCATTGGTGAAGTTTGCTGTGAAGGTGTAGGTGTGGATCGGCAGTGATGGGAAAAGTTGAACACGATACTTGGTGAGGACTGCGTAAGTACCGCCTCCACCACCGCGCATGGCCCAGAAAAGGTCAGGGTCATTACATTGGTTGATAACGCGCAACTCTCCATCGGCAGTCACAACTTCGAATTCAACGGCGTTATCAGCCATAAGACCATAAGTTGTGGTAAATGAGCCGACACCTCCCCCTTGAGCAAATCCGCCCGCGACACCGACAGATTCTTCATATCCGCCCATGACATCCATCCCGTGATCATTGAAGAAGCGGTAGGCATCTCCAGCGACAACACCACCGCCAAGCTCCCCGACATTGTGGCTGTTCGAAGCGGGACAATTCTGAGCAGTGAAATTGGAGTGGAATGTGAGGCTATCAAGATTTTTCGTCCAGATTGCAAGAGTGTTTGGAACAGAAGATCTTCCGTAAAAGTCATGGCCAGTATTTTTCACACTGATGCGGATGTTGTGGGTTTTTGCAAACTTGATTGCGGCAGCAATATGCGATGGTTCTTGAACATCAATATAGTATGATGCTAGACGACCAAGAGAGCAATTTCCATAGGTGATTTCGGTTGGGTCAGATTCCAGAAGCGCACATCCAGAATTATGACAAGTTTCCCAGTTCAGCCAATAGGTCTGTCCAAAGTGCTCTCCACGAAGAATACTGTCACCATAGTAGTCCTCGACAACCTTGCAGGCGTCTGGGTCATAGTATCCTGAGTTTTTATAGCAGGAAGCGGCAATTGGAATGGTTTCAAATAGGCGGCCATCAATGCTGGTGTTGAGTTGTTTCCATTCGCTCAATGATGGCCAACACTTTTGACCTGGTCGACAGTCGTAACTGGCAGCAGTGGCCGATGCAACCAGACCAAGGGAGAGGAAGGAGATGGATAGAATGTTCCTAGCCATATTATATTAGCTCAGGATGTCCCTTGATAATATTCAATGTTCAAATTGGAGTTGACCCGATGAGTGTGATCGAAGAATATCTCCTGGCCATCATTGTCTTTATATATAAATATCTCATGACCAGCGGGCCAGGTCCAAGTCCGGATTACAGGTTCCGAAAAGCATCTTCATTCAAGCATGACGGTCATCGATCTGCGATCTACATAAGGTCAGCATTCCGTAAGGGGAAACACGTGTGAACAAGGATTCTACGTATCCACAGGAACGAAAACGTCAAACCCCTGTCAGGAATCCTTCTCGTGTATTTAACACATCCTCACCGACAATAATGTAAGTTTCACGCCAAATTTTCACTATTAGGAACTGTTAGGTCATGGACATTGTGGGGCATCGTATATGCAGAGAATCGAAACAGCTTCCTGTTATGGAATAGTGGGGCCGCATTGCTTATTCTTAGTATCGGAAGGTCCGAGCCCAACCTTTTTTGCCTATCATCTAAGGGTCTAGATAGTAGAATTTTGACGCCTCTCTTAAACAAAGTTTGCTAGTCCTTATGGACTTGAGCGTAAGCCGATGAAAATAATAAATCTCGTTCTAAATACACGGTGAGTATGCGGTTTCAAAGTTGAACCATTTTCCATTTTGGGAATACATTACATCGTACACAGCCGTCCCAGCTTCTAGTTGAGGCAATACAGACGTTGCAAGCTTTGACTAGTTGCAGCCTCAAAGTTTAGTGTCTCGAGCATTGATAAGATCGAGTATAAATCACTTTTCTCGCACCCGACAATTATAATTTTCTCTACACTTCAATCTTTCCGGAGCTTGCCTGCTTCTTTTGCTTTTGCCGTCCCTTTGAGCACCTATCACGATAATGGCTGTTACTGCTGAGCACATCGCTATTGCGGAGCTGGTAATATACATACCCGTCACTCTACTTGCAATTTTCGTCGTCTTTCGTCACGGATTTCACAAGCAGCTGGGATGGATCTATCTTTGCATCTTCGGTGTGATCCGCATTGCGGGTGCTATTATGGAAGTCCTTAGCAGCAAGCACCCCGACAATGCGAACGACAAAGAGTGGGCAGTCATTCTTCAATCGGTTGGCCTTTCGCCTCTACTTCTGTCGACATTGGGGCTTTTGAAAAGAATGTGAGTGTAACTAATGGCTTTCTTGTCTCGAATTATAAGCATTTTTTACTAATTCATAATACCTAGCTTCGATGAGACAACTCACCATATCCCATCAGACCCTAACTCCAAAAGGAACGTCGTGGTTCAGGGGCTGAGTGCCTTCCCTGGAATAATTGGTAGACTGTGAGTGCCCACATCCTTACCCGCTTCAGAACTTCAAATCTAATCCCCAAATTAGTGTGTCTATCTTCTCTAGCAGAGCAACTGCAACATCTCGCCGCAGCAAAATCGTCCAACTCCTCCACCTTCCTGCCTTAATAGCCCTGATCTTGGCCATCAGCGGCGGAACCGACCAAGCCTCTTCCAACGTCTCCGATCACGCATCAGGAAAATCGGAAACACGTGCTGCGATCATTCTCTTTCTCCTTATTTACATCGCCGCCTGCATCCTCTTCCTCATTACTATGCGCGATCTGCGGACGATGGAACCAAGTCAACAACGAATCTACATCTGCATCTTCTTTGCCTTGCCGTTGATTGCAGTCCGTTTGCTCTACAGCTTAATCAGTGACTTCGGAAGCGATCCTAAGTTTTCATTGATTGATGGGGACACGAGTGTTCAGCTGGGTATGGCGACTATCGAGGAATTTCTTGTTGTACTGATGTATACCATTCTGGGCCTGGTTACTCCTCGATCTAGCATTCATCCTGCTGTTGGAGGTGGCATTGTTCCACCACAGAGCTATTCATTGGAGGAGCCAGAGCCTTCTAACTCTGGTATGACCTATCATAATGCCGCTTATGCTGAGGCTGGAGCTCAGAGGGCGTACTCTCAGGGTCAAGTACGACAGAATTAGTACAAATAGTGATTGTGGTGGTGGTGAAGAGCGGCAGATAATCGATCTTGCGACCGGTGCAAGATTTTCAATCCTTGCATGAATCGTGGCTCTCTTTTGATTTATGGGTAGTTGGAGTTAATACTGGAAACTTTTCATGTGATAAAGTATAGAAAGCGTGCGGACAGCAGGGCAGAATTCGCTCTCGAATCTCAATCATATTCCAATTCTAAACTTCATGCTTCTAAATTCAATCTCTATTTACTTGCACCCTAAGTGTCTTAATCAATGTCCTTTGACTCCAATGCAGCCATTACTGCTTGACGTACCATCTTCCATTATCCATGCTCGGGAGCGCATTCCTCGCCGCAGGAGATGTGCCATTGCCAATGCTTGATTGATGCCCATAGAATGACCGATCTTCTCCAAGCAGTCAATAATCCACTGGCGAAGCTCCTGGCATGCCAGACCGGAGTTACCGGCAATCAATAGCGGCCACATTAGGCTGAATCCACCTGCGCCTGTTACCCTGAATGGGGTGGGACCTTCAATGTCGGTTTCTTCACTGACTTCTGTCCCCGCACCGAGATTGAAAGGAACACTGGCGCATATATCTTCCACAAGCTGGTGTGCAATAAGTCGGCTTTGACTATCCAATGCACTTTGCCGCCGACGGTCAGTGTCTTCCGAAGCGGATGCTTCAAGTGTTTTCACAGCGTCGATGATCAGTTCGTGTACCAGAATTCGTGCCGAGCGATAGTTATTCCACATGCTACTTGATGCAAGGCTCCCATAGATGTGATAAGTATCTCCCCAGACAGCTTTGGTAATGGCCTCCCCATTGATAACTGGAACCTTGACGGTTCTGTAGCTCCATGCGGCAGGGACACTGATGAAAAGCGAAGTGAGATTCGCATCGATGGTCAAGGCAGTACGGATGATCTCGCCAGGATCCGTAACACTTCCATCCTTCATTGAAGCGCAAAAATTACTCAAACGGATAACTTCGAGGCCCAGTTCATCAACAATATGGTCGTTCGAGTCTCGGTATCTCATTGCATTTTCAGACAGCTGAAATAGAAGCGGCGAGCTGTATCTTTCCTGGTAGATTTTTCCAATATGCTAAACGCACTGTTGGTTAAAAGGAGTATCAATCACGCCATCTTTCAGACTGTGGAACTCACAATTTGTGCGCGTAACTGGGTGAACAAGTCCAAACCTTCCCGCCGACCCAATTGGTCTACACCTCGGAATTCTATTAATCTCGTGGCGCCTTCCATATGTTTCATCCACCGGTCAATGAAGGAGCCATCAGAGCAAGTGAGAACCTTTGATCGGTCAGATACTCCGTTGCTCCGATCTTATCAACGTGTCAGACTTACCTCAAACATGCCCAATAAGACGACCGCAGCCAGTGTGTCATCTCGCTTAGACAAGGCGGTATTGGCCAATGCCTGATTGGTCTCTGAAAGCGCATTGGTATACTCCCGTCGGGCTTTCAACATCATTTGGGGCGATAGACGGATGTTAGATAAAGCTGCCAGTCCGACCGCATTAAGAGCGGAATTCACCGCGACATTCCCGGGGTCAGCAATCAAAGGCAGGAGATATGACATATGGCCTCCTTCGAGGCCACCAGTAATGTAGTGGGAAAAGAAATAGCCTTTTGCTAGGTCCTGCGCCGGGAACTCTAGATTATTTCTTGGCGAAAAGCTCAAAGTGCCTGATCCAGATTCTTCCACGCTGACGGGCGTTAAAGCGGCAGACCGCTTTTTCTGTGCGGAGCGTTGTGCCCGGCTGATGACCTCGTCATTTTGGTCTCGGAAGCCCAAATCCAGCCGGTTTCGATACCCGGGACAGTCAACCCTCGCCCTGATACATGCGCCGCAGGACGGTATACCTTGGTCACACTAGTGGGATAGGTTAATCCTTGCGCTTCAAGTCCAAGGGTGTTATGTGGGTCCACCTACCTTCAATCGCCTGGACCGGCAACGCTCGCACGCGCCGCTTGGTTTGCCTCGATACACCATTCCAGCAGCTGTCAAACAAAAACGGCCGATCGCCCTTATCCAAAAGAGGTTATCAGCGAGTCGTACTAGGGTAGCGAGCAGATCACCCGTTTAGCATGTGGCTGTGACGTGATGAATGGGATCAGTACAAAGGGAGAATAAAAAGTAAGGGAGTGGGGGAACAGCTTTGGGTAAGTAGTTCGACAGAGCGGGGCGAAACCAAGATCCACGGTGGCAATTGGGCATAAGGTGGTGAGCTTGTATACTCTTAGTTCAGCCCTGTCCCGATTGGGCAGGTGTTTCGATCTGACACCTCCGAGCTGGCCAATCACAACTCACTGACACTATTTTGTGGAGCACGCGGGAATGCTTCGCAACAAAAACCCTGGACACCAATTTCTACATCCGGCTAGGAGAATGTATAGCGCAACGCATATTTAAGCTCTTCTCGACCAAATTCCAGAACGGGACACTGTATACGGAACTCAAAAGCAACATGTTTCAGTTGGCTCGTTTCTTCTTTGGAACTCATGCATCCATCTGGCGATGGCCCTACCAATAAGCACCATGATGCCCATTTCAACTAGGAGCAGCAATAAATACCCTATGAATTGCTCCAACTCGTCTTTTTTCTCGTCTTCCTTCTCGTCTTCCTCCTCGTCTTCCTCCTCGTCTTCCTCCTCATCCCCCTCTCGTTTCTGAGGTAAGAAAGCCGCAGCTTCGCATTTTACACACAATGCGCGGGGCTCGTGGTAGTTGTTCTCATGGGCTGTGCATTCAACAACATGACCTTTAGTGAGACATTCATCCACAAGTCGGTGGGTGGGAGGATGAATAGGACAGAAGCACATCCTTGCATCGAGGAAAGATATTATAGAGGGGATGGTGAAACAGTATTTTTGGGTTGTATGTGTTGTAATGGGGATTAGAGGCTCTGTCTCTCTTTATAGATATATGCTGAAACTGATCTCCTGTTCAGAAACTATCTGATACACTTTGTTCGTGTATAGCTGCAACTATCTTAGAATTAAGAAAGCGCTAGGATTCCTATAATAGAATCTTAATACCTGTTGTGAAGACGGATTAGTGAGTTGCCTATCAAGGGAGTACTCTACAATGAAAATCAGAACAAAGGTTTTTCGCATCTACTGGCGCAGGAGTTAAGAATTGTCTTTCATAGACCAAGATATCCATGGATAAAGAAAGGTCTTCAAAACAATGGCATAAAGAAAATATTTAAAAGTAGTCTACCAGAGCACATGCTAAGAGTATTTATTCTATGGTTGAGACTTTGCCATTTTTTGGGAATATTCTATAGACCGATGTGACATTGAAATCAGAGCGCAATAATATGTGCCGATGTCCAGATGTTACGTATTTTTTCTGGCATAGAACCGAGTGTTTATCAGCATCATGACTGCATAATTTAATGTAGTCTGATGCGATCAAGTCGCGCTTCTCGGCGGCAATCGTTATGAAACACCTAGAAGAATGCAGTGGCATCCACATCGTTCTCGCCAAGGTTGCCCAGGTCCCAGTTGGTCTCCACGGTCTTCAACAGACTGTAGTGATTGTATGCGGTGTCGTCCGTAGTACCAACCTGCGAGCTTGAGAGCGCACCACCCAAAAGGACAGCATAGATTTGGTTTGTTCCCGTCGTCAAACCCTCATCAAAAGTCAGGATGATCAAAGTGCTATCAGTATTGAAGTTCTCATTTTCGAGCAGAGGGGTCAAAAAGTTACGAGACCAAAGTCCAGCTGTGGCGAGCGAACTATCGTGGCCGTCGTTGGCTGCAGGTCACAGTTCAATCAGTTCAAGTTCAAAAAAACGTTAGCAAGAGGAGAGAGAAGGACATACTCATGTTGGGAGTGATGAACATCCATTGAGGCAGCTCGTTGTTGTCCAGGTCTTCATAGAACATGGTGAAGTTTTTCGATTTAGCAAGACGGTCGGTATCCGACGTAACCGAGTTATAGCTCATCAAAGGGCTTGAAAAAAAGCACATTAGTGACTTTGCTCTCGCAAGGAAATTTGGTGTTGGGAGATTCACTTGTGCTTGCGCATATAATCATTTGCACCAGTCTTTTGGTTGGCATAATTTGCCTCGAAGCCAGAGTAAGGCATATGCTCCTGATACAGACTCCAGCTGACGCCAGCATCCTCCAGGAGATCAACTATTGTCTCGGTGCTCGAAGAGATATAGTGCGTATTATCGTCAGTGATCCCGAAGGTGTTGCCACCAACAGCGGCCACGTAGTTAGGCTGCGACATAATGTGAGCAAGAAGACATAAAGTAAAAGTCTTCGGTCCTGTTACCTGAGAAGGATGGGTGATGGCATAATAATTCGTGAGTGTGATGCCCAGAGACGCGAGATAGGCGAGGTTGGCTAAATTATATATCAGCAAGCTTCTGATATTCAAATCCCATGTTGCAATTCACTCACTATCCTTGATAGCCGCACTGTAATCCTCGTTCTCTAGCCAAATCTGAACAAAGCGATCAAAAGTTAAACCGGCGACACTCGATGTAGGAGATAGCGTCAGCGCGGTGGCAGCCGCCTTAGCTACGGCAGCAGTCGCAGTAGACGTATACTGTGACTGGGCATAAGCACCCGACACCAGCGCGAAGAGCGCAGTAGGTCTTGAGAAGATCATGGTACTCAAAGAGTGGCAATGGTGAAGAATGGAATGGAGGTGGAAGAAACACTTGAGTCCATGGCTACATTCCCCTGCCTATATATATCCGCCAGATCCGATGGCATCCAAACGTAGTCCCTGTTTCTTCACATCGTGTCACTATTCAACAATCCAAGAGCTAAGCGAGGTAGTATCGCAATATCAATTTATCGTGTTATAGCCTGGCAATCGAGCACGTGTAGCGGCAGAGTTCGTAGCACGAAACCACGCTAGGCACTTGCATCACACCATTCCTCAAAATAGAAGGTTAATCAGACACAAAGTATTCTGTACACAATTGCACACATTTGAAAGAATGGTGTTGTCTAAATTATTAACAATGCTATGCCAGAAGATCATCTCATTATGCTCATCGTGTAAACAGTCAGTGAGAAGTGAAACTCGGCAGTTGTTGGTACTAGCGGGGGAGTACGGGACATAGCATGGCGGGGTGTTTCTGCAACCCCGGAAGCCGTTAGCCTCGTCTTATTGCACGTCAACATCAGAACTAGCTTCCTCACATCCTTGCAAATTGTATGGCGACAAGTGCACACGTGTGCCAAGCACTTGTTTCCGATCTTCTTCACATTGCCAGGCTAACGATGTGCCGCGGGATCTTGAATATGTTGGCGATCTGCAGAACGCCCAGGCAAGTCTACGGAATATTCCAATGCATTACAAAACTTAGTATCCACGATGTGCCAATAAGAATTCATATATCACTCAGCATGTGGGTTGTTGTGCCTGACAAGTGTCTTGGTTAACCATAAAGTAATTAAGGATGCCCAACGACCTTCGTTTGAACGTTCATGAGACTGGCGGCTTGCGTTCTTCAATTATGAAAATACTTTGAAATCATAGATACGATAGTTTGTCTTGGCTTTCACTATCATGACCAATAGTGTTGGGTGGGGGTAGAGTAAAGCAAGGCTGGAAAGGCGGCCGACTCTGGCGCCAGAGCCTGCTATATCCGCAATCGATTCCATAGGTCCTCAAGTTCTACATGTAGAAGAAATTTTGTTCACAACCCATTTTGCCAGCACTCGGGCAAACAAGAAAACATAGTAAAAGTCAAAAAGAAAAAAGACACAATGTGAATGAAAACGCTGGTGGGGAATCGATACTCTGTAAGGGAGTGACGTAATAAACGTAATAAAAATGAATGTTTTCTCGGCATGGCAGTACTGTACGCACTACCCAGCATGATCTCCTAGACCTCCCACTGGGAGCCCCTCTCCATCAGCTCGAGCAATCCCTCCATGGTTCTCAGACTCCCGTGTTCGCGGCCGAGTCTGTGGAGGGATAGGTTGTGGAAACTGTAGTTCCATTGCCTGTCGTCTCTGGCGTCTTCCTGTTCGTAGAACCTGTAGGAAATTGACCCCCACCTGGGCAAGGAATATGGCCAGGAAGGCACCCACAACGAGGGTTTGTGGGATATGAGTCTGGGATGAGCTCTCTGTGCTGGTGCTTCGTTCTTCTTCGCGGTCATTTGTCGGTCGTACAATCTCTTGAAAGGGCGTTGAGCCACCGAATGATACTGAGATCGAGAATGTGAAAGGAGTGAGTGACGTAAACACATTGGGAGTCAAGGAATTGACAAATTTTGAGAGAGGGTTTAATGCCAGTGGAATAAGACAAAGCACGAGGAGAGGAACGGCTAGTCATAAGACAGAATTTATGGATGAGCGAGATGACCTGGAAGGCAAAGTTAGATGGAGCATTTGGAACAGCATGATCGATACTTACCAATCACGGGCCTCCAGCTCCCTTGCCCATCGCGCACAGATCTTCAGTCGCTCTCTGACGCTCATCGCGGACAGAATGGGGTACTTTTCTTCTTCGGCAATGGGTAGAATACTGGAGAACCACCATGGGAATCGGGCCGCATCCGTGGGAACAGGCCCGTAAGCTAACATGACGCGCGGATGAAGCCACGGGGCGCCAGTTTGGCGCTGTTTACGAATAAATTCGCGCGTCAATAGCATCAGATCTTGGGTCGACATCGAGTCCAATGGCGCTTCGACATCTAATCCGTCCGGGGAAGGATCTGGAATCGCATTTGCCGCCGTCTCCATTGCCTCGAGCCTCTCCTCTTCTGCCAGAGAGATATCATCGACGCGCTCTGTCCTAGCGATATGATATCCATCAAGCATACCGGCCTCAAGCACCTTGAATCGTGATACTCCGGTGGCAATGACTAGACTGCGCCCATCTGGCAGCAGCTCGTAGCGCTCAACCATGAGCAATGTTCCATACTGCATGAATGGGACACCACCGATTTCATCTGCCTGGGGCCGGCCCCGACGGTTATACATGACCATGCCAAACTTACCATCCCCGCTCTCAACAACTCGCCGAATCATAAGTCGATATCGAGGCTCAAATATGTGCAAGAAAGTCGGCATCGTAGGAAATGATAATGTGCAAACAAACAACGGCAACTTTTTTTCTTGATCCACCCCTAGTTCATCCTGGGCGACAGCCTCTCTCCTAGCTGCGACCTGGTCCGCGAAAAGTTCGTCAATAAGCTTTGAGAGGACCCAATTCCTAGGCTCGTTCTGCATGGATGTGGGCATCCCGAGTTTGCGGCGGCATATCGGGCAAAGATCGGAGTGATCCAGCACTCGAGCAATACATGTTCGACAGAAGGTATGACCACAGGGCAAGGTCAAAGGATCCAGTATAAGGGCGTAGCAAACCTGGCAGTCTAGTTCACACCGAAGCCTATCCCTGAATTTTTGGAAGCAAATGCGATCTTCCTCGTTATAAGCTTGCGGCAGCGAAACTCCACCAGAACCACCAGCTTCTTCATAAACAACGTCAAGGGCATCATAAGGGAAGTTACCCTCATGAGCCGCCCTATACAACCCATGAAGCCATGCGCGCTGGCCTATATGAAGGCTCTGGAGCTCTGAAATGGTTTCTGAGTGTTTTGAATCTCTCCTCCAACAAATAGCGCGGCCATTCGTATCGTGCGCATTCCGCATCTCGGCATCCTGCCTTGTCCACATCAATTCCTCTTGGAAAATCCCAACCACGAAGCAAAGCACCACATCAGTCCCACAGTCCCCAACGCAATGCTCTCCAACACAACCACCTTGACCGTCCCAGTAGCATGTAAATCCCTCTTCTCTACCCTGCGCCACTGGATACGTGATCCCAGTACGCGGTCGGACGGGTGGCAAACATTCCCGACATACAGTATTTCCACATGGTAACCGGCATGGAGTGCGCAGGGGCTTCGAGCATGAGTAGCACTGGATCAACCGTACGATAATGTGAGGGGCAACATTTTGTTCGGAGGGGTCATGTTCTTCGGAGCTGGACACATCCGAGCTCTCCACGGTCGCAATGGGTTCGGCCTCGGCTGGTTGCGGGGACGGTTCTTCAGCGTTCTCCATGACTTTTGGCCGGTGAGGATGACACGTCAGGAGAGGTCGGTATTTTTCCGGAGTCCTTGAAGCCTTCGAGGAGAGAAATCATGGAAAAGACCGGGTCCAAGCTATGAGTTGGGGGGATCTGCAATCAAAAGCGGGTCTTTATCACCTTAGATCAAGACTTGCAGCGGTGAACCCGATTATCGGAACGTGTCATGGAGGAAACTTGTTTTACAATGTAATGTTTATTTCCAAATTCCTATAATCGAGTATTTAAAGTTATTCAATTTGTGATACTAGTCACTTTCAGGGTTAGGTTACAATTTGAAGAATTGGGCTGTACGGCTACGCGATAGAAAAGCAATGCTGGAGTTACGCAAATCATGCATTTGATATCGTTTCGTGTCTCATTTCCAAAGTCAGTCCGCCGCCAGATATAATGCAGAGAGCAAAAACGAAAACAAGTAATCAGACCATGATTCAATCCTTGGCCGAGACTTTCGGTGCTTATAGATTGGAATTGTGTATGAATCACTGACGCCACGCCCCTGGGAAGAAAAGGAAATCAAAGCAAAGAGTATGGCCATGAATCCCGCCAACAAGTATGGAAAAAGCCTGTTTCTGATTTGAATATCATGAGCACTATGTGGAAGAGTCCGAATCAGACTCAGAATCTTCTTCGAGGACTATGCGTCTCATTACGCTCTTGTCGAAGAGGTCGAGGGCAAACCGTCGCGCTGGTAACCGGTAATGGTGGCTTTCGAGGATGCAAAGCGTCTTTCGGAAAAGGTGAACTTGATGAAACCGTTCAGGTTGCTTAGATTTCATACTAAATCAATCATGGTCAGTTGATAATCTCGGACAAAAAAAAAGTGATAAATTACCCGTGTAGGTCGGATGCAGATCGCTTGGATAGAACGGTATTTCCCATGTCAACAACCAGCTTCAGGATTTTTTGGTTGGTGGCGTCGGAATCGGTGGTGACCTCCTTGAGTTTGTCTTGTGGTGTGCGTTTCTTCTCGGAATTGTAACCAGGGAAAGATATCTAGGCTTGTTAGCGGTGGGGTAAGATGAAGCTAGCGCTGTACGCTTACCAAAAACAGCTTGCGGAAGTCTGTAGGAAGACAAAGACCAAGCGAATCGCCTTCTTGGTCAATGGCTGAATCCCATCCCATACCCCGAAGCACCTTAAGCCCGTGCCGACTGCGAGAGATCAGACCGAGGACGAAGAAAGCAGTTCCTCGCATTGTCAAAACTCCGGCGCTCTCGGCAATGGCCACTATGCGTTGTACAATTTCCGTTTCAAGGAATGGCGCACCAAGCTCCATTGATCCAACGTTACCAACTGCCCAGAGGCATCCTTTCACCTTGAGAAGCGCCTCGTGATCTTCCTCGTCGAGGCGGAAATCGCGAATTGTCCAAGCAAATTCATTGAAATGACCGGACTGCTCCAGTAACTTGCAACCTTCTGCGGTTCGGGCGAGTTCACGGTAGAAATGAGGCGGCACCACTCCGATATCCTGCATATCGACCAAATCCTCCGGTGCAAAGCTATTGCGACGCGGTTGATCAACGTAGGCTCGGGATAAGGCTGCCTCCACAAGACCAACGTAAGAATCATTACGACCAAGGAACCAGTCGTCCATCTCCTGTGTGATATAATCTAGGCCATCCAAATAATGGTAGCCAACCGAGGTTGACAGGAAGCGCAGGAGAAGTGGTGCTCCAATCTCTCCTAGGTGATCAAGAGACGGTCGACATTTGACCACGAATTCAAGATAGTCTCGCTGGTTGCACGCCTCTTCAAGAATCTTTACAGCAACCTGGCATACTGTGACATCGGGGTCGTATAGCTGAGTCACCAGAAGTTTGACCACCCATTCAGCATTTCCAATCGCCACGTGAGGAGAAACTGTGACATCGCCCACCGCATATTTGCGCAGAAGCCGTGTTGCAAAAATTCGGATCTCCTTTGAACCAATTGTGAGCGCTTTCGAAAGCATGACCCTGAGATGGCTTTCCTGACTATAATCCATATTTCCCAAGAGGGTCTGGATCAGGTCATTCCGATCTTGCAACTCGATGATATGATAAAACATGTTCAACATGTGCCATCGTTCCATCATGAGGAGGCCGTTCGCATCAGCGCTCAGTGTTCCTAGCATCGCAAAGTATCCGCCACTCAATGTATTTCCCATTTGCTCCCGGGAGAACAACGGGGAGGCAGAGGTCAAGCCACTCATACGATCCAACTGCGCGAGACACTCAGCAACTTGCCGCAGAAACTTGTTTTCAGCAAGATACTTAGTTCCCTCTGGGGTCTGAACGAGAGTACGCATCAAGGCGCAACCTGTTCGAACATAGCGCTGGTTTGGCTTGGTGTTTGGAACCATAGAAAATCGATACTTAAAGGGTCGGTAAAACCCAACAAGCCGTTTCATAAACTTGGAACCCTTAATGGCCTCATCCATTCGCTTGGGGTTGGTAAGAGGGCCTTCGACAAGACGATGGATGAGATCCCACTTCCACTTGATATAATTGACGGTGTTTAAGACATGAGTCTCCAAAATTGCATTGCGGAACTGAGTCTCATCCATGGAGTATGTCAGCTTATCTTTACCCTGATCAATTGGTAGCAAAGAGGCTGAAATATCAGAGTCCACATTATAGCGTCCTACTCCATTGGGCACTGCTCCAGAGCGTGCCAATGTTCGGTTGATGCTTTCGATCTGGAAGATGGTTGAAGTTGAAACATCATGATTCTCGGTGTCAAATTTGATGGCAGCAGGAAGCAGATGTGGAAGAACTTGCAAGTTTGCACTGATGGTGGCTGGTAGTGAATGATGAGCCAGCTTGAGAACTTCAGTTAGGAGGAGCGTAGCTTTGCGTCTAAGTGAAGGATCTGTTTCATCCTCAATCAGATCAGAGAGAGCCTAAAATCAATTAGCATCGTGTAAACCTTATACACTTCAGGCAAATTTCCTACCTTCGGTAAGCCTGCAGCAACCAAGGCTGCCAGGATGAGAGTAGAAAAGTGTGCCGTCAGGTCAAACTTGTTGGCAGTGCTATCTGCAAAGCCGCGCGGATGCTTGAGATCGGTATCAGAGCGTAGGTTTGACACTCGACCATAAGTGGTGAGTCTCCTACCCGCAAGGAAAGAAGATGACCAGGATGGAGGCTTTATTCGCAGGGCGTCGAATAGTAACTCCATGATGAGGTCGCGAGCTTGGGAGTCAGGATACTGAAGAGACTCAAGGAGAGACCGCAATGGTCTGGCTTGGTGTCTTGCAAGGATCACTAGACCAGGCCATGTTTTGAGCATTGCGGAGATTGCTCGGGCGGCAGACTTTAACCGGCCATTTCGCAAAGAATCAGCTAAGGAGTCGGTGAAAGGTGCCAGGACGGCTTCTAGTTCGCAGCCTTGCAGATACTTTCGGCTGCGTGGGGTATCAAGGACATGCAAGAAACTTGAGATCAAACTCTCGGAAGCACCAAATGTGCCTTCGGACAAAGCATCATGTAGAGCAGCAAATCCGCCTGCGGAGGCCACGAGTTCAGGATCTTTGACCAACATCTCCGCCAATGTCATGATCGATATGTTCCGTAAACGATCATCATGATGCTCTGCAATGGAGACGATGGTTCTCACGATGGCGCGGGATATTTCCTTGACTCCGTCTTTCACATCGAGAAAAGCTCTCACAAATTTCAAAGCTTGTTCCCTTTCGATACTGGCTTTACTTTCCTTGACTAATGACAATATCACCAGTTCGTCTGTGTGCAGTGCTCGGATAGTCTGGAGTGATTTTCGGTCTGCGATGGCGTAACGAGTCAACCGGTAGCCAGCAGCCACCACTTCTTTGCTGTCACCAAGAAGCATGACTTGGACACGTAGCCCGAAAACGGACCACGCGAGATCATATTTGAGTGTGGGATATCGTTTGAACAGCTCGACTAAGCTGTTCGCGCGCTCAACATAGAAATCAGGTGACATTCCCTCAATCTCAAGGGCCTGGAGAGTTTCCGTAAGAACGTATGTCGGAGACTCTATTTCCCCTTCGTCATCTTGTTGTCCATCTTCATCAAAGGGTCCAGGAGTGGGGTTGTGATTGCGGGTTGGTGAACGCATAGGACTCCCTCTAAAAAGGCTCGAGAGACGACTGCGCGGGGGAGTGCTGGACGGCGCCTGCGCGCGTAACAGCTCCTCTTCCAGCTCATTTTGTAACTCCGCCAATTTGCGGTTGGATGAGCTCAATTCTGACTCCACCCGTAGCCGCTGTTCCTTGGTCTGTTTGGGAGGCTTTGCGTACAGCGCTTCCAGCATGTTCTCCGTCCCAGTCTTAATTTTCATCTCCTTCGCAATCTTATCTCGAATAATAGCCTGGCGCTCCTCTGTTGTGGGTAAATCGTCTTCGCCGATCGATCGGCTGGCTCGTCTCGTATACGTGCCATCGGGGCGGGGGGTCACGCTGCGGGAATTCATGCTCTTGAGCTCCGCACTGAAGCTGCCTGGCCCGCCAAAGGAAGGGGCCAGTGATGCTCCACGAGGAGCTGTCGAAATGCTGCCTCCAGATCCCGACCTTCCATTGCGCACTGATCGGGCAGCTCCATCGGTATAACTTCCATCCACTGAACCGCCATCTTGGCTGAATGACGAGCGACCATCACCCAAGACGCGGTGCTGGGTCGACGCGGAGAACGCTGAAGTGTGTCCGGAAGCCATAAAGCTCCATCTAGCCACAGAGGCAGTTTATCACCTGTGGCAAATGTCCCGAGTGTCGAAGGGCTGCATTGGTGTGCGGGTTGAGAGGTCGAGTCGCGGCGCAAGGGTTCGGGGTTATGGGGAAGCGAAATCGTAAGGGAGGGGGAGGGCCTCCGCACAGTCACGGGTTATAGTCCTGATGATCACAGAGCACCTGCATTTGCCATAACCATGAACTGTAAAAAAAGTAAAGATCACGCTTCAAGCCGACGATCACTTCTAGGACTCCATTGTCCCACTGGGGTCGGTTCAGCCTGATCACGAAACACATGGATGACTAAGGCTTTATCACCTCTGACCACAGCATCGAACACTGCATTGAGGGCAGATGAGATGATCACATTAGTTAGGCCAAATCATGGCGATCTTTCTAAAACCATTTAAATGTTCCATCCTCTCACAATTTCATTTGGTTAAATTCGGAACATAGGCTACACAAGCTCTTCATCGTGACCTTCAGATGCCAAAGCGGTTCTTGTATACATATATCCATATTCAAGGACACCCCACAGACAACAAACATTTCATCATCGGGTACATTTCCGAGTAACCATCAACGTTTAATCATAAGGGAGATGACATACATATATATTTCAACTCAAAAGTATCAGATGAATATTACATTCTAACCCTGGAACGTTGCATCTCCTGATACATACTGTATATACTGAGCCTTAGTCATATCCATGGATTGTCTCACTCATTCTTTATCATACAGTAAATACTTGACACCTAGGTGGAGGCCCTGATGGTAGCTAGCTTTCCTGTAGAACATTCATTTTGCCCTATCATACAAATGTGCACCAAGATTACTTTCTTAATCAACTATACCCGATCCTACACTTCCTAATGTCAAAATTAAGGTTTGTTCGTGGTCTTCTCCAGAATCGTCTTCATCATCTCGTTTCCAAGGGTGGCCGCCTCAGGGAAACGTGGAGCAAAGTAGTCGGCGATGCGCTCGAAGCGGTCGCGGTAGCTCTCAAAGTCCCCAAAGGAGACACAGTCGGACCAAGCCTGGCAAGAATCAATTCATTAGTACATGGGCTCCCGAAATACCACAACGATGGCCATGACTTACCCGTGCAGCAAATGTAAACTCTAGGTCATCCGAGCGGAAAGTGGTATCATCAATAGCGGTGTCCAATGCCTCCTCCAGAAGTTCGGCGTTGCGAAACAAATATTCAGTCACACCCAACCAGAGACGGAAAAGCTATAAGATTGTTAACGCTGGTTTTCAAAGCTAGACCAAGAGCTGTTTGTCACATACCGGTGTGGAGCAGATCATATGATCATAGGGCACGATGCCAAGTTTCGACCAGCAGTCCACAATGGCAAGCAGACTTAAGTGACTGTTGGGTGGTGACTTCTCCCGAGATCGGTTGGACAGAGAGAATCGATCCAGCACTTCATCTTTTAACAAGAGATCTTGTCCTTCTGTACCCTCCCGGAACACATATGCACCGGCGGCCTTGACCCGACGCTTGAGTTCTTCTCGGTGTCCCCCAATCATCAACTTGTATAGATCCGTCACCGACTCGGAATACTGTCGAATTTGCTGTTTAGCAGCCGGATTGAGGATGGCAAGACCAGCATAGACGTGCCATTTGTTCGAATAAATGCGCAGAGTGATGTTGATCTTCACGTTCTCAATACCACCAACCCACCGGGACATCTCCCAGGGGAATTGTTCGTTGGCCTGCCATGCGGTGCCCATGCTCAGGAAAGCCGCGTGCGTAACGGCCTGGGTGTCGGCTGTGATTCGATCATGCATCTCACCAGTAAGATACACATGTTTGGACCCGAATGAGGAGAGAATTTCTTCGACGAATTGGACGCTTTCGTCAGACGCACGGTGTTGAATGATAACCTAATTCGTGCGATGTTAGTGCCGGCCCGGTCTCTGTTGAGATTAGGTTCAGGAAAGGCCTACCAGAGGCTGTCCTTTGGTATTGACTTTGGGTCCGTGCAACGAATGGCAGGAGACGATCTCTACATCCGCCGGTAGGTGCTTTTCAAATGCAGCAAGTTCCGGAGCCTTGCAGGACGTCTGGCCACCGACGATGGCACCTTGCTTGGTAGCTTTATTATTCCACGAGTCAGACAAATACTGGTCTTTGGGCTGGCTTGGGTCAGATGGGTCCGAAACATACATGGCCCGTACTGTGCGACGACACGGTCGATTACACCGGCTTCTACACTGTACAGAATAAAATCGCTAATTCTGGAAACCAGATGGCCATTGGGGAAGATGGTGACTCTTTGCTATATACGATGAGTGTCTGAGCGGGATGACCCCGGCGGGAGACGTACTTGAGAGGCAAATTCTTGTTGTAAGGATTCATAATTCTCAGTTCTATCACAGGCGTTTATCCTTTGCAAATGAAATAAATGGTTAGTAACTGATATCTTCTGGTATCGTCGTGCTTCGCAATAAGATATGATCATATATCAAGCATGTAGACCTATCAGATGCACTGATTAGCATATGTTCCCGAAAGCAACGGTATGAGTGATGAAACATAGACAAGTTCGATAAGTTCAAAGAACTTTCAGACAAGAAAATTTAAGGTAGCGAGATATTTACATCATCGACAGCCCGGCGTACACCACCGACCAAAATGGCTAGGCAGCAACCACCGGACCATACTCGAGCCAAATGCACTCAAGTCATCATTCGAATGGGGGAGGGAAGCAAAGAACAAGAAGGAAAGCTTACCTGATAAGAAAAATGTGTATGGAGGTCGAGAGAACACAAAACAAGGCTGTATTTACCTCCATCCCGCATCACTCAGGCGTTGGGCATACATCTTGCCCATATCGCCCATACCGATGATGCCGATTGAGGCATCTTCCTTGGTGCGTCCCATCCTGGTAATGACTCACACCAGCAACCTCTCCTGGGTATACTGCGTGTCTCACTGTCGATCACGTCGCGAAATATTAGTAAACTGGCTCAAGTTCTCTTAACAATCCAAGATACCGATGTTCCACGGTATCTGCGGAGCTTGGAAGGTGAATTGTAATAATAAGGGAACGTTGGTCGAGGACGCTGGAAGAAAATTTAAATAGACGTGCAGAGCTAAGCCCTCACCGCCTTTCGGGCCGAATGCCACCCGTGTTCACCGGTACCATCTTAGTCAGCATCTCGCTTGCCCACTGGTGCCAACGAGCCAATCAGAATCAAGTTGAAGCCGAGGGCACACATCCACTTTTTTTTCATCCATTTCCTCTTCTTCCTTCTTCAGTTCCGTATTCCATCCACGCCAACTCCATCCAACAGTCGCAATGGCCCCTACCAAGAAGGCTCCCGCCGCCAAGGAGAACGTCTCCCTCGGCCCCCTCGCCGGTGATGGTATGTCGAAATCTTCAATTTTTGATTGTGATCATGACTCTGACAAGCGCATACAGGCAAGCTCGTTTTCGGCGTTGCCCGCATCTTCGCCTCTTTCAACGACACCTTCGTTCACGTCACCGATCTTTCGTACGTTTTCTTCCCACAAACTCTTTTTTGAAACCCGACGCCAAGTTCATTCAATTCGGTGGAATTGCGCATAGCGGGGAAATAAAACATCTTGCAAAATTTCAACTGGCTAACATTATCTCTACAGCGGCCGTGAAACCATCACCCGTGTTACTGGTGGTATGAAGGTCAAGGCTGACCGTGACGAGTCCTCCCCCTACGCTGCCATGCTGGCTGCTCAGGACGTCGCTGTCCGCTGCAAGGAGCTCGGCATCAACGCCCTCCACATCAAGATCCGTGCCACTGGTGGTAACGGCACCAAGACCCCCGGTCCCGGTGCTCAGTCCGCTCTCCGCGCTCTTGCCCGTGCTGGTATGCGCATTGGCCGTATCGAGGACGTCACCCCTACTCCCTCCGACTCTACTCGTCGCAAGGGTGGTCGCCGTGGTCGTCGTCTGTAGACGCGTGCAGGTGCGTCTCATCCTTCCTACTACGTCTCTACTGCGTGGTTGGCTTGGTGGCTACCGGCGGGGTCTACTCGCAACTGTGGATGGAATAAACGCGAAGAACGGCCCTTATTGCCTGGTCTTCAATTTTTTTCATACCCTGAAAAGAAAACTTTGTCCTCAGTTTTAGCTATTATGTTTGGATATCTTTACATCAATTGACTATTTCTGAGTAATCTGAATCCTCGTCGTAGCCTTTTATACTCGTAAGTGATGTAGTTCAATTGCCAGTCGTGCGCATATAACAGTATTGCCCATGGTCAAAGCCGCTGGTACCATGCGGGGGGCTTATCGCGGGGCTGATAAAAAAAAAGTATTCAACTGGCGCGATTCGCGAAGCTTTCAAATCAACTCTTCCCGACGCCAAACCCCCTTCTCTCTCCTGGATAACTTTACATGTCTCGTCATAATTCCTACCTAAGAAAACAAACTCTCTCTTCCCGGAACCGCGTCCGATCCTCCCGTCTCCGTCATTTTACCGACCTCACCACATAAACCCTCCTCACGTCATTGCAGAGCAGCTTGCGCGACTTCGTATAACCAGAACCACATATCAAACATGTCTTTACCGGTTCAGCCATCGCCGACAATTCTCCTTCCCCAGCTCCCTCCTAAGACCCTGGTCGGCATTGACCTTATAACCTTCACCTCCACCGCCAAATTCCACGGAATCAGAGACCTCCCAAGCGGATGGCACTTCCTCTACACCGGCACGACGGAAAGTTTTTCCTTACGCTCCGGAGCATGGTTCTACATTGGCGATATCAACACCATCGGATACAGACACAATGAATCCGCGCTCGTACCACATAAGGCAAAGAATGACCGGAACAACGGATCGGAGATCTACATCTGGAAATGGAGCACCGACACCGAGTCCCTCACTTCATTAAAAGATGACAGTGACGCCGACTGCCAAGAAGCTATGCGCCACAAAGCCAATTTAGGCGCGATCTGGCAGAGTGGAGGCTTGTTCCGGTATCGAAGCCGCGTGTCCAAGTCTATGGTCACCAATGCAGAGGCAGCAAAAGATGGAGAGCCAGCACAGCTAGAATATGACGAGGAAAGCGAGGAAAGCGGTCGCAAGGACTGGCGGCGTCTTACAGATCGGATATCCCCCGATATATTGACGCGAATGATTGGCAACCCGAATTACGACGTTGATGGGCACCCAAGATGGATGGTTACTTCTGCCAGTACGGCAAACCGCGATGCCGATCATATCCCTGGGCTTGATCCGCAGAAGGTGGGAGCAGATGGCGTCCCGGAAACTATGGGAGAACAGGAACGGGAGTTTGGGTTTCTTCCTATTGACCTGAAACATACCTGGCGAGAGGGTGCTATTGGGCGCGAAAGAACCGAGGCAGCCCAGGACCGGTCTTGGGCATTGGGAGATCTAATGGATCGATTCTCTAGGTATAAACATCCCGTTACAGGGGAAATAGTATCCGATCAGGAACTGGGAGAGGCGCATGTGCTCGGAGAGTTACAATTCACCTTCTTAATGGTGTTAACCATGATGAACTACTCCTGTTTGCAACAGTGGAAGCGATTGCTTGAGCTTGTCTTGACATCTCGTGCGGCTATTGTGGACAAAGAAGGTTTCATGAGCGAATTTGTGGCTTTGCTGCTGCGGCAACTGAAACGATGTGACGATGTTGAGGGTGGATTGTTTGAGATGGATGGGGATGATGGCGGTGCGTTCCTTCGAGATTTGCTAAAGAAATTCCGTCGGTTCGTCTATCAAGCCGTCGAAGAGGACAAAGCATCTTTGGTTAAGAAGGAACTTACGAAGTTGGAGAGTTGGGTGAAGGAAGAGTATGACTGGGAGTTAACACACGAGACCATTGTCAAGCGTGGCATGATCCAACTGGAGGATGGCGAAGAAGTCGAAATAGACATGGATGACAATGACGAGGACGAAGAAACTGGCGAGTACGCACCTATGATCGTCGATTCAGAGGAAGCCACTCTCTAGGATTTATTCTTCCTTGGGCCTAAAGTCCTTGGATCCACCTCCATCTAATGAAGTTTATGTCTCGATGCCAAATAACAAATTATTTCCAAATTCCAAATACTTGGGAAGTGAAATCTAGGTCTACGGATTGTATCATATATTACTCGTTTTTGCGAGTGTAGTGTAATTATATTCATAGAGACGAAGTCCCTAGATTCTATTGCCTGTAACGTCTAGTCCATCAAGCATGTCGGAGCAGCGTCTACCCCCAACTCGAAATCAAATGCGGTCTTCAACGCAAGGTGGATTCGTTCCAGCAATGCAACTTTCTATTTCTCCTCTTGCTCAACAGTATAGGCCCAGTCATGCTCTTCCTTGCCGTACATGATAGCCTCCAGCCACGACTTAATTTGCGCAGCGTAGCCCGCAGCCTCACCATTAGGTCCCAAAGTACTGATATCAGTATCGATATTGCGGATCATGGCAACGGGAGTGATGAAGTACTATATTCGTCGTCAGCATTGAAATTCCACCAATTTCCAAGATCCAGGACAGAAACTTACAGCAGTACCCGAAACAAACGACTCAACAATGCGACCCTCAGCCGCAGCCTTCTCAATCTCCCCAATGGTCAAAGTCCGCTCCACGACCTGCAATGGCTCCAAAGGTCCAACCGCCTGCTTCGACAGCTTCTCAGAAACCAAGTCCAAGACACTGCGCCGGGTAATACCAGGCAGAATCAACTGGTTCTCCAATGGAGCAGTCACAAGCTCCAATTTGCCCGTATCGGCATTATGCCAGATAATAAAGAAGTTACTAGCACCGGCCTCGGTGACCTGTCGGTCTTCACCGAACAGCCAAAGGATCTGGTCGAAGCCCAGCGCCTGTGCCTGTCCATGCGCCTGTAGCGAGGGACCGTAGTTGGCGCCGAGCTTGGCATATCCGAAACCGCCGGGCCAGGCACGGATAGTCTCGGGGTTCGAAGCGTACAGTCTCAATCCCTTCGAAGGCTCTTTCTGGCCTTCCTTCTTCATCTTGGTGAAATCGGGCCAGGGGACAGCGATAATGAACAGGAGGGCTTCCTTGGGGACTTGAACGCCGAGGTGAGCGCCGCTGCCAATCATAGTAGGACGAATGTAGAGGAATGAGCCGGGACGCTCCTTGGGTAGCCAGCCTGTGGATTATTAGTTTTCTTTGGTGATGTGAGTCAAAGTGATAAAGAGACATACGTGAGCCATCAATTTGCATGAGCTTGCCAACCAGCTTCTTGAGCTCGTCGTACTTGAAGCTGGGTAGTGAAGATCGCTGCGCACTGGAGTTCAGACGCTCGCCGTTGAGATCAGGACGGAATAGACGCAGCTTGCCGTCGTATCCCCGGTACACCTTCATACCCTCGAAACATTCTGTGGCATAGTGGAGGCATGAAGCTGTCGGTGGGATGCTAAGGTTCTGGTAAGGCTTCACCTCGGGGGTCTCCCAACCATTGGCTGCTGTCCACCGCACGGTGACCATATGGTCAGTACAGTATGAGTGGCTTAGTTCCTCTGGGGAGCCAGGGAGAGGGACATCCCGCAGGTTGGTGGACCGGGTGATGTTGAAGGTGGAGCCGTCGAGCTCGGCCACGTTTTGAGCGATGGAACCCATGGTGAATGGATGAATGGATTCGTAAGTTATCTAAGGATTGACTGAATGAAGTTGTGTGATGGATCCCTCCAGTCAATGGGCAGGAGATTGCAATTTTGGTTGAGTATGAGTCACTCGTGATTGGCTCTTGGAATGACGTGGGAAGTAAGGGCCTAGTTCACCACTAATCGATAAGATTTATTTATAGGATTCAAATGTCATGAACAGACGGAATTGAGGGAATGACTCCCTTATTATATCTTAATCTGCGGTTTGCCCCGGACTTGGTTTGAACGGAGCCGGGCCGAAGAAATTTCTTCGCCGACGGGAAGAATTTTGCCATCGGATCGGACCAATTGACAAGACTTTGAAAATTCGTCTTAATTGACAAATATAGACCCGTGCATATTACATTAGATCATGAATTCCAAATATAGTGGCAATATATATGCAGTACTGGAGGGGGAATGGTGCGCCCTGTGAATGACATTCTGATAGTTCGCCCTTATCAACGGGCCCACTTAGTTAGCGCTTTACCGATGATAGCCGTCTGGGAATGCCAAAGGGAGATATTAATAAGGTTTTCCAGAGGAGCATGTTGAACTCGGACAATATGATTGACATACAAGGAAGATCACAAGATTGGCGGTTTGCGTTGTATATGGTGATTAGTGGCTATGTGTGCATCCGTAATGGTTCACTTTAGCGATAGCTCAGTGCAAAGTGGTGTGATATCATACGTCCAACCACTACACAGGGTTGTACAGAAAGAGTATCAGCATGAACTACTACTAGATCAGAAACGCTGATCTCTACATTGAGTTCACCTTTAGGTAAACCAGTATGCATGTCGCTAAAAGAGGCAAGTCTATGGCAAAATCCTTGATCGTAAAGGAGCTCACTAGTTGAACCCCACGAAATAGGTTGAACACCACATCATTTCTATATCTGGTATGGCGCAGTAATTGTAATTCAGAAAAAAAATTGTGTTCAGCATCAAAGGAAATCACATCATCTCGCTTAATTCCCGTCAATATACGAGACAAACTTTCGTTAGAGTCATAATATAGGTAGGACAAGGTGGCTTAGTGGGTATCACTCTTTAATCACCTGAATATTCCAGCGTATTCTATAGAGTAGCGTATATAAGTATGTACCTTGGTATGTACTCAATAATACTACTCTCTGAATCTTGAATACTGTGCTACTTTGAGTGCGGTTAGTGAGGGTTTTGAGGTAAATTTGTGGTGTTCAATTAAAAAGCTCCATCGTAAAGATAACCATGGACAAGGGTAGACACTACTAGGTCACATGCTACGAGGCCCATTAACTGAGAGAATTGTCAAAGCTGCTTTCTGTTATTGATATGCTCGCCTCTCGCGCTCCTTAGACTTCCATGCATCTCTCCTTCTATGATATTGCCCGGTATGGATATTTTCGGTCGACCATTCTCTCTGCGCTGTTCATGCTGCCTTCCATGGCTCTGAAAACTTCTCCAAGATCAAACCGATGCGTTTTTCTTGACATGATGTTGGACTATGATATACATCCAACAAACATCGTGTGCGAAGCCAGGGACAGAATCGATGAATTCGCGGTCAAGGCAAATGAAAACGTTGTTTAGCTTTCCTCCCAGCGACTGATGCATGATGTTCCTCAGAAGAGTAACTTGAAGGTCTTTGTAGGCAGCTCGTGGGGACCACAATTCTAGGATAAGCAATTTCAATCTCCAGGTGGTATCGCACGCTGCTAGTGCGAAGCTGAATTCCCTCTTGGCGTATTGCTTCAGTTCATCGATCATAAAATAATCAGCCTCCGCATACACCCTAGCATGAAAATAGCTTACTGGACAAGTAGTCAACGAAGGCCAACTGCTAGTCCATGTTTCGGCATTCAGATTGACATCCTCTTTCCTTTCCGGAACAACATCCTCCAGGACGGGAGAGTCCGCCATTATAAGCATTGGCCGCTTTTGTGGCATATCATCAGAGTTATCTGTAGATTTCCTTTTTCTCAATTCAAACAGGCTGGCGCCTGGAGAATTCGCGTTGGCTGGGGCACATACATCGAGGGCGACACCATCGACGGTGTATTTACCCTTGTAGATGAACTCCAGCACAACATGAAGGAGGATGGCATCCTTGTCTCCCAAGTTGAACTTTCCACAGGCTTCCTAGAATCAACTTCCTTATTAGCAAAGGTCTCCCTGGGATGTATTCTGAAGAGACGTGCCTTGGAATCACTGCCACAGGCTTTCTTAAACCAGTCCGATCGGGAGCAGACAATTGCCTTGTGAGCTGGAAAGTTTCGATCACCACAGACAATTTCTATATCACTGTAGTTCGTGCTGAGGAAGAGTCTGATTGTATTTCGTCAGTAGTGAACAATAAGTAAGAGGTAGAGTGTGGAGCTTACCCATCCATCAGACCGCCCAGAGGGTTCATATTATTTGGAGGCGGAGTTGGAAAAGTAGGGGCAGCCGGGGTAGCCAGCTTCGCCACTGAAGCCGATCGCGAAGATGAAGCCATGAAGGTGTTTAGACAGGGTCAAATTTCTAAAGAGTTGAAGTATTGAAGCCGATAGACGAAAGAAAGAGGGAGGAAAGAACGAGGTGAGTGACTGCCAGGGATGATGAGAAACACGGTCAAGGTAAAATGAAATGCTTCGTACGTCAGGTAAAGGTTGAAGAAGTTGAGGAAAAGGTTTTCAGTTGAACAAAGTGAAAAAGAGTAAACAACGAATTAAACTGATGGCCTCTGGACTCAGGTGTAAGGACGTTGCTCAAATTGAAACAATTCCACTCATTCGACATCAGTAGAAAACTTCTTATTCTTCTTTAAAAACACAGGTTTTGCCGAGTTTTGTGCTGGAATTCACTCTGCGAAAGGAATCTCTCTGAGTGACTGGTGTGTCTACGTACTTCTTCTCCAAGGTTGACCAATATTCCATCAAAAGTTGAAAGCAAATTACTTCCTCGTGCGCACATTATCAGGTTCAAGCAATCTGGACTTAGAATAGCAACTAAGAGCTGAGTTCATGTATGAGGCTCCATGGCGAAGTCGGCTTTGTAAAGTGATGCATCAAGCTAGGCATCTACTTCAACGGGCTTTTCATGTGAAAAAGACATGTATCAAGCAGTCCTGGTGTGAAATTGTGTGTCTATTTCCCCTGGACATTGGTATAACTCCGGCAGTGTTATGGAATTCGAATATCCATAGATACAGTATTTAGTACGGGTGGGTCAGTAGAGATCTGACCTAGCGTGATAGCGATCTAAGATCGAGGATGTAAGTGTGAACTTTCTTGGGCACGTACTATATCCCTAACCCGGAATCTACAATGTTTCTTTGTTAATAAGACTCATGAAGCCCATGAATGGCCTATGGAATTCAGCCTTTTCCTAAGGTACTTTATTTGTATGCCGAGATAAATTGGCAGGTGATGACCTGCTATCTTGGTGCACTATGACCCGTCGCTCTTAGGCCTCCCCTTAAGCTACATCCTTCGAGTACCAATATAAACCCGCAGATGATGACTGCGCCATCTTGGCGCACTATGGCCCGTCCCGGCTCTAGGCCTTTCCTCTACCTACATCCTTTGAGTGCCGAAATAAGCCGGCAGATGATGACCTGCTATCCTAGCACAATATGACACGTCCCAGCTCTTAGACCTTCCCTTAAGCTAAATCGTTTGAGTGCCGAAATACACCGGCATATCATGACATTCTATCTTGGCACACTTTGACCCGCCCCAGCTCTTAGCTGCCACGCGTCAGTTAAATGATATGCACATGAATCATGAATGACCGATCAAATGACAGGGAGGCTTGGAAAGATTGCCCAAATCGATCTCATACAGCTTATCTACGGAAACCAACACGTAAACACGCATCAAAAGCCCCCAGCAAACCCCTCTCAACAAATACAAAATGACAAATCTAAAGGTTGAGACTCGGCCGTGAAAACCCGAAACTTCGACGAAGCCATGAATATCCCACCTTCGACCGCAAAACATGCCATGCATGACTAGCCCAGCCAGCGCGGCATTTACATCCGCCCCAACCAAAGCCCCCAGATTCCACCAACCAGAGCATCGGACTCGGCCACCTCATCTACACCACAACGGAAGAGAATGCCGTGTTTGCAGGAGTTATCTGCTTACAGGAAAACACAAGGGGTCGCCTAGGGGCTCTAGTGGCGTTTCCTAATTAATAGATGTGCCGGTGCAGGAGGAGCTAGGCAGGCAGTATTGTCCCGACTGAATGGTAACCCAAGTATAAACCATTGTCTATGGGCAGAGATGACCCGAAAAACAAAGGTACTTTATGCGGCGTGGTCTTTTATTTTCCACTTTTTATATTATTGTAATTCATTCTAATTTATATTGATCCAATTGACCTGTAAGGAAGGACCCGATGCTTTGGGTACCATGACGATGGTCTCGTTTCAAGACGTATTGACCGGGAGAGCTGCACGAAGAGTGAGGGTCTGACGCAGCCCCTGTCGTTGGGATTAAGTTCCCCGCTCAGACAATTTCTCGCATTTGCTGATTGAAGGGAAGGCATTGGTCATCGTAGTATGGAAGGCGGGAAGTGGGTGAGAAAAAAACAATGAAAACCCAAAAAGAATGTATGAAAAAAAAGAATAAAAAAAAAAGTTTTAATCAGATTAAAAATAAAATCCATTGAGCATAAGACCCAGAGAGATTCGGGATTTAACCTGGGTTTCAAAGTACCAGCGAACCAAGCTTGGGGCCGTGCAGAGTGGGGAAGTGTGACAACCTTTTTTGCGGTCCACTTGCATGAAGCCGTGACATCAAGCTCGTATATGGTTTTTTGGATCTGCAAGGTGACAGCGCAAGCTGGATTGGGTCGTGTTCGTGTCTACGTTTTGTCAAATTTGGAGTCATGTAACCATGCATCATGCTGCTATATGGGGCGGCAATTTTTCGTTTCTCATTCCTCGTTCCTACATTCCCTTGTCGGATGTAAGCGCTATGGGCCCAATTTTGTGAGAAGGTCGTGATACGGAGTCCATGGCCCGTGTTGGGTGGAAATTGAGAAGCAGTGAGATGAGCGGCTATGCGCAGCTATGCTATGCCATGTATAGGCAAGGCAAACTATGCAGGGATCTAATTCGCTTGTATTCAAATCCGCGGATGCAATGATTTGGAAGAAACAATCAATAGATGATGGGATTAGACCAGGATCGAGCTGAATATAGAAAGAGCCTCGATGCAGATTTGGGGAGCTAGAAAAGGAGGTCAAAAGGGGCACATAAACCACTCCGCTGGGATCATCCCTTGCCCTAGGTCATGTGAGATCATACCCAGTGAATACTCTAGCAGCACCCGGGTGAAGGAATAAGACAAATCAGTCTGGGAAAAGAAACAAGAAAAAAAAAATTTGAAAACAGGCATTCTCCAGCGAGTCGGCTAGTGTGGGTTAGTGCATCGCAGAGCAAGTGCCAAGGGAGGAGGTGCCGGTAATTCCAACCCGATTGGCCGGCTATCACCCGGCCAATTAAAAACACCGGAAAAGAATTGACTGGCATCTGGGGAGGCTGGATCTGAAAAAAGTATACCACAGAAAAAAAGTAAAGTTAAAAAGTGATCCATAGCAGAGCTTTGAGCCGTTGGGCGGAAAGATGAGATCGTCCCGGTTGTTCACTGATTACAACATGATCTCAATGATCTACGTGGGCGTCGCCACCAGACCAGCCGCTTGTAGCTCGAAGCTACTGGCAGAGCATCATAGAAATTAAGGCTCACGTTCTCTTCCCCGCCCTGTACTTAGACTATACCGGTTATATGTATCACGCCTTATCGTGAGCGTTCATCCATCGAGCGAGAAACTTATTTTCTTCCCCCCACCTGCTGTTACGTACCTGCTGGCAACATTCCTGATCAAATAGGTGACATCGAGATGTTCCTGTTTGTGACATCGCAAAGATGTTCCAGTGTCGGCCATTATAGCAATCCAGGTACATGATGTACATGGCGCATATTCTCAGCCGAAGTGGGCCCGATGTACGGAGTAAAAGTGGAAAATTCGTTGCGCATTCACCGACGCGGTAGTCTTTCCCATCCCATCACGAAGGCGCTGCTGGGCCAAATCGGTGGCACCAAGTGGAGTAATACATCAATAGACTATCGGAGTTTCTTCCTTTGAATCAGGCCACGTGCTGTATTGGTGGACATGGGCACACTGGTAAAAGTCTTACCACCTGGACTCTTCGTAAAAACAAAAGAATAATGGGGGCAAAAAAGTTCGGGGGCAAAGACCGAACACACCAATTTCTGGGAGTATAGCCCGCCTGTCTTTGAACACTCATATTGTCCCAGCTCGTATCATGGAGAGAGCTCAAAAGTCCTGCGATTGGACGGGAGCGGAATGATCATCGTTCGGGCGCAGTCTCCCGAGGCGTTTCTCTTCGCCCTCGTGGTAATGTATAATGATGAATGCATATTAGCGTTCTTTGTTTCCCAAAAATCCACCGATGTGATTGGCTGGCGTTTTTCTTTCCTTTTCCTGTCGCTTGGGTCCGATGGCAAGCCCTTGTTTTGAGCCGGTAATATGACTGTTTCCTCCTTCGGCCATAGCGGTTACGATCGAGCGCGCATCGGTTCCTTCGCAAATCTCCCAGTGAACAAGATTCCGGTCTAGGCTCGTTTTGATGGAGACACTACACCACCCCTTGTCTGGTATGCGCGAATGTTGACAGGTCTATGGATTCTCTCTCCAATCACTGTTCTGTTTTCAATCTTGGGCCACTGAGCCACCGGGGACCCAGTTGTGTGACAGCCGCAAACCCCGGTATGTTTGTGCCAGAGATATTCCCTCCCCCCCCACCCCCCCTTCAATTGGACTTGTGCTTTGTCATCTGCAGATTGAATCTATCATTTGCGTGGAAGCCTTTGCTCTCCCACGTTTCAATCTTTTGACAACACAAAAAGGCAAGCAGACTGTGACATCCCCGTGTGGAATGCCCCCTTGAGCCCCGTCCGCATATAAATGGAATTGTGGATGTTTTGAATCAGTGTTGGGCCATATACCGAAAGGCTGGTGATGTAATGAGACTATAAGGGTGGGTAATATACCTCTTCTTCCCTTATGATGTATGATGCGAGCGGCTAACCCCTCGTTTATAGCTTGCATCGCTAAGACAGACCGAATGGCGGTAGATTCCCAGTCAGCTCGGCAGGACCAGATGGCTCAAAACTTGGGTCATTTTTTGGCGCAGAAAATGAGCCACCACAACGCTTTGAGATCTTTCGCTCCACTGGCGCCTGGGCCTCCACGCGTGGTCGCACCACAGTCATCGATGGCCGTGAGTAAGCCTAAAAAGAATTCTACGGCATGCCTGGCATGTAAGGCAGCCAAGAGAAAGGTAGGTTTCTGGACTCTGGAGATCTGAAGAGACCGCATCGCAATCTAACGACCATCTTCTTTTCGCATTTAGTGCTCTGGACCTCCTTCGCCATGCAAAGCTTGTGTCAGTGCTGGTGCCGAAAACGATTGTCATTTCGACCCAAGCAAAGACCTGAGGCGCAGAGTCGCCGTAAATCGAACGATTCAGGAATTGACAGATCATAAAGATCTGCTCGAATCAGTGTTGTCAACATTGCGTTCGGCAGATATGGATAAGGTGAATGAACTGGTGGTGTTGGTGAGGAGCAATGGCTCTTTAAATGAGATCGCCCATGCAGTTGGAAGTCCAGTCACGCGATTCACAGATTCGAAAGCTTTATCCGCGGCGACTCTATCATTGTCAGAGGCCATGGATCAACAATTGAATTCGGGAATCATAGCGCAGCTCCAACCAAGGAGGAATTCAGACTTTGAGTCGGCCACCAGTTCTTCAGAGCAAGACAAGCCGAAGTTCTCACCGCAAACTGCATTTGATCCATATGCACGAGTAACCTTGGAGAACCTCTGTGATGTCCCCTTGTTGCAAGTCCCCGCCAAGCCGTGGACAGAAATTACTGATGACAATGATCTTGTATCGCATCTTGTTTCGCTGTATTTCACATGGGATCACCCATGTGTCCAATTTTTGGATCAAAGGATATTTCTTGAACATATGAGACGAGGAGTGCTTGACTCCGAGTTTTGCTCTCCGTTGCTGGTTAACAGCATTTTGTCCATGGCCAGTGTATGACCCCCTTCCCCCAGTTTTTGCGATTGTAAAAAGCTTGTTCCATGTTTCTGACTCAACAGACTTACTCTGATCGTGCGGGCGTGTTCTCCGATCCTGAAGACACATTCTCACGTGGTCAAAATTTTCTCTCAGAGGCAGAGAGGCTGTTTCGGGCTGAAGAAGGAGCACCGCGTTTAACAACTGTCCAGGCTCTTCTATTGATGTGTCATGTGTATGTGAATCACTGCATGCCTTTGCAATTTGATGGTCTGGAAAGCGGAGGCTGAAATTTTTGAACAGGCTGTCATGTCAGGGTAAAGCCAATCTGAGTTGGCAGACACTGGCACTTGCAATCCAGATGGGACGAGATCTGGGATTGTTTGGGCAACGAAATGGTCGAAAACTTGAAGAAGTTCAGTCGCAAGAAAGATTAGAGGTCCACAACATTACAGCGTGGAGTATATTCAGCTTGAATCTGTGAGTGGTTCTCTGGCGACTGCAGGACACAATCTTGCTAACCGATAACCAGACAATTGTCCACGAGGCTCCAGAGGGATCATAGCTTAGTGCAACCTGTAATGGGTCTTGAAGTTGGAGGGGACAATGACTGTGACTGGAGCCCATATCCGCGGTCAAACCAGGTCACTTTTGCGGCCCTGCCAGCGTGTCTTCCTCAAATCCGAAGGGGGCTCTCTAGTCTGACCCAGATCCAGATTCACATACATGGTATTATGAATGAGGAGCACATGTTTGGAGATTTTCCTGTTCTCCTCGGTAAAGCCGAGGGCCCGTATAACCGTTTGCAGGAATGGCTGGCTACTTGGCCAGATACCTCGAAATTCGGAAAAGAACCAATCCCACAACTCCTGATTCTCCGGTAAGTGGCCCTTCAACCTCGCGGGTACCTCAGTTGATTTCTCGTGCTGACGTGTTCACAGTCTCCAATGCCTTCAAGCAGTCACGAACCTTCTTGAACTTCTGATTGAACATGATTCACAAAAGTCCGTAGCACGTCAATTGCGGCAACAATGGCGCGAATACATGGATGAAATTAGCCGATGTCTTCGTCTCTACCGCACGTCATATGGACTCCGGCATATCCCCAGCCAGTTAGTCGCAGTGGTCCAATCGGGGCTTCACGCCCTTTTGTATCGGCTAGAAGAAGCTGTCGAAGCAAGAGATGTATTCGTCGAGCTCTCTCGCCTTGCAATCAGCCTGAGCCAGAGGTTCAAGCCAATTGCAAACTCCATCAGCACTATTATCTCGTTGTCTCAACGTGGGACTGCGAACCTCCCCCATGAGGCCATTGCGATCCTGCATGGCTTCGAAAATTGAGGAAATGGAATCCAAAACCAAGACATGAAAATCAACAAGGTCACCTGCCGATGATTTGAAAAAACAGTCCGTGGTACTTGTGATGTTGGCACGTATCCCTGCAATGCAAACCCATATTTGACCGTGACTTTAAGTGGAATCGGTCTTGAAATAGCAAGACATGTGAGAATGAAAGCGGGTGATTGAATGATTATTGGAGGGCTCGTTTCGTCGCCGTGACCGGGGGCCTCGGAGGGCGTTTTGTTTTGGTCTTTTGGTTGGGAGATCTGGAAGGAAAAGATTCAGATACACATCCTCATCCCCATCCAAAAAACACCTTATGACGCATTTCCTCAAAGCCGAGGGAAAGACCCTGAAGGGAGGTAGGGATTAGGAGAGATGGCTCAGGCAGGCATGCGTCCTTGAAGAGATAAAGAAAAGGCGAATCTGTCCCCCCCCCCCCCACATCCGGAATACTTTTCCGGTGCAATAAGGGCCACTTTGGGAACACAACCTACCGGGGTCTACGTAACACCAACGCCAACCTCAGTTTACTCTGGAAGGAAATTACTTGGTGGATTGGTTCCGGGCGCTTTTCTATCCCCCTTCCTGCACCTTTCATACGCTCAGGAAACTAATGGTTGAAGCCCTTCAGAAACTGGTGATTTACCAACCAGGTGACTTGCAATTCTCGGTCACTTAAATAATGAAATGTGTATGCGTATGATATTAGGTGAAATTTTGTCAATATCCCATTCAATGTAGGCGATACTGCCCCTATGGCCAGTGGGTATCTCGATATATTCAGGTTGGTGATAACCTGTTTTAGGTTTCCATCTCCTTCCAAGGTTCACCACCGAACATCAAACCAGAATATCCAATTACCTAGGCCTGGTTTATGTTGGTACAATGAATGATCCTGGGTACAAATCATGTTGTCTCTGGCTATGAAGTGGACAAAGATCATATTTCAGGTGTAGTAGCCTGAAGTAGCAGGTATCTTTTTCATCTATGTTACTGTGTACCCCTGCTCTTATTCCCACATTGAACTGGTCACGGATTAGGAACCAGAAGACGGAAATTAGTCAGTGGCTGTAAATTTGAGGCAACTATGTAACTTGCACTGTAGAAACAGCTTGTGATGTGAGGGTTGGTTAGCCTCACAGGTATGCATCCTCACTGCGAATTCGTCAGACAGCGTCCGATTGAATCAACTTTGAAGATCGAGCTTTCTCAAAGCTATTATCCTGTGCGTACGCCCTCGACATCCTGCTAAACATTGCTTGTGTACCTGTAGCTAGGCATACATAATTGTACAAAGCTGAGTCATCCACTATTTTTATGCCCAGATAAGATAAGCACAAACACCGAAGCGAAAACCCTCAAAATTCAACTTCTAGTGGTAAATCCCACACGCCGACGACGGACGTGCACCCCCACCACTCAACCCTTCCTTCCGCCCTTTGCCGTCATCTCGGCATCTCGAATTAGAGAAATCATCCTCTTCTCTCTTTTTCCTCCTCTACACCTCGCAATCCCTTGCCTCCCGCCACTCCCACAATGTCGTACGAAGACCGCGCCAATGCGCGCCCCAACCTCAACGATGAGTCTGATGTTGAGGAGGAGACTATGGCCAACGACTACCGTGAGCAGGTCAACTTCGATGATAGCATGAGCGAGCTGGACCGGACAACTTCTCTTGGTGGTTCACAAACTCAGGACATTCAGGCACAGCTGGCCGCCGCTGCTACCCCGCTGGAATACCAGGCGACTCTGGAGACCAAGTTCGCTAGCTACGATAACTACTGCAGTCTCTTCCACTATATTCTGAACTCGGAAGGTCCTGTGGATCTGGAGGTTCCCTCGGTAGGTGTTTTAGATGATTCTTCAACCCGATCTCAAACAAAGAAGATGAAGCTTGGCAAAGTCATTTTGTGAAGGAGGATTGTGGACAGCAGGCTAATAATCTCCCTAACGTATAGTACTACTGGGCTTGGGATGTCATTGACGAGTTCATTTACCAATTCGAGTCGTTCTGCCGCTACCGCAACCGGATCGCTCGCACGGGATCCAACGAGGAGGAGGCTCAGGTGCTCCGCGAGAACCCCAACACATGGGGCTGCTACTCAGTCCTCAACGTTCTCTACTCGCTCATTCAGCGCTCCCAGATTAACGAGCAGCTAGCCGCCATCAAGCGGGGTGAGGACCCCCTTGCCGTTGCCGGCGAGTACGGCTCCCGCCCTCTTTACAAGATGCTGGGTTACTTCTCCATCGTTGGTCTGTTGCGTGTGCACTGCCTGCTTGGTGACTTCAGCCTTGCCCTGAAGACCCTCGATGACATCGAGATGAACAAGAAGGCCATGTTCGCCCGGGTGATGGCCGCCCACTTCACCACGTACTACTACGTCGGTTTCTCCTACATGATGATGCGCCGTTACGCCGACGCCATCCGCATGTTCAGCCACATCCTGGTCTACGTCTCCCGGACCAAGAACTTCCAGAAGGGCGGTAACAACTACGACGCCATCGCCAAGAAGAACGACCAGATGCTCGCTCTGATTGCCATCTGCGTGGCTCTGCACCCCACCCGTCTGGATGACACTATCCACTCCGCCGTCCGTGAGAAGTACGGTGAGCAGTTCCACCGCATGCAGCGTGGCGGCCCCGAGGCCTTGCCCGTCTTCGAGGAGCTCTTCCGCTCCTCCTGCCCCAAGTTCATCAGCCCCACCCCTCCTGACTTCGAGAACCCTGCCTACAACGTCGACCCCGTCGATCACCACACCGCCATCTTCATGGATGAGGTTAAGAACACCCTGTTCAACCCCACCATCCGCTCATACTTGAAGCTTTACACCACTATGGACCTGAAGAAGCTGGCTGGTTTCCTTGAGGTGCAGCCCGAGCAGCTCCGCTCTTGGTTGCTGGTGAACAAGCAGCGCAGCCGCCAGATCCGCTGGGTCGAGGGTAGCTTGCTTGAGGGCGACTCTGCCATCTCCAACGACCTCGACTACGCTCTCGAGGACGACCTGATCCACGTCAGCGAGACCAAGGCTGGTCGCCGCCTGGTTGACTGGTACCTGCGCAACCTTGCCCGTGTTTACTAAGCGCCCGCCCAATACACACATCATGTTCCATTCCCGATGTGTCACTCCGCTGGTATTCTGACAGGTTGTCAAAAAAGAAAAGTGAAGAATGGACTTTTACATGCAAGAAAGAACGGACATGACTCGAGATGATTTTTTCTTTCATATTATTATCCCGCTCCCCCTTGTTTTCCTCCCCCCATTTTCCATATTGCCCCCATCGCCCTGCTTCCTATACGCTTTTTACCTTTTTTTTACATTTTCATATTTTTGTGAATCTTTTTGTGTTTCCCTGGTCCTTTGGTTTTACGGAGTCCGTATGGATTCAAAACCACGTCAGGCTTCTGCGATGGCTTGGGAGGGCGTACGATTTCTCACATTTGCCCCGGTTTGCTTTTTTTCTTTGGTCCCGGGCGATATAGTCCCCGAGGCAAGTGTCAGGTGTGAGGTAGAAGAAAAAAGACTTGATGAAATGCATAGATGCAATGATTCTACTTGGTTTCCAACACGTCGCCGTAGTGTACAGCCGTAGTGATTTGATGATTAATACGGGGCCATATAGCTAGATTATGGGAGTCAACAGTCTCAAGGGAAAGAAGAGGGGTATAAAATGCAAATTAGTCTATCTAACCGCCGCGCAAATGCCATATCTGAACACGCAAAAGCGAAAGAAAAAAAAGTAGTATGAATGTAATACAAATATCGAAGTTTTCCAATGCTCATGTCTTGATCAATCAATTGACTCAATCCATCACATCAAAGCTTGTTCCACAGCCACAATTACTGGTTGCTCGTGGGTTATCCACAATCGTGAACTGGCTTCCAATCAACTCGGTCGTATAGTCGACTGTACTGCCAGACAAAAGTTCCAGTGAAGGTTCGTCCATAACGACCTTGGCTTCTCCAGCGGCGTTCGCGGGTACACCCTCAGCCTCCTCACCTTCAAAAACAGTGTCCTCCTCGGCGTCAATCTTGGACGCTGACTCGAGCGACATCATGTACTGGAAACCATGACAGCCCCCACTGGTGACCGTGATGCGAAGGTGGTGGTAGGGGTTTTCTTCTTTAGTGGCTGAGGGAGAGGAGGATGGATCAGTGATATCGCGAAGGCGCTGAGGTAAAGTTAGTTTATGTAACGATTAAAAAGAAGAAATGAGAAAAAAATAAAAAAATTATCAAAACAGAAAGCAAAAACCAAAGAAAAAAAAAAAAAAAAAAACATACAACAGTCAGGATTCGCATGTGGTCACCCACCATACTACTAACTAACCGGCGTGTGGCTTAAGTACGGCTGAGCGGACGGGAAGCCCTGTTCTCCACACCCTATGGTCGTATGTACAAGGATGAACATCAAACTGGCTTAAGCCGAGCTCCGACTTTCCTTGTACTCACAACCAACAGGGATAGAGCAGCTTCCTATCCCCTCAAAACAACAAAGCAAGAACCGAATGAGATTGGTGTAAACCTACCTCTACAGCACGAGGTGAGATATTAATCATGAGTGTCTCTCCATCATCTCCGGCCCTTGGGTTCTGAGTAACCTTGGTGGCCGGCCGAACGGACGAAGATGAGAACGAGGCACCAGGCGCACGCAAGCGAGAGCAGGAGATCAAAGGTTGCAGAACGGAGGGTCTAGATAGGGATGCAGAGGCGACAACTGTTTTCCGGCGAGGGACGATTTCGCCGACGGAGAATGCGGAGAGGCGTGTAGCGGGCCGAGAGGTTGAAAGAAATCGACGGCACGGTTGCTGGGATAACCGGCGAGCGGGTGTGGATAAACACAGAGATCGAGCCATATTGGAGAGATATAATGTGAGTCGTTCCTCAGTCAGGTTGAAAGGCCAAAAAGGTGGAAGTTTAGTTATGATTTAATCGCATCGTTCCATCTGATTATCGGGTTTGTCAGATCGGCAGTGGCGCGATTGGTCAGCGTGAGCGGAGGAATGTGGCAGAATTGTTTATTTGTGAGCCAATCGCGGGGTGCATATGCTTCTGCCTTCAAGCTGCTATGGCGTCGGAGGTGGACTATACTAACTACCTAGTAGGTGGTATAATGCATCCATGAACCCATAGGCAAAATTAGACCGAGAAGCCCTGGAGATGCATCGAATTGATGTTCTAGATCGAACACCAGATACTTACAGTATCTAAAGGCATTAGAAGACTTTTACATGCCCCGTTGTGACCGGTGTGACCCGAGATATATATTCCCCGTGAACATTTTCAGTCAATAGGTGCCCTCGTCTTATCCAACCCGGATTATCTCATTCAAACCAGCTAGGACGAGAGAGTAATCAATTTTTTTTTGAGGTAATGACAGACTTATAAGCATATAATGTGGGCTGGAGAAGAGAAAAATCAAAATGAACGAAAGAGTGAACACTGAAAGGGATGAAGGTATGAAAGAGATTTCCAGCTCCTTCACAATCCTTTCAATCACCAACGACACGTTTGGATAGCGTAGAGCAATAGAAATTGAGACTCCCTAGAGGTCTGGGAAGAGTCCTTGTCTTAGTTTCCCTGGGGTTGGGTATGTCAAATTTAGGGCTGCTCATTCCAGTTTCACTGAACCCGAGCTGGGTATCCAGCCGGGACCTGCTCATTCCAGTTGCCCTGGCCCTGTGGAGGGGGTAAACCTGGGGTCGCGCATTCCAATTTGCCTGAGGTTTTCTGAGGCTGCTGGGGCTGGGCTTGCTTGGGCTTCTCGCCCACCTTTCCAGCGTTGAAAATGGGACTCACAGGGTTGGGCTGTCTAATCTGTCTAGCGTTGCCTTGGTCTGGAGTACTTGCGACCGGCGTTCCAACACATTCGACCCCAGTCTTCGTACGACTACAACACCTTCCATCAGATTCAATGGGACAGTATTGGAAATTCAAGCAGTGCCCACTAATTGCGGCACAGCACTTGCCGTTGAAGGTCTGGCCAGTTAGGCACTCTGGCTTCGTTACTAAAACACCGTCCTCGCTAGGCCTCATAGATAGTTCTTTGTGGGCAAGCAGGTGGGTTCGATGCAATACATTTCTCACCGTCGACCTTAACGCCCCGGTTGACACAGAGGCCCGCTGGCGAAAAAGCAGCTATCGCCCCCAAGGTAGGTTCCCGAGGGGCAAATAGCTTCTCACCAACACAAGCTTTAAATAGCTTACACGTATTCAAATTCCAAATTCCAGACTTCTTAAGCCAAAATACACGCTAGCATAAAATGTAGATAAAAAGGCTCCTTAATTACCTACACATTCTAGGGTAGTCTAATAAGTAGTGTGACCGAGTCGGTACGGGGGTATGTACTCGATAATAACACTACTCTGAGTCTCGAGTACTGCGCCTTCTCTACGCTAGTATAGTGTTCAACTAATATTGGGGTGTTCCAGAATACATGCCCTCTATAGCTCTTATATGCCGAATCGGGAAGGTGGTGGAAGAGCGGGAATTGATGGCAGAATATTTAATCAGCCAAATGAATCGCGGGGTGCTTCCTTCTCTAGCTTATGATTTATTGCTTCCTATCCTTGCCATTTTTAGCAGATCAAACAAAGGAGAATCCGAGGCCCCCGCCGTACTCACACGGTCATATCCTACACCATGGGTTCGCGGCAGCATCTCCGTGAGATGACATCAGGTCCCCCACTTCCATACCAGGATGATATCAGAGCCTACAAGAGAGAATATGCCGAGGCTCTCGATGCCCAGGATCCTCTTCATAAATTCCGGGAGGAATTCATCGTTCCCTCAAAGAAGGACCTAAAACGAACCACTCTAGCAGTTGATGGAGGTAGGTAATTTGATAATGACTCAGCATACCTGCCGTGGATATTGACCTTTCTACATAGATGTCAACGAAGCTGCAGACCCCCGATGTATCTACTTCTGCGGCAACTCGCTTGGTGTTCAACCTCAAAGCACCCGGAGGTACATCGAACATTATTTAAGAACCTGGGCTATAAAGGGCGTGACGGGACATTTTGTCGCGCACGAGGACGAACTAATTCCTCCATTTGTTGATGTCGATACTGCGGCGTCAAAATTGATGGCTCCGGTGGTAGGGGCTTTGCAGAGTGAGGTAGCAGTCATGGGTACCCTGACTGCCAATCTTCACCTTCTAATGGCAAGCTTCTACCGTCCCACTCAGGAAAAGTATAAGATCATCTTGGAAGGCAAGGCGTTTCCTAGTGACCATGTACGTTGCCTAGTCTCAATGGTCTTCTGTGCTTATCTAGGTCTGAAATCTAACTTCTATCATAGTACGCGATTGAGTCGCAAATCTTGCACCACAATTTTAACCCGAAGGATGCCATGGTTTTGATTGAACCCAAGGATCTTGATCACCCCACTTTGACAACAGAGCAGATCCTTCAGGTGATTAATGAAAACGCCTCCAATACTGCGCTGGTCCTGCTCTCTGCAGTTCAATTCTACACCGGCCAATACTTTGATATCGAGCGCATCACAGCGCATGCCCATTCAAAGGGCATGTTAGTCGGCTGGGACTGTGCCCATGCCGCTGGAAATGTGGATCTTCGCTTGCATGACTGGAATGTGGATTTTGCAGCGTGGTGTACCTACAAGTACATGAACAGTGGACCTGGCGGAATGGCGGGGCTTTTTGTTCATGAACGCCACGGCTATGTGGATGAACAGCAGAACGGCGAGGAGGGATACCGTCCCCGATTTTCAGGCTGGTGGGGTCACGATAGCAAGACCCGCTTCAAGATGGTGAACAGTATGTTATACCCCAGAAGGATGTGGCTGGAGATACGTGAATGCTGATATAAATAGAATTTCTTCCCCAGCCTGGGGCTGCAGGCTTTCAACTATCAAACCCCTCGGTGCTGGATATTAATGCCGTCATTGCGTCCCTTGAAATCTTCAACCGCACGACGATGAAGGAAATTCGACAAAAGTCATTGAGCCTCACAGGTTATCTCGAACATCTACTACTCAAGTATCCACTCGATTCTGCGCCCGAAGACAAGCCCTTTACCCTCATTACGCCGTCGAATCCAGCCGAAAGAGGTGCTCAGCTCAGCTTGCGGCTCCAGCCTGGCCTGCTAGACCATGTTCTCCATCACCTGGAAGAGAATGGGGTCGTTGTCGACGAGAGAAAACCCGACGTGGTTCGGGTGGCACCTGCACCATTGTACAATACCTATGCAGAGGTGTGGGACTTTTGTCAAATCTTTTTACAGGCGTGCCGAGAGGCTATCAAGGCACGGCAATGATGCCCGAGAATCGAGATGTACATGTACGAATCTGTGAGTATGTATGTATTTAACGTGAGCTGAGGAACTTGAGTCCCTTGAGAACGGGCAATATTAGCAACTTGAATATACCAGTGATTTTGCTCCGACCACAAAAGAGCGATTGAGCAATTGCAGAAAGGTAGATACTTAAGATAGCTGTTTTCGGTCGCACGGACGTAAGGGTCCGGAGTTAAGCCGAGACTGATAAGCGCTCTTAAAAGCTTCGGTTACTCGGCACTTGGAACACCACAATTGGTTGGATTTTTTGAAGTCAGGGTCTACTACTCTCGTGCAGGTTAGTCATGCCAGCATAAACAGGGTTTCGTTTGTCGATTCCATCGTTATTTCCCTGCGATATCTACTTCCTCCTTAAGGTCTCGTGGACATGGAAAAATCTACTACGATTGACCTAGAAACCTCTCAAAACCATGGAGATAACACCGATGTCGGCACTGTCGACTACTCCGTCTTTACACATAACCAGAAGCGCTTTATCGTGTTTATAGCCTCTTGGGCGGGGTTTTTCTCCCCAGTCTCTTCACAGATCTACTTTCCAGCTTTGAATACTCTAGCAAAGGATCTTCATGTGTCTAATTCACTAATCAATCTCACTTTAACGAGTTATATGGTTTGTCTATCCAAGAATTCCCAAAAATTCTTAGTCTCGGCGATGAAGCTAACATGCCGAGCACAGATTTTCCAAGGCCTATCACCGATGTTCATCGGAGATTTTGCCGATAAGGCCGGTAGACGACCAGCTTACATTCTATGCTTTACAATCTACATTGCTGCCAATATTGGCTTGGCCCTGCAGAATAATTATGCTGCTTTGTTTGTCCTTCGGTGTTTACAGAGTGCAGGAAGTAGCACCACTATTGCTCTGTCCTCTGGCGTCGTTTCTGATGTCGCTACTGTGGCTGAGCGAGGCTCATATATGGGCTTCGTCACCGCAGGTTCACTATTAGGCCCATCAGTTGGCCCTGTTATCGGCGGTCTATTAGCTCAGTATCTCGGATGGAGAGCGATCTTTTGGTTCCTCACCATTTTCGCAGGTGCTTTCCTTGTCCCATTCCTAATCTTCTTCCCCGAGACTGCTCGCGGCATTGTCGGTGATGGGTCTATACCGCCGCAGAAGTGGAATATGTCTCTGATCAGCTACCTCAAGACCCGCAAAGCCAGGGCAGAAGGAATCGAGTCTCCAGCCGGTTCGAAAAAGCAGAAGCTAAGCTTTCCGAATCCCTTCAAAACGCTCGCCATCGTGTTCCAAAAAGACACTAGCATCATTCTCCTCTCCAATGCGATTCTGTTTGCCGGATTTTACGATGTCAGCGCCACTATTCCCTCGATCTACAAAGATCTTTACGGGCTGGACGATCTCCAAATTGGCCTGTGCTACATTCCTTTTGGCCTCGGGGCTACCATTGCATCTATCCTAAACGGCAAATTTTTGGACTTCAACTATCGCCGGCTGGCAAAGCAACTGAACTTTCCACTGGTCAAGAACCGCACCGTAGACCTGCGAAGTTTCCCCATCGAAAAGGCGCGCCTTCAGATTGCATTCCCTCTGCTAACGATTGGAAGCATGAGTATCGTGGCCTTTGGATGGTGCTTGAATTATGGTGTCCATCTCGCTGCACCGACCACCATTCTATTCGTCATGGGACTTTCTCTAACGGGCTCTTTCAATACTGTCAGCACCCTCCTAGTGGATCTGTATCCGACACAGGCTGCAAAGGCGACTGCCGCCAATAACTTTGTCCGATGTTTGCTCGGAGCTGGTGCCACGGCTGTCGTTGATCTCATGTTGTCATCCATGGGCCGTGGCTGGTGCTTTACCTTTGTTGCCCTTGTGATGCTATGTACATCACCGTTACTTCTTATCGTGATTTGGCAAGGACCGAAATGGCGCGAGGAGCGTCGTTTGAAAGAACATTCCAAGAAGCTGGACAGTCCGCCGCATGAGACATCGGAGAATGTCAAATCCGGCTGAGCCTTGACGCTCATATTATTGCATTATCGCACATATTCAGCGCCACTACGTTTGAACCATTTGCATATAATCATATGAATACCCTCTTTGCAGTTTTCAGTCCATAATGTACACCTTATTAAAGGGCCTGAATCATAATCAAGTCAAATTTCTGATGCCAATTTGCCATATCCTGCAAGCGCTCTATAAAAATGCGAGTATCACCTAAAAGCAAAATAAGCCTGCTCCAAAGGTTGCCGTTCCGATTCCCATGCAAGCCAATCCGATCTCGTTGTCCTAGAGAACTGTCAGTATCAACCGTCTTAGATATCCATGTGCTGAAAACATACGGCAAGAGTCCCATCGCATTGACTTTCCAGATTCCCAATGCCAGTAGACCCAACTGCATAAGAACATAAACCGCCTTCACCCCGTACAGGCGTCCGTGAGTTGTTGGAGTATCGAACTTGGCGAACATGACATTGGTGTTGATCAGACCCTGGATAGGGCCCTTGAACAGCATGAAGACCATCATAATGCTGAAAATCTGAAGGCTGTTTCCGGACATGTACATCATGATCGCATTCATGGGGATCTGCTTGGATGGGGCGATGGCGATCTCCCACGCCTTCTTGAGCTTCAGGGCATCGGTCTCTTCGGGTTTCTTCTCGGTAGGTTGTTTCTGCTGCTGCTTCTGCTAGTGATTTGTTAGAGTCCTACTGTGAAGCCATAGAGGGTGGGGTCTAGAGTAGGAGGGCTCTCACCTGTTTACCTCCCCGGGTGCTGGAGAAGCCTGGTGGATCCTGGATGCTAGTGGCAGCTTTGGTGGGACGTGGCATGGGGGAGTTCAGCGCGACTACCCATTGCGGCGGGGGTGGAGGAGGAAGAGGCGACGACATGATGCGATATAGAGGTGATGGTGTCGCAGATGGATGTGGTGGAGGTCGAAAAGTGGGAAAGGATGACGGGGGCGTGCGACGGGTTCCCTCCGCAGCTCCCACTCCACTCCGCCTTGAATCCTAGATTCTCCTTTCTCTCCTGAACTTGTCACCTTTCCACCCCAAACTCCAATTCTGCGGCTTGCAGATACCTTCTGTGCGGGTTTTTGTATTTGATCATGTCCAATCGATGATTTCCGCTGTCTCCGAATCCCTTGAACCCACCGTGGCGCAGTGAAAAAGCCGCGCCCTTTTCTCGACGCTTACATCCTACACCTACGAAATACACCTTCGTCTCGATCTTTTCCTTCCAGATTTGCCCCAAGTCGAACCTCGATATCTTACCTCCCGTATCCAATCTTGTTCGATCGACTATCGTAACTCAATTCGCATGTGATTGATTGGACCGACGCTAGAGCCAAACCTACGAAGAAGAAACCGCCACAGAATCCCCTGCGATTCGTCCACACCGCAGCCATGAGTTCTGGGGGAGATGCGAAACTATTCGCTAGGGTACGTACCATCTCTTATCGTCTGATCCTCCATCAAAAGTCCTAAAGTGACTTTCCCCTCTTCCCCGCACATCATACACCTTGCGCCTTAAATGCGATGACCCTTGCGGTTTATAGCGCTTGGCTTTTGCTATCTGCCTTTCTACACTGAAATCCCCCCACCCACGAGTCCGGCATGTTTATCGGGTTTGCCCCGTATCCTCCAGGATATAGCTCACGCTTTTCGCGCACTCCACAGGGCAAGGTCGCCGAGCTGCGAACTGAGCTTCAAAGCGGAGGCAAGAAGGACAAGAACTACTCCGCCAAGAAGATCGCCCTCAAGAAGATCGTCGCCAACATGACTATGAGCAATAACGATATGGTTGCGCTGTTCCCCGACGTTATCGAGTGCATGAACCTACCGAGCTTGGAAATCAAGAAAATGTATGTTAGAAAAGGAGCGGCCTTGTGGCCTCCTGGAAGCTCATTACTGACTTGCGCTCTAGGTGCTTTTTGTTTTTGGTGAACTATTCAAGAATGAAACCGGAGGCCGCGTTGAAGGCGCTGCCCACTTTGGTCGAGGTATGGCGTTAGCCTGTGATAAGAAATTAATGTCGACAGATGGCTGATCAGATCCATAGGACATGGGAGATAACAATCCTCTTGTGCGAGCCCTTGCTCTGCGAACCATTTCATACATCCACGTGCGCGAGTTTGTCGAAGCAACCTTCCAACCCCTCAAGCGCCTCATGCAGGACAACGACCCATATGTTCGCAAGACAGCTGCTTTCTGTGTTGCTAAGCTGTACGAGCATGACAAGAAGATGGTCGAGAACTCGGATCTGATAGATCGCTTAAATCGCATGCTCAAGGATGAGAATCCAACCGTTGTCTCCAGTGTGTTGGCTTCTTTGGTGGATATTTGGGGTCGCAGCGAATCGATCTCACTGACTATCGACTACACCAGTGCTTCAAAGCTGGTTTCAATCCTGGCGGACTGTTCCGAGTATGACTCTCATTCTGCCACAGATTTCCATAAGCATGCTAACAGTTGTCTAGATGGGGTCAAACCTACATTCTTGAAGCTTTAATGTCATATGTGCCCCAGGATACTGCTGAAGCACTTCTACTGGCGGAGCGAATTGCCCCACGGCTATCTCACTCGAATTCTGCAGTCGTTCTTACGTCCTGCCGAGTTCTTCTTTATCTAATGAACTATATTTCCGACGAAAAGCACATCACCTCATTAAGCAAGAAAATGTCACCGCCCCTCGTTACTCTCCTCGCCAAGCCCCCAGAGGTTCAATACTTGGCCCTGCGCAATGCCATTCTGATTCTTCAGAAGAGGCCAGAAGTCCTTCGCAACGATATTCGCGTTTTCTTCTGCAACTACAACGACCCCATCTACGTCAAAGTGACTAAGTTGGAGTTGATGTTCATGTTGACCACGAAAGATAACATCTCTGTGGTCCTGGCAGAGCTTCGAGAGTAAGTCAATTCCTCTATGTCTCTGCTTTTCCACTCGTACTAATTGTCCACCAGGTATGCCACCGAAATTGACGTGCATTTCGTACGTAAGGCAGTTCGTGCCATTGGAAAGCTTGCCATCAAAATCGAATCAGCAGCACGGCAATGTATCGAAACATTACTTGAATTGGTTGACGCCAAGATCCCATACATTGTGCAGGAAGCCACCGTTGTGATTCGCAACATCTTCCGGAAATATCCCAACCAGTACGAGGGCATTATTGGCCACGTGATTAGCAATATTGACGATCTTGACGAGCCCGAAGCCAAGGCAGCCGTTATCTGGATCATTGGCCAGTATGCAGACCGAATTGAGAACTCCGACGGCCTTCTCCAGGATTACCTGGCTACCTTCCACGACGAAACGGTCGAAGTGCAGCTGGCTCTGCTCACGGCCACAGTGAAGCTTTTCATCCAGCGGCCGACCAAGGGCCAACAGCTCGTTCCCCAAGTCTTGAAATGGTGTACTGAAGAGACTGATGACCCTGACCTTCGAGATCGTGGCTACATGTACTGGCGTCTGTTATCCACCGACCCAGCAACAGCCAAGCAAGTAGTCATGGGCCAAAAGCCACCAATCACAGCCGAAAGCGAGAAGCTCGACCCTCGCACATTGGAAGAGCTCTGTCTCAACGTCGGTACTTTGGCAACCGTCTACCTCAAGCCAATCCACCAGGTCTTCCGCGCTGCACGACCCCGCCGCCTGCAACCCAGTCCGGCGCTGCAAAGGCCCCGCATCGAAGATGGCACAGCCAACATGCTCGAATACAATCCTCCAGCCGCTAGCCTTGCCGCTACCTCAACGAGCAACAGTGGTCTAGCCACAATCATTACAACGGGTAACCCCATCAGTCCTGTCAACGCTCCTCCCCCTCCTACATTCCCCGTCAGCGCAAACCCTGTTCCGGGCGGTCTGAGTCCAAACTCTGCCGCTATCAACGCGGCAGATTCCTACTTCAACAATATCGGTTCTCAACAGATGGCCTCTATGAACCTAGGTGGTCGTGACGATGGCGATGTAGGCGGTGGTGGTGTTCAGACACAATATGTTGTGACGCAGAACTCGCAGCAGGTGTATCAGCCGCAGTTGGCTGGTGGTGCAGCTACGGGTGAGCTGTTGCTGCTGTAGTCTCCCAGTATGGATATGTGCTGGGACTGGAATAAGGTTGTAATTGTAGATAGCGTGACATCTCATGCCTTTTGGGTTGATAAGCATAGGGAGTGGACGGATACTTAATCTTTATTATTCTTGTTTATTCGTTTGATACTTCGATTTACTATATACCGGTCTTAGCCCCGCTTTCTTTTGAATGAGTGCAAGTATAAAGGAGTAAAGATATACTAGGGTTCAAGATTGGATATCACCGCTAAGATAGAAACGACTAAATACATGAATAAACCCAGGTTCATATAGGGCTTGTAATGATTCACGACATAGAGAATAACGCATGATTGGATAACCCATTCTGACCGGAATCCAAATCTTACTCTTCATCCATCTTCGACAATCCACCACGACTACGACGGATTCGCTCATCAAGACTATCCTCTTGCACACGCTTGTGTACCTGGGACATGAACGCACCACGGTCAGATCGCTGTCGGTCATCAGCTTCCCTCTGTGTCTCTTCCTTCTTGTCGATATCAGCGATACGCTGTTGCCGATCTGACTCCAGCTCAGTAGCGTTGGATTGCATCTCTGCTAGCTTGCGGACACGCTCCTCTTCCAGTGCCTTGGGATCAGTATTGGGCTGTGCAGGGCGAGGCTGTCGGCCAAAGTTCTCCCGTCTACTATTGAAGTTGTCGTTGCGTCGAGGGTAGTCCCGACGGCTGTCTTGGTCGTGGGCGCGGCCATTGCGGTCTTGAGTCGGGCGTGGTGAAGGGCTGCGTCGGCGAGGAGAGCGTCGTGGAGACCTGGCACGGTCGTTGTCGACGTCCGGCTTACGATCACGATCCCGTCTGTCATCCCGGTCGTTGCGACGGCTTGGGTATGAATCCCTTCTCTCTCGGTACTCACGGCGGCCTTGATCGCGGTCTCGGTCCCGGTCGTCACGGCGAGTTCGCCCCTCGTGGCCTCGACGATCCCGATCCTCTCCCCGGGTTCGTTCATGACCTCTATCATCTTTCCGATCGCGGTCATCGCGATCCTTCTCGCTGCGATGTCTGCGCGAAGACCTCTCCCCCTCAGCAGGTGATCTGGACCGACGTCGATGTGAAGAACGATGAGATGGACGTCTTGAATTATCCTCCGCCTCATCCCGTCTGCGATTTGAATCACGATCGCGATGTCTCCGCTCCCTCTCATGCTCGTGATTCCGTTCACCACCTCGCCTCTCTTCTCTCTCCTTCCGCTTCATAGTCTCTTTGACCATGGCCTCGTAGGCCGCCTGCTCCCTCTTCTTAACTTCAAATAGCGGGTCGGCCATCACCTTCGCCATAGTGTCACGCGCCGAACCAATAGATGGTCCCGCCGCCGCCGCATTTGCACCAACAAGATCTGCGCCTTTCTCCAATTTTTTGTTGTCGGTGTCCTTCTTCAGCAGAATGCCATCGATCCGTCGCTTTCCAAGCAGATATCCTTCCATCTCTTCCGAGTATTGTCCTGTTGCGTTCGAAGGTGCCTGGTACATCCAATCAACGCGGTTCTGGGTCTTCTGCTTGCCGGATGCTTCTTGGAGGCGCTGCAACTCTTGGATCTGGCGCTCTTCTTCACGTTCGCGGCGGAGTTGGTCGATCCGTTTGCGCTCCTCGAGCGCTTTCTGTTCTTCTGACCATACGCGCTCTTGATTGCGCATCAGCGATGGGTGCCATGACCTAGTGATGTATTAGTGATTTGTCTCGATTTTGCGGAAGATGTTGTATTTCTTGTCGGAAAGTAAGAGAATATGCAGTCACAATTAACGTACTTCTTCAGGTTCAGATCACCACCCATGTTTGCGACGATAGTAGAAAGTTCGGGGAAAAGAGATGATGGAGGTTGAAACGTCGAGAGATGCTGCCCGATAGTTATGGAAGGCGCGTTTGTCGCCTAGGGCATCTGCGGGAACTTATCATGTGATTGGTGCCCTAATTTTAAGGTTGCATACGTTTACTTTGAAGATAATGCCTACAAAAGAAGACTTATCTCGAATAGAAAGATGGATACATTGCAAATAGGTACAGGCAAAGAAGAATAGGTGAGGAAAGGCATACAGAGCAGAAACAAAGTTCATCTGCCTAGATGAGAGAAAAAGAGTGCACGCTCGCTCAATTCTCCAAACAAAAAAAAAGAGAACCATCCCGCCTCTTCCTCATTAGCACATAAGCGGGATGATCGAGAAAAGTCAAAGAACAAGATGGAAAAAAAGTAAGAGAGGAAGAGGAAGTATCAACCCTAACTCATACACGACCCACCCAATCTAGAAAGGAAAAGAAAAGACTCGTTTCGTTGCGTGGGATGCCTGGGACACGGCGGTGCGTATTCCTTGTTTATTTGTTGTTTTCCCAACCAACCCAGCTACGTGGCATAACTCGCCAGACTTTGCACTCACCACTGCGCATGTCATTGAGCTTGAAGCTCTCCATCTTCACCTTTTTGCTCTCGCGCCCTTGCTCCCAGGCCCGGATCTTCTTCTTGGTACCATCCCAATCCACAACAATGCCAACGTGGTCAGGCTTGCCAACCTCAGAGCTGTACTTCTGGTGCATAGTGCCACGGTGGCCTTGGAACCGAGCATTGCGGAAGCTTACAATATCACCAGCGCGGATCTCGTCATTCTGTGAAACCGACGCATTTGCCAAATTTGAGTAAACCAAAGCACCGTACGCCCGAGTGCCAACAGGAAGCAATGCATCAGCAAGAGGGTTCAGAAGATGCTGAACCAGACCGAAAGGTGTACCATCTCCTACAGTAGAGTTTTGGTAGGAGTTGATGGACTCGGAGATGCGGATACCAATTTGGTTGTGTGCCTGCTCCAACTGATCTTGACGGGGTTGAAGTGGAGGTGGCTCGTGACGTTGCTCCAAGGAGACATCTGCAGGGTCTCTGGGATCAAACTGAGCTGCTATAACGGTCTGGGAGTAGTCCATGAAGAGGATATAGATGTCCTTGGACACAGTCGTCTTACCACCGCGTTTGGAGGAAGACGACTCCTCAACCTCAAAGAGTATGTCCTTTCGATTTTGGAGGGACGGCGGCGGGGTGTTGGGCTGGGTCCACCAAAGGGTGCTTTCCGCATAATCTATGTCCGTGGCAATGAAGCCTTGATCAATGGACGGGCGAGAAACATCCATAGAACGCCGGATATTGGCCGGGCCTCTTGTCATGTCCATTGAAGGGCGCGTGCTGCGTGCCGCAGAAGGCGACGGCATAGCTGGGGCCTGGGATGGGGGAGGCAATGGGGCTAGAGATGCACGCTTTTGAGACATCGGTACAGGCGGGGCCTCATTTGTGGGGCTTTGTACGGGAGATACATCATACAAATCATCGAAGCTCTCTCTCGCTGGCGGTTGTGGGGGAAGAGGAGGCGGTGCCTCTGGGCGACCACTGGGAGGCGCCGGAGGTGTAGGCAATCCGTGCCTAGGCTCGACATAATTGAAGGGGTCATATTCGTCATCTCCGCCGTACGATGGCTCTCTGCCCGGTGGGGGCGGAGGTGGTCCTCGAGGTGTATCCATAGAGGCTCTAGCATTGCGAGGAGGCTGGCTTGGAGGTAGAGGCGGGACTCCCCTTGGAGCAGCAGTTGGAGGAAGAGGTGGAGGAGGACGGGATTCCGGAGGGCTGCGAGGGGATTGAAGAGAATACTCATCAGTCATCATGCCCTCATCAAAGCTGGAGTCACGCTCATGGGCTCTCAGTGCGTCCTTGTGCTTGACACCGGACGCAATATCAGTGTCGTAGTCGCCATCGTATTCTGTCACTTCTCCTTCAACATCATCTCCAGCCTGGCGGGGGGCGGAGATGGCACTACCGCGACTATCCGCAGTGGATCGCCGGCGTGGCTGGTTTGGAGGTGGAGGAGGTGGGGCACGGCTCTGCGCCGGTGGCATGGGCGGGTTTGATGGAACTGGGGGAGGTGGGCGACTAGCTCTCTTTTCGGCAGGTGACGTCGGAGGCAGGGGAGGTTGTGCATCATATGTCGAGGAACGACGAGAATCAATACTGTCAGCATGAGCAGGCACAGGCGGGGGAACACCTGCAACAGACTCCAAGGAAAGGTTGTTTGCATGCACAGACAATTCATCATCGGATTCATTGCCGGCATCAACGCCTGATGGCCTGGAAAAAGGAGGGAGAGAACGGCCTAAAGATCTTTTGTCAGACTTTTGTTGCGTGTCAAAAGAGTGGCTTTCGCTATAACAGGAACCTACTTCCGGGGACTGGGGGAGGGGAAGCTAACTGCTCCGTAGGCACGGGTGGTGGAATGGGTCGAGAGTCCAAAGGTGGGGGAGGCGCAGCTCGTTCTGGCAAATAATCAGATATGTCTTTTAAAGGTTGTCTAAGGAATTATCACTTACCACGGGAGGGGGGAGCAGGAGGACGTTCGATAGAAGAAAGTGGGGGCGCACCTTCGTGGACAATATCTTCGACGTCTGCCACTTCCTGTGGGGCATGTTGTTCCCTGATAGGAGTTGCCAAAGGCTCCTCTTCTTCCTTCTCAACACCGGCAGGCGGGCCTGGTCTGGTGCCGATGTTCATTCCAGGAAGGGGAATCATTGGTACCGGCGGAGCATGGCCTGGGGACGTTGGTTCAGGCTCAGCAAGCCTCTTCTCTGACTCACCAGGAGTCTTAGGCTTGCGAGGTGCAGGAGCAGGAGCACCCATGCCGGGCATGCCACCTGGGGGACCAAAAAGTCCCATCATACCCATACCACCACTCATTTTGGCCATTCGATTACGAAGCTCCATTCTGCGTCTAGTTTCAGGGTCCATTTCCTCCTCCTCTTCTTCCTCTTCGTCGGCATCCTCTGATTCATCCTTCTGCTCAGCAGTGTGGGCTGGCGGGACTGGAGCTTGACGTGAGCGCTCCTCATCATCATCTCTGCTGGTAGAAGTCTCTCCAGCATCCTCGGAGTCTGCGGCGGCAGAGTAGTCTGCGTCATTCGATTCGCTGGCGATCTCTTCCTGGGGTGAAAATGGAGGGGGCATGGTGGGAGGAGCTTTGGCTCTCAAGGTATCAACACTGGGGTCTCGGGGGACTGGCATAGCTTCAACAGGAGAAGACACCTGTTCTTCATCCTCGTCGTCTTCGGCAGCGGCTCCGGCAGCGGCAGCTTCCACAGGCTGCTCAATAGGCTGCTCGACAGCCTTCTTCGGAGGCTTCGGCTTCTCTTTCTTTTGAGCAGCCTCGGCATGGCGCTGAGCTTGTTCAAGCTGCTGCTTTTGAAGTAGAGCTATTCGGTCCTTCAGGCTGGTAGGCTTTGGCTGATCCTCTGCGCCTTCCTCGCCCTCCTGTGCCGGCGGCGGGGGTGGGGGTCGGCTTTCAGAAACAGGGGGTTCCCGAGAAAGTTGTTCCTTAACCTCCGGGTCCTCCTCTCTCTTATAAATTTTGGCAGCAGGCTCCCGCGGCGGAGGCACGAAGGAGTCCTTGCTTGGAGGCGGAGCAACAAACTGCTTCTTGACAAAGGAGGACGGCTGTTGACCGCCAGGCTTGATAGGTGCAATTGGCGCGGCAGCGGATCTGTTGAATGCAGCAATTCGGTCTTTGAACGAGTTTCCTGCAGGCTTCTCTCCCACAGCCGGTGGTGGGGGCTTTGTAGATGCCTTCGCCGGAGGCGGGGCGGGGGCCGCAGCATGAACGGGAGCGGGGGCCGGAGTAGGCTGAGGGGGCGAGGACGGAACCTCCACAGCTGGAGTGGGAGAGCTTGAAGGCAGGATCGGAGCCCTGGGAGCAGCAGGTGGTTGGGGGGCTGTTTCGGGTTCCTCTTGTTCTTCCTCGGGTTGCGCCGTTACCTCGGGTTCTGTTTGGACCGGGCTCTCAGGCACAGCCACGGGAGCTTCCACTGGCGCAGGCGCAGGCTCAGGCTCCTTCTTTGCTCTGGTAGGGCGTGCTGGCCGCGGAGGTGCCGGAGGTTCATATCGTTCGACGAAGTTCTTGGGAAAAATACCCTCTTGCTTGGCTCCAGAGCTGTCTGTGTATTCGCCATTGTACCACTCGGCATCCTCCTCGGAGGTGACGGTTACGATCTGACCGATTGGGAAGCTAAGGTCGTCATCGTGGCCCGAAGCATACTCGAAGACCGCTCGGACCGTGAAAGGCGGGTTGGACATCTGGCAAATCGACCTCGTTCACGGGGACGTAGGTAAAGACAACGCTAAACAACAAGTGTGTAACGGCAACCGGGCGAGAACTATACAAAGCCGAGCACCAGCTCCAGTACGTGCAGCATGCAGCGGTTGTTTGACTTTGTGGGGGAAACAATTTTTTGGGCCTAAAGGCCGAAGAGTCGGTCAGCGTGGGACACAACGGATGCCTAGTAGGTCGGAGATGAGGGGGTTGGAGGAGATGAAGAGGGGCCGTTTGAAAAGGGAACGTACACAGTCAAAGAGTATCGATCACCCTAAGCAGAATCACGAATTGCAAATCGATGCACGAGGATGATCGAGTGCAAAAAGGACACAGTTGGGGCGAGAGGGGGGAGGTGGAAAGAAGGGAAGGTGAGGTGGTCGTCACTTGGCGGGATGAGGGAACAGAGGCTCCACTGACGATCGGCGGCTAACAAGCAAGCAACTGAACCAGGGTACACACATATGGTATAAACAGTTGTTCAGAAAAGGGCAGATTCCGATCTGTCCTTGGGCAATGTCGATTACCGTGTGGTTAATTTACATATGGGAAGGTAAGCTCACATAGCTCCTATGAGGTAATGCAACTAGCCTTCCAACCACGTAGTAGGTCTACGTATGTAGTCTAATCCTCTGATTAGGGGAAACAATCAAGGCCTTTGTTATAGATTAAGATAGATCTATCTATACCCAAGCTAAGCCCCGCTGCAGCCCAATGCGTGGGTGAAGTGTCGTGACTCTTATTGGCGACATCATCGCCTCACAAATCCCGGGGTTTCATTGCTGGTTCCCGTTCCTCCGTTTTTTGGGACCAAAGACCCGCGAACCATAATTTCCTTCCTCTTGCTCTGTACTTCTTCCTTTCTCATATCTCACCCACACAGTGTCGATATAGCTGAATATCAAACTCAAATTGCTCAAAATCATGGCACCTTCACAAGGCCCTCCAAAATCAATCCTAAAAACATCCCTCCCCTCTGCATACGCCGCCGTCAACGCCGAACAACCAGCGCCACACCACTCGTCCTTGTCACAGGAAGAGCAAGACAGATACCTTCAGGGCCGACCCGGCGCAAATTCACGTCACTTGGATATCGCACTGCAACATGCGCAGCAGATTCAGGCCCAGAAAGATGCCGAAGAAATGATCCTAGACCGTACGGTCGAGCTCCTCGCCATCCCCGCTTCCTCCTCCGCGGACCCGGCTTCACCCTCACCAGAGGAGGCCCGGACTTTCAAATCTGCACTGGTCTCGTTTCGACCGACCGATTACGATAATTATATTATGGAGCGAAACTATGAGGATCTTTGTGGTTATGGGCTTTGTCCCCGAAAGAATCGCAAAGAGTCGGCGAACGCCCGGGGTCAGACTTTCCACTTTAAATATGGCGTCAAGGGAAGCGGGCCTGGTGGCCGTGGCCGCAGCATGGATATTGTACCTCGGGAGAAATTGGAAAAGTGGTGCTCAGACGAGTGTGCAGAGCGGGCACTCTTTATCCGTGTGCAACTGGCTGAGGAGCCTGTTTGGGAGAGGCGTGCCAGTGATACCCGAAGCATGAGAATTCTCTTGTTGGAAGAAGCTCGTGCGAAACGCCAGAAGCAACCCAAGGCTGAAAGCTCTTCCGCTGTGGAAGTTACTGCTGGCATGGAGAATCTAAAGATTCAAGATCCAGATCGCTCGCGTGAGCTCGCTTTGGAGCGTGGCGACAATACCGTGTTTCATCGTGATGGGCGGGTGGACATCCAGATCAACGAAAAAGAACATGGGTCTGGACCGTCTGCTAGCGCACCGCAGTGGCGGCCAGAGGACGCTTTGGGAGGATCCATCGAAGGACATGTTCCCAAGGAACTAGGAAACAAGCGCCCAACTCAGGACGAGGGAGATCTTCTTGATCAAATTTGAAGATGGCAGAAGCCATGGCATCATTTGGCGTTTTCGAGCGGTTTACAAATAATACCCTGTGGAAGCATACCATAGCATACGGGAGCATGAAAAGTCTACGAGATGACCATATAACACTTGATCTTAGGCTGCACGATAACCAGCATGACACCAGTATCTGAGCATAGCCTCGACCAATGGTCTGGGCCTTCCAGATCAGAGATCCAGGAACCCCTACGTAGTTCTAACCTGGGGACAGATGTCCACGCAGGTATAAACACGAGGAAAAATTTTTGGCAATCAAGCGTCATCCCCAGAGGGGAATCGGCGACACCTTTGTCATAGGAAATCATTTTTTCATTCCTCATCCATAGTAGCCTCCAATATCATGCTATAACCATGATAGCCGGGGAAAAAGCCAACCAGAACAAGTATCGGGTAACGCCGGGGTGTCGACCGAAGACAAGCACTTTTGGATATTATCGAGGGTGCTGGATTTAGCGGGGACCGAAGCGGCGGGGGCGCTCAGCATTCTGCTGCTGGGACACGGCGACGACGTTGACCTTGAGGTTGTCGAACTGTGAAAAAAAAAAGTTAGATGAAAATCCCAAAAACATGAGCGATATCGGTGTCAACTTACGCCGAGGTTCTTGAGCAGGTCCTTGGTCTCAGCGTCGACGTCGAGCTGGCCAGACTCGGTCTGGGAGACGTCAAGGGCGGAGACCTCAGGGACGTACTGGTCCTTGCGCTCACGCTCCTCCTCCTGGAGCTTGAAGGAGATACCGCGGACGGGGCCACGCTGGATACGCTTCATCAAGTGGGTGGTGTAACCAGCGATCTTGTTGCGGAGACGCTTGGAGGCAATGATGGCTGCAAGTCTGTTAGTTCACCGATTCGTTGCAGCATTCGCGTTGAAAAAAAAAAAAAAAACTAACCGATCTCATCGCAGATGCGCTTGTTGGTCTCGAAGTCGAGGGTCAACTTGGGGTAGTAACGCTCGATGATGACCTTGGCGGACCGCTTAACGGTCTTAGTACGGACGCGACCCATTTTGGCGAATTGTTGGCTGGAAGGATGTTCGAAGAGGAGATTCGAAGTATCACCAGTTTGGATAAGAGTCGGCGGTTGCTCTCGCTTAGTCTTTGTGGATCCCAGCCCTAGCCCAGCCCTAGATCACGTGTGGGCCCATGGGTTGATTACGTAACGGGATTGCGCCTTTCTGCCTCAGGCATTCTAATCAGCACACGCCAGATATCTCATCTGAAGACCCTCTTTCAGGTCCTTGCGTGTTCATTGGTATTACAAGACCAGCCAAGAGGACATGGAAGTACGGTTACTAGACTTCCAATCTTCTACCAACGACGAGGTCGAAGTGCTCAATTCGGTTACCACTCCTGCCTCAGGGGACTAGGTGAAGTTAGTAACCCTATGTCATGCGGTTTACCTAGCCGGGGACCTCCACTTCAATTAAGGACTAGCGTTGATTACAAGGCCAGCTATTGCAGCAAATTCAAAATTTTTATTACTTTTTGATAGCTTCATTACGTTTAGTTGCTGTACAATTTATGACAGGATTCTATTCTAAAGATTTTATTCTTGAGACTTCTTATGGTCAAACCTACCTATCAGGTACTATTGTTTACTTTTTAGCTACTACAGGTGCTATGTTTACAACACTTATTCAGCTAAAGTTTTATATTTGACATTCTTAGGTAATCCTAATGGCTCCCATAGTGATATGTCATCGATCGATGCATTGTACGTTTTCTCCCCGCAGTTAGCGACATGGACCAATGTGGTAAAGATCGCCCTAGGCCCAGCTCTTACTTTGTGGGTCATCCTGCATTGGTGGAGCACTTCCATGGTCAAGATTGCAAGCTTTCGGCCTTTGAAATAAACTGCACCTCTGATTTGCTGACCGGAGAATCTCTTAAGCTCGGCAAAATCTCACTTATGGTGCAGAAACAGCCAAGGCTTTTGTCCTACGTTGGAAATGTGTATTCCTCTCTACTGTTAAAAGGGCATCGTATAAGAACTGTTAGGTAGCGAACTCATAAGCAAGTGCTTTCGTGTGAAACGAACAATGCAATTGATGCCATTCATGTTTCTGTGGCAGAAAATATCTCGTCGATATCAAAAACTTGCATGCCAAATAATAAAAGAAGGCTATTGTCGCTCAGTAATTACCGACATGTGTATCATCAATCGAGTTTCTTCGTGCTTCAGTGACAGCTCTTGCTGATGGAGCACGTATCAAGGACCTGCGGCGCCTCGGAATTATCCAGGCGACAGAAGCAAGACGACCTGATAGGAACATCTGCTACAGCAAGGGCCAACTTAACCGACTGTTCAATCACAGCCGCCTCTTCCAATCTTCCCAGGCGAGTCAAACACTCATGATACCCCTTAAGTGACCAAACATTGTTAGGGTGCCGACGGGGCCGAATGATCGAATTGTCCAGCCCCAGATCGGCACGATACGTCTTCGCCGCTTCTTGCAGATGACCTTGTTCCATCAGCAAAGCAGCATATGCGTGCCGAACAGGCTGCATCCACGACCAAGGCTCGCTATAAGGCAATTCGTCTTCGAGGTCGATAGCACGGCGGAGAGCGGCAAATGCATTGTTATAGCTAGCGCAGCGGTATTGAATTTCTCCTTCCAGCATGGCTGCAGCTACCTTGAGTACATCGACCATTTTGCCGTTGTACGCACGCCGAGACTGCGGCACTCGTGTCCACGCTTCGTGGAAGTCATCCTGTTCTTTCATGGCTCCATCCACGTCTCCCAGGGCGGCAAGTGCTATCCCTCTGGCATAATGGACGATAGCGGTGGTGCTCGAATATAGTACCTTGTCTTTTGGTAGCTCTTTGGCCTTGAGTTCCTCCCACATACCGAAGCGCACCATTACATGGATACCAACAGACATAAATTGCTCTAACCAGTCAGCCATCGGCGGGGACTGTATTCGAAGGACTTCTTCAGGGACTGTTGATTCCATGCGAGTGACCGCATCGAGAGCAGTTTTTGATTTGCCAGCAAACATAGCCGCATAGACCAAAGAATGATAGTTGTGCATGCGGTAGAATGTATAGAAATTCTTCGCACCTGATCTTCGGAAATATTTCTCGTCCACAATGGTTGCTTTGGAATTCGAGGCGATTGAGCGCCGCCAATCACCGATTAAGATATCCAGGTGTGTGGGCATGTGGTTGACGTGTCCGGCCTCGGGGACAAGCTCACGCAGATGGTCAGCGACGTTGATGCCTAGCTCCGGGGTGGGTGACATCTCAATGAAGTGTATATACAAATGGAGAAGTCCAGGATTCAAATATGCACCATCCTGTTCTTGTGCCAGCGCTCGATCTAACACAGCCTTTACCTCCATGGTTGGGGCCCTCGGATTTGGTTTGCCTGTGAACAAGTCCCACAGGGCCCAGGGGGCCATATTCATCAATGAATCGGCATATAGAGTAGCAACGTTCAAATCTTGACCGAATTCATCATAAACTGGTTTCATGGCGCTGGCATATGCTTTATTGACGGCGTGGTAATCAGTCTCGGGCCGATCCGTCGGAAAGCGCGATTGTATTGCCTCAATTAGACCTTGCTCAAATGAATTTGCCCTTGTAACGAGCTCTTTTGCAGCACGAGATGCCTTGTAGCCTAGTTTGACGGATGTATGGAGATCACCGCGGTCGAATTTATTCCACGCTTTGTTATAGTTTGGTCCAACGGCATAGGCGATGCCCCAGTACGCCATCGCACACGCAGGGTCATGCGCAGCGGCCTGTTTGAAGCAATAGGCGCCTTCTGCATGGTTGAAGGAATAGACCCAAATAAGGCCTCGGTTGAACCAAGTCTGGGCGTCGACACTAGTGGTGGTGATGGGACAGCCAAATGAGCCTAGATTATAGTACTCATCGCTGGCAGAGACAGGCGAGACAATATCTTGAGCCATGGTGGTTTTCGCTTCCAGAGAGAAACGAATAATGAAGACTAACAACTAATGCCGGAAACCGCGAACATAAAGTATTTACCTAGTCGTGGACTCGTGGCTTTAATAGGTTGATTGTACACATAAATGTATAATTTACGAGGAGATCACGTCACAGAACGACCTAGTCCGCCACTTGTGGTGTCACTTGATCAAACACCGTAATGCACAAATCAGACGCCGGAGATGGAGACACCGAGCTCGGGACAATTCGGTAAAGCATAACCCTGGAGTCTTCCAACATTGAGGATGTTTGTCTCCAGATGTGTTGTGTGGTAAGGGGACATGGCTTTCCAGGTAGGCTCGTCATCCTTCGCATAGATAACAACACAAATTCAATATGTACCATTGAGATAAAAAACATAAGATTGATGCATCGGATTTATATCACATGTTTAAAAAGGATAATGAAAATAGCTTTACACAAGCACCAGATCTAATCGTACAATTCGCAGCAAATTTCGCTCATCTTCCACTCCATTTATTGCTTTGAGCTCAAGTTCTGCATGAGGCTGCGGGCAACATCCTCAGTGGCTTGCTTGGGCTTCCGTTGCTTATAATCGCGCGAGGGTCTGAAACGCGCCTGGTTGAGATCTCTGTCCAATCGTGGGACAAAGCGAGCATCGCGGCGGGCAGCTGATGAAATGCTGGTGGCACTCTCCTTCTGCAAGTCTTCAATTCCGTATGGTGCCTTTGCAGTGGCACTTGCGCGGTAGGAGTACAGGCCGATGCGGCCCTTGGAGTCGACAGAGGCTCGGATCGGAGTAACATAGTATTTAGCACCTCCCGGGATGGTGGAGTCGAAGGAAGTCAAACCAGATGGAGTTCCTTGGTCAACGAATGTCATGGCGTTCAAATCTTCCACGGCAATACCACCAACACCAGCAATAGCCTTGGACGACTGGCCCTTGAAACGACCCTTGGGTCGCAAGATACGGGCCTGGACCGGACGCTGGTAGGCTTGCGGGCCGTGTTGAGGGTGATTGTATGTGAGAGCATGGGATCGGGTGTATGAGAGACCGGCGGAGGGGTGTGTCATGGGGGGACCGCTGACGGCGTATTCGGCGGCAGACAGCTGGGTTCCGGGGGACTGGTAGTATTTCTGTCCAATTCGCTCGCTGGGGACAGCAGGGGGCGACGGAAGATCAAGCAATTCAAAGACGGCGGGGCCGAGGGCAAATGGATCCTCACGCAAAGACTTGACGTGTGCCTGGAACTCCTCGTCGGTGACCTTGACGGGTGCAAGGCCCTCCAAATCACCTCCGTTGTCCTGAGCTTGTTTCCGGGCCTCCGCAAAGAGCTTGGCCTCCAATCGCTCGCGCAATTTCTGCAGCAAGTCGGGCTTCTGTCTCCGCACTTGTTTAAGATAGGCTTGGAACTCAGCCTCAGTCTGTCCAACCAACCAAGGCCCAGCGTGTCTGAATTGTTTGGAACCAGGTACCTCACGCCCCTTACTAGTCTCTGTATTGTCGACATGTGTCTCGAACGGGCTCTGGTGACGGGGAACAATGCTGGTCGCATAATTGACCTTGGAGGGAAGAGACATTGGCATGTGCAATTCTTGGAACTTCTCCAGGGTCATGGTGTGATCGGCCGCGGATTCAAAGTCGGTGACATGTTCGTAGGTATCGAGAGCCTGGATTCGAACAACTGGTCTAGCGGACTTGTCGGAAGTGGCCTTGGCCGGAAGTGGACGCTTCAGACCCCAATCGCCCCGAGCGAGTGATTTGGGCGGCGTGACGATGGCGGCTCGGATGGGGTGAGGGAGTGTTGCGGTGTTCGACTCGAATACGGACCTCGAGGATGGCGGGTCTTGTGTGGTTTTCAAGGCTTGTGGAAGTGCAAACAAACGGGACTTCCGTAGAAGATTCGCCGTGGGCGAAATCCGAGCGGTCGCCATCTTTGCTCAATGTCACGATGCAATGGAGCTGAACGGAGATCGCGCAAGAAAAGTTGACCGGCTCACGGGCCATGCGGTACGGCCGACTACAGAGACCTAACACGCAGCTATCAATATCTCCACACTTAGTCTACACGTACTCCGCTCGACCAGATTCTAGGTTCTTTCACCAATTGACGGATTCCAAACTTTATACTATTCTATCTATAATTTAGATCTGACTCATGACATGAAAGACATGAGTAAATAGACTATATTCAAGCACCAACATCCAATAGAGACTCGGCTGTGTCCGAGATCGTCTGCTTAAAAGGCCGATAGTTCAGCCCCAAGACTTCCCGGGACTTGCTGTTGTCAAACTCGAAAATGTTACTGGGGAAGTCGTCCGCCACATCTGGAGAAGGAAGCTTTGACTCCAGCTTAGGGTGTGCCTCACGAATGGCGTCGACAGCTCGCTTGTTAGAGAAATATCCAGCCACGACGAAGAATCTCTGGCCACCTGCCTCAGCGACCTCAATGGCCTTGACGTGTGCTAGTGCAACATCACGAACATCTACCCAAAGGAAGGTTCCTGTCGGAGGAATCTTCTCTTTAAACTTCCCTTGAATAATATCCCGCACCCGCTGGTTCGAAGTGTTGATAGCCTCCAGAGAGTTCAAGTAATGAACAATGGGACCGAAAACCAATGGTGGATTGATGGTTGCAATGTCGAAGTTGGGCTTCTCCTTTTCAACAAAATCCCATGCTGCTTTCTCGGCAAAGGTCTTTACAAGGGGATGTGTTAGCTGGGGTACCGTTATTACTATGGTGTGGGTATCATATTCTCACCTTGCTGGCCCGATAGACTTGTGAATGATCCATAGCCTCGTCCCATGTTACAGGGTTCCATTCTTTTTCACTATAAACTTTCGGATGTTGTTTGCTATTCACAATGGCCGCGAATGATGATGTGACCACAACTCGCTTCACTGAGGGTGCGTAGGCTTTGATAGCTTTGAGAATACCGGTAGTCCCCTTAATGGCGGGATCCAAGAAGTCCTTCACGGGATCGTTGACGTTAAAGTGGAAAGGCGATGCCGTGTGGAGAACATAATCAAATGGCGGGTTCGACTTGACAGCCTGTATTGAACGAATTAGCTTGATTGGGGTCAAGACGAGTATTAATTTGGAGCCAATTACCTCGTCAAATGCTCCATCCTGGGCAACATCCTTGACAATAACATAGGAAAGCTTTTCCTTGGGCGTGTCTGGGTGGGCGTCAAGAATGCGCTTAGCCTTCTCCTCCGACCGAACGGTCACCACGGTATCGAAACTAGTAAGTGGATACAGTCAGCGAGGGCTATGAATTTCTGGCGTTCAATTCATACCCATGTTGCAAAAGGATATCAACGATGTGAGCGGCGATAAAGCCACTGCCGCCTATTTGGTAGATGATTAGATGGATTCATGGAGGAACGGGTCCAAGACTGCCATACCAGTGAGTAGAACTTTGACCATTTTGACAATCTTTGATTATTAGGTTGTTGGAATTGTATCAGTGGAGGATGAAACGCTTTGGAGGACCCGGGAAATCGCCCTTGCTTTATGGTTCTCCATACCCCTCGATCCCGTCATCGATCCCCACCATTGGTCCACTCTAGTTAGCTATCGGCGTCGTCGATTACAAATGACATTATGCCTTTTACTGCCATTCTCTCCACCTCAAGGCGGGATTTAATCAATAAATCCGAGTAACTCCGTTATAGTTCAGACCTCTCATCTCTCTAAATAAACCCCGGGGGCGACCGGTCAGCACTAGATACTGAACGCCGGCAAATTAGCCGCGCATCCTATCAGAGGCTGGCTCTCGAATCAGGTTTCATGATTTGATGTCTTCCTGCAATTAATAATTTCAAATTTCAGCTTAATGACAAGTTTAAAACAAAAAGGCTGCTATGTGGAATCGGAAAGATAGTACGGAGTACCACCCGACCTGTTTGCGGATGATATTCCAAGCCGCTCGATATGTCACTTTTCTTGATATGTACAGAAAATCCTAGGACAGGCTAACCTTCGAAAGTACAATAGCCTCGAAAGACTCAGAAGTTGCAGGTCTGGGCAAGTTCCCCGCGTCATTGCGAGCGAACGTGCTGGATCTCTTGAAGCCGCTACATATATTCCCCGCAATTTACCTGCTACTGTACCATGTTGTGTATAATTAAGAACATAACCGCCCTTTAGTAAAGCCTCATACAATAACAACTAGGAGCAACAATTTAAGAAATTCATTTTTGGAGCGGCCATCCATAGGGTTATACGTATGTTCCTCGTACCTCAGGTACCTACCAAGGAGGAATGATTGCTTCAGACACGTATGGTCGACGGTGGTCTGATCAAACGCAAACGTGCACTCCGATTTGTTTCAATGCAAGATGCTTTCAAAATTGTTCCTTTTGAAGTTCATCAATCCGAATTTTTTCGAAGATTTCATCTTAACTTAACCCAATAATTAGTAAGTCAAGGGTTGATGAGAGTTGAACGTCAGGTGGTTAACCCGTGGTGGTCTGTGCGCCCGCCGGTCTTCAACCTGAGCCTCACACATGACCTTCCCTCACCATTACTGCGTCTTGCGCCTCTGCTTTTCCCATTTGGTAGGCTTCCAATGTCCACCTTGGGGTGCAGCTCGCAAATATGGCGCAAGCAGGCCCGATCACCGACGTGACTCAGAGGCTCTTTGTGGAGCTGAAGTCGAAGAACGAGGAGACCCGAGCCCGAGCTGCCTACGAGCTCTATGACAACGTCTTATCAGTCTCTCGAGGTAAGGCCCTCACTTGCACTCTTAAAAGTCCCCCTTGGATACAGCTGACCCTATTTTCATAACAGACTGGCCTTCCGAGAAGTTTGTTGAGTTTTACAATGCTGTTAGCCAAAGAATTGCCCAGCTGGTGGTAACCGGGAGCGATGCCAATGAGAGAATCGGTGGACTCCTTGCTCTAGACCGACTCATCGATTTTGACGGTGTGGACGCCGCCCAAAAGACCACCCGCTTTGCCAGTTACCTACGGAGTGCCCTTCGAAGCAATGACAGTGTGGTGTTGGTGTACGCTGCCCGATCGCTGGGCCGACTGGCTAAGCCGGGCGGGGCACTGACCGCGGAGCTGGTGGAAAGTGAGATTCAGTCCGCATTAGAATGGCTACAATCAGAACGCCAGGAGAGTCGACGATTCGCCGCGGTACTTGTTATTGGGGAGCTGGCAAAGGGTTCCCCCACACTCCTGTACGGCTTTGTCCCGCAGATATTCGAACTCATCTGGGTTGCACTTCGCGACCCGAAAGTCCTTATTCGAGAGACTGCGGCCGAGGCCGTGGGCGAGTGCTTTGAAATCATCGTAGCTCGAGATGCCCAAGTTCGCCAATCGTGGTTTGCTCGAATTTACGAAGAAGCCTTGCTAGGCTTGAAATCTCACAACGTCGACTGGATTCATGGATCTCTCTTGGTTATGAAAGCACTAATTCTGAAGGGTACCATGTTCATGAATGAGCACTACCGAAACGCCTGTGAGATCGTCCTACGTCTCAAAGACCACCGAGACCCCAAGATTCGTACCCAAGTCGTCCTTACCATCCCCATCCTCGCATCCTACGCCCCCACCGACTTCATCGAGATCTATCTACACCGTTTCATGATATACCTCCAAGCACAATTGAAGCGAGAAAAGGAACGGAATTCCGCTTTCATCGCCATTGGAAAGATTGCCAATGCGGTGGGACCTGCCATTGCCCAGTATTTGGACGGGATCATCATATACATTCGAGAGGGACTCGCAATGAAAGCGCGAAACCGAGCGGGCACCAAAGAGGCCCCTATGTTTGAGTGTATCAGTATGCTTTCTTTGGCAGTGGGACAAGCCCTCAGCAAATACATGGAGGCTTTATTAGACCCCATTTTTGCCTGCGGCTTAAGCAAGTCATTGACCCAGGCTTTGGTTGATATGGCTCACTACATCCCCCCGATCAAACCCATCATCCAAGAGAAATTGCTAGATATGCTCAGCATCATTCTTTGTGGGACACCATTCCGTCCACTGGGCTGTCCAGAAAACCGCCTTCCTCCCATGCCGTCATTCGCAAAGGATTTTGCGCCCCAAGACCTGCAGTCTGATGCGGATATTGCATTGGCTCTTCACACTCTTGGCAGCTTCGACTTCTCAGGTCATATTTTGAACGAGTTCGTTCGGGATGTTGCCATCAATTACGTGGAAAATGACAATGCTGAGATTCGAAAGGCCTCGGCCCTCACATGCTGTCAACTGTTCGTCCACGATCCAATTATCAACCAGACTAGTGGTCATTCTATCCAAGTAGTCAGTGAAGTCATCGACAAGCTACTGACGGTGGGTGTTGGTGATTCGGATCCTGAAATTCGGCGTACGGTCTTATGGTCGTTAGACGCGAAATTCGATCGACACCTGGCACGACCGGAGAACATCCGGTGCTTGTTCCTCGCTGTGAACGATGAAGTGTTTGAAGTCAAGGAAGCTGCCATCTGCATCATTGGACGTCTTTCCAGTGTGAACCCAGCTTACGTCTTCCCGCCGTTGCGAAAGTTGCTGGTCAATCTCTTGACTGGACTGGGTTTTGCGAATACAGCCCGTCAGAAGGAAGAGACCGCCCAGCTCATCAGTCTGTTCGTCTCGAATGCGACTAAGTTAATCCGATCGTATGTGGACCCCATGGTGACAGCGCTGCTGCCAAAAGCTACAGATAGCAACCCCGGTGTTGCTGCTGTCACACTGAAGGCCGTTGGTGAGCTTGCCAATGTTGGCGGAAGTGAGATGAGACGGTATCTGCCCCAGATCATGCCAATAATTCTGGATTCGCTCCAAGATTTGTCCTCACATACAAAGCGAGAAGCTGCGCTGCGGACCTTAGGACAGCTCGCCAGTAATTCTGGTTACGTGATCGAGCCATACCTCGAATACCCTCACCTTCTCGATGTACTGATTAACATCACAAAGACTGAACAGACTGGGTCTCTCAGAAAGGAGACGATCAAACTAATCGGCGTTCTTGGAGCATTAGACCCCTACAAGTACCAACAGATCAGTGATGTCGAGCCTGATGTTCACCATATCAACGAAATCCAGAGTGTCTCGGATGTTGCCTTGATCATGCAAGGCTTGACACCGTCAAACGAGGAGTACTATCCAACCGTGGTCATCCATACTCTGCTGCAAAACATTCTGCGTGAGAACTCTTTGGTCCAGTACCACTCAGCCGTCATCGATGCACTTGTCACCATTTTCAAAACACTCGGCTTGAAATGCGTACCGTTCCTTGGGCAGATCATACCCGGCTTCATTGGGGTCATTCGAAGCTCTCCTACGAGCCGTCTCGAGTCCTACTTCAACCAGATGGCCATCCTGGTCAACATTGTGCGACAACACATCCGTGCTTTCCTCCCAGAAATCATTGAGGTTGTTCGTGAGTTCTGGGACACATCATACCAGGTGCAAGGTACCATTTTGTCTTTAGTCGAGGCTATCGCCAGGTCTTTGGAGGGAGAATTCCGAAAGTACCTAGCTGGTCTCGTTCCAGCAATGCTGGATACTCTCGAGAAAGACACAACACCCCGCCGTCAGCCATCAGAAAAGATTCTTCATGCTTTTCTGATATTTGGGTCTAGTGGCGAGGAGTACATGCATCTCATCATTCCTGCCATTGTGCGCCTCTTTGATGGAGCACAGCATCCTCAAAGCATCCGTAAATCTGCTATCGACAGCCTGACGAAGTTGTCCCGACAAGTCAACGTGTCAGACTTTGCATCCCTCATGGTGCATTCCCTTTCCCGCGTTGTGGCAGGCACCGACCGCGTATTGCGGCAAGCTGCTCTGGATTGCATCTGTGCTCTGATTTTCCAGCTTGGCCAGGATTTCACACATTACATACATCTTCTGAACAAGGTCCTCAAGCAACACCAAATTAGCCATGTCAATTACCAGATCTTGGTAACAAAGCTTCAGAAGGGAGACCCGCTTCCACAAGATCTCAACCCCGAAGAGAACTACGCGTTTCCGGTTGACGATACAAATTATGCAGAAATTGGACAAAAGAAGATGGTGGTGAACCAACAGCATTTGAAGAATGCATGGGATGCTGCGCAAAAGTCTACTCGTGAAGATTGGCAGGAATGGATCCGCCGATTCAGTGTAGAGCTTTTGAAAGAGTCGCCCTCTCCTGCACTGAGAGCATGTGCCAGCTTAGCTGGAATCTATCAGCCGCTGGCCCGAGATCTGTTCAATGCTGCCTTCGTGTCATGCTGGACTGAATTGTATGACCAATACCAAGAAGAGCTTGTTCGATCCATTGAAAAGGCGCTCACTTCGCCAAACATCTCACCGGAGATTCTGCAGATTCTGCTCAACTTGGCTGAGTTCATGGAGCATGATGACAAGGCCCTTCCCATCGACATTCGAACTCTTGGAAAGTATGCGGCCAAGTGCCACGCCTTTGCTAAGGCCCTTCATTACAAGGAACTAGAGTTTGAACAGGATCAGAATTCGGGTGCTGTTGAGGCTCTCATTACCATCAACAATCAACTTCAGCAGTCTGACGCTGCAATTGGTATCCTCCGCAAAGCACAAGCGTATCGTGACGTGGAGCTGAAAGAAACCTGGTTTGAAAAGCTTCAGCGATGGGATGAAGCTCTCGCGGCCTATAAGAGGCGCGAGAAGACGGATCCGGATTCCTTTGGTATCACCATGGGTAAGATGCGTTGTCTTCATGCTTTGGGCGAGTGGAAGGTCCTCTCAGACCTCGCTCAGGAGAAATGGAACCAAGCATCCTTGGAGCATCGTAGGGCCATTGCTCCACTCGCTGCAGCTGCCGCATGGGGTCGCCGGCAGTGGGAGCTGATGGATTCCTACCTCGGTGTCATGAAGGAGCAGTCTCCCGATCGATCGTTCTTCGGTGCCATTCTTGCTATCCACCGCAACCAGTTCGAGGAGGCCAACATGTATATCGAGAAGGCACGGAATGGACTGGACACTGAGCTTTCTGCCCTTCTTGGAGAGTCATACAATCGGGCTTATAATGTTGTCGTCCGCGTACAAATGCTGGCTGAGCTTGAGGAGATCATCACTTACAAGCAAAATGTTGGTGACCCTGAAAAACAGGAGGCCATGCGCCAGACTTGGAACCAGCGATTGCTGGGCTGCCAGCAGAATGTGGAGGTATGGCAGCGCATGCTCAAAGTCCGCGCACTCGTGACCGCGCCTCGCGAGAATCTGGATATGTCCATCAAGTTCGCCAATCTTTGCCGCAAATCGAACCGCATGGGTCTTGCGGAACGGTCTCTCGCCGCCCTAGAGACGGTGGTCACCGATGCCACTGGAACACACTCTATTGCTCCTCCTGAGGTCACATATGCCCGCCTGAAATTCAGCTGGGCGAATGGCCATCAACAAGAATCCCTTGAGATGCTGAAGGAATTCACATCTGGATTGAGTGATGATCTATCCAAGTTCAACACGCTTATGGTGTCTCACTCTGAACAAAACGCAATTAACGGTGTCAATGGCATCTCAGATCCGAGCCACCCTGATGCTATCAGTCTGCGTGAACGCATTGGAGACGTTGCCAAATTTCGAAAGCTCCTTTCCAAGAGTTATCTCCGACAGGGTGAATGGCAAACTGCCCTTCAAAAAGGCGACTGGAGACCAGAGTATGTCCGTGAGGTCCTCGGCGCCTATTCAGCAGCTACACAGTACAATCGTGATTCATACAAGGCTTGGCACTCTTGGGCCCTTGCCAACTTTGAAGTGGTCACGGCGATTGCCAACCAGGCAAGCCGTGATGGCAAACCAGCGCCGGTGCCAGGTCATATTGTCACGGAGCATGTCATTCCTGCCCTCCGTGGTTTCTTGCGATCTATCGCTTTATCCTCAACTTCCTCGCTGCAAGACACGTTGAGATTGCTCACCTTGTGGTTCACTCACGGAGGTGACCATGAAGTCAACACCGTCGTTACTGAAGGATTTACTACCGTTAACATTGATACCTGGCTTTCTGTGACACCTCAAATCATTGCCCGCATCAACCAGCCCAATGTCAGAGTTCGGGGCTCCGTCCACCGCTTGCTTGCTGAGGTGGGAAAGACACATCCTCAGGCCCTGGTGTACCCGTTGACTGTGGCCATGAAGTCTAATGTTGCCCGCCGCTCCCAGTCTGCTAGTAGCATCATGGAAAGTATGCGGCAGCACAGTGCCAAGCTGGTTGAACAGGCAGACCTTGTTAGTCATGAATTGATCAGAGTTGCTGTACTGTGGCACGAACTCTGGCATGAAGGTCTGGAGGAGGCGTCTCGTCTCTATTTCGGCGATCATAACGTGGAAGGCATGTTCGCAACCCTCGCACCTCTTCATGATATGCTGGACAAGGGCGCCGAGACGCTCCGTGAAGTCTCCTTCGCACAAGCCTTTGGCCGTGATCTCGCAGAAGCCAAACACTATTGTGTTCTCTACCGACAAACTGATGAGATTGGAGATTTGAACCAAGCGTGGGATCTCTACTACACTGTTTTCCGCAAGATCAGCAGGCAACTTCCACAGCTATCTATACTCGACCTCAAATATGTATCTCCCCGCCTCAAGGATTGCTCGGGCTTGGACTTGGCCGTGCCAGGAACATACCAGAGTGGTCGTCCAGTTATTTGCATCACGAGCTTCGATCCAATTCTGCATGTCCTTCAGACCAAGAAGAGACCACGACGGATGACACTCAAGGGCAACAATGGCTGCTCTTACATGTACGCACTCAAGGGTCACGAAGATATTCGACAGGATGAGAGAGTCATGCAGCTCTTCGGTCTGTGCAATACTCTTCTTGACAACGACGGCGAGAGCTTCAAGCGTCATCTTTCCGTCCAGCGTTTCCCTGCTATTCCTCTATCTCAGAGCTCTGGTCTGCTGGGCTGGGTGTGCAACAGTGACACATTGCACGCTCTCATCAAGGAGTATCGGGAAAGCCGTCGCATTCTGCTCAACATTGAGCACCGAATTATGCTTCAGATGGCGCCCGACTACGACAGCCTCACCCTCATGCAAAAGGTCGAGGTCTTTGGATATGCCATGGACAATACCACCGGCAAGGATCTCTACCGGGTCTTGTGGCTCAAGAGTAAGAGTTCCGAAGCCTGGCTTGAGCGGCGCACCAATTACACCAGATCCCTTGGTGTCATGTCAATGGTCGGCTATATCCTTGGCTTGGGTGACCGACATCCTTCAAACTTGTTACTGGATCGGGTCACTGGTCGGGTGGTTCACATCGATTTCGGCGACTGTTTCGAGGTCGCCATGCACCGCGAGAAATACCCCGAACGCGTTCCGTTCCGACTCACTCGGATGTTGACCTTTGCTATGGAGGTCAGTAACATCGAGGGAAGCTACCGTATCACTTGCGAGGCTGTCATGCGTGTCCTTCGAGAAAACAAGGACTCATTGATGGCAGTTTTGGAAGCTGTAAGTTCATTTCATACTGATTACGAAGGTGATAACGGAGGGATATCAGTTCTAACTCATACTCTATAGTTCATTCACGATCCCCTGATTAATTGGCGTCTTGGAGCTCAAGAATCTCCCGATCGCGTGTCTCTGACGGCGGAACGCCGCCAGTCGATTATCGAAGGCATTAATCTCGCGGATGGTGTGCAGCCAAGTAACTTTTCTCGTCACCGCCGACCCTCAATCCTGGAAGGCGGTATCCTCGATACTCAAGAAGGCGTCCCTGCCGAGGCTCGGGAGGCCCAGAATGCCCGCGCCGTCCAGGTGCTTGCTCGCGTGAAGGAGAAGCTGACTGGACGCGACTTCAAGCACTATGAAGAACTTAATATCACCGACCAGGTTGATAAGCTCCTTGCACAGGCCACCAATGTGGAGAATATTTGTCAGCACTGGATTGGATGGTGCAGCTTCTGGTGAGCTCGTGTTGCCGAGCTGGAGTTTGGTTTGTCTTGATGCGAAATGATTTATCTTACCTTTCTTGTGCTTTTTGTTTCTTTTGCTTGTAACTACAGTGACCCTGCTGCTTTTTGTTCCCATAACTCCTGTCTATTTGCCGCAGGCTTTTCACTGTTGACTTTGTTGCGGTCTGAGTCCATAATGTTCTCTGGACTGGTCGCGTCTATGTTTGTCGTATACAATAAACCGAGATATCCACTGTATTGAGATTCGAGTTCATTGATTATTCGTTGTAGTCAATATGCATCAGGCTGTAAATTAAGCACGTTCTATATTCATACGCTTTGATTATTCCGGTATATTTGCCATGTACGCTGAAGGTACTATTGGCCCCGTTCCCCAAGCCGAGGTCGGTCCACATGGCCCGTGTGTTCAAGCGGAGAACCTCTCCACCCCGGATCTCACCTTTTAATGTTTCAACCTTTCCTGATATTTGGGATTTGGGACCAGCTTCATCATGTCAGCCCCAGACTCCTCCCCAGGGGCCGCCGTGCCCGGTGCTGGGGATGTGAAAGATGTCAGCCCCGCTGTGCGCAACACCGTCCGACTGTGCCTCAGCGCGAAAGAGTACCGAGTCCTCTACGACATTGCCGTCAAACGCGCCCCAGCCCTGAAGAATAAATTGCCTTCATCTCTACGCGATGATCCCGCTGTTTTTGCGCGGAACCGCCATAGCCTGGCAGCCGTCCGCGCATCGTTTCGTGTCTTTGTTGGCTCGAGCGTCGCGTTGAAGCTGGTGGAGATGATCATGAGTCGGGTTAAAGGCAATGCGTTACAGTACGATAACCAAACCAAGCAACACTGGCAGTATATATCTAATGTATCGTGTTATAGGAAGAAACCTCGCACCCCCCTCATCCGCTCTCCGAATTTCCGCCTTTCCTTCTCTCTATCCCTCCTACTCCTCCTCCACCGTCTCCTATATCGCTTCCTCGTGAGACTGCGCGCGAATCTCGGTACTGATGATGCCCGTTCATTCCGTGAGCGAAATCCGCGGGTTTCGCGTGCGTTGACATCGCAGTATGCCCCCGCCATCGGAGCCAGTCTGGCGGGTTTTGCGTTGGGCGTTGCCCCGCAGGACCAGCTCCGGTTGACAGCTGCTATCTGGACCTCTACGCGCAGCTTGGAGTATTTGTTCAATGCGATGGATTCTAAGGGGTGGCTGGATGGTCGCCCATGGTGGTTCGGCAGCTGGCTGCTAATGCCGATATCGTGTGCACAGCTCTTCCATGCGTTTGTGTTTGATCGGGAGACTACCCCAGGCGTTCGTTGACCTCTTTTTAGCTTATGTGATGATGATGCTGATGTCTTATAGTGGTTTGGGAAGGTTATCCTAAGACTATCTCCCAGTTATATCCCCAGCCGACCGGAGTCGCTTCCTGTCAACGTCTCTTGGCCAGAGAAGGAGGAGATCGTGGACTCGCTTGCGTCTATTGCGGACCTGCGTTGGCCGTGAGTTAGATCACACCGGCTTGTCTCTTGTATATACTGACGTGATGTATAGGGCCTTTGTGTCTCCAATACTCCACCCGACCGATCCTAATACCTTGCCAGCAGCGGTCAAGTCCCTCTCCCCAATTACTGGGCCTGCGCATCCCTCGATCACGAGTCTATCATGCGCAGTTCTCCACCCGAGTCTGCCTAACTGCAGCACGGCATTTTTGCATCACATCTTGCACTCAGTGCCCCTGCTCGCCCGGTTCCTTACAACCATTACCCTGGCTCTGAGCATCCCCAAGTTCAAGAGCATCCTTGCACAGCCCGTTACATCTATCAATGCTATTTCCAAGAAGATCATCATGCTGACAATTGTCCTCTCTGCCGCCATTGGTTCCTCCTGGGGCAGCGTCTGTTTGTTCAACACAACACTCCCCCGATCAACGCTCCCCACCAAACGCTTCTTCCTGAGTGGTGCATTGGGTGGTCTTCCGTTTTTGCTCATGGGTAACAGCCGCAGCTTATTCACATATTTCTTCCGTGCGGCTCTGGACTCGGCCTGGAAGACCGGGATCAAGCGCAGACTGTGGAGGGGAGGACGTAGCGGTGAGCTAGCACTCTTTGTCATGTCTTGGGCGCTGATGGGCTCGATCCTGGAGGCGAACCCAGACGCAGTTCAAGGTGGCGGTCTGCGAAAGGGATTGACTTGGCTGCGGGGCGACGGATTTGCCGATCCCATTGAGATGGAGAAGCGCAAAGCTCGTCGCGCAAAGAAGACAGATGCGTGATGGTTCTTTAAACCCCCTCAATTGTTCATTTTACGACCCACAATATATCGGCTATGTCATAGGAACTCAGTTTCCGTGGTGAAAATGCCGAATTCCGGGGTTGCCCAAGGTTCCCACTCTCGATGTTCCACTTTCTCCACTTTTCGGATTTTGGCCTCCGCACTCCCTCGTAAATAGTTTTAACTCCAACAATCCCTGCCCATATCAACTCCTGTATATTGATTCTCTATCTACAATGGTTCAAAGACTCAAAATTGGTTGCGCCGGACTCGGTCGCATGGGCAAGCGTCATGCTCTGAACTTCCTCGAACGAACTCCCCGAGCCGAACTAGTCGCCGCCAGTTCGCCCGATCCCGTCGAGCTAGAATGGGCCAAGACACATCTCGAACCATTCGGTGTCCGTCTATACCAAGATTACGATGAGATGCTCAAGCAGGAAGGTCTCCAAGCAGTGGTAGTTGCATCAGCCACAGCTGTCCACGCTGAGCAAGCCATCAAGGCTATCAATGCGGAGAAGCACGTTCTCTGTGAGAAACCACTATCAACCAGTGTTGAAACGGTACGTATCATACACAACCGGCAACATCATAAACATAATAATCCTCAAACTAACTGACATCTTTAGTCCCAATCCGTCGTCGATGCCGCCTCCAAAAAACCCCATCTTAAAGTAATGTGCGGTTTCTCCCGCCGCTTCGACCTCTCCTATCGAGACGCGCACAAGAAGATGACAACCGGCCTAATCGGCACTCCCTCCGTCCTCCGCAGTCAAACCTGTGACAAACTTGACCCTTCCGGCTTTTTCGTCGCCTACGCCCAATACAGCGGTGGAATTTTCGTCGACTGCTCGATCCACGACATCGATCTGGCCCTCTGGTTCTTCGGTGCGAATAGTCAAATCAAGTCTGTCTCGGCAGTGGGTATCACGGCTGTCGAGCCCGATCTCCGCAAGCATAATGACCGCGATAATGCAGTGGGACTGGTGGAGTTCTTCGATGGCAAGATTGCTTATTTCTACGCTAGTCGGATGATGGCTGCGGGTCAGGAGGATACGACTGAGATTATTGGCACTAAGGGCAAAGTAGCCGTCAATGTTGTTCCACAGATGAATCTGGTGCAGCTTTCTGATGAGAAGGGTGTGCGAAGGGAGATTCCGCAGACATACTGGGATCGATTTGAGTTAGCTTTTGTCACAGAGGCTAATGAGTTTACGGCTGCTGTTTTGGAGAATCAGGAGCTGCCTTTCAAGTTAGAGGGTGCTGTGCAGGCGGTTCGGATTGGAGCTGCGTTGCAAGAGGCTATGATTACTGGAAAGAAAATCTTCTTTGATGAAAGTGGGAATCGGATTGAGAGTGCTCGTCTGTAGATTTTAGTCATAGGTAGAGCAAAAGGCCAACGTGAGCTATAATTTTAATAATTGTTAGCAAGACAGCAGACTATAGTTTCTACCAGGATGCAAGAGCCGAGCCAGGACAATAGTATAGCTGCTACCATAAGAATAGCTCCTAGAGGCAATCATGTTCCAAGACTATAAATACCTCTTTCCTTCGCTCTGCTCTTTTCCATTTCCCCAACTCAAGTCACCTCACCTCACTCCATATATCGACCGCCATCCTACCCTTCTACTATCAACTCCAGAAGGGGTGCGGGATGATTCAGGTCGCCTATTTATGCTGTCTTGTAAGGGAAAGTAGAGGCAGATATCATTTTCAGGTCACAGCACATGTTCATAGCAAATGATGCCTTAACCCCCGGTGGCCTGTTTATGTTGTTGCCTCAACAAAGCGGATTGACTGATCATGTTCTTCATGAGGGAAAGCAAATACAGAAGAGCCATTTCAAGTTTCGCTGAATCCAGATACCGAAACCGTTACCTCACAAGTGACGGAAAGCACTTAGGGTGTTGCATGTTCATCTTCACCAGATGGTAATTATATAACCTCATCTCTGGAAGAATGCCACCTCAAGATGAACTCAGGCTGTGTTGCTCACAGGTGGTTTTACCTCCCGCTGTGCCCAAAATGAAGCCAAAAGGATGAAGTCTGGCAGTCTCCAAGTATGTACTAATTTGCGTTCGTTCCATTCTCTTATGTTTCTTGAGGGATTTGCTAATTGATGGATATAGACTATGCGTGGGGGACTATGCATGGAAGGCCTCTCGTTCTACGTTTTTGCAGCGAAAACGATGCTGCGGGGTTTCTGGCTGCAATCCTATAGCCATGGCAGAGCAAAGCAGGTTCGTGGTGGGGTGGGTTTCGCGACATACAAATTTGAGTCGGTGGAATTCCAACCAGAATCCATAATGGTGCCTGACGCACTTGTTCGAGCCTATCGATCCTCACATGTGTGGAGACGCATTTTTTATTGGGTTTGATGAGATGTTGCATTTCCCAATGTACAGGATGGACATTCGGTTCATACTTGAGTATCTCGTCTCTTGAGACAATTCACTATAGCACCTTCAATTCAAGTGCGATGAGTACGAAGAACTGGCAGGTTGGCTTCAGACACTCCGAAAAGTGATCACAGAGCGGTTAAGAAGCTGGGAAAATCCCGCAGCCGTACCCGCAAAATGCATCGTTCGCCGACTCTATGATCCAGCGCCCTGTAAAGCGAAGTGGTACTCAGCGCAAATGCAATTAGCGCAACACTCGATTACAGGCCTAGCAAATCGAGTCAAAGCAGCAGTGAACAATCATTACGAGAGAATTTGCCGACTTCGACCACATCTCCGAGTCGTAGCAAACCAAACTGCAGGAGTGAACATCCATCTCCAGTTACAGACATACGATGTTTGTGTTAGCTATTCTGAGGATCAAAGAATATTTATGGCCCGCCTGGAATTGTTTTGATCAAGAAAAGACTTGATAGGAGTATCAGATGTATTTTGTCTCTAAGCGCTGAATTTATAACCATCAAAATATTGTATAGTACGAAGAGCAAATTTCGCTGTAAACATGTCTAGCAATTGCTAGATTTGATATTCATTCATGTCGTGCATGTATTTGTATAACGCTTCAAGACCAAAGAAAAATGGGAATCTCATAAAAAAACAAAACGAAATGACCAAGAAACATCTATCCAATTTAGGGGATTTTTTTTTGGTTTTTTTTACCAACGGACAACCTTGTTGGGGAAGTACTCATTAATGAGCTCCATGTAGTAAGGCTTCAGCTCCTCCGCACTGGGGATACCGTCACTCTTGCTGTACAGGTCGTAAGGGTTGAAAGCCTTGACAGCACGCAGCATCTCCTTGTCATGCTCATCCATCAGCTCGTGGTAAGCACCAGCGTTGTGCCAGGGGTAGAACGAGTGGTAACGGATCATAGCAAGAGCCTCATCAGGAAGGGTAGACTGCTCCTTGGCGATGTGGTAGAGGTACTCATCGTGACCCCAAGAGAGCATGACCTTGTCAAGACCACAGCCGGGGCTGTAGATACCGAACTTGGTATCGTAGATCTGGTGTCCGAAATCCTCGTTATCCTTGAAAGAGTCACGGCCGTAGACGATCCGCTCGTCAAAGGCACAGCCGACGGGGAAGGTATCACCGACAACATCCCACTGGCCCTGGGCGTTGTAGAAGAAGAGTAGCTTGCCCAGGTCGTGGATCAGACCGGTCAGTTGCATCCAGCGCGGCTTGCCGTCGCGGCGGATGGCCTCGGCGGACTGGAGGAGATGCTCGATCTGGGAGAGGCTGGTGTCCGGGTCGGACTCATCGATCAAGGTGTTGAGCTTCTCCATGGCCTCCCAGATGGTCATCTCGGCGCGGGTCTGGGTGTGGAACTCGTGGCGGGCCTTGAGGTTGTAGGCAACAGTCTGCTTGGTGTGCTGCTCCTTGTAGAAATTCTTGACGCGGTCGCAGGCGTCCTCGTACTGGCGGAATCCTGTCTTGTCCTTTGCCTTGTCGAATTCGGACTCCTCGTAGAGACCCTTCTCTTTGGCCTCTTGGGCCTTCTTCATGTTGACCTTTATGACGTTGACCTCATCGATGGCATCAGACATCTCTTCCAGAGCCTGGCCATCCCGCTTGGTGACAGCGGGAGGTGGGCTGTTCTCGATAGCGACTGGTGCCATTTTGTGTGTGTGAAGTATTCCTGACACTTGAGGATTACTTTGCAGTTTAGAAATGAACAGGGAAATGCGAGTATGTTGCAGACACTCGATCTTTTATAATCGAGAATGGGAAATGCAAGTCTTCTTATTTGCTTGAGAGAGAATGCTAAACCTGAATCTGGGGGAGTTCGAATCCATATATAGAATCATCGCCACAACTACGTAGCAAGTCGCATCTAGATTTCCGGGGCTATCACGGAGAACATTTCTCTTCGTAGAATTCGTTCCCCAGAGATCAGCCCATGATTTGCAGACATGTGTGGGTGTGCAGACCTCGTGGAGCATGGATCACGGATTCCAGAATCCGTGCCGACAAAGCCCTATGTAAGATTTGAAGGGCTCCACTGTTAGGTCACGTAATGGCGAATGATGATTGGCAGGTTTTAGGATCGTGGGGAACATGATGTCAGGCGGAACCAAAGTCGATGTAGCCCAGGATTCTGGTTTCCGGTACCTGCTGTATGCGTTGCTTTAGGCAGGCGGCGCCGAATCTTCCCCGCATCAGGTATCAGATTGATTTGCATACGCTGGAGATGAAGTAGCAGAAGTCTTCATGGTTTTAAAGGTCGAAACCGATGGAATTGGATGGACTCTGATTGATGGGAAAAACGCGGGGGTCTCGGGCAATGAATGGTTGACGGAGGAATAGCGGGGCAGATGAATGGTGGTTTGGCAACCCCGCGTGGGGGGTGCGACTCGGTTTAACTTTACCACGAGGAAACTACTTCTTCTTGCAATTTCGACTCTTTTTTCCTTTCCTTCTCTTTAGTTTAATCTTCATTTACAATACACAATGGCCGCTGCAGACATTCGCTTCAAGCTCAACACCGGTGCTGAGATCCCTGCCCTGGGTCTGGGAACATGGCAATCCGCCCCTGGAGAAGTCGCTCGCGCCGTGAGCCACGCCATCAAGGTCGGCTACCGCCACATTGACACTGCTCTGTGCTACGGCAACGAGCACGAGGTCGGCCAGGGTATCAAGGAGGCCATTGATGCCGGCATTGTCAAGCGCGAGGAGCTGTTCGTCACCACCAAGCTCTGGTGCTCCTACCACGCCCGTGTTGAGGAGGGTCTAGAGGAGAGTCTGAAGAACTTGGGTCTGGACTACCTGGACCTGTTCCTTATGCACTGGCCTTTGGCAATGAACCCCAAGGGTAAGAACTCAGAAAATGCCAATCAAGCTCTAGACTGCAGCTAACAAATCGCAAAGGCAACCACCCCATCTTCCCTAAGCTCCCCGATGGATCCCGGGATATTGACCACAGCCACTCCCACGTCACCACCTGGAAGAGCATGGAGAAGCTCGTTGGCAATGGCAAGGTCCGAGCCATCGGTGTCTCCAACTGCAGTGTTCCGTATCTGGAGGCGCTCCTGGCCGAGGCCACCGTCATCCCTGCCGTCAACCAGATCGAGAACCACCCATCTCTGCCCCAGCAGGAGATTGTTGACTTCTGCAACCAGAAGGGTATTCACATCACCGCTTACAGCCCTCTGGGCAGCACCGGTAGCCCGCTTTTCACTGCCGAGCCGATTGTGGCCGTTGCAGAGAAGCGTGGCGTCACCCCTGCTACTGTCCTGCTGAGCTGGCACAGTAAGCTGTCCTTTTCTCCTGTTATTCTAGGGCCACAAGTTGCTAACATGTTCTTTACAGTCGCCCGTGGTTCTTCGGTCCTTGCCAAGTCCGTCACTCCTTCCCGCATCGAGGCCAACCGCACCGACCTGATCAAGCTGGACGCCGAGGATGTCGCCACCATCAAGAAGTACTCCGATTCTCTGGCAGCCACCAAGTCCTTCACACGTTACGTTTTCCCTCCCTTCGGCAAGGACTTCGGTTTCCCCGATAAGCAGTAAATGTTTTCTGTATAGATGAGACGTGACTGTATATAGAAATGACTGATGACACCTTGGGCGGGCAATGTACCTGTGAAATAAAAATATCATGAATAATCTGTCAGATTTCATTGAATCCTATCCTCCATGCAAATGCCTCTATGATAATGTCTAGATCAATCCGGTGGTAATTGCAAGGAGTAACCTTGGTAGAGCATCAAAGTGATTCAGGGAAAATTGCAATTTTTTATGAAACATGTTTGACTAAAGAGGTAAAAAAGCATGGCAGTTTCGGCATTTTGCCCCAGCACGGTCGGCCGGTTTCCCACCCCCCAGTAACATGAGCTGTTAAAGAAGACCGAAAATCACCACAGGCCAACACACATATCCCAAGTAAACTTGATCATGTATCGCTGCCAGGTACTGAAATCACTAGGCCAGCAGAGCTCATGTTTACAGCACTCCCAATTATTAGAATGTATCAGGGAACATACCTAGGTACTTTAACCTTTCCTCTTCTCGTTCTTTTCTAGAGACTACACATTGTAAAACGCCGCACTCCCAGGCCTAAAATAAGCAAGACCAACACTCCTGTCATTTTCATACCCTACACTACCTCATTACCGACAGTGAGGCTATTCCCATTATCACATCTTGTAAACCAACATTATTCATAGGATGCCTCTGCTGATATGTTTTCCATGGGCAGAGGCGAGAAGATGATGGCTTCAATGATCAAGAAGGACGTCAGGGGGAAGGGGCGAAGACGAAGTCAAAGCACTTAATAACATCGATGATAAACTCGGACTTGATCTAACAGTCCCAATCTACAAGTCCAATTACGCATTCAAAGACCAGAAACATTTGAGACGGAACAACGTATCTTGGATTTTTGAGGTTTTTCACCTGTACAAACCAGCAAACGGTGATCAAATCCGTTGCTCACAAACCTTCAGCTATCGTACATGCCATCCCCTTTCCAGGAGACATAATATCTTGGATTTTCAGGTCCTTTCAACCCATTAAAATACACCGGCAAACGGGGATCAAATCCGTTGCCCACAAAGCTATCGTACAAACCGTCCCCAGTTACAGGGGACCACCTTCAAACTCCATCATCCCTCCTGCACCCTCGACCACTTCCACGTCTCAGCATCTTCACGCATAGCGTTCATCGATGTTGAGCCGGCTCAGAGGCCAGGACACACGGCGGATATGGCTCGCAGCCCGCCGGGTCGAAACAAACGGTGAGAGCGAAGGAAGGTCAAGGAAGCCGGGTGGCTCAGTGAAACACCCAGAGGCACCACTTATGGGTCGACGCATCTCCTCACACTCAAAGAGCGTGAGGGCGGCCGCCTCTGTGGGCATGGGCACTTCAAAGGCCGAAGTCTTCTTCAGAACGGGTGTGACAGGCCCGGGCGGAGTAGGAGTAGGGGGGGAGGGGCGGGGGAGGTGAAGACTTCTTGCCCGACTTCTTCTTGGCCTTCTTCTTCTTCTTCTTCCGAGTGCTTTCCACCGGCGTTGTCAGCCTCGAGGCGGACTCGGCCACACTCTCGGGCTTCGGGGTGGGCTGCTTGTCGGCAGCTACCACACTCTCCAGCACCGAGGTGGGCTCCACCACTTCCACCTTCTTGCCCTCGGGGACGAACGCCGCGGTTGACATCTTCCCAGGCTCCAGAACCTGCGATTTGGCCACAGGTCGCTGGTCCTCAGCCTTCAGATTCTGCTGCTCATACCGCCACTGCTCTGCCCACCAAGGCTCCATAGGAGCAGGCACTGGTGGGAAGGGGTAGTTGCAGTACTGTGGGTAATGGTAACAGCAACAGAATCGAAGACTGCCCACGCACTCGGGGCACCAACATGACTTTGACGGTTGGTGCTGTGTGCAAGGTGGGTAGAAGAGACAACTCAGGACGGTGTCGTCTCGCTCGAGGGTAGCCACGTCGACAGGCTCCATATGACCGTCCTCACGCTGCCAACAGAAATATGACTTTCCGTGGCAGGTGATATGCCAGTATGGTGGGTATGCTGGACACATCGTGAGGTCGAAGTCGGCATATGTAGCGGCTTCGGCGGGCTGTAAACAGAGTTGTTAGGACAATTGAACGCATAATGAAATGGAGAAAAGCATAACATACCTTCGTGGTGGGTGGTGCGGAGGGAGATGCCGCAATCTCCATCTCGACAGAAGTCACATCACCAGTGACCGCGACCTCAGCAGAAAAGACTGCTGGGGTGGTCTGGAAATCACGTTAGTAATTGAGACCAAATAGGGAAGCAAAAAGCAATAGCATACCTCGAAGGTGAGAGGTGACCCTGCCAAGAGAGATTGCGGCATCCCGAACTCGACGTCGACCGCAACGTCACCAGTGACCGCGACCTCGACAGCAGGAGCCGTCTTGGTGGTCTATAACAGTCATGTCAGTTAATATATCAGTATTGAAGGCAAAGTGAGCTGAACGTACCTCGAAGGTGAGAGGTTGCGGGGCCGGAAGAGAAGCCAGGGTCTCTGACTCGGCATTCACCACCACCTCACCAGTAGCCTCGACCTTAGCAAAAGAAGCTGCCAAGGTGGCCTGTGAGTTCAAGTTAGTATAAAGGACGTATCAGGTTAGCAAGAGAGCTACAACATACCTCGAAGGTGAGGGGGGTTTGCTGGGCCGAGGGAGACGATGACATCTCTCCGGTGACCGGTGTATTGATCACCGTCGACGTCGAGGAAGGTGTTTGGGGTTGGTCGAGACCCTCGTCGGTGGAGGGCCCCGCCGGGGTGGTGGTGGTGGTGGTGGTGGCAGCAGCGGCCATCTTGCTCGCCTTTCTCTCTGCCTTCTCCTTCTTCTTCCCCTTCTTCCCCTTCTTGCCTTTTGTTTTCTTTGAGGGAACAGAGGGTATTGTTGAAGGGGAAGGGGGGTTGGCGGCAAAGAAAGAGAAGACATGGGAGAAAGAGAAAGGGGATTGATGGGAGGCGCTGCTGCAGAGGGGGGAGGCGCCGAGGATGGCGGATAGATGATGATAACCGGAACAGCGTTGATGGGAAACGCGTCGGTAGAGGGAGATGGAGAGTAAGGAGGAGGAGAAGCAAGAACTGGCTTTGTGGCAGTAGTTATGGGTTCAAAGGGACCAGTGTAAGCACGCAGGTTATCAGTTTCACTGTAAGCAGGTGGTTCGGATAAAGGTCCGGTGTCGCCAGGTGGGATGTTGAGGTATGGAAAGTCAGGGAATGAAGGAATGGACAAGGTTCTAGAGGAAGAGGTTTTGTTCCCTTCAAGGTGAGTTGTTGTATGGTCGTGTAGGTCGTCGGCCTCTGAAGGTGAACTGCCAGGCTCAAGAACCTTACGCAATAACTCCACTGCTTCCTTAATGATAGTATGTTCCCGACCCTCACCAGGAACCTCTTTCATCCCACGCTCATTTCCATCCTTGCAAAATATCCAGGTTGCATCCTCATCTGTATATGAATTAGCATTTGCTGGTAAGTTGTGGAAATAGTATACTGAGTAACTTACCAAAATGGGCTTTCACATCAGCTAGATGAGCAGGAATTTCGTCTTTCTTAACAGCACAATCAAAGCTCCCCGCTGAAGGATTTATTGGCTGAAATCCATGTATCCTGTTGTAGCTCCATCTGGTAGTGCGAAACCCATACTTTTCTTCAAGGTTGAGGATCTCTCGTAGAGTCCAGTCACATTGTTTGGGAAGTTGCCGCACGCCCCAGTTCGCAAGGCTATCGGCTGTCATTCTACTTAACCAGTGCATTCTTTCAGGAGAATCAAAATATGATGAGTCTAGATCACGCACAAGGCGAGAAGAAGCTGGAGCCATATTGAAAAGAAAAAAAGAAAGGACAGAAGGGGGCTCGAAATGGGAAGCGTAGTCACGTGCGTGGTGGTAGGCAAGGATAGTGCGTGGAAGGAGAAATCGTGGGCCGGAGTAATGTTCTCCCGGAATATTAAATAGTAGGGGAATTGGTCTAGCCCGATCTGGTTAAAGGTACGCATGTATATTTGCAAATTCCACGGCCTCACTCCAGGAATTCAATGCAACACTAACACAGAATCAATTGTATCGCCCTTAATTCCATACATAGGTTTTCAATTCACTGTTTAACGGTCCAGTCTCAGACCTGGTAGAATCCTCCGTTAGTCTGATTGTCCAATATGCATGCCAACTTTCAAGGGCAACCCATTGCACGTGATGCGTAGATCCGTCAATCACCACTTGCATTTCTCGACGTTCAAATGTAATACATATACCTATTACCATTGGGCGCAATTCTGGATAAGCTTACAAACTTTACGGGACAGGCACCTTTGATCTTCTGGATAATTCATTATTCACAGGGACTATATGTAACATGGAACTGGAAATACACCTGGTTGCACCTGCTCTGGATATTGAAAACAAAAAAAAAGCAAAAGGATGGTGCATGATAGAAGACAGACGCTCGTAAATGCACCCAGATGGTATAAAGGTCGTGAAATGTCAAGTCAAAGAAATTAGACCAATGAGGTCTCTCGCATAATGAGGGAAATGGATATGTGCTTCGGGACGATAAAGACACAAAGAAAAGGCAATATAAAGAATGGCTCTCGGGATTAGAACATGCCACCATCAACAGGAACAGCAGGAGGTGGGTAGTGTGGGATATCGGGGACAGGACTCATTGCCTCTTGACGGGCCCGCTCACCACCCTCAATCGACTTCTTGCGAAGACGGCTGCGCGATCGAGGGCGCTTCTCATCATCTGGGAAGACGCTTTGCTCATCATTAATGCTAGGAGCAGGGGATGAGACACGCGAATCGGCCTTGAATGCGGAAAGAATGGTCTGGGTGCCCCGGCGACGGCGGGGGTTCATCGGGGGCACTGGGGGAGTCGCAGTCGGGGCTGGACCTCCTGGAAGACCAACTGTGGGGACATTGGAAGTACATGAGACGAACGTCGGCTCGGAAATGGTCTTCTTGTTCACTGGTCGCTTCTGAAGCATATTACTGCCCGGGCCACGTTGGGGCAGGCTTTGTGAGCTGGCCGCAGCGAGACTGGCTGTTGATTGATCCGAGGGAATCTCATTCAGCGGAGGAGTGGCGTTGGCCGAGTAAGCAGGGGTAGCAGGGCAGGGACGGGGCGGAGCACCAATCATAGAAGGTGGATGAGATGCCTGGTTGAATTGGAATGGTCGTTCGTACTGGAAACTAGGAGTTCCGGATCGGCTAGCACTGCGATATCTGCCCGATGCGGCCGAAGCAGATCGGTCGAAAGGAGCATGCTCTGAGGTCTCCATGGATGGACGGGTCGAGCCAGCAACTGAAGCAGGTGTTGGTGGCTCGAAGTTTTCAGGGACAACAAAGTTCTCATGGGCGATGACCGCACCCTCCTCCACAGTTTCGAGATCATCTCGGTCGCGGTATCTGGTGCGACTTTTGGATCTTCCGGAAGCATCAGAGCTCGAGCGATCTCTTGGGGCCCGGAACCCAGGCTGCGGGGACGTGCCACGACTGCGGCTTGACTCTCGAGATGCGCTACGACTGAGAGTAGGCATGCGAGACCGGAGGGAACGTTCTGAGACTTGGGGAGCGCTAGCATTGGAATGGCGGCTGAAAAGAGATGGCCGTTCCTCGCGCGGCGAATCTTCTGTACCAAGAGAAGGAGTAGAAGAGCTGTAACCATATAGATCATGCTTAGAGACGCCTTGCTTGCTTGATTTGTGCTTCAATAGGGAGAAAGCGTTGCCAGCCTTGATCTGGGAGTCGGGGGTTTGTCGACCTGGAGTGGGGCTACTAGAGCGACTTTCGCTTTCTGCGACACTTCTGAGCTTCTCTTGGATCTTCCGGCGTCGCTCAGCAATCTCCATAGCGAACTCTTCACGCTCTCTTTGAGTCTCGGTGCTTCCATCTCGACGGTGGTGGTTTGCAAGCTCGTCCTTCCAAGACGGAACATTCTCTGAAATAGCGCCATCGGAGGAGTCTTCACTGCCACGGCTAGCTGTGACCTCGGCGGACTGTCTAGATGAATCCCGGGTGCTCGAGGTTTCTGGCTCGGTCAGCTCGGCAACAGTATCGACGTGAGCCTCATTCTCTGCCGTGGGGCTGGGCTGGACCTCAACAACAGACACTTGAGGCTCAAGCTTCTTCAAGTCTGACTCACCCACGGGCAATGTTGGGGACTGGGAACGGAAGATTGAAGATTTGTCACTGGCAGACCGCAAGTGCGACCGAATACCATCCATGCCGAATCCAGATGGTTGGATGGTCGGAGAGTCTGGACGTTCGGGAGTCACAGAGCCAGCGATGTCAGAGGGCTGTGTCTCTTCCGGAATTTCGTTCTCGTCGATTGGTTTCAGGTCACCAAGATCGGAGTACCGCACTTCTGGCAGAGTTTCAAGAAGGTCCCCTGTGGGGGTAGGCGGCTTAGGTGTAACGCTGGGGTGGTAGAGGGCGTTACCGTAATCCGTGGCTGCAGATGTCACTGAAGACATTTCATACGAGCGGCGATCATCTCCTTCATCTCCCGAATCGCTCGTGGTCGAGGCAGCATAGAAAGTTCTGCTACCAGGTACACGGGGAGACGCTTCCACGCTCTCCATGCCATGGTGCGCATCACTGCTGTAGTGCGAGGAGGCTGACTCGGCTCTGGAGCGGTAGCTGGACTTGGAAAGTCCGCGGAGACGGCCTGGCTGGTCGGTTGGCATGGCACGAGGGGGCGAAGCAGGTCGTCGGGGAGGAGGGGTGTCTCGGCCTTGGTGCAACTGGAGCTGGCGGCGAACGAACTGCTGCTCATCAAAACCGGTAGCTGGTCTGTTGAACAGACCCATTGCTGTTGCTTTTCCGTGGTCTTCTGGGTTCAGTGCTGCAGCCAGCAAGGAGTGACTATCGTCGGTCTCGCTAGAAGGGGGGCTCAGTGGAGGGGCACCGAAAGAGGATCCTGTTGGGGAAATGCGCTCCTTAGGAGGCAGTTCAATGTAAGGCTGTTGCTTTGGCGAAGTTGCCGATGAAGGAGGACTGTTGGGCCCAGGGCCAGATGGCTCAGCAATAGCAAGTTTTTGCAGTCGGTCACGAAGGTTGGAGGCGCTCCTGGAGTAATTGCGGTTCAAAGGCAGAAGATCCGGAGTACCAGATCGCTGACGACTGAGGCTTTCAAGGCGATGCAAGGTCGAGTTTTGTTGATTTTGCACGTTCTGTGTCAGACCCTGGCCATACAAACGACGAGATCGAACCGAGCCAGTTCTTGGGTTCGACATGCCAGAATGTGGGCGGGCATCCATTTGGAATTCTGGAGTTGGAGCGGTGTGCGGTGGGCCTGTTGGCTGCAGGTGAGATGCAATGGATTGAGACTCATCAATCGAAGTCGCTGCGGTTGAGAAGCGTGCATTTGCTGTGGGGCCAGATGCAGTTGATGATAAGGTGGTCCGATTTGCAGATGAAATAGAAGGAGTGTCTTCGGAGTCCGGTGTAGCGATGTCGAGAGCCGCTGCTTCTGCTGCTGCCGCTGCCTCTCTATCTTGCTTTTCTTGCAGTCTCATCCGCTGGAAAGCAGACATGTTCAAGTCATGATCATATACTGCTTTGCCCATTCCTAGCGGGCTCTCAGTGGCGGGTGAAGACCCCCCGGGAGACCGCACTGGAATGCGGAATACTTTCTGACGACCACCAAACAAATTGTTTCCTTCGGCTCGACGAGCTCGGCTCATGATGCTCCCATTATGTGATCGGTCATCGTCGGTTCCGTAACCTCCATCACCACCAGATGCATAAGAGTCGGTACGGCCCAAGACCATAGAAGGTCGGCTGCCGTCAGTTGAGGAAACTTCGTCAATATCTGTAAGCATTGCTGGGCTGTGTCCAAAGAGGTTCAATCGCGAAGCTCGCTTGGGGAACAGGACGCTGTCGTCACTAGCTTTGCCGATCTTGGAGGCCGGGTCGTCCTGTTCTCTCAACATACTGAACCGAGCAGAAAGCTTTGGCATGAGCAGACTGGTCCGGAAGTCGTCTGATGGTGGAAGAGCGTCCGCTAAGAGGTCCAAATTTGGTAGCTCCTCCGCTGAATCCTTCTTTTTCGACAGCTTCAAGCTGAATGGAGATGTGGATGGACCATTCTCTAGCTCGTTCAGTGTGTCCTTGACCTCCTTCGCCTTTTTATTCTTGCGAAAGCGGTTCATCATCGGATCGGTTTGTGGGATTTTATGATAGGGGAACGAGCGGGTATAGTTCGTATTGCGGGTTGAACGACGGGCAACGAGTGACTACCGACTGGCAGAGCACATTAGTCTCTGGGATTGTAGATATCTCCTTCCCAGATACTCACTATGCAATGCTTATCCACGTATACAAAAGAGCGGCATGACCATTAAGCGCCAGGTCAAGTTGGTTGGAGGAAAGAGCTGACTCCTGAATGGGAAATTGTGTGTGTAAAGAATAATCCCCGCGATTGATCTATTCTTATTCGCGTTCCGTGGATGGGCAAGCAGGATTGTAGGGGGTTCGAGCACCAATCAAATATAGCTGAGGGGGCGAAGTGGCCGGCGAATTGGATTGATTGATCACACGAGGAAACGAGTGGGCGGGATAGGAGTCGGCGTGCAGGTAATGATCGGGGGCGTCTGAGTTGGAAGTGCAATCGATAGGTTTAAAGAGCGTGAGGAATAGCGATCAGTAAAAAGGAAAAAGAAAAGTCAAATATGACAGGACGACCTCATCAAGGAATGCGATGATTGGAGATTGAGAATGGGGAGAAAAGTGTCCAGGTACGGGTAACAAGGCTGTATTGACTGTATGACGCTAGAAAAATCACAGAAAAAAAAAAATCCCAAAAGTCAAAATTGACTTAAACAAAAAGGGATCTGGATCCGGATCGTCCCCGATATGAGTGTCCACCTGTTCTACAACTCGATCGATTATGTTGTGCACATGAAGTTTTGAGCAACAAGTTGTTTATTTACCATGCAATGCCCATGAGGTAGGGACTACCCGAAGGTGCATCCATGGATACGATTGAGGGGAGTCGAGACATGGAGAAGAATACAGTACAATACTTTGATTACATCACAATATCCTACTGTTTTATCGAGAATTATTAAATAATAACCCCGTGGACCCAATGACTTACGGGTCCCTTGCAGGATGTCCAATGATACCGTAAATACGCTGTAAGTTTCCTCGTGCGGCATGTGGAACCTGGGGCTGAGCGCCACTGCAGCATCCCCGTCGCGTCCAATGATTGTGATGTTTTATCTTCATAATTAAGGATGGAGAGGTTACCCATACCGGCGCGGGGCTTGTTTACTGTTGAAAGTTAATTTGATATCCCCCATCTCTTTCATTCGGGAGTTCATAGCCGGGAATTGCATAGAAAAAGGAAGGTCAATTTTAAACCACTAGCTTGTTTCCGAGAGTCTGGGCACGGGAACCCTGCCAATGCGAACTGGATTGACCGATCTCCAGATGGATAGACAAAGCAGCTGATCTCAAAACCGATAACTTCGGTACAATCGGTGGGGACTTTGACCAACACTGCCCACACTATCCATGGCCCATGATGCATGAAGTATATCTCATTCCCCTTGCAGGGCGGCAAACTTGAACAATGCAATTGATCTCGGCCATTCGTCCATCAGATGGCTTGCAGGGTATCTTCAGCCACCTGCAGGCCAGCTCATGAATAAAAATACATCTTAGCCACTGTAATCTTCAGGTTATTTCTCCGAGAGTCTCCTGCGTCGTGCAGCACGGTTGATTCCGTCGCGCATATTCTACATGCTATTGACATGCTGTGCCACGCTGGCAGACGCCCATGCCGTAGATCCTACGCGGGTCGCAGTATTTGCAAGGAGAGCAACCGGTCACCTGAATCCATGGGAGCTTCGCACGGTGAAGAGCCCTCTTCGGCGCTACAGGGAGAGTAATTGCTTGTTTTGATTTCTCTTCCGACGCGACCCAGGTGTTGCATCATCGATTAATGAATATGCATCCAGAATCCGGATCTCATCCCAGCCCTGGTGGAACCTATGAGATCATGAGCACGGACAAGAATAAGAGCAGATAATCTAACGGAGAAGGCTAGAAGGAGCAAACTTCGTTTAGCGCGTGGCTCGCGTTATTTTGGAGCCAAGATTGACAGCCGTTGTTAGGACCCAGCCCGTAAGCTTTGCCCAGGTATTCTGGATCCCGCGGACAACCTTCTCCTCTCGTAGTGGTGGACCGAAGAAAAAAAGGGCAATAGTGGAGCAGACAAATTCGCTTGGGTAAGAGGGACTAGTGCGTCGCTGTTGGGTCCACACAGTCAGCTTGCTCCCGCATCGCCGTTGTTTTTGTTACCTCCACGCACCTGACCCATCTGCCCAAATCATCATAGTTTGGGCCTAAAGATTGCCTTTCCACTTCCCCGGGGCCGTGGATTGGCTGGCGAAACGGTGCCCCTGACTAGTCTTAGAGCGGAATCCTTTTGTAATTCTGATATGCACATGCATGATTCCTCTGCACCTCTACTTCTCTGATCCAGCCAGATTTGTGATATTGTGTTCAATAGACTTTCTCAAATCATCATGATTTTATGATTTGTAAAAAGGGGAGCTGAAGGAATTGGATTTTAAAGCTCAAAGTACCTGCAGCTGTACCTGGTGGGGCAGCCGGTATTGACTCCACCCGGTAACGATACACAAAAGTACCTTCCATTTCCCGATACTCGCACTTGCAAAACGGCCCAGAGTCGAGGCTCTCCAGCTCGATATTAATTTCCGATCTATCACACTTCTCGGAATATTGATTAAATCGATGTGAAATCTCGTATTGAGCCCTCGCTAAAAAGTCAGTATCTATACTTCGCGAATCATGAATTCATGGATCCGTTGAATCTTTGATTCTTGAATATTGATCGACGGGAGAGCGTGCATATCGATCGGTCTTCGAGCTCTAGGGCCCAGATCCAGCGATTTTGTGTTCTTGCAAAAGTCTAAGAAGATTGAGGAGGAACGTTGGGGCCGGAGGTATGATCCAGTATGGTGGGTGCCAGGCCACCAATCCCAATTTCTGGCTCCGCCCTAAGGGAAGATTGTAATTGAAGGCCCCGCGCCGTTGTTTCAAGTGTGCGATCAATTATTTCTGGCTGATCTTTTGGTGGGCGACCTTGTATTCTGATTGGAGTTCTCGCTTATCGGAATGATCTTCCTGAATGCCATGCGGTGCTCAATTGTGAAAGACATGATCCCAAAGCCCTAGAGATCATCGGGGGGTGAAATTGGAACGGCCGTTGGTTGAATAATGCCCTGTTGGTTCCCGCTTTTTCCAAGGACCGGAATGATCCTCCAGAGCCTCTTTCGATTGGAGGATAATTAATTCCAAACAGACACAAAATCAAGAAAATCTAGAACGTTGAAGCTCCCATATAATATTCCAAGGTTTAAATGTGTTTCCAAGGTCTCGATATTAAAATCACAGGATTCATGAGCGGATACAATCCGATGTCCTGCAATTGTTTGAGTTGCCCGATATATAATTTCCTGTTGCCCCGGTGGAGTAGTCAACAGTTCAAAATGCACTCGTCCAAGACTACGCCTCACTTCTGAAAATAGGTCAACTTCTCTGCATCTGCATCTATATTTTGGGCTCCCAGGTATAAACATTGAATTGAAACACATGGTATCTATAATTGCCCCTTTGCAAGGGGTACACATGTGACATAATCATGACGTAATATACGCCCAGAGTTAGGCCCACTAGGTAAATCTCAGTCCGGGGTCAATACACTTATGATTGGCTGGATATCATCACGGGATTTTGATCGGTCCCTAGAATACAAAGTGAATTTAGGTCCTGATTCCAATGTTCAAGCCTCAAGGTAATGTGGCTTTCCATGGATACTTTTATAACATCAAGTCATTTGTTTGCATGTTCGTCCCAAGCCTGCTGTCTCAGTTCGGGATCTGCCAGAATCTGATAACCGGCACTTGCAAGACCCTTTCCAACGTCTAATGCGCGCAGAAACGAGTCGTATGTGCCTGCTGCCTCTGCAAATCCAGATGTATGCGGTCCGGTAACACCCCCTGGGGTAGGGATAACAAACATCGGGTGAATACCGGGGATCTCGTGGGTCACGTTTCCTAGAAGCAGACAGATTTAAAAATACAGCCATGCAGCCACTTGACTTGAAAAGGGAAACGCTACCTTGATCAGTTGAGCCTCCAATACTATCTTCCAATTTGTGTTGAAATGTTTTCCCCATGACTCGCATGGAGTCACTGAAGACCCTTGCAATCGTCTCATTGTTTCGTAGGTTTTTGTATGCTCGATCCCTGACTGAGGTTAGCCTGATCAACAAGATCAACAAAGGTTGGTCTCACCATGTCAATTCAACTTTGCATCCGGCTGCCTGCGCGCCGCCGTGAATGCAACCTTCAAGTCGTTTGCAAAGCGTTTCCAGTTCCGCATCGGTTGCAGCCCGCGCATAGAGTTCCATCTCCGCAAGTCCCGGAATGATGTTTGGTCTTTCGCCACCATTGCTGATTATGCTGTGAACACGTTCCGTCAAGGGAAGTTGCTGTCGGAGCATCGCAATGTTATTGTATGTTGCAACAACAGCGTCAAGTGCATTGATTCCAGCCCACGGAGAGGCTGCTGCATGGGCCTCCTTCCCATGAAACTTGATCTTGACCGAGTTGATGGCCAGAGTCTTTGGACAGCTGATACCATCGAAAGATTCAATATCGTTGGATGGATGGGCCATAAGACTAGCATCCACACCGCGATAGGCACCAGCATCGATCAAGTCGATTTTGCCACCACCTGACTCTTCAGCTGGGGTACCCAGCAGTCGGACCCGGCCTTGCATCCCCGTGTCTTTGATCACGCCTGCGGTAAATAGGAAGGCGGCGATTGAGGAGGTGGCAATGAGATTGTGTCCGCATGCATGATGGTATCCGTCACTTTCACAGGGGAGGGCATCGTATTCGGCGTTGTAACTTACGAGTCCTCCTCCGGTGCCGAACTCGACTTGAAAAGCTGTCGGGACTCCGTATGCGTGTGGCGTGACAGCATATCCAAGGCTTTCCAGTAATCCGCAGATGTTGTCGTGGGCTTGCACCTCTTTGTAATGTGGCTCGGGGTTCCCGTGAATCTAGTGGGGGGGATAAAATCTTAAAAAACTTACGAGCTCTCGAATGAGATATTCATCAACGTACCTGTTTATTCACACGCCATAAATCATCTTTGTGGGTGTCTGCCAGGCCATCTATTTTGTCCTGGATTTGACTGAGGTCAGCTTGTGCAGGGATAATAGTTCTCATGGCTTGCGATCCGGGGACAGTGTGTAGGGAAGCGACAAGAGAAATCATCGCATAGACTCACCTGGAACCCAATTTATAGGGCCGTACAGGACGGAAGGCATTGCAGCTCAATCTTTTCTAGACCATGTATGAAAGCCAACATGTACTTCGGGTTCGGAAATATGGGGCCGATCTGTGATTGGCTAATGCGGCAAATGGCTACAGATAACACGGAGTAAGTCGGTGTTCACCGCGTCTCCACACCTTATCACCTGGTCACTCCTCTTCTCTAAGCGACTTGACCTCGTCTAACTGTGCTAACCCGATTGATTACACAGACAGATAATTCAATATGTCGGGAAGACATGCCCCTCGCTCTAAAAATGGTCAGTATCCACTAGAATGCAATACACTCGTCATCTAACAGTTGTATAAACAGGCTGTTTGTCTTGCCGTGTGCGCAAATTGAAATGTGACGAACGGAGACCAGAGTGTCTGCGCTGTACTAGTGGTCATGTGAAATGTGATTGGGACTGGGTGCCGGTTCCTCGGCGATCAGCACGCAAAGCAGTAAGACAGCGCGGGAAATGTCGCTCATTACAACCTTTGGTCCACCATTCTTCGCCTGTTATGACAGGAAGTTCCGCTTATAAGATCAACCTAAGTCATTCCATCTATAATTACGAGCCTTCTCTCACGAGAAGCTTGGGGACCGACCATATCCCCCTACAGAACTCCGTCATACTTGGCCTTAAGGACCGGGAGCTGTTCCAATTCTTTCCTCGTTGCACTCTCACCTTCAACTACGGGAAAGCTTGGGAGTGGAGCGCTCCAGCGTACATTTACAAAGAAATAGCCAAATGCAACTCTAGCGTGATGCACATGATCATGGCTATGGGGGCAAAAGAACTTCAGCTACAGCAGAAGACACATCCACACAACGACAATCTTTTGACACCAATAGCAGAAGCGGGAGAAGTGCATTATTGTTACGCTCTAAGCGAATTGTCGCGACTGTTGCGTACGCCAGCACCGATGATGAACGAGACCATTGACGCGATCTTGACTCTCTTCTATCTCATGATATTTTACGAAGCACAATTTGGTAACAATAACGCCACTACGTCAATACACCTTCAGGGATTGGTGTCATTCTTTCGTAGCTCCAAACAGCTGTCCAATGGAAATCACTTATCAATCGACCGACTTCCTCCGCTGTCGCAGCAGTTGTTGCTTCTCACTCTGTAAGTCCCACTCTAGTCGACCCACCGACAATGGCTCATAGCAGAGATAGTGCTTGCAATTTGGGGATAATACCAGAGAGACCAGATGCCAAAGATTCATTCAAATACTTCCTCGGCGGCGAGAGCCCTGACATGTTCTATGACCAACTCTTCCAGGCAGCGCACCATACCTTACCCCGAGTCTGGGACACTCGGTACCCAGCCGAACAACTTCTTGATGACCTTGAGAACCTTAGGGCCCTGGATTTCATTCATGAGTGTAGTAAGCTTCGGTTCAAAGTGGAGATCCTGGATCAAAGCTCACAAGACCTGCCCTTAAGCATCTCCCATATGACAGGCATACGTGAACACTTACGACGGACCAGGGAGGTATGGACATCTCCAAATATGCATCCTCGGCCAAGGCAAACGTGCTAACCAGAGCAGAAATTTGAAGACATTCTGCGAATAGCTAAGCTTGCACAAGTACCTGGCACTGTTTTGCGCCGTGTAGTGCGTACAACTTTAATTGCTGCTACTGATCTATACGGAATGGAGATATTCTGTCACCGAGTAGTTTGCCGTCAATTACCAGCGCACGACTGCCATCAGTCGTCTCTGAAAGATCTCATGGGAACAGCCAAGAAGACATTGGATATTGATATGCGACTTTTAGGACGCATATGCTGGCCCTTGCTTATGGCAAGTATGGAAACGAAAGACATGGCTCAACAGGCTTGGATCTGTAAGATATTTGGAGAAATTAGTGCCAAGCACGGGAGCCTATATGGCATTGAGAGGTGTTTAAACATGACATGATATTTGATACGATATGAATAATCAAGTTGATGTTTGCCTATGTCACTGTATCTTTAAATTTGGGGAGAGTCGAGTGATGATCATGTGTTAATACCTACCCTAGGCAAGTTCACAACTTATTGCATTTTATCTACTCTATGACACACAAGTATTGCCACTCGATCCGATAGGAAACGTAACCTATTCCGTAGGTTTCTAACGATTTCAAGATAGAAGTAAACTTTCGCGGGGAAGAACCGTGCACGGTCCACCCCTCACCATTTGCCGCATTGGCCAATAGGCACTCGCGCCAAGATACGCCCTCATAGGATACACATTATGTTGCTAATAGTCTGAAGGCTATCTATTCCCACCAGAGATAAAGAAACGCAACGGAGTACCACAGAATACGTTTAGCAATGGCCAAATGGTATAAAGACCGGCTCAATTCCTGAGTTCAGATCAAAGTCGCTGAAACTGTTCATCTCCTTAATCCATGCTGAATGAGCAAACATGGCCCTTGGCAGTGCAGTTAACCGTGATCCAGCCTGGCCGCCAGGTACCGCTCGAATTGAAAATTTACAGAGTACTGATTATGCGCACACCTATGGCGAGATAATCCTACAGCCTCGTCCCTCATCGGACCCAAATGATCCTTTAGTAAGGAGCTATCTTTCCCTTCTCTCTGCTTCGAGACAACATGCTGACATAGCGAACTCACAGAACTGGCCTTTATGGCGCAAGCATCTCAATTTCTTCCTGGCATCTTTTTATTCATTCATGGTCTGGGCGCTGTAGGTATACCCTGTCCTGTTTCTACCATGCTTTCGCTGACCGCCGAAGAATTGACGCCGCTACACCAACCTGGACAGATATGAACATCCAACTCGGCTTTAGCTTCGAGATACTCGACGACTCATATGCAGCCGGATGTGGAAGCTTATGTATCGGGGCATTTTTCATGATTCCCTTTGCCCTGGCATTGGGACGACGTCCTGTCTATCTGGTCAGCACCGCGGCGCAGCTCGCCATCTGCATATGGTCGGCAAAAATGCAAACAGTTGTCGATCTTATGATGGTCAACATTTTGAGCTGCTTTTTTGGCGCGCTATCCGAAGTCATTGTCCAGATGACTGTTGCAGATATCTATTTTGTTCACCAACGTGGGTTGATAAATAGTGTCTACGTCTGGTTCATGTACAGCGGTGCTAATTTGGCGCCATTGGCGGCGGGCTATATCACTATTGCTCAAGGGTGGCGGATGGTCTGGTGGTGGATGGCCATATTTTTTGGTGTCTGCTTTGTTGCTTTCGCTTTCTTCTACGAGGAAAGCTTGTACAAGATATCTGCTGGAGTGGTCGATGGTAACCCAACATCCGAGAGAGATTTCGAGACATCAGGGACATATGCAGCAGCCAAGGACGATGAGAAAGTTGACAAGGCTGGAGATTATTTGACACTAACTGGCTCCAACTCCCATACAGCGTTACCACAGATCGACATTTCTATCCCTAAGAAAACATACCTACAGCGTCTGGTGCCGTTCACCAGACCCCAGGGCTCACTACACCATTTTCTTCGGCATAGCTACCAGCCTTTCTTCATTCTGTTCACCATCCCATCCGTCTTTTTCATGGCCCTCATATACGGTGCTATGACAGCATGTTCAACAATCATGATCACCACTTTGTCATCATATATGGCTTTGCCACCATACAACTTCAATTCATCCCAGATAGGTCTCATGAGCCTCCCTCCATTCATTGGGACAAGCCTGGGAGTCCTTATAACGGGCCCACTGAGTGACTGGATTATCCTCTTCCTCGCAAGACGAAACAAAGGCATCTATGAGCCGGAGATGCGCCTCTGGGTCATTGCCGGCTTCATTCCTCTTGTCCCGGCAGGGATACTGATGTTTGGCCTAGGCTTGAGCAGGGGCGCTCCGTGGCCGGTCTTGGCCGTAGGATTTGCACTTTGTGCATTCGGAAATGCGCCCGCCAGCAGTGTTTCCTTAACCTATATCACTGATGCTTATGGAGAGGTATGAATCTAAACCTCCCCTGTCTGAAATGCTGAGTCGTTCTCTAATAATCCCTTTTAGATCGTTGCCGACTCACTGATTGGAGTCAGTTTCATCCGCAATCTTTTTGCAACTGCTTTGGTATTTTCTCTTACACCGTGGATCGAGGAAGTTGGCCTGGAAAACGTGTTTGTGACAATTGCAGATTTGATGACTGCCATTCTGCTTGGCACCTTCGGGTTTATCGTTTACGGGAAACGACTGCGACATGTAATGGCTGATAGATACCAGTACTATGCTGAGAGACAGCTGGACTTAAGACATTGAGATGTGTATCCTTTGAATACAGAAACAGGGTCCTATTTCAAAAATTTTATTTCTTGCAAAACTCCTACTGTCAAGATTCGCCAAGCCCTCTGCTGCCTAGTGCCTACCAGGCTGCGCTTTGGGTGGATCCTTATGTACTGATATCTCACTCACGTGATCAACGCTCGGCAGTGGAAGTGATCACTAAAGCAGCAACAGCAACAACCTGATACTATATGCACTTGTAAGTAGGTACGTGAGTACGTAAGTCTACCTTATATATGGTTCAAACTATTTACTTTGCTCGATTCAAGTCAATGAACTCTGAATGAGTTGATATCAAACTGCCAAGTCTAGTTTTGTAACAGGCCCTTATTTCAGGTTAGCGTAAATCTAGGCGTCCTCTCTAGTCGCTACTGTAGCCTGCACTGTTTTTGCATCAATACTGCCAAGATGCTGCGTCTGCGTCTCTTGAAAAGACTATATAGTCAGGCTCATGCAGCTAAATTCAATACAGTTGCAAACCCGCGACTCAACATGTCAGGAACCAATTTCGACCCGGTCGCGAACCCGCGACTTGAGATGCCAGGATTCAACGTCCATCTCTATTACAAGGTCAGGATCCCCCTCTTTGATTGCAGAACCTGAAGCTGATACAGAAGCCCCAGAGTAACACAATTCCTTGGTCTGCAAGGCATGAGGAAGTAGAATTTGAGAATGCCTTAGACCCAAGCTACTGCAATAGCGAATGGACGCGGTAAGTACTGGCCTTGAAATCGCGTCCAGCTCTGGGACTGACGGGTTCGTTGCAGCCTTCTTTTTACTCACAGAGAAATCTTGATGATGCGAGTGATGAATAACATATCCGACAAGCCTGCGTGGGATAAAAAAGTTTGTTCTGGTTGCGTCTGTATTATGATTTCTGTTCTGACTCTCCACAGGTTTTTGACGAGCAAATCACTGCCAAATGGCGTGAAGAGGTCTCCCAAAGTGGCCAGGATGTATCCTCTAGGATGATGGATTGGATAATCGACGAGCTTCAATGGAAAGCTAGAATCCATCAAGACAAAGGAGCCATTTACGTCTTCGATTCTGGCGTGGTCAAGTCTGACATTGCGATCTCTCAGCAGATCCAACAGGCTTTGAAAGACGCTGTCGCCCCCTTGGAAAATATACCCGAAAATGACAAAGACTACCATCCAGGCTCTGATCAGAAAGTTGTTGACCTGGTCCATCCTTCGTTGTTCCCAGTTATCTACGGCCGAACCCGTGTTCTACCAGACCGTGTGATTGGCCTAGGCGACTGCCTCGGTAGTATGGGAGAAGGTGAACCGATCCCAGTCCCATTAGAGAAAGATTCAAGCATTCCGCCACTGCCATCAGACAGGGGTGAGAGTCCCACGGTTATGAGCCGAAAATTCCAATGGCTCCCCTGCGACGTCGAAATGACAAAGGATGGTGGTTCTCGAATCCTATCGTACATCAACAACGCTCATCCTATCAAACACCGAGCGCTATACGAAGTCGTTGAAAAGATCATTGCGCAAACGATTCCTCTCTGGAACATGAGTCTGACAAACAGAGATTCCGATCGCCGACACAGAATCGAGTACACGGGAGTCGAGTACGGTGAACCTCTCGAGCCGGAGCCAACGGTGCCAGAGGGAGACTATGATGAAGACAAACATGGTGAGGACCATTGGGCTTGGTTAGCTTCCAGACCGATCAAGCAGCCCGAGCCAGGCCGGTTCGATAGAACGTACACGCTAGATTACTACGACAAAGCCGTTAATCTGCGAGAGCAATTCAAGGACCAGAACCTCCAGGTGATTGTGAAACTAGCAAATATCGAGCTGACACCGGAGAAGCCCGACTATGAGGGTGGCACCTGGCACATAGAGGGCCAATTGGTTAGCAACTTTCTTCCTCCTAATGCCTCGTTCTTTGCTAAAATCCATTAGAATGAACGAATTTGCGCATCGGCAATCTACTACTACGACAGTGCCAATATCACAGAAAGCACATTGGCCTTCCGCCACCGAGCTATGGATGATTTCTACGGATTCGACTATGAGCAAGACCTCCACGAATTCTTGCAGGTCGTCTACGGATTCCCACCCGGAACCGACGGACACAACGTATCTAACAAGACTCAACTCGACGGAAACGTCGTCTGCAAAGAAGGCCGATTGATCACGTTCCCGAATACTCTGCAACACTGTGTCTCTCCATTTGCACTGGCAGATCGGACCAAATCGGGACACAGGAAGATTCTTGCACTGTTTCTTGTGGATCCTCACAGGCGGGTCATCTCGTCTGCAAACGTTCCTCCGCAAAGAGAGGATTGGAGGGAGGACAAAGGTGATTCGGAGATGATTGGGTCGTTGATGACGATGGATGAGGCGAAGGAACATAGGCTTGCGCTGATGAAAGAGCGAAGTGTTCGGATGAAGGATAATAATCGCGACTTTGAAAATGGGGAGTTTTGTCTTTGTGAACATTAATAAACGGAAAGCGTGATAGGCTGTACAGCATACATTGTCAATTACATCTCAATCCTGCAGCGATTTATTTAATCTAGCTTCTCCTGAGTCAGGGCGGAGTTTGGGTATTCGACCATTATTTGACTTTACCTGGTTTTCTCAGATAAATGCTGCCATTGACATCACTGGTAAGCAATCAATATAGATTGCCCGGACAAGTCTTCTCCCAAATGTCTTACTAAAGAAGTTAAACTCAGCCACACTCAATTACCCCAAACTAAGACATGCTTTATATTGATTGAATGATAAGCCAAGCATTGCCCCACCCTCAAGCGCATGCTTGTTCACAGGTCTAGGTGGATAAAGCCCATTGGTTCAGAATGCAAGATGATCTGATGGTGAAACTGTTCATCCCGACCGAGACCTTGATTTTACCGATTATCTTCCGAAATTCAGGAGCCATTTCCACTTTTCCCCTGACATCCATGGAGATCGGCTCGGGACATTACCACATAAAGAAAAGACTATTCTTCACAAGGTTATGATAGACCGTGTGGAGTGTCTGTCAGGGCTTCGGTTAGATGAGTTCATAGATTGTGCCTGAGTAGAATGCGAAGAGTCTCGGATGGACGGGACGATCCTTTGTCAATGTTTCATGTTATGGAGGCTAATATCACGACTCCTACATATGCTGAGATGCTGCTGCGCCTAGTTGTTTCTTGTTCTCTTCAACCTTCATTCTCTCCTTTCTCTTCCCTTTTGTTAATTTGAGCTAGACTCAATCTTCGTTCTTTATACCGTCTGTTGATCAGACCAATATACAATATGCGCACTTCTTTGATGTCCATGCTGGCCCTGGGCGCCACCATGGCAGCCGCTGCACCGGCTCCTTCTCGTGTCTCGCAAATGAAGAGAGCCACCTCCTGCACTTTCACCTCAGCTGCTAGCGCGAGCGCTAGCAAGAAGTCCTGCACCACGATTGTGCTAGATAATATCGAGGTGCCTGCCGGTGAGACACTTGACCTGACAGATCTGACCTCCGGTACTAAGGTATGACCCTATCAATCTACCCCGGTGCCTTAGCCAGGACCTAACACTATTCCTTAAAGGTCATTTTCGACGGCGAGACCACCTTCGGATACGAGGAATGGGATGGACCCCTCATTGAGATCTCGGGTTCTAACATCATTGTTGCTGGCACCTCCAACCACACTATCAACGGTGGAGGAGAGCGTTGGTGGGATGGCGAGGGTACTAACGGTGGCAAGACGAAGCCCAAGTTCTTCTATGCCCATGACCTGGATGACTCAACCATCACCGGTCTGAACGTCAAGAACACGCCCGTCCAGGCCTTCAGTGTCGAGTCGAACAACCTCGTTCTCAACCGAATCACGATTGATGACTCCGATGGAGACGCGAATGGTGGACATAACACTGATGCTTTCGATGTCGGCGAGAGCAACGGTGTGACTATTCGCAACGCTGTTGTGATGAACCAGGATGATTGTCTGGCAGTCAACTCTGGCACAGTAAGTACACCCAAAAGAAAACTTGATTGACTTAGCTGATACTCTCTAGAACATTGTCTTCACCGGTGGTACTTGCTCCGGTGGTCACGGACTGTCCATTGGCTCCGTTGGCGGACGCTCCGACAACACTGTTAAGAACGTTACTATCTCCGACTCGACTGTGAAGAACTCTGAGAACGGAATCCGTATCAAGACCAACTCTGGAACCACTGGCTCCGTCTCTGGTGTTACCTTCTCCAACATCAAGCTTTCAGGCATTACCGACTACGGCATCGTTTTCGAGCAGGACTACGAGAATGGCGACCCAACTGGCACTCCAACCGATGGTGTTCCCATCACCGACCTTACCGTGGAAAAGATCACCGGTACCGTTGAGAGTGATGCGACCGAGGTCTATATCCTTTGTGCTGATGGGGCCTGCTCTGACTGGACTTGGTCTGATGTTAGCGTGACTGGTGGATCGGCTAGCGATGAGTGTGAGAATGTGCCATCTGGTGCTTCTTGCTAAATATCCTAAATGGACTAGTCAACTTGGATTTGGTAATTAGGTGTTGTTGGATGAATGGGTCCTGTTGGATTCCATACTGTCTACTTCGTCTGGGCCCACTGGACCGCGATCAGCTCATGAAGACCATTGATTCCAGCTAGCGAATTGAATAAAGACAAAGATCATTCCGAAGAATCAATTTTGCTTTTTTCGATGATTGTTCAAGCTCACTACTTCGTACATATTACTATACCCGAATCTCGATTATAAATCCAATCAGATCCTTGTACAACCCACAACGTCATAGCTGAATGAAGCTCCCCGCAGAGCTTCCGAGACATCCATTGACCTCCCCACCTGTACTTCTCCCAACAACTTCTCTAAAGAAACAGACTCAACTTTGTCAAAAATGCACGTTCTTCTTCTCGGTGGCCATGGCAAAGTCGCCCTATACCTAACCCCACTCCTCCTCAACCGTTCCTGGAGTGTCACCAGCGTCGTGCGCAACCCCGACCACGAGAGCGAGATCCTAGATCTCGGCAAGGGTCGCAAGGGCAAGCTTAGTGTCTTGATCTCCAGTCTGGAGAACGTTAAAAGCGCCACGGATGCCAAGAAGATCCTCGACTCGACTAAGCCAGACTATGTAGTTTGGTCGGCTGGTAGGTGCCCCTCACCCCACTTCCCACAAACCCATGGGTTCTATCTAGATGCAGAGAAATGCATATAGAACCTGGGAGTCGCTACAAAAATTAAAAACCGAATAATACAACTCAAACAAAACTGACAATTACAACAGGAGCCGGCGGAAAAGGCGGCCCAGCTCGCACAATAGCAATTGACCAAGAAGCAGCCAAACACTTCATTGAGGCTTCATTCGCTTACCCAAGCGTCTCCAAATTTTTAATGGTCTCCTGGCTCGGCAGCCGTCGCAAACAACCAAGCTGGATGACCGACGACGCCTGGGCAAGCGTCATGGCCGCCAAAACCGAGATTCTTCCCACTTACGCCGCAGCCAAGCTGGAGGCAGACGAGTACATGACCGCTCTCGCCGCAAAGCGCAAGCAAGAAGACCCCCGCCCATTCCAGGCTATTAACCTGCGACCTGGTGGCCTGAAGGATGATCCTGCGACGAGGAAGGTGGACCTTGGCATTACTGGTCAGGCTAAAGGCACCGTGACGAGGGAGGATGTGGCTATTGTTGCGGATCAGTTGCTTGCTCGGGCTGATGTTGAGGGGTGGATTGATCTTGTTAATGGCAATGTTGAAATTGAGGAGGCCGTGGAGAAGGTTGCTGCTGAGAAGATTGATGCTGTTGCGGAAGAGGATGTTGATGAAATGGTGAAGAGGTTTTTCCCTTGAGTAGTTGAATGTTTGCCTATTCAAATGGCTTGATTGGCCTTTTGGCCCTGACTACCAATGTATTCAAACTCTATGATTTAGTTTATACAAGAAAAATTATTTTGGAAAAAGGAAAGAATACACACGGTCAACGTTATTGATCGTCCAGCAAGACAAAGTCTGAATAGTGTCAAAAGGTGAGTTGGTGGAAAGGCACCTATGGAAGGGACAGAGCAAGTCTTGGTGGAAGAAAGACAAGCAACAAAGTCTGAATAGTATCAAAGATCAAAGAAGCAAAAAGCAAATGCCCGCGTTGGGCACATGAGCCAGGTGACCTCCAACCTCACCTAGACCACTCATGTGGGCAACGTATGAGCCAGGGGATCCTTCGTCACTCACTACCATGTTGGTCCGCCAGTCAGTCAGGGTTATGGATCGCGTCAGAATCACCTGACTTGACACTCATTACCACTAGGCCATCTAGGGGGGCTTGATTACTCTCCCTTAAAAAAATAATAAAAAAAAGGGATATAAAGGAACGGAGCTAACGAATTGAGTGTTTCAAGGACTTTGACCCACTTCCTGTGGATTTTTTGCTTCAATGTCTAATATGCAGATATTTCATGTCTGCTTCAGTTGCATTGGCTTTTATTTGGTGGGATTTGCTTTGTTTTCGAGCTGAAAATGTCGTGGCTTGGTATGCAATCTGGGAATCTCGTTATGTATGTGACTTCGTATACAAATGAAGATTTTTAGATTTAGAGCGAGGGAATCTAGTTTCCAGAGATCCCACGTTCGATTCTTGGCACGACCAATTAGATCTTTCTTTCATTCTAGAATTGGAATTACAAAGTAGAATGCTTCACCTATTGCTCTTCTAGTCATGTCCGTAGCTTGGAGTAGATGGTGTTGTCTTGTGTACATGTTCAAAATTTCAATTTCTATCAGTGCATGAAAATCTAAAGTTTGGCCTTGGGGCCCTTCAACTCATCCTTGAATTGCTGCTTCAGCATGCGGCGAAGGATCTTCCCACTAGGGTTCTTAGGAATCTGATCCACGAACCGCACACCACCACGTAGACGCTTGTGGTGAGCAACCTTGCTATCCAACCACTTAACAATCTTGGCAGCCTCATCCTTCTCACTAGAACCAGAGGACTTGCTCTTCGCACTGCGAACCACGCAAGCCATCGGAACCTCGGATCCATGCGCTTCGCTCTCAAGACCAATCACAGCCACATCATCAATCGCCTCGTTGTCCACCAGGAGTCCCTCCAACTCAGCAGGAGGCACCTGGAAGCCCTTGTACTTGATAAGCTCCTTCACTCGATCAGTGATGAAGAAGTTACCCTTGGCATCCTGGTAGCCGACGTCACCAGTTCGGAACCAGCCGTCAGCGGACAGACACTCCTTGGTTGCATCCGGGTTCTTGTGGTATCCCATAAAGACATTCGGACCACGGAGGTAAAGCTCGCCGACCTCGCCGACATTAACCTCTTTGGATTCAGAGCCATCCTCCGGCATAGTCATATACTTCGCCTCCATATTCGGCATCAAGCGACCCACAGAGCCAATGTGCTCGCGCCAGTCCTCCCATCGCTGCGAATGAGTAGTAGGACTGGTCTCACTGAGTCCGTAGCCCTGCTTAATACCAACCTTGATGCGCGAGTATACACTCTCCACCAGCTCCTGGGTAAGTGGTGCAGCGCCAGAGTTCATCATGCGCAGGCTGGAAAGGTCGTACTTTTCAACCACCGGGTGCTTGCCCAGCAACAGCACTACGGGGGGCACGATATAACTAAATGTGGCACGATAGTTCTGAACGTGTGCGCACCAGCTCTCAATGTCGAATTTTGACATGACGATCAGGTGGTAGCCCTTGTACAAAGCCTGAGTGATCAGGCAAGTCAATCCTAAATCAGCAGTCAGCGACTCAGTCCAAGCTTTTTACTCAGTAATCCATTGATCGTACCGTAAATGTGATAGAATGGCAAAAATGCCAGAACACGATCTCCCTTGCCATCCGGGCCACCATTCCAACTCAAATTACCACCTTCACCGGCAACCTGCTGCATAATATTGGCAACGATATTTCGATGCGACAGCATAACACCCTTAGGAACACCAGTGGTACCAGAAGAGTAAACCAAGAACGCGACATCAGACTCAGGCGAGATCTTCTGTTTGCGATACCGAGTCGCACGAGAGATATTAAGCACCGAGGTAAAATGCTTAAACCGGGCTTCCGGGTCACGCTGGTCACCAAGCAGGATAATGTGATCCTCACGGATCCCGGCCTTTTTCGCGGCTTCTTTAGCAACAGACAGGACGGCGGGCTGGGTCGCGAGGACCTTTGCGCCGGAGTTTTTTAGTTGGAAGGCTAGTTCCTCGGCTGTGTAGGCTGGGTTTGCGGGGGAGACGACTCCGCCGGCCCACAGGGTTCCCCAGGTCAGGACTGGGGTGTCGATTGAGTTGGGTGTGAAGAGAGCAAGGACATCGCCTTTCTTCCAGTCATAGGTGGCTTTGAGGCCTTTACCGAATTCCAGGGAGGCATCCTTGAGGGTCTTGTAGGTGTAATGACGTTTAGTTTCGGCGTCCTGGTAGAGGACTGGAGTTCGTGCGGCGTCAGTAAGAAGACTTGATGGTTCACAATGGGCTCGTAGCGGTATGCATCTTACTCTTGTCATCAGGGTATGGCCGGTCCTCTCGTTCGAACAGGAAAGACCAGAGGTCGACGTTGGGGATGTCGACCGGGGGATAATTGGAGGAAACAGGCATATTGCGGGGAAAAGCCAAGCGCGCAGATCCGGGGTGAAGGAGGGTCAGGGTTCAAAATCGACAGTTCAGGTGTGTTACAAGAAGAGCAGAAAGTATCTTAGATGTAGAGAAGAGGCTTGCTTTTTACTCCGCAGATCTCGGTACTTTCGGTTTCGGGGTAAGCCTCGGTCCATTGTTAGTTGGATTCGGTATACCCGAAGTAGCCTCCACTTTGGTACCGGGGCAGCGGGGTCCGTGGGTTGGGATTGGGGTTGGGATTGGGAACGTCATATGTAGAAAATATTACTCTGCAATTTCCAAGTTCAATGGTTATAGTCATAATCACTAGTAAATAGTATCTGCTGTAGAAATCATGTTCTTGTAGACATGCGTTATTCTTTTAGTGGGGTGAGATACGCCGTTTGCAGATCACTGCAATTTTCATGGATATATATAGTTGCTTTCCCGAGGTCAACTGAGGCCTTGCATTGGCCTTTTCTCAAGTAGACACTCTGCGACTACATATTACTCAACGGGTCTTCTGATTTACAGAATCTTACTCAGAAGGGACCTGGGATTACCTATCCACAAACGCTGTTGTGTCTCGTAGACTGTAGCATGAACATCGTAAGTCACACCTTAGGTTTAATCACCAATGGTTTTGCATTGCGGCAATACCCAAAAGAAAGAACGTACAATACTGGTATCGCGCCAGTAAAGGTTGCAATGGAGTACCTAGGTACAGACCTCAGAATTGGAGATTCCCGGTGCAGCGTTGTATAAATAAAGATACTACTGGATCTACGGTACGATGCGACAGAAGTGAAATTTATCATATCGTGAATTTCGCCCTCCTTAGCTACATGACTGTAGCCAAGGAGAACATTGTTTTGCTTCGTCAGACTCAACGAAAACCGGAAGGAGATACATCTCCAATTTTTTATGCCGACAAGATCTTAAATTGAGCTGGAAACAGCTGGCCCGCACTGGAAATACAAGCTGAATAAAGCAACCCAGTTGAGGGTGCTGATTTCCATTTTTGCTATCCCAGCACCATCTCCACCACACGCCACTCCAAGGGGAATCGTTCGAAATCGTTTACTTCAGGGGAATGAAACGGGAAGAGTGGGTGGCACCGATACCGGGGCGACCGTGCTTGACGGGCTTGCTAGAGGGTTGTTAGTACTATTCCACCGAATGAAAGCGTAGAAGACAACGTACTAGGAGATAGAGAACTCAGCCAGGTAGTGGCCAACCATCTCAGGCTTGATCTCGACCTGGTTGAACTCCTTTCCGGAGTAGATACCGATGACGCTGCCGATCATCTCGGGGACAACGATCATGTCACGGAGGTGGGTCTTGACGAGGTCGGGCTTCTCGTTGGGCTTGGCCTCCTGCTTAGCCTTGCGGAGCTTCTTGATCAGACCCATGGGCTTGCGCTTGAGACCACGGTTGAAACGTCTGCGGGCACGGGCGTGGACAACATCGCGGAGCTGCTCGGACGAGAGGTCGAGGAGCCTGGAAAATTCAGTTAGACATTGTGAAACCAAAGAAAAAAAATATTATCGCCAGATTTTTCCTGCCCGCAGCAAGCACCTGGCGCCAGGGTGATGCAAATGAGTGGTAATGTTCATCGTATCCTCCTTCGATGACACTGGATGCATGCTGCGAGTGGGGTGGCGAATAGATGGGCTTGACGGGCAAACGTACTGGTCGAGGTCAATGCCGCGGTAAGAGAACTTGCGGAACTGTCTTCTCTTCTTGATCTCTGTTGGGCGAAATTCCTGTCAGCGATCTGGGCTCTCGATGGTGGTGTGTATGTCGTGCAATCCCTTCGTCCAAGCGATATCGAAAATTTGACCCCTCGTTCTTTGTCGTTCATTGTCGGCCTTTCCAAAACATTCGATCCAATTTCCTCCATCGCTTGACACTTTTTCGGGGTATAGGTTGGGTAAGATTGATTCAAGACGTACCGGCAGCCTCCTCGGCGTTCTAAGAAGAATTTTGTTAGCATTATTGATGGACAGGGCTTGGTTCCAAGAGAGAGGACTCACGTATTCGATGTCAGCCATTTTTGCGGTTGTTTCCTTGGAGCTCGCCTTCCGAACGGTATCTCGAAAAGCGATGGGTTGTCGGGTCGTCGTGTCGCGGGAACGATCTCGCTAGTACACCTGAGACTGGTGAGGTGGGCAGGGGCTCGCCTAAGCGACGGGTAGGTTAAGCCCTAAGCCACTAGGCCGATTTGGGTAATCTGTATTACAATCGTAATTTACCGTTTCTAATCCAATGAGAGAGCAGAGATTACACCGTTTTTGCCTGGCTTCAGCGCATCATTTAAGATCCCCCAAAAATACCTGTTCTGTATTTTGGTTACTTCTTGTCCGCAGCGCCATACTGGTCTGTATCAAACTCATTCTTTGATATCAAATCAATGTTCATAGCAATCCAAAACGCCCTTACTCAGATCTTGTGGCATCCTTGAAGCCAGAGAGCCAAGTAACTCGCAAGTCCTGATTGTATGAGACTATACGAGATGATGGCCTTTTGGGCACGTCTAGATGGCATTATACCATATCTTACAAGCTACTTCGTACGCAGAAGACAATAGTGGAGGTCAGATAATCTGTATTGGCATGAACTGTTTCCAGCTCATATGTGAAAGAACTCGTAACTGCGTTAAAACAGCCTGAACAATACACACTTGAGGAACCTGTCGGTGGAATTCCTTCCCGAACTGACTAGACCACTCAGATATCTGTTCCCCCAGGTTGTTCCTTTTGAGACCGTGATGAATGGTGCATTTAGTCGAACAGACCGAATCCCATGTCATCATCGGACTCCTCCTTCTCCTCCTCCTTGGCGGCCTCGGGGGCAGCCTCGTTGGCGGCACCACCGGCAGCGGGGGCAGCGGCAGCGGCACCAGCACCGCCGGAGGGAACGGAGGCGAGCTTGGCGGAACCCTCAGCGATCAACTGCGGTTGCATGTGTTAGTGGATTGTCCGATAGTTCTCAAGTTTTGGGATGTTCACTAACCTCCTGGAGGTTCTTGCCCTGGAGCTCAGCAATGAGCTTCTCGAGGCGCTCGGTCTCAGCGTCAATGCCGACGGAGGAGAGGACAGCCTTGATGTCAGCAACGGAGGGAGACTCGTTGCCGGCAAGGGCAAGGAGCATGTAAGCGGCGACGTGCTTCATTTTGATGGTACTATTCGCAAATTCGATATCAGTAAATTTGGTCGCTTGAAAAGTCTGTACTGTGCGAGCAGGGGAGAAAGAGCCGTCGCACAGAATTCGGGGGGAGCGTTTCACGCTACTCACGTTTTCTTTTAGAACAAGAGAAACAATCGATTTAACCGCGAATTTGGGCGGAGACTGCAACGTCGAGTTCGGGAGGAGTTGGGTTGAGGATCAAGATCGAGCGCACGGAAATCGTGGGAAAAAGTGCGTTGCGGCTCTCTGTGGCGGTGCTACCGCCCGGCAGAAAAAAGACTAAGCGAGTGTGGCGCAAACGTCACGTGGGGTGTCCCGTTCGGGCGAAGTTGAAGTGAATCATGGATCAAGCGTGGCCAACTTCCCCCGCTATATTCACTGCGATTCCACGTCCATAGAAGCCCTCGGAACCTTTTCGAGTGGCTCGACTTCTACTCCCTTATCGCTCATTCTGTTTCTCCTATTCTTTTTGTTTTTCATCAAGTTGCGCATCTTCTCACTCCCTCCGGACGGAGCTCCATTTACATGGTCTCGCGTTCGGAGTCATGAAGCTTCATACTTCGTCGAACTAAACATACATCGGTGACAAACTCTTTTTTTTGCTTTCATAACTTGCAAGCTTCCCAACACAAACACCTCTCCTTTCGCATTTCGACCTTTCAAAATGAGTGTATGTCCATGTCTTTGTTATTTGCATGTTCTTATCTGACACATGGCATAGTTCCTCGACTCGGTCCTTACCTCGCTCGAGACCGGCAAGCCCACCAGGCTTCCGGTTTCTCAACCCCCATCTCCCCCCAAGATATCTTCCCCCAAGCGTGATGATCGAAGACTTGGCTCGCTCCCCCGGGAGCATATGTCGACCATGAATGCAGGAACCAAGCGCAAGGCGGAGGACCAACTGCCTCGTCCTACTCGGCCCGAGGGCTCAGTTTCTGCCAAATCTGGAGCCAGACCTGGGGCGTCATCTGTAACTCCCAAGATTGCGCCGAAACCGACTTCTGCTACCAAGCCTGTCCCCAAGACTGGCACCATCGGAGTCAAGAAGACAGCTCCCACCAAGCCTGCGCCAGCCAAATCTATTCCATCCAAGCCTGCTGTTGCTGCTCCTCCCTCCAAGGCCCCACCGAAAGGTTCGTATGCCGAAATCATGGCGATCGCCAAAGCTCGACAGGAACAGGCCCCCGCCAAAGTTGGAGTGCTCCAAAACCAGCCTGCTCCCCGCGAGCACCTTGGCCGCCATGAATTCCGACGCCGCTTGCAAGAAGCCAAGACCCGAGCGAAAATGGAGTCGAAGGGCAAGAAATTTACACCAACGCCCGCGCGAAACTACGGCAGCAAGCAATCCCCCGAATTTCCCAAGCGGTCTCCCGAAGTTCCTTCTTACAAAGGCACTGCCAAGCCAGCCCGGACGCCCGAGCCACCTTCCTACCATGGCACCGCACGTCTTCCTGGAAAGCCTGGCACCAATGACCGTCGCCAGCATGGCAAGCGTCGCATGAACGAGTACATGGGCACCGACGAGGAGGACGAAGGCGAATACGGTGGTTATGACGACTACTACTCTGATGCATCCTCGGACATGGAGGCTGGCTTTGACGATGTCGAGCTGGAAGAAGGCGCTGCCTTGAAGAACGCTCGCAAGGAGGACGAGGAGGAGTTGCGCCGGGAGATGGCCGCCAAGAAGGAGAAAATGGCACGCCAGCAAAAACTGGCCGCCCTTGCATCTCGCAAGCGATGAATTCACAACTTACGGGCTTACAAACCCTTTGATCTCAACATTGTTTCTTTTGTCTCTTTCTTTCCTTTGTCTGGGGGGTTTTTTGCGGAGCATTCTGAGCGTTACGAGGTGTTGATACTAGATGGGTATTCAATAGTCTTCTGAGCACCATCCATAGCGGGCGTACTAGCAATACCATTCTGATTTTATCTTTCGGTCCATTACTTCATTGACTTCATTGTGAGGTGGAAAGTACGTAGCTCTTGCAGTACAGACTTATGACGACCCTTACCACATGGGTGACCTATAGAACTATTTCATCCAATCTTCACCCAATTATAATGCCCCACAAGCTATCAACAGCCAGAAACAGGCTCTGCGGAAGCAACGCAAGATACATTCGAAGTGGCCCAATTTGGTACATCTAATGTAGTTTTGTGATACCTTTGACCATAATATATATATGAGCTTCTTCAACCTCCAGGAATCTTTCGTCCCGTTATACCTAGCTCGATGAGAACAATGTCGACAATTACACACTTGAGGCAAAACGGCAGCGTGTTGGCTCCTGGCAAAAGCTTGAAAGTGTGTTACATTTCTTGCCCGTGGTTGTTCACAAGCTTGTCATTCTGCGAGCCCCACTTGGGTGACATCATCCGCAAGCTCATCCTTCTGACCATTTAATACTAAATCTTCTGACCACTTCATACCAACTCTTTGGCAAATTGCAAGCTTGTATTCATCATGGAGCCAGTTCATCATGTCACGACCTCATCGAAGGTCCTCTTTAGAAAGGTCCGCAACATCGTACCACCAATGTTGGAGAAATTCCACAAAGGTATGTTTTCCCCACTGGATCCCTAGCCGCTACCCCATCGTAGATCTTGACCTCGAGCAATCATGTTAACACTGAATTAGGACAACTCGGCCGTGTGGCAGTAATTGGCGGCTGTGTCGAGTAGGTTGTCCAATAACGGGGTTTCTCTGGATGAGCTAACCACGAAACAGCTATACTGGTGCACCGTATTTCTCGGCCATCGCATCGGCAAAACTAGGTATGTCACTCGGTCATTGCGAAATGAGTTCCATGTAGCTAACCAATACCAGGATGTGATATGGTATGAATGTTCGACATCACCAATGAGCCACGACTAACACCCTCCAGAGCCATGTTCTCTGTGAACGCTCCGCAGCTCCGGTAAGATCCCACATACGAAGACCAATATGCAATAACTAATACGTCTTTCAGGTCATCAAAGGCTACTCGCCAAACCTAATGGTACACCCAATTCTTCCCAGCACAGACTCAGTCGAAAACCCCAAGTCAATTGACGCACCAGCCCTCGCTGGCCCAATAATCGACATGCTTTCCCGCCTACACGCCCTCGTCATCGGCCCCGGGCTCGGCCGCGATGGCGTCACGCTGAAGGTAGTCGCGGAGGTAATTAAAGAAGCACGCTCGCGGTCTATCCCCTTCGTGCTCGACGCAGATGGGCTACTCATTGTGACGGAGGACCCTAGCCTCGTCAAGGGCTACAAAGAATGCATCCTCACCCCGAACGTTGTCGAGTTCGGGCGACTAGCGAAGGCACTGGGGATCAATACACCCAGCCAGGCTGACATCGGGAAAGAAGGTGGCGACAAGACAAGCAAAGAGTCCGATGCATGCCAGCAGCTCTCCAATGCGCTGGGTGGCGTGACAATTGTGCAGAAGGGTCCTCATGATGTGATTTCCAATGGAACTACCAGCCTCATCAATGATATCAAGGGTGGACTGAAGCGCAGCGGTGGTCAGGGAGATACGCTTACCGGATCTCTGGGTACGTTGCTTGCCTGGCGAGCGGCATACCACGACAAGCTATGGGATTCGGGCGAGAAAGAAAATGAGAAAGAGGCGGAGAGCAAAGCGGATGTGCAGGCTGAGCTGGAGTCTGACATGCGCATGTCTCCTGGTACTACTTTGCTTCTGGCTGCATGGGCTGGCAGTAGTATTACGAGGGAATCATCGCGGCAGGCTTTCGAAGCGAAAGGGCGGAGCATGCAAGCCAGTGATCTTACTGATGAGGTGCATAAGAGCTTCTTGAAATTGATTGGTGAGCCTGAGGAGTCTCAGGCCCACCTGTAGAGCCATGTGTTGGCAGTGATTGGTTGTGGGGTGTTTAGATAGAATGATACTATAACTTGATTCATGTTTCACGGATGCACACTTGCTCATTTCCATTTCATAATCATAGCCGACCATGAGAAGACAATCTGCACATCGGTAGGTCGCTTATAGTGTATTGCCGAGAGCCGAAAACTTGCAAGTAAACATGACATGTCACTTGTACCCTGCGTGAAAACTGCATGACAGCTCATATGTATTTGGAACTGGACCAACCATGTGGCAAGCTGAAAATCCCGAACTAGAAGTATGGAACGAACTTGCAGATGAACAGGTAGGTGCCACGGTTCTCGGCGAGAACTTTATACTTCGTATAATAAGCAAGATCATACTTTGCCTCGGTCACGTATATACGAGGACTGTTTATTACAGCAGTGAAACAAAACTGAGACCACTTCAAACCATAATCTAAATTCCGTGCATAGCCGCTTTCATAAAGTTCTGGGTATAAATTTCTCGACTCAAAGTAGCACATATTAGTCAAGGGTACTCAGAAAGCCCCTATAATCTGAGCGTTCCACTGATCACCTTCCAATTCAGGCAAAAGATTATCCAAGGCACTCCACTGCTCAATTGAAAAAGCCATCTGGAACACATCTTGCATAGGCATCATGAGCGACGGATCAAATGAAGTCTCACCCATCAGGCTATCTAGCCATTCTGTACTAGTCGCCGGCTTGAGAATTCCCTGATCGATTCCATCATTCGGTGCACCTTGCATCTCTGAGTTGTACTGCAATAAGAAGTTGATTTTAGGACCAAGATTTCGTAAGATGGTTGCTGCGCTTTTCGCAACGGAGAAGCGTTCCCCGAATATTTCACAGACTATTATGGCAAGATCGACTGCTTTGATGGCTTCTGGTGTTAGAGTATTTCTTGGATGGGCTAGGATGAATCCGACGAGAGTCATTGATGCGTTCCATTGCCATTGAAATGCTTCATGCCAGCCTGTTAGGATGGTCGTTGAGGATAGTGTTTGGTGCAATATTTTGGTGATTTCCATAGCGTGAAAAGCGCATTTAGTTGCCAGCTCCTCTGTCCGACCTGATGGTGGTCCCGCGACGAAAGAGATGAATGGTCGATGTATGTTGATGTAGAGGTTGTGGTAAATCAACTCCAGGTTCAGGCGCTGACGCTGAAGCCAGACCGGTGCGAATGGTTCAATGTCCAGTTTTGATCCGTCCGTGGAGTAGGGGGTGCTGTTTTCTTGTCGGCTGGTCTTGAGCGCATTGGGTAACTCATCGACCCATTGGTCTAGAGGTTTTGCGCAAAGCTGCAGGAACTCTGCGTGTGACTCTAGTGCTTGTGGGTCGTCCCAGATGGTTTGGCCTTGGACCAGGCTCACATCTCTTGCGTAGAAAGCCTCGTGAATCTCGCGTGCAATAACAAAAAGTTTCGAGTTTTCAAGGTGGAAGCTAAGCCATGTTTTGTTCTCACCCGAGTTGGCCAATTGAGATCCGGATTGCTTTGCGGTTTCAGGTTGATCATCTGGAAGTCCGGGCTCGGTAGGAGAACGATGGAGAAGGAATGGTCGACCCAATTTCATACCGATTTTGGCGTCTAGCTCATAAAGAGCCCACCAAAGACGCTTCCTCAGTTCACGTTCCGGTGATGGAAGGTTGGGTGATGGGGCTATATGAAGCCCCGCAACATAAGCCGCTTCCGCAGCCATACCAGCCCATGTCGCTGACATGTTTTGAAAAGACCCGTTACACAGGTATATGGAACAGAGCATCAGAGTTTGTACTGTCGATACAGTGGGACTTTCGAGCTGGTAAGTGACTAGCTGCTGACAACGTCGGAAGTACCAACGACCGGCGACACTGGGGTCTCCACCGATTATGGACTTTTGCTGCTCAGGGGGTATTTGAGAGACACCATATTGCATGCAAAGAGCAACTACAATGTCCACAAGCGCGGCAGGCCTTCTTTTATCCCCAGAATCTGCCCACAGTGATCGGTAGTGGTCCATGAACTCGGCTTCATTGATGATCGGGAAGAGGCATGTGTGGTAAGATTTCCAAAAGAAGTCGAGAAAGTATTCTTCCTGGATTGGACTCAAGAATTGACCCGCTGTGAAGGGGTCCTCTGCAGAAAGGGCAGCTTGCTGACAGTCATCTTCCGAGCTGTTCTCGGTTTTGCCGTTTAATAATGTGCTTGCGGTTCCATGAAGAACCATTTGGTTGCTCATTTGGGTCTGCTGGAGGATTGCACCCAAGTAGCTATTCATGCGCCCGATGAAATGAAAGAGCGATGACGACCCGTACCATGATGAGTTTGGAGAGCGAGCGGTCCCAATTTGGATTCCTTCCCAAGGATTATGTCGATCGGACTTCTGTGCCATGTCTGGGGGTGAATGGGTGGTGCGACTGGACGACCATTCTAACCCAGGTAAAGAAGTATGTCCAGGCGAGTTGTTAGATTGCAAAGAGCTTTGAAGAGAGCTTTGCAGAGAGCCTGAAGGATTCTGAGATTTATACCAGAGCAATTCGTCTTCAGTTTCCTTGATCTGCTTCTTCAGCCTGTCTATCGCTCTACATACCATTAGATGCGAAAAATCACGCTTCTCTACTGTAAGAGCTCTCACCTCATCGCCTGTGGTAGAGTACGAGGCTCATCTGATCCAGTCTGCAAGCATGGCTCATTTCTTCGACGACAGACTTTACACGGTCGTTCATTGTCGCACTTGGCTCTTCTTGCACGGCAACCGTCGCAGGCACGTCCAACTTGCCTCCGCAGGGGTTTTATAGCGCCCTCCGCCGCATCCCGTGTTCGGGCTGCTGAGGTATGCATGGTCAAGGCATGAATGTTGCAGCGGAAGGTTCAGGAACAATAAGCCCAACTATCCCTAGATATGCGGAGAGAAAGGGTGGCGGAGGTGAGATTTGTAAGATTGCGGGCCGACCGGCCAATGCCAAGTCGTAAATAGTGTAGGGCTGGTAAGCCCATTTTTATCGGAATAGGATAGAATCATTGCTTTTTGATTGGAAAATGATCGATTTAACGATGAATATAATTTGAAATTTATTACAATGCTCTATAGCAAAGCCTATCTAGAAGAGTTAGAAAATTGTACAATGCAGACAGACTGAATGCACTATTCCTTGACCATTGGATGCACAGCATGTGGATGTACCTCCAAAAATTCCGAGCTAAACGGATAATCATTGTAGCCTTCCCATGCTTTAAAGCTGTAGAAAGTCGGCCGATTGTACTTTGCCAGAGGAATGTTCTGCTTAACCCTGAAAACCAAGTCAGGATTGGCAATGAAATGGCGACCAAAAGCGACCATAACATCCCACTTCTTATACTTCTCCTCCACTGCCCAAATAGCGGTATCTGGCTGGTAACCACCAGCGACAATGACAGGCGACAGGTTATCCCACTCCTCGAGAATGAAATTCAATGATTTGTCCTGGTGAATCGCCTTGTCGTTCCAAATCAAAGCCCCAGGATCACCAGTTGCCTCCACAAGAGACAGGTAGGCAAATTTGACATTCATCTTCTTGAGCTCCATGATGAGATACGTGTATAGTTCAAGGTAATCGGTCTTTTCAGAGCCTTGAAACCCGGCATAGGGAGAGAACCGAATAGCCACCTTCTCTGCACCGATAGCCTGAACAACAGCCCGGACAACCTCGAGCGTAAGTCGGGCTCTATTCTCAATAGATCCTCCCCATTTATCGGTACGCTGATTGACACTCGATGTGAGGAACTGATCAAGCAAGTACCCATGTGCAGAGTGGATCTCAACACCATCCGCACCGGCCAACACTGCCCGCTTCGAAGTGTCCACAAAGCTCTGAATCGTCTCCAAAATTTCTGCCTCTGTCATGGCGCGAGGTGCAGTGTCGGAGTTTCTCATGGGCACAGCACTGCTCGATCTATAGGGAAATCCTCGAACTGCCAGCACATCAGGAAGAGACGCTCGTCCCATAGCCCAGATCTGCTGGAAAAAGACCGACTTGTTGGCGTGGACTGCATCAATAATCCTACGCCATCCCTCAACTTGTTGATCGCTGACCAAACCGGGATTGTTCCAATTGCCCTCTTCAGCGTGTGAGATGGCTGTGGCCTCTGCGATAACTAGAGTACCAGGCGTGGAGCCACGGTCGGCGTAGTATTTTTCCATGTGCGGCAATGGAACATGGTCATCGTCATTGCGGAGGCGGGTCAAAGGGGGAAGACAATGCGATGTTGTAGCAAGCAATTGCCGATTTGTAATGGTTTGAAGAGTTTGGACTCCGAGGGAGTATAGGTTGCGATTGAGCCCATATTGATTGGTTTGCTTGGGATCTATGGAAGTATGCAAAGGTATTCCAAGATTGAATTAGAATTCCTCCGAATCGAGTGGAAGAAGGCTCCTTATAATCTCCTAGGCCGATCATCAAGACTCCGGTCTCGAATCTCCAAAATGTATACAGAAATGCAGGAGTTTCGGAGTCAGCACCGTGATGGATGAATATGATTGGCGGAAGATCAAGGTCTAGACCCCACAGCTCCGTGGCTCCGCAACTCCGGGATGCGCAACCACTCTACTTCCGGCGGGATGTACAGCTGCGGCGCTGACATCTTCCTGATCTCCGCGTTCAAATGCAAAGGCAACCAATCCCACGGCGTAGCCTCAAAGCCACGGAGCCCAGGTGCCAGGTTCCAGCACCTAGATTATCAATCTGTCAGACTGGCATGTCAGATTCCCAATGCCAGAACTCCGATGGTCTAATCTAGCCCGAATAAGCTCCTGCACTCCCAAGAGTCCCAACGTATAAAGTGGTGCTTGTCCCGCGGTCAAAATGTAGTTCATCAGCAAAGCAAATCAGCTAAACACAGCTTCATATCATCATAACAAACCTCAAAGTTTCATCACTTTACCAATCAATCAACAAAATGCCTGCCCGCAAAGCCCTCATCGCCATTACCTCCGCCAGCGCGGCCCTCTTCAACGGCAAGGAAACCACAGGTCTCTTCATTAGTGAAGCCCTGCACCCCTTCAACGTCCTCACGGCCGCTGGGTTCGAAGTCGACCTCTCCTCCGAGACGGGTAGCTACACCCCCGATTGGCTCTCCCAGCAGCCCGACTTCCTCAATGGTTCAGACCTGGAGACCTGGCAGGACAAGAACAGCTCCTTCCGTCAGAAGCTCGACAACATGACCAAGGCCGCTGATCTCGATGCGTCGGTATATGGTCTCTTCTATGCTTCTGCGGGTCATGCCGCGCTGATCGATTACCCCACTGCCAGGGGTTTGCAGAAGATCGCCGAACAGGTCTGGGCCAGCGGTGGTGTTGTGGCGTCTGTTTGTCACGGTCCTGCTATCTTTGCGGATATCAAGGATGTAACTGGACAGCCGATTATCAAGGGGAAGAAGCTCACTGGTTTCACCACTGAGGCAGAGAATACTATGGGTATTATGAGTGAGCTGAGAGGTTTTGGGTCCGAGATGGTGGAAGAAGTTGCCTCGCGGTTGGGTGCTACTTGTGAGTTTATCCGTATTGATTGGAGCTGAGCTTCATTTTACTGACCTTGTCTTAGATGAACGGGCTCCTGGTATCTGGGATGATTTCCATGTTGTTGATGGTCGCCTGGTTACTGGTCAGAACCCTGCCAGTGCTACTTCCACCGCAAAGGCGGCTGTTGAGGTCTTTGATCAGCTATAGCTGGGGTGTTGATTGAGTAGTTTGATTAAGAGAAAGGGGTCGGTTAATAAATGTTCTTATGCTGCTTTGAATCTGCTTCTGTCTTCTACTGAATTGAGCGAACAATGCAATTATTACTTGGTTAGAACTTCCAAGAATGCTCCAATTTTGTAGCGTGTCACAACTTAAGAACTATCGTATAAGTCAAGACTGACTTGAATTGCTTCTAACTCACTATGATCGGCACAACTCTGTAGCACGGCTAGTACCGGATAAGCCTAACACCATAACTACCACCAGGGACTGACACATCATATACAATCCATAGATACAACCACCCAGAAACAATACGGTCATCAAAGATACATTCAAAACCATACCATAGCCCCGTAAACCAAGCGGTGAGATACTGAGTACCACCATCCCCGCATTTTCAGCCTTAAGGGTCCAGCAAGGGACCCGGATATGGCTGCGAACTGAGACATACACCCCACCTCCACTCCATTATCCCAGAACCCGAATCGAAACCCCGCAATACGATCGAAATCCAGTTTTGACTTCAAGTCGATGGACTATATTTAAAAACCAGCCACCGATCTCCGCATCGGCATTGGTGGGGTCTCTGGAACAGGTTCCAGATCTCGTATTCGCCATCAAACCCCGGATTTGGGGTGTCTACTTCCCGGCCTATCCGATGCATGGGAGAAAGCATGGTAACATGGGGTCTATCTCGCGTACAGCCGTGGTGGCCTGAATCATGATTCTCTCGTATGTTGGTAGACAAAGTTCCCGTGTTGCGGGCGATGCCTGACTTGTATGCTTTGGGATGAATGACGGTGAGACCCCCGGGGCCTCGTGATGCTTTGTTCGGCTGTGGTTGGAGTAGGATCTAGTATGAATCTGATGATGAGTTGAGTATTGGAAGCTGTGCTTATTAGTAGAGGAATTTACTATAAAAGGGCCACCAATCCCTCGACAGAACTGGACATCAAGCTCGATAAAACAAAGTCCAAACCAAACTTTTATCAATACAAACAATTCGACCCATATTTTGAGTTTATCTTATCCATCTATAACTACAACCACAACAATGCACTTCACAACCGTCGCCATCCTCCTAACGGCAACAATTGCCCTCGCAAACCCTTCGCCTCCAACATGCGGTACTTGCAACCCACTCTCCGGCCAGAACAGCTGTGACGTGACGACGTCGTGCATCAACACTGGCTCAACATTCCACTGTGCCTGCCGTGCGGGATACAAGGCATCACAGTGGAACAACAATATTAAGCAGCAGTTCCGTCTTGACATGCCGAATTACGAGTTCTTGGTGTTTGTGCCACAGAACACGGTCTGTGATACTCTTTGTAATGATCCCTATGGAGCTCCTTCTACTATTTGCAATGAGGTGCCTATCTATGACCATTGCAAGGTTTAGATTGGGGACCCAAGTGGTGAATAGGCTTAAGGATTGAATGGAAGGGGCTAGGGCGTGACCACATTGGATACCGGTGGATTCAACATGATAGGTAGCCTTGTGGGAAGTTGACGTTGATCTGTATCTATTCAGGGCATACAATATTCCATTTCGCTCCTTTGGAATCAAAGAATCAAAGTTGTCTTTCACTATTACATTGAGATCATATAGTATTCCAGTCAAATAATCAGTAGATTGGGAATACGATTTTGATTGAACAATCACAAGAACCAGCCCCCGGTCCACAATACACCTGAACACCCATCGCCGTAATCTACCAGTTTCACAAATGCAGCTTGAGACGCAAAAAAAAAAAAAAATCAATCAACCCCAAAACGAGACAGTTAACCCATCATTTCGTCATCAGCGTTGACGAACATCAGACGCGCACCGTTGTCAGAAGTTTGCCAGACCTGGTAGAGAATTAGTATCAAGCGTAACAAAAATTGTAGTAGGGAATAAAACTTACGTTCATCTCTGCGTACTCGTGGATGGCAGTGGTGAGCTGGTCCTCGGTGAAACCCTTAGCCAACACACGCTCGCGAATACGGCGGATGCTCATAGCGTTCTCATCATCATCTCCCACGGCGGCAGCACCGCTCTCCCACAGATTACGGATCAGCGTGTAGATCTTGCTAGTAGGAGTGTGATCGGCACCAGCCTCCCGATCGTTGTCGAGAGATGACCGGCTGACTTCGATGATGCGCAGGGCCTCATCGACATCCTCGCGGACAACCTCTTCGCTGAACCGGAGACGGGCCAGGGCCTGCGAGAGACGGACGATACCGAGCAGAGTACGAGGAGTGACGTGCGAGAACTGCTGCTTCTTGGCCTCATCCTTCTTCTGTCGCTTGCGCATGGCCACGTACGCGCCAACCATGTACTCAGAGACGCTGGAAGGAACAATGGGTCGGAAGGTGCGAGCCTTGGCAATGTATTGGCGGACTTCATGGGGAGTGAACATAATGCCCGAATCCTCAGTCTCGGGGTGCTTGTTGTGCATGTGGACGTAGGTAACGTGGTTGGCCAGTTCCTCGTCGGAATCCCGAGACGGGGTATCCAGGAGCAGGAACATGACATCGAAACGGGAAAGCAGGGCAGCGGGAAGGTTGATGTTTTCGACGGGGGAGATGCGAGGGTTGTATCGGCCATACAGCGGGTTGGCGGCGGCCAAGATTGAGGTACGAGCGTTAAGGGTTGTGTTGATACCAGCCTTGGAGATAGAAATGGTCTGTTGCTCCATGACTTCATGGATGGCAGTTCGGTCGGAGTCCTCCATCTTATCAAACTCATCAATACAGCAGATACCGTTATCAGCGAGAACCAAAGCACCTCCCTCCAGGACCATCTCGTCGGTCACCGGGTCTCTCATGACAGCGGCAGTCAGACCCACACCACTGCTACCACGACCAGTAGTATACACACCACGGGGAGCAACCTTGGTGATGTATCGAAGCAATTGAGATTTAGCCACACCAGGGTCACCCATCAGGCAGATGTTGATGTCACCACGAATGTGCATGCCGTCACCCATCTCCTTGGTAACACCACCGATCAAGAGCAGAAGGAGTGCCTTCTTCACATCAAGGTGACCGAAGATCTCGGGAGCAATGGAGCGGGAAAGGAACTCGTACATGTTGCCCGAGTTCTGATACTGCTCAATCTTGCGCAGAGTGCGAGCATCCATACCCATGTCTTGGTAGGACTTCTTGTGCTGGGTGATGTGCTGAGCCTCAAGGTAGGTATCGGTCAGGAGACCAGCGCGGATTGCGCGGAAACCAGTGTAGGGAGTGGGCAAGAAGATACCAGCGATATCCACGATATCACCAGGGTTGACGGTGCGGGTGAGAGCTCCGTGGCAGTGGATAGTCAGGGTTCGGGGAATGTGACCGACAGGCACTTGGTCTGCCATTTCCTGGATCTTGACCTCTTGGAAAGGAACGAACTTTGAAGCACGGGTAGAAAGGAACAGCTGACCCTTAGAGTTGTTCTTCTTGCAGTCTTCGGACAAGCACTCAGTAAGGGGAGTGAACTGCTTGGTGACGACGGGCTGGAAAACTTCGGATCCACATCGGTCGCAAGTGTAGGCATTAATCTGGACTGCCGGCTTCACATCGGAAACACGAGTTGTGATACCGCGCACAGTAATCAGGCTACCCAGGTGCTCGCCGCGCACATTTCGAACCGCAAGTGCCTTTCCAGCGAGGTCGCTACTGGAGCTGGAGGGGGTGAGAGGCTTGAAGTTAAGGGTGTATCGGCGGGTGAGTTCCGGGGGGAACAGGCTCGCGGCGTCGGCGGCGTCCATGTCAGCCTCGGCGGCGGTCTCGATCGTTTCATTGCGCTTGTCACGCTGGGACATGATCACATCTAACACATCATCCTTGAAACTGGATCAGGTTAGTAAAGAAGTCCACTTTGTGAGAGCATTGCCGATATCAACGCGACGTACGAGATATCCTTGGTTCCTGCGGGCATCATCGCATCAACCGCCTGTGAAAAGACATCGATATAGCGCTTGGTGTTCTTTTGAACGGACTCGACCAACTTCAAAGTTTGCTGGTCCTCGGGGAAAGATTTTTCGAACTGCAATTGGAACCGTTAGTCATTGCCAAGGTGAGGATCAAAAAAGTGGCGGTAGACGCACAGTCTCGAGATCATCCAGCTCAATCAGGATGTGCGTGGAATCTCTGTTGGCAACGTCCAGCAAAATATCCATATACTTGAGTTTAACCTGGCGCTGCTTCCTCGCGCTCCGGGTCTGAGCGCCTCCCTCAATATCGTCCATCATATCGTACTCATCGCTGGTGCGGTTGCCGTCGATGTTCAAACCCTCCAGGGCCTCGGTCGCAGCAGCCTCGTCAGTGGACTGCATGGTCTTGAAATGCTTCAAGAAGTCCTTGAAGCCGTCCAATTGGGCGGCATAATCAACCGGAGCATGATATTGTAGTAAAGCCATCTTTGGTGGTGGGGGTTATGAGATGCGCTCGGATGAGAAGGAACGCAAAAGTGGTGGGGAGTGGTTTTTGCGGCGAAATGGATCTCCAGCCCCTAGACACACGAGAAACACGAAACGCGTCCAAGACGCGCCAAGGAATTTTGGAGAATGAATTTGATTGGACAACAACAGACCCACTAATAATTAACTGCTGATCGAGCTATGCTAGGGAAACAGGTAAGCTCAGAATAAGTATTGAGGCAAATTGTTGTATTGAAGAAGCTTATTTTGAGTCTGTATATGATTCGATATATCTCTATTGAAGCTCGTCATATATTCTTTGAGGGAAAGCAGGCGCAGCTTAGCTGCAGTCCACCAATAACCTTAAATGTAGTCCATATAACTTATAAGCCAGGGGATTCAATCCGGTTATGCAAGAGTATGGGATCATGGTGTAAAATGAAGTGTGAGAGGAAGACCCCGGTGGCGCTAAAGCTATCCTCACAGATTTCTCAACTCCCCCATATCTCCTTAACAAAAAGATCATGACGCTGTTACTTGGTGGGAACATATGGGTAGGTAAAAGTGGTCATATTGACTGTAAATGATTTCGAATATCTTACAGATCCATACTTTTCAAAGGTAATGTCATAACATTACTGGACATTCATATGTCTGAAATTTTATAAGCGCTAATATTCAAAGACTACTATTCTACTATCAACAATACTACCAGATATTTGCGAGTCCCCGAAATTACCAGCTTTGATTTCCTTCTACTACATAACTCACTTGCTTCACTACTGTAAAAGCATTTTAGCCGCATGATGCATTACTACATATGAGCGGATGATTTTCATGGGAGAAAAGGAGATGACTATCCGTGATGCAATGGACGTGGACGTGTGAGCGGGAGACTAGATGCTCCAAGGGCTGGTTGGCGAGGAAACGGAGTATATCGCGGCGGGGACGAAGGTGACGACGGTGACGATGGTGGCTCAGAAGCGGGCAATTCAATCGGATCCCGATCAGATCTCAACTCAACCAATGGTGTAGACGGTACGTGCAACGGCACAAGGTGCTGTTGAATCTGCCAGTGTCGCGTTTCTTCTAGCGATGGCAGCTCCACAGGCACCTGCTCAAGCTGGGTTCCGGCTGATTGACGCCTATCATAACGAATTTGCTCCGGTGAGGGCAGTTCAGCTGTGGAATGCTGTAAATCTCTGAGCTCGGCCATTGAAAGCTCGCGACCGAGGTGTCGTTTGAGCAGTTCATGGAGGATGAAACGCTCTGCAACGTTTCCTTGGGCTTCAACAAAGGAGATTCGGGGATTGACCTCGCTAATTCTTTGTAGCTTGTTTGCATGCCGATGGTGACTGAGACTGCCTTCAACACCAATCAAGAATATGGTAGTATATGCCCAAGAGAGACCCAGAAGCTCGAGTTCGAATTCATCCATGTCGCTTGCTTCGCCGTCAAGTATTAGAAGTAGTCGTAGGTTGGGTGTTTCTGGACCAGGCTGCCATCCATAGATTGGATGATACTTTGCTGTGTTGAAGTGTTTTTGGAAATGCAGTTCCTTTATCTTTGCCCACCCTGTCATGACTCGTGTCCGTCCACCAAATTTGACCTTTTCCCATAATTCATTCATATTCCATCCATTGACGGTCCCTAAGTAGTTGGCTTGGCTGGAAAAAGTGATCAGTGGATAGCCTTGCCATCCTTGGTCATGATTCCCCAGTGAGTGGATAAAGCGACGAATTATCGCTTTTGCAAGGTCTTTTGTGCAACGTTAGCTTATGATATGCAGAGCTATATCCTGGTCATATTCACCTTTATTCTTTGGCTGACTGGTCTTGACAAAGCCTGTAATGAGAGACTGGTTATAGTTTGGTCGTGCAGGGCTGAAGTCCATAGAGCCCGAAACATCCAGTAAAATCATTGTCTCGTCCGTCTGCGACATTGGGGTGTTCCATCTGAAAGAGGACCTGACCTGTTTTGAGTAACCATGAGAGGTATTCTGGGTATGACAGATATCCTCAGGATCATAGTATGCTGGTGGTATATCCACTGCCGAGTCCAATCGAGTGCGAGCCATGTCTAGCGCTGAAACAATGTCGGGCTTTATAACAACACCACCTGTATCTCGGTTGCTCAGGGTCCAGTACAATCGTTCCTCGGCGGTGTTGTCATAGCCTCTCCATGCAGGCGTGACCCCTCGCCACCCTACAGCAGCATCAATGGAGAACCTCAAGGGATTCGAGGTCTTTGTTTCTTCACTCCAGGATATAGGAATAGGCTCAAAATAGCCTGCACGTAGGAGGTGAAGATATTGCAGAGGCTGATGCGTTCGAAGCTCGTAGACTTTCAGAGAGATTCCAACCGTCTGCTGATAGACCGTTACAACGTGTCTATCGTAGTCGTCTTGCCATCGACCCTCCTCTTCTGTGAGGATTTCCTGACGACGTTCGAGTCCCCCAGAAAACTTTTTTTTAAAATTTCCGGCAGCTCTTTCATCAGAGCTCTTAACGGACAGAGCTTTCTTTATACTGGCACGCTTTGACGGTTTATCAGTTTGGTTATGGCCATTGGACATATTTGATACCAAAGACTCTAGATGCTCAAGATCCCAGATGTTGAAGGATGGCTCCAGGGCCTGGACAGCGATTTTTGCCTTTGCATTCAGACTCGCATCCAGTGCTATCATCTGTTGGAGGAAGGTTGCATGATTTTGTGGATCGGGTCGGACATTTCCAGATAGCGTTGCTCCTGGGAGTCCATACGGCGAGATAATCACGGTTGAATATGGGTTGTTCTTGAGCAGGCGCAAGTGGGTACAGTCGTCGTATGGCTTTTCCCCGGGGTATATCACGGCTTTGGACCACATCTCCTGGGTTTGAAGGCGATCAATCTTCCGTTTCTGGTACTTGTGCACGGCACATTCACAGAGTTCATTTGTCTCATGTTCGGGCTCGATCTCGGCATTCCAGACCTGACTAGATAGTTGAACGCTGTGAAGCATGTCTTGCATTTCTTGCTCATCCTGAACTCTGATCTTTGCCGCCTCAATCAAAGCATTGCTATGCGGTCGGCGTGTGCTGTTTTCAGATGTTGTTCTACCAGGTGGTTCCGGGCTTGTAGTTGTCGCGCTTATTGATGCGCTCTTGCTTGGAGGGCTGAGTGGATATGATGGATATGCTGGAGGGGAAGCGGGTGGTGTGACTGTGGCCACGACATGATTGAAGTTGACGGAGTTGATTGAGCTGCGCATAGAGGAAGGCGGTCGATGATTATTGTATCGATCCATGTTGTAGTATTAATTCTCGACACTATTTGGAACGCGTCTCAATTAGAGGCCTGAAGGATCAGCAAGCCCTTGCAGTAGGTAACTGTTAGAGCGCACAAAGCCGATGGCTCGGCGTCCGGCACGAAGGCCAGAGAGCGTTAGTTATGGTCGATTGTGAGATATGAGCAGTGGAAAGACTTTCGAGCAGAAGAGAAGCTATATGCACAGCGCCAGAACAATCTCGTGCTCTCACAGAGTCACAACTTCGTTACCCCCTCACCCCCTGCATGCCATGTGGCACATGTCAAGATACACTCTGGACTAAATTTATATTACGAGCACGTGCTGGAAGTCTGTCAGATGAGTGGGTCGTTCCAGTGGATCCGATTGCGGCTCGGCGGTCCAAGCACTGGCCAATTTACGCGATAGGCTAGAACCAACGGAGCATTATGCATCTCCAGGTGGGAGCCTCACCTATTTATGGCGCGGGAAATGTTCCTGGATTTATCCTTGCCCGGTGACTAACAGCCTTGGAAGGCACTTGGGTACCAATTACTTTTTGCTACTTCCGCACCTACCAGCAATTGCCAAGATGGAAGCCTGCTCACGGTACTCAAACTCGGCATGTATCCAGGTGATATACTAGACTGCACGGTCCGCATCTACTGTGGATTTCGTTTAAGATCGTCAAAACTTTCTTCTTTTTTACGGCTCCGTAGAAGAACTGATTCAGGTAACATATCCACTAACCTTAATTATAACTCAGATGCCAAGGTTGTTATTGCTACTACCTTCTCATAGGAACTTGAACCATCGATCTTTTCTTCTAGTAATTTTCAATTAGCCATTACTGTAGGAAGTCGTCAGAATGGAAGTCAACTGTTACTGACAGGGGCAATCGGTTGAAACAATCTCTGCTCTTTTCAAGAAGTTCGAGATCAAATGCCTTGTTCAGGAGCGGCAAGCACTGGAAAGGCGACCAGCTGGAACTATACGGGTCACATCACCAGAGTTTGGCCAGATTGGCTTCCACATGAACGAAATTTCAAGCCTTGTGGCCATTAGGGAATGATTTGTGATGATAGCTTGATATGAGGAAGGAAAAATTTCGAAGTTGGTAGGAGAGGTAAGATCTTAGGACCTAGAGTGGGGGGGGAGGAACAGTCAGAAGAATCTGAAAAGTTAGCATTTGTTCCCTTATACCCCCTAAAGAAAAGAAATGATGTAAATATGAGCCCTGCCGGTGTAGCGGTCTAAAGTCCCTCTGCGGTACCTGATCAAGTTCGCTCGAGACAAGTGCGTTGGCTGGTGATGATTTCCGGTCCTAGTTCAACGGCTAATGTTACTGGAGGGCGGGTGGGATCCGGCCTCTGGCTGGGGACAAACGTAATGATCTTCATTTTTTTACTTATTCTTCACCAACTTCATGTTTTGTTTTACATTATTACGATTTTTTATGGGGCTGTAATGTGATGAGAGTACAGGAATTGAGAATAACATGCTGCCGTACAGGTTGTTGATTCCAAACTCGCTCATGTACCCTGAAAATCTTATTTCCCTAGACTTTTCAAGATGAAAGGTTAATGGTTCGAGTCCGGCTCTAGTCATTCGTTTCTTGATTCGTCTTCACCAACACTAGTTACGCTCCACCTGTTCAATGAACACTACTGTCGATGCGGTTACCCCGGATTGGTGCCTGGGTGCCTGAACACGCATCAGCCGAGGTTCACCGCGGACCGATTCCCGGGCGGTGACAGTAGTATCTTAGAGACCCGGGGAATGCCCCGTTCCCCGCCTCTTCTTGTGAACAGCTCTAAACATGGCGCCCAAGAAGCCCTCGACGACGGCAGAAGTCGCTCTTATTCCCTTGAAGAACTGTCTCGTCAATCTACCACCGTCCCTTGTCTCCTTGCTGGTCAATGCAAACACGGTCAGTCCCGAAGGTCGCTCCCGATCGCTTTCCCGGCTAATTCATGTGATTGCAGGCTGCCCAGAATGTCATAATCGAATTACAATTTAAGTCCGCGACTGGGAAAGCCAATGGAGCTTCGCCAGAGCGATCATGTTTCTTGGGCTGGACAGGTATGCCGAGTAAGCGCAGGCTTGCGCCAGTGGTGGGTCGCGATGGTATCAGCACCGGGTACAACAGAGAGCAACAGGAGGTCTCGACTGTGGAATTGGACACGACTTTTGCAAGACTGATCGGTCTCGTCGAGGGGCAGAAGGTAGATCCCACCATGTCATCAGTGAGCTCGCGTGGTTGCTAACCCCTTACAGGTTGGGCTACTCGTGCATCTCGATCCCCCCGTCGCGCATACCATCAATATCGAGCCATTGACACCCGAGGACTGGGAAAGTATGTCGAAATAGAATCCCAAACTCGAGACCTGGAGCTGACTTGCTGCTTTACCATAGTCATTGAGCTGCATGCTACCTTTTTGGAACTCAATCTATTATCACAGATCCGCGCGCTCCCAAATCCTTCCTACACTGCGGCGCAAACGGAGCATATGCATCCGCTTGCCCTGCATCTCTCACCCACATCGACCGCGAATATCGTTGTCACCTCCCTGGATCCTACACCATCTTCTACTTCCCCGTTCGCAAAGATCGCGCCCGATGCCGAGGTCATTGTTGCCCCGAAAGTCCGATCGAAGACCAGTAAACCATCTCGAGGGGACAACCGAAGCAACGCTGGAAGCAGCAGAAAGAGCACTGGTGGTCGGAGTGCTTCAAGCACGGTCCGCCCGAAGGGTAGTCGGTCTGACTCTAGCAGCCGAGGTGCTCTGTACCTCCGAGGCGTGGACCGTCGGGCAGCCGATGATCTCTTTGATGCTGACATGGACGAGGATGAGAATGATGGTCTCCGCATCTGGGTGGATCCGGAAATGTTGGCGTCTCATGAACTTAGAGGCGCGAGCTGGGCGTGTGTCTCGATTGTGCAGCCTTCAGGACTCAAACCTCCGGTTGATCCCCAGCAACAACTGGCCCAGCAGGAACAGAAATCCCAGGAAGCTGGTGTCCCTACCACTAAACTGGTAGCAAAGCTTCTTCCGTGGGAAGACGCTCCGGACAATCGGCACGTGGCACTGTCCACGTTGTTGTCTACGGCCCTTGGTGTGGAGAACATGGTGGGTGGAATCGTGCGTGTGGAGGCGGCTCCACCACAACTACATCGCTCAGCGGTCAAAACACTCAAGGTGTACCCGTTCATGTTTGATGCTTCCAAGAAAAAGGATGGTCTTAAGTTCGGCTCTGACACTGCTGCCTCTCGAGATGCCTTGGCCGAGCGTCTCAAAGTGATCTACGGCAGCACTGGGTCCGATGTTGGATTGTTCTCAGGACCGTTAACCGATGGCATGATCTTACCCCAAGTCGAAAATCATCCTGCAGTTTCTTCCTTTGATGGTGCTATCCTACGGTTCGATCCCCCTTTGAAGGGAGGTGCGGATGAGACAAAGTCGATGTTTGGGTGGCTCTTAGGCTCTGAAGCTATACTCAACCTTGAGGTACAGGCTGAGATTCCCAAACCATTCGACTCGGCCTCATCGGCTCTCCCAACCGAAGATCCGATACCAGAGACTGCGCCTCAACTAGTGGGGATCGATTCCCTAATCTCCCAGTCTCTGGGTAACCTGACAAAGTCTTCATCTATCCTATTGACCGGTGGGCTTGGCGCTGGAAAGACAGCTCTCGCGCACCTTTTGGCTCATCGCTTGCGTAAAGACCATCTTTTCAATGTCAAGTACTTTTCCTGTCGCAAGCTCGTGACCGATGAAACTCGTATCTCGAACATCAAGGAAGTTTTAAACCGCCTTTTTATGTCTGCTTCTTGGTGTGCTCGTCTCGGTGGACAATCTGTCGTGATTTTGGATGATCTCGACAAACTGTGTCCCGTAGAGACAGAATTACAAGTTGGCGGAGACAACGGACGCAGTCGCCAGAACAGCGAGGTTATTTGCGCCATGGTCCGAGAGTACTGCTCTCTGAACTCCTCCGTTGTCCTGTTGGCCACAGCCCAGGCTAAGGAGTCTTTGAATAATGTGATTATTGGTGGCCATGTCGTTCGGGAGATCATTAACATGAGAGCTCCCGACAAGGAGGGCCGTCGGAAGGTGCTAGAGAAGCTCACCAGCCAAGATAAAGCCACCGAGGCCATCAATGGCCATACACGGACGACCAGTTCTTCTACACAGGACTCATGGCTCGATCCTTCAAATCCAGGGAGTCGGCCCAGCTCTTCTGGTGGAGATGGATTTGTTCTAAGCAGGGATGTAGACTTCCTTGAGCTTGCTGGTAAGACTGATGGCTACATGCCAGGGGATCTCGTGCTCTTGGTTGCCCGTACTCGCAACGAAGCCCTCATCCGCTCTGTTCAAGATTTGTCCACCGACTCTAAGATGATTACTCTTGGGCTCGAAGATTTCGAAAGTGCGTTGAAGGGGTTCACTCCAGCATCTCTTCGTAATGTTACCCTTACCTCATCTACCACTACCTTTTCAGCCATTGGTGGCTTATTTGAGACCCGCAAAATGCTGTTGGAAACTCTTCAGTATCCTACCAAATATGCACCCATCTTTGCGCAATGCCCACTGCGTCTGCGATCGGGTCTTCTTTTGTACGGCTTTCCTGGTTGCGGTAAGACCATGTTGGCCAGCGCAGTGGCCGGCGAATGTGGCTTGAATTTTATCAGTGTCAAGGGTCCTGAGATTCTGAACAAGTACATTGGTGCCAGTGAAAAGAGCGTTCGTGATCTGTTTGAAAGAGCACAGGCCGCACGTCCTTGTGTGCTGTTCTTTGATGAATTCGACAGTATCGCCCCTAAGCGTGGACATGACTCCACTGGTGTGACTGACCGCGTGGTCAACCAGCTCCTCACTCAAATGGACGGAGCGGAAGGTCTCTCAGGCGTGTATGTCCTGGCTGCCACCTCTCGACCAGATCTAATTGACCCGGCTCTTCTTCGTCCCGGTCGTTTGGACAAATCTCTCCTCTGCGATATGCCCTCCCACGCCGACCGATTTGACATTATTCAAGCAGTCAGCGAAAAGCTGAAGATGAGTGAGGATGTTGCAGCTCGCTTCGACGACATCGCCGCCCAGACCGAAGGATTCTCTGGTGCCGATATCCAGGCCGTGGTGTACAACGCACACCTAGAAGCCGTGCACGACGCATTGGGTGACCGGACTACTGACAACACCAAAGCCAATTCGAAGCCTAGTGCCTCAAAGTCCACAAATACCTCCAGCAAGTCATTCATCCAATTCCTCTACTCCTCTTCCGAAGAGGCGTCCGGGAAGGTTTCAATGCCCGCCCCAGCCATGGTTGCAGCGAAGTTAGACGCAATCAAGAACTCGCGACGCCGTCAGCGCCAGCTTGAGAATGGCACCACTCCTTCCGGGCCTGCGAACGCTGCTGCAACCAACGGAGCCGAGTCTGGTCCAGATGAGCTCCGTGACGAAATCATCGTCCGGTGGGAACATGTCGAACGTGCTCTCAATACGACCCGCCCCTCGCTTAGCTCTACGGAACGCCGACGGTTGGAGGGTATTTACCGAGAGTTTGTGGTCGGGCGTAACGGCGAGATGCCCAATGGTGAAGCGGGAAATGAGATTGGAGGGCGAACGAGTCTGATGTGATCATCTCGTGCATGCCTTCGCTTAACATCGTCATCTCGATCGAAACCCTGATGAAGTATTTATTTGTATATATTACATTTGCATGTTTTGGACGATCTCTTCCCTGTACCTATTGATCCACGAACATTCGCAACAGCTGCAATTTTTTTCCACTTGTTGATAGTGCAGGTGCTTTTGTATCGTTGAAAGCCCTCCTCAAAGCAATAGCTCATTGATGGCATATTAAAAATTCGCAATTGGTAATAGACGCTACTCCTATTTCGAGCATGGCGCAGCCCTGTGACCGTTATCTCTGTCAGATCTCGCGGGAAAGCCGTCGGAGGGAGGCACCAATCTCCACCCACCTTTTGAATATTATATTACACTTCTGCCTATTCAGGTATCCTGACAGATGCTAAAAAATGACTGAAGAAACGGTGAGTACATGGATATTTTTAGGTTTGGGCGGATAAGAATTCTACAACCACTCGAGACGGAAACTTTGAAATGATCGGCAATTCTACAACACCCCAGGTTTCGCACTCCAAGCGAAATTACGATGTAACCCAGATCCGTATAATCTTACTCCGTAGAAGATCCATTGCAGAAACCCTTATCTTGGCATCCTGAAAGATCTATGATAGCGGCCGGGTCCCTCCCGCCATAAGCCCGCGGCGGACACGATCGGAAACGTCCGAGCGGTAAACTTCCAAGGTTTATTCAGCCACGAAAATCATACCCTGAATGATATCACTGGAAAGGCGACTATGTCATGCCTAAGAATAGCGGTCGACATCCTAGGCACCGGAAATAATCCGTGCGCCACGTTGGTATACGCAAGCGTGTAGCGGATGTTCTGTGTACTATTTCTTAGGTACAGATGCAGGCACCGACGCCAAAAGTGAAAATCACGGCATTAGTGGCAATGCCAAGAACCCTCACGGACTCGGACGGATGCTCCGTACGGATAACTCACGCTTTGTCCTATGTGGGGATGCCAAGGGCAACGGCTGCTTATTGCCTTCATCGTAACTGGGGAAATCAGGCTTCGGTTATTTAAAATCTCTAAAGTGACAGGTTTTGCGTAGAATGCCAAGAGCAGGACGCATAATTGGCTTGAGCAGTGGGGTTGATGGGGTGTAGAATCTTGGATCCGGAGATGGTTTGCAATGGTTCAGGTCTGTAAAATGGGAGGATGATTTCATTCGGACCTAGTTACTTGTTGAAGAGGTGGCGCAACAAACCTACAAGCAAGGTTCTAGTGCCTGTAGTCTAAACAGACTATGTCAGGGGCGGCATATAGGCTGACCATGCAATAATTCGGAGATAATGTAGATCGAGAACAGAAACCAGTTCTATTTCTAATCCTTGCGATTCCCTGTAACTTTCTACTACGGCTTTGGATGCTTGATAAGGGTGGGATTTTCCAGCTAAGCTTGTTACGTATGCTCGGGGCTGGTCCCTTAGGAAGGGATCGACGACGCTAGCCATAGTCACTCATTCCCATTGGTCAGTTAGGGCTTGGCTCATAAGTCCGAGACCCTCCTGATTCTTCTCCTGCAACTTATCAAGTGGGTCACAATGTTAAGTCATACCGCGATATGCTTTCTGGAATGCAGCGATGATTACTATACTCCAAACGCCATTGCTCAATGCCGTGGTCCAATGACAGATTTTCTGTCTTGCAGAATCACCCGTGCCGTTGAGGCTGGACAAGCCCGCACAGCCGAAGCGATGTCGTGTCGTCCCGCGTGCAGATCCCAATATACGCTTTCTCGGTGTTACTGGGTTTGCAGAACTCCAGAACCCCCCTTCGACGGAGGAGCCGGGGAGGAGCCCGAGGTACCCCAAGTGGGGAAAGCCAAGACGAAGTCTTTTATACTTATACCCGCGCCAATCCTCCCCATTTCTGGACTTTTCAACAGCATTCGTCTTCACTTTTTCTCTCATTCACCTTTGTCTTTTCATTTGAGGCGAGATGCGATTTTTTGCTGCTGTTGCCGTTGCAGCTCTCGCAGTCGGCTCTAGTGCCGCAAGCTGCCCCTATGCAGAGCGTGCCGCCGCCGCCGCTGCTGCCCCGGGTTGCCCATATGCGAAGCGTGCTGCTGAGGCCGCTGCTGCGCAAGATGCTCATGCCCCTAAGCTCTCCAAGCGGGGACCTATTGAGGGCAAGAAGGGTATCTTTTACAGTGAGTACACCCTGTTCAGTCCTATCAATCGAGATCAGTACTAATCCATTGAAGTGAACCGTATTGGACCTTCCGGCTCACAATTGTGGATTGCCAATGCCGATGGTAGCAACAAGACCCAATTGATGGGCAATCAAACTAATGCCTTTGACTACCACCCGTCCTGGTCACCAGACGGCGAGTGGATTGTCTTCACCAGCGAGCGCCGTGGAGCCGGCCAATCTGATTTGTACCGGGTGCGACCAGATGGAACCGGCCTGGAGGTTCTTGCTGATACAAACTCGGTCGAAGATGCCGGTGTCCTATCGCCAAACGGCAAGCAGGTCGCCTACGTTTCGACCCAGGGTAACTACACCTGCAACATTTGGGTTAAGGACCTCAAGACCGGTCTGGCACACAATTTGACCGACACTGCTGCTACTCGCAGCAGCAATATCTGGCCCTCTGGTCACTTCCGCCCCTCTTGGTCTCCTGATGGAGAGTGGCTCACCTTCTCCTCTGACCGTGACACTGACTGGACCGGCCACAGTGAGGGTACTGGTTGGGAGCACACTCAGAACCTGGGTCTGTATGTGATTAAGAAGGACGGCACTGGCTTCCGCCAGCTGGCCTTCGAGGACGGCTATGCATTTGGTACTCCCCAGTTCTCTAGCGACGGAAAGCGTATCATCTACAACAACATCACCCGCGAGAACACATACTATGCTCACGGTGTCTCCGAGGAGCAGGAGTTCATCGAGTCCCAGATCTACAGTGTCGACTTTGCTACTGGCAAGAAAATCGTCCCCCACACTTCCGGCAGCTACCCCAAGTTCGGACAACACTACATTGCCAACTCTAGCAACGTCGGTTACTTCATCAAGGCCGGTGACTACGAGGGAATTCACTACACCAAGCCTGACGCTACCCACAAGACTTTCAACTTGACCAACCTCCGTGACCCCTGGTGGTCACCCGACGGATCCAAGGTTGTCTACGGTATCCCCAACTGGACCCAACAAGCCCCCGAGCTGGAGCTTTTCAGCTATGACAACGAATGGGCCTACCGCTACATGGATGTCTTCCCCTTGCACAACACTGTTGTCAACCGCATTGCAAGCACCCAGAAAGTCCTCGGCAGTGCCAACGGCTCAGCAGTCTCCTCCGACCCTCTTTACAACGATGTCGTCACGGCCCTGAACTCCTACGACATCTACTCCACTAGCAACTCCACCCAAGTCACGCTCCTGACCGAGGGTGAAGCCGGAGCCTTCCAGCCCACCTGGAACGCCGACGGAACCGAGATGCTAGTCGGTTTCGGTGGCTGGTTCGTTGACCGTGTCGATATCCCCGCCACTATCATCCACGCCTACGCCAATGGCAGCTCCTTCACCAGCTTGACCAATACCTCCGTCAACTCCGGTTTCCCCTCTTGGTCCCCCGATGGAACGGCCTACGTCTACCGTCTGTGGAACATGGAGACTGGTGCTCCGGAGGGTCTGCAGCTCCACAACTTCACCACTGGCAAGACTCACAGTCTGACCGTCGGCTGGGACAACACTCCCGGCTGGTCTCCCGATGGAGAGCGGATCGTCTTCACCCGTAACAACAATTGGACTGTTTCCTACGGATCCCGCTGGTGGGCGGATCGCTTCGATATCTACACCATCCGTCCCGATGGTTCGGAGTTGACCCAATTGACTGACAGTCTGTCCAACGATGCCCAGTATGTCCACTTAAGCCCCACTTATGATGATGAACGTAAACTGACTTTTCTTTTAGCGCTGTTTGGTCCCAGGATGGCCGTATCATGTGGAGCACCGGTATGTACGGCTTCAAGGATGAGAGCTCGCTCTTCGACAACACTTTCCAGCCTTACGGACAGATCATGGTTATGAACTACGATGGTACCAACAAGACTCTGCTTACTGATACCATTTGGGAGGACTCGATGCCGCTGTATATGCCCAATGAGTATCTTGAGTAGCGTGCGTGATGCATTTTGATGTTTGATACCAAATTGTATATAGATTGATCTCATGAAATTGTGACATGCCAAGAATCTCAATAAATTATTTTTCATGACTACATCTTGTGTTCTGGGTTTTCCGAGGGTTAAGAATTTATCCACAACGACACCCCGAAGCTATTAATTACGTAGTCACTTTATAAAGTACCCGTGGATCTAGTGGTACGATAATCAGCCTTGGAAACTTGGAAGTTCATGTATTATGATGAATCATATCTAATGCACCAAACTTTAGGTATTAGACGATCTTAAGGTGTTAGCTACTCCCTCTCCAGAGCAACCTCAACAACCTTCTCAAGCTTCTTCCAAGCCTCAGCAAGCATCCCCTTAGCCTGCGCATTCTTACTAAGATCAATGCCTTGCGCTTGAAACTGCTCATTAACCTGCCTAAAATTGGCCCCAACAAGTCTCCTAAATCCAGGCACAGTACAACTGTCCATTTGGCGACTCGCCAGATCAGCAAGTACATACCAAAGCACGAAATGGAAGTTAATCCCGTAGTCCTCCAGTCGCACCGGATCCAGCGGACTAGTCTCGAAACTCTGCGAGAGATATATGGCTAGTTTGGCTAGGATCCACGCGTGGAGGTGTCGAATCGGATGTGCGGGGCTGTAGAGCACGGGATCAACCCGTAGATAACGGATAGCAGCGTGGATGAATGCGGCACTGAAATTGTTGGTTGCGAGATAGGAGAGAATAAGCTGATCTCTGAGTTGGGGGTATGGTTGACGGGTTAAAGGCCAGTTCGGGTGAGAGGCCAGACGATTCAGAGCTGAAGTTAAGGATTTGATTGCCTCTTGCGGGGTTTCGTTCGAGGCTGATTGGAGGAGCTGGAGAGCTTCGCGCTCGGCTACGTCGACCAGTGCTGTTGGGTCGTCCTTTCCGGCTGTGGAGAGGGTTTCGCTTTCCGGGGCGTTCACACATTTCGTGCACTCGCATGTGAAGAAGTAGCGCTCTGAGAGCTCGCCACGGCGGACGTGGCAGGGGGTGGTAGTGTCGATGTAGGAGATAAAGACTTGTTCGCCCTTCTTTATTGGCTTGAGAGCTTTGACGTAGAGCTCTTCGCCATCGAAGCCGACTGTCGCGTTGTAGTCACAGCTGTGGTTGATCAGAGCTGCGTATGGGTGGAGATAGAGACCGATGCGGTCGTATAGAGCTGTTGTGAGGTTGAAAGAATTCAGATCCAGCTGTCATGATCTCAGTATACATCCATAGACCTAGGTTGAAGTGTTGAGATACATACCCGGGCGGCGTAGGCAGAAATAGCTTCCTCGGTCATATCGGTTTCAGAATAATTTTTAACAGCTTTGGTTGTGAGGGAAACACGCTCCATCTGAGTCTCATTCTTCTGAATATCGGCGATATGTGTCTCTAGATTGGAGAAGACACCCAACTCCTGGGGAGAGTATTTGCCCTTCCCAGTGCGCAAGACCATGCGCAATAAAGCACGAGCATTGTTGGGCAAGATCTGAGGCTGCAGCTTCTGGAAGATTTTACATTCCATGGAATGAGCAAACTTCCAATCTTTAGATTGGCAGGTCTATCCATCTTAATTCAGCAGTGAACAGGAAAATCAAATATATTCGAACATGTAATGCACAAAGGGCAAAATCAATACATCCGCAATCAACACAACTATAGAAATAGATCAAAACTCACCCGATCACAATACCGAACCACCCGACATCCAGTGCAAGCTTTCAAATCCGCATTCCCTTCCTGCATCTGCCGTTTACCGAAACACCCGGAGCAGGTATCGTCCAGACGTGAGGAATCCAGAACCGCAACGAAAGGCGTTTGAGCGTGGACGACATCCCCGCCAACCTTAATATCTTCGGTCGCGAACAAACCATTACCCATGCCATTGGGGGCAGGGCCCGGTACTGTCTTGGTAGTAACTGATGGCAGGGAATTTTGAGACGACATTTTGAGGTTCTAAGGTTGACTTGATTGAATTGATTTCTATGCGACGAGGTTGTTGATGGGCTTAGTCAGCCTCGCTTCGGCCTCAGTGATAAGAAACTTATAGAAACGTCACTTGTACGATCACATACAACCATTATTCAGGCCCAGGAATATATATTGGCAGAGTGTTAGATACGTCTCACCATATTTATGTAGTTGGATAACTTTGATTCGATTTGATTACGGGCAAAATAGAAGATTGCCGCCCGGAGCAGAATGAGGCTCTAGGTTAACGGTGTTATTGCCCCTTATGAAGAGTCGGACCACATCGATTTTATTATATTGAATGCCTTGAATAGGCGGAGTAGGATGGTTCCTAGCCAAGAAGCTCTCTTTTCTAGCAAAGCTTCGAGAAATCCAAGATGACCCTCTTTGGCAGCAACCCAAATGGATGGCGAGGATTCATACTACAAGGCGCATTGGAAAAGCCCGAAGACACTGAACGAAAGAAGAAAGGAGGTTCCGGGGAAAATAGCTTGACTCCATGTGACTTGGCGATGAAAAGACCCAAATCTATTCAGAATCCTCAGGATCATCAGAATCCTCAAAATCTTCGAAATCGCCAGAGCCTTCAGAATCTTCGAAATATTCAAACCGTTCAGAATCTTCAAAGCCTCCGAAGCCTATAAGTCCCTCACATCCTTCAAGATGTTGAGACTGTGCGGAGCTCCCAGAATGCTGAGGCTCTATAGAATCTGGAATTCTCACATTTCCCATACCCTCCACCTCGAGCAAATTAACAGGTAAGGTACTGGATTCTGAAGGTTGTTTTGTGTCTTTGCGTATCGGACCCACCCCCTTCAGGCCTTTTTCCAATACATCATTGCCAAATGCCATATCAGTCATTTTCTTGGTTACGTGAACCTTTTCTCTTTTTTCGGTAAGTATTTTGTCCACTCCAATTTCGATGAAATCATGCACGCAACCTAATCTTATGATTTCCTCAGTCATGAGGATTCTCACTCCTTCTTGCTGAAGTAGGACGTCCAACAAATCATAAGGAGCCCACAAGGCCGAATTAACCTGAGGAGGTTTCATGTCAAAACAATAAGGATCTTCCGAGACAGCTTGAATTACCCGGTCTGTGATACAGAAAGGCGCCTCCATCTTCCCAAGGAGAACCTTTAGGACAGTGGCTCCAATTCGCTTATTTATCAAGGCCTCTAAGATCATTTCGTCAGTGATCTTGAAATCATGTCTGTGTGTCAGAAGCACATTGAGCAAAGCGGTTCCAGTCTCACTTCCAGTCTCACGTCCATACACAACAGCATAAATCATATCATCCGTAATGATACCAGATCCTTTGTGTTTGACCAGAAGCTCCACCATAGGAGATCCTAGCCTTCGATTCGATATTGCTATATTGACCGCTACGTCGGTGACTTTGACGTCTGGTCCCCTCTCCTCAAGAAGTACGTTGAGCATAGCTAACCCGTTTTGCTCATTGGCCACGACTGAGTGAATCATTTCTGGGGTGACTGAGATATCCGCTCCAAAATGGTCAAGAAGAACCTTCAATACACCGTCTCCACATCCTGGGTTTTTTATAGCTATTTTAGCTAGCAAATTGCTGATTTTGATGTTGATTCTTCGACGCTCAAGCAGAAGCTTCATCATAACTTTCCCGGCTGGATAACTTGACGCAGCCGCCATCATTCCGCCGACAGTGATCTTGACACTGGGTTTATGAAGCAGCATCTCGAGCATAGCGATTCTATTTTCATTATTCTGTGCGGCTGCCATGATAATTGTGCCGCTGATTGTAACATCCACCGCCGATAAATCAAGCAGGATGCCTAGAACCTCCTGCCCACTCTGTGTGTTTCTTATCGCGGCTCGAAACACATCTTCCGTGATTTGGCTAGGTGAACCAATCGCAAGGAGGCTCTTCATCATATTGCCTGCATTCCTCTGATTTGCCGCGGCAGCTTCAAAGACTTCCTCTGTGATCTGGGATCTAGCACCCGTTCGTTCGAGCAGGAGGTTTAATATAGCCTCTCCGTTTTCTCGGTTGCTAATCGCGATCTTAATCAAGTCCTCGGTGGCTTCCATCTGATGATCATTCAAGAAAGATGCGACCATATGTACCAATCCCCATCGTGCTGCCCAGAATATAGGCGGCTGTTTCTCTTGCATGCTCTTCACCCAGAGCAGCCTATCAGAATGATAACCGAGCCAAAATGAACTCGATCCTTCATCTACATCACATAGACTGGCAATCTTTGTAGTCCAAACGGGCTCAATGAGGCCAGCCTGTTGGGTGTGAGGGATCCAATAATTTGCGGCGTAAAGCAACAAACCATGTTCCGGTCTTGAGTCTTCGTGTCGTGATTTATAGTCTCTCCGAAATTCACGGAGAAGAAGATAGACTATGCATAATTTGGCGAGAATCGAATGAGCAGTCTGCAAATCAATAGAGTGTTGCCACTTCCCTTGAATGGCCGTTTTTCCTTCCTGTCGGAGTAGAAACTCTCTTGCCGTTTGGTGGATAAGATGAACACGAGAGTCAATTATCTTGACAAACAAACCGCAGGCATCACGTATCCATATCTCTCTTTTGTTTGGTGTTTCGAGATCCAGATCGAAACAGGATGTGGATTCAGCTTCAACCTCTAACGCGACATCAATCTCGGATAACGTCAATGGTCGTTGCGCCGCGACAATGATGTTTAGGAGTCGTTTTCCTTCTTGCTCATTCCTTTCACTGCAACGTTCGAGAATCTTTTCATATGCTTCCTCTAGGTCTTGAGGTAGTTCATCGATTCGCTTCAGCAATTTCTTTTTAGTCAAACCAAGGTTCACCCTAACTATTTTCAAGGTCAGATCCAGCCAGAGGTAAGTCGTATTCTTAATCTCAGAGAAGCGTGACTTGAGAACTTGTCGAATTTCATCCGAGAGTCCATTCTCACTTGCTATGTGATCCACTTCGGCATTCATAACCATGTTGATTTCAAGGCTAATAGCCCTCAAATTATCCTCTCCACTAATATGTATACCACCGAGGCGAGTATTTCCAAATCGATTAATCAATTTGGCGAATCTTCTTTCAATGTCAACATATGGACGACTTGTAACTAAGAATTTTGTCTGTGATCCTGTCATGCTTTTTTCTTGAGGCTTGATATAGAATCGCTCCAACTCTTGTATAAGTCTCCCACGGTCGGGTTCTCGACATTCGTCCAGTGCATCAAGAATGCAGATGACTTTGCCAGCAGAAGGATCGGAGACCGCCGAAAGAAGTAGCCGCCACAAAACATCAAAGTCGGCCCTGAGGTGATCGCCATGCTGGTCCACTGCTTTTCTGGCGTGCTTCTGAAACAGGTCCTCTCGGTTGACGAATAATTGATGCAGAAGAGCGCAGATTGCCGCTGCTGCATGATCTTGCTCTCCGTTATCTTTGAAAAAAAAGTAGCAGATGGTAGCCGATCCATCATCAACAAGCCTTTCATCAATGAGCGCTTTCGAGAGCACAGACTTGCCACAGCCGGGATATGCGGACAGCCACAAAAGATAGACTTGATTGTCATGCTTCCAATCCTGGAACGTCGGGCCATCTAGAAACCATTGACACGTGCCAGAAACCCGTCCACGGTTGATGTTTTTCTGTTCTTCGTACGACGAGGCTTTGAAAAACCGCGGCGCGGGGTCTAACAGGAAGGAGTCAGCTTTTGATTTGACAGAAACTACATCGGCACATTGCTAAATCTACATAACCCACCATTTCGGGATATTACTAAATTTTGGCTACTTGGAAATTAATATCAAGGCTTTAGTGGCATATAAATGAGTTAACATACTTTTGGATAACTTGAGTTCCTTGATTCACGACAACGCCGCTATCATTATGAAAAGAGGTTATGGTAGACATGGGAACGGAGAACTTCCAAAGACTAACCTCTCACAAGGAAGAATTTTGGAGAGAAAAGGGAGCAGCTTTGGCTGAGGGAGGTAGATCTGATCGGGCGCGCTAGCCTCATGCATGATACGCTATTTATACCTGAAACGCCCTAGCATGCCAGTCATGACTCGTAATCACAGCGGCTGGGTGGTTAATACACCAGTGGATCGCCTTGAATTCCGTTTACTTTTTCTGGGACCTTTAGTATCGAATAAGAAAAAAAGGAAATGTCGCAATGCGGTCTCTCTGTCTGGACCTCTCCAGAGAATGCGACTTTTGAGTATGTACTCTACTATCCTCTTCTCCACCCCTCCCGTAAATCCATAGCTGAATTTGCTTATTATAGTATTGTGTTTGTCCATGGTCTGCGAGGGCATCCCGAGAAAACCTGGACTAAAGACGATATTTTGTGGCCGTTAGATCTACTTGCCTCTGACGCTAAACAATGCAGAATTATGAGCTTCGGATATGATTCTGCTATCGTCTATTCAGATACCGCTCATGTCACTCAAGGGAGCCTTTCAACGGCGGCTCGTAGCCTCTGTGCCTCACTTGACACGGAAAGAACTACGCCAGAGATGGTGAGTGTAGCTCCTCAACCCACTGCTCTACCAGAACAGACTCACAACGTAAAAACCAGGCCAAGCGACCTATTTTGCTGGTGGCTCATAGCCTTGGGGGGCTTGTGTGTGCTACCGCAATAGTACTGGGTGATCGAAGTGCCAAGGGAGACAGCATTGAGACTATTGCGAGGCACGTGCAAGGTATGATCTTCTTCGGCACACCCTTCGGGGGCTCAAACTTAGCAAAATGGGGTGATCTCATACGCCGAGTGTTTGATGCGGTGAAAAAGACGGACAGAAGCACACTCAAAACTCTTCAAGCGGACTCGAATGACCTGAAGTTACTGAGAACAGAGTTTCCTGATGTGATAAGAAAGCGAAATGCAGGAGACAACAAAGTCAAGATTTTCTTTTTCTTTGAAGAGCTCGATACGTATGGGCAACGTGTAAGCTCCCTCGCTTTGCAACAACGGAACAAACAAGAACAAACCGGATACTGATCAAGAAGCGATAGGTTGTTGAAGAACATGCTGCATCATATCAAGGTCTTGGCGAAATACTTCCCCTTCGCTCTGATCACCTCGATATGTGTAAATTTACGTCGAAGGAAGATGTCAAATACAAGGTGGTAAAGGCAAAGATAATGGATGTCGTTCTCAATGTAGTGAAACTTACCCCGCCAGAAGTGAGTCAACCATCCCCCTCCCTGAAGTCCCCATACTGACCATGGTCTAAGTCCGGTAGTCACATCTTCTACAACTACGACAAAGTGATCAACCAGTTTGGCACGGGAGGCTCCATGCATATAGAAAACCAGACATTCAACTTCGGGTAGATAGTGGTGGGACATGACAATGATACAGAAAAGATATAATGTCTCGCGAATTTGATTTGTAGAATAGCTTGAGCTTCAAAATCACACTGTGTCTTCACCAAACCCAACTTCATCGAGAGCCGAATCCCGATTGATCATTGAAGTAAATAGTCCATAGGGGAGGAATGTGTTGCAGAGCCAACTGAGAGTCGAAGCCTGCCCGCGTCGAATGAAAATGCTGGCACCACTGAGAACGTCCTCAACTATGTTCTTCGCTGCGATGTCGACATTCTGTTTGTTGGGGTGTACCATGGTCTTCTTGTGGCGATCTATGACCGCCGTTATCCTCCGATAATGCGAATGCGGCGGCAGCTCAAGGTCCGCGATATTGACGGGGTCATTTCCGCTGGTCTGGACGCCGCCGAGGATGACTGTAACTACCCGTACGCCAAGAGGCGCCATCTCGAGGCGCAGCGTCTCGGAAATCCTCGTTCCAGCACTTCTGGAGCTGCTATATACACCTGTATATCAGGAAGCCTCAGCGCCTGGGGAATGTTCAGAGAGAAGAGTTAGGACCTACCCGCCCATGCAAATACCATTTCACCAGATACTGAACTGACGTTGCACATGATCCCTTTGGCCTTGATGAGCATTGGTGCGAATGCCTGCGCCATGGCAACAATACTCCAAACATTGGTGTCGTAAACCTTCTTCGCGTCGTCGAGGGATGCGTCCAGAAGCGGCACTATAGCGCTGACGCCTGCGTTGTTGACAAGGACATCGAGTGTCCCTCCTGTATGTTTCGCAACAGCACTTGCACATTGGCGAATAGAAGCGACCGAAGTGACTTCAAGTTCGACAATCTCTATGCCATCTATTTCAGCTAGAGAGCCGGCCTTGGCCCTGTCGCGTATCGTTGCGAAGACCTGGAAGCCTTTTGCGCGATAAACCTTTGCCATTGCCGCCCCTAAACCTCCATGGCTACAGCCGGTAATTAGGACCGTTTTAGACATCCCAGGGCTTGCTCGTGGGTTAAATAGTTGCACGTATGTATTGAGGTAGTCGATAGTATGTAGAAAAACATCGGACAAGACTTTATTTATCTATAAGACAGGAAAGTAATTATTCAATCATCTGAAGTGGATAAAACGACTCGAAGCAGCCAAATCCGTCGGTGTCGAAAAGACTCATATTCAATGAGCTCGCAACGGATCGAATCCGTTAAAGTTGAGTAGGTCGAGCGGAAATGAATACCACCGGGATCATGCCCGTGAGTGCATTGCAACCAATGAAACCATGAGTTACGAGTTCGTAAACGGCCTTCGGGGGTAACGGACTTAGGCGGAAGGAGCAAATCCGTTGGCATGACACGGAGGTAAGTCCGGCGGCGCTCCGTTCGACGAGCACATAGTGTCTTTGAACCTAGCCATTCCTACATACCATCAACTGAGGTATTTGTATCTCCTGTCATAGTCTGTCCCGCTTATTAAAACTATGGAGAGAACAAAGCCAGTCCTCAGCCAATCTGGCACCTATGGCCAAGCTTGCAGGCAGTGCTACAAGGCAAAGTGCCGGTGTGTGCGTATCTCAAATGGTGATAAATGTGAAAGGTCAACAAGTGACACGAGTCTCGAAACAAATGACATTCAGCTTATTATTCTTTAGATGTTTCCGTCTCAAGAAAACGTGTCAGCCATCAGACTCGGTCCGCAGGCGTGATTTGCAGACAGCTGAAGAGTCCGATGCGCGGATCGCTCGGCTGGAAGACAAAATGGAGAGCTTATTAAACGTAATGCAATCTTTCATCGGTTCCTTAGGGCCTTCTGAGTTTCCCGTCAACATCCTTCAACCACTTCGACCCCTCAATGGAGAAAGCATTTCATCATCCACGACGTACACGAATGGCACTTCAATAAATACACCGGGTGCTAACGTAGGCTTCAGTGAGGGGCCGACATCTGCGATGGATCTGATAGCCACTGTACCACCGAATCTAACTCCGTCATATCTGTCTCACAATTCTACCCTGTCTATCTCTGCTTCATCGCCAAACCCAGCAGATGAACGGCTCAATTTCTTCCGTTACCGAATGCTGCCATACTTTCCTTTCATCGACTTGACCCCCGGCATGACAAGCAGCTATCTGCGCCGAAACAGGCCTGTCTTGTTCCAAGCCATCCACACAGTTACCACATTCTCAACACAGGAAAGACTAGCTCAAGTTGAGGAGCTGAAGCATCTCCTGTTCACATCTACCTTGCTTAAAGTCCAGTCAAATATAGACCTACTACTTGGATCATTGACGTATCTAGCATGGAGTACCGATGCTTTTCTTGGCAAAGCAGACCTCATGTCTCGCCTCCTGATGCTTGCGATTTCACTAGTATATGACATGCGATTGTTCAAGCCACCTTCACAGGATGTGCAGCTTATGATGACTATCACCCAGGGGCGGAATGACGAAAACAGTCATAGCCTCAACGATGAAACGCCGGACGCCTTATTGGAAAAGCAGCGGGCAATACTTGCATGTTTCATCTTGAGTTCTAAGTGCGCATGACCTCGCTGATCCTCTATTAAATCTCTTTCAAGCCTTGGTTCTTGGGCTTACGCAAAACTAACGTGTGACTATCTAGTATTTCGTCACACCTTGGGCGTCAAGACGCGATACGATGGATACCTCAGATGGAAGAATCGCTTCGAGTCATCGCGACACAGAAGTCATGCCCTGGGGATGAATTATTTGTCTATCAAGTACGCCTGCAGCTGTTAAAGCAAAAAGGAGATTCCGTTCGGCAACAAGACGAGTCAGATTACTCCTGCACAGGAACGGCTCCTGCTGGGGCCTCAGCTCCTCGCTTAATGTATATCAAGACGTTACGAATGCAGTTGCATGAGCTAAGATCTTCGTTTCCCTCGAATCTTCCCCAGATAGGTGAGTAGTCCCTCGGAAGAAACAACTGGCAATTCGTTTCCTCTGTGGCATTGCTGATACCTTCACCTGGGAGAGACCCAGGCTTGACATACAGACATTCTCAATATACACGCGCAATATGTCGAATTATACATAAACCAGCTAGCTTATTCCGTAAGCCAAGACTCGCTTCATCTAGGTCTATCTCGACAAAGAGATGGCAGTGAAAGCTTTCTGGGATTTGAACGCCTAAAGTGTTTGTGGCAGTCGGTTGAGAACATCAAGTCATGGCTGGACGATTTCTACAGAATTCCTTGCTCAAAGCTTGTTGGTCAACCCTTTCATTTTTGGTCACAGATGATTCTGAGTATCACACTTTTGAAATATCTATCAACACTCAAAGACCCAGAATGGGATTGCCAAGCGGTGCGGAGCACAGTCAACCTAATATCGACGATGGAGAGTATGCTTCAGAGACTCGATCTGGGCAGCAAGGAGCCAGAAATGCAGTGCAACGACCATCTACTTAAGTATCTATTCAAGCTTTTGACCAAATGTCGACTGTGGGCTGAAGCTCAGTGGGACATGGCTTCTCAGATTCAAGACGTGGATACCAGGACGTGTCAGATCGCCAATTCCGACACGACGTGTCACAATCACCATATCCCAGATCTGAATCAGATATCCTGGATGCAGTCGATGGATTTAGGGGATGATCAGTGGTTTGAAGATGTACTGACTATACCCACAACTCTATACTAGTTTGCATCGTTGTAACTTAGTAGGGCTCCGAGAAGAACATGGAAAATTAACGTACCACCGCAGAACACCATACTACCGTAGTTAGTCAGTCGGTCTTGGTTTTGGTCGGTCCTTGTCTTACCCAGCGGTAGATGGATTCCGGTTAATCGAGCCACTTTTCTCTCCAACCCGAAGCCCATCGCCAATTGGTTCCCCGGCCTTACTCAGGACAGCTAATTGTATGCTATTAGTACAAAAATGTTACCAAGAAAACCTTGGAAGGGGTCAAATGCAGATTTACTACAATAGCTATAGCGTATCTCGAGAGATATTGAGATAAAAGCTCTATGTGCAGGTGGTGAAGTTGATCTGTATCCATCCGGTAATCCGTACACACCTGGGCAGTATGGTCTTAATGAAGTGGAGATTGATAAACCAAACTTAATAGAAGATGAAGAAAATTCTTTTGTCGCTGAAACACAATAAACCAACTACAACGAACAGACCCCAAAATAAAATAGTAAACAAGCAGGCCCCATTAAATCGGGGAACCACCAGGGCTGGATCAGTGCAGCTCACTATCCTAGTATTCGCCAGAGGTAAAAGAAACCAGACAACCAGACCGGGGAAAATATATCAAAGAAATGCACACCATCTATCAACAATGCCCTCCCAACTCACTTATACCATACAGAAACAAGTGAGATCAATCAGTTGTGGAAGAGGCGTTCCGGGTTTTGTGCAGAGTCATGATTTACAATAACTTGCCGCCAACGAAGTTGGACCAGGTGCGGACCTCGGTGGGGATACCCTCACCACGGGGCATCTTCTCGTTCATGCACTGAGCGAAGAGCTGGGCAGTCTGTGGGGGATTAAGATTAGTAAAAGAAACATAGTACAAGGGAATTTAGATAATAACATACCTTGGGCTCCATGAAGAGAGGAACGCTGAAGTCGACAGCGTTACGGCGCATCACGTAGTCCTCGTCAAGCTGGGTCTTGCCACGGGTCTTGGCCAGGTTGAAGACACCACGGATGTCGTACTTCTGGAAGACCTCACGCAGAGCACGCTTGTCCTTCTTGGGGAACTCAATGACCTGCACGGAGGCGTTGTCCTTGCAGGTAGCCTCAATGTGAGCCTTGACCTCGGGGTTGGCAGCGTAGAACTTGAAGCCCAGGGGGTTCAGGTAGTCGACGATGGTGGCCAAGTAAGGGGTGGTCACGTCACCACCGAGGAGGATACCCTCACCAGCCTCGGGAACGCGGAAGTTCATGGTGGACTGAAGGGAGGTCCAGTAGGCCTCAACGAGATCGGTACCGAAGCAAGCAATCTCACCAGTGGAGGACATCTCGACACCCAGGAAGGGGTCGGCACCGGCCAGACGGGTCCAGGAGAACTGGGGAACCTTGGTGGCGAGGTAGGGGCGCTTCTCCTTCATCAGGTCAACGGGCTCAGGGACGTCACGGCCGACAAGGGCCTTGGTGGCAACGTCAATGAAGTTGGTACCCAGGACCTTGCTGACGAAGGGGAAAGAACGGGAGGCACGCAGGTTGCACTCAATGACCTTGAGCTGGGACTCAGCACCCTCCTGGTCAGCCTTGATGATCTGCATGTTGAAGGGACCGGTGATGTTCCAGGCCTTGGCGACCTTCTCGGCAATATCCTTGACACGGTCCATGATGGACTGGTCCAGGTTGGCAGGAGGAAGAACCAGAGTGGCGTCACCGGAGTGGACACCAGCGGGCTCAACGTGCTCACTGACGGCGTGGAGCAGGAGTTTACCGTTGGAAGCGACAGCGTCAACGTCAATCTCCTCGGCACCCTCGATGAACTTGGTGATAACAACGGGGTGGTCGGGGGAGACGGCAGCAGCGTTCAGAAGCTTCTCCTTGAGCTCATCCACACTGTAGATGACGTTCATGGCGGCACCGGACAGAACGTAACTGGGGCGAACCAGGACGGGGTAGCCAACGGAGTCGGCGAAACGTTCGGCCTCAGAGACGGAGGTCAGCTCCTTCCAGGCGGGCTGGTCGACGCCAATGCTGTCCAGGATCTGAGAGAACTTGTGACGGTCCTCGGCCTTGTCAATGTCCTCGGGGTTGGTTCCCAGAACGTGAGCACCACCGGTCTCCTGCAGACGCAGAGCAATGTTCTGCGGCAGTTGGCCACCAACAGAGACAACAACACCGCTAGCGGACTCGAGCTCGTAAATATCCATCACACGCTCGTAGCTCAGCTCCTCGAAGTACAGCTTGTCAGCGGTATCGAAGTCAGTGGAGTAGGTCTCGGGGTTGTAGTTGATCATGACAGTCTTCTTGCCCATGTTGCGCAGGGAAAGAGTGGCATTGACAGCACACCAATCAAACTCGACGGAGCTACCAATACGGTAGACACCGCTACCCAGGATAATAGTGCCGTGGTCATCGAAGGTGACATCGTGCGAGGTAGCGTTGTAGGTGGTGTACAGGTAGTTGGTGTCGGCAGGGAACTCGGCAGCCAGGGTATCAATCTTCTTGACCCAGGGAGTGATGCCAAAGGACTTACGGCGAGCGCGAACCTCATCCTCAGAGGAACCAACCAGGAGGGAGATCTGCTTATCAGAGAAACCAAGCTTCTTGGCCTTCATCATAATCTCCTTCTTGATGCCGAAGAGGCTACCAATCTCCTTGAGCTCGTGGTGGCAGTCGACAATGTTCTGGATCTTGTACAAGAACCACTTGTCGATCTTGGAGAGCTCGTGGACCTTGTCCACAGAGTAACCCTCGTGGATCATGGCCTGGCCAACAGCCAACCAACGGCGGTCGGTGGGGTTGGCGAGAACGTCATCAAGGTTGTCGAACTGGTCACCCTGGAGACCAAGGTAGCGGGGGTCAACCTGACGGATAGCCTTCTGCAGAGACTCCTCGAAAGTACGACCAATAGCCATAACCTCACCAACAGACTTCATGGCACTGCCAATGTCGCGGTTGACGTGCTGGAACTTGCTCAAATCCCAACGGGGGATCTTGGTGACAATGTAGTCCAGACTGGGCTCGAAGTTGGCGGTGGTAGTCTTGGTGACAGCATTGGGAAGCTCGGGCAGGGTGTGTCCGAGACCGATCTTGGCAGCAGTGTAGGCGAGGGGGTAGCCAGTAGCCTTGGAAGCCAGAGCAGAGGAACGCGACAGACGGGCGTTGACCTCAATGACACGGTAGTCGAGTCCATCGGGCTGCAGAGCGTACTGGACGTTGCACTCACCGACGACACCAAGGTGACGAACGATCTTGATGGCAGCGGTACGCAGCATGTGGTACTCCTCATCAGACAGAGTCTGACTGGGGGCAACAACGATACTGTCACCGGTGTGGACACCGAGGGGGTCGAAGTTCTCCATGTTGCAGACGGTGATACAGTTGTTGGTAGCATCACGGACAACCTCGTACTCAACCTCCTTCCAGCCCTTCAGGGACTTCTCAACCAGAATCTGGGGAGACAGAGACAGAGAGCGGGAAGACAGATCGCGGAGCTCGTCCTCGTTGGCGGCAAAGCCAGAGCCTAGACCACCAAGAGCGTAGGCGGACCGAACGATGATGGGGTAACCAACAGTCTCGGCGGCCTTCAGGGCGTCGTCAACGGTGTTAACAGCGATCGACTCGGCAATAGGGATGTTGATCTCATTCAGAGCCTGAGCAAAGAGATCACGGTCCTCACTGGTCTCCAGGGTCTTGATGCTGGTTCCGAGAACCTTGACACCGTAGCGCTCGAAGATACCCATGCGGTTCATCTGGACACCGAGGTTGAGAGCGGTCTGACCACCGAAGGTAAGGAAGATACCATCAGGACGCTCGCGCTCAATGACGTGAGTGACGTATTCGGGGGTCACGGGGAGGTAGTAGACCTCATCAGCAAGCTTGTGATCGGTCTGGATGGTCGCAATGTTGGGGTTGATCAGGACGGACTGGACACCAGCCTCCTTCAGGGCCTTCAAAGCCTGAGAGCCTAATTGACACAAGACGATGTCAGTGACCAAACAAGACAACTTTCCGGGGTTCTTGTGGGGACGAGCGAGTCCAATGCCATCCTCCGCGGAGAGGTACAAAAAGAGAAAGCTCTCATGTGCCGCCCCAGGGGATTGGATTTAATTGGATGCAACAAGGAATTGGGGAGAAGTCTAAGCAATAAGCAAGAATATCCTCCACATACCGGAATAATCGAACTCTCCAGCCTGTCCAATGCTCAGACCACCACTACCAATGACCAGCACCTTCTTCACATCGACGAGGTTAGCGGGCTTGACAGCACCGCTAGCCAGGTAGGCATCGGCAGAGGGACCCTTCTGGGACTCAGCAAGACGAATGATCGAGCTGGAGAAGGAGCGCAGCTGCTTGGAACGAGCTGGGGAGGGGAGCTTCTGCAGGCGCAGAGCAGCGGCCGTAGATCGGACAGATGACTGGGAGGAGAAGGTGCGGAGAGAGAGAGGACGAGCCTCAGCGAGACATCGCGATCGCAGCAGAGAGGCTGCCTGCCCACAACGAGCTGCAAGAACCATCGCGCCGCAAGTTCTAAACGAGAACTAGAGAGGTTCAATGGCCCGAAGATGGGATGATGGGGTGTAGAAGATGAGTCGCCGACGGGAGGTCTTTTTTTCCCCCACCGGCTTCGCTAATTGGTTCGTTCCCTTCACCGTATCGGGTCCACTTCTTTTTTCCCTTGAAGAACCAAAGAGAGATAAACGAAGGGAAAAAGGGTTGGGAATTAGTTGTATACAGGCAATTAGGTATGGAGTAGAGAGGAAAAATTAAAATTGAGGAGAAAAGAAGGAATTTCTAGTTCTTTGGATCATTTTCTCTAGTTTTTTTTCAGTATGAGTCAAATCGTTGAATTTGGTGGATTTTAGGGTAGTGGAGACCAGCATTTCCCTCTATAAAGTTCAACGCTCGTTTTTCTTGCACTTTTAGCTAAAAGAAATGATCATCAATTTAGACGAAGTCTAGATCAATTAAAGCTGCAGATATAATATATCGCCAATATGGGAATTGTGCATGAAAAAATCCCATTTTTCCAAGTTGCTAAGTACCTTTGTAGTCCGATGCCGGAACCTTGCCGGTCACACACCCGCGCTATCTCTTCTTATCCGTGGGGATCGACGCTAAACAGGCTGGGAATGTGTTCGAGTTACGAGAGAGTTTGATGCGTCTCCACTAGTCGCAATGGCCTCAAGAAAAATGTTCCTATCCAATCTACCCAATTTTATACTCTGTACTACGTGTAGCTAGCACATAAGTCGATACATGGTCTCCAATTCTTCATTAGGTATGAGATAAGATACGCTGATGAACAGACTTTTCAGGCTATTCCAGGCCAATGCGCCCGTGCAGTCCCGACCAGGGTCCGTTTGGTCTTTTCTCGCGGGACCCACTGTGGTTGCCGACCCCTCGCGTTGTGTGAGCTTCGGAGGCCCAGATATCTGACGTAGTCTCAAGATCCGCGTCTGGCATAACACCGCTCAATTCTTGCTTCAAGATGCCATAAACTTCGCCCAACGTCTTACGTGCATCTTGTGCAACTTCCGTTCCCAATACCACTTTCTGTTGTACACGATCGCTCTCGTTGGCGGCGGCTGCTTCCGAGGCAAATGCCCATGCTTCTGCCAGACCCACAATTTCATCCGGCTGGTTCTGATCGGGGGATTGGGATTGATTGCGTGAATTGAGGGCCGCAACTGCATGCTTGAAGCGTGGTTGACGGGCCAGCAGGGGATACTCGGGAAGGAGATGGCTTTCATCTCGTATACGGTGCAAGGCGCGTAGAGTCGTAGATTTTTCCTTGGCGAGAAGTCCAGAGATATAGGACTTTTGTAGAGCTAGCGATTTCTGGCTTTTGGACAGGGGAACGAGAGTTTCAGTTGCGTAAGACAGGACGTCCAATGGACTGGGAGCCGGTGACTCCTCAGCGAGAATTTCAGTTCTGTGGGTAGATCGAGATTGAGGTTTCGAGGTCACAGTCACAGGTTGACAGGCTTTGGAGGCAGCATCAAGAAGCTCTCGTCGTGCCTGAAGATAGGCCGCGTACTGCTCCTTGATTTGCACCTTGTGTTGTTCTAGTAGACGCTGGGCTTCTTCGATCTCCTCTGCCGGCAGTTCTTGTACCATACTCTCATCCGGATCTACTTCACTGACCAATCGTTCTTCGACCCATTGTACCAGCTCATCGCGTGTGCGCTGCAATGCCTGAGCTTTGACTGCAGACGGCACACTGTCGGAAGTCTTTTCTCTGGCATCATGCTGCGTTTTGACCTTCTCGAACAGCCGTTTCTCCCGATCCAATTGTGTTCGGGCCCGCACCACAGCCCGTTCCAGCTTATGTACCAATCCCTCTAGATCTGTCTCGGGGTCCTTATGGTCTGGTCCGTCCACGTCCAGTCCCTCAGGTAACAAGACCTGGCTTGAATCCTCGCCCAAATCCAGACCAGTCGGCTCCTTTGCCTTCAGCTCCTCTAGATAATGCTGGAAGACCTGAAGCTTCGTATAGCGGCGTCGATCCCGCAAAAGCGAAACGTAATCTCGCAGGTCCGCGCCGGGTTCCTGCGGATCGGCGGGGTCAACATATCGTGTGCGGGATGCCCTTTGGCGTCTCAGCAAAGCCACATCGTCTGATGCGACCCGAAAATCCTTCCGAGCAGCTATATTTGCCTGGAGTGCCTTCAGGTACTCCTTTCTTAGTCCTGAGACGTCCGCTGGTGTTCGCTTCACATCGACGACGGCATCGGTGGGTGCGCATAGAGCGAGGTGGGAGGTGTGGAATGTGTCATCGTTGAAGACAATCAACGATTGCAGGTATAAAGTCAAGGCCTGGCGAATGCGGAGAGCTTCTTGCTGGGTCTTGACGTAAGGAGTGAGCTGTTTCACGAAGGGTGGAATGTGGGTAGGGGGCTCGTAGGATTCGTAGGGTTGGGCCATGGTGTCATTGGTAGGGAGGAATTTCCTCAGATCGTCACAAGTTCATCAGTGAGGAAAGCAAGTTTCATCAAGTCAGACGATCATTCTTGTTATGCATGACGAAAGGTGATTTGTTTGGACCCAAATATCAAATGTTTGGGGGGCGGAGGCTTATGTAACCTGTAGATCGCCGAGCTTATTTTGGTTTGTTTACATCAAAACTGTGATAGTATATGAATGGTGGATTTTGTCTAACTCAATGGATGCTTGAATTCGCCTGCTGCGAGGAGTATCAGAAAAATATTGCAGGTTACGTATTCACTATTTGCTTTCGATGGACTGATCATCCAAGTGGTTCCATTGCAATCTGGAATTGAGACACCTCATCGAGGCCCGAGCACAAGTATCTCGTCATAGAATATATCTTCTGTATTTACAAATATCTCATTATTGAACCTGCCGATCGGTTGTATGAAAAGCTCACAGCTTTATCTTATGGAATGCGAGAAAGATAAATGAAATAGCCTCAAAACAGCGGTTGGGTGTACTTCCTATGCACATATAAGGTACATAGATCAGGTGCTTATGATACCTAGATCCGCGGCCCAATAAAAGCCCGAACAAAGCGGTTACAAAGTGTCCCTCTCTGCATCCTTTCTGCACCTTCCTGCGTCAAATGAGCTCATCTGCATCCATACCTCGTCGCCTATCCTGGGAATGTTTGGAATTTCGATCAAGGGGTGTTTTGTCTTCCCCATCGCTACCCGACGCTGAAACACGTACCTTTATAGTTCCCCGCAGAGCCCCCGTTCAGAACAAACATGCCTTCTGCTGGCCCAGAGGAGCTAGATACCCGTTTGGATATCCCCGTCGCCATGACCTCCGATCATACCCTCTCCACGCTTCAACGGCCTAGAGCCGCGACTTCCACTCTTCCAGCTATGCCGCAATCACCCACTCTTCGACAGTCATTACGAGGCCCCAGGTCCGTGCATGGGGGAAGTCCACCGCTGGGGTCAAATGAGCAGGAGGTGACAAGATCGGCTCAGGGTAAGCCCATCGTTTTCTGATCTGATATTGAGATATTTCGCCTAATCAGACTATAATGCACAGAACCACTACGACACCCGAAGCCTCTGACCCCTTCAGATCTTCATCTTGTACTGGAAAAAGAGCAGGAAGCGATGGTGAGGATTGCCACATGATTTATCAGTGACCACCAACTAACAGAACCAGGTCAATCGATTGACGCGCGAGCTCTCCCTTCTCCGCCAGCAGACTGCATCCGTGGCATCCACAGCATCCTCCACTTCCACCTTGAATGAGTCCACTGAAGGCGTACATGGCTCCCCATCTTTGGCCGGCTCTACAAACTCCCTTTCATCTCGTCGACAGCGTTCCTCCTCCAGTCTCGGCTCCCATACACCCTCCATTCAAGGCAGCCAAGCAAGCGTCACAGGAATAGCCCCCTCTCGAACAGCTGATCATCACCGATCCACACGAAGCCGCGAACCATCTCTCTCTCATCGCCGCCCGTCCATCGGATCACTCAGCTCGTACACGCAGCACCCTCACGCAGAACACGTCGCCCACTATGGAAGCCCCTCTATCTACCCCCATCGGAATTCAATCTCCCAGACTCACTTGGGTCTGTCGAGTAGCTCCCTCGCTCGATGCGAGGAGGTCGCATTGCACAGATCGGAGCTAGAAACCGCCAGGCGAGAGAATGAGCAGCTAAGACGGCGGGTCAGGGAGCTGGAACAAGTTTTGAAGAAGCAGAAGGACGAATCTGTCGATTTTTGAGAAGTTACGTTCCTTGCTGATCAAGGATCTTTGGCCCTTTCATTTTCCTCTACCTGCCAGGAGCAGTGCCTGGTTTTGAAATTTTCTTTCTATCCTTAACCTCATAGGCGGTGGTTTGCAGGCAGACATTCTATCTTTGACTCCAAAATTAAACGATGCGCATTTGGCAGTCTCATCGTGGTCTGTAATAGAGTCAGATACTAGGCAGTAGAGTAGGCAGTAGAGTTAAGTCGGCTGGTGCCCACTTTAGATTAAAATCGATATAGTATCCCGAGGCGGTGCAGCCCCGCTCTACGTCACCTGTGGCGCAGCTCCATAAATAGTTGACCTCATCCTGTTCTCCTTTTTCTTGCTCTTCAAATAATCTCTCTCCTCAAAAATTCTCCTTTACCAAATTCAAATCTTCATTATGTCTGGTACCACCGTTCACGTTTCGGGCATCGCCCCCTCCACCTCTGAGAAGGATGTCCGTGACTTCTTCAGCTTCTGGTGAGTATACCCCTCCAAAACAAACATAGCTACGCATTAAGCATCATGGCAATGGACTTTTATGCTAACGAATTGATACAGCGGCAAGATCACCTCTCTTTCCATCACCCCCACTGGCTCTGAGGCCGGCTCTTCCCAGTCCGCCAGCGTCACTTTCGAGAAGGAAGCGTAAGATAGCTACCCCGCACCGCGCGTCACCAAGCGCCAGTAACACGCCATAAACCCATTTCTGACCCATATTTTAGCGCCGCAAAGACTGCTCTCCTCCTCGACCAGACCCAATTGGGCTCCTCCTCTGTGCATGTCGAAGCCGCCCAGAACATCGACGACATCGCCGGCGCCCAGGCTACCTCGTCCACCGAGAAGGAAGATGAGCACGATATCGCACAGGAAGACAAGCCCCGCTCCCGTATCTTCGCCGAGTACCTCGCTCACGGCTACGTTGTCAGCGATGGCGCAATCCAGAAGGCCATCGCCCTGGACCAGAAGCACGGATTCTCCAACAAGTTCACCTCCGCCCTGACCAACTTCGACAAGAAGTTCAACGCCACCGAGCGCGCTAAGGGTCTGGATGAGAACTACCAGATCTCCAACAAGGCTGCTAGTGGCTGGTCCTCGCTGAACCACTACTTCGAGAAGGCCCTCGAGCACCCCACCGGCCAGAAGCTGCGTGATTTCTACGTGCAGGGTGATAAGCAGGTTCGCGATATCCACAACGAGGCCCGCCGTCTGGCCGATCTGAAGCTTGGTCGTAGCCAGGAGGGCGAGACTGCCCCCACTGCTACTTCTGCCGAGGGCGCTTCTACCGCCCCTGCTACTGTTCCTGCTTCCGAGGCTGCTGGTGCTGCGGCCCCGGCTGAGCCTAAGGTCTAAGCCTGTTTAGCTCTCAGAATCAATAGCTTGGGAAGTAGCGAGTTGATGAGGAGGGTTTGCGCTGGCGTGCTTTCTTCGTATCTAGTTATTTCTGTTTTCGTGCCCCCATTCCCCGTGTTGATCTGACACAAGCTTACGATGTGTGATGTGACGACTCTAAGGCTGTTTGATGCCACTTGAATTTCCATAGTACTTTATTGCAAGCGAATGAATATACGAATGCTTTTACTCCCAACAATGCTAAGTTACCAGTAATTATGATTTGTGATTGGTGATTTCGTCAAATTTCATATCTTAATTTGTATACATTCAATATTCTGACAGCGGACCTTGAACAACCTCGTATCCATAACCTGTAATGCCCGTTTATTTCGCGTACTTCGCAGCCTCGATCTTCTCCAACGGATGCTCGGGGTTGCTTGTCAAAGTGTCACTCTTCGATCGGTTGGATTCGTTCTGCGCAAACTCCGGTGCTGGGCGGGAAGATGAATCTCCGATCTTGCCGCTGGCGGGGGGATCACGCTGCTGGATGCCGGATTGGCGCTCCGGTGGGGGAGACTGGCGGCCTGCGTTCTGTGTGGAATCCATGATGATTTTTTGATATTTGAATTCTGTTTGAAGACCAATTGTTAGTTTAAAAATGGAGATGGTGGTTGTAACATGCACCTTAGTGTAGATAGTGGTTTTTCTTGTCTCCAAGTAGATGGTTCAAGATTGACGTGGGCGGGTAATTAAAATTTGTGATGTAGAGGAGATGAAATGTTAGGATAGAATTGAGTATAAATATCCAATATTTAAGATGTTTTCATCATTGACGTGACCTCGAACCGGTTGGGGTATTCATCATTATGACGTGGATCTGGACCTGTAGCTCAACTTGCCTCGTATAGAGGTGTGGGGGGTCATTTTAGGCTGACCCAGACTTGGTCTTGGCGAGACTCGGTTCTTAGATGATATCACTCACCCTGTATTGGTCACGTGAAATACTTTGGTTTCGCGGAAGGTTGTTTATGGGTCATTAGTCCCTACGAAGCTGTAGATAATATTTCGATTAATGAGGTTGAAAGCAAAAGAGCGCGAAGATAGCCCGGAAGATAGTCAGGAAGAAGCCATGATTCCCGATATCAGTTTAACGGAGTAGATGCAGCGACTACAACAGAGGATGAAGCAAAGGATTAGAATGCAGTTCAATTCCAGTCCAGAGAAGGCCGTTATTGCTATTACAACGGATGTTCTCGTTCCCATTTGCGCCTCCATATCACCTCGCATTCCTTCAAGTCACGCGCATTGGCGGCAATCCGTTGAAGCACCACTGCGTCCATGGCGTCAAGCTCAACCCTTGACTGATCTACCTTGGCTTTCTCGACAGCAAGATGTTCTCGCTCCTGTACAAGATCGCGATACTCAGCATCGGCGGCCAATGCAGCTTCTATGCTAGGCATACTGGCCAGCGGAGGTACCACCTTGGGTTGCGGGGCCGGGCTTGAGGCAGGCATCTGCTGTTTCAAGTTGGGGCCGACAGTCCTTTCAACCGTCTCCACGCCTATCCAGTTCAGAACATCCCGCTTGTCAACGACATCCTTTAAAAAACCGGCAAGGTAACGGGCGCTCCCACTACTGGCCTTCTTCACGAAGCCGGCATTCCAAATTGTGAGATTGCCGACCGCAACCATAAGCTTTTTGGCCCTCGTCAAGGCTACGTTGAGCCGCCGGTAGTCAGACAGGAATCCAACCTCCGCCGGGAAGTTGGTCTTTGGTTTCGTGAGCATAAAGATCACGACATTTGACTCCGATCCTTGGGCAGAATCCACCGTGAGGCACCGGTGGTACTGGACGCCCTCGGCCTCGAAACGCTCGACAACGCGTTTGACCTGTGCCTTGTAGGGGCAGATCAACATGACGTCCTGGGGCAGGATGCGATTCCCACTGGACCCATGCGCATACAGGGCTTTGAGAAGGTCGATGACTACGTTAATGTGATCGTCATTCTGCCAAGAGGTACTTCCAGGGGGTTGAAAAGCCTTTCCAGGGGCGTCAATCAACAGCCTGCGCTTGCCGATCAGCTTTTGCGCTTTAAAGTGGTATCGCGAGGCGGTGAAGGTATCCCAAGCGTTACCCACGCGATCAGGTGCGCTGTTGGTGGGGCTTGCGGCGATCTTGCCGCGATAGATGGCCTGGGCCGACCAAGCTAAGATGTCGGGGTGACAGCGGTAGTTTACCTCAAGAGTGCTGAGTGGGTAGCACCACTCGAGCCGGGTCATTAGCGACCGACCATGATACTTGGCCCATTCGTTCTCTCGGCTCGAGATGACGGTCGGCGGAATTTGATCGGTGTCGCCAATCAGGCATACTAGTCGCAGCGACTGCCAATTCATCGCGATCATAGTGTCCGCCTCAAGGCACTGGCCAGCCTCATCACACAATAAGGCGAATGGCTCAAACTTGCTGATGCGCAACGCCTCTTCGCCCGAACTGTTGAGTATTGTCGCCACGACTTTGCACTTGCCGATTATCAGGGCCAGAACACCCTCGTAGCACTTGACCAAGGCTTTCGTCTCGTCGCGTCCCAGGACCCTTTGGCGATCGTCATCCAGCATGTCGATCAGCTTCTTAGCTTGTTGTTCAACCTTGCTTTGTGGTTGAGGCTTATAAAGTTCCTTGGCCCTTTGGACGACCAAAGACTCGATTTGGCAGTCCTGGATATCAGCTTCAACAGGACTAATGGGGCCTCGACGTTCTTTCAAATGTCCTTCAACACTTGCACGGCGAAGAACTGCCACCTGATACGCAGAAGTCCTGAAGCGGCAGTAGCTTCCACACCAGCCCTTAAGCTTCGCATCCTCCTTTAAAGCGAGGTGGAAGGTGTGCAGCAGGTTGTCTATAGCCGCATTTGAGCCACCGCAGAGCAGGACTTTGAGGTCCAGACTTGCAAGGATGAGCGTCATGACCAGAATTGACCGGGTTTTGCCACTACCCGGTGGTCCTTTGATCAGGTGGATCCCTGCTACAACCTTAAAGAGGGCCTTGTCGACAGCGCTCTTCTGTGATGGGTCAAGAGGATACTTTTTAAGGATGTAATCCACTCGCTCAAGCTGCTGGGGACCTGGAACGATTGAACACTCCTTGCAGTTGATCTCGAAGTAGTGGGGGTTGCTAGGGTCCAGCTCCAATCCATGGGCTAGGATCGTGCGCTGCATGGAGAATCCATTTCCATCATGCTCGGTGGAATCGCCGAAGCTGGTCGCTTTCCCTGCATAGACGAGTGCTTCAATCTGTGCATTGCTTGACTTCAGGTTGACTTTGACAGTTAACTCAATCTGCCGACTTTGTCCATTCAGAGCGGGACTCAGTGGGGCCCGACTTAAGATCGCGAAGTCCGCTAGACTAGAGCCTACGCAGATGCCCTGACCCATGAATGGCTTTGAGGGTTTGGCTTGACCCGGGTTGGTGTCGATCTCGTAATTGGCCGGGATGCCCTCTGGTGGTGCTGGCTTCGGATCGGCGTTCATCCAGATATGCAACTTCCAGATATTCTCTTTGGGAGTAACAAGCTCCAACGACGCATGGTGTTTCTGGCCGGTTTGAAAGACACTGTCGTACATGGCCCATTGTAGATGCTGTTCGATTACCGCAGCTTCTATCAATTTTTCACGACGGTCCCGTTCGTCGAGGAAGAAAGAGTCAGGTGTCTCGAAGATGTTGTAATCCCCTTCAGCGTTGAAAAGCCACGGCATCTTTGGTCGACGGATTGCGGTCCCTTCTTTCGGAAGAGGATTCTGCTCGGCAAACCAGAACTGGTGTGGCTCACTTCCGGCGGCAAAACTTTCCCGGACAAGCTTTACAATCTTGATCATGTAGGCTCGAACCTCCTTGAAAGCAGCAAGATCCTTGGTGGGATGAGAGATCCAGATATACACTTTTTTGCCCGACCATTCGATCCGTTGGAGCTTCTTCCATCGGATCATCTCTTCGGGGCTTAATTTCCAGAACGGGCCAGCACAAATAGGCTCAGCAGACGGGCTCAACTCAAGAAAGCACCCAGTGTGATCGTTCTTAATCTCCGGAAGAGCAGCCTTCTGGTTTGCCTGAATGAAGGCATCAGACTTGGCGGAGACGCCCTTGGTGACCAGATTCAATTCTGTCTGGGTTGCCGGAAAGACAAGGTGCGCATCGCCAATACGAAGATCTAGTCTTGGCTGCTGAGAATCTAAGCGGATTTTCAGCATCGCGCGGATATGCTCATCGCCTCCGCTAACTGATACGGTGCAGTGCCGAGTTCTCTTCAGTTGGTTGTGGAGCTCCTTTGGGTAATCCATTCCAAAAGGTCGGCTGAGGAAGTCCGGGACATTGATTTTGGATGCCATTCCTGATTCAATAACCGTTTAGACGCGCTCAAAGAAACAAGATGACAGGATGACTTACTGCTTAGAGCGGAAGAGAAGAGGGGGGGGAGACCGAACCTCAGAGAGGACAGGAAGAAGGAGAGGGGGGAAAAGACCGAACCTCAGAGAGGACGGAGAAGAAGAAGGAGGAGGGGACAAAAAAAAGCCGAGCCTCGAAGAGGACGGGAAGAAGAAGGAGAACAAGGCGAGGAAAGTCGGACCTCGAATAATCAAACGCATGAGGTTGTCTTGCAACAAGATACGCTGTGCTTTCATGGAAAAGAGGGAGTGCGAGGAAGGGAGGAGGAAGAAGTGGAAGAAAGAGTGAAGAGATATCAGGATATGTGGTGGGTCGCGGTTTCCTTCACATCAGGGTCCAAGGAAGAAGGCACTGTCTTGATTGACACAAACGCATCATGTGCTGGGTTCTGATCAAAATATGGGCTTAGGTTAGTCTTAAATCACACACACACACACTAATTCCTCATGCTTCTAAGCAGCGAAGCTTCTTGATTGAACACCATAAGTGTAGTTAAACACCCTCACTGACCGCATTTAAAAGAAGCGCAGTATTCTATATTGAGAGAGTAATATTATTGAGTACATACACAAGAACCTACTTGCTCACATTACTCTATGGGATACGCTGGAATGTGAAGGTGATTAAAGAGTGATACCCACTACGCCACCCTTTCCTACCTATATCATGGCTCCAACGAAGTGTTACCTCGTATATTAACGGGAACTAAGCAAGATGATGTGACTTCCTTTGATATTTGACATGCCAACTTTTTTTTTTATCATAGGCTCATCCACATCATCACCACTTACCAAGTATTCGGCAATACCAGCTACCAGACTCCTCCATGCAGTCAACCATACAGTCTTCGATGTCAGGCCAAGCGCCAAATCAAGCTTCCTTATCGAAGAACCGGCGAAAGCTCGTTCCTACTATTGATCCTGTTGTCCGATCCTGTGCCGTCAAATAGTTTACAGCCTTATCGCCTTTGATGCAACAACTCGCGGTTGCAAAGAACATCGCCGGAATCCATTATACTACTAGGGATTTCAAGAGTCCTGGAGAAGCCTGTACCATTCTACTAATCACACATGACCGAATGGATCTTTGGAATCGGCCAGAAATCGACAATCCTCCCTCGGTTACCCTCTCTCCTAATGAAGATAGTGTCATTCGGCGACTCCAAACCTCAGAATATCACACAATCGATAACTCTGAAGCTTCTATACGCGTTGTTGTCGGGCTGCTTATTCTTGATAGGCTCCACCACCTGCCTAATAAAGGGTCGCTTAAGCATCTCCGGCTCTATCCGGAGGTGGATGTTAATCTTATACGCGGTAATACGCATATCACTAGCCGTGCTGACTGGCTGCTTTATTATGACGACCCTTGATATGGCATTGACTCGACGTTAATTACGATAGAAGCTAAGCGGAGCTACGTATTTACCTCTACTAGCGGTCAGATAGCTATATATCCATCTCGTAGCTATATAGGATTATTAGGCCAAAATCCTAAAGATCCATACCATCTCTTTCGGAATCACCACGGATAGTACTAGATATCAATTCTGGTTCTTAGACTCAGAACGGCGGCTTGTCTCTTCTATCATCTTTGATTGGCGTCTCGACAAGGCCAAAATCATCACATAGATCGACAAAATGCTTACCGAGGCGATCGAGGCCTCCCCACTAACAGCGCCAACTCTGCGACGGAATGTCTCTCTACGTAACTGGGAGAAGGATTTCCGACGCCGTCAGCTTTTGAGTTCCGAATCAGATGACACACCTTCAATTGAGGGACTTCCTTTCGACATCAGTGTTCCAGAATCAGCCTAGCTTATCGGGCATTCAGGTACGCAGGACGAAAGGTCATGGTGGTTGAATACGATACAGAGGAGGAATCGAGTGGCAAAGATGAAGAGGACGACGAAGATTGAGCTATTGAGAATTCATGTCTTTGAGGACCTTGCAACATTATTACTTGACGATTGTCAAATCAGTATCCCCTAGCTTTAATATGACGCAGCTTCTTATTAAACCCATACTGTACCCAATTTCCATCCCCGCCGGACTGGGCGATCGACGATCGTATATTGGACAAAACGTCAAGGAGTTTACCAAGGCAGCAGCGGCGTCACATTTGACACGCACATCGCCGCCGCCTACACGAGCAACAATACACAAGCAACGATTGCCAGCGCCTAGGCTGGCGGAAACCGCATACATCATCATTCAAGACAAGTTTCAAGAAGAATAGGGTCGTCACGACTAAGCATCCTCCGTCGATACTTCTTTTGAATGGGTTTTAGACGCATATGGAGAGAGGATCACCGCCTGATGCATGATGAAAGCAAGCATTGTGGCAACTTTTTCGTAGTTGTCCTCCTCCTCATATGGGTATACCGCGAGGGCCCACTCGCCCTGGTCATTGATCCGAAGAAATCTCCATTCTTTGCTGTCTGTTGTAATACCATAAACGGTCGCAGAGCGACCGGGCGTCCGCTTGCGCTCTTGGTGAACGCAACCTAGAACATTAGCTATAGGATTAATAAGGCATACCAGAGCCACCTACCCATATATGCCAATGCTTGATCATCGCCGCCGCTGCCGGCATAGCGCTGCCTCTTCGTTTTAATAAGTACCAAATTAATCTCCTTTAGGGGCCCCCGCTTATTGCTATACCATAGCGTATAATCACACTTTCCGCGAATTCTCATCTGTTCCCCTTCCACTGTTATACTATTTGATCTAAGGTATGTCTTGGTCTGTAGGTTTAACGGCCAAGTGCCATTGAGCTCTAGGTTGGTTACTTGATTAAGCATGGCGAATAGAATCACATTGACGATATAACGTATGGCTAACTCGTTATTGGCCGATCTACCCACGAACTTCCTGATAATCTTCAGCGTGTCCACTGTCAATCATTAGCTTTAATACCAAACAGGGATGTCTATCAAGAGGTAGATATATAGGCGACTACGGGCAGCTTAAATGGGTTTATATAAACTGGTGGCCACGGTTCATCAGTTTTCGATTTCAGGCTTTGTCGGTGGATATTGAATCCCTCCTCAATATCCTCAAGGCGTGTGTCGGTGACTGCCTTCCAGACAAACTTCTCAAAGGGGACTGATTCTGTTGCTTCATCCACCTTGTGGAGGGCGTCCGACGACCCGTTGAGCACGGTTGGAACATCCTCAGGACCAGCAAATTAGTATGGCCCCAGAAGGTCCGCAAGTGATTCCAGAATTCGCGCCTGCCAGGTCGCACGAACGTTAGGGTCGCTCGAACATACACAGCTCTATTCGGAGGTGGATGTCAATCTTATACGCGGCAACACGTATATCACTGGCCGTGCCGACTGGCTACTTTGCCATGATGACCCTCGATGTGGCATTGATTCAACATTGATTGCTATAGAGGCTAAGGGAAGGTAGCTTAGTGGGTATCATATCACTTTTTGATCACCTTCACATTCCAGCGTAGTCTACATAGTAGCGTGAGCAAGTAGGTACCTGGGTATGTACTCAATAATATTACTCACCGAATCTTGAATACTGCGGTACTTAAGATCCGGTTAGTGAAGGTGTTAACCAATGTTATGGTGTTCAACTAATATTGTGGTGTTCAATTAAACTGCTCCAATTACAATCCCAGCGCTGAGCGACTAGTGGTGGTGTCATATAAACTTGTGGTGTTCTTCTAGCAAGCTCCCTAAGTAATAACCGCTGCACATATTCGATCCAGAGGACCTTGAACTAGTTGACTACCACCAGTCACTACGCACGTACCTCTTAGTTTGATGAATAATATCGCCAAAATCATGTCATGTTCATAGCTCGAACTAATTCTACATTACCAGAAATGGAACATGCATTGAATATGTGTAATGCGACTGATGTGCTAGCTATACCAAAGGCGAGTCTTTGGAAAGGGGAATCTGTGCAATGAGGCGGATTATCAATGGGAGGGAACGGGTAGGGACTTTTTTGCAAGCACATCAGTGTGATGGAAGATAGGAAAATGGAAAAATAGACAAAACAGCAGATATAAACGGGGGACAGGCATGATCTAAACAATCGGAGGAAAGACATGAAAAGGGCATATGTCTCGTGAGCAAGGAATCAGTGAGACCTGTAATGGGGATCATCCAAATCAATGGATGAGGGCCATTGCATTTAGCCGGTCTATTGGTTGCCGTTGGCCTGCATGGCTGCTGCTGCAGCTTCCGCATTCTGCTGGGCGAGCAGTGCCTTCTGGTCGGCCTCGTGGAAAACGGCCTGGATGATCTGCTGTTCCTCGGGACCAAGAACCTTGGTCAGGTTCTCGTAGAGCTGGGGCTGCTCGGACTGCAGGTCTGTAGAGAAATACATTAGGCTTGGTTTCAAGTGCTGTTTGGCGTGTAACTTACTCAAGAAGACTTGCTTGAACATGCCATACGGCTCGACCTTATCCAGGGGTGTCTCAAGGAGACTCTCCTCGTCCATGTCATCGTCATCATCATCGCCGTAGGCGCCGAACTTCTGAGCCTCCTGGTTGAGGAACTCAAGGTAGGCAGCACTTTCGTCGGCAACATCATCATCAAGTGCCTCCTCAACCTCCTCCTCGTTCCACTCAATTTCACCATCCCAGTCGTTGTCCTCGTCATCATCATCAAGATCGTCATCAAGGGTGAAGTCAGACTCCTTGGTAGCCTCCTCACGAACTGCCACAAAGGTTAGCAAATATTGCCGTTTAGGGATATAAAGAATACATACTCTTGATCGCAGCAGGCAAGGTCTGGAAGAGTCTTGTCACACCTTGCAACAGTCTCGGCCAGCCCTGCTGGACACTGACGGGTACATCACCCGCTGCCATGGTCAGCAGCGAGCTGATGGCGGCAATAGACAGCTTCTTGTCGTGTACACGACGGAAGTTATCGATATTAGAGAACCAGTTGCTGAAGAACTTGTTGGTCCAGCCCTTAGACTCAAGGACCTGCAGACTGAGTACCGGGTTGTAGTAGATGGCGTTAATGACCATCTCCATCAGGTGAATGCGGTAGGTCTTGGTACGAGCCTCGTCAGCATCGATAACAGTCATAGCCAGCTCAATGAAGAGCGGGATGTACTGATCAATGTGGCCACGGAGGTTGAGCATGAGAGTTTCGGCAAGCTTGCAGCCGCAGATGCGGTCAACACCGCCGACCTTGTCGTCGCGGAAGATATCCTCAACCATGCCAACAATAGCAGCAAGGTAGGCCGGGTTCTGCACAAGCATGTCAGATCCGTAAGCGACGTAGTTGTCAAGAGCAGGAAGCATGTCCTCCAAATACAGCTCAGCGCCAGCCTTGAAGGTCTTGTGAATGAGCTCAAAGGCTTGCCACATAGTGCCCGAAATGTTCTTCGAGGCGAAGGTGCAGCTGTCAATGATCTCAAAGATCTCGTTGTATAGATCATAGAGCTTGTTCTCCAGAGTGATGCTGATAATGGGCATCAGGATGGTCTCCAGGTGCAGGAGCACATCAGGGGTGCTCTCGAGAGTAAGGATGAGAGTTCCAATGGTCTGCAGAACACCGAGTGCGGTGATACTCTTGTCGTCTAAGAAGTCGCCGAATCCATCATCATCTCCGCCCTTGGTGGCATTACGCTCCAGAAGCTCACCAATAATGCGCATGTAGGTATCACGGAGCTGCTCGCTCAATGCGACAGCGAAGGGAGTAAGCTCAGCAGAGAAGACCTCAACGAAATCTTCCATGACATTGGCCAGGGCGTCAACATCGACCTCATTGGCCAGCTTGAGGAGCTGCTGCATGATCTGGGGGATGTTCTGCTGCATGGAAGTCCGAATGATATCGTGGCGAATTAAGGGCTGCAGAGCCAGAGCAGCCTCAACGCGGACAGGAAGCTCAGAATCGGCCATGGACTCCAGAATGTTGCGGTAAATGACCATCAGGTTGTTGGGATCCTTGAAGTCGAGTTGCTCGAATTTCTCAAGGGTATCACAAGCACGGGCACGGAGGAAGCCGTGGGGGCTGCGGAACTCGGGGAAAACGTGACGAACGAAGAAGTATTCGACCTGGTCAGCAATAGGACTCTTCTTGCCCAGAATTACGGAGGCAAGCGACCCAATCATGCGGAGAGCACCCTCCTTCTCACGGGGCAGCTTCTGGTCCTCAGGGGCAGCCTCGTACTTGCTGACAATGCTATTGACAAAGGTCAAGATGGAGAAAGTCTGCTTCTTGCGGTTCTTGGTGAGGGAAACCAAGAAGTTTGTGGCGGAAACATCCGGGGCGGAGACCTCCTCGTAGAAGTTCAACTTGCGGTGCAGGTACTCTGAAGGATCCTCCTCGAACAACTCAATATCTTCGTCCGACTGGCACAAGATGGGGAAAACGAAGTGGGCGATCAAGTTCTCCATGTGCGGCTTGAGGTGCTCCCACATCGCCTTGGGCTTGACACATTCCTCCATGTAGATCAAGGTGTAGGAGATGGCGGAGTTGCTCATCCATTGGGATTTGGAAACCCACTTGTCAATCTCCTGCAGGTATCCATTGAGAATTTCGGGGGCAAAGGTGCTGATGAAAGTTTTCGCGTACGCGGTGTAGTCGGGGGTAGAAGAGGGCTTCGACATGGTGGTGGGGTTTCCGTAACTAGAGAGAAATCGCAAGTCAATACAATAGCCCTGATATCTCGATGTCGGGCCAAGCAATCATACCGGATGAAGAGACGGTTCAAGTTAGCGTATGACCATTTCTTGCACTTGAACCAGTGGTTCATTTCCCTGTCTTCCTTTGACTCGTTCATAGCGCTAGCCGGGGGTGTCTTGGAGATGATGCGCAGGAACAATGTGCACCAGTCCACGGTGGCTTGGTGGGTCTGAAGAGCAGGCGAAAGTTCGAACTAAAATCATTACGAGTCAGTGTATATGCCCGAAATTCTAGCATTGGGGGCTTGGTCCACCCACGTAAATCGCATGCTTGTAGGCCTTCACGATGATCCGAAGCATCTCTGCCGCCTCCAGGCTCTCCTCATCAACAAGCCTTTGTCCAATGCTCAGCAGCTGAGGGAACGAGTGCTCCACGATCTTATCAAACTCCTCGCGCTTCTCTCCAGCCTTGAATCGGTACACACGGCAAATGGCCAGCAGACACTGCAGACCCGCATAGACGGTGTTCGCATCGTTGGTCGTGAGCAGTTGCAGGTTGAGCTCAAGAAATCCCGGCCACTGCTCGGGGAAGTCGTTCTGCAGAATCTTCTGGAGGAGGGGAACCAGTTGGGCGCGGACATTGGGCGGCGTCGAGGCCAAGGCAGGGATAAGTCGCTCCCGGAAAGCGGGCTTCTCGGATTCAGGAATGGGGGATCGCGATGGACTGTCTTCGATAGGGGCCCATCCTCGGCTAATACGGTTCTTCAGGTAGACACCAGCTGAGAGGCGGGGTTAGCGACATTATCATCCCAGGTAGCTATTTGACATAGCTACCAGTTGGCATGAATATGCACTACATACCAGAAAGCTGAACTGCATTGTTCTGCTCCCCCTGTAAGATATCTAGGAGCGCATTGATAAAACCGGGCTGCGTCTCGGCCTAGAAAATAGAGGGGGCCATGAGGCCCCCACGAGGTCAGTCTCATCGACCCCGCCAACCAAAATGTATAGGAACATACATATTTCAGATCCAACTCCGCTTGACGGCGAATGTCCGCATTCGCGTCTAAAGTAGACTGGATGCGGTCTCGAAGGGCCGTGACATCCATATTCGCACCACCCCAGCGCCAGAAAAAAAATCACAAATTAACTCCGAGTAGGAAACCCCGGGGAACCACGCGAGGGCGTAGGGGACGATGTGCGAAAGGGAGCAAGGGGAAATGGGTTCCCTATAGATCAAATGAAGGTGATTCAAAGATCACAAAAAAGTTGTCGAGGGGGAGAATGAGAAATAGTATCTGGGATTTTCTAGGGCGGTCGCCCCGCAGCTAATCAGCGGCCGCACAACATGGATTTTATTGACTCCACATCCCCTCTTCTTTCAGCCGTTGGGGCTATACTCTTTTGATGGTAAAATAAATCTAAATGTATTTGTAGTTTTATCGGTAATATCTTCATAGTCACAAAGTAATGTCACCGTCATCAATGCTTCGATCTCAAACAATATTTCATAATCATGGATTTGGAACAGTTGGGACACATAGTCCCTAGAAATATGACAATAACAGCCCTTTCACATGTACAGGGATGCGGCGAAAATCACGTCTCGCTTGATCAGCTCCTGTGCCGCCTGCATCTTGGTGTAGAGCGTCGGATCACCAACAAGCTTGGCTGCATTCTTTACCTCTCGACAAGTCTCATCCAGTCGAGTGATACAACGGACAATGGTGCCTTCCATGACATCAGTAAGATCAGTGATACGGTTGAAGGACATTCCCTTAGCCCATTCATAGACCACCTCAGCCAGCCCAAATCTGGGCTCGCTGGCGAAGTCATTGGAGTCTTCACTTGATTGGATCACCTGGTGCAAGACCTGGAAATCGTTGACCTTCTCGGCAATTCGGATGATAGTCTTTTGACCAGCCTCCAAACGAGGAGTTAGGGTAGGAACATTGTCAGTCTTCTCCTGAAACACAAAGGCAGAGAGGAGTGCGACAATCTCGGCCGGCTCAAATTCGGCAAGAACGTTCTCAAGAATCAATTCGGTCAAGACCAACTCGTCAGCGGAGTGGATTTCACAAGCCACCTTGCCCTTCAATTGTACACGGGATTGCTCGTCAACAAATCCGAGCTCTCGGAGGACGTGAATACGCTGTTCATAGTCGGGAAGCAATTGAAGGTTTTGATCGGACATCAACTGCTTCAGCTGCGAGATGTTCTCCTTGATTTGCCACTCGTCATTTTGCATTTCGAACTGTGAAAGGTAGGTAAGCAATTGACCTCATCATCGGCAACGTGTAAAGATCACTTACGTGTTTTAGGAAGTGCGGGCACGAGAGGCAGTGGCACGACTGGATGATTTGCACCTGGGCTTCCCGCTGAGTAAGAATATCACGAACTTGCAACTCCTTAACCCTGGACCAGTCCACCTCATCCCAAGCCGAATTAAGCCAAGATTTAGTGTATTTGGTCAACTCTTTTTCTGCGAACTTAGAAGACTCTGTTGGGTATTTTGTCAGTGAAGTCCTGGGGATTTCGAGCACACAGGTGATGCTATCTACCTTTCTTGATGTTCAAGTACCAAATAGGTCCGCCGACCTTGACCTGTGTGCTTGTAACACATTCGACGTTTTCCAACGGAACTTTGACAGCCTTGAGATGCATAGAAGCAGAGTTTGAGGGCAATGCCTGGAGATATGGTCTGAAAACGGGCAAAAATGGTAGGATATCACTGGGATGACGTTTGCTGCTGATTGTGCCGATTTCAAGCACCTGGATGCAAGGCAAAGGGCCACCGGATACCCCCTCTTTCACAAGAACACCGGCAGTTCGTATTCCATCCTAAAAAAAAGAGGTCAATGAATGATTGAAAAATTCTGTCTTTGCGACTTACCTTTCTGTATACAATTAAGCTCTTCATGGAAAACAGTCTTTTGCCGATAGGTGATGCAATTAATCCCGTATGCAGCTCAGTCGTAAGCCTCTGGTATTCCATTGCAGCATCGTGACAAGCTTGGAGATCCAAGTCACAGATTTCACAAGGCTCCCGCTTGATTTTTTCCAAGCTGGCCTCGGAGAGTTGGACTTGCTTCTCGTGCTCGGGTAGCAGAGCCTGGGTAGCATTTTCACTAAAGCTCCGTTTAATCATCTCTTCGATCTTCAGCGCTTCGACGCGAAGAAGGTTCAGAATCATGTTGTATGTCAGTCGGAACTGTGACCTCAGCTTTGTGGGATCTCCAAGAATCATGTTCTTCAAGGAGCCAGCCGGAGGGGCTTCGTCTCTGCCAGTAGTGACAAGAATCACATATCCCACCGTGTCAAGACCACGACGGCCTGCACGTCCCGCCATCTGGGTATATTCACCGGGTAGAAGGTCTCGGAAAGACTTGCCATCATGCTTGCGGAATCCTGAGAAAACAACTGTTCTAGTTGGCAGGTTCAACCCCATCGCAAAGGTCTCTGTCGCGAAGAGAACCTTGACCAACCCCCTAGCAAACAGAATCTCAACAACCTCCTTCATGATGGGAAGAAGACCACCATGGTGCACAGCGACACCTCTGCCCAGAAGCTCGCGAAGTCGAAGAATTTGGGGGAGCGTCCGGTCCTCAGGCTTAAGTCGGGTGAGTGACTTTTCAATCATCATATGAATCTGACTCTTGTCGTTTGCAGTGCTAAAGTCTTGGTTGGACAGCGAGTCTGCGTTCTCTTCGCATCGTTTTTTCGAAAAAACGAAAATACATCCCGGAAGTAGATCTTCCTTGCGAAGATGGGAGACAAGATTAACCCAAGTGGTTTTGTCCTGGGCAGCAGTAGTACGGAAGCCTCCACGCCCAGTGCGAGCAATGTTCCCTGTCCCGCGATTGGAGGGCGCCCCTCGGCCGCCTTGCCCTCTACCTCCTCTCTGCTGCGGACCCCCACGCTGTCCATTGCCCCGTTGGCCACCTCTGACGGCAGGCTGACCGCGTCCTCCTCCTCGGGTGCCTCCTCGCTGGCCTTGACCTTGCGCCTGAGCCTGAGCCTGAGCCTGACCTTCTGCCTCCTTCTTAGCCTTTTCTTTGTCTTTGCCAGACAGAGCATCGTTAGCCTTCTTCCAACCAGGCTCAAGGAACTTCTTGTTGGAATCGACAATCTTGTACTTGTCTTTTCCACCCCAGAGATAATGTTCCAGCGGCACGGGTCGCTTGGGGGTTGAGATCACATAAATGTCCTTTTTCTTGGTACGACCGACCCAGGATGCAAACTCATAGGTGTTGGGTACGGTAGCAGAAAGGAGAATCAGGGTGACATGCTCAGGAAGCATAATGATAACTTCTTCCCATACAACACCTCTCTCAAGATCGTTGACATAATGAACCTCGTCAAAGATGACGAACTCAACGTCTCGAATGAGGTCAGCACCACGGTAAAGCATACTCCGTAGAATTTCGGTTGTCATGATCAGACAGCTAGCCTCCGGATTGATTTGCACATCGCCGGTAAGAATACCGACATCTTCGAACTCGGTGCGGAAATCCCGGTATTTCTGATTGCTGAGTGCTTTGATGGGTGATGTGTAGATTGCTTTTGTCATGTGCTTCGCAGCCAGCGCAATGCCATACTCGGCAACAACTGTTTTTCCTGCTGATGTGTGAGCTGCAACAAAGACAGAATCACCGTTTTCCAGGTGATAGACCGCTTCCTTTTGGAAAACGTCCAACTCGAATGGCCATTCTCTAGCCATATCCGGGACCAAATCGTGAAAGTTAGGGATTTCCTTGTTGATATCCACAACATGTGCCCATTCCCGGCCCTTCTGCTTCTGGATACCAGCAAGTAGCGGGTTACGCGGCTCAAGCGCAGGAAACTCGACCGGCAGTAAAGCGTCAATATCTTGCTCATCTTCATCACTGAGTTCCCCATCTGCGGCATCAACCTTGACACCTCCATCCTCATCTTGTATTTCATCAGGCTTGTCAGCCTGGATGTCACTCTCCTCCTGATTGAGTGCGTGTTCAACCTCCTCTTCTCCCTCTGCGGCCTCTTTGGATTTTTGTTCTGCGAAGTTCATGCCACGGTCGAAGCCAGGGGGGATGGTCAAGAGTCCACCCTCTGAGCCAAAGTTGATAATACGATCTAAACCACCCTGTCTTCCAGAGCGCGATTGTTCCATGGACTCAGCATCTGCTTCCATTGCGGCAAGTGCCTCAACTCCATCCAAACCACCTGGTGCGAAGGGGAAGAACCCCGCTGCACCTCGAACAAAGTCTGCACGACCGGCCGGTCGGCGAAGTAGTGAGGTTGAGTTCTTCGCATTGATGCTTGAAGCCGGAACCGTAATTTCATGGTAGCCGGTAACCCGTCCCTCCAGTCCTTCTCGCGTGAATCTTGTGACAGTGCGTGTTTGTGTCGGAGCAATTTCGAACAGGTCGGTCGAGTCCATCGGAGCATCCCATCGCCTGTAGGTATTATTAGCGGTGCTCAATTGACATGTGAGAGTCATGAAGCCTTACTTTTGCAGTTGGTTCAGCCATTTCGGGCTAAAGGTGGCGGAGGGCTTCAGGAAATCATCTTCCAGATCTTTCAGAAGATCGTCCGCGCTCTGGCTGCTTTGTTTGCGTGGCTTGCGTCTTTCGAATTTACCAGCTTCCTCCTCAGCAAGTCGCGCATCAACAGATGCTGGATCCAAACCCTTGGTGTTCAAGCTTAGCTGATTCAAGGCCGATGCTAATGAATCTGCCATTTTTGTTTTGGGTTGTACCAAATGGCGGGGACCGTTCTGCGGAAACCAGTCTCGGCCGGGGTCAATGTGGAAACTGAACCGCGGAAACAGTAGAAGCTTGAAAGAATTGCGGGAATAATTGAGGCTGAAGAAAAATTGCGGAGACAATCGAAGCACTGAAGTTCGGAAATGTGCACCCCACCATCTTGAGGTCGGACGTAGTTGTTGGCCTGATTCATGCCTTATTATTGCCTGATTTGTCGTAATCAGGACTAGCTTGGAAAGCTGTTTTGACCGCACTACTCACCGCTTTTACGTGCTCTATTAGTCATCCGACCAGGTTCCGTCGCCCTACTTGGCTTTTGGAGCTTTGGGCCGTGACGCCTGGCAGAATACGCTCTGTTGACGTAGTGTGGGGGCACGGTGATTGATCCACCCATGAGGTGAGCTAGTGCCGATTAAGCCTTGGAAGCTACACAAGTAATAAGCAATCAGCCGAAACCGCTTTTCATGGATACAGCGTTCTGGTGTGTTTTCAGATGGTTGAATAGCCCAGGTACATATTTATGTATTGGTAAATGGGAAGGTGGATCTTGTCCCAGTACAAGCCACATGGGCAAAATATATATATTCACCTGTTTCACTGTTGAAACCATTGAAATAACCACGCTGAGGACTGGATACCCTAGATAGTGCAGCACCTACCTAGTGCAGTACTGTTGAACTTGGTTCCAAGGTTATTAATTAATCACCTGGGCAGCACAACATACCTAGGTCAATACTCATATGCATAGGTACCTATATAAACGCGAGCTGCTGAATTCGAAAGAACCAATTTATAGCAATCAAGTGCTTGAGACAACCCACACCATCCGTGCATATGTGAACTTTCAAGCAGTTCAAACCGGCCTGCGTGTAGAAATTTTTGCTACTATCTACTCGGGACCTAGGCATATATACACACATGTGCATGCTTGAATTTTAATAATGATCGCGCAACATTGCCCATATTTGGAATTTTATGGGCAAAAGCGAGGCACTCAAACGGTGAATCTTGAGGATATTCGATTAATGAGAAAACGCGCAAAAACTGGCACTTGCCCATGTGGGCAAATCAAGTTTATCACACGTCACCCCCTGTGCATTAAGTATGAAATTTGGAAAATTCTGTGGAAGTTCTTTTAAGTATTGGCATTAGATATCATACGCTGTAGAACTTTTGTACCGGGACCAGCCAATCAAAAGAAACTGTGCAAAACATGAGAGAGATTGGCTGGAAAGGAAGCACGCCCTGAGCGCCTGGGGCATACCTATGCAAGAGGTGAAATACTGGAGGCCAAACCCAGCTTGAATATAATAACAACGGGAAAAAAAATAGTGACTTCCCAGAAAGTGGAAGACCAACCAAAAATTGAAACCCCCAAATGATGGCCGAAAAGATTATCACTTGCTTTGATTAGCCATAGTCCATGAAATTGCCTGCATGTTTTGAAGCAGAACTGCCTTAGGATCAAGTCATAGTAAAAGCTTCATCGGTATGAAATTGACGGAAAAGTTCGTCGGTCGTGGATGTTTAATTGGAACTCAAAGATTCCTTGCACTGTGGCAATGTACCTAAAGAATCGTGGGTTAGAGCTGTTAGAGAATACTACAAGGGATAAGTAGACTTACAATGTTCTCCCGTCGGCGCCCCAGCCTAATCCAGCTGTAGCGTCTGGTTCACCGGCACCAGAGCCGTGGATCAAGCTTCGGTCAGGCAGGTCATTGATAATATTCCTGATCCAGCGGGGCGAATGGGCCTGTTCAAAACCAAAAAAGTGTTGGCGACGCCTTCGTTCTGGTTCAAGGGAGGAGCGGTAGGTATGTACCTCACTGGCTATTGGGCGGCGTCGAAGACGCTCCGCCGCAAGATTGGATCTTATTTCATAGTTAGATAGACGTGAGCTATCATATCTTCGTTCTGTCGCTGTCTGAGGTCGCTCGGTTCGTCGTGGGGTGGAACTGGATCGTTGGGACCTAAGTCTAGCGAGGGCCTCCAAGGTGCTAGGGTCAGTTGGGGAGGGCCCTATTCCTAAGCCCTCCGGAGTTCTTGGACCCAAGTCGTTTTCATGACTGACGAGATCAGGGTCAATACCCCGTGAGGTGATGTCTGGTCCGGCAGAGAGAAGCTCGGATGGCGACGTTGTCCAACTAAGGGTAAGGCTGGGCTGAGGATCTTGATTAGAATTTTCGGTTTCCGAAGATCGACTTCCCTGTGAGAGAACGATCGAACTTTGACGCCTAGTGTGGTATGACCGTTCGGGAGGGCCACCCGCGCGTCTGAAATGACTCATGCGCGGCGGAGGCGGAGGTAGCGGTGGCGGCAGGGATATTTCTCCATCGACATCTCGAGCTGTATCCGAAGAGTCATATGTGTGCGGGGGTGAATTAGGATGGGAGTTTCGAGTTGTCCCATCTGTGGCGCCGAGTTGTCGTGCGCGGGCCATACGCATTCTTTCTCTGGCTGTTAGTTCTGGCCGTTCTGGCCGTTCGGTTAGCCCTTCTTCCGGTCTCGTCGTCCACCGTGCTGTGTTAAGAAAATCCATGATTATTCTCTCCCGCTCGGTGAGATCCTGTATTAAGTTTTCGCGCAACGAAGAACGTTCACTCTCTCCAGCGCCTTGCTCAATTGCAGGTTCATCACCATTGATTCTCAAACGCGGTGGAGGCGGAGGCAGTACAGATAAATCGTCATCATCCATTGATTGTTCATCTGATTCGTCTCCCAGGGGCTCCAAATGAGCCCCTTGCAGCTGCGGGTCATCAAGGTTCAGATGTAGAAGCTGCCTTCGTACGAAGAACTGGCGAACATCTGCGATTCCAGCTCGTCCATGGCCTTCAAGCCATACTAACAGATCCCATGGTTCAGGGGAAAAAGTCATGCAACGCACGGCGCCACCCTCCTGGCAGGACCGGGAAGCCAGGAACTGGTAGAGAATCGGGTTTTCATCAGATTCGAAGCCACCGGAAGTCTGGCGAATGACCTCTACATCTATGACCGTTATGACTCCTGATTGGGACCCGATGGCACACAAGTGGCTCGATGGTGAAAAGGCAATAGTGAAGCAGCAAGCGTCATCAGGGCGAGTGCCGATTTCTATCTCGATGCATTGCAGCATTTCCCATTCCCAGCCCGCGAGTTTGCTACCTGCTTCCGTAGATGCAGATGACCCCCAGTCACGCAGAATCCGATAGAAATAAACTTTGTTCTCATCGCCCACTGCAGCCAAGATGGTCTGATCTGGTGAGATAGTGGTATAGTTCATACATGTTGTATGTTGGAGAATCTTGAGAACTTTGGATCGAGTCAAGGAGTAGACGGTCACGGTATGATCGTTGTTACTAATGAGTGTTTAGCAACAGCCTGTACGAATTTCGATTTAGGTCAAAGAGTAGTACCTGAGGACCATCACATCTTCATGAGAGGTGCCTTCACCATTGTTAGGGAAGCGATGGATTGTCACCGAATTGACAATACTGCCTCCGAATTTGTGTACGATAAGTTCCGGCAATGATCGTCTCCCCAGACGAGATGCCGAGGCACCCTCAGAGGTTCCCGGCGACGGGAGCCGGGACGGTGGCTCTAGGTCGAGCGGAAGCGCACTATCGACATCGGCGGGGCGGAATGGAGATGTCCCGTCATGAACCTGCAGTCCTCTCTCATCGATTCTGATGTAAGCGCATTCACCATTGTCTGGCCCACCCACCGCGATCCACCCGTAACCAGCCGCCAAGCATCGCGGCTCGAACGGAATGACGGCTATGCTCTCCCGCTTTTGCGCCGCAATGTGGATCGCAACGACAATTCGATCGACGACGACATATATGCGATCTGGATCAGCCGTGCTGATGTAGTGGCGAAGCTGGGGGTGGCTGTGGCGTTCTTGTTAGGTCATGAACTCCGAGATGTAGGTCAGGAAAGTAGAGAGGGTGGGGGGTGATACAAGTTGGGAATCTTCAAAGGGAAGAAGCGGCGCTTATTCGGAAGGATGAGAGACTCAGTCGGGCGATGTCTAAGATCGAAATGTGAGAAGGCCCGATCGCCATGATACGGGGCAAAGAGCGCTGGAGGGGAAGCGGGACAAAAGACTCACAAGAGCGAGTCCGAGGTCATGGTGAGCAACTATGCCCGCGGCGACATTGTCCGATATAAAAAGGGCAAAGACTGAGAGCGCCACCAGACCCGATCGAGAGCTTTGAAGAGCACTTGAGCTGAACTTGAGGCTAAGTAGCATGCGCTTTCAAACTGATGACGTAAGACTTGGGTGGAGCTAAAAGCCGGGGAGCGAATGCGGTTGTACCGTAGTATGGAAGGTAGTGCGAGGAAAAAGGTTCAAGTGCCGGATGCAATAGAAAAAAAAGAGTACTTAATATATCCAATCTGAATAGGTCTTTCATTATATGTCTGGCTCTTCTTCCTTTGTGAAGGGTAAAATATAGATCAGATAAGCTATGAATGGAAAAAGAATGTACCTAGGAAGGTACTCAATTTGTGAGAAGCTAAATAGAATCTAAAAAAAGGCAGATGAACCTATAATCCACATACTCCATAAGGCCTCCATACTCCAGCTTACTCCAGTCGAAGCTGTTTCATGCCGCCACGATCGATATCCCGACCATCGTCTGCTTCCTAATCGACGACCGGGGACGGTCACACGACACTACCCGAGTAGACTTCAACCCCATAGCAAGAAGGCAACACAGACATAGCAAACAGGCCAGACCCCACGGAGAAGCGTGGCAGTTGACCTGAGATATAAAAAGGCAAATATAAAACAACTTAAGAGCTCTCTGTGGTTTCCTAGCTAACTTTACTATGTCAATTCAGCACCTCCGAGGCGATTACATAATTTTCTGCCAGCCAAAATCCAAACATCATGTTACAATGGCTGACAGCAACAGTTGTAGCCTGTGTGAACTGTGAGCATATTGATTGACTGATGCATTCGTAATACAATAGGTTATCCGTGATTTGCTTCGGTTATTTGTGAGCTTGTTTGAGAGCGGTCGGCTGAATGAAGTGGGCGGTATGAGAAGGCGGTCGAAGGGGGGTCTCAAGCTCGACATACGCCATTGTATTATCCGGTCAACACCCGCCCAAAGAAGGCAAGGGCCACGTCACGTGTTGCCCCGACACACCCGAGTGTCGGCACCTTCTATAAGTTTCCAGCAAAATCTGTCTCCCGGAAGCTTCATCTTCAAAATCCTTCCCCTTGATTCCATCTCCAGCCAAAAAACCCATCCTCCCCTTTTTATACCTCTCACTCCGCGATTGATTCGTTTGAGTGTTCTACCTTTTCTTTTTTTTTGTATTACTTAATTTAACTCACAATGCTTCCTTCTCGCATGTCTCGCGCGGTAAGTCTTGCTCCCTTTTTTATCCGCGATGGAAAGAAGAGCCATCACGCGTCGCAATAACATTTACTAAACTATACTTGCAGCTCCCGCGCGCTGCTTTCGCTCGCACCCCTACCTCCAGAGTCCCCGGCGTCGCTTTCCGCCGATGGAACTCTACCGAGGGTGGTGAGGAGAAGGTCAAGGGCTCAGTCATTGGTATTGATCTGGGTATGTCACAACAGTCTTCAGCATCCCTAATGGCAATCATCTAACGTTAATGATAATAGGTACTACCAACTCCGCTGTTGCCATCATGGAGGGCAAGACCCCCAAGATTATTGAGAACGCTGAGGGTATGTGAAAAATTTTTCATCGCGAGTCATGTCGGCAGCTCATCGGAATACTATCCCGAACTTGTCTGCCGATTATCGCAATCAATTATGAAATTCCGATGACTAACAGGTTTTTTCTGCAGGTGCCCGTACCACCCCCTCCGTCGTTGGTTTCGCTCAGGATGGTGAGCGTCTTGTCGGTGTTGCCGCCAAGCGTCAGGCCGTTGTTAACCCCGAGAACACTCTTTTCGCTACCAAGCGTCTCATTGGTCGCAAGTTCACCGACGCTGAGGTCCAGCGTGATATTAAGGAGGTCCCCTACAAGATTGTCCAGCACACCAACGGTGACGCTTGGCTCGAGGCCCGTGGCCAGAAGTACTCTCCTTCCCAGATTGGTGGTTTCGTCCTTAACAAGATGAAGGACACCGCTGAGGCTTACCTCGGCAAGCCCGTTAAGAACGCCGTTGTCACTGTTCCCGCATACTTCAACGACTCCCAGCGTCAGGCCACCAAGGATGCCGGTCAGATCGCCGGTCTGAACGTTCTCCGTGTTGTTAACGAGCCCACCGCTGCTGCTCTTGCCTACGGTCTTGAGAAGGAGGCCGACCGTGTTGTCGCTGTCTACGATCTTGGTGGTGGTACCTTCGATATCTCCGTTCTGGAGATCCAGAAGGGTGTGTTCGAGGTCAAGTCCACCAACGGTGACACCCACCTTGGTGGTGAGGACTTCGATATCCACCTTGTCCGCAACATTGTCGAGAACTTCAAGAAGGAGTCTGGTGTTGATCTCACTGGTGACCGCATGGCTATCCAGCGTATCCGTGAGGCTGCTGAGAAGGCCAAGATTGAGCTGTCTTCTTCCCTCCAGACTGAGATCTCTCTGCCCTTCATCAGTGCCGGTGCCGGTGGTGCCCTCCACATCAACCAGAAGATGACCCGTGCTCAGCTCGAGTCCCTTGTTGACCCCTTGATCCAGCGCACCATTGAGCCCGTCCGCAAGGCCCTCAAGGACTCCAACCTCAAGTCGAGCGACATCCAGGATGTCATCCTTGTTGGTGGTATGTCCCGTATGCCCAAGGTCACCGAGTCCGTCAAGTCCATGTTCGGCCGTGACCCCTCCAAGTCCGTCAACCCCGATGAGGCTGTCGCTATTGGTGCCGCTGTCCAGGGTGCTGTCCTGGCTGGTGAGGTTACCGACGTTCTGCTGCTCGATGTCACTCCTCTGTCCCTCGGTATTGAGACCCTCGGTGGTGTCTTCACCCGTCTGATCAACCGCAACACTACCATCCCCACCAAGAAGTCCCAGACTTTCTCCACCGCTGCCGACATGCAGACCGCTGTCGAGATCAAGGTCTTCCAGGGTGAGCGTGAGCTTGTCAAGGACAACAAGATGCTGGGTAACTTCCAGCTTGTTGGCATTCCCCCTGCCCACCGCGGTGTTCCCCAGATTGAGGTCGCCTTCGACATTGACGCTGACTCCATTGTCCACGTCCACGCCAAGGACAAGTCCACCAACAAGGACCAGTCCATCACCATTGCCTCTGGCTCCGGTCTCTCCGATGCCGAGATCCAGTCCATGGTTGAGGATGCTGAGAAGTACGGCGAGTCTGACAAGGAGCGCAAGGCTGCTATTGAGGCCGCTAACCGTGCCGACTCTGTCCTGAACGATACCGAGAAGGCCCTCAAGGACTTCGAGGACCGTCTTGACAAGACCGAGGCCGAGACCATCAAGGAGAAGATTGCCACTCTCCGTGAGTTCGTTGTCAAGAACCAGTCTGGTGAGGGTACCGCCACCGCCGAGGAGCTCAAGGAGAAGACCGATGAGCTCCAGACTGCTTCCCTGACTCTGTTCGACAAGATGCACAAGGCCAACAACGAGCAGCAGCAGCAGCAGGGTGGTGAGCAGCAGGGCGAGAACAAGCAGTAAATGCTTAACTCTCTTCTAAGTGCTCCCACCTACGGCCATTAGGCCCATGTATTTTTCCTGTGTTCATTTCCTTTTCTCATTTTCTTGTGTCAGAGACTCCCTGATCTCCTTTTTTCGCATTTCCTTTCGCATCAACTGTACACATACTTCTCAAGGCCCTTCTATCCCCCTTTCTTGTTCTGGTGTATCGGTGTTTGATTACCAACTTGTATGATCTATTTTCTCTTTTTCTCTATCTTCATTTCTCCTATCTACTTTCTGTGGCCAATGAGCCGGAAAGTATGCCGGGATTGTCTACCATTGTATTTAATGACATTACGGCAAAGGGGGGCTACCAAAAAGGATGCAAGCTTTGGCTTGCTGGGTGCATGTGACAATAGAAATCGGACCATTCTCCTCTCGCTTTTAAAGAATTTGCTTGAAGCTGTAAGACCGTTGTTGCGTAACCTGCCTTTGAAGGGAGCACGGGGCGATGGAAATTGCTTGTGGCTCTCAACGCGCCACGATGGTGATGTCTCCGTAAAAGGCTTCCAATCCAATGAGATTGAGTCGCGGCTGTATGCTCTTCTCTTCCGAAATGCATCCTGCAAGCCTCCCTTTACCAGCAGACCTCTGAGGGCCAAAGTACGAGATTTTCATTCATTCTCCAGCCTAATCAAGCCTGATTCTACAAGATGATAGGTCGGAACAGCTGCCCTGCCGTATGCAGCTTGACGTTTGCGCCCACACTGACCGCCGGGTCACCCGCTTATTAGCTTGAAACTATTGAGGTCCGTTCCAATGACCAATCTATTTGCAAAGTATCGGAACAAAACAAGAAAAAAATTAATATAATCATAACCATAATTCGGATTGAATTTGGATCCGTCCCCCCATCAAAGAGAAGTCAAAAGACTAGTGCATTGTAGATGGACCAATCGCCTCTAAAACCTCGATTCCTTGCATGAAACGACTGCGGCCAGACTAGAGCTTTTACAAGTGGATTAATCCCTGATTTTGTTTTTTTCCCACTCTAGTTCTCGGACGAGACAGCCGGTGTGAGGTGGCGCGCTCTGTTGAATGTTTGATGATGAAAAGCTAGACATTATCAAACGGTGCTATACGCCACCAGGTGGCTAGTTAGGTTAAGTCTACGATGTACAAATACACCTTGTCAGCCTGAGGAAAGTTCTAGAGCAACCGAATCTCAAGGTTTCTTTCAATTTGTATGCTTTTTGCATCATTAAGAACAGGGATGGACACGAGTATCTGTTGGGCCTTGGGCTCGAGGCGCTGATGAGAGAGGCTGGTGCAGACTTTCCTGCAGCAATGGGCAAATCATCGTTGTACACACCAGTTGGGCTATCAAGTGGGTCTTTGCAATGATGATGTTTGTCACTTACGAGGCCTGAGATCTTGGAACCGGTACTCGATTTGATTTAAATTTGTATAATTTAGAGTGTTTTTATTTTACTCCTTTCGTCACCTTTCCCCTTTCTAACTGGGGGAGCACAGCTTCTCTCAAATGATGGACAAGCTAGAAAATTTCAAACATCACTTTACCCTTCAATCATTCGTCGATCATCTGTCTTGTGAGACCTTCCGCCTTAGCGCGCCCCTCTTGTGTATGATTATTTCCCATGTCTCCACTTTCCAATTGAATTCCACTTTTTTTCATTTTTTTTCATTTCCCCGAAGCCCTGGCGTCTACTGCAAAATAAAGACGACATGGTAAACAAGATCTAGTACTTCGTACAGTATTATAAACCACCTTGGTCACTTGACTCGACTCCCATCCGGGATCTCATAGATCCATAATTAGGATACATTAGGGGCCATTAGTTAGCGCTGGGCGGGACCTAGCACTTGGTGGAGCAATGCAATTTCCCATTGGAATGGCTTGCCTTTCTGTCATCGCCTATTCGCCTACTCGGTTCAATTCTGTGAATTTGTGATGCCCTTACCGCACTTCAACGATCCTCTCCCCCCCTTTTTAGGCTTTTGAAAATTTAGGCACAATCTAACATAAGGTTAAGAGAGGGGCGACAAAAGACTGGAACACTTATTGCAGGATTCAATAGATCGATGCCACACAGACAATAAACGGAGTACGGAGTACCGGAGACGTGTATTGATGTCCCTATCCGTGTAACCCCTTTTTGTCCCCAGTCCTGTTCAGACTGTGATCCTGCAGAAACTCCAGGTTATTTTGGTATGGTATGGTATTTTTTTTTTTTATTCCAGCAGCTTCGACGCGGTCCCATGGAACCGCGCCAGGGTCAAGTTCCCCTGTGTTACATAATTGATCTTCCCAATGACGCCCGGCCTTGGCAGCTCCTGATGGTAGATCTGTGCTTTACCATTGGTTGTACCCGGAAACATTTGTACCTATTGGGTAGAGCTGCTTATATTACACTAGAAATTGAAATTGCAGTCAAAACCTGGAGCCGCTTGCTTAACCCGTCCGAGTTTAACTTAGGGGAAAAGGTGATAGATCAACGATTGCCATACCCCTACGTACTCCATCTACGGAGAGACTCCGGTAATTCTACTAAAACTCGAAATTTTATTTTGATTTATTTAATTTGGGAAGACTTGATGAGTATACTCTGGGATTTTCCCCTAACCCCCTTTTTCTGATGCAGCTCTACATTATACATATTGGGACTGGTCATCATGCAGCTGGGACTTAGCCAGAATACTGAGGTAGCTCTGGTGGATGAAGTGTACGAGAATTATCTGGATTCTCTGCATCCAAGGTGGGTATCAAGTGGAGTATGGGTCAGCTGACTCTATTTTTTTGTGTGTTTTTTGTTTGAGAAAAATTGCTTAATTGAGAATGAAATCGACGTGTACTAATTTGACTTTTTTCGCATATAGACTCCGTGGTGATTATAGGGTGAAGCTGAGAGATGAGACGCTATAGAGTGATACATAATAAAAATAGATCCCCCTAAAATCAACTAAATCTCCACGAAAGGAACTGTGATGTGATTTGATTACATCCACTAGCGCCGAGCCAATCCATGGAAGCACTTGCCCACTGACCGCATCCTCCAAACTGGTTTTACTGGAGATCCAATGTCTCGTCACATCTAAGATCCCTTACTTGGCCGTTACGGGAAATTTTGCAAGATAACGGGGGTGCAGCCCAAGGGTCGCGCTAGTGGATGTCATTTATTTTCTTATTTTCTTCTCGTTTTTGTGGAATTTGCATGTTTTGGGACGTTTGGGGTCATTTTTATTAGATTTTATAATGGAGACTTGGTCAATCCTTTCCTAACGACCCATAGATCGGAACTGGGTCTCTTATTTTTTTTTTTTCGTTTCTCTCCACTCTTATTTCCTTGGACCGTTTATTGTTTTGCTTTTGCTTTTGTTTTTGGTTCTATCCTTTCCCCTACACTTGACCCTATACTGGGCTCTTAATACAAGGCCCTTGCAACCCAACAACATTAATTATTCGCGAACCCGGAGATCGAACTTCGATCTCATTATGACTACTGCACCGTTGGTGCCTCACCCTGTCACAGACAGTGGTATGAATGGAGGCCCGGGACATTTGAACGGTCTACCACGCTATCACCCCATCGCCATGAACCCGAACCCACCACCACACCCAGGAATGCCACCACCAGATCAAATGGTACAGAATCATCATTTCAGACACTTTGCACCGCCGTTGCTGCATGATCCTCATGCTGGTCCCCCACCGGCGCCACCGACACCGAGCCCAACGTCGTTGGAACAGATCGAACAGCGTCTGCGGCAATTGGAACATGAGGAAATGAACCGGATGGCTACTCGGAGCCATATTCTGGCGGTGCGCAAACGAGAAGATGAGGAGTTTCGCAGATTGACCGAGAGTGCAGAGATAGAGGAAGAGGTATGCTTTATGTGTCATACGCGTCAGGAACAACAAAATGAACAATATAACTAACTATGACTCAGGATCTTCGACGACAGCGCAAGCGCATGAAGAGAGAATCGATGGGCTTGGGATCTAATAATGCGGCGGACTCGCCGCCGTTGCGCCCCACACCACCACGTCGACTGTCGGAGACCAGCGCAGCTACTACACTAGCGTTTTTCAAGCAGCAGAGTCCGCCAGAGCCTCGCCAGACTCCTCTTCCTCCTGCATCACAGCCACAGCCACAGCAGCAACAAGCACCTCCTATGCCCCCACCACCTCATCTTCATCAAGCACACCCGTCTCATCAACCTCATCAACCTCATCCATCTCATTCATCTCACCCACAACATGCACCCCATCCGCCTCACCAGTCTCATCAACCTCATCATGCGCCTCCACCACCTCAGCCTCAGCACCACATTGTTCACCATGATTCTTTGAACGGCCCTGGATCCATCCGGCGCAAGCAAAAGTACACCATCAAGAACGTCGAGGCATGGGGCGAGCGTCATGGCCGTCCAGCAGCCCACGACCCATCAGGTCGAGCTTTATGGAAACGGCCCTCAGATGGTAGCTTAGTATACCTGACCTGCCCAATCTCAGGCTGCGGAAAATCAGACTTTGTCACTCTCCATGGTTTCATGTGCCACTTGACAAAGAAACATAAAGACCGCACACTGGGCAGCCAGTCGCGTGCGCTCGAACTCTGCGGCATCGTCTTTGATCCCAACTCGCCCTTGCCCCCAGTGACAGCCCACCGCGGCTCAACAGAGAGTGCAACACCAATGGATCACGACGGAGACCAAGACGAGGATATGGAGTCTGACCCCGAAGAAAGCGAGGACTCACCTGAATCATACCGCGTCAAGACCGAAGTATCTGATCGCCTCGGAATCCCAGAGGTCCAGGACACACACACATCACACGACATGTCTCCGGTGCCAGTGCAAAAACCCGCACTGAACGGCTCCGTCAAACAATCCATTTCGTCCATAATCGACCGAACCCCCGAACCAGAGCCCAGAGAAGCTCTCGCTTCGCTCGGGCCATCCGAGCCTGTTTCCCAAAACCACACACCTATCTTGGAACAGACGGTGCCCGTGAAGCGGAAATTCGAATACTCGCCCGAGAAAGAGAATACAGAGCCGAAGGAGGGATCTGCCACTGAGTAGTCTCATAATACCTCTGTCTATATCTCTTTCTCTTTCTCCCACTATATAATTTTTCACATAATCCCATGGTTGTCATTTAGCTACCATGAGCCATACATAGCATCGATATGACAAAATCATCATCACATTTGCATCAATCATCAGCACTGTTTTAATCGACTTTTTTTTGGCACATGTGTCATTTATTATCGTTTCCCCTCAATACCCTTTTGTCTTATCTGGGTGGCTTGCTACTTCTCATGTTATGCTGCCATATTCTTTTGCCGCATATTATTAGATTGGCCGTCTTTGTCCATAAATTGCATATTGAGCATATTCAATGATATATTGGTAGATCTGCGGATCTAGACCTTGATGCAGACTGAATTATTTTGAAAAGTATGCTTGGAAGTATGAAATAGCGCCACGGAAACCCTGAGGTATGTTCAAAGTCAATTGGTCCACGTACATGGTCTCGAGAATTAGCCATGAAAAGCGAACAGGAGTGGTATGTACAGTGTTTTGGTCTATATAATTTCCCAATACAATATCAACAATATCCTCGTACTTGGGTATCCATAACTTGTAAGTCAGCAGCTAATCACTTCTCCCTAGCCAACATCAAATGGACCAGATACCCCGATCCCCCCTTCAACGCATCCCCAAGCGCCTCGTCACTGACCCTCCAAACCCGAAACTCCCTCAACGTCTCCCTCAGCCAAGTCTCAAAGACGTCCGGCGTCCGCTGCTTCTGCGCAACAATACAAACCGTCGGCCGACGAGCCGGCTCATCTGTATCCGACGGGTTGTAGACAGGACGGAGACGACAGATCTCAGCGCAGGTACGCACGAACGGCGAGACGAGCGCTTCATTATAGATACAGTCACAAGACAGAAGGAGGTCGAAGCCATGATCTTCGGGGTCCATTCCTTGGCGCGAACCAGGATCAATGCAATCCTTCAATGAATTGGGTTGATCGAGTTCCCAGTCTAATGTTGTAAATGTGATGTTCGAGGTTGAAGGTGTAGAAGCAGCTGAAGTTTTCGAAGATGCATTCTTCTTTTTACTGCCGCTCCCCTTTGACTTTCCGGTCTTCTGCTTTGATGAACCGGAGTTGACTGATGCATTCTCGTCGATATTTGTGCGGAAGAATCGGCGCACGTACTCTTGGTCTGTGGCGATATAGTGCTGTATTGATGGAGCTAGTGTGAGAGGAAGTAGAGCTGAGATACCGCATCCTAGTTCAGCGACGATAGATTCCGCGCTTAGGACAGAATTCGTCCATAGGGGATTTTTTGGAGAAGAGATCCATTCTGCAAAGGGCGGAGTGATTTTCCAAAGAACTAGATATAGTTAGTACATACGTACACTATATGGATGTATAGCCAAAATCCAGCAGTGACTGCAATCGCGCAAGAAAGCAATATAGTTCCAGCGACAAATATAAACCAATCAGATGGTCCATATATACTATCAAATGAAAGTCCAGACCCGAGGCGGAGCCTCGGCTCATCCTGTTCCTGGACCGACGTTTAAGACAAACTGCGGGGTGTGCGAGTCCGTGCTTATGGATTGCAGATCAGACTTACCGGCGCCCGTGGTACCTCCAGCTCGAGACGAAGAGAGTAATGTTGGAGATTGGTGGATAATGTATTCATGATCATGGATTGTCACATCGACTGTAGTCGCATGCGAGTCTACGAATCCGAGATTGCCGGTGACAATTTCCTGACTGAAGAGAAAGAAGGATTCTAACCGTGTTCGTTATGCAGTGAGCAACTGCCAAATGTACTTGGCTTGGGAATAGGATTTCGTATTCGAATGTGATTGATAACTTACCCTCTTCAACGTCGGTGACCTCTTCACCAATGGCGAGAAGTGCGGTGATGGACATTTTCTATTCTCTATTGGAGTCTGTTACTGAGATTGAGGCTACATATGAGATTAGATCACGTGGATACAAGGGTTTTCAAACATCGCAAATGAATAGAACCGCGGAGATTTGGATCAGTTCGTGTACAGTATGTATGATCTTAGTTTCCCCACTAGATGTTGGGCTGTCCCAACAGTTACAGAAAAGAGTAATTGATCTACAAAGGTTACCCTGGAAAGGCTAAAGAGAGAGTTTGCACAGGTATACGAGGATCATGGCTGTATATTCGATATATATTTGTATGCATTTTTTTATGCCAAGAAGATTTGTACACGTATATCGTAGATTGATGAATGGCATTGTATGATAGGAAACCCGTCATTTAAAATGGAGGCCAAGTGCGTCATTTGCGAAGTTGCGGGAGAAAAACCAGCCACAGTCTACTAAGCGCGTTGTACTAACTGTGACCTGGAGCTCCTGCCTAAGCAACCTCCTCATTTTTGTTTTTCTGCTAACGAGTTTTTACTTCTTTTCCCTCAAAACCCCCCAAAAGCGTACTCATTTATTGGAAGAGGTAAGTTTTGCGGTCGTTTCTATCGGTCTGTTCCGGGTAAAGCTTTGCATTTGCCGTCCAAGCTTCCCTTGTTTGGCCCCGTTCACTGCCGCCACAGAAACGCTAACGTCACTGGTCCCAGGGCACTTTTCCAAAGCTACTCTTCTTCTCTCCCTTCCTCTATCCCCCTTAATTTACACACTCCATACTTGCGAGTCACGACGCCATCATGTCGAAGCGCGAGTTACACCTCCAGCCGCGCATGGTCAAGAAGGGCCCCTTCTCCGTCGAGGCTTCGGGTTACGAACCCGTCGCCGGCGAGACCATTCCCCGCCGACACCCGTTAGCCAAGGATGGCCTCATTTTGCGCCCTTCAGAGGATGTTGCGACCACCTACGACAACTTCCGCCGCTCCGCTCGCCTGTTCGGTAACAACAAGGCCGTCGCCTCCCGTAAGGTGATCAAGACCCACGTCGAGAACAAGAAGGTCAAGAAGATCGTCGATGGACAGGAGACCGAGGTGGACAAGCAATGGACCTACTTCGAGCTGAGTGGATACACCTACATGTCGTTCCTCGAGTATGAGAAGCTCTGTCTGGAGCTGGGAGCTGGTCTGCGCAAGCTTGGCCTCGAGAAGGACAGCCGCATCCACCTCTACGGAGCTACAAGTGCGCACTGGCTGGCCATGTCGCACGGTGCTGCCTCTCAATCAGTGACCATCGTCACTGCCTATGATACCCTGGGTGAGGAAGGCCTGGCGCATTCGCTCAAGCAAACTGCCTCCGACGCTATCTTCCTGGACCCTGGCCTGCTCAAGTCCCTCCTTAGCGTCCTGAAGGACCTCCCGTCAATCAAGCACATCATCTACAACACCGACACCGAGGTGAAGCAGGAGGATTTGGACAAGCTGAAGAGCGACTTTAGTCACATCTCGGTGCAGAGCATTGAGGAACTGCGCAAGTCCGGCGAGGAGAACCCCGTGGATCCTGTACCCCCCAAGCCCGAGGATCTTTGCTGCATTATGTACACTTCCGGCTCTACAGGTCCGCCCAAGGGTGTTTCTTTGACTCACGCCAATGTTATTGCTGCCACCGCTGGTGTCAACGCTATTGTCGGGCCCTGCATTACTCACACAGACTCCCTGCTTACATACCTTCCCCAAGCGCACATTCTGGAGTTCATGTTTGAGAACCTCTGCTTGTTCTGGGGTGGTGCCATGGGATACGGTAACCCTCGCACACTGTCCGATACCTCGGTGCGGAACTGCAAGGGTGATATTCGCGAGTTCAAGCCCACTGTCCTGGTTGGTGTGCCGGCTGTCTGGGAGACCGTGAAGAAGGGTGTCTTGAACAACCTCAACAAGACCAGCTTTATTGTTAAGGGTATGTTCTGGGGTGCTTTTGCTGCCAAGAGCTTCCTCTTGAACAACGGTTTCCCCGGTGCCAGCTATGGTGCAGGCATCCTTGATGCGATTGTCTTCAAGAAGCTCAAGGAGGCTACCGGTGGTCGCCTTCGTATCATGATGAACGGTGGTGGTCCCATCTCCAAGGATACCCAGAAATTCCTGTCTATGGCCATCGCGCCTATGATCAGCGGTTACGGTTTGACTGAGACCTCCGCCATGGGTGCTCTGAATGACCCTCTGGCCTGGAACCCCGAGGCTCTGGGTGAGGTGCCTGCATCTGTGGAAATCAAGTTGGTCGACTTCCCCGATGCTGGATACTTTGCCAAGAACAATCCTCCTCAGGGAGAGATCTTCATCCGTGGTGGCAGTGTGACCTCCGGCTACTTTGACAACGAGGAGGAGACCAAGGCTGCCCTGACTGAGGATGGTTGGTTCATGACCGGTGACATTGGCGAGTTCGACCACAACGGCCACCTGAACATTATTGATCGCAAGAAGAACTTGGTCAAGACCCAGAACGGCGAGTACATTGCCCTTGAGAAGCTGGAGTCTGTCTATCGCTCGTGCCCTGTGGTTGGCAACATCTGTGTCTACGCCGCCGAGGACCAGGACAAGCCGATCGCCATCATTGTCCCCGTAGAGGTTGCGCTGAAGAAGATTGCCAGCGACAACGGTATCCAGGGTGACAGCCTAGAGACCCTCGTCCACGACGAGAAGCTCCAGCGTCTTGTCCTGCAGCAGCTGCAGAACAGCGGCCGGGCCGGTGGTTTGAGGGGTATTGAGATTATCAACGGTGTTGTGCTGTCCGACGAGGAGTGGACTCCCCACAACGTAAGTGCTCAATCCAAGAAAGAAATTGATATGTGATTCTAACACTATTTACAGGGCTTCATGACTGCTGCCCAGAAACTGCAGCGCAAGAAGATCGTCGAACACTACAAAACCCAGATCAACAAGGCCTACGGCAAGAAATAAATAGCATCTCAAAAGTGACGGAAGGTCTATCTTGTTGAATGTCTCCCACTCATCTACGTTCAGGTTCATTCTTCGCTCTTCTTTTTCTTCTTTTTCCCCGTTACCCTTTCCGCGTTTGATTTGACTGCGATTTCAAGCCTTTCTGATTTGTATTCCCTGTGACGACATGCTCTTGTCCTCTCGCTACGCTACGATTTAGACGAGATAGTAATGAATACAGACATGAAATTGCGATGGGCCGGCCATATACAGCTATTGATCCCAGGTAGTTTGTTTCAATATAGTTCTAGATGGACTTCAAAAGTCCGACATAGCCCACGAGACTCCAGCCACAGTTTTATAAACACTACCAGCAATACCATATCGATCTCACGGCGTGGTACAGGTACCTGCCAGGAACCTCCAGGAACAGGAACACAGAGCCTCCCCAAATCGGGTTAGACAAAAGGCACGTGATCTAGAGCTTCAACTCCAGCTCCATATCTTCCTTTTATTGTGATCCCAAGATAACCACTTCAATTACCCTGATAATAACGAAGATGTCTTTGTGGAGGTAAGCAGCACCTGGAACGAGCCGCACTTTCACATGTTTGTCCGCCATCCTAACAAATCGCGCTACAGCACCTATCGCGGACTGACCCCGAAAACCCGGGCCCTCTTCGGCGTCGGCGTGATGGCCTGGGCTACCATTGGTCTATGGACTACGCCCCAGGTTGAGAGTGCTCTTGGCATGCAGTCGACCAAGGAGGAGCAGGAGGCTTTGGATCGGAAACTTGCGGTGCGGGTTACAAGGATTGGGGATGAGAAGGAGAATGAGGCGAACTGAATTGAACAACCTGGGAAGTGATCGAGGCACCTGATCAATGCTTATCGTATCGCGAATACCTGTCACCTGAGCTCTGGTCTCAATGATATTTGGAATGAAGGACTCTTGTCTTCGGGATTTCGCCTTGGATACTATGCAGACACCAGACACGGATATCTCGGAAAGCCAGAGCTCTCGCATGCAAGCCAGTTGAGGCCTAGCCTCATTCACCATCAATACGGCGATATCATCCAACAAGACATCCCCGGTTTATACTCCCTACAGCCTGGTAGTCCGGCCATACCGAACCAGCACCTGCCCGCGTGCGTCTACATTTGCGTGTTTTGCGTGCTCAGACCCTACCGACGAGAGCCTGCCCATGCCCATGCCCGCATAAGTCTGCTGGAGCATACAAATGCACCATGCACCTGCATACCAGCCGAAATGCAATGAAGCTATCTATAACGTCTTATCACCATTCAATTGCCCTGTTCCTTGGGGACCAAGGCAGAGACAATCCCAATCGCAGTTGCTGCGTTGTTGCGGGCCCGGAAGTCACCCATTCAATCCTTGGCGGCTGAGCGAGCGGTGGTGTCTCTAGTCCAGATTGCAATTTTTGCTAGTCAGCGCTTTAAGAGGCCAATTGCGGCGCATTTTATTCTCCGGGCTTGATGGGGTCGGAATTGGGATGCGTTGCGAGCCGCATGGTGTTTCGGCTTGTCATGTCAGGATGAACTGGGCTGGAGATTGAGGATTGCAAACCCTGGAATATTCCCTTGCGGTACTTGTCGAGCCTATCAGGTTGATGGTGATCTATTCTTGTCCATTCATGTGCTGTACATCTATGTTTGAACCTGGCAATTGATATACCATATTATACGCCCCGGCAACCTACTACCATCACCTCATCCCTGAGGTCTCATATCCTATGCCCAGTACTATATGACCCCGAACTCTCGTTCAAACTCCAATCCACCTGCCAAAAAGAAAACCTAGCCCCTCACGTGCTAAGGGCCCAAGCCCGATTATCTTCTGTAGAACAAAGCCCAATCTCTAGAGCACCAAGTGCGACGAAGAAAACAGGAGCCGTTGACGTGAAACATCGGAGAAAACAATCGTCTCGCCGTAGTTCAAGAGAGGGTCGGTGAGATTTGAATCCCGATCAAGTGGCCGAAACCTGGTCTTTATCGAATCCAGGTTGGGATTGCAATGGAAAATGCCATTATTATTGTGATTCTGATTGAAATTGGGGACTAGGGCTATACATGTGGGCTGGGGAGTGTACTTTCAACATTGGTATTAGGGCAGAATATGGATATATGTCTAGTAGAATGCCTAGTAGAATTGAATACTGTATCTCAAATAGTCTACGTCTGAATCTTGATCTTTTGCACTTATTGCAACTTAACCTATATCAGTATAGCATGTACTAAATCGCAATGTATCTCTAAAGACTAAGGTCCAAGCAATCAAGATCCCAGCCACTACGTTTGTCGCGGGTTACGCACAGGATGATTCGGTTGCACGGGCAACCCAGGGTCCAATGTCCAAATGTCTTAAAACAAGATGCATATGCTAGACTGACTAGGATAAATAATCTATGCAAATGCAGAGAAAAAGAAGAAACCAAAATCAAGTTCGTGACAACTCACACCATAATCTAAATTCAAATACTATCAGTCCATTAGATCTACAAATTACATCAGATAACCTGATTTGATCGGATCATTCATTATGCGCCTTGATTCTGTCGTACAACCAAAGAGAACCCCGCAAGCCTACACTTAAGCCTCCTAGAAAGAAGACAAGACCAATTAGGCATCCGTGATATGCGACAAGGATGATTTGCACATGCTTGGAACTGCATGGAAGATCAAGTCCTTTGACCCCTTCGGCCGTCGGCTTTTGCACAACAAGATAGGGCAACGGGCAAAACGAGGCTGAAAGTAACAGTATGTCATCCAATTCCACATTGCCAAGAGGATTATATTCAAAGGAAAAAATAAAAATTAAGGAAAAACCCAATACAGTAAAAGCCCTTTGTAAGATAGGCCCCAAAGCTACCCCCCAAAGTACGAACTTTGTGATCTTTAGTGGGCTTATTGCCACAATCCCCAATAACTATACTCCATTCAAGCCAAACTAGATGAGCCATGATACTACCGTTGTAGTGACCGAAATGGACCCCACAACAAAAGTCCCATGAGGTTCCCACTAACTCACATCACACCCTGGTCCATAACCGAAGCACCTAAGTACCATCATTCAATTTCCAGAACAGGGCGGCGTAGGCAATGAAACACCGGAACTTACCGAACCGCAGAGAGAATCACGAGCCAACCTTGTGATACGTACGAGAGGCTATGACTCAAGTATTCCGCATGGGGAAGTCCCTTCCTACTTGAGACTAGTCATCCACACTGTGAAGAGTAGGAAGAACAAGGAGAACGGATCCGCCACCAGTGGAATGCCGAGCCCGGATAACAACTGGGCTGAGCTGAGACGTAATAAATCATCATTGCTGCACTGTCGATCCGATGGCGATGGACGTGCTGCATCTGCATCTGCACATGCACCGTATTTAATTTGATTTAAATTTGTTAGGGGCTAGTACCTGGACTAGTATCCAATAACAATACAGTAATACACATGATGTGTATAGTATGTGGGATTATAGTTCCTTTTGAAAGGTATACCCTAGCGGCCCTAACACCCTCATGGAAAATACTACCCCTCCATAATCATACCTATTGTATCATAGTCTTTTCCTTCCTCATCTATGCTAACTCCGAGGTCCAGTCTTCAGCTCAGCACGGACTTATCCCCGCATTTAACCCTTGCTGCCTGCTATTACTCGATGCCTTCAGACACATAAGCAGGAAGCGTAACCCTGCCGAAAAGAGGTGTTGCTCCCCCTGATTGGCTATTCTACTCTTGCCAATGGGCTAGGAGCCAATCTCTTATGGTGATGGGGTCGAAAAGAAACTCGCGACAACGCCACCATTCCTTTACTTCCTTGATCTTCAACCCTGGCACACTTGACCTTCTATTCTGATGTGGGTGGCCTTGTATAAATGGTTTAGTCATTTCCTATCTTGCAATTATAGTAAAATTGAGATTGTAATGTAGTTGAAAAATCTAATTTCATACACCCGCCCCATTACCATGGGCGCTGAACAAACCAATCAGAATTGAATCCAGAGGTAGTCTAGTCTATATTAGTCTAATGCAGATTGAACTGAATATACCTTCCCTCCAACCTTGTCTTCTCAGTACCAACACCAGCCCCAGCGCCTCCCAGCCACCGTTCAAACCGGCCCAATAATCCCTGCAAAATCCTGCACAACCCTGCTAATATCAAGCAGGACTGAAACCGCAGCGAATAACGGTTCCTGGCGGGCCAGCGAATCGGGAAATTGCGCTGAATGGGAAAGCGCAGACAAACATAGTAAAGTGAAACTTTCATGTTTGTATGGTAAAACATCACTATGGCGTAGATATTGGTATCTGTATGTTGAGTTGACAAAGTCAATAAAAGGTTCGTAATAACATTCTTATGTTTCTCTTTCTCTTTCTGGGTAAATAATAGGGTGAATAAGAAAAGCAACGTCAATATGAATGGTAAGAAATGTTGAAACGAGATGACTTTGCCCGACATTCATGTCTGCTTATGGGTGGCAATAGTCAGCCTGTTGACATGAAACCCGATATGAAACGAGGATAAAAGAAAACATAGAAATCAGCAAGAAGAGATGAGAAGAAACCGAAGTTCTCAATGAGATCAAAATAAAATAAGACAAGAAAGAAGAAATTGACAAAAGGGCCGTAATTCGTCTCCCGCGCCGTTCTGCACCGTTCCGTAAACCCCTTCCAGCCATTCCCACGTAAAAAAGCCTCGAAACAAAACCTAAGTCACAAAAAATGAAAGTTACAAACAAAAACCAGAGAAAAAAAGAGTAAATAAAAAATAAATATAAATCCAAGAGGCACTTCATGTGCACAGGCCATGCGGGTTCTGGATAGGGTCATAGCGTCCATAGTTCGAGGTCGAATAAACGGGGTCGTAACCACCACTTCCAGTGCTGGACCGGTGGTGATGATGATGTGGGATGCCAGTAAAAGGATCTTGGTAATCGAGTGTGGGGGAAGTTTTCAAAGTATCCATCGGATCCATTGTATCGTTAATCATGGAATAATCGAAGCCAGATGAGGATGAAGATGAGACGAGCGGACTATCACTCAGAGGTGAATGTGAGTGCTCTGTTTTCGGGATCTGCCGATAGTCTGTTCGTCCGTAAGGGAGGGCGCTTCGGTGCGCGGAGTCGTACATCATGAGATGTGAGCGTGTGGACTGTCCCATTCCGTGAGAGAGACCACCGTTGCCATCGCCACTACTTCCGTCTGGGCCCATGCTCGCGGTGCTGTCACGTCGACCATCTTTGTAGTGACCTGGGGAACGGCCGCGGACGACCATGCGGTGTGAGTGACGACGGGCGATCAGGACTGGCTCCGATTCTCCGGTTACTGGGTCTGATATCTCGGCGTGAAGTTCTACTACCAGGTTGTAGTACTGCTGCTGAGCGCGGCGCTTTCCGTTGTTGGCGGTCGCTTTCTGGAATTGGATGCGTTCGAACATATGGGAAGTTGGTGGGTGGCAGGGCTGAGGGGCGCCCGAGTATGAGGAGTTGTAGTCTAAAGACTGGGAATTGAGAGGAAAGTTCGAGTGCCCATTTCCTGTTGATCCTGCCGACAAGGATGGCGGAGGAGCAGGCTGAAGGGCTACTGGGCCTGGTTTTCGCTCGGATTGCTTGTCTCGTTTCGGAGTGTGCTGGACCAACTCTCGGGTCTCTGTGTACTGTTCGTTCACGATCGCGGAAATGGACATCTGGAAACCGCGGATTGGCGTCAACGCTCCATCGTTATGTCGGATATACAGAGGTACTGATGAGGTCCACGGGTGAAGACTGAAGCTGCAGGTCACGGCGAAATAGTTCCGGCGATAGCATGTCCATTTGCCATCAGAAGCGAAAAAGCCCCGTCCGATCTTGGCTTGGATGTCAGGCTTGACAACGGTCTGGGAGGTTCCAAAGTCCGCCACGATAGACTCAAGAATGTTGGTGTCATTGAAAGGGGGCGCCTCAAACTGTGGTTGGGATCGTGGTGAAGATTCTACCATCGGTTGCTGAAACATGGCCTGAGGGCGATCTAGACCATCTAGAGTCCGGGGAGCGCCCGAATACTGATGGGAGCGGGAGACATCATTGACTCCTGCTAGTGATAGACCTATGCCGCGCTGTAAAGCATAAGAGGAGGAATAGGCATGGCTTCTCCCCATTAGGGCTGGAATGGAGCTAACGGCGTGTGACGAAGCCTGCATAGTGGTAGACATGCCGGTGGGAGGTTGGCTAAATTTCGCAAAGCCCATCAGCTTTGCATCTGTTAGAGGGAAAAGCTGAAACTTACAGTGCTAGTCCCCGGGGAAATTCGTTCATGCGATTATATGAATGCTGCTGTTGAGAAAGGTATGGGAAAATTGGGCCAGATGTAGGAGAGAAAGAATCTGTTAAATGCCGCATTGATCAGTACGGAAACTCGCATCCCAGAGAGGAATCCATACCGGAAACTGAGTCTGGAGGTGTCATAGCAAGCACAGAAGAGCCAGAGTAACTAGAAGACATATCCTCTTAGTACGTCACATCACCAATGATTTGAGTGTAGCGAAGGGGTCGAAGCCACATTAAATCATAGGGTACCACTCCGGTCATAACAGGAAAACGACAAAACACCAAAGAGCCATCGCAATGGCAAAATTGGGAAAATATACAAGAGGCACGAGACAAGCTCAGGTAAAAAACGACAAAACATCGGAAGAAACGCATGCACGCAGCGGATCGGTATGGAAGGTAACGAACCAGGCTGGGCTAAAGTTCAAGCTGCCCAGACCCGGAGAAAGCGCAGCGACAAGGGTCGACCGAGTGGAGCCAAATCAGTCCAAATTGAAAGAGAAGAACTTACTGTAAGTCTTGCATCGCAGGCTGTGCGTGGTACCGCACGCCGTTGGTGACAGGCATGGAGGAAAGCCCTCCGACTCGCTGATGATCGTCCTCGTCTGAGAACCCTGTTACATGGGAACTGATATAATCACGCTCTGTAGTAACGGGGCAGTCCATGGAAAAGGAATCAGGCAGAAGAGCTGATGCCGAGTTAGTGGCCGAGTCTCATAGCTGAATTATACCCGCCGCATGACAGCATGAAGTAAGAAGCAAGGAGTGGGAAATCACGTACAAGTATTCATCATGATCCAGCTGATGCGAGATGATTCAGATCCTGAAGAATGGCTCCTGGAGGTAACACGGATGCCCAAACGTGGTCCTTGAATGTGCTGGCAAAGAAGTGAATATCTAGCGCAGACAATCTAGTTAGTGACTCAATACCAGGTCCAGTGGTCGTCTTGTTCTCACAAATGCGGAATCGAATATCCTCAAAATTGGAATTCGAGAATTCTTCCTAGGGTACGTGAAGTATGAATAAGTGGCGTGGATTCGTGCGTATGAATAGAAGAACGTGCGTGCTTTCCGGGTACAGTCCACAAGTCACGAAATCGGGAAACCTCGATTGCGATGAGTTGTAGAAGTTGGACTAGCAGACAGCAGAAAGAAAATATGTGTGGGGCAAAGAGGGGATCTTTAAGTATAAATCAGAAAGTGAATGAAGAGGGTGAAGACGAGAATAAGAAGCAGGACATGTCTCAGGAAGAACAATCACAAAGTGAAGAAGAGTAGTCAGCATAAGAAGTATGCGCCAAAAAGGGATGCGTCAGTATACACAACGCCCAGGTCATGGGCCTCAGTGAAAAGCCTTACAACCTGAAGATCCAAGAGGACACAGTCCCCCGAAAACAAGAAAAATGATGACAAAACTGAAAAAAGGCAAAAACCACTCGCGAATGAAAAGGGAAATCATGACATCGGGGGCAAAAAGAGGAAAAGCAAAGTACCTTAGAGAGAAATAGGTATAGACTGCCCAACTCTATCCTTTGTATTCTTTAGAGTTTGGGGGACACAAGAAATACCGAACGGAATGCAAGTGTAAAGAGCCTCGATCTTGGATCATAAATAATTTCTTTTGGACTTGCGTGGCTTGGCTGAAGATGAAGAAAAGAAGCTTCATAAAGGAAAGGAACCAAGACAATTGATATTTGTTTCCCTGTCAAGTCGATCCTGGTCAAAGCTGTCAGTACCGGAGAAACCAAAATAGCTTCAGGCTATCATCGGCCGAACATTCTCGCCACGAGCGAAGGATGTGGCCAGTCCCTGTCAGGGCGAAATACGTTGTATCCAGAGTGGGTGGCAGCAGCTAATCTGCATAAGGGGTCCAACCATAATTAGTACAGAATATCCGGATTTTCTTTAGAATTAAATAAATATTTCAACTAAAAAGAAAGGCATTTTGTGTAATCCTGGTCCCGGTCAAGGCTATGGTGTGGGCCAACAGTAGTAACATCACATTGGTCCGAGCTCTTGGACAGTTTGATTGTCCAAGGAGCATGGCATTGGTCAGATTCTCCATGTTACGTGCCCTGGGAGGACCCGAAAATGCTGCACGGACAGCCGATCGTGGGTAAGGCACGATACGGCCCTACAATGACAATAACCCTGGAAGTATTCTCCACTCGTCCCGATGAAGTCAGGTGTCCCAGCGCGAACACCCGAAGTCGGGTCGCTGCAGGTAAATCCAAATAAGATGAAACTAGGATAGAGAAGATCAACCCCCCCCCATACATGTACCCGTGCAGACCTTCCCACCTGATGTATCAGACTGTGGGGACCGACAAGCCAATAGCTCGTGGGTTTCCTGCAAGATTTCATTCATTCGTCCGTGCCAATAATTTTTGCTATAATGCTTCCCAGGAAATGGACCAAGTTGCTGGGAATAAGAAAGGACCTGTCGGAGTGATCCCAGTGATATTCCTTCTCTTTGGCTCGAAGCACGGTTCTTGCGTTTAAAAAAAAAAAGAGAAGATCAGGCGATCGGCAATATTCATCCAACCAGCTGCATTGTGCAGGTTGGCAATGCTCTCACCGACATAATCTCGGGAAAGGGATTAAGGCAGTGACTTTCCCCCATTTTTTTTTTTCCTTCCAGGACAATTGGCCCGGAGGGAGAGGAGCTCAGGACCGGGCGTTCGAGACTATGACCGATGTAATCACGCCCCAACTAGGAACAGCGGCTCCACCGTTGACCCAAAACAGCTGCAGCGGGAAGGATAGTGGTGTGCGGTCCGTACCCGGTAGCTTTTTCCAGCAGAGCAGCTTTCTTGGGGACCCACTAAGGAAACCAGCAAATGAAATTGAAAATCACGTTAATAAAATGAGACAAGGAAGGAAGGAGGAACCAACCCCCTAGTAGCATCGGGGGCTTTGCTGAAAGTAGAGTGACTAGTACCATCATAGATTCAAAGGCCCCGATCCTGAAGTCCAGGAGTGGAACCGCTAGGTCTGATCGTGACGAAAACTTCATTAGTGGCTGGGAGATCGTCCATCCTGCAGATGGCTATTTGACCTAGTTGGTCCAGATGGCAAAGCGAAAGCAGTGCTAAAGCACCCGACCGGAGATGATTGGTTGATTAGAGACTGGGTCGATGTTTTAGGGACCAATGGTGAGCAATAGGAGATGGTATGTTATGCAGCTCGTTTCCACCTCCACACGGACCATCTTAACTCTGCATGGTACCGAACTCGGTACCAAATGCATGAAAATTGCCTGGAACCTCCAGTGATGGGGTGATTGAGTGATGAGTGACGAGTGATAGTGACGAAGGTTGACGAATACTTGAGTTTTGACGGGCAGATCACCCGCGTTTCCCGTACAATACACGTGGGGCGGTGAAGGACCCAAGTAGCTGGGTCCTAAGTTACGTACGTCTCATGTAGGATAATCATGTCAAATAGTGGGGTTAATGTACAATTTAACTAGTGCTAGGATGTTCGTTGCAGGAATGAAGAACATTGTCCAGCCAGCCACTAGCGATTTTCCTTTTCTGCCTCAGCTAATGCTATAAGATCGATCCACTCCTTACCCGAGGGGACTCCACTTGCCCGTAATCTCGTTCCCGGAGCTCCACCATTTCCGAGCTATCACTTTTGTGCTCGGATATTGTGGATGAGATACATCAGAGGATCAGAGAGAACGAGGTGTTAATTGTCCGATCTAGGAACATGCGGAGTAGCGTACTCGAAGATTTGGCCCGTGCCCGCCCTATAATTGTTTCTGCAGGTACCTGGTCTCTTCAAACTGTAATTTTCTTTTTTTGACTCCATACTCACAGTCTTGTTGTGATTTGAGTTTCTCAGGATTGGGATTCACTGACTGTCGTTTTTGGTATGAACTCCTTGATCCAACCATGGTTCGGCCTATGCAAATCCCCCGAGCAAAGACCTGAGAGTTTAGGCTTTGACGTTGCATAGTCTCCTGAGACAACCTCTGGCACTTCTGCCTGGATTGCAATCCCTGTTCACTTAGCGTTTCTTTTGGATACTTTGTGTCCAGGGTTTCCCGTGGGCACGTGCCCCCGGATCTAGTGGGTTGATGATCTTGGCGCGACGATCGGGGAATCGACTGAGCCCTTGCGAAGATGAATTGATATCTCAACGCAAAGGAAGAAAAAGTTGAATGGGGAAAATGGATTCTTCAAACCCTGTACGACTGGTTTTTCGCGCGCGCAAATGATAAACCGTGGTCCAGTTCCGCGTCAATTCCCAGACTGCACCCGGCCGAATGCCCGGTTTTCGACAGGGAAGGCTCAAGAAAATAAATTAAAAACAAGCTGAAATTAACCGTGACTCAGCCCTCAAAGACAAGGAAAAATAGTAATCAATCCTTTCTCATCCGAAGGTCGGGATTGCAAACCTCATCCTTTCCCCAAGGCATGATATGCGGTTTTTTTAACCTTTCTCATGCCCATTGGCCCCAATGAAGAAACTTCAGCATGGATGCGTACCAATAGCCGGTAATATCCTGGATCTGAGTTTTTTTGTCTCGCAATCCTAGCAAGAATATGCCCGTTGATCTAGGATCTGATCCCGCACTTCAATCCGCATTCAATGACTCGCGTCAGCAACATAACCCTGGGCTGTCAGCATCGCGCCGAGAAAAAAACTAAAATCATAAAATAAATCTCCCGACATATTTACCGGGGAGAGAAGCCGTTGGAGCTAATGGCCAAATCCGGCGAGAATTGAAGCTGGTGTGTTTTGCCCCCATCTATGATCCATGGTTCCAATTCCATATTTAAGTTTAAGACAAAGACGATGTCACTCGGGGAGTAACAATCTCCACCAGCTGCAGTTGCCTGGAATGCTAATTTCCTATACCAGAAACGAGACAAGATGGCTGAGCACTCGACCAGCTTTCCTGGTTCTTCGATCCCGTTTGGCAATTTGTCAACCCAATCCCAGGCCCACAAGAGAGAGGAAGTATACCCCCGGGTAATCTCTTTTTTGTTTTCGGGAGCCGTAGATTGTTCCCTTCATGAGCCCAAACTCAATACTAGCAATTGCTCCATGCTCATGTCTGGATACAAGGTTTCTGTGTGGTACGTATGGCAAACATTGAGTGGTCATTTGGGGCGACGCTTGACCCCCATTGTCGGTAGCCCACTCCTGAGACGCTACCTAGTGGGGGGAATATGAAGGTCTACGCAAGAGATGACAAGGGGGTATGAGGAGAAAGGAGCTCCCATTGGAGCTCGACCCATCCTGTCAAAAGAAACTTTGATCGACCTGGGATCTCCAGCCGGCAGTGCCGATCGTAAGATGATCGTGAACATCCTAGCTACAGTTTCGAGCCCATGGAGACCCAGAATCCGCCTCAACCTCCCCGACAGACAAAAAGACAGGGGCTAATACGATCATTCTCCCCGAGGCATCGGGATCCAAGGTACATCGGTAAAGCTAGGATAAGTCGTCCGAGGGGATTCTCAACATACTACACGCCAAAACAGACTTCAGCCTTGTTGGAGATACGCCTCCAAAACCTTGATGATAAACAAATGAAACAAGAAAGCATATCGTATTCTCTACGTGTAGGTTTCTCCCTGATGCCGTGTCAATCAGCTATCGCCGGCCATCCCGGGCAACAGCAACAGCCAATTCGAGAGCGAGGCTCCGTCACACGGAGAAAAAGCCAAGAGAAAAACCTGCTCATCGACACGAGGTCAAGAGCGCGACCCGTGAAGAAATACCCTTTTAGTCGAATTTGCTTCGCTTGCGTCTTACGGGCCCGCAGATGCCGAATATGACAGGCCGCCACAACGTGGATGTGCGATGAATGGCACTGGGTCATTGAAACTTCACGAACGCCTTTCAGATGTACTGGGCCTGTCATACAGCATGACGGCAACAGCAACGGCAACAGCAACGGGGATTAGGTGCTAGGGCTAGGAGTTAGGAGGTGCTCCAAATGCCGGTGGCCTATTGATAGTCAGAAAGCAGCAGGGAAGAGAAGAGCTAACAAAAACGGACAAGGAAAGTTTAGGTCTATTCCTAACCTCCAGGGTATCTGTATGGTTTTTTTCAATCCCCTGTCCTGGAAAGCATATATCTGTTTCGTCAGCGGCTCAGCAAGCCACTCGGAGTCAAGACTGGAAGGTTTTTGACAGCCTACGCTAGTCGCAAGTAAGCTTTCCATTCTAACCCTGCTCGTCCTGGGTCTCCTTCCTAAATGGATCACCGATGCAGCACGATGCAACACAATTTACGTGCGGGAAATTAAGACTGGCGATTTTTGTGTTCACTGCTACAGGAGGACAAGATTATAGGCTACGCTGGAGATCTACATCTGCATGCTGTTGCAATTGTGTGCAGGATCTGTGATGCGGGTGTGACTTTGGAGTTTTCCCGAGTCTTCAATTCCGCCTTTAGGCGTTGGGCTTTAGGTTTAGTCTTCTCCGGTCTAGTCACGGTCAAGGTCAAGTATAGATGTGTACCTTCGGGATTCGGCTTTAGGAACGGGTTCAAAGGTACACGTCTGACGCTGGAATGGCAGGGAATAGGAACTGCTGTGTGTTCAGGTGGCTCTGTCGTTGGGGCCTGGTGTACATCCTGACAGATGACAGGACCCAGGGGCTGTCTCAATACGGATCTTCATTACCTTTCCAGCCTTGCGCTGAGCAAATTATGGCGGGTGATCAACTTTATCCTGGTCATTGGAGGATAGTGATGCTTGCCCTATGTGGTATCTGACATACACTTCGTGCAGTATATTGATTGGAGAAGAGACTCGGAGTCTGGATAGACAGCTGAACATTGGAAACGGATCTGCTGCCACAGCCTGGGCTGTAGCAATCTAAACATAGCAATCATGCAAAACTCTTCTAAACCATTGCTTTTGTATAGACTGATGCATGTAAATGACATGGTGGTTGTCTTTTTCGAAAATCATCATTATCGATCATACAGTACAAAAGAGAAGAGCATCAGCCGATAATTAGGCTCGCCTGAAAAGAAAAAGGGGAAAGAAGAAATGTCGTGACAAAGCGAGAAACGATTTTAAGTAGACCGCTTGGCGAACTCGACGTGAAGAATGAGATGGCGGTAACCGACTAAAGAGAGAACTTGTTAGCATCCCATTATATCCATACCCAAGCTCAGGTGTATACGTACAGCCGTCCAGTTTCTCGCAGGCGCCCGCGGCGTCGCCCCGATCCGCGTAGCTGATGAAAGCAAAGCCCTTGGCCCGCTGGGTCTCTCTGTCCCGGGCAAGGAAAACTCTGGTAACACGACCGAACCGCTCGAAGAGATCCCGCAACTCTTGTTCCTCTGCCAACTCGCTGACCTATTGTAGAAAAATTCGTTAGAACAGAACGAGAAAAAAAAAAGCCATCTGAAACGCGATGCATCCAGTCTAGGAACCATAGATAACGTACGTTTGTAACACGCAGAGTCGCAAGGTCGTCCTTCTCGAAACGTCCACCCATCTTCTCGCCGCCAGCAGCACCGCCATTCCGCATGTGAGGAGGCACGTAGCTGGACTTGCCCGCACCGAGACCGCCAGCCTCCTTGTCGTCCGCATCCACACCGGCACCACCAGAAGCCTCCTCGACGGGAGCCATAGTATCCTTGAAGGGACAGCGGGCTGTGAAGTGCTCTCCGGAACAAATACGACACTTGACCTTCTTGTCCTTGAGCTGGTCCTTCATGCTGCCCTTCTCGCCGCCATCCTTCTCAGCCTCCTTAGCCTGTGCCTTCCAGTTGATGCTGGGACGGAAAATCATGTTCTCGCCAACGGAGGTAGTATCGAAAGTAGGGCCGGGGGGTGTCCCTTCTCGAGACCGAACTTGGGCCACGACCGGCGCTCTGCGACCTGGGGGTTGACGTGTTCGCGAACGGTGGTGGTCTTGATGCGGCGGGTAACCTTCACTTTCTTGTTGTCATCGTTGAAGCGGTAGGAGATAACGGTCTTGGTGCCATCTTTGTTGGTGATCACTTCTTGCGCGGGGAGCGCGGAGGGGTCGTCAAACTCCTCGTCGTCGGCCCAGTCGGCGCGGCTGGAAATTTTGAAAATCGATTGTTAGAGAAAAACTCGGGGATTAGTCCTGGGGTCATTACTCACTTCCCAAGTCGAGACATGGTGTGTGGTTGTGATGTGTTGCGGCGAAAGCTGAATTTCTGGGATTTCTTTCACAGGCGAGTCCGTTGTGGATTTCATTATTCGCGGCGATTTTCCTGTGGCGCAGTTTGTGGCTGGAATATGACACGTGATGAGAGCTTCGTTTTCTGGAACAAACACCACAAACCAATTGTCTACCGTATAGATACTAGCGCGCATCGTAACAACCTCGTTGATTTGTTTTCTGAACCTGAATTCTTTAGAATTTCGTACCTTCAGTCCGATGCGTCCGCTGCGATAAGCTAATGTCACAGTCGCCCTTCAGTACCACAAAAACCACATCCTACAGTCAAGCTGCATGGATCATGTTGGCTGCAAAGACATGACCATGTTCGCAAGCTGTGAATTCTGGGCAATGGCCCCAAGCTGCATGCTCTATAGCTGAGGTCTCTTTTCTTGGGTTTTCGGGGTCCAGACCGATGAACGATGATGATAAATCAGTCTCATTGACGCAAGATCATTCGAAGTCCATTCGCATTGTCTTGAAGTAGGCCATGAAAGCCTGAATATACTCGACTTTTAGGCTCCGTGCAGGCCTTGGGACTCTCGGCAGATCCCAGAAAACTGCAATGCTTACAATGCTCCTCTAGAGCTAAAGCGTCAATCGCGGTGTATCACCTGTCTTGGTAGTCACATTCGAAGACTCGGCAGGGCAGAAACAGCCATTGTACACATTAAACCAAGACCATGAAAGTTGAAAGGCAGTGTTTCATATTCGATATACTTCAAATGGCGAAGACCATGCTGGGCTACCGAGACTTCCAAGAAGTGACTTATCGGCAGCAACCCATACCCATAACTCTCAATGATAGAGACCATTCTGGATTAGCGGGCCATCGAAGCAAGTGACGTATCGGTAGATAGCAATCACAACATGGCACTTCACCTATCCAACTTTCTCTTTCCATCATCCTTCTAATTCAACAGCCCACGGTTTCCTTTTGACGCGCCAAGCGCATTTCCAGCAGTTTCAGCTCCCCTGATCGACCATCGAGCTTGTCCACACTTTCACCGGGGGAACTGCAGCTTCGGTTGCATATTCACCTCAATCGTCTAGCATTCAAAGCTTTCGCTCCGGCGAACGAGGTCTGCACAATGGCAGAGGCAAAATTCAATGTCAATCAGAGCCATAGGAAGTTTACGGGATCTCTGGACGTTATTCACCATGAAATCGATGTCCTTCATCGGATGTACGAAAGCCTTCAAGTCCAGCACACTGAGACAGAAGCCGAGCTCAAGCGTGCCCAGGAACGGATCGAGTTCTTGGAAGTTGAAAGCGCTAGTAATGTGAACCAAGCGGTGCAAATCATCAACTCTGGTGCGATCAATGATGCATCGCTGACAACAAGACTCAACAAGATCTATGACAGCCTCGAGGCTTGGGCACTCACCATCATGCCCATTGGAACCGATCTTTCCGAAAAATGGCCCTCGATCTCCCAATACCTGGCAGCAAATTGCCTTATTCAACCCGGAAATACCACCTTTAATATGTACTTCAAGGGAACGAATCCGGAGCTGGTTTCAGCCATAATCATGGCCGTCCTCTTAAAGATGCTGTTTTTAAACGCAGTTGCTGGCATGTTACCGGATCAGGCACTTGTTCTACGCCAGCTTCAGAACAGTATCTCGCTCGTTCAACCGTACAAAAGTAAGACCAATCCCTTGGAGCTGTCTTTTCACTAGTCACTAATTTATACCTTTCTCAGGCGCCGTCTCTCTTAGTCTCTGGCAAGTCGAGTCGGTTCGTGCTTGGATGCAGTCTCCCAATTTTCAAGCACAACTCTCCTCGGGCTGCTTTTACACTCTGTCCATGATCAAGGAAATACTCCGCATGATGATGGAAATTCAGGGCGACATCTGGGACCAAAGATTCCGCAATCTCTTGGATCATGTGATCATACCTGCCGCACAGCTCGCGACTGAGATACAACGCTCCGGCACGAGGTACCAGTGGAGATGGTATCGGTTTGGGCAAACTGCAGGGCTGAAATTCCTGGAGGAGTTTCAGGTAACTGATTTCAAGACACGCTATCAAGTCAAGGAGGAACTGGTGCGCGATCTCCCAGAGAGCACTCGACTAGGCACTCTTGTCATGATCACTCTTCCTGGCGTCTACCGCGTGGACAAAGCAAACAGTGACCGAGTGCTCCTTGTCAAACACCGAGTGCTCGCCAGAACCAATGACGCCATCCGTATCCACCCACGGGATACCGGGTGCGGCCTATTCGAGGGCCCAGATCCTATCGGCAAGACGGTCATGGAGAATTAAGGAAGGGGTCGTCAAGCCTTTTGATCCCGTAGTCTCTCGCGGACCCTATGTGGGGAGGGCTTAGGATGCACGGCAGATGTGGGATGGCTCGGCCGGAATAAGTCGGCCAGAGCGGGACAGAGGTGAACATCTGCCCACCCTTATTATTATAGTACGGTGGTCCTCATCCCTGAATTTCGTGAACGTTGATACGTTGCCAACAATCTTCCACATTCCCAGTAGTACTTCAAAGTAGCATATTCCTCCATCGGGGCTAGAGTCTTGGGTGGTTCGATAATATTAGTTTGTCTCTTGTTTCTCCTTTTTTCTTCTCTTGAAGTAAGACTTCAAGCGTCATGGCCCTGTTAGCAACCCATGCTGAGCAAGGAGAGGACAACAACAGCGACGTATACAGAGCTAGCGCGGAAAGAGAGGAGAATGAAAGCAGATCAGGTCGTATGGAGAGGCCAGAGAGAAGAGAGAGAACAGAGGGGATTAATTGAGAGGATAAATCTATATCAGGCGATATTGAGAGAGCATATGGAGGAGAGGGGACGAAGAGGCAGCAGATAAGAAGACAAGTCTCTCATTTCGAGTCAAGCGCTGGCCCGTCACCTAATCAGTCAACAGATCCAACTATCCGAATGCGATATAAAACCGGATAACTAGCTCCAGTCTCACAATGGCATCTATACCAAAAGTTTCAATGACAAGCCTTCCCATATTTCCTTAACCGCACATAATTATAAGGCAGCGGAGCCAGAAATCCTGCACCAACAGAAACCACCGCCGCAACCCAGAACCTCGGATCATCAAAGGCCACAATGCCACCCGTAAGATGATAATCCACTGCATTTTCAGCTATCTCCATCGCAATCATAGAAACCATACTCATACCCATAGCTGTACGCGCAGCTCTACTCCACGATAAGGCATCTGCGCCGCGTTTGAGTAGGACTGTTTCCAAGATTATGGATGAAGTGATGCCGGATGCCACTATTGAACATTAATCTGAGGAAGCTCAATTGTTGATATGGGGGAGGTTCACGAACTAGAGACAAGCATGATGGTATTCATCCCTAGCTCAGGGTACAAAGATTGCAGTGTCCACATAGCAGAGAAATCACCAATTGTGCAACCAAGTAGACAGCGGAGTGTGTTGATTCGGGCTCTTTTCCATGTTGACCTGCAAGACCAGAATGTGCGATTCAAGATGAAGATGTTGGATGACGGGGTTGGAGTATTGTCTTGATTCGATGGTTTCTGACAGGCTTGTGCAGAAGGGATCTTGGAAAAGGGGCGAATCTTATGTATAGAGGGATATAGTCGGTGAGTATTATGGAGTAGTTTTGGTATTTGACATGATCGGTACATTGTGGATGCCTGAAGTTCTGAGATGATTATTCAAAGGAGGCGTCGTTTATAAGACTCGTATAGAAAACGCGAAAATGGCGCAGGTCTTGGCGTTTCGGCAGACACCGAGAACCGCGCGAACCTTGGAAGGAAATAAGGTAAACGGTCCTTCAATGGTAATTGGCTACGTGGGACTCAATATTCTTCAAATGTTAAATGTTAATGCAAGTTCAATTATATTTATTCACAAATGCATCAGGGATATGCACAATATCTATACCTAATAATACTGAAAACCACAATCCAGCTCCTAAAATATCATATACAACAAATTCGATCTACCGACCGAAATAACGGATCTCAAGAGGACGCAGCGCACAGTAAACGACGAACGAGAAGGCAAAGCCCAACTCGAAACCGACATCACCACCGTAAGGCAAAGCACCAGCGTGTTTGGCAATGGGACCGACCCACCAAGTCTGACTCATACCAGTAATCATGCCGGCAATACCGAAGCAGAAGGCAATACTCGCGGCAATACCGTAAGGAAGCTTTTCGCGCTTGTCATAGTTCTCCGCGGCGTAACCGCCGAAACCACGCTTGAAGATGAAGTGATCGGCAACGCTGATGCCGGTGTAGATAGCCAGCCAGTAGGCAATGAAGTTCATGAAGTTCTCCAAGACGGTCTGGAAGTGAGAGTAGCCGGGGATGGCAATGGCGAGAGAGACACATGAGGCGAGGAAGGTCCAGACGAAACGGGGAACACGCTGGGTCCAGCGGCCGAGGACCTGGAGGGTCAAGGAGACGGAGTAGATGTTGGGGCAGTTGTTGGCGATGATAGAGAGGGCCAGGATGACAAGGCAGAACTTGCCAAATCCACCGAGGGGCTCGAGGACGGCATCAATCAAACCACCGTTGCCGGAGGCCTCCCAACCTCTCATGTACTTGTTGTCTCCACCGTTGATTTCGATGGCGGTGATGACGGCGATACCGAGGAATTCGGTGAAGATAAGGGGGATGATCAGACCGAGCCAGGTGGAGAGGAAAACCTTGCGGCGGCTGCGGTCCGAGGGCTGGTAGACAGTGTAATCGGCGGCGTAGCTGGTCCAGCCTGTCGCGAAACCGTAGATGGTCGAACCGAAGGACAGACAGTCGCCCAACTCCGAAATGCCGACGTCCATGGGGAGGTTGATGAAATCACCCGAGTGGGCGAAGCAGCCCACCACGATCCAGAACACAATGAAGGTTGGGATCCAACTGTAGAACTCGTATGCGTGAACGACCTTGTATCCGGCGAAGGTGATGAACAGGGTGCAGAAGGTAACGATGAGGATACCAGCGTAACCGGGGACAGTTCCGTTCACAGCGTTGAGAAGCTGCGCGCCAACAATGGCGTTGGAAGCAGACCAACCGACACAGGCGATGACATTGAGGATGGCGACTATGGAAAAAACCGAATTAGCGACTGCGCGACTGCCATCACTGGATTTCCATGCCATGACTTACTGAATTTCACAGGCCACCATCCAAACCAGAAACGGGACAGAACCATCTGGCGCAAACCGAATGCGGGTCCGAAGCAGGAGAAGAAGCAAACGGACATGACACCGAGCAAGTTGAAGAACAGGCACACGAGGATGGCATCCACGAAGCCTAGGTAAAAAGTGGTCTTTCCGAGGACACCAATGGCGAAGGAACTGACGACCATGTTGGCAGCAAACCACTAGGGTTGGTCAGTGGGAAGCCCACGGGCTCATCGCAAGATTTGCAGAACACACCATGCTACCAATATTCAAGTAGGAAGTATCCGTCCGCTCATTTTCCGGCACACGCTCAATACCACGCTGCTCGACATTCAATTTGCCGGCCAGACGCTGCAGCCGCGCATACATCGAGTCACCGTACTCGAAGCTCTCGCCGGGCACAGCACCATCGCTAACGTTGTCCCGAACATTGTCGTAAGTGGTGTCGTTGCTATGGCTCTCGTAGGCATTGTCGACCTGAGGGCCTTTCTCGACATCGGCATTCCCGCGGGATCCGAATCCAAATTTGGAGGGCATTGCTGATAGCTTTGGGGCTCTGTAGCCTCGTTCACCGATTTTCGATTCGGAGAAAAAAAGGGTCTGGGACCTAAAATTAAGAGAGTAGAAGAGGAATCCTAGGAGCTCTTAAAGCTCAGGCAACTCAATCAAGAGATAAATGATGCGTGTTGACCGGCCCAAATCCACATGTTTCTCTTTCTTTTTTTTTTTTCGATCCACTGGCAGGACCATCCTTTTAATATAGGTCGCGAACAAAATTTCCAGTGCGCGTCGCCCCACCCGCGCAGCGCAGTGGCAAGGGAAGAAGATAGGGCCGGGAAGTGTCGCGTGGGGCCCCATCAGAGAATTTCCAGAAAGAAGCAAATGACAAGCCCTGCAGTGCGTCCGACACATGACAAGCACCAATCAGAGGACAAAGGTGGATCCCGGCTTATCAGCAGTCCGAGGTTTCACTGCTCGCTTCCATCAGTAACCCGCCATTGGCCGGTCGGACCACCGATAAGACCCGTGCGCTGATACGTATCTCTGTTCCTTCCCAACTTCTGTGTCAGCTATCATGATCCATCCGTGAACCCACTTCACTTCATCCCCTGACGTTTTGATATCCCAGTTTCAAGCTTCACTTGCATATCCAAATTAAGCTTTCGTCATAGTACCACGGGAGCCGCCGATGTGCGTATCCCCAACTCCTACCCATGTCCACATGTCCCACCGAGTTCGTGCGGGGGAAGCACATGTATAACTCAATTCGGATGTAACGGGGACAAAGCTTCGTCCATAACTTGTTATCCCCCGACCTCCAACCGTAGCCCTCGTATCAAAGAATCCAGACCGGACTGTAGACAACCAGGCCTGACTGTCGGAGCCACCTTGATCGAGTAGTTCAGCCGCTCCCAAATCAGGAGAACATGCTAGCATGCATGCATAGTTTAGCCCCCAGATAACAGATCATCGGGGCAGTCTCCAGATCTTGTCCGCAAAACCCGCAGCTTACTCCATCCTCGTGGAAGCGGAGATCACCGTTGACAATCTTATTGGACAATCGGGTCCATCCCCGGATCTACTGATACCGTAGATCTAGTGTTGTAAAGCCATTAGTACCCCGACTGGAAACCCGGCTACTTCATTGGTTATGCTCATCTCCATGATGCCAGGGTCCGTAGCGGTAGTTTGGAGTTCGTGGGTGGGTTTCTAATCTGGGGCGTTGGGGCTTGCATGTTTGCTTTTACCTGCATACCTCCTGCAGTTCAACTACGCGTTGTCCTTTCTTTGATATTAAAACCTTCGGAGTCCCCCGATGTCGGTCAATTTTCTCATCATGACCTGCGAACCCCGATCTCTCGGACATGTTCGGTCTGCCAAAGTTGGCGGCATCTGCGCCCGGGGACTGGGTACCGGAATAGATCATGCCAAGCGCGAAACTATCATATACCGCATCCGGAAACTAGATTGGAAGAGAGAGCGTTTACCCGACGTATGACGCGATCGGATTGACATTCAAGTCTATCATTATCGATTCCCGGCCTTGACCGGGTCCTGCTAACTCCTGATATCCAGCACCATTACTTCACTCCTATACTATCTATGATCATACTTCAACTCGCCCGCATCTCAAATATGTCTGATTCCTTCTAGGATAAGGATCGACTTGCAATCAGCCTCGAACGCGTCACCGACGGATACTCCTCTGCACCTCCCCCTCCCCTAAGGCCCGTAGGGAGCTCGAATCGCCAACATTACTCCAGCCCTGTCGAATCCTGGTAGAAATAGAAAGAGACTCATAATATTTGGACTGTAACGATGAATTGTTTTAAAGCGACTTTCGATGTTTATTATATCGATGATTACGCAATACAAAGTTCTCCTAGTGTCTTTGATGATTCCAAGGGAAAGAATGAGGGGAAGACACAAGAAGACGAGAATAATGAAAGAGAAAGGTTGGATTCGGAAAAAGAGAGGGGTTTATACTTGAAAATCGCTCTTTCCTAAGATGGATGCATATGCATACTAACAAACGAAACTTTCTGTGCAAACCAGTCCATCACTACCAGCACAAAAGATCAAAGAATCAGCCATATTATAAGTCCAGCCAAACTATACAAACCAATTAGGGTATTTAAACTTGCTTTGTTACGAATAGCCAATCACCTGGGCAGCGCATACCTCTCTGCTCCACATTGGACTGCCGCATTCCAACCTTGAAATGAGATCGTACACCCGGCAGCTGTAGTATCACTGCCCAGGAAGGCCACGATCGTACATTTGTATTTTAGGTATCGCATCTAACAATAAACGTTAAACGTTTGATATCCATCCATGGATCGATACATTAACCTTTTTTGAGATTCACTTCCAACCCAATTCCAACCCATGGAGAAATATATATTTTGTCTTTCTGGGCGACCAATCAATCTATGCAATCTTTTTTTATTTAGTGTCAGCCTTAGAAACCTTGGATTGTATTCCATGTACCTTCCAAAGGTAGTATGGATTATAATTCACGCTCTGAGTATTTTGTTCCAATTTTAGCTCGAGAGGTTGAGAGTCATTACGAAAGCATCGAACCCAAGTCAACCACATTTGCCGAGCTCACTTCAGGCATATGAAATCAAAACCCAGGCAAACATGGGGAATAGCAACTCGAGGCACATAATGATAGATTAATTGATGAAATTGCGACTTTTTCATGATCGCTATCAGTCTGATTGTGATCGTTCCAAATTTTGACCAAATAGTGCACTATCAAAGCTGTTCAATCGGCAGATAGCTTGGAGCCCTTATTCTAGCGTGGAATCAATCTGGCCTAGCTTAGTGGATCGGTATTCCACACTTGACGTGGCCTGTATCCATTTTTGTCTCGTATTGGCCAAACTGGCGATTTGGATCCCTGGGACCCGCTTTCGATGGATCTAGCGCGAACGCCCTCGGCAATCACCTTTGCAGTAATTATTCAAATGGAGCCATCTCAGATGAAGATCTTCAACTGTCTTCAGCTAAATATCATGTCCACCTTAGTGGCGAACTAGCGCCTCTCGCATATAAGCCATGGCCTTTCTATTCTACCCCTCTCCGGATCAATTGGTGTACCCCTCTCTCGTCCCTCCGAAGTGATTTATATCTCAAACCACTAAACCTTCAGATTCCGGTAAGAACCCCACTTGATGTAGTCTCAAGTCTCAGTGTCATTCTCACCTCTAACGCAGCACTCTAAGTCAAAATGCCCAAATACGTCTTAACCGGTGTTGGTGGAAACATTGGCAGCATCGCAGCCTCATACGCACTGGAAATCGCCCCACCAAACACCACCCTCGTATTCACCACATCTGACCCAAACAGGATACCCGCTGCAACTCTCGAATCCTGGAAAGAGAAAGGAGCAACGGTGACCTCAGCCAGCTATGACGACGTAAGCAGCCTGGAGCGCGTCTTCGCCGGCGCCGAAGCTGTAAATCTGATCTCAACTTGGGCCTTCGGTCGTCGACACGAACAAGCGCAAAACGTGATCAACGCCGCGAAAGCATGTGGTGTGCGCCGGATCTGCTATACTTCTTTCGTGGGCGCTGATGACCCTGCCCCGGTGCAGGAGATGCCCTTTTTACCTCGGGATCATAAACAGACTGAGGCGTTGATCCGGGCATCCGGACTGGAATACAATATTCAGCGCGATTATCTGTATATTGATAATATTCCCAGCTTCTTTGCTCCCTCCTGGAAGTTCTGTGGGAATAAGTGGATTTTTAATTCGCATGGGGTCGCGGGTGCTTATGTTGCTCGGGAGGACTGTGCGCGGGTGCATGCTGCTCTTCTTTTGGGCAAGGGTAAGCCGAACACTGTGGTTGATGTTACCGGCCCGGAGGCTGTCACCGATCAGCAGGTCTTTGAGTGGATCTGTGAGAATCTTGGTGGCCAGGGAGAGTTTATTGATTTGCCGGATGATGAGTTGAGGGAGTATTGGGTTAAGCTTGGACTGCCTACTTCTGTGTCTGAGCCTTCGCCCCTCCCCATGAAACTCTGCGTGGATGACCTTTTGTGTTGTGGTGAGATGGTCGCGAAGGGTTATATGGCCAAGACTAGTGATGCCGTTGAAAGTCTTACTGGGAGAAAGCCTGTTCCCTTCCAGGAAGCCTTGTTGAAGTATAAGCAGGCGTTCTCCTAGATGAGAAACAGGCCAGTGGCTTATATCAGGGAAGCTGTCTTGCCTTGGTGGCCTTATTGTGTCTCTTCACTACCCACGACAGCCCTGTCAGCTCAATATGCTGATTGCAACTTTCCTTTTTCTTAGTAAAGGTTACACATAAATTACCATCAGAGTCCAGGACCATTTGGACCCTCCTCAGTGTTACCTTACTGCGCCAATAATATAAAATGTCAAACAGAATGTCAATTCAATAGCCAAACGATTTATCTAAACGTTAAGGAGTGTCCAATTTCAATGCAAATGATTTTCCTCCAAATAACACAGTCTGAGTGTCAAAACCCCCCAATTCTATGCCTCTCCTCGACTGAAGGGCAATTAGTAGGCCCAGCAGGTACCCTTGACCTGAGTCTGAGGAGGACCAACATCAACAGTCTCAGGACCAGTGACAGAGGTAACAGAGTTATCGACACCATCGAATGTGCAAGTAACACCCGCCTTGTCCAATTCAATGTGAGAAATGCTCAGAACGTTGGCTTTAGAAGAGCGAATTAGTATTTCTGTTCATCCAAATTTTAGTCATAGGGGAAGACATACAGATATCATAGGTCAATCCATCAAGGGGGAAGTACTGAACAAACTGCGCATCAGCAGCACCAATGAAGGTAACCTTAGCACCATATGAGCGACGGGCCGGGGTGGGTAGCTCGAAGCACCGTCCGGAAACCTGGGTCTGAGGGGGTCCAACGTCAACCTCAACAGCGCCATCTACAACGGTGTAGCTGTTGTCAACGCCAGTGAAAGAGCACTCGACACCGTCATCGCTGTTTGAGATGTGGGAGATGCTCAGAGGGTTGCCTGAAACAAATTAGCATGCACAATGAAGTTTAGTGCCGGGCCTGAACTTACTGATTCTCTGAACGGTGTCGTCGATGGGGAAGCTCTGCGTGAACTGCGCATCAGCAGCACCAATGAATGTAATCACGACATCGTGACTGCGGCGGCGTCGGGATGGCAGTTTAACGCATGTTCCAGAGACCTGGGTCTGAGGAGGTCCAACGTCACTGGAAACAGCACCATCGACGGTTGTGAAACTGCCGTCCACGCCAGTGAATGAGCACTCAACAAGATTGGTGTTAGATGAGATTTTGGAGATGCTGAGGGGGTTGTCTGCAGCAGTTAGCACCTTAAGACCTTTGGTTTAGCCAGCATAAACATACAGATGGAAGTAGCGGTGTCGTCCGTAGGGAAGCTCTGCGTGAACTGGGCACCGGCAGCACCATGGAAGGTGATTTCGACGGTATCAGTACGCTTTGTGGGGGCTGCGGAAGCAGTGGCGAAGGCCACAGAGAAAGCCAGAATCTCGGAGAACTTCATTTTGAATGTATGAGAGATGTATAATAATGTGAATCTGAGACTGGTTGATTGATGATGTTGTACTTGCTGATCTGAATGAATACTTCAAATACCGGATCCCAAGGCCCTTTTATATTCCAATTCCACCAACATCTCAAACACTCGCAGCCTTTCACAGCCTTAAAGATCGTCATCCTAATTCTCATGGCTGGCCTTGCATAGGTATACGAATAACGATCAGTGACGTTGAAACATCAAGTAGATGAGACAATTTCCGCTCGCCGAGTCTACACCAACCTATAGGAAAACTATAAACAAGAGACAACGAGGCTGAGAGCCTCGTATGATTTTTCCGGTCATCAGCTTATATGGATGTCCAAGGGTGTGCCCCGGCTCCGGAGGTATAAGCCAGCTAAATATAGTCGATCGACGAACTATAGAGTCACGCGGGGGCACGGGGGCCCAAGGCTGCGGTTGGCGGTGCAGCTTATCCCGAACCCCGCAATTCGTTGCTTTTAGCCCCACGTCCGAATACTGGCCTATCATAGAAGAAGTTAGGCGACCATTGACATGTATTTATGAGTTTGGATTGGGGCTAAGCGATCAATTAATAATGTTAATGGTATGCTGGCTCAGTCGAACCCGATATACGCACCGCTCTGTCATAAGTTGTATGAAACAATATAACAATAGTAACAACAAAATTGCCACTAGAAGGCGGGCTGTTTGGACCTCTGGATTTAGAAGCATACTGCAAGTAATACGATATTTGCGTACGTCGCCGTATGCATCATCTGTCTCAAGGCCAGCACATGGTAGTTTCGGAGCTTACCGTTGGTTTCGCATTTCTAATACTCACCGAAACTCCTCCAGTAATATGAGATGACTTCTGTAGCTTGGGTCTTGAATACCCAGATTAATCCCTGTTGTTTAAGTCTCGGATCAGTAAAGGCCTGATGGGCCAGGTGGGTCTACGGGTGGCCTCCATCAGCTTTCGAGTCTATTCATTACACCACTACTCATTATCTATGACCATAGTATTTTGAAATACGATCATTAGTAATTTCTTTTAGGTAATTGTTCTCTAAGGCCCCTCAAATGATGACTTTGGTCATGACCAGCTGGCGGATCAACGACGGAAGCGTGGAAGGCGGATCGGTGAATGTATCTGAAGGAAAGACATCTCACTGAAATGCCCATCACTTGCCAAAAAATAGTGCTCGGCTTAGACACTGGGTAAACGCCATCATCTAATCGGTTGCACATTTTCATCTTTATGGAGTATGATTTCATTCCACAACTTGTGTTCATATCTCGGCTTTCAACCCGAAGAGCAAAGCAAAGCCGCCGATAAACGTAATTCCGGCCACAGGCATAATCCCAATGCGGTCGGATACGCTAAATGGGACCGTCTTCAGCTCGTGTGGGGGAATGCCTTGCGAACCTGGGAACGTATACACCATTGACGATATACCCAACCATAAAGCGACCCACAAGTAACCAACAATCCATTTATATTTAGAACCTGTCTGTGCGTCAGGACCTTTCATTCGCTTGTAAAGAGCTTGCACACCATCTTCTATCATATATCCCAAAACGAAGCTCGTGAAGAATAGTATTGCGCCAGAGCACTGGAAGGGAATACCCATGACTACGTCGATCGTCAGATGAAGTGCACCTGACCCGAGAAATACAAGAAATATGTTCGTGTATCGTTCGAGAACCGATGGTCTGGGGAGATGCATGATATCACGTGTGAACAAGTTGCTGACTGACGTGAGCGGCTGGCGTAGGCCCTGGTGCCAAAAAGTCCTATATGCTGTTAGAAAATCGGCTCGGATATTTGTTGTTCGTTTGAACACGAAGAAGTAAAAGAATATTTCTCACCCCCAGTAGTTTCGTAACGTATAAGCATCAGACATCCTTCCAAACAACGGTGGCCAGTCTTGAGGAGAGTTAATCCCCAACCCCACAAGTAAGATCGAGGCCATGCGGTATCGGGAATCAATGCATATACGAGCAATCAAAAACCAAGAAAGTAAATTCTCTGTAAGCTGCTCAACCCAGATACCAAGAGGCACGTTCCCCTCAAATTCAGTGAATATATCATCAATCACAAGTCTCACTGGCTTGTGGTGGGCAGCATACTGAGCCATATCAAGTATAGCATATTGCCAGACCAAAACAGCGAACTGCCGCAACAAGAAGGAACCCCGGGTAACGACGGTGGTGCCTTTCTTGGCATCGTAGTAATATGCGGGGTGTGGATGAAGACCCTTCACCTGTCGAGGAGTTCCAATAGCACGAGGCTCAGATTGCTGCTCGAATGCGTAGTAACAAAGTCCAATGAGTTTTTTTGTACGCCCTGGATTCTCGCGGATGAGGTCATTCGCATCCAGAGGGTGGATCAACAAGATTGTGGCGGCTTGAGGAATAGCCATAAATATTGGACCAGTGATAAAAGCGAATATTTGACAGTAGGGATTCATCGGGCGCAAACTGCAACTGAAGTTCCAGATCATGCATGGGATTGTGAGGTATCGAAGCATTGATTCCTTGCGCGTCGTGATGAGGATTATTGTCGGAATTAGTGTCTGTAGCGCTAAGCTCACGCCAGTGAGGTATAAATCTGGTAGAATGAACATCTTGAACCGAGTAGTCGATAAAGAGGTAGAAAATTGATCGAATGCTTATGAAAGATCAATTGTGAGAAAGTCCAAGAGCTAAACCACAACAAATTGCCAGAGTTCGGATACCCTTTGAGTTGGAATGTCTCTACATAAGGAGCAGATAGTCTTGAAATACGATCAAAAGGAAACATGTAAACCAAGCCGCATCGTACAGGCATTCCAAATATTTCAGCCCTGCGTAACGTCATGCTGTGAATTGTGCATATGACATATCAACAACAAGGGCTAGGACTCTGTGCTAGCTTCTACGAAATGGGGCTAAGATCTCTTACCAAATCACAAAGCGTAGCGCCTGTATCAAACACGTTGTTGCTGAATTTATGAGGGTTCTCAGAATCACTGAGCAGTTCATTATACAAGAGTAAGGATGAGAAGAAGAGAGAGTTTGGTGGGAAGAATCCACGTCCCATCACCTCACTTCCCGATTAGAACAACACGAGGGACGTCTTTCAGTTTCGTCATGGCTATCAATAATGCGATCAAGCAATTGCCCAGCCAATGCATTGGAGGATGGCGTCGGTTTGAATTTCGATTCTCCTTTCAAGGTCATGAGCTGGCGAGTTTATTTAAAGTGTAAGATGGAACAAAAGAGCGGCACAATTCAGAATTCACAATCTCATATGAAAAAATGAAACAAACAATTTTCTTCCGATTGGAAAGCTTGACCTCGTGAAAAGCACTAATCACAGTTAGGTTATTTGCCAATTCTTCCGTGAGACGTTCTTTGAGATGATCCCCTCGGCCTTTATTAACAATATTAGAATGATCTTCAATACAATATTCGCCTCCTCCAACATCTGGAGACCTAGGGCGCCACCAAGATGCTCAGAGTGCAATATTCAGGGGCGTAAGAGAACGCATTGTCCAAATTTGATTTGAATAGCTTAGATATTTAATATGATGTGTGTTTGATTGAATTATGCTAGTTTGAATTTTCAAACTTTGATGGGGTGGGCCGCTCGCATGTGAAATACTGTAGGCTCGGTTCTGGTGGGTTCTTTCTCTGGCGTCTCTCTAATCTGCCACCTGCGCTGCTTCCCTCTCTTGCTCCTGCGAGTCTGACGCTGGTACTCTGATTGGTCGGTTTGAGGTTCGGAGTGGCTGCGGTGCCGTTGGTTCCGTCGATTGCTCGGTCGCGGCCTGCCTTGGAGGTCGCCCTAGATTTGTGCAAAAGACCCCCGATCACAGTGATACTTTACCTTCTTGTGAATTTTTCCTAGAAGAGGCCTTTTTCTTCGAGAGTTATATACCCTCACCCTTTGCATTTATGGGTCACGTATCCGACCGGACAGGCCTACTCCTGTCTGCCTTTATGCCTAGAGCATAAGGCTCCAATATCTTGGCATCACCACGAAGGGCAAAGTGACATTTTACCGATACCCCTGAGTCCTTTCCCCTTAATATTCCTCAACCTTTAATTTTTGTTTGGCACCGCCTTTTTGACTTGCCACATAATGGCTGTTACTACCCGATCGGCCACACGTGCCAGTGTAGTGAAGCCTAAGAAGACCATAAGGAAACGCGTATTAAAGAAACAGAAACATTTGCCCGCCGTAAACAACACTATCGCGAAAACAAACGGCAAAAGTCCATCTCTAGCGAAAATGCCACCCGGATATCTACAATGGATATCGCTTAAAGATCCATCCAATGGTGTCATCCCTAATAGCGACGAAATCTTTACCATCCTCCAAGAGATACAAAAACTCCGTGAATGCATCGGTATCGCCCGAGGCCGTCCACATGGGCTAAGTGATATTGAGTGGTTGATTATCGGTAAGCCGTTTTGCCCCCTCGACGTGAAAAAATGCTATACTATCTTCTAAATATCCAGATATTAACGAACTACTAGAGTGGAGAAGCAACAGAGACAGGGAAGAATTCCTTACGTCGAAACTTTCACTCACACTTAATGAAGCTCTTGCATCTCGCCCATGGAGCCAAGAAGTTGCCCCGCTGCTAAATCCTATTGGACATATCATAGTCGCCAACTCAATATCTCTTCCACAAACAATTTATGAGGTCCTAACAATCTATTTCCCTACCGACTTAGATCAGAAAACTATCTCCTCTATTGAAAAGTTTAGAGGACTACCTTGCTTTAACATTGAACCTGAAAACCTACCTGAAAATCCCTGGGGAGCGCTCGTAACCAACTTTCCTGTAATGTGGAAAGAGGGGACCTGTGAGTATCAGGGGATCACTGCGAAGCGGTTGGTTTGGTTCATCGAGTTTTTTAACATGGAAGGGGAACGGATCTTTAAAGAAAAGACGAGGAGGTATAATGCACGCGGGAGGCTAGTCTCGGACGTCATGGGGGATTTCTTTGGCAAATTGGAGGATCTTGGGATGATCGGGCATGAATCCATACATGTTTCATTCTTGGAGGTGGTTCACGATTTTCCGGAGAACTACGTATCGGAGCATTGCGTACCAGGGTCTCTTTTTCCTAGCTTCGGGAAATTGCCACCAGAGTGTTTCGAAGATTTTCCCGATTTATAAGAAAAAAAGTTATGGTAGACCAGGTTGCACTGGATGACCCCCATTTTTGTTCGAAATTTTTGCAGAATAATAAGCAGACTCTTAAAGAGGCTTATGCTCACTCGATTTAAGATTACTCGGGCACATCAAAGTCACCCGGGAGATGTCTCGCAGGACATAACATTTGAAGGTGGAAACAGACCTCGGGAAGGAGAGGGCGCATATACAAGATAGATAGAGAGCAGAATTGATGGACACGCATATTTATCAACATTTGAACCAAACTCGGCTTCTATAACATTGCATCCAGGACACCTTGACAACTCCTAAATCAACCTCAGCGCTTATCTATAGCGCCTCCGCCAGCGCTTCCTCGAATGCCGCTTTGGAAATACAGCATAGCAAGCATTGCTCACGCTAGATCAAGATCATCCTGCGATTTAGCGAATAGACGAGGGAGCAACGTCTGTAAGTTTTACTTTCGCATAAGAGGCGTGTTGGTGCTGGTTTGATTCTTCGATCGCTTAGCGACGGTTGATGTACTGGTGCTCTGAGCGCATACCATTCGCGACCAGTCATATTGATCAAGATATATAGCGGTGGCAAACCAGGCATAGCTATCCGTATTTTTGATAGCTTTCGTTGCTGACTCTAGGGCAACTGCAGCCACGCGTTTAGGATAGTAAGCCATCGATAGGGTGGCGGGATAGTGCTCTCTAGTTACTGTAGATATTAGTGTTTGGTCGCCGGATGGTGCCTGTAATTAATTCTCTTAAATATTGAGACCTAGCAAAGCCAATAATATGATTCACATACGGATTCGATAGCGTGGATTTAGATTAGTATTGATGCCCCCTACCCCGTCTTTCAAAATACCCGGACTAACAAAAGATGAAAAAGGGAGTACCCAGTTGACTCTGACCGCGGCGGATCAGATGCCGATTATGGATCAGATGCCGATTATGACAACTACCCAACCTTCTTGACAAATCTTCGCGATGCTCTTGATAGCGCAGATAACGACTACGGCTTAAGTATTACCTTACCAAGTAGCTACTGGTATCTCCAGAATTTCGACATCGTGGAGATGGCAAATAGTGTCGACTGGGTGAGTCCTTTCAGCTTCACAGAACGACTCTTATTCCCGGACTTCTAACGCGCCTTTAGTTCAACATGACGACATACGACCTTCGTAAGTTAGGAGATTATTTTCTAAAATGCCAGACTAACTGTGTTTTCAAATAAGATGGTGGATGGGATGCAGATGACCCTTAGATTGGATCTATCGTTAACGCACACACCAATCTTACTGAAATTACATCAGCCATAGATCTTTTGTGGCGGAATGACATTCCTCCCTCGCAAATTACGATGGGTCTGGGACTCTATGGCCGAAGTAAGTATCTTTCGAGGTGGAAAAAAACCACAGGCACTGCTAACTTGGAGTTCTTTTAGGCTTCACGCTCAATGATACGTCATGTGTCACTGCAGGATATCCTTTCTCGGCAGTTGGTACGTATATACCTCGAGTACACTAGGTCACACCACGCACAGTTTCTAACAACACACTAAACAGGGAATGCGGGTGAGTGTACAGACAGTGCTGGTACGCTTTCATTCTCAGAAATTGAAGCAATCTTGAAGGATGAGACGCGCGGTGCCACTCAGACATATGATGAGACAGCGGCAGTTCAAATCGTGACCCTTTGTGGGAGTCAATGGGTGAGCTACGATAACTGGGTTTCGCTTCAGGCTAAGTTGGACTTCGCGAATTCCCTCTGTCTTGGAGGGTAGGCTATACTCTGCTTTCGAAGATAACGATAGCAATGAGCTAATCTGGTATTGCAGAACAATGGTCTTGGTTGTCAGCTTAGACGTTGACGGAACAGCAACCAGTAAGTCAACACATTTAAGATCAATCTTGGAAAAAGTTTGGGCTCTAACACTTCTATCTCTGACAGATGGCCTTACCGGAGCTACTGTCGTGTTTCCCGGCGACGACGGTTCCAATGGAGGAAGTGAAGATATCTATATCGGACCTGACCTGTGGACAAACACAAGCCAAGACATCTCTTGCGAGCCGCCCTGCACTCTAATTCTTCCTCCATACCCACTTTCGACCTCCGTGACAATCAGCTGGCCAGAATACACGACTACTATTGCATCAAGCTCTGATGAGTCCACATTGACCAAGACCACTACAATCACCGTCTCGCCCTTCACTATCGACGAGATTCCGTTCTGGCCTGTCACTGTGGCGGAATCTGGCAATTATGTCTTCATGAGCCCAAAGCAAAGTATTGTCCCACCAATTTTGCTCTCACTTTGCCTGGAACCGAAGCTACTTTCCCCCTTTTCCATACTGATTACAGTGCTTTTGTTTCCACCGCGACATCAACATCGACATCGACGGCAAATGGTACTGTTGCATCCGTCACAACATCTGCCGCTGTCCAGAGTGGAATTACTTCCGATTGCACACAGTTTTATCAAGCAGTTTCCGGCGATGGATGCTATGCCATTGCAACTGCGTACGACATTACACTTGCTCTATCTACCTTAAGCGATGCAGCGCCGAGAAACCCCAAAATCGATACTGATCATTGCGTTTTAGGAATGGAACCCAGCGGTGGGTTCGGACTGCTCGGGACTTTGGGTTGATGAATATTACTGTACGTCCTGTCTCTTCAGATGATTTGGCTTGATTCTAACTCATACCAGGCGTCGCTGTTCAAACTACGTCATCTCCGGCCACCTCCACATACACGCCCAGCACAGTGACCTTCTCTTCCAGTTCCCATGTTGTTACCGTGGCACCAGAGGCGACGGCGATATCAACCCGACCCCCTGGAATGACCATCCCTATAATCACATACTCCGATGGTGATCCACCTTCCAATGGCGGATGTAGCTCTGGCGGTGAAACAACTGGATGTGGAAATGTCGACTGTTCCCTCTATGGCTGCGGGGGGGGAATGTGGATTCTTTGGGTGTGATGGAGGCTGTGGTTTAGGTTTCTGCGGAGGTGGATGTGGCCTTGACGGCTGCGGGCCTGGATTTGGAGATGGTGTGTTGACTCAGGCTTATATCATGGGTTGTCCGCCATGAACGACGCTGACATATGTGCTTTCTAGGGTCCTGTCTTCAAGAAGGAGGTGGTGGTGGCTCCGAGGAAGATGAGACATCAACTTTTAAATTGTGCTGCGCAACTGCAACGCCTACTGTCACGACCGTTTGCGACTATGCCTGTGCAGACGAGGCATCAACATCTTGTGTCACTCTCTGCACCTCATTAACCATAAGCTGTGAGCCCACCGGGTTCGTGAATTTCTCCCCTGGCACTGTGGACGCGGACGAGATACCTCTCACATTACTTGACGCCTCCGATGATGCGATCGCATCTGAGGCAAATTCCATGGCTTCCTGGTTGAACCCGTTTTACACCAGCATGGATCCCATCATGATAAATGGCACCACCATGACTGTATCAGCTACAGCGCCCGCTGTGACTGCGTCTGCTTCAACAGCCACCGCCACCGCCATCTCGGCTACCTCTTGTGATATCAAAAGCACAAGTTCCTCCTCTTACTGCTCATGCGATGGAGGGTACGGTGTGACACTATCAACAAAGGCCAACAAGGCCCAAACCACCTTCCTAGTCTGTGATGTCTCTCCAGCCCTGACAGTTTCCACTATACTGCCGAAGATGACAAGTACCAAAACAACTTCCACTTCCACAACCACTTCTTGGGATAGCGATTCTACCTCCGTGGGCTTTGTTATATATCAAACCTACTGGTCAACCTCCGAGTGTCCCATTGGCTATACATGCGAGAGTGGTGATAAATGGAATGCGGTCTACGTGGTAGAGGATGTAGATTCGGATATAATACTCGCTCAAGGCACGTGGAACCAGGGTGGCATGGTTGATGGAAGTAAAGCCAAATTTTGTGATCAGACTTTGACTTTCACAGTTGATGGCGATAATATCAAAGGGTCAAGTAGTGTCAGCAAGTATGGCTCATATTTCTGCAAGAAGGGCAGTCTTCCCGAGGACACTACCTTCTATGATTCGGAGAACACGGATCTTATGATGCCACAGAGGGATGAAACTGTATGACAGATATCTGCACTTGAATGACGAGGATTTACAAGCTAGAGGTCAAAATGCAGCATTGTGAAATTACAAATTTGGCGTTTTTTTTTCATGCGCCCACCCCCTTCTGAAGATTCCACACCAATTTTGAACCCAGGCTTGCTTAATATAGCCTTCTTGACCTAGCCTGGCTCGTATGAGCCATAATGGACACTCTTTACTAGCTCGCATCAAATATCTCGATTATCGAACTTAGTAGGTCTGCCTTCGCCACCAATACTGTCTTTGTCCTCAACGCCATCGTCACGAATGGCTTCGACGCTATCAATTCCCAATGCTCCGCTAATATCGCTAAAATAGCCACAAACAACGTCACCAGAAACCTCCAGACCAACAGCACGGATGGGAAAGACCTAGGCTCACATAATCCACTCTTATTGGATATCACCTTGATTGAGAGGGTATGAAGGCCGGTTCAGCCTAACTACTTGCTGGCGCATTGTACTGGCTGGAGCTGGTGAGGAGTTCTAGAGGGGCCAGGGTGACTGAAGTATAGGGCTTTGGCCATTAGATTTATACACTGCCATCATAATCATCTTGATCGAATTTATGTTCCTCTATGGCCCGGGGTTCTTCAACGCCATGATCCTCTAAGGTCATCTCTCGCTATTGGGCGTGCCAAAAAAGCGTCTATACGTAGGCATAGTATTAGGGGACTAAAGAGTGCTAATTTTGATGGGGTGAAGTGGTAGAGAATCGCAGTCATGTAAGCGGGTCGCCCTAGAGTACGCAGCGAATGATAAGTAGCGGAGCAGAGTACGATGGAGAGTGGTGGAGCCATAGAGCTCGAGGTAGAATCAAAGGTAGAATCAAATCATGAATGACTGATGATTACACAGCTGTAAGGAATCGCTTAGAGATGGCGCTTTTTTTCTGGCCGGGTGATAATATTGAGGTGGAAAAACAATCATTCACTACCTATTTTTTGACCCTAGTGCTGCGAAACAACGTAGCCGAGGCCAGACCAAAAGCATTGTGACTGTATTAACTCACTTACGTGGGAAGGTAAGGACACGTCAGGGCTTCAGGGTGTGCAGGGCGTTCGGGTGAAGAATATAGGGGCTTCAGGAATCAGGGTGTTGAGGTGGAGGACTGAAGGATCAGTTTCCCGTACGAATCATCAAAAAAGTAACGAAATAAAAAACGTAAAAAAACATACAACCGCATGTCTAAGGTTGTGGTCACCTAGCGCCCACGGATTGGGCGTGAGCGGCTCGCTGCTCTATTCAGCCCACTTCAGGGCAGTCAGGGCAGATATTCACCCACCTGAATATTCTTCACCTGAAAATTCAGCCCGTGCAGGAAAGGTATGTTTGTCCAACTTGGGGTAAAACGCCTGTCAGGTTTGCCTTTTCTTTTTCCTTTTCTCCAAGAAGTTATCATATTTTTAGCAAAATGCGCACAAAGACCCCACGCTAGCTTATTTGAGCCATACTGTCGACGTTAGAGAGCATAACAATAATGAAATACAGAGAGTAGTAGGATAACGGAAGTATCTCTTCACCGCCTTTTAGAGTTAGAGGGTCCGGCCAGGACCTATACAGAAGGGAATAGCCCTTATGCTTTAGAAACCATGAAATCCTATTCGAATCATACTAATTTACTTCTCTATTTTAGTCTCTCTTGATCTACTAAGAAATACCTTCTCAATATAGAGCAACACGTCTCCTTATATGCATATATCACCTCTATTAATCAAGTATCGCTTTGTAATTAATTTAACCTGGTCTTATTGATCACAAATCTACCCGTTGAGCATATGGCAAACTCGTAGATCATATGCCGATTCGATCCGACAACATATATGATGTTGAGACACAGGAGGATGACTAGGCAAAGATAAAGATGTAGACTCAAGATCGCAAGAAGCTCTATGTCCGATTGAACAGAGACTAGTCCCTGAGGAATAAAAGTAGGAATACAACTATTCCTCAAGTGCGTTAAAAAGATAAAGTTTTTCTTGGCTATCCTAAATTTCTAGGAATCTGTTACGACACATCTATAGAAGGCCGGATAAGTGCCTGAGAAGCATATGAGAGGCATATGAGTACACTTCTATAGGCTTCGCTTGGGAGAAAGGTTATCACGATGTCCACACAATAGAAGTAGGATCACCGGAGTGCTTCCCAGTGATTATACTAGTACCAATACAACATAACAGGCGTATCATTACACTGTTTTACAGTTCGTGCGTATCACTCCTATCTAAAACCCTAGTATAAGGCAGCGGCTTTAACAGAATCACAAAATTGAATCTCCAGCTTGCATACCGACCGGTCAACCAGAAGCTTCAAAATTATATACTCAAGCTCTACCACGGTGTTCTCAATGCAATATTCAGGTCATAAGAGAATACACTATCCAAGTTTGATTAAATAGCTTGAATATTGAATAATACGTGGGTTTGTTTAGGGTGGCCAGCTCGGTGGTGAAGTACGTTACGTTACAAGATGACAAAGCTATATTATGTAATCACTTGAATCCATAGTTAACATCAGTGGACACTTTATCACTCAGCGAGTACCCCGCACGATCCTTCTGAGCTTTAGCGACATTATGAATCCTAGGATGATGGGTCCAGATGTGACATTCCAGGGCCCGAATTCAGGGCTACAGGTAGGCGTCAATAGTGGCTCGATGACTACAAAGCTTTATCTTCAAACAAGTACGTTACGAGAGTCCCGACACCCTCTTCTAGTGGGTTCGAATAACACTGTTTAGGTCTCGAAGACAGGCTGCCTAGCGCATATGGCGCTGTATTTGGCTCATTTGTGGACCAACATGAGCATGAATGCCTTCCTGGCACGAGAAAGGATATCCTTTCAGAAATCAGAAAATGGGTTTTTTCTCCAAAGGGACCATGTGTGTTTTGGTTGAATGGCATGGCTGGTACCGGGAAATCGACAATCTCTCGAACAATGGCAAAATCCTTGAGCCAATCTCAGTCACTAGGGGCGAGTTTCTTCTTTAGGAGAGGTGATGGTGATCGAGGCAATGCTATGAAGTTATTCCCAACAATCGCGAGGCAACTAGTAACAAGTATACCTCAAATGAAACCAGGCCTCCAGAAGTTAGTACGTGACAACCCAGACATCGCGGCAAAGGGAATGAGGGAGCAATTTGAGAAACTTGTCCTTCAACCTCTTCAAAATTTCCACCGATCCGACATTCCGATGCAGACTATGATTATATTAATTGACGCATTAGACGAATGTGAAGGAGATGATAACATTCGCCTTATACTTCAACTTCTTCCACGCCTACAAAAGATAACTATCTCACGTCTACGAGTGCTCTTCACGAGCCGACCTGAGCTACAGATCCGTTTAGGGATCTCAGAAATTGCAAATCATAACTATGCAGAACGAACTCTTCATAGAATCCCCAGAGAAGTGATTACGCATGATATATCACTATTCCTCAATTACCGACTTTCGAAAATTCGGCAAAAACGAAGACATCTGCCCAGCGATTGGCCTGGAGATAACAAAATCCAGAGCCTAGTGACCTTATCCGTGCCGTCCTTCATTTTTGCTGCTACAATATGCCGCATATTCGAAGACCCATACTGGGATCCCGATGAGAGTCTCGCTGAGATCTTACGAAATCAATATGATAGCTCTAAGCTAAATACAACCTATCTTCCTATACTTGATCGGCTCATCAAAGGACAAAGTGAGAAACAGATAAAGAAAATGGCTAAAGAATTTCAGCAAGTGGTCGGCGCAATCGTGACACTAGAGAGTCCACTTTCAATCAATTCACTCTCAAAGCTTCTGGAACTTCCCAAAGGGCGTATTAGTCTTCGACTTGACCCACTACACTCAGTCCTCAATGTGCCAGATGACCAAAATATGGCCGTAAGGCTCTTTCATTCGTCATTTCGGGACTTTCTTCTCGATCCAGAAATTCGTCAGAGATCTCCTTTTGGGATCAGTAAGATAGACACACACTATATGCTAGCGCTTAAGTGCCTTCGTGTGTGTCGGCGATTACGACAAAACATTTGTGAACTACCAAGTGATGGTACTAGACGCAAAACAGTGAATCGCGAAACCATTGATCGCTGTCTTTCTCCAGATTTACAGTACGCGTGTCTATTTTGGACCTATCATCTGGTACAGTGTATAGACTTGACTAGCCTTGTACAAGATGCGTTTTCATTCCTTCGAAAGCATTTTTTGCACTGGGTAGAAGTAATGAGCCTACTTGGACTTACGTCGGAAATTTTGGGAAATATTGGCCTTCTGGAAACAATCATACCAGTAGGTTGATTGAACAGCCATTCGTATTTCGCGCAAACTGACATGTACATAGATTGATGAGCCTTCAGCCATATCTGATTTTCTTCATGATGCTAAGCGCTTTCTTATGAAATTTCACCAAATAATCGATGAGGCACCCCTCCAAATTTATTCTGCAGGACTGATATTCACACCCCGAACATCTATCATCCGGAGTGAATTCGGGGCGAAGTTCCCTGCTTGGATTTCCCGACCCCCAGAATTTGATATAGGATGGAGCGCAGAATTACAGGGCCTTGAAGGCCATTCGGGCCCGATTTGGTCGGTGTCATTTTCTCCTGATGGCCGCTTACTAGCTTCTGGTTCCTCGGATGGAACAGTGCGGCTTTGGGATACGATGACAGGTGTGCTGCAACAGACCCTTGAGGGTCACATAGGCCCGGTCCTATCTCTTTCATTCTCCCCCGATGGTCAGCTGTTAGCAACCGGGTGTGATTCTGATAAAATTGTCAGAATCTGGAATGTGGGGACTGGCGTGCTACAACAAAGGCTTGAGGGGTCTTCCAGCTATGTTTGGTCAGTAGCCTTTTCGCCTAATAGCCTGAGTCGGCTACTAGCATCAGGTTCCCTCGATGGCGAAGTACGGCTTTGGGATACAATGAAAGGCACTGTAGAAAGGACCTTCAGGGGTGCTTCAGGTCCAATTTGGTCAGTGGCCTTTTCTCCTGACGGCCATCTACTGGCATGTGGCTGTGATGATCAGACTGTATGGCTCTGGGATATAGCAACAGGCACCCCACAGCAGACTCTTGGGCATCCAGGCTCAGTTCGGTCGGTAGCCTTCTCTCCTGATGGTCAGCTATTAGCTTCTGGCTCCAGTAACAAAGAAGTGCGGTTCTGGAACACTGAGACAGGCGCGCTACAAAATATTCTCAAGGGTCACTCTAATGTCATCGACTCAGTGGCCTTCTCCTGTGATGGTCGGCTCCTAGCATCTGGCTCCTTTGATAAGAAAGTAGGAATGTGGGACACAATGACAGGAGCGCTAAAGCAGACTATCTCAGGCCATTCTAATTGGATTCATTCAGTGGCCTTCTCACCCAATGGTCGACTACTAGCATCCGGCTGTGGCGATCGGATAGTCAGGCTTTTGGATGTGGCAACAATAACGCTGCAGGAAAGCCGTGAGGAACATTGGAGTGAAATCAGGTGTGTGGCCTTCTCTGCAGAAGGTCGGCTACTAGTGTCTGGTTCTCGTGATGGGGAACTGCAGATCTGGAACACTGCTACGGGTGCAATAGAGCAGACCTTCAAGGGGCATCCTGGTATAATTCTATCAGTAGCATTCTCCCCACGCGGCCGGCTACTAGCTACTGGCTGTACGGATCGGAAACTGCGGCTCTTGAACTCGACGACTGGTGCACTGCTGCGTATTATCGACGCGAATTCGGGTTGGATTGAATCGGTTTCTTTTTCGCCCAATGGCTGGCTAATAGCGATTGGTTGTAACGATGGTACGGTACGGCTCTGGAACATTGTGACAAGCACGCTGCAGCAGACCCTCCAGGGCCCTCTATCCTCAATTCTAGCTGTTGACTTCTCGCCCGATAACGAATTTATAGCGTCTGGCTCAAGTGATCAAACACTGCGACTCTGGCACAGAGCGACAGGTGCAGTTCAGCAGATCTGGGAGTTTGAAGAAACAGTCACCTTCGTGAAATTTTCTCAAGATGGCTCGTTTCTGAGCACAAATCTTGGTACCCTAAGTATTCAGTCTATATGCGTTTTTACCGCTAATTCTGCTTCTGTTCCATCTCAAGTGAATCTGGATATTCTCATCGAGCACGGAGAATGGATGACGTTGAATGGCAAGAAAATACTCTGGCTTCCCATCGAATTTAGGCCTACTTGTTTTTCAATGAACGGGAATTTAATTGCACTGGGACACAAATCAGGGCGGGTTTCCTTCATGGAGTTTCATCGATAACAGGTGCGATGAGGCTCTATAGGCATCTCCTTCTTTTGGACCTTTGCGGAACAGAATCCCGAGAATAACCCAACCAAAAACATGACATGGTCAGAAATAATATCGCCATGTGGGTGTCTTTGGATTAGATCTCTACGATTCCTGTTTCCTTTATGTTTCTGTGTCTCTTGAGTAAATGTAATACGGACACGCTCGAAATCAGATTGACTATCTTACTGTCTCTAAATCATGATTACCTACGAGCATATCTGAAAAGCGGGATAAGTGAGGACAGTTCGTGGAAGTTTTCTAAGTTTAGTAGGGGAATTGACTCAGGATGTATGACCCTTCTAGGCTTTTCATACACGTTGACCTTCAATTCAGAATGAATTATGTGAAGCAGTTTGCGTTGTATTCCTGAAAACATTATCTGTTATGATAAAGCATATTCCACTCTGAGTCTTTCCTACTTGACCGTAATACCTGTATTAAATTCAAGATTACAAGTATTAAGCTAACTCGCCCCTATCTATCAGGGAGCAGTATCTTTATTATAGAATTTTGATTGCACCAAGGTGAAAAAGGTACCGCAGCCCAGACCAGATTGCAGTGATCGCAACAACGCACCCTTAGAGAAGAAGTCAGCAAGGGGGTGGGGAGGCCACGTTAGCGGTACAGCCACGTGCAGGATGTCCGGACTCAAAATAGTGGTGTGGCGCTACTCCCAATCTGGCGTGCGCGTGCAACTAAAGGGGATCAGGCTAGTCCTGATCGCTAGAAACATGTAACTAAGGGTCATTGCCCTGGTAGATTATGCCGAGAGCGGTGAGAGGATCAACTCACTTGGTAAAAGACATCTGAGACCCTTTAATACTTCAATACAGATCCACCGGTATTGAAGTGGATACTTCCATATTTTGAAGCTTTGAACGCCAAGTGTCATGGTCAAGGTCTATTTAATAGTGTTTATCCGCATCCACCCACATCCATCATTTCCACTTCCTGCACCAAAAATATCTAACAATGGCTACACCAAGCCCTGAACATCAGCCCTCATTGACTGCACCAAGCCCCGGGCTTCTTCAATTACCTCCTGAGATTTTATTGATGGTCACATCATTTTTACCAAATCAAGATCTCAAATCCTTGCGTCTAGCAAGCAAATTACTAGGCGAGACCACGCCACTGCCATTCTCGCGCGTGTTTCTTTCAGCCAATTTGCTGGATGTAAAGGTTTTCCGCTCGATAGCAAACCATCCAGAATTCCGGAAGCAGGTCACCGAAATTATCTGGGATGACGCGCGTTTTGTTGCGGCCCCAGCATCCTGGGAGGATTATACCCCGTTCATCAATCGCAATGACTTAAAAATGGACGTCGAAGAAGGATGTCCTGCGTGGTTCTTGCGGGATTGCAAAGAAAACATCCGCAGTATGAACCAGCGGAAATCCAACGATGTGGATAGGCCTGATCATATGGCTCGCCAGCAGCAAGCGGATGCACAGATGCCTCTAAAAGACTGCTGGAAGTACTATTCGCAAGTGCTTAATGACCAGCAATCTGTGATTGAATCTCGGGATGATGAAAAGGCCTTCATTTATGGCTTAGAGCAATTCCCACAGCTAAGACGGGTGACTATTACGCCCGCCGCACATGGCCGCACATTCTCTCCACTATATCGAACACCTACGATCCGAGCATTTCCATATGGCTTCAACTACCCTATTCCACGGGGATGGCATATCTGTTCGGCTGAAGGAATAGCCCTCGATCCTTTACCGTGGTCAGAGGCAAAAGAAGAGTATAAGGAGCTCTGGAGAGGGGCCAGAATTGCCCTCCGCGTTCTTTCAACGATCGAGGACCATAATATTTCTGAGCTATGTTTTAATTCAAAAAGACTCGCTACTGGGATAAACTTCATGATCTTTGCCCAGCCGTGTGAAGAATACAACCATTTTGCTGCAATCATGAAACGCCCAGGCTTTCGTCACCTTGACCTATCCATCCTAGTTGGAAACAGCGGGATCTATGACTATGCAGGTTTAACCAGCGGACACTTCTTCAAAGCTCTTAGCTTGGCGAGAGAACTGACTCACCTCAATTTGACATTGGCATTAGAAGATGGTCGGAATGATCTAGCTCTTCCTTTGAAAGAGATTCTCCCTATCCAGCAATGGCCAAATCTATACCATTTAGGTCTTTTTAATTTTAGTGTCAACGTGTCAGACGTAATTGATCTGCTTGGTTCGGTGTCATCTTCAATGCGCTCTGTTGAGCTAGGATCTTTGAGGTTTCCCAATAGTGAAGGATTGTGGTCTGGGCTATTAGAGCGGATGCGGGATGAGCTTGATTGGAGTAAGCGTGATCAATCACTAAGACCGGCCGTGAGAATCACCATGGATATTGATCAGATGCGACCTGGGAGGTTTGCCCTCCTTACAGATGAAGTTATGAGGTTTCTCTATGACTCTGGTGAAATTCCAACAACCAGAGATATACGCAACTACCCGAAGTTGGGAATGGGCACTTTGCATGATATTTTTGAACCTGAATACACTCGACCAAACCTGGGTATGAGAGAGCATCGGGAAATGGGAATTATATTGTAACTGGATATTGATAGAAATTTTGATCCAGGGAAACATCGTGACTTTCTAATAATTTTCATTTCTTCTTTGCCAACAGTGATCTATTTGTGAACTCACTATGGCAATATGCAACAGCCGCTACATGTAAGTACAGAGAGTAGTATTTCAAGTTTGAAGTCACGGTGTCATCCTTGAAGAGTCAAGACGGGGGATACACAGTTAAGCCACAGTAACGCAAACATACTCGTCCGCTTGCAAACCGGAGCAGTCGGTCTTAACAGGACTACTCGAGACTGTTGCGTAGCCTGGAAAACCTGGTGTGGAGCCTCCCGGATATGTCATAACACAATTGTATGTGCCAATGCTCATACCGCTACAGTCACTCTTTACTAAAGGATTTATGACAAAGAATTCCGCAATATCAAGCTCCTGTGTATGCAGTACGCAGAAGCATGTGTATACTTACTCGCTGGTGCGTATCATCTAGTACAATTGGCAATATCACCACTGGCGCGAGAAAAGGTATAATGATCACAATACTGCCTTTTCAGAGGAATTATAGAATTAGTTGAGGTCTTGATGAAGTGTGCAGAGGACTTACAAGTAGAGGTAGGGGTTGAAAGTTGGACGTAGTAAGAACTACTGAGTTGCAAAGTACATAGGTACGTCTCAAAGTCCGAGCTAGTAGCAGTTGCAGAGGTTGAGGACCCAGAGGAATTTGAAGTCTGGGCTAGAGAGGGATTCCATAGGATAATCTCCTATGATGCGATCCAAAAGGAGTTTATGCGAGAGGCAATCCGCCAGAGCACGAAGATGAAATAGAGGAGTGGAGACCATGTTATTGATCGACCTGATACTCCGGAGTCAAGAGTTTCTACATCCAGTGAAGACCACATCTCAGCAGACGTTGTCAAAATCTGATTTTGATCTGAGTGATCTTCCTGAGCTGCCGGAATCTGAATCCGAGCCAGACCCGAGTGATAGTGATTGTTCTGAAGAATTATCTGAATCAAAGCGTCTGTTCAGGATGCCGATGCAGATGGTATGTTTTCGGATTACGTCAAACGCAGATTCTTGGACATGAGCGCACCTTGTCAGGAATCCGACCGTCAGCGGACAAAATCCACGCAATCTTGACTTGGCCTCGTCCCGAATGCGAAGCGGATCTCATGCGATTCATTTATGTCCTTCCCTATATGAAAGTGTACATTCCAGGTCGATCTGACATGGTCGCGATTCTCAAGGAATGTGTGAATGCAACTGGGAAGGGAAAACAGCGGAGGGTGATTTCATTTGATTGGACTTCGAAACAACAAAAGGTCTTTGATCGGATCAAGAAGTTCTTCTCCAAGATCCAATTAGTCAATCGACGCACCGCCAGACCTCGTCGCCAACAACATGAGCAGTTTCGAGGACGAGACAGGGTGGATGCGGAGGCTGGACCGTCGTTAATCGATCATTTTGTCGATCCAAAGTTGATTCCTGAGAAGCGATACGTGAGATTCGATGATTTCCACGGCCTTGATAGTTTGCCAACTAAGTTTGTCATCTGTGTGGGTGAAGTGGGAGAGACTTGAGGGCAATATGATCCGTGTACAATATGACTGGGTGATCCGCTCCCAAAACCAACCATCGCACTTCCTCAAGGCATCTCAGAACTGCCAAGCACTCTTTCTCTGTAGTATGATACCTCGTCTCTACGTCTGCAAATGCAAAAGAGATGTACATCACCACATCCTCATCCTTTCGAGTATCCAGACAAGTCCTTGTGCACACGGCCCGGTTTCGCATTGAAATAATACTCCTCCGATCCCACGAATGCATTGAGATTGAGCTATTGGTAATTTGGCCCAACTTAGAGAGAAGATGGCGAAGCAAACCAACCTTATTGGAAGCACCCTATAGCCAAGCCTGATTCTAATAGTCAGCAGCTGTGTTGTTGGTGATGTTCGAAAACCACTGGTATCTTGAGTGATGGTCAGCATTTGTGGCATCGGATCGATGAATTCAGTATCTTACTCGGCGCAGTCGGTGCGGGTTCCATTTGCAAGTGGGATGACTGGATTTGATCCGGTTGGCCACACACGAGCAGATTGGTTCCCAGGTAAAGGAGTTGAAGGAGTTTGGTCAAAGGTTGCGGTTAAAGTAGATGAGACTCCATACCCTGAGTAAGTCGCAATATACCCCACAGGCTCCACGCAATAATAAGTGTCAGCCAATAAGTTTGTGCAGTTCGAAAAGAGCTCAGGATTCAAGAAAAGTCTAGAAATATCAGCTCTCTGCCTCTTTTCTGATGATGATCAAATCAAACTTGAAATCTCACAGATGGCTTCGAGGAATGCTGAATTTATCAGTCATTGTTGTACAGGTCTCATCCTTGGCAACCTTGTAATACTCAGCACAACGGGGTTTGGTGCCCTCTCCAGTGGGTGAGGGAATAGCACTGGATCTATTAGTCAAAAAACGAGACTTGACTGAAGAAATATGCCATGGTGAGATTTACGCCGTAGTAGTCATAATAGTGGTCATGCCACTGAGAGCAAAGTTTCCTATTGGATTGCTCACATAGATTGTGGTATTGACTAGACTTGCAAGGTTGCTCTATTTTTCATAATTTAGCAGAGAACAATTGACTCCTGAGGCTTAGAGTTTTCACCCACGAACGGGCCGGATTGATTCCAGAATTCCAGGAAATAAGCTGAGCCCAAGTGACATCTTGTGACTGCGCAATTGCTGGGCCAAGCTCTCCACTATATGAATGCAAAGAAAAGTCTCTTCATGATTGCCTGATTCTCTGATTGAAGAAAAAGAGTGTAGTTGAGAATGAAAGAATGGCAAGACAACCTGTGGGCAAAGCCACATATGTTGGAGTTAGGTCAAAGTTGAAGAAAATGGAAGATTATTGCTTGAACATTATGCAATCTAAGAGCTTGTGCCAGCCTCTGTTCTACTAGCTCGTTGTATTATTACAGCTTGTAATTCTTTCGTTTAATGCGAGGAATGAGAATATTGTATCAACTATTATCACATAATTTAGAGACACGCTCACGTGGTGGCTTCGAAAGTCTATCCCATCAACCATCCTAAGCTAGACAGATAATCATTCCAAGGTTATGAATGCATGTAGGCTTGAAGGGTCCGGAAGGGTCCAAAAGTTGGTGTTTTAGTGTGAGACAAAACAATCAAATGGAGTCTAGCCTGAGTCTAGCGCGAGTGAAGCTCCATATCTTACCCTGGTAAAAGTCATCCACGTCGCTAAAGTCTTCATAGGTGTATTTTGATGTTGTATTCCGATGTTATCCGACTTTATCTATAGAGAGTCCAATCTTCTGAAGCTATTGAGTATCCGTTATATTCTACTAGTTCGTAAAATGACTCGGTCACGAAAGTTGCAATTTTGCGTCCCAGTGTGGTAGTATCGCTTCGCCTTGCTTTTGCTTTCCGTTGAACAATTATCGCACCAACTACCCACTTAGAAAGAGTATACTAGCTAGTTACCTAAGATCCCTAAGATTTCTATATCTATCTCTACTTATTAGAATAATATTAGGCTTCGGCAAATAGGGTGGGCCCGATGGGTTGCGTTAAACATTTATCTCGGTCAGTCCCATAACGTCGAAGTGAGTGATGAGGTCCTGGGCAATATAATCCTCACGGATGAGACCCGTACACTCATCCAAAACGAGGAAATCTGTCCCATTGTATGTGACTGAGGATCCGGCATCCAGCGGCCTTAATTTGCATGTCAGAAAATCAAATTCAAGTAAGGTGAAGGGCTTTGGATGCAACTCACGTGGGGAAGCGTGTGAAGTTACTTCCAAGTATACCCTCCATTTTCCATCGAACAACTATCTGATGGCCGTTGCTAACCCATCGGATAGGATCAAAAGTGTACTTTTCCCATCCAGCCCGGGCATTTTCAACGAATGCAGCAAATTCGTCTCGGTTGGTCACCGCAGTGAGGGTGCTGCCATTTCCAGTAGAAGAAGGGAAACGGTCAGAGAACAATCTCACATCGGGGTGGAATGTCGAATTCACAAGGGAAAGATCTCCATCCCAGACTGATAGGTACTGATTCAACATATGGTGATGGTAGCTGCTCGAAGTGACATCACCCCTGCAGCACGAATTCTCCGTGGAGGCAGCACAAGAAGTAGTAGAAAGAATTGAGAGAGCGATTTGTAAAGGGCCGGAAGAGAACTTCATGGTGAGCGAGGTAAGCTAGACCCTGAGACCTGAATAGTGAAAGAGAATTGTGACCAGAAGACTGATACTGAAATAAATTCTAGCTGCTTTCATATTCATCTGAGCTTGACTATACATAGAAGTGACTTTCCACCGCAACATGCTCAGGAGCTTTGTGATTGGTCATAGTGGACCCATGGCCCCCAACGTTGACCCGATCTCATGCAGCCCGCGCAAAATCATCCAAATCAGGCTTTATAAGGCGCTGGCGGCTTACGCAGATCCGAGTCTGAGAGGCGAAATCGCTTGTCCAAGAAAATTCCCGGGGAGAAGACTTACGCAAATGCAAGAATACACTACCTCGCCTCATTACGTTCGGCAAACCCTGGTACTATTTCTGCTTTTGCCACGAGAGAACTGAAGTTATTTGAGGAGTCAGAGAGCACCAGAGATAATCTAAAATATTGATTGTGGCCTGCGTCACCATGGTGGGCATACCAGGTCGATCCAAGAGCTGTCGTACCTGCAGGAGGCGCAAGAAGGGCGTAAGTGGGGATCTATACTCTCCAGAATGCCGAAGAGATGATCTAATGAATACGATTCGTCCAAATTACTGACTTAATTGATCGCAAGTGTGATCGCCGAGAGCCGACATGTGGGCAATGTAGGAAGGCTTGCATTACTTGTGAGGGTTACGACCCCCAATTTACGATGCGCTATTACGATGGGGTCAAAACCACAGCTCAGCTTCCATCGAGAAATTTTCCTCAAAAAGATGAAGAAGTCAGGGATTTAACAATTAATCATCCTGATAAACCGAACATCAGCTATGGGGCTTCGCAGGCCCTCTCGTGCAGGGCATATGAAGCAGGTTTCGAAGATCTTTTTTGGAGCCGGTACTTACCAAACAGTCAAAGCTCCTTGCTGTTTGACGAAACCGGGAGAATCCTAGGCAGATCCATTATTGTTGTTCGTGATCTAATACCCAATAGCAATCTACTGCGGACTGCTTTCGGTGCACTTGCTCTTCGGGCCGCAGGGCGCGAAATTAATGCCACTCGGCTCATGAAAGAGCATGGAAATAGGCTGCATGCGATTGCTTTGCGCCAGATGAATGGAGTTCTGGGTTCCAAATGCCTAGACGAAGTGGAAGTCCTTGGAACCGCGCGAGTTTTCAGTTTCTATGAGGTATTCCCTCCCCAACGATTCTTAGAATGCCCATGATTTTGTATATATGCTTACCGCATTTGGTCCACTATTAAGGCGTTATTTGGGGACGACTGGAAATGCCATGCTACGCAATATAGTACCTGGCAAGCGCATCAAACTGGTGATCTGGCTATCCTCCTTTCCAAAGGGCCGCTTTTCTTTTCCACCGGACCAGCCCATAGGCTCTTCATTGATGGTAGACTGATTTACGTGAGAGAGACTTCACTTATAAAACTTAACATGAAAAGAGTGCTTATACCATGACAGGCCTTATCTGCTCTGAGGGCACGGCGAGCAACTGCCTTAACGCAATGCGGTTGGATGACGGTTCCTTGGGTTCACTTTGCAAAAACTCCGAAAGACCTATTGATTGATATTCTTTTAGAATTCCCGGGCCTTTATGCGGAGGTTGACGAAATGAATGCGGATGCCAACATCGAGCCGAGGAAGCACAAAGTCCTCCACCTACGATCCAGGGTCCTACAAATTTCACACAAATTAGAATGTTGGAGAGCGAGATATGGTTCAAGTAATCTTTCTCCCAGAGAAGGTTGGCAGTTGCCTCGGAGCACAGGAACGGATGGAATATCCGTCGCTCATGTTATGACAATTTATTGGGCAATATGCATTCTCGCCTTTGATGCTTTTCAATCGATGCCTGGTGCGGATGGCAGTGCTATTGGAATTGATCCCAAGGAGTCTTGTCGGAACATTATCCATTGCATGCCGTTGTTCTTCCATCCAGCAACCGGTATTTTCCGTCAGCATCTTGTCCCTTTCCCGCTTATGGCGGCGATGAAGTATTTGACTACAAGCGGGAATATTGGCCTGGAGGAAGAGATTGAATTCCTTGTCCAATTCTCTAAAAGTGTTGAGTTTGCACCAATGCGCCACTTCATTTCTAGCTTGAAGGGAGATGCTTTCCTCGTCCAGTACGAATAAGTTTACCATGGGTGACATTGGAGCACCGAGACTAATTTGATACTGTACATCGAATTTGAATATTTTATTTGTGAACGGCGGGCCTGTGAGATAATGCATCTGGTCAATTTTGCCTTCTATGGTTAGCGCCCTAATACGACGTTCTGTAGGCTCTGTAGGCGCCCCTTTGGGCGCCTGGACATGAAAGACCCGACGCCGCCTTTCCCACCTTTTCCCTCCGCTTCCTTCTAACTGTCCCATCTATCTTGCGCTGATCGCCGCCCCCTTCCTTTTGCTCTGAATAATACCGCAGCCTTGATCGCCGAAGAATCGACAATTGATCATGGCGCATGGCGTACCTCGTCCTTCGGCAGTCAAGGGTATTACACCACCCAAAGCCCCCAGCCCCTTGGGGATCGCGAAAGTCCTACTATTCTATGAGGCTTGGGGCGTCTTCATCAAGCCTTTAGACAGATATTATGCTTTTCACCACTAATGTTGTATTTTCTCTATAATGGGTAGGGATAAAACCTGGGAATCTCTACCTCCCCAGTATGGAAGTCCTGTCGTTCAACGCGGATAGAAACACCTCAAAAAAGATCAACGCAGCCTAATTTGCATTGCATTGTTGATATCACTTATTGACAGTTTGCCTAAGCGTTTGTAAACGAACTCATTGTGCTTCCTATAGCATCAATCATTTGAGCACGATAATTATCCGCAAGATGTTCCCCTCTCAGATGGGCTGCAGATTTCCGGCAAATTAATATTGAGACCTCGTCGTTAATCGACTAGATGTCGCGTGTGATATATGGCTTTGATGATTGGAGGCCCGATGATTGCCCTCCTATAGTGCGTTGGTCAACAATTCCACGATTTTCAAACGCAACCCAATTTCTTTTTCTTGCCGTTGTTTCCAGAAGAACATAATCGGGAATCAGGTCCGAAAACGCAGCCACAGAGTAGTGCATCAATAAGACACTGCGTTTGGGTCTACAGTTCGCATTCTTCACGGCACATAATTGATGATAGTATTGTAGTAACACGACTACGATCTGATAACTTATGATAGAACTTTCCTTGCGTCCTGGTTGATAAATTTCAACTGGCTGACTGATATGCTTTGGGCACCATTGGTAGCCAAGCGAATGGGTTCGTCGACCGCTAACAAGGTCTTGCGGCTTATGACAAGATTTTTGAAAGTGAGATTGTACTTGGGCATTTGTCTATGACGTGGACTCCCCAAGAGAATTATCGTAACCGAAAAGCCGGCTGCGAGGTCCCTCGCTTGAGTGATTTCATCTATCAATAGGCTCCGGACTTCGCTGGTTGAATTGATACCAAAATAAGGCGTCATAGACAATCGTCTCAACATCTCACTGTTGGATCCAGGATCAGTCCCGTTCAATATACTACCGATAACTGTAATAGGAAAGCTACTATGCATTTTCTGATGCCTTAAGCGGCCACGAATCCAATGATCTTCGTACGTGACATTTAGATAGATAAGGAAAAGTCCGTAGATCGTGCCCTAAGGAGAATGCTAGTCCCACACTTCTGCAATCCTTGTCACATAGTCGCGTTTTGGTATAAACGGTTAGCATTGGGACCGTGACAATTGGCACCATTGAGACATTAAGCTGCACACACGTCACCTGCTTTAAGGTGTTCGATGTTACCCAGGTATGTGGTTCGTTGGAACTGAGTTTTGAATTCCGTCTACGGTTGGTAAACCCCACAATTTTGTTCCCGAATGCGGAGTCGAAGCCAACTGAGATCTATGATCCGTGGACCACTATGCGGAAGCTAAGGAAGCTAATTCCGGCGGCTCTATACTCTAAGTTACTGCAAGTTGATCTACGCTCTCATGTTCTGCTGTAGGCCGAGCTCTACTATTTTCTTCGATTGTCGCGATGGAACAGGTCATGATAAATTGTTACGGGTGGGGCCTGTGCCTTCCCTTAAACCACCGGAAATACCAAATGAATGTGGACGAGTACCTAGGTAGGAGTTTTCGATAGCCTATGCGTCATATTAAGCTACGGCAATATAGAATATATAGGCCAGACCTTCCATGCCATGTAGATTCAAGTCAAATGTATGATGTAATCGAGTACATGGATAACTACATGTCATGATACATACACTAGAGTTTATTGTAAGCAAACAGCAAGAATGGCTTATTGCTCGAGTTATAAGTAGAGCATTCGCCTCGACACTCTCCAAGTATATCCTGACGCCTAATTGCAACAGGCCTTTTTTTTGCTACCCGAGAAGTTTTACTTGATAAGACTTTTTGTACAAAACATTTGCTTCAGCCCTTTTGTTAACCGCACTAAGAACCTCTCCTATTGCGCGCCGGAAAAATGGTCTTCAACACGGTAATATGTGCCGGGTTACCCGGTAGTAATTCCAAGAGAGCGTTTTTCGTTCACGGTCTTTATTTCTCTGAGATGAAGTTTCCCGAGCGGAAGTTATTCGCCACAAGTTCCACTCTCCGCAACTTCGGGGCACTGGCACATGCCAAGTTTCCCACTCTTGATGCTGCCCTTCCTATACGAGGGACCTATAATGAGTTCTACTTGTTTTACGGAACCCAAGTTGCATATTGGGGCTACGGAGACACCCAAACCCACGATGGACCTTGGAAAATCACCGACAAGTTCAAGAGTCTCGGAAAAGCCGGGTTCGATATCATCGATGCTGCTATGCATGTGCCAGGAAAGGATGACGAAGCCTTCTTTTTCCGCGGGACGAGCTATGTTAAGATACATCTGAAGGACGATCGCATTACTTCCGGCCCTGACAGTCTGGTCAATAAGTGGCCTGGTTTGACCCAGGCTGGTTTTGATGCTGTCGATGCTATCATGCCTGTTCCTGATAAAAGCGATGAGTTTTACTTTTTCAGGGCGAACAAACTTGCGACAATCAAAGTCACCACTGGAGCCCCTGATCAGATTGTGGACGGACCTGAAAATCTAGTATCTTCCGAGTACGGCGTGACTGCCTGGAATGGAGCATTTAGATTCCTCCATCAGAGGGTGAATTCGTGGTAGTCAAGGGCCCGTGTGGCAGTCAAGGTCTCATTCGCTGTACTGGAGACTGCGCCTATTCCTGTGGATTTATTATGTCTTGTTGGTTTTTTTTTTTTTTTTTTTTTTTTTTTTGTTTTTTTTGCTTGTCCTGTCTCGTTAAGTCTTGGAATATCTGAGGCACGAAATAGCTAGACAAAGAAACATCTTTCGCAAGGCTCCTTATGTCGCTCGGTCTAAGTGTGAGCTTGTCATGTATCGGATCTTGTTGTTTTTTTTATCACGGGCAATAAAAGGAATGGAGCCCTATAATTGCACATCCATCTGAGATTTTTCCTATTCTATCAGGTCAACGATGGCATGTGGCGATTATAGAAAAGCTCGATGATTCACTAAATTGAAGGGCTGTTCCATAATACTTGACGTACAGCAACTACCTTCGCAATACTTTCTCTGGCTGATTAGTGAAGTCATTGATCTACGCTTTCCAATCTCATCCCGTCATACAGAATCCGACAAAGCCGTTGTGAGAAAAGTAGAACAAGCAGTGATGGAGGAAGTGACGGAGGAGGAAAAAGGGCCAGCCGACTGGTCCTTTTGTACCAGCCTCTGATTTGCGTGTACTGCGGATTAATGCGGGGTTAATCAGTTGCTGTTGCTGTTTGATCGATATTTTTGTTGACGACGATACTGCCGAGGCGAATTTTTCTGCAGTCATGTTCATCCTGGGACTCTAATTGGCGCTCTGCTAAAAAATAAAGGCACTTTTCAATGCAGAATCATGCCAATTAGCGTCCGCTTCTCTTTCGACGTGCATTTATAGCCGTGCGAACAAATGTGCCGTGAACAAAGGTACAAAGGGGGGTGGACCAGCTAAATGGGTAAAACAGGCGGCAATATCTAGAGCTCTTGACTTCTGCTGGTACCTTGTCACAGCTTTTTACTCACACGATACAAAACGTCCTTTTCTACCTTTCTCTGACACATATGCAGCATCCCCGCCTGCTCATTGACCATCTCAAACATGCATTGCTTCTATCTCGTAGCGGCTCTCGTCAATTTTGCAGCACAGATATATTACATATGACTTTTCTTCTCAAGCCGGGGTCTATGTTTTCACGACATGCTTTGGTACAAAAGAGGCATGGTGGGTTATATTCGACGCTAGGGGGGTGGGTGATCATATAGAATGGTGAGACGTGTTTCAACCTTGATTACAGAGTTCTTGATTATGCCGGAGTCAGACTTGGTGAGGCCGGTATTGTTCTATGTTTGGCTAAGTTCCTAGGGTCAAAGCCGATTGACAGCCTCAAGGCCTTCCCTTTCTGCCATAATTCAAGTCATGCGCAAGTCCTGAAAGACCTGGTTGGAAGAGGCTTAAAGGCTCGAGATTTCGCCGGCTCACAGAATTAAGCACTGTAGAGGCAACGCATGCTTTATAAAAAAAAAAAAAAGAAGATTTTCAAAGTCAACACTAATAGTTGAGTAGCGATGGACGCTGTATATTCCTATGAAATGCAGCCGAACTACTCCCGACATAGGGATAAAATAAAAAGATGGAGTCGCAGTCGTTGACATAGGCGCTATATTCATGTATGGCCGTGAGCGAGAGAAAGAGAGAAAGCGAGGAGATGGTGTGGATACATCAAAGCCGGTCGAGACCGATTTACTAGTTGCCTGCCCAGAAGCAAGCTTGCTTTTTCAATTTGAGGGACAAATCTTTTTGTATGTGACACGACTAGCAATTTTCCGATGTCTGGCTAATGCGATTATAGTGGAGTGTGCACTCAGTGCTCTTACGGATGTTGAATTCGTACTTGAATCATTTGATTGCCTTGAGATTCCATCGGATACTAAGACACCCTATACTGGAGAAGGGGGGGCGGTGGTTCGCTGTCTAAATTTACGGATGATGAAGCGGCCCTTTTCGGCGTCGATTTCACAAATTCCCTTGTTCTAGTTGTACTCCTTTGGAATTTGGGCGCTAAGGCTTTATCTTGGTTTGAGGGGTTAGTTCCCTTATCGTGCGGGTTGAAAAATCAGGGAGCGCGGTAATTGAACAACACAAAATTAGTTAAACACCCTCACTGACCATATTTGAAGTAGCGCAGTGATTGTGATTCGGAAAGGATGCTATCTCAAGTATTGAACGGCATCGCATCACCTCGCTTATTCACGTCAATATACGAGAGAACGCTTCATTAGAGTCATGATATAAGTAAGGAAAGGTAAGCCTAGTGGGTATCACTCTTTAATCACCTTCACGTTCCACCGTAGTCCACAGGATAACTTGAGTAAGTAGGACTTGGGTATGTTCAATAAATTTACTCTCTGAAGTTGGATACTGCGCTTCTTGACTTGCGGTTAGTGACGGGTTCAATTAGAAAGCTGCAATTTTCAGATCACGAATATCTGCTTTAAATAGAGCACCGCCCTGCGGGTCCAGCCGAGACACACAGTATGATATTAGGCCGCGAGACTCATAAGTCGCATTGCTTTCATACCCTATCTTTCATTGCTTTTTTTGACTTCCGTTCTCTCTATGATAACCGACCATTTGTAAGACTTCTCGTGATTGTCTTGAGAGTCTACTGGAGTCATTCTGACCTATAACCTAATAATACTTGTCCTGTCGCACCTATACTCTAGAAATTGGACGTACCCATGGTGCCTTTCTTTCCTGAAGTCTGCGCTGCTCCGCTGAGTAAAGAGGCCAGTGCAGTCTCCCCTCCCTCTTCCCCTCCCTAGCCTTAGCTGAATTATAAACCTCTGGCGAGGTTTGCAGGTCATGGATCGTTTCATTAAGGAGGATAATACTGATGAGGATCATTTGAACCTTTTATTCGTGGACAGCGTTGATGTTTATTATGATGAGGTATCAGAGGCACCAGTCGAGGATGAAAGCAGTCCAGATTCCCCTTTCATCGGAAAGACGCCTCAAGAATGCCACCAACTGCTCTCGAAGCTTGTCGAGGATACAGAGTCGGAAATCATGACTGAATACTTTGCCATCATGGACCTGAGGTCAATAAAAGACGACACTGTCCTGCTCGTATGCGCAGAGAGGGATGATCAGGAAAAAATCGTGGCCTGGCCGACTGTCCGTGCTACCTTCGAGGTTACGGCTGTCTCACTAAAGTGTTATCATTCAGGGCACAGCAGTGTAGGGGAGGATTTGGAGCGTGCTGAATGTGAACACGATAATGTCTATCGTGCACGGTAATCTATAAATACTAGCAAATGATCGATCTTAAAAGACAGTAAGAGCGAGAAGCCGAGTCAAGGAGAAAAGTTACGTCAAAACAGGAAATGTACTAGAAAGAGCGTTGTCTCCACGACATTTGTACAATAGCAATACAATACATTTAACTTATACTATGGAAATCTTACGTCTTACTACTCTATGCGCAATGATTTCGAGGATAAAACTGGATCTCCTCTGCGTGACTACACGTTTGCTACTATCGGTTCCAAAGCTGATTGACCAGGCATGCAGGATATATTTGTAATATTCTCCGGTTTGAGATGATAAGGAACCAAGTGTTGCCACAGCTTTATGGCCAATCCGGTGGCTCATTTTCAAGCCACGCTATGGGTAATAGAAGACATAAATTGAAACAGGAATCATTATTTACAGCTTAGCCAGCATCTGGTGGCCCTTCTTCATCAGAGCTGCAGCGTCAGTGACGAGCTCATCCACAATGGCCTTGGCTGACTTCTTCTCATCGACAACAGCGGCCACTTTGCCCATCAGGAAGGGACGGGCGTTGTCCATCATATCATCATCAACATCATCGGGCAGGTTCTCAAAGTCGTGCTCAACCGGGATGACACCCTTTGCGGTGAGCTGCTTGATCTCTTCCGCGCGGTTGTTCTCCCAGTTCATAATGTAATCGTTCTTGCGAACACGCAAAGGACGGCCCTAGAGTATGTGTGAGTACGACAGCCGGGAAATTCTGGAAAAGATACACGTACAGTGAAGATAATAGTGCGGACGTTGTCCTCGAAGCCAGCAGTGCGGACAGCCTCCTGGTGAGCCTTGGGGGCACCGGCCTCCTCAGACAGGATGAAGCGGGTACCGATCCAGACAGCCGAGGCGCCGAGCATCAGAGCGGCAGCAACGGAGTTACCGTTGTACAAACCACCAGCAGCAATGACCTGGACGTCCTGACCGGTCAAGGGGCTCTTCTTGCCCTTGACCAGCTTGGCAACAGTGGGAATAAGGACAGTGGTAGGAACATCACCAGTGTGACCACCACCCTCACCACCCTGAGCACAAATGATATCCATACCGACATCCAGGGCCTTAGCGACGTGCTTGGGGTGGCCGATCATGTTCATGCAGAGGATGCCGGCGCCGTGGAGCTTGTCGACAACGGTCTTGGGAGGGACACCGACGGCAGACACGAAAAGCTTAGCACCGCTCTCGATGATGATATCGACGAGCTCGTTGAGCTTGCCCTTGGTGTAATCATAGCTAAGTGGCGGATATATTAGCTGCTTGTTGCCTTCGCGAACATTTTCACGGGACGTGCTTACTTGGTCTTGCGGGCGCTGCCACCAACCTGGGGCAGCAACAGGTCGACACCGAACGGAGCGTTCTTGTCGTTAAGATAACTCTTCAGCTCGGCGACCTGCTCGCGCAGCATATCGGGTGTGTAACCAACACCTCCGATGACACCGAGACCACCAGCGTTAGTGACCGCGGCTGCCAGCTTGGGGCCGGCAGCCACGTTCATACCCGCCAGCAGGACGGGGTGGTTGATCTTGAGCAGATCGGTGATGGGGGTACGGATTACCTCTGCCGGAGCCACATGTTAGTATTGTCTGACCGGGATGAAGTCATAGCTAGAGTAACAAAACATATGGCATGCAGGAAGCACAACAACGAGATGCAAAAGGCAAAAAGTGGATACGTACGAGGAGAAGCCATGGTGAACAAAGTATGGAGTTAAAGAAAGGAAAGAAAGGAAAGTCTGGGGAAAGTGGACCTATAAAGCGAATCAACCGAGGCGCATTCACCATCTGACCCTCACAAGCCTCGGTTCATCTGAACCAAATACCTTGCGGGGAAAGTGACACCTGGACACCTGACCTTAACACCTGAATATTCAGGCCACAAGTCCGCCGTTGCAACACCTGACACGCGATAAGATCTATTGATTACAACGTCGATTCCTCCGAACTCCAGGGACGCGACAATCGTGCGCCTCGACGAGAAAATGAGTTTTCAGGCCTCCTACCACCGTGTCCTTTCGGCTGGGGGTATTCGTGGTGCTTCATATTCGCGCGCATTACGAGCGCCTCGGTTCCCGTCATTACCGGCCCCGAATGCAACGCAGCAGAGTGATCGGCTTCTGCACGGACTTTGGATGAGAAGGTACCAATTAATTGATTATCATATCATTGCCAAGCGATTGGATATATTCTAACCGTCAAACGATAGTATAAGTTCTACTGCAAGCTCGAGTAGGTTCATCACACCTTTGCCTCTTCCGGCCCCGCCTTATCTGCCCTTTATCGGCTCACCCAAGAAAAAAAAATGCGGGACATGATGCATGCTTTTTCTACTTCTCTGCGTCCTTGCGTAACAGCCTTTGCAGCCAACAAACTAAGGTTATCTAGGTTTTTCCATGGGTAATCCAGTGGCCATGCCTTCGTGTGATGACAATGTTCAATCGAAGCGCTCTGGACCACTATCGTACTTGAAATCATACGCGAGGCGATTTTCAAGCGGGTACTCGCCACAGTCAGCATCCAGCTTGAACTCCACAAATGGAGCCCATGGATTGCATCGGGCTTTTATTGCTTTGGGTAGCAATGTAGGAGATCGTGTCGACATGATTGAAAAGGCTTGTCTTGAGCTGGACCGAGTCAATATTAAAGTCAAAAGAACAAGCTCACTCTTCGAGACGACTCCGATGTATGTGCTTGACCAAGACACATTTATCAATGGAGTTTGCGAGGTAGCTATCTCTGACCTGTTTACTATATGACCTCACGCGGGACACTAACAATAGCCAGGTTGAAACAAGCCTCTCGCCAATGGAGCTTTTGGATACGATTCAAGCTATTGAGATTGAGCTGGGCCGCAAGAAGTTGATTGATAAGGGCCCACGTTCAATTGATCTGGACATACTACTATACGACCAAGAGATATTCGCCCATGAACGCCTTAATGTCCCACACAACCTCATGCTAGACCGGGATTTTGTGCTTCGTCCTCTTTGCCAGTACGTGGCAAACTTATACCAAGCTATCAATAGTGCACATCGCTAACAGCATAGATTAATACCTCATGAGCGACCACCCCTGCCTGGGAAAAAGGCACTCACATATAGCGAACATCTGAAGGCTCTTCCACCACCAGAGCCAACACCATACTCAACAACGCCCATCTCGCCACATTTCCCAAATCTCTACGCAACAGATCCAAAACGCCCCACCCACGTCATGGCCATTCTCAACCTGACCCCAGACTCTTTCTCCGACGGTGGCATTCACTCCCCAACTGACTTTACTCAACTCACTGAGACAGTCCGTCGCTTTATCGCCCAAGGCGCAACAATAATCGATGTCGGTGGCGAAAGCACCCGTCCTGGCTCAACACCAGTGGGGGCAGAAGAGGAAATCGCCCGGGTGGCCCCCGCAATTCAACACATTCGCAAGAACATACCCGAGGCTTCCAACATTGCTATCAGCATCGACACTTACCGCGCCGCAGTGGCCGAGGCAGCCTGTAACGCCGGCGCAGATATCATCAACGACGTCTCCGCCGGTCTCCTCGACCCAGAAATGCTCCCAACAGCAGCCCGTTTAGGCAAATCTATCATCCTAATGCACATGCGTGGAACACCGCAAACAATGACAAAACTCCACGACTATCCCAACGGCGTCATCCCCGAAGTTAGTGCTGAGCTTCGTGCTCGCGTTGCAGCTGCAGAAGACGCAGGCATCCGCCGCTGGCGCATCATTCTTGACCCCGGTCTCGGATTTGCAAAGCTACAACCCCAAGACCTTGAGATTCTGCGCGAATTGCCAGCTCTGCGGGCGGCTGAAGGCTTGGACTGTTTGCCTTGGCTTATGGGCCCAAGCCGCAAACGATTCATTGGTAACATCACCGGCGTTAAGACCCCTAAGGAACGCGTTTGGGGAACTGCTGCAACTGTTTCTGCTAGTATCGCCGGTGGTGCTGATATCGTGCGCGTGCATGATGTGCAAGAGATGTGGCAGGTTGCGAAGGTTGCTGATGCGATTTATCGTATCTAGGAGTTGGCGATCCCGTAAAATATGCACATACATTTGTATACTTTGGGGTCGGATGTTTTTATCGTTATGCTTTCAACTTTGTACGATATACACTGGTTGTTTCTTCATTCATCATGGAGTTTATAGGGGGTTGGGGAATTGCTAGATGGGCATATCTATTTCTAGCCGGGCATAGTACACTTATAATTGCATTGAAGTGAAATATGATATTTGAACCTAGAATAAAGTACCATGTAGTTTCCCATGCACTGGTCGTATACCTGCCTTAAGAACCACGGATAACCAAGTCAAGCTGGATAGAGAACATGGTTAGGCGCTGTGTCTACCACTTCTCGCTTACTAGGCATAACTCGTCATATTCCACTCCATCTTTGACCAAACCACCCTCTTTCTTTGACTCCAATTTGAATTCATAGTCAGCCCTACTTTTGGCCTTCCAGGCTGCGACCTTGAATTCAGTCCGATTGACTTGTCTGTTCTGGAACGCCCACTGGCGGGCCCAATCGATAGCCTCGAAAGCATAATCCGTGAAGTCTCGTGTGTTCGTGAATCCAAAATTCAACTCCACGCAGCGATTGTGGGCCATATTTCCAGGACACATGATGTAGAGTACTCCAATGGGGCTTACTTTACCTGAATCTTTAGATTAGCTTCCATGTCTTTTCTTGAGACCCCATCCATATCAGGACCTACCAGCTTTCTTATCTCGAAGGCATAGCAAAACGAATAGAATCGAGTCTCTTTGGATGTCCCTCCGGATGGTATTTGTCGTATCGCGGGTGACAGGTTGTTCAAGATGCCAGCTGGAATTTGGGGATGCGTCTGGATTGCTTTGGAGTTCATGAAAGAAATACGTCGTACTCCGGAGACTCAAAAGGAGTAATTCGCAAGCTCTTCGTTTCGAGAGTGCATGAGGTTGACATTTTTCCACACAGAGAAGACGATTGAATGGTCAAGGTCAAAGATCACGGTATAAGGGATAGGCCGCCAAAGAAGTTAAGCGATGAGAACAGTAAGATGAGATTGTCTCAGAGAAAAGCAGTTGAATGATCAAAGATCACGATGTAACAGTAAAAGAGAGTCGAGACGTGAGAGGGGTAAGATAGAAATGCCATATAGATAGGCAGTCGAATGTTTGAAGATCGCGATGTAAGAAAAAGTCGTAAGAAAGGTCAAGGTGAGAAGTGGAAGTGGGACGCGAAGAGTAAGAGAAAGCAGGAAACATAAGAACGTGAGCTTCAGTAATTTATGGTTTAACGGATCAGTTTAGTTCTGGTGAATGTGACTGGTTCTAGGCCAAGTTTACCTTTCATTGTCCACACTTCTGCAAGGCAAAACCTCTGTCGACCGAGACCTCCTGTCTCGTCTTGCGGAGACTCCAAGCTCTGGAATCTCAGGTTATTTGATTCGGGCTTGCTTGAGCCTGGCATCTTGTCGCTGAAGGGTATTGAAGAAAAGCTGAGGATGAAAAAGTAATTTTAGAGAACAATGGAAACAGACGAACATAAAGAGACTTGAGAGGTGAGAAGTGCCTAGGTGAAGGGAACGAGGGAAACCGAGGCAGGTAAAAGAGGGAAGAAGAGGTGGAGCCTGCAAGAAACAAAGGGACGTGAAATATAGGCAGCATATAAGAAGGTGAAGGATCCTTCTAGAGATAGAAAAGATGGTTCTTTTGGTAAGATGATTGCAGACTGCCCAGGTGGGGAATTATAACTATCATCACTGGGCTTGGAAAGCTATATAACCTCCAGGACGGTAGGAGCTTTATATAACTAAGTATTCACTTAGCGTTGACTCTTCATCATTGCACTTGCATAATCGATGGCTTCATTCGTGGACACTGTGGAATTGTGCCTCTCTTATAGGACACGCTCTTAAAAGACACGCTGTTTGCAGGGATATTCCCATAGTATAGTCATAGTTGTATGTTGGTAATCCTAGGCTCATCAGTACAGGGATATTGCTAATTAGACACCGCATTAACGGTACAAGGACGGGGTAAGTAAACACTACTGAGTACATACCCATGATTACCTTGTTCACCTACTTACTTACGCTAGGTAGGCTGATCTGGAATGTGAAGGAGTTGATTAAGGGGTGATACCCACTAAGTCGCATTCTTTGCCTAGTATTGAAACGTCGGCTCGAATAATTTGTCATCGTCTATGTTGGCTTAAATCAAGCGAGATGATACTATGATCTCGAATACTTGAAATTATACGTAGCATTTGTAGTGTTCAGTCAAAGGGCTCCAATAAGAAAGAAGAGAACAACCAGAGCGGGCTACCATTCATATGAAAAGTCCCAGTAATATAAAAGTCCTTAAGTATATCCTGAATATTGAGCTGTCCAAAGACCTGGAAGAGGACGTGCGTAGTTCAACTCAAGGTAAGTATGGGTACACCCGTAAAGCAGTCTACATTTTGATCGCGTATGCATTGTACTTTTCTCTATGACACAAGACACCAATCCATAAACGTTCTGCATTAACTCGAAATCCTATCAGAAACACAAGAGAACATGTCAAACTAATAAAAGAAAAAGAAAAAAAGCCTTGACTCATCATTGCGTGGCTGCAAATGCCCGATGGAATCAAAGCTCAAAGGAATATTGTCAATCAACCATCATCCACGCCAAATGCAATTTACACCAATTTTTCTTCAATCAAACCGCTCGTGGCGGCGTTAGATGAAGCAACAGAAAGAAATTGGAGGAGGTTGGCGAGACTTTTGGAGACAAGATATACGTCACGCATCACGGGAATGTGGGGGGATCAATGTGGCTTGCTAAGTATTGAATGTAACAAAACGCGTGATATGGGAGGAGAAAAGCCAAAAGTGGCATTTATGAGTTCAGGTAGCTGCGAATGGCACCTAGGGAAAGTCAGAAACTGCACCCTTTAGTATATGGAATCACATTAGCCAACCTTGTAGCTTGGTCGCTCCTTCACCAACGAGGTGCGACAAGTTCTCGATATCATCTCCTGCGGTGATGCCAAAGCGACGGACAAAGTCCTTGGCGGTGTTCTCCAAGTCTCCGTAGCCATCGTCCATCGGCGGAAGGTCATCCTCGGGCCGGCCGAAGTAAGCATTGCTAGAGATAGAGGTCGCGCTGTCGAACTCTGTGAGGCGCTGCTTGGCCTCGGCCTGGGCGTTGGGATCGAAGCGGTCACGTCCAAAGAATTCGTCAGAAGAGATACCCTTCTGGGTACCGAAACGTGTCTTGGTTTGACTGAGTTCCGCCTCTTTGGGAATCGTTAGTTATGTGTTCATCACAAAAGCGTTATAGAAAAGAACTTACCATCCGCCGCAGACCTGGGGGCAACAGCACCAAATCCAAGCTTCTTAGGAGCTGGGGGCTTTGAGACCTGACCGAATCCAAGTCTGTTCATCCCCATGCCAAGACGCTCGACATCGCTCGAGTTGCGCTCATCGCTCTTGCTGGTAGCACCGAATCCACCACGGTTAGGGCTGACCGGAGTGGGAGAAGCAAGAGGCACGGCAGCAGTGGACTTGGTCTTCGCGTCGGCCTCGGCCTGTTCAGCCTCGGGGTCATATCCAAGCTTCTCAATGCGCTCGGCCTCCTCTCTGGCTTTCCGTTCAGCCTCCTCGAAATCGATGTCACTAGGAGCAACCTTCTTCGCGCCCAGCTTAGGAGCCTTTTTGGCCCCCAGAAGGCCCTTCTTTGCGCCTCCAACCGTGGTAGTCTTCTTAGCGCCAGCGTTGGCGCGGATGGCAGTCGGAGCGGGAGCTGGAGCCTTCTCTTCAGATGCAGACAAGGGAGACTTGGAGCGGGAGCCGTTCGAGTTGGCGGTCAAAAACGGGGATCCGGTTCGGCTCACGACGGGTGGCGTATTGGTGCGGGAGGGAGGGTTGCTCGGACGCTTGATCGAGGGCTTGTCCCAGGATGAGAAAAAGTCGTCATCTTCGCCGGCAGGGGTAGCAGAGCCGTCAGAGGGGGTGCCAGCAGGCAGATCGGTAATAACAACCTCCTCGGGGTACCTAAACAATGCGCAAGTTAACTTCTGGCTAGAACCCACAAACTAGGTAAGAATACTGACTGTTGCGCATCCGCTGCAGCCCGTCTCTTCAGTTCCTCTTTATACTTGACGGCCGCATTGGAAGTATACTTGACCTTGGCGTCCTTACTGGCAAGCGCAGCAGATCCTCCATGGGACTGGAAGTATTTGGTTGCGGACTCATTGCCACCGACCTTCATCACCCGAAGCTGCTCCCATTGCCACTCTGTATGAGAAAACTATCAGCCAGATTCCAATCGTAGAGTCGCGTTACTCAGAAAACCACCCCCTTAAGAAGAATACATACGGTCGAGGTTTGTGGATCGAACAAAGGAGATGTGAACACCAAGATTGCGGTGATTAGACGAGCAGTCAAGGCACAGGTAGATACCAAAAGGAACCGACGACCAGGTAGGGTTCTTGGAGTTGCAGTCGAAGCACACCTACTCGCAAAAGTGTCGTTAGTGAGCAATGGCCAAAATGCACCGAGAACGGCGGGACGGGGGCGCGGGGCGAGAACGCACCTTGTTTGCCGGCTTCAACTTCATCTTCTCAAAGAAATTTTGAGACTGCGCCTTGGAGGCACTCATGATGGATGAGTGGACTATGAAATCCGGGGGAAAATAAGGGTTGAGGTGTACTAGACAACAAAGGCCAAAATGTTGTATCGGGAACGGCGAACGTGGTCGGACTCGGGAGAGTCCCTGTTCCTGGTGTAATTTTGCAGTTCTGCGGTGACCTTGTCGGTGGGGCATGGGTCCCCTTAACTATGGGGAAATGACGCCACTTACATGTAGGTCGCAAATTTACAGTACGGTATTTTATATTCAATGCACGTGAGCTTGCCTATCGTTATCGCGGTCTCGTTCATCTCCGTCTTCAAGGTTGAAGTAGTCGACGATCGCACCCACGATGAACCCTCAATACGTGCGTGCTTTGCCTCGAGCCACCTCGAGTGCCGTGGCGACTCTGCATCCTTCTCCTCGAACCGCATTAAGCCGACTGTACGCCACACAAAGCAACCCAAGCGGCACGACCAAGCGACGGAGGAACATTACAGTCTTGTCCGATGATGGACGATACGAGTGGGGTGATTTGAGTGGACGAGAAAAGGTGTCGCGCGCTACACAGCAATCTTTCAACTTTGTGGTTGTGATCGCAGGTGTTGTGCTGACGGTAGGTTCCTGTGTACCCACCTGTGCGAGATCGAACATTAAAGGTCTAACTCTTCGATTTTTAGGGCGGTGTCTTCTATCTCTTATGGACCGATGTTATCTCGCCTAATAGTCGAACATGGCAATTCGAAAAAGCCGTCGACCGTGTCAAGGATGATGCGCGCTGCATACAACTCCTGGGTGACCGACGAGAGATCACAGCCTTTGGGGAGAATACCTCGAGCAAATGGGCAAGGCATCGGCCTATTGCGTGAGTTCATGGATAATATCTTTTGATATAGAAGATGGATTAACGGTATAATACAGTACAACCGTTGGGAAGGATCGTTTAGGCCGCGAGCATCTCCGGATGAACTTTCACGTATGTCAAGCAGTCTCCTCATTATGGTACAAAATACTTATTTTCTGTTTAGGTTGAGGGTCCTCTTAACTCAGGAGTTGTTCACGTGCACATGATCAAACCTTTGGATCAGAACGAGTGGGAATATCAACTACTTGCTCTGGATGTCAAGGGACACTCTCGTGTCGTCCTGGAGAAGGCTGCGGAGAAGCCCAGCGTGGCTAGCTCATTGAAATTGTTCGGCATTCAGTGGCGCTGAGTCACGCTTCAGTTGCATTTTATACCATGCCATTTCAATCTCCGGAAGTCTTACGGGAATTTCTACCATGTGACTGAGTTTTCATCTTGCATTGTTGGCTTTGAATCTCTGTGAGCTCTTGTCCCAGGCGTGGAACATGGGAGGGCTTCTAAGCCACGTATATACTGGCCTACTGCCGCCAGTCTATGACTGTTATTGTATTTTTAGGGGCGGTTAATGAACCACCCCGATTGATGTACCATATTTCCACTGTGTATCGAACTCAGTACAATGAAGCAAATATCCTTTTAACAATATTGTATCAATGTTTTGGTAAAGCTATTAACATGAAGAAACGTAAAGACATAAAGTAAAGTTTTATACCACCCGAGGACCCTCCAGGATGACCTTGGCCTCCTCGGAGCGCCACCAGCTCTTGCCTTCTACACCAGGGAACTCGAACTCGTCCATGCTGTCGGCCTTCATCTCCACGCTGTAACCAGGCTCCATAGGGGTGACATAGTAGCCATCCTTAACACTGGACGGGTGGACGAAGTGCTCGTGCAAATGGTCAACATACTCCAGAACACTCCGCTTTCCGGTAACAACAACATAGTCGATTGTGCTCAGGTGCTGTGTGTACTCGGGCAAACCGACACCACCAGAGTGGGGCACAATGGGGACACCGAACTTGCGAGCCAGCAGCAAAATAGCAAGAACCTCGTTCACACCACCAACACGGCAGGCATCAGGCTGCAGAACAGTCAAGGCACCAGCTTGCAGCAGCTGCTTGAAGATAACGCGGTTCTGGCACATCTCACCGGTAGCAACACCGACAGTTCCATGAGGGGTGTTCTCCAGCGCCTTCTTGATAGCAGCGTGGCCGAGGATATCATCGGGGGAGGTAGGCTCTTCAATGAACCAAGGCTTGAACTCAGCAAGCTCTTGCATCCAGGTGATAGCCTCCGGGACAGACCAGACCTAGTCGAGAACAGTCAGTACCAACGTCAAGCATCCATATATCAGGGGGTCAACAAACCTGGTTAGCATCAACCATAAGAATATTTCCCTTATCATATCCAATTGCCTCTCGGGCAATTCTCAACCGGCTCTTATCATCCTCCAGGTTGCCACCAACCTTCAACTTGAAATGCTTGTATCCCTGCTCAACACTCTCCTTCAACAACACCTTCAACTTCTCCTCAGAATAACCTAACCATCCGGCACTTGTTGTGTAGGCCGGAACAGCCTTGCTAGCCTCAGCCTCAGCAATGCGCTCCTGCTTACCACCCTCAACCTCCTTCAACATAGCCAGCGCCTCCTCAGGAGTAATAGCATCAGTGATGTATCGGAAGTCAATGCAGCGAACGAACTCCTCAGGAGTCATATCAGCAACAATACGCCAGACAGGCTTGCCGAGGGTCTTAGCCCAGAGATCCCAGAGGGCATTGACGACGGCACCGAGGGCAAGGTGGATAACACCCTTCTCAGGGCCGATCCAGCGAAGCTGGCTATCGGAGACTAGGTAGCGCCAAGTCTTGCCCCAGTCGGCGGTCAGCTCATCGAGGTCTTTGCCGATGACGAGAGGGGTAACGAGGGAGATGGCGGCGCAAACGATCTCATTGCCACGGCCAATTGTGAAGGTCTGAGTGGCGTGTTAGAACGCACGTAATATATTCGCAATTGCATTGATGGGACTTAGTGAATACGCACCATACCATGACCGCTGAAGTCAGAGTCTGTGTTGATGATGCAGTAGGCGGCGGAGTAGTCACCAGCGGCGTTCATGGCATCGGAGCCAGTCTTGTCGAGGGAGGTCTAATGCAAGCGTTAATGACTGCAACCGGCACCAACTGGATGTGTTAAGAGCAGACATACCGGAAACCTCACGTCCCGCGTGGTGAAGCCAGTAATCTTAACCATAGTGACGATTGAGCAACAATGCTAGAAACCAATTGTACACGTTCTTGCAATCGCAATTCGGAGCTCAAGCTAAAAATCCGGGAACGGTTTCAAAGATGTATGGTAACTCTTGGAAATGAAGGAAGATGGAGGGTATATAAGTGAGAATGCGACGAAATAAATCAAAAAAGAAACCGGAAGAAATTGCAACCCTGGGCCCGTATATAGTCTCTGTAACCCCCGCGCTGTTGGCACATTTGCCCTCGCCCCTCACTCCGCAGTCCCCGTTTCCGCAAATCCGGGCTTGTCATTGGAGGAGAATTGCCCGAGTCGGGGAATTGGGTTTCTCCACCAATCAGCGCTCCGGGAGGTCTATCGGAGTACCTCCGGCTATCTGGGGTTGACATTACCCTAATTAGCCTTTAGTGCAGGCGAACTATAGGAGTTCGTTGATTGAACGCCAAAAAGAGGTATTAGTTGAAGCGTAGTATTCGTAGCTCAGAGCCATATTATCGAGTACAGTACACACTCGGATACCTATAAACTCACACTACAGTAGGTCCTTGCAAGGTTGGAGGTATATAATGTGAAGGTCATATGTAGTGATACTAAACCGCCTTGTCCTGCATAGGATTGAATGGTTGGGGTATACACAGGCTCGATTGAACCATTATCTTGCATTGTAATTTGGACCAAGCGACTTCAAAGCATTTTGACTTTATTACAATTACCACGATACCCTAAACAAGGAATACTTGAAGAATATGCATATTTTTTGCACTTTGGAACTATGAAGCTTCAGGAAGTCGTATCAACATGTTGCAGCACCATATCACTATGCCGACAATCCACGTTTCTCGCTCTCTGAGAAGAAAATGAGCATCCGCCATAACTTGCGAACCAGCACCTCGGCTTCCTCGTCCAAAGCCTAGAAGTTTGAATTAGCACATCGTAAAGATAAAAGGATCACGTCAGAAACTTACCTCTGCAAGCTGATCCACCAGCTCCTGGGGAGAGCCCTTCTGGCGAATATGTCCCTCCACAACATCCACCAGCATTTGTTCCTGCACACCCAAGTATTCGACGATTTTCTTTTCGACAAAGGGCTTGATCTGATCGCTGAGAACAGCTTCGTCCACAAACTCCCACTTGACGGTCCAGTTCCACAGCCCCTCCTTGTCGGTGGGGATTTCTGCGGCCAGCTGGCGCGCCGCCTGTGCCCGCTCCTCGTCTGAAAGACCAGCAGCCTCGGCAGCGGTATCGAATTTGATCGGGATAAGAGGGCGGCGGGTGACCGTGGCAGGTTCCTCCTCGTCTTCCAGCAAGCCTTCGACTTCGGCCGCGGTCCGACGAGTGGTTGCGGCCTGGGCCTTTTGAGCCGCAGCTCCGAGAGACAACTTGAAGCGCTGAGGCTCGCGTGGCTCTTGTGGACGGGCCTCCAGCTCCTGAGCCTGGCGGGCGAGGAAATCGTCCGCAGCACCACGGGCCTGCTCCTGTTTCTTGGCGGACTGGGCACGCTCGCGCTCCTCAGCAGCACGATCAGCCTCGTCCAAGCTGGCTTCGCGAGCACGGTATACTGCACGGTTTCGGAGCCAAGCACCACGGTCAGCGTAGTACTCGGAGGTCTTACGGCTGGCCTCAACATCATCGTTCCACTCCTTCATCCGCTCTTCCATCTCATCGTGAGCAGCCTGCAGCTTGCCATCCTCCTCCTTGTCACGCTTCTTCTCACGCTCCAGAGCGGCTGTTCGGCTTCGCTCTCGGTTGAGCCACCGGCGCTCCTGGTCGAGGAATTGCTTCTCCTGTTCCGCATCACGCTTGGCCTGGCGACGGCGCTCAAGCTCCTCATCGCTCGCATCTGAGTCCTCATCTTCACGGCTTCCGTAGGCTAGGGATCCATTGGTACCACCATTGACAAATGACACGCCCTTCTGGTAATCCTTCGGGATCTGAACACCAAATCCTTTGGGGCCGGCCGGTGCGTTGGGCATACCACGCTCACGGGGGCCAAGAGGGATGTTGTTCGCACCACCAGCGGGGCCGCTGGGAGCCGAGGCAGGGGGAGATGCAAGGCGGTTGTAGCGCGAACCAGAATTGCGATTACGCTCCATAGTCTCAATCTCTTCCTCGCGCTTCAGTCGCTCAATATCACGGCGGTTACTCCGTTCGCGGAATGCAGCAATTTCCTTGGCCACATTTGCGCGCATCTCCGGGGGGATATCGGCCAATTCATCCTCAATAGTGATAGGAATAGTGACAACCTCTCCGTCTTTTGGAGTATCGCCATCTTGCATCTCAATATCACCTTCCCTGTCAACTGCAGAGGCATCTTCTTTCTGGGTGGGGTTTGCAGGGTGAAACAGGCTTTTCAGAACATTCTTCAGTTCACCACGGGCAGCCTCAAAGCGTGCGTTGATCTCTTCGGGGTCTCGTTCGCCTCGGCTGTCCTTGAACTGCTCCAAGTATTTGGTTGTGCTCTCATCCACCACAACCTATAGATAGTCAGTAATGCAAAATTACATAGTAGGGAACGATGTTCTTACAAGAAGAGTGCTTTTCTCAATTTCTTGCTCTTCTTCGCCCTCAGCGCGAGGCACTTGTCGCTTAATAGGAACCTCAATGTCCTGGAGTACCTCAACTGCTGTCTCCAGACTCTCCGGGTCATCAAACTCAGCAAAACCAAACCGACAAGGCTTCTCATCGGCATCTGTCGCCCGAATCCATCGTCGCAAGCGGCCCGCCGATTGCAGAATGCGCTCAATGCCATCATCACCACCGGCGCCCTCCGTGATTCCACCGACAAAAAGTGTTCTCACGATCTCATCCCGGGTAGGCGGCTGGGGCATCATCGTATCGCGGCCGTGGTGGCGCTGTCCTTCGCTAGAAGAACCGAGACCAGCCCGACGCCCAGGGCCCTCTGGTCCACGCTCGCGGCCCATTTCTGGCCCGGTAGGCTTCGCCGGACCGGAAGTGCCCAGGCGAATCACTGGGGCGGAGAAGTTGATGTTGGGCATATTTGGTGGCGGTTGAAAGTTGGCCGGGAATCCTCCACGGCCAGGTTGCTGGGCGTTCGTCTGTTGCATGGCCGCAGGAGGGGCTGTACCGGGTGCTGCCATCCCTGGAGGAGGAGCTGGAAATTATTAGCGATGCTGCTAGGCTTGGAGGGGATCACCGAAGACTGACCCATGCCCGGGGGTGCGCCAGGCGCACCGGGGTATGCACCATAGTCCTGAGGATGGCCGTAAGCACCTGGAGCTGGAGTTCAAGTCAGTATTTGCGGCGCGTAGGAACTTCAGCATTATCGTTGATTCGCGACTGCTGATTGATAGAGTACTTACGTTGGTAAGGATTGTACATGGTCGAGGTGCGCACGTTAGCGCCGAGGAGATTCGGAATAAGAAATCGATCAAAAAATGAGCTGCAGCTCCAGGCGACGTTACTGCTAATAGAGCTTAAACTGGAGGAAAGAAAGTTGCGGTTTCTATGTGGGTCCGTGCGCTGATCTTGGCGGACGCAGTCCTACAGCTCTTGGAAACAATTTTAGTGAACGCTTTAATTGCTTGTTATGAATTTGTGAAAGTTGAATTTTGTTTTCTTCAGACAAGTCATATTGAGATCTTTGGACAGCTGTACCCGTATTTGAGGATATAGAAGTGTTGATAATAGCCCCGGAGGTAGAGCCTTAGAGTGACTGACGGATATATACTTTGGACAGCACGTTCAACGAAGATAGAATTCCATCATAACCCAGCCTTACCCACATTTAGCTGTTATAAAACCATACGGATACATGCGGGAGAATATCATGGAAGTCGGGATGGCCTCGGACAATAAACACCCGGAACCCATAATTCTCACCGGCCGGTTAAATTCCCTGAAACACCATGTATCCCGAGGTCATAGCTGTGAAGAATTCATTAGGTCACCTGGACAAATTCAACATAGTTCATACTCCAGACTTTACGGAACAGAATGCAGTGTCAATGGTGGTTGCATATTCTACTTGCAGATCCGGATACTTCTGCATGTACCCATCAATGGTAGATACATGTAGCTCAACATAATCTATAGCAAAATAAAAAGTAACTCATGAATTAATGAAGTCGGTATCAGGCACTGATGTAATATATGTCAACGTCTACAAAAGAACGGCAATTGAACCGGAATTCTGATTAGAAAACAAACCCGCTCCAGACCAGGACCGAATGCGGCAATGATGATGCTTGCCCCACGGCGCCCCTCCACCGGACCCCAGCGCGCCGGCCTCAACTCTTTTCCTTTGCTATATCTTGATCCGCGCTTCCCTTAATTAATCGTTTTGTAATACCCCATTTCCCATATTTTCGTCCCATCTTGTAAGTCTCCTGGGTATTCACTGGGTTGAATCCCTCTTCGTCTCATTCCCGATTGCCCCGCACTAACCTGGGATCCAAATAGCGTCATCGCCGTTCATCATGCCTGGTTTTTCGCAGGCCTCAGATCTCAATGCCTGGAAGGAGCTCCAGGAGCACCACAGCACCCTGGGGCGCAACATTGTCTTGAAGGAATACTTCGAGAAGGACCCCCAGCGCTTCCAGAAGTTCAGCCACACTTTTGCCAATACCGTGGACAACTCGGGCATTCTGTTCGATTTCTCCAAGAACTTCCTCACTGAGGAGACCCTCTCCTTGCTGGTGAAGCTCGCCAAGGAGGCTGGCGTCGAGAAGCTGCGCGATGAAATGTTCGCCGGTGAGCACATTAACTTCACCGAGGACCGTGCTGTCTACCATGCTGCTCTGCGCAACACCTCCAACGAGCCCATGCAGGTCGATGGCAAGAGCGTTGTTGAGGAGGTCAACAGCGTGCTTGAGCACATGAAGGAGTTCTCGGAGCAGGTCCGCAGTGGTGAGTGGAAGGGTTACACTGGCAAGAAGATCAACACTATCATCAACATTGGTATCGGTGGCTCGGATCTGTAAGTTTCTGTCGCTTTTTCCATACTCAAATCGAATAGCAGCTGATGCTTTCTCCCTTTAGTGGCCCCGTCATGGTTACCGAGGCTCTCAAGCCTTACGGCCAGCCCGACATGAAGCTGCACTTCGTCTCCAACATTGATGGCACTCACATCGCTGAGGCCCTCAAGGACTCTGACCCCGAGACCTCTCTCTTCCTGATCGCTTCCAAGACCTTCACCACCGCCGAGACCTGCACAAACGCCAACTCTGCCAAGACTTGGTTCCTCGAGTCGGCCAAGGATGAGGCACACATCGCTAAGCACTTCGTTGCTCTCTCGACCAACGAGTCTGAGGTGACCAAGTTCGGCATTGACAGCAAGAACATGTTCGGCTTCGCCTCGTGGGTTGGTGGCCGTTACTCCGTGTGGAGCGCCATCGGTCTTTCCGTGGCTCTGTACATCGGATATGAGAACTTCCACCAGTTCTTGGCTGGTGCCCACGCCATGGACAAGCACTTCCGCGAGACTCCCCTCGAGAAGAACATCCCCGCCATTGGTGGTCTGCTGAGTGTTTGGTACAGCGACTTCTTCGGTGCCCAGACTCACCTGGTTGCTCCCTTCGACCAGTACCTGCACCGCTTCCCCGCCTACCTGCAGCAGCTGTCCATGGAGAGCAACGGTAAGGCTATCACCCGCAGTGGTGAGTATGTCAAGTATACTACAGGCCCCATTCTGTTCGGTGAGCCCGCCACCAATGCCCAGCACAGCTTCTTCCAGCTGCTACACCAGGGTACCAAGCTCATCCCCGCCGACTTCTTGATGGCGGCTGAGTCTCACAACCCCGTTGAGAACGGCAAGCACCAGCGCATGCTTGCTTCCAACTTCCTTGCCCAGTCCGAGGCCCTGATGGTCGGTAAGACCCCCGATCAGGTCCGCGCCGAGGGTGCTCCCGAGCACTTGGTCTCCCACAAGACCTTCCTGGGTAACCGTCCCACCACCTCCATCCTGGCCCAGAAGATCACTCCCTCCACCCTGGGTGCTTTGATCACCTACTATGAGCACGTCACCTTCGTCGAGGGTGCTGTGTGGAACATCAACTCCTTTGACCAGTGGGGTGTCGAGCTTGGCAAGGTCCTGGCCAAGAACATCCAGAAGGAGCTGGAGTCCGAGGGTGCCAGTGGCTCACACGATGCCTCTACCAGCGGACTGCTTGCTGCTTTCAAGGAGAAGGCCAAGCTGGCGTAGATATTATGTCGCGAGTAACGACCGTGGTGGATAAGACGGCTATGATGAGCAATGATAACCTTTGACCTGTTAATTTATTTTCAAAATATGGATATTTCACACCTTTTTCTTCCCGTTAGTAAATGCAATGCAGAATCAATTTGAAGATTGTAAATAGATAAAGTTGGCAAATGGGGGTTCAAGACCCTCAGGGGTGGATCAACTCCGATCTAGATAGCGTTGATATGGACAGGTTGGCTGGCTCCGCAATTTGTGGCTGAACATCTCCGTGTCTCCTCCGCGCCGACTCCCCATTCCACCAACTCGCCGCTGTGGGGGTGACTACTACCACAGTCATGAAAATGAACGACATGTCTCCTCTACGCTCATTGACCAGGTTCCCAGCCACGGTGGCACTCTCCCTTGCGACAGCACTGTGGCCTACAGCAGCGGTGGCGGGGACCAGCAATGGCGGGGATGGATACAGAATTGGCGACGAAGTCCCCGTGTCCTGTCTTAATCGAACACTGTATGTGATCTTCCTTCCAGTCTTGGAATCGCGAGCGAATGCTAATCCGATGTGTCAACAGGGAAGGAGAACATGTATGCGCCTAACCCTGAACAAACCAATTCCATCCCAACTAACCACAAACAAAACACCAGATCACAGATGGCCTAGGCAAACTCCAATACATCCCCTTCGTAACCTGCAACGAAACCTCCCGCCCACTATCCCTCCGCTATGGCATCTCCGAAACAATCACCTGCACCATCCCCGAGCTCTCAGACACGCTCTACCACCTCTTCGAATTCTACGTGCACTCCGATGTCCCAATGACCTGTCGCGTACCTACATCCCCCCTCTCCTCAACCCCAAACACACCCGAAGACTCAGACCCAGAATCCAGCGATAAGGACCCTTTCATCGCGCTGAGCGAGAACGGTCCCCCGTTTACTCCCCTCACCATCGCGTTGCAGGGCACACTCCAGCTCAGCCACCTACACATCTGGTCTGATATGAACATGCTCATGCACGATATTCCCTCCGACGCAGCAGCGCAACCGCAGCAGGGTATCTCCAAGGGAACCCAAAGCGGACAACCAGGCTACGTTATCGCCGGAACGGCATACTCGACGCCCGAGTTCGAGGTTGCGGTTAAGAACATCGAGCTCGAGGATGATGAGAAAGCAGTTGCCGTTGCACAAGCCGCGCGCGAGCCCTGGACACTGGGACACGGCACGAAAGTGGTTCGCGGCGAGCCGTTCACGTTTTCGTTCCATGTTGCGTGGTTAGAGGGTGGTGCTGGGATTGGATGGCCAGAGCGATCTAAGACGGATTCATTCTTGGGTCTTGGCCCTGCTACTGCTTCGCAGAGCTCGGGATCTGGCTCGTTCTTCTCTCGCATGTTTTTCTTTATCATGGCTGCTTCCCTTGGCGCTTTGGTTGCACTTTATTGGGAGCGGAATGGGCAGAGCTTCCGAGGAAAAGCTGGGTGGCGGGGTGATGGCATTCTGGGTGCGCCGTCTACTCGTGGTGCGGGCTCTAATGTGACATTCGGAAATGGTGGACGCATTAATGGATATGGGGGATACTCTGCTTCTGCGACTGTTGGCGCGAATGGAAATGGTGCTGGGTATGGAGGGTATGGAGGATTCCCTACTGGCAAGAGGGATTGATTCAAGATTGACGGACTGTGAACATTAGTATAAGTACCTATAGACTCGTGTATAGTGTGTATTGAAAATGAGGGAAGATTGTTGTAAAACTACCAACAAGACTGGTTATGATGAATATCAATGCATTCCATGTCTAATGCAAACAAAATAGATAAACAGATAGTTATACATGTTAAAACAAAACGGGGGGAGCACAATAAATTCCCCAATTTTAGCCTGATACCACGCTAGGTCAAGTCAAGCCTATGCTCAGTCCAATCCAATCCAGTCTCAGTATATACAAGATACAGACCGAACTTCCAACAAAACCCAAGAAGCAAGAACCAAGATGAAACTCTTACCAACCCTGAGCCTGCATCCTCTGAATCTTCTTAACGGTCTCATTAAACGAAAACTTAAACAGCTTCCGCCATCTTGACCGTCTCAACTCCTTGCGCTTCATACCCTTCCGCACATGGAATCTCTGTGCATTAGCCTGCTGCTTAATCTGGTTGGCATTGCAAGTGACCTCCAACATGCGAATAGCAGCACCAAGATCCACGCCCCTCTCCGGCTCAACGTGCACCTGCCGACCAAGAGTAGGTCCAAGCTTCAGCTCGGTCTTCCGGCTTGCCAGCTGTCCGGCGACGCCGTCGCGCGAAGCGGACGGGAACATGGTACCGGAGATGGCATCGGCGATGCGGCTGCTGCGGGTTGGGGCACGCTGTGATCCGGAGCGGTTACCAAGCTCGAGCTTGTTGAGGATATCGTCGAAGTCTGAGGCGGCGGACTTGGTTGTTTCTTCCGCCTGGATCCCGGTCTCCGTGGGTGTGGTTGTGGTTGCTTGTGCGGATGGGGACGAATCCTTAGTTTGTGTGGGAGGCTTGATTGGTTCTTGTGGGGAGGAGCTTGAGGAGTTGTAGCGGAGTGTGGTGAGGATGTTGGATTGCTGGATGCGAGGCGTGTTGAGGAGCCATGGGGTTGGTCGGGCACGGAGGCCGCGGGCCAGGGCGCGGAATTCCATTGTGGATTACAGAGCACCTGATTGAACGGTTGGTTCAATTGACAGGTTTGGCTGGTGCTCTTGGTGGGAGGGAGTGGAGGGTGAATGACTGGGTGAGGTCGCGACAACAATTGGCGGAGTTCAAAAGAAAATCCGACCAAATTCGAGGTCACGTGAAGCGCCGCATAACCAATCCGTGTCGGCGAGACTACTTCAGCTACGTTCTTTATTTGGCTTTCAAATTTTATTGAAGGGTACAGGCAGATCCTTGTTCATACTGAACTCAGTGTTAAATTCCGAGATGTCTTCTCTCAACATTGCGACTCTGCCGCGCATTAATCGTGATGCCCTAGCCGCTCAGCTTAAAGCCGGCACCACCCCCGCCAAGCTAGCAATCATCGACGTCCGTGATTCAGGTATGACCATCTTGAATGATCAGGTACACTGCGAATCAAATGTTAACTAACCTAGATCACGTTGGTGGACACATTCGCTCTTCAACCTGGGTTCCCAGCTCCACTCTTGATGTCCGCATGCCGGAGCTCGTGCGAACTCTCAAGGATACCGAGAAGGTTATCTTCCACTGCGCACTCAGCCAGCAGCGTGGCCCCTCTGCTGCTCTTCGCTACGCCCGTGAGCGTGAAAGTGCCCTTGGTGCTGAAGAGAGCCGGAAACAGCTGATTTGTGTCCTCGAGGGTGGCTTTGTGGAATGGCAGGACAAGTATGGCAAGGATGAAACCCTGACAGAGTCCTATGTGGAAGATATCTGGCAGGAGTACTAGATCCATTACTGCTTGGAATCTGTTCATGGATCTATGCTGGCATGCGAATATACACAAAGGGATGTTTGTGGGCGATGCTTCTGTGGCGTCGCGTTTTATGAGATATGACTAGATGAGAGATACCACCGGGACTTAAAGGCGGTACATACATATTAAATCTACTTAATGTTTCTGCAAAGCTTTGCTTTTCATGAATGGAAGGTACAGGTGTGTATTTGGTACAATGATTGGTATCTGTTCCACAGAACCAGCCTTGGAGTGGACCAATCGTTCACTATTGTACAAATAATACTTTTACATATCTAATCAGGCGTCTACATCTGAAGACCACCTCCGAATCCGACAGGACGTCTCTTGCCGTCATTCTCTGGCACAATGGCCATGACCTTGTAAAGCTGACCCATAGAGGCAATGTCCTTTCCAACCAAGCGCTTCCATCCAGTCTCCAGAATCTTCTTGTGCTCATCATCTCCAGATTTGCGAATGAGCTGCTCCATGCGCTCTGTGATGCCCATTGCATTCAGGAAATCACCCTGCTCAATAGGGCCATGAACCTCGACACCATCGCTACCCTCAATGGCAGCTTCAGCTAGCGCAGTGAAATCGACATCGGCACTCACATCCACCTGACCGGGGAACGATAGTGCAGGCACTATTTTATGATCCCGAATACCACGGAGCGAGTTGATGGGAATTGTCGACATGCTTCCGTAATCCATGATCAAAGCTGCGCCGGAAGGTGTCTTCTTCTGTGGTGCGCTGGGATTGACCTTCTGCTTCGTTGCGGACGGTGTAGAAGCGGCATCCCCGCCGATACGGCGAGCGAAATCAGCAGCATATATTCTGCTTTCAGGACTAACTTCAATAGTCGAGCCGGGCTGTGACTTGAGTGCGCGGTAGCGTTCAGAGATCTCGGGGATCACCAGAGATGTTGGCGTGGAGGCCTTTGCTTTGGTTAATTGGAACTCGGGCTCCCCTTCAATGTTATCTTCGACGGCCTTGGGGTTCAAGGTAACAAGCAACTCGCGCCATTGAGGGGTGTTCTTAACCTTGAGAGGTTGCTGAAGTGTCTGAGGCCCGGTAGGAGTCATAATTTCTTTTTGTTCCGGGAGTTCGTTCTCGGGAGAAGGAGGGACCGACTCAAATGCATGGATTGGGAGGGCGTCAAAGAACTCGTGGGCAAAAATGAACGGTGTTTTGCCTTCCTCTGTAGAGAAACATCTCGTCAGTACTGTGAATTGTCTGAATTTCAATGCTTAACGTACCATGTGGTAGGAGACGGATATCTTCCACCCAGATAACGGGCACATCGAAGTATTTGCATGTGCTCCGGTGTCCAATGTCCGTCTCTTCCATGGCAGCTTCACCACAAAGAAGCTGCTTCTGTACTTCTCGTAGAGTGTGACTCGCCTCCACCAAATAGATGGCTTCGACGCTAGAAGTAAAGCTCTTGAAATTCCGAAATGTCTACTCCAGTTTAGTCAACTCGTAGTACAAACCGTTATCGCAATCACTCACCCGCAGCATATCATCCATTAAAGTTCCCTTTCCAGGCCCAACCTCCATCAATTGAACGCCACTCTTTTTCCGGCCTTGCGACATCCATTCAGCAATTGTCCAAATGCCTACCAATTCACCAAAAACCTGGGAGATTTCTGGAGATGTGACAAAGTCACCATGCTTTCCGAAAACAGCTCCAGTCTCGGGTTTTGAAGTGTAATATCCGCCTTCTGGGGAAGTCAAGACCTGGCGCATGAATGCTGCGATTGGAATTGGACCCGTAACCTGGTGTTTATCAAGGTCGTTAGGGACGGACATGGCTATGCGAGACTCGGGGTAGACACACCTTCATCGCATGGGCCAGCGTGCGGGCCAGAGGCGTCGACCATTCCCTCGTCTCAAATGTGGAGTTCCATCGTCGCGAACTTGTAGAAAATATGGGGTTGCGCGATCTCCGAAGCGCTTGCGACGCTGCGCGCCGAGCTGTATACATGTTGTGGTGCGATTCAGCAAGTAGTCAAGTTCAATTGGTGCGGGGTATATCAAGAGGGCTTGGACCAAAAGATTTTATGGATTAGACCAGAACTTGACGGAACCAAGCGTCGACTCCAGCTTCCTGGAATTTTTGTTTCTCTCCGATCTTGTCGTGCCGACTCCGCGGAAGCTGTCACATGATGTTATCTTATCGATAAGCGGTGTATACAAGGCATGCAGGCAAGTTGAACAAATTCTTTGTAGGATGATCAGTTGATTAATAAGGAGAATTTACTCTGAGTGTGTGGGATACCTACCAAGAATAGATCAAGCAGTAAGTAGCATGGCAAATTTTCCAGATAATTGCATTAGAGTACAAAGCAAAGAAGTAATGTGATTGTTGAAGGTGGAGGCTGCCGAGGATCGGCTCCCGGAGTATAGCCTGAGTTAGTCCGGGTGCCGCCGCGGGGGAACAGCTGAAAATCCACTACACCCATAGGTTGGCCTTGCAAATGGCTTGGTTCAAAGACACTTCAAGGAAGCCTATAGACTTTCATATAAAGATTGTATGCAGGGAACAAGCAGGGCTTGTCTCTGGAGGCGCTGACAGCAATGCCATTCGCCAAGAGGAATTGCTGGACTTGTAAAGGTGATTCCGTTGGCTCATAACGACCGAGCAAAACTCCAATTGACACTGACTCTTCATTCCATATAGATCGAAAACTTGGTTGCGATCGAACTCTGCCATGGTGTAATAATTGCCGCAGAACCGAACGATCCTGCGAAAGTTACGGATTGCGCTTAAAATGGACAAAGCTGCAGGTTGGCCGCGTTCCCGTCAAGTCTCAAACCGCGTCATATAATTTCCTTAATATGTCGGTGGATGATATTGTCTTTCTCAACGCTGTCTCGGGGGTGGCTCTGCCACCACCCTCGAGGCAGATCCACCATTTGGAATTGACGGGTGGAGAACCCGATCGCGTGTTGCTTACGCATTGTAAGTAATATGTCCCTTGTTTGAGCATTTCACCTCCTCTGGCTTCGCTCCGTACAAGTGTAAATTTAGAAAATAAGGGAGACCAAAAGAAGCTTATTGTGTTTGTTAGATGAGGCCGTTCTGTCGCGCATGATTACGACCGTGGACGATGATACTAATGGGTTTCGAAACATCTTATTGCCAATGATCCTGACCGATATGACCCATGTAGCCGGCAAGGCTCTGTTGCATGCTGTTCTTGCTCTGTCTGCTTTTTATCTGGGGCACTTGGGACAAGCGTTGGATCAGAAAGTCAAGGCAATCAAACATTTATCGCAATCTTGCAAAGCCTTGGATGCTGACTCTTCAAGCCGAATGATTCAACTTGCCGCATGTATGCTGCTTTGTGTCTATGAAGTATACCACCCGTATTCTCCAAAATCCCACAGGAGACAAAATGCTAATATCCTGGCCCACAGGTTTTTGATGCCTCGGAAGGAAACTGGAGAGTACACTTGATGGGTGCCAAGTCCCTATTACTGGAACTATCTCCGTCCAACCCTGCTTATCCTGCATCGCAGAATAGCTCTTTTCTAGAAAGCTGGGTATACTACCATGATACAATGGCTGGATTCAGTAACCCTTTACTGTGTCAGGATGACACGAGCTGCAGTCAAGCATTAATTCCACGGGTACATAATGAAGGCCGTACAGCTGTATGTCAACCCATACCCGCTACATTTCTCGAAATTGCTGCCCTAACCACGTTTAATGTAGATTGTGGGCTTGCTCGGTTGCTCCTTGGAATTAATGGATATTATCTCCGCAGTCAACAGTCTTGCCTGCCATCAATTAACGGCTAATGAATCACCTGATTCTTATATCCTCCAGGATTTGTTTCACCGCTTGGAGACCATTCAGCAGAAGCTTATCTCTCCACAGCTGTGGATAACGAGCCAAAAACTTGTACCGCAGACAGCAGAACTATATCGTCTCGGAGCCCTGCTTTACATCCACATTCAATTTCTCTGGACCGGTGGAGCATCGCTGGAACTGCATGCTTTGGTGCAAAGAAGTTTAGCTTTGATCGCGGACATGTCCAATTGTACGTCGCCTTGGCCTGTCTTCTTAATTGCTCTCGCCAGCAGTCGAGACGAAACGCAGAAAGCGGCCATATTAGAAACAATTCACCGGATGGAGCAACGGCGGAGGATTGATAATATTACTTATATGCGACGAATGGTGGAGCAATACTGGAAGCAGACTGAGCTCCATCCCGATCGTCCACTAGCTGATTGGCGGTCCATGATCCTGGAGATTTCTTTTTTGCCGTCTTTTATCTAAACGAATTACGTGGAGATAAAGACCCGTGTTGGTTACAGAGGGATCCTTTCAAGTGTTTAACCGGACATGCTTCACAATGTGAATTAGCTTTGACAACTCAACAAGCCATCTGACAGGTGTACAATATTGTGGATACAGATTCTTGACTTCGTCTCAGATCCTGTGAATAGTTAACTGGATAATCATAATGTTAATACTTAAAAACTGTGTGGAAGCCATGGAGTTAACCGTAGACTCTGACATTAGACTGGTGTCAATCATGACCAATTAACTTCTATCAGTAAACTTCGGGGACTTTTGCTGACTAGGGGCTCGAGACTCCGACCTCGGGAGGCAGTATTATATAGATTGTACGGAGGAGAAAAGCATGGGCCGCTTGGCTTTGCTCTACGGATGACGGATTACGAACATAATTGTTTAGAATAGGCTATGTGTACTACAAATATTGGAAGCGGCCCGCAAGCTTACGAATAATTTGCATTTTTCCATTAAAAGATTGCTCTTTAAGATATCACTCTGATTTGTGGGCCCGCTAGACTCCCGAGCTAGACCAAGATCGGCAAGCTATGTGGGGAACCGCTGTGAAAGGGAAAACATTTGCGATCAAGATAAGCATTTCGGCCCCTTGAGCTACGGGTAAATTACGCCGTATATTTCCGTTACAACCCAAAAACTGTACGGTAACCTTTCTCCTCGTACTATGGGACCCCGAGGGGGATTGCCCCGGCGCACCCCGTACCAAACTGTCAAACCAATTTGTATATGCCGCCATACCACATGCACAATAACATAGAGAAAAAGGATAAAGTTTGATACGTACTGAGCAAGGAAGGGCCTTCCTAAACAGGTATGCCTTTGCGAGGCCGTAGGAGATAAATAGCACTGGGACGCCTGTACAACAACTCAAGGCATATCACCAAAGCTCCTTTTGCCTTTCTGCGCCATTGGACTCTAGTTAATCTCGAAATATTAGGAGTTCAACACCTCACAGCCTTGGAGAATGACTAAAGTTCGTGTGGGGGCTGTCCAAGCTGAACCCTCCTGGGTAGATCTGGCTGGCAGCGTTGCAAAGACTATTGCATTGATTCAGGAAGCTGGAGCGAAGGGCATCAATGTCCTCGGTTTTCCTGAAGTGTGGATTCCCGGGTATCTGTGGTAAGAAACTGCACCCACAGCTAGCAAAACACTAGAGGATCATTAATTGACACAGTCGCCCCACTTGCGGTAGGACAATGTGGACGGGCAGTGTTGTGGACAATATGGAGCTCATGCACCAGTACATGGCTAATTCACTAGCCCGCAACTCCGCAGAAATGGATGCAATTCGTCAGGCTGTGAGAGACGCGGGTATTTTTATTGTGCTCGGCTACAGCGAACGCGACGGTGGAAGTTTATACATGGCCCAGTCTTTCATCGACCCCGCCGGTGAAATTGTTCATCACCGACGTAAAATTAAACCCACTCATGTCGAACGGTCTATATGGGGCGAAGGCCAGGCGGAGTCCCTCCACACTGTGGTGGATTCTCCATTCGGTCGCATTGGAGGCCTGAACTGTTGGGAACATCTGCAGCCACTCCTGCGGTTCTATGAGTACTCCCAGGGAGTTCAGATCCATATTGCAAGCTGGCCAGCGGAGTTCCCCGAGCCGAAGGGGATGAAATGGCCTTTCCATGAGACGGACGTGGCCAGCCGAAATGCTAGCCAATTCTTCGCTATTGAGGGCCAGGCGTTTGTGCTGGTCTGCACGCAGGTGGTCAAGAAAGAAAGTCTTCAGAAACAAAATCTGATAGAAGGAGGAATTATTCAAACGGTATTTACCCCTCTTAACTTTTCTCCAGGATTTCTTCAAAATTAGTTTCTACCATATCGTTTACACATCTTTCCGTTTTTGTGAAAGCTACTGATGACTTCTATGAACAGCCAAGTGGGGGTTTCTCTATGATTTTTGGGCCAGACGGAGCCGCTCTCGTAGAGGCACCTCCCGCCGGTGAAGAATGTATTCTGCAAGCCGATATTGACCTCCAAGATATCGACTATGCTAAGGCAATGATTGATACTGTTGGCCACTATTCTCGCCCAGACCTTCTGTCGTTGCAAGTAAACACTGAGGCAGCCAAGTGTGTGCGGATTACAGGGGAAAATAGCAAAGAGAAGAACTAGGAGCCACAATTGATCATGCAGGACTGTGAAGACCCATGTTATCTGATGTGATCTAACATGATGATTTGTTGAATCTCGAAGATTTTAAATAACTTATTCTAAACAATATCTTTTTAAACAATATCTAAACCAATTTTGATTGACCCAGCGCTGTAAATATGGAGAACCCATGGACTCATGCACGCGTGTGTCATCTTGAATGAAAACCAAAAAAAAAGAGACCAGGTATAGGTTCGCCTGCATGGGCTAAGAGACCATGGGGCAGGAGGCGTTCAAGTCGTCAAGAATAGCCATGGGCGTCGGTACCAGGTCTAGGAGAGCTTCATCAACCAACGACAGGACATCAGAAGCACAGACAAAGGAGAGACTTCATCCTGCACCTCCCTGGCCATACGCGTGAACAATACGGCTAGGCTTGCGACCATTATTGCGCAATTCACGCTCTACCTGCGCGTTCCTTGGTAATCGGGATCGGATCTATTAAGACTGAGAAGAAGACTAGCGTGATACGCGTCAACAGACCACCCGCAGGGGGGCAAGGACCTATGCAGGAGGCGGGATCTATTCATTTCCTCCTCGGCCGCCGGCTTCGTTCATCCCCGTACAATACATGTATTGTTACTGTATTTTATATGTTTCAGCCTCTAGGAGATCTTTCTACGTCTGTATTTTACTAATTTAGTTCTCAGCAAGACAAACCGCACTAATATGCAGTTGCATCCACTAGATAACTCTGTTGCCTATTAATATTGAATAATTAAATTGATTGAGACCGAGACTAGTCGGGCTTTGATCTTTCTAACGTCCTTTGCTGCTCTTTTATCACTGAAGGCGATTCCACCATATCCCCAAACAGTCGGAATCTCTTACATCATGAAGTCTGCCAATGCTCAAGTCCACGAAGATTTCAAGGAGTCTGGTATCCTGGACTCTGATACCGAGGGTACGCCCTTTAAAGAGGCGGTGGTGGGGGAAGCCCCAGATGGAGGACTCACTGCATGGTTACAAGTCTTATGCGGCCATTTGATTGTCTTCAATGTCTGGGGATACATCAATTCCTATGGCATTTTTGAGTCATACTATGTCACCACTTTGAACCGCAGCTCCTCGGACATTGCCTGGGTTGGTTCACTAGAGATCTTTTTCGTCTACTTCCTAGGAAGTTTCTCAGGCCGAGCCACGGATGCGGGCTATATCCGTGCCACTTTGGCCGCTGGCCTTTTCATGCAGTTACTAGGCGTCTTTATGACTTCGCTGGCCACCAGCTACTGGCAGTTACTACTCTCTCAGGGTGTTTGCCAGGGTATTGGAGATGGGCTGCTGTTCTGTCCCATCGTCGCTTTGATGTCCACCTATTTCACGAAGAAGCGCACCATAGCCATCTCTATCTCCGCCTGTGGTGCGGCCACCGGTGGGCTGGTATTTCCGGCCATCGCACAGACTCTTCTACACCGCGTTGGCTTTGCCTGGACTGTACGCGTGATGGGTTTTGTGCTCCTATTTAATGCAGGTGTTATCCTGCTCTGTGTGCGGCAGCGCTTGCCTCCGCGTAAATCGGGCCCTTTGATCGAGCTTAAGGCATTCACCGATCTCTCTTATACCTTCTTCGCTATGGGGACTTTCTTCTGCTTCTGGGCCGTTTACTATGCCTATGACTATGTTAGTCTATTCCTATATTGATGTCCTTCCCCAATTGTCCATAATCCATAATGACTAACCAACATATTCAGGTTCGCTCGTTTGGACAGGACATCATTGGTGTATCCGATTACACCTCTTTCTCTGTCCTGATGATCATGAACGGGCTGGGTTTGCCTGGCCGTCTGATCCCGGCATTCCTCTCGGATCGTTACACCGGCCCTGTGAATATGTTCATTCCAGTGAGCGGGTTTGCGGCTGTCTTACTGTATTGCTGGATTGCTATCAACTCTTATGGCGGCCTTATCGCATTTGTTATTGTTTACGGCTTCTTTGGTGGCGGTGTGCAGAGTCTCTTCCCATCAGCCCTGGCAAGCTTGACGGATGAACCGAGCAAAGCCGGAGTTCGTATTGGAATGATCTTCTCCATTGTCAGTATTGCATCTTTGACGGGACCTCCGATTGCAGGAGCTCTGGTCGATATACATGGTGGTCGGTATCTATATGCGCAGCTTTTCGGTGGCACCTCCATGGTGCTAGGTTGTCTCCTGCTCATTGTGGCACGATATTGCAAGTGCGGCATGAATCTCTATCAGCGTATGTAGTGAGACATGAATGAATAATAAAGGAACCAAGACTGAGGTTAAGAGTTCGAGCGGAGAACGGGGGATACAAGTACGACATTATGATTGTCTGACTTTAGCTTATTCAAGAAGCTGATAAATATTATACTACAATAGATCATATAGGGAGATTTGCTTTTGCGTGGCTTGGTTTTTTTGTGGTGAATTAATTTGGAAATATTGAAAATGAAAGCCTTGTTGCATGAAACGGTGGGTCAGAAGAGATCTTTTTTTGGAAAATTCCCGCAGTCGAAAGGCAATATCCAGTGCTTCTTTAGGATTATGGATTGAGTACGGCAAGTACAGAGTTAATGAAGACAGAAAACCTTGACCCCGGAAGAGACCGACCGGGCGATCTGGCTGGTGAACCTTTTTCAGGGCAACCTAGTGAGAGAATAAAATAACATAAGATGAGTCTTAGAGCAAACCCAACTCCTCGCCTGAAGTGACATTGTTTGGTACCGCCCAAGTGTTAGAGCTATCAAAGTTCATGAATGCTGGGACGGGGCTACCAACGTTGAACCAATTTCCCATATACGAAGAGTCGGGTAGAAAGTCGATTGCCACGATGTTGGGAGCATCAAGTTGACTGTCGCCGTCCGACCAAGCTTCCGAACTATATTGATGGCAACGCAGGTCGTCGTTGCCGGTCTCACAATTATGGTTATTGGTTCCATTCCAAATCCCTGCAGGCGGCTCGGTGATATTTGGATGGCTCGAGGGACTTGGATATGCGGTGGCGACCTGAGAAACGGCTTCACTCTCTGGGGTTGAGCTTCGGCATCCCAATAGTTGGGGTTTATTCCAATTTGGCTTAGTCGAAGGCAACTCAGGTACTAAGGAGGGAACAGCAATGTCGCTTTTCCTCAAGACTGCCTCAAGGAAATGAATAGCGAAGTCGGCTGAGCTGTATACGCTCTTTAGTTGATGTAAGACATGAATGCACTGATAGAAGCGGCCAACGCTGATATTGCGAATCTCCTCTTCGTGAGAACGCATATCCCCTAGGTGAGATAAGGCAGCTGACAGGAATGCTGGAACGCTGCTAGTTGATAAATACTGCAGCTGGCTGTCCATCTGCATATCGAAGGCTAGCTTTGTCAAGGCGATAGCAGCATTTGTGACTTTCTCTCTTGATGACTTCTTTTGGGCGTTACTATCCGTGGTCTCAGACTCTGCATAGAACACCTGTGGCTTATGCAAAATATTGACCGCTGCAAGATAGTTCATACGTAGTATGGCTTGGTGCAGGCGAATTATTCGGTCTGTCTCATTCTTATCTCCTGTCTGTCGAGTGCCAGTGGTGTATTTGGACCGGGCATCTTGATTATTGACAAACTCTTTCAGCTCCAGGTCACATTTGGTCACATCATCCGCGGACGACTTCGACCGCGTTGGAACGACGATGATTCTCAGCATATATTCGGCGATCATGGGTTGGTCGCTCACAACTGAGTATTGTGAGTGGAGAATGTGACCTAAACAAACCGCAAGCTTGCTTAGCTCGATGCACATAACTGCCATAGTAGAGCGTGCCGATGGGTCTGACAAGAGCATTCCTGATTTGCCAAGGAACTTGATCACGGTATGTGAGGGCTCATTTAGGTCAAAGTCGTTTAACGTAAGCTGCGGCACGTTATACCCCTTATCACGAATTCTAGAGGGCCGGCGAATCCCCATCGCCAGCAGCCGGTCTTGAATGATGCATGACCACCATATCCTCCGCCTGAGCCGCTTTTTCTTGATTGTTGTTCTACAAAGTTCTGTTTCGCGGTGGATGCCAACTACCTGGGCAAGACTGAATGCAATACCAGTCCAATACCAGGAGTCTTTACCATCGCTAGGGCAGTCGTACCAATATGTCATGAGTAGTACAGCCTGTAGGAGTGGCAAGTGCTCTTGCTCAAAATCGAGTGCGTAGAGCAATCGAACACGGCTAAAGAAGACTTTTCGAGCGGCCTTTCTGCTACTGTAGCCTCGTGACTGTAGCAACTTGGCGTCGACAAATCCAACGCTGGCAAACATGATAGCCTGGAATAATATCAGACTCACAGAACCGCGTTCACTGCCCTGTATTATGGACAAGAGGAAGTCCTCAAGGTCAACAGTAGGCATGAAAGGATATACAATGGTGACATAGGCCCTCAAAATTTCATCCCGTAACGCATTGTCAGGGATAGTGAGGGCATCTTTGTCCGCAAGATAGCTGATATCTCGATCTGTGATATGACGTGGCATGGGCTTGATGTAGGGGGGAAGATATATGCCCGAGGCATTGACCTTGGGGAGTACCTGACAATGAACTGACGTCGGTGATTGGGTCAAAGGGGGGTTATCCTCTTTTGATGAGGAATTGTTGACATGGCCAAGATTGCTTTGCGGCACGATAACAACAGGTACTTCATCACCCGCCTGTTCAGAAGGGCTCAGGCTCGGTTGGTCTACCGAAAAATTAGGTTCATACTTGAATACAAAAGCAGCGACCGCTTTCTCGGGCGAATTAGTCAACACAATTGACTTACCGTCATAGGCCAGCGCGTCAAGATCTTCACTTGGCCTGCTATGTTGCTGCTGACCTGGCGATGGTGTACGCTGACTTCGGGAAGACCGGACAGGAGAAAATGGTCGATTGTGTGATACATAATGCGGAGGGGACTCGGGCGGCGCTTGATTTGATACTGTGGGTAGAACACCAGGCTTTCGGCCTCTATTAGACTCTTTTACCACGCATGATTGGTTGTCAAGGCGACAGTTGGTGCAAGGCCGTCCTCCGTTGACCACATCACAGCGGACCTTGCGGTTACGGCAGGATAGACATGCTCTGGCGGCACGCCTTTTGGACGGCTGCTCTTTGTTGTGCTCGAAAGCTGGGCGTTTCTGCCCTGCATTTTGCCCCGAGGTGGTGCTGGGGCCCTGGGGGAAAGTGGAATTGGGGCCTGGGATATCCATCGAGAAGGAAACAGGTTCGGCTAAAGAGGATAGATACCGAGGAACAGAGGGTATTTAGAGGAGCGTTGTGGTGCTAGTGAAAACGCTGTATGGGTTGTAGGCAGATGTATATATTTTCAAGGTTGAGACGCTGACTTTGGGACTGGACATGGTGTGGGGAAAGGAGGATACCCCGGAAGCGGGGAAACCGGGTGTGGGGAAGCAAGGGCCAGTGTTTTTGAGCCTCTAGCCAATGAAAAGCCTAGGATTTGGGAGATTCAGAAACTTTCAATATCCTTGACAATGGCCCAAAGCGCGGAGGCGAAGCCAAGTACGCTAAGTGGTTATAGCCTCGGTTATGCAAATTGATTAAGCTCATGCCCGAAATTATTATGAAATGAATGTGTACATCTAGTAACTTTTAGGCAAGCCCAGAACACGCTGACCTATGTAGTTCTTGATCATTTCCCCGCTTACCGGAGCTATTCTTGACAAGACCGCCTCTCTGAAATACCGCTCCACGTGATACTCCTTTGCGTATCCCATACCTCCGTGAGACATGATTGCTCGCTCTGCGGCCTTGAAGGCGGCTTCTGAGGCCAGGTACTTCCCAGCATTGGCATATTCCCCATCCTCATACCCTTCATCATAGAGCCGCGCCGCCAGGTAGATCATTAGCCGGGCGCTCTCGAGGTTCATCCAGCATTCGGCAAGGGGGTGTTGAATTCCTTGATACTTGCCAACGGGGTTTCCAAAGACAACCCGCTCGCTAGTATAATTGCACGCCCGGCGCAATGCTGCATATCCTAACCCTAAGGCCTCTGCCCCGACAAGAATACGCTCAGCATTCATACCGTGCAGTATCATACGGAATCCGTCGCCTTCCTGTCCAATTAAATCGCCTGCAGGCACCTTCCAGTCTTCAAAGGACAGGCTATTCGTGTCCACTGCGGAGCGTCCCATCTTAGGAATCTCGTGGATTTGCACGGCAGATCGATCAAGATCGGTATAGAATAAGGAGAGCCCCTCGCTAGGTTTCTTGACATCCTTGAGGGGTGTAGTTCTGACAAGGATCAGGGCCTTTTCCGCCACCTGGGCAGTCGAGATAAAAACCTTAGAGCCACTGAGAATATAATGATCCCCTTGCTTGCGTGCTGATGATTGTAACCGCAGGGTATCTAGGCCGGTGTTGGGCTCTGTAACTGCAAAACAGGCACGTTCTTTGCCCTGTATCAAAGGCACAAGCCATTGCTCCTTCTGCTTATCAGTCCCAAACTTGGCAACAGGTTCCAGACCAAAGATGTTCATATGGACCGAGGAAGCGCCATTCATTCCTGCACCAGACTCAGATACAGTCTGGAGCATCACGGCTGCCTCCGATATACCGAGTTCAGAGCCGCCATATTTCTCTGGAAGACAGATCCCTAACCATCCATTCGAAGCCAGATCCTTGTAGAGCTCCCACGGAAATTTGTGCTCCATGTCCCTCTCCGACCAATACTCATCGGTGTATTGGCTACATATTGCGGAGACTGCTTCGCGGACCGACCGCTGTGACTCCGTCCATTCAGGGAGATTGGATGGTAGGTATTCGGTTGCGCGGGCGTGAATCTTTCTGATGTTCGGCGTAGAAATAGCACTGCGGAGATTGGAGGAGGCAATTGTGCCCCGCGTCGGGGCTCTGCATATTATCGAACAAAGGGAAAGGGAGTTGACCGAGAGTTGTCTTTTCATGGCTGAAATTAGAATGTATAATAGTGGATGAGATGGCAGAGCGAAGAACTTTTTTTTTGTCGAAGGGCAGAAGGGTGAAGTATCCGAGAGGTGGTTGTTCTGAGCAGATGGGTTCACTCTCCTCCAATTTGGAGCATTAGGCTTTTTATTAAAATGAAGTGGATTAAAGGTGGAGCCTGATTATAGTATATGAAGCTTGATTTGAGCTGCGCAACTAGCCTCCCGGGATGACCATAGTCAGAATGATGCTGAGCCGAGGGTATCAATCATGGACGCCGAGGTGACTCAGCCTTGTCCACAACTGGACCCCCGAACAGCCGTAGAAACATCGCAGAATCAATGATGAGGCCGCACTTGTATAGTATGGGCATTATTTCATGCAGTTGCCCAGGTGGGCCTGCTGGTGGGCCGGAAGCCTTTCCCTTTCGAAGATCCTGTCTCTCAAATCCCGCGATTCCACATTACACGCGAAATGGAGAAACCAAATCTAAAACTTGAGCGCTCATCACCGCCAAGAGTGAATGAATTTGTGAAAGGATGTATTCCCTTTATTGTGGGGTGTGGCTCTGGCATGGTCGCCACTACCTGCATCCAGCCCATAGATACGATCAAGGTTAGGATGCAGCTGACGGATCGAAGTCAGGGCAAGTCATCCCCGTGGTACGTTGCGAGAAATATTGTCGCAAGCGATGGGGTTGTCGGCCTCTATCAAGGCCTTTCCGCTGGTCTTCTTCGGCAACTTGTCTATGGAACCTTGCGTCTAGGCCTTTTCTCAACCTTTGAGCAACAACTTGAGCGCAGAGCTCACGAACAAGATAGATCTCTTGGATTCCATGAGCGAGCCCTCGCTGGACTCGGTGCTGGGGCGCTGGCGGCCTTCATAGGCAACCCAACAGAGGTCGCCCTGATTCAAATGCAGGCAGACAGCATGCGACCAATACAATACCGGAGGAACTACTCTTCTGCTTTCGATGCACTAAGACGCATCGCAAAGAACGAAGGGATTTTTAGTCTTTGGAAAGGGGCTAATCCGACCATTATTCGAGCAATGTCCACGAATTTTGGCCAACTGGCCTTTTTCTCTGAGTCGAAAAATCAGATTCAGAAACATTCATCGATGTCCCGAGAGAAGCGAACTGCACTAGCAGCTTTTATTGGTGGTTTCGCTGGAGCATTTGTAAGCCTGCCATTTGATTTTGTCAAAACGCGCCTCCAGAATCAGTCAATGTCTGGACCCTCTAGTGGTCTGCCCATGTACACCGGTACGTTTGACTGCTTTGCAAAGGTTGTGCGAAAGGAAGGTCTTTTACGATTTTACCGGGACTTTTGGCCATACTTGATGAGAATTGCACCCCATTCGTAAGTCACACCATACCAGAGAACTTAGAAAAGGAAGCTAAGAAGGATATCACTTAGCACAATCGCTCTTTTCTTGGCGGACTGGGTGAATACGCTTATCAAGGGAAGGATCTAGCAGGAAACATGGATGCTATATTGCTTGATAGACACGTAGTTAACCTTGGTAGACATCTACTTAACAATACAACCCATGGAAATATCCATTTTCTGCAAATAATCATTTTTGCAGGTTAATACATAAGTTTATAAGGTTGTCTCCATTGCAACTGCGGCTTTGCCATTTTGACTGAATACTGGACCCAATGAAGAATTCATTTATACTTAAGGGAGAGAATTTTTTTAAGGATTAAATAACAATGGTTTGCAGAGGCCTAGGTAGCTGAACATGACAGCTCCTGTTTAAAGATGCCGTATTTCTATCACAACCCTCGGAGACCCCACACACTGGCAATATGTGGAAAATGCTATCTGACTCTACCAATAGTATTCTATTTAATCTTCGAAAGCATCGAGTGCATCGTGGTCGTCTATGAGTGCAGCGATGCGGCCAATAAAGTCCAAAGTCGTTTCCTCGCTCTGCATGTCGGGCATGGATGTGGATGGTGTAAGAGTCATTGTCCAGTACCACAATGCGCCAAATGATTGCCTTCGAAGTTCCAACCAGGCCTCTTTCGGATCGACCTTGGGCCCGCCTTCTTTCTCCAGTTCCGAAACATAAAGCTCGACCATTTCATTCTCCCAAAGCCGGCGCTTGTCGGAAGGGACAGCCGTGCCTAGGACGTAAGCAAGATCGCGAGACCAATGTCCCCTTGATAGGGCCTGCCAGTCAGTCAAGCCCATGCGGCCTTCTGCTGTGATGTACCAATTTCCTATTGAGTCGCAAAGATTCAGCATCTATTAACGCAAGCTAAGTCTGTCAAGTATCACGTACCGAGGTGGACATCGCCATGAACCACTGTTGGCGGCAGAGAGCCATTGCGATGTACGGACTTTACCGTCGCAGGCCAAATTTCCGCCTCCCGTGCAAACAGTCTGGATGGTATAACCTCTTCCGCAGCTTTAAACCCATTGGTGCAGACCGTTTCAAGATCGAGAAATGAACTGAGGTTATTAAACCGGTCCTTGTATCCCACCAGGTTCTTGAAGAAGGGCATCTTAGAATCGTAGAATTTGCGATGCAACCTAGCGAGGATCTGGATCTGTTCGGCAAACTGAGCCTTGCTTAAGACTGTTTTGTGAGTACAAAAGGTAGCGGTGTCACCAATATCCTTCAGCATGACCATAGAAGCCCAAGACTGGGGGTCATATGCGGCAAAGTACGCGGATGGAGCTTCAATTTCAACACGAGGTCGGATATCGTTGTAGAATGAGATTTCGCTGTGGGTACCTCCGCTACTCAGCACAATGCGATTCTCTACCGCATGGGTGGCCTTGCAGAACACTGAGGTTGGGAAGTTTGCCGCGCTGGGGCCGTCCCACTCCAGGTTAATTCGACGACGATTGGCGGTCCCATTATCTTCGGGGCCGAGCGTATAGTGCTTGACGACAGTTCCGGTGGAATCCCGATTCAGGGTGGCAGTCAGCCATTGCGTTGTAATGGCATCGTAGGAGACCGGGATATCTCCAAAACTGCGTGGGACAGGCGGGTTCAATTGCTCTTTGGCAAACTTTTCGCGTATAGCCTGAACTATATCGTGTCGGAGGGCGCTAGGGGGAGGCATTGCTGGATTTCGCTGTATTGAAGAGGGAAAATATGGCCTGCTCGTCGCTCGTGACTTCGGCGAATGTTGGTAGGTTCAGCAAACTTGCTTTGTTACTAAATGCCTACCTATTTTATTGTCAGCGGCTGAATATCGGTATAGTCAGAAGAGGTGCAGGTACGTAGAGACGGGCTGGGCAGGATGGAACAAAATAATAGTAGTCTCGTTCGGGTGGAAGGAAAGAAAAGGGTTATCGTGGGCATTGATTGCTACAAGGATCATTTGATACATGCCCAGTTTGATCTTGATAAATAATTGTCGAATTAGCCGTGGAACGATGCGTGTATCCTTTTTTCCCCCGGGAAATTCGGGTCGGAAATGGTCCTACGAAACATGTTTGAACATGTCCCCGAGTTATTCCTGCTTGCCCTTCGCCACCCTCCTTGCCCACGTAAAACGGGATCAGTCAACCACATTTTCCTTTTTGGCTTCGAGGGTCAACCATATGGATCCCTAGACGAGGTTATGGGGTAGCCTTGGTTGAGTGCGTGGCATGTGGCTGGCCGAGTCTGGAGGCCGGCCCGAGGCAAGTAGGCAGAACAACAATCAATGCAAGTATGGAATATAAGGCATAGACACAATTTGTGCACGAAGCAAAACAAATACCCAACATCAGATCTACAAGCGATTATGACGAAGAGCGCTACGCCCGACTGGAGTGACGAGGCAATTCGTACACCCAACGCTGATTCCACAATTGGATGGGCTGGTGTGCCATTATCGCAAACCCTCGCTTACTATGGCCATGTCGAGCGGCCGGTGCTTCCTACTAATGACAAGCTTGGTTTTACTCCGGATTATGCGACCGTGGATGTCGACAAGCTTGTTGCATCGTTTGTGAAGCGCTTTGCCGCGGCTGTTAAATCGCAGGATGTCGATACCATTTTAAGCTATATTTGTGAAGATGGTTATTGGAAGGACGTGATGTTATTGACATGGGACGTTAGGACCTTTCATCGGCATGATACCATTCGACCCATGCTCAAAGAAAGGCTCCCAGTCACAGAGCTCAAGAATATTCGAATCCATAGCCAGATTCCCTCATCCAGGGAGAATCTCGGGGATGATTTGTCTTTTATTTTGTTCCATATAGAGTTCGAATTTGCACATGGCACCGGTATTGGTGCAGCACGCCTTAGCCCCGTGGCTGCCAAGGAAGGGTCTGCGGCAGAATTGGCAGAGGTCGATTCGTGGAAGCTGTACTCGATCGGCACAGCTGTGGAGACGATTGCAGGATGGGACGCTGAACATGGTGACAAAATGCGTTACCAGCCCGCAAAGCTGCAAGATCCTCTGGGACAAGGAAGAACCTATCTAGAGCTCAGGCAAGACGAGGTGGAAGGCCGGGAGGGTTTTGAACCGACGGTCGTGATCATCGGAGCCGGACAAACTGGTCTGGCCATGGCTGCTCGGCTCAAAGTCCTAGGAATACCACACCTGATTATCGAGAAAGAGGACAGACCTGGCTATAGCTGGGCAAGCCGCTATGCTTCGCTTTCCTTGCATGGGCCCACCTTCACAAATCATATGCCATGTGTCCCCTTCCCAAGTTGGTTCCCCGTCTTCCTCCCTGCGCGGCAGCTTGCCGACTTCCTACTGCACTACGCTGGAATCATGAACCTGAATATCTGGACGAAGTCAGAAATCGACGGCAAGAATGCGCTGTACGATGAGAAACTGGGAGAGTGGACCATCACCGTCACGCGAGAGGACGGTAGCAAACGAGTCCTTCACCCCCGCCATTTGATGATTGCCACAGGGATTTCTGGAACATTACCAACTGTGCCTGAAGTTCCAGGAATGTCGGAGTTCGAAAAACATGGTGGCACCATTGTTCATTCATCCCGGTATAAATCAGACCCCAACGTGAAAGGGAAGCGAGGCCTGGTGGTAGGTGCCGCAACCTCTGGACATGACATTGCCTTCGAACTGTATGAGAAGGGCTGCAACGTGAGCATGATCCAGCGCAGTGCAACACATGTCATGTCGGTTGATAAGAGCGTGCGGCGCCTCATGAAGGACCGTGAATTGACGAATCGTAAAGGGGGTCTACCAGTCGAGCTTTTGGACCAATCCACTTTCTTACGGCAATCGCTGCCCGTTCAGTATGAGCTCTTACCTCGGGGACAAGTCATTGCGCGTGACTTGGATAAACACCTCTTGGAATCCCTCAGAAATGTAGGGTATCGCCTCCATGATGGTTATCACGGTGGCGGTGCCTATTCAATGTTCCACTTTGACCAAGGAGGATTCTACTGGGATACCGGTTGCTGTAAGCTCATTGCGGATAAAAAGATCCAACTTTTACACTCGGAGATTGAGCGCTTCACCAATGATGGCGTTATTTTCAAGGACGGCACTCGCCAACAAGCAGATATCGTCGTTTTCGCAACTGGTTATATGGAGACTAAGGGCGCCATTCAAGCGATTATGGGAGATGAGATGGCAAAGAAGTGTCACGAGCGCTGGGAAAAGGGAAATGCCTTCTTCATTGGCCCAGAGGGTGAATCTATCGTAAACTACTGTCCTCTCCCGCAGAAAGGCCTGTATGCAATGTTCCACCAATTTGCATTTAGCAGATTCCACTCAGCTCGTCTCGCTCTTCGCATCAAAGCACAGGAGCTAGGCATCGATGTCACACCCTATGGCAACAAGCCTGTTGGACCTCCCAGCACTGCTGCTGGGCGTCAGCGTCGCCCTGAAGGCCAACCCCTGTGACAAGCGAGAATACTTTCCAGCTGTTTATTACGTATCTATGGTTTTGTGACGAGGCTTGGCATCGGTGAGACTCAATTCGGTGGCCTTTTTCATATCATAACTTTTAGCTGGTGTTTTTCCTAAAGAGAAGGTAAATAGCAATACTGACAATAGAAAGAGATACAAGTAAGACTTGCTGCTCGTAGTGACATCACGTTATTTGTTCGTAACTTTTTGCCCGCTTACCCAGTCCAACATACTCATTGTAATCTCTATATCTTCCATTGGAAGGTTCCCGATGACTAGATAAGAGATTCGAATCTTGCAGGCATAATGGATGTGAAGTGATTCTTATGCGTTCATCAGTCGCTCTGGATTAGGCTTCGGCAAATGGGGCCCCATTTCAAAATTCTAGCCCACCCCAACCCATAAAATCCATGCCCCCATTTTCAGATAAGGATAGAGTTGATGCCTAATTTAGGCCTAATTGAGACCTGCTGTATGCCTGATTTTACATATTGAAGTGGTTGATTTGCCGTGCTGATTGGGGAGATATATACACGTAGAACATACAGCTTCACCACCTTACTTACCACATATGTATATAAGTCTTCGCCCTAACCACCCTTTGTATATAATTCGGATGAAGAATAATCTATATCATAAGGTCTTAACCTTACATACAAGCTCAAGAGCTATATTCTAACTTATTTAGGTGAGAACTTTATAGAAATGCGTATTTAAAGTGGTATCTTACCCGTTTAGAACCAATTTTTCTGCATATTTCATGAAAAATGCACATAATTTTGGAGCCACAAAATGGGCTCAAATGGGGGCCCATTTCAACCCCCACCGAGCCCATATACCGAAGCCCACTCTGGATGGTCTGGACGGACGTCTTGGTCAAAAGGGGTTATTAGGCGGTATGAGTGGTTAGTGAACCAACGTTGATGACTAAGAGGTCAGGTGACCCACTCTCAAATAGTCAGCTGATATATGTTGCCGAGGTAGACTCAAATCCACGATCAAAACCTTCGGTTTTGGGATGCGCTCCAGGTACTACCCAGGTTTTTGTGGCCATCCATGGATGCGGCATTCAATTAACCATGCAATTTGTCTATACTGTCGCTTTTACCATAAGTTTCACGCCAAAAAGTCAGGGTCCAGTTCAGAATTGTGCAGATGACAAATATCTTAGAAATTACCGAGTTGCCAATATGAAGGAATTCGGAATATAAAACTATGCCAATACTTGCGATGTGAACCGATTGAGGGTCGAAGATGAGATAATTTATTGATAGTCCTTGGAGTTTGAAATAGAGTCAAGAACAGTTAAGCTAAGACATTCATCCATCATTTGACTGGAGTTTACTCCAATATGGGCTGGTGGAACTGGAATGACCGGTGCGATCTGTCCGTCGTCATTTCCACGCTTTCTTTGCACTTGTCGTTAGTGTATTCGGGAATCTCCTTGACTCGATACCCCTCATCGCCAGGCAAAATCTCAACTGCCTCACCGGAGGTATCACTGTCACCCAGCAGAGACTCAAAAGCTTCCACTAGAGTATCTACACTGATCAACAGTCCCCTGGCTCCCGCTTTATCATAGAAAGCCCCAGTAGAGATATTGGTCTTGACTATGTTCGGGCATATAGCGTTCAGGGTGATTTTTTCGTCGGGTAAGTATTTGCCGAACGAACGGACGAAGCCCAGCACAGCACTAGAATTGCGTTAGTGAGTATTTGGCGATAAAAGATTAGCTGGGAGAACTTACTGTTTTGAAGCAGTATAGATAGGGAGAGACGGGATGTAGTAGAAGCTGCATCCAGAGGCCACCAACACAACTGCAACAAGTTAATTATTAAAACAGAACAATCGGGTAGTCAACGAGCTCAAGTTCAACGTACGCTTTCCACGATACCCGTGCTTGCCTGGCTTTTGGCAGCGAAAGTGTTGAATGGCCAGCGCGGAGGTATAAAGAGGCCCAGTTCCATTGACATCGAATACCTTCAGGTTCGGCTTCTCGAATTCAGTCGCTTTCGGTCTATTTGGGAGCCAGGATGACTCGGGAATCCCAGCCACGGCAAATACGTAATTGATTCTACCGACTTTTTCGATAGCGTCTTCAAAGCCTTTGCGCTGGGACTCCCAGTCCGCTACGTCGACCTGCACTGCGAAGGCGACTTGTCCATTCTGAGTAGCCTCACGAGCGACTTCTGTTGCCCCTTCGATATTGCGGTCGGCAATCACAACTTTCATTCTATAAAAGGAGGTATTAGCGCGATTTTTCTCATTTTCATTCATTAGAACTGCGTACCCCTTGCTCAAAAGCCTCGCAGCTAAGGAACGGCCGATGCCGCTGGCACCCCCTGCGAAGAATATCTTAGCATTGGCTGGTTAAAGCAGTCTCACGAGGGTGCTTTTTTACCGGTGATATAGGCAGTTTCTCCTTCATAAGACATGTTGCACGGTCAATACTAGGGCATATGAAACTGATCAATAGTTGATTGTATGAACAGGAATTCTTGGTGACGGCCTTCAGAGTATATAGCGACAACCAGAACTACAGTATTCCCTTGGCGAAACTCGGAAAGAGAGCTGTAAATACTGGCGTGAAGGATTACCGAGGGGTCTGGGTTTATCATTCTGACCCTCGGAAGACAGATTCAAGTTACAATAACCTCGCCCCACCTTTGATTGGATTAGTGAAGGTGGGGATGTTGACCATCTAGGGTATCGTAATATCCTTAGTCCTGCCGAGGGTTGATTTACGACCGTTTGCAAGGGCCAGTGTAATGACTGAAGACTTCGTCCGTCCTACAAGTCTCTTCATTCCGCGGAATCCTGAAGTATGCTAGTACCTAACAGGAGTTTGATCCTGTTACGACCATGCTTGATTCAATTTTCAGGCCGGATTTACAGGAGGACACAGAGGTGCTTGACTGGTTTAGTTGGTTGGCCTTCATAGGTTGTCATAGTCGGTCTGTCATCGAGAAAGCAGGAGAATAGTGCCAAAGGAAGTAATACTGAATCAAGATCATCATACGGCCTGTAAATGACTAGCTATTTGATAAGGAACACTTGTAACTACAATCTTGGCCGCTCAGAGATATCTCTCACGACGTATCCCCGGCTTCCCTCTTTCTCCTTCTCCCGTAAGACTCTCCTCAGAATCTTACTACTTGGGCTCTTCGGTATCTCCGCGATGAACTCAACCTCCTTAATCCACTTGTAACGTACTAGCTTCTCTTTCACATACTGGATCAGACTCCTACCGACGGAATCACTGGCCTCAATATTGGGTTTCAACACAACATAAGCCTTCGGTCGCTCAGCGCTATACGGGTCCGGTATCCCTAAGACAGCGCAGTCACCAACACTGGGGTGACCTAGCAAGATATTCTCTAGTTCAGCCGGTGCGACCTGTAGACCCTTGACCTTGATCATCTCTTTTGTGCGATCAACAATACGAATGAAGCCTTGGTCATCGATCACGCCGACATCTCCGGTACGGAGGAAACCATCAGTGCCAAAGGTCTCGGCCGTTTCCTCCGGGTTTCCGAGGTAGCCCAGAGCAATCTGGGGGCCCTTGGCAAGGATTTCGCCTGCTTCATTGGGACCTAGCTCTTTGCCAGTGCTCACATCGATGACCTTGACTACCGTTGACCCCAGCAGTGTGCCAGAATTATTGGCATAATCATAACTGTAAAACTCTGGCGGATGTGTTGTAAGGCAGCAGCATGATTCTGTCATGCCATAGCTTTGCCGGAAGCCTGTCCATGGCATCCTTTCCCTAAGCTGCTGAATGACCTCCGACCCCAGGGGTGCAGCGCCACACGCGATACGTTTGATGCTTTTTATGTCATACTTGTCGACAATGGGGTCACGCACGAGTCGTATAACAATGGATGGAACGAGTGTAAGATCGGTAATCTGATATCGGACGATGGCGTCGAGAAATCCTTCCATGGTGAATTGTGAAAGCATGACACATTCATCGTTACTAGCAATAGGCCAGTGAAGAAAACGCACGAGTCCACTAACTGTATGTCTGTCAATGCTGTTTTATTTATATTTAACTTCTGGATCCTTACTGTGGAACAACGGTAGGCTGGCTAGAAATCGTTTTTTATCGGCCCCCGCCACAGCTTTGAGCTGAAGGCATTGAGCGATCACATTGCGATGAGACAGCATCACCTAAAATTTATAGGAGTCAGCTGGCAACTCCGGTAATGTTGGGATATCGCGTCTCACTGCTTTTGGCAGGCCGGTAGTTCCACTACTAAAGTTCAAATAACCACAAACGTCGTTCGTCTGCCCTGCAGGTATGCGGTAGATGGGGCTCTGACAATGTTCGCCATAGCCTTTACCAATCTGTAGGAGCTGCTTCACTGTTGTAAAACCTTCATGTTCCCCTTCTAACAGAAATATATTCTCCTTGGGAATCCCTGCCTCCTTCGCAGCCAAAAGGCATACATCAATGGAGCCGGGCACTGTCATGATGTATTTGGATTTCGCCGTCTTGAGAGCATGCGACATCTCACCTGCGGTGTATGAAGGAGATGCGCCATTAACTCTTCCACCTGATTTCTCGTGTTTAGCTTGTGTTATGTTAAGGCAGGAAACCTGGGTGGGAATAATACCTGCTCTCAAAATGGCAAACAGACCCACTGGATACCATATTGTGTTCTGACTGAACAAGGACACGGTATCCGAAACTTGCAAACCATATTTTTTGACCAAAGCCGTGCACAAATGGGTTGCATGTTCCTTCACCGCGGAAAAGGAAAGCCGCTCCTGAGTCGCAGCATTGACGAAGCCGGCTATCTCATTTGGCGGATAGTTGAATAAAGGCGAGTACCTTCGATCTTCAAAGGCCCATTCCCATACGGTCAAGTCGGTTGGATCTGTTCATATTGTAAGAGAAGGCTCGTCAAGTAAAAGAAAATCTAGGATGGTGAAAATACATTCAATATCCGGATGTTTGGATGTGAAAAGCATTGTAAGATTGTACCGCGTGACTGCAGGGAAAGTGACAACAACGCCGAACGTAAACAATATTGATCCTTGATGCTCACAATTAAGTCACTGTTTAAAACAGCTATGAGTGTCGTTCGCTGGTGGGTGTCACGATGTTCTAGGTCAGCTTGGATCTGGGTATCCGAGGCAGGCGAGGGGGGTCGGCTCCTTGGCCCGAAGGTCAAAACTTAGGCTGAGAAGTTGGGCAAATTGCGCTCTCCATCAAGATCTATCTCTAAGCCTCAATCTGGACAATCTATGAAATACTTATGAATCCAAGAATAACCCCTCGGTCCTCGGCCTGTTCTTTGCAATATTTGGAGTCGGGTATATCTTCACTTAGATGCTTGCCCTTTGCTGAAGAGGAGGTTGAACACTGCCAACGCACCCTCATCCATTATATTAGTATAACGTTGGTGATTATAATCTGGGTGCTGTGCCTCAAAAATCTTGAGATATTTCGATACCCTCACCAAAGATCTACAACACGCCCCCTAGTGGCCAAATATGGCGCCACATGCAAATGGTACTGTCAATGGCACAAAGCCAGTCGACCATGAATTTATCAAAAATTCAATTGACAAATCAAACCTAAACGCCCTGCGACTTGCCTTACTTCAAGTTACTGGAGATCCTGACTTGGCCAACATGCGCACTCGGCGCCACGCCATTCGGGGCGGTGCCATGTTTGCGCACATTCTGTCGGAAGAAGATGTCCCGGCCTTGAAAGAGAAAGCATTCGCCTATTTAGCGGCTCGGGTGCCGGGTGATCCCATCCCGCCACCGCCATCAAAGGCCGAGGCCAAAAAGCTAGCCGACCTCTTTGGGGATGAGCCAGTCCCCGAGGTCGAATACGATTACCATTATGAAGAGCTGGCGTACGAGGAATTTCCTCGAGATGCTAAATGGACGGACAAAAAGCCTTCAGCCGAAAAAATCGACAGTTTCAAGGTGGTGGTCATTGGCGGTGGTATCAGTGGCGTCGCTGCCGCTGTACAATTCAAGCGACTCGGATTAAACTTCCAGGTCCTGGAGCGCCAGGGAGCTATCGGTGGCACTTGGCTTCTCAACTCCTATCCTGACGCACGAGTCGACACCTCAAGTTATCTCTTTCAATTCAAATTCTTCAAAAATTATCCTTGGTCTGAGTATTTCGCATCTGCTGGCGAGACGCGAAAGTACCTTGATGACGTGGCCGAGCACTACCAGATTAAGGATCATTTTAAATTCAACCGCGAAGTGATCGGAGCTGTCTGGCATGAGGATACAAGCGAGTGGGAGCTCACTGTGAAGCATGCTGACGGTCTCGAGGAGACTATCACCTGCAATGCTATCGTCAGTGGCAGTGGGCTGTTTGCCACAGCCAATCAGCCGGATATTAAAGGCATCAAGGACTTCAAGGGCCCAATCTTTCACACTTCCAAGTGGGATAGCAGCGTTGACTACAAAGACAAGCGTGTAGCGCTCCTCGGCACCGGATCAACGGGTACGCAGCTCGCCCCCGCCGTCGCCCGCGAGGCTAAACAGTTCACCGTTTTTCAACGCACGCCTAACTGGATCATGAAAATGGACGGCTACCGATCCGAAATCGATGACCATGTGCGCTGGATGTTCGCAAATATGCCCTATTACTGGAATTGGTATTGCTATTCGTCTCATGTGACCTCTCAGCAACTTCAGTACATGCAGAACATCGACAAGGACTGGCAGGCCAAGGGCGGTAGAATTAACGAACGTAATGACTTGGTGCAAAAGAACCTGACCGAATACATCATGTCCAAGGCAGAGGGGGTTCCAGGTCTCCTGGAGAAGATCCTACCCAAGCACGCCCCCCTCGTGCGACGGCTAGTCGTCGACAATGGCTTTTACGATATGTTACACCGTGAGAACGTGGAACTTGTCACCGATGACATTGACCAATTCACCGAGAACGGCCTCAAGACAAAGGACGGTGTGGAGCGCGAGTTTGACATTGTTGTTCTTGGTACCGGGTTTAAGGTCACCCAGTACTTCTATCCATGCAAGTATGTCGGTCGAAATGAGGCATCAATGCAATCCCTGTGGAGTAAGGATGGCCCGCGGTCATACATGGGCCTGGCTTTGCCGGGATTCCCCAATTTCTTCAGTTTCTACGGACCCAATCACCAACCGCGCTCTGGAGGCTTCTATTCGTGGGGTGAAATCTGGGCACGGTATACGGCGCTCTGCTTCGTCCACATGCTGGAGAATGATAAGAGCTCTATGGAGTGCCGCAAAGATGTTTTTGACGATTATAACACTAGACTCGACGAGGCAGCTAAGGACCTCATTTGGGAGATGGAAGGACATGGATACTACGTAAATGAATTCGGTCGCCAGAGCGTCAACGCGCCATGGCATACTGCTGTCTACCATCGCATGGTCTCAAAGCCAAACTTTGAAGACTTTGAGATCCGATAGAAGAGCTCTATACACTGATGGAAAAGGCTTCGTGGTATTTGATTTGCTGACCTTTCTCCATTCATAACTTCTTTACTATTTCTATTGCGTTGCTGCCTCGTGTCAAATGATTAATGCCATTCAAGTTACTTTCAGATTATACATATCTAGAGATTAGCATGCAAATCTGGCTACCAGTTGTCTTATATTTGCTTTGAACACATGATTATTCCTCCCATAAGGACGAGCTGAGAGCTCTACTGCTAGAGATACAAAAGACTAGCTATTTTCGGGGACTGCAACTACCTTCTATAAATGTAATTACTTCAAGATCAGAGTAAGGACCGTCTCAATGTTAAGATCATTTAGTAAACTCAAATTCAAGTATGTATGTGTCTCATTTTCTAGGCTACAGGGAGGCGAGGGGCTGCCCGTCGATATGACGCGGTCACTGCCTGTCCATTTGCAAAAAGTATACTCAACATTCCTTAAAATGAAAGCATTGCCTTGCACCTGTTTTCCTGCGCCCTGGCAGTTGCAGATATGAAAGGTGCAACCATTTCGAATGCATGTGGTAAACCAGAATATACATGAAGCTCGGTAGAGATATTCTCACCTAACAACCTTGTCGCATATGTAATGCTCTCATTCCGGAAGATGTCAAGCTCACCAACATCAATATAGGTAGGCGGCAAGCCAGCTAAACTCTTTGCCCTCGCAGGGGCTGTATAGGGTGAGACGGAGGCGTCGGATATACCCGCATCATCTCCCAGAAGAGCAGTCCAGGCGGTGATATTGTCCTCCGTTTTCCAGAACGCCAACGGCTCCACTGCCTCATTTGCAGTGGTTGTCCGGTCGTCTAGCATTGGATAGACGAGAATCTGCTTCGCGATGGGAGGCTCGAGATTTCTGTCTCGAGCCATCAACGTAACACCAGCAGCCAGGCCACCGCCTGCACTTTCTCCAAAAACTGCAATCCTGGCCGGGTCAACTCCAAGCACGTTTGCATTCTTGTGTAGCCAAACAAGGGCAGAATAACAGTCCTCGACAGGAATGACCCCATTATACTCCGGGGCTAGCCGGTAGTTGACGCTGAAAATGGGAATTCCTGTTTCGCTGACAAGAACCGCCAATGGCTTGGCATGTAGCTCTGCTGATCCCAATATCATACCACCGCCATGGTAATGCATAATCACTGGTCCCGGCTCTGTGGGTGCGCCTTTTTTGCTAAAATTGATGATTGGAATTTGGTAGCCATCATAGGCTTCCATATGATATACCGTCTGCTCCACATCAGGTGAATCTGGCAATACTCCATATAACCGAGCGATTCCTTTTTCCCTTGCATCTCTGCTGAGCTTGATACCCTCGATGGTGAGCTTAGCTCGTTTCGATAGGATAGGGATCAGTGGCTCGATAGCTGTAGCGTACTCGGGGTCGAATTGGAAAGGCATTTTGACTCGCCTTTAAGAATGATGCCAGCGACTGTGTATTCATGCAGGAGTTTGTGAGCTCTATATGAGAAGATAGACGAATATTGCACTTGACACTCAGCGAGTGGTATATTACCGAGGGTGGGCGAGGAAACCTTTCCGCTCTATAGAATAGTGGTACACACGACGCTCGAGGAAGCGGAAAGGTGATGATCATTTCCGGCCTCAGATGGTGGTGGGGGGTGGGGGCCGGGGGCCGGGGAGGAGGAGGGGTTGAAGGCAACTTTTCCTGATACGCTAATACGTTTAAATCACTCACAAACTGTCTCCGAGACAAGGCTTTGCCGAGGGCTTTTGCTTGCGGCAAACGGCAACTTGTATTTTGATTCGGATGTCTACGAAAAAACAAGAGAGAGGATGAGACGATGTCAGAGAAACATATGGACGAACAAGCACTGAGCAAGCTACATTGTAAAATCTTTCGCGATTGACGGGACTGCCAAGGTAAATCCTAGGCACAAGGCTACATGAGGCACGGCATATTCACAGCAGGAATAGGTATTTATGATTGGATAAGATGATCGCGTTCTGCAATGACCTCATAGCTTTCCCTTTCCCACAGTACGTGCGTTGTTTCTATAGCTTTTGACAAGCTGGCGAATAGCGAGGTCAAACATGACATCTTCACTACCTCCTGGAATTCGTGCTGCTGGCACCTCCCGATAAAGCTTCTCTACTAGCTCACCCTGACCAGTGCGAGTATAGCCATTGCCGCCGAAAAGAAGAACTGCACACCTAGCACACTCGTCTAGCACTATGCCTGCTCTGGCCTTCGCTAGAGCAAGAAGGCCTCCAAGCTCTGGCGGTGCCCCATGATCTTTTGCTTTGTACATGGTGTACACAAGCTGATCCACCCAGGCAGACAGACTCTCAAGCTCCGAGCCACACCTGGCAAGACGATTCCGGACCACAGCTTGTTCCATGAGCGGTTTCCCGAAGGCTTCCCGCTTGAGGACGTAGTCAAAGGCCGCCGAGAGCGCGACCCTGGCCGTTTGTGCAACCCCAATCGTAATTGCGAGTCGTTCATGATTGAAGTTTCGGGTTATCATCTTCATTCCATCTCCCTCCTATACAAAGATAAGTGAACGATACGCGATGCCAGGTGAGATATTGGGATATGGGAGATGAGGCGCGTAGGTGACTAGAGGCTGCATGATGAAGACATACCTTTCCAATAAGATTTTTCGCGGGAACTCTGACATCCTCAAGGTCAATGAATGTGGTACCACTGGTAGTACCTCCAGTTGTCTTCATTCGGCGCATGGATACTCCAGGATGACCGAGCAGGGGCACCACCAGGAGCGAGAGTCCTTTGGCTCCCGGGCCTCCAGTTCTGACAGCCATCGTAGCGTAATGAGACCAAACTCCATTGGTAATCCTAAAACAATCAGAAAGGAGTGCAAACACTGAAGGCGACAAAAGACTAACCATTTTTTCTCACCGTTCACAATGTAGTATTCCCCACACTCGCTCTTAACGGCGGTGGTGGAAATATTTGCGACGTCACTCCCAGCGCTCGGTTCCGTAATAGCGATGCAAATCCTTTTCTTCCCACAGATCAGATCCGGGAGAAGTCGTTGTTGCAATTCTTGGCTGCCATAGGTGATGATAGGCGGCATTCCATAAGCCATTCCTGTGGATAATGATGATGTAGGACCCCCAACGCCTGGTCTTCGCATTTCGCTTATATAAATTGCAAAATGAAAGTAGTCAAAATCTTCAATCCGCAAGCAACCAAGGAGCTCGTTGATGCCCATGGACTTCAGTAGATCAATTGGTAGTGGAGCGGGCAAGTTCGGAATGAGCATGTTGTGCTTCGAAAAGGTCTCGAAAACATGCTCTGGAACATTGCCTTCCGTTTCCCATTCTTGCGCGTACGGTGCCAGATGGGTTGAGACAAATGCACGACAAGCCTTCTGCCATTTGATGTGCGAGTCCGTATAGTATGGAGAACCGTGGCCCATTAGCCATGGCGGCTCAGAAAATGGTGTCGGAGCATCGTTGGATGGAGGCATAACCAGAAACAGAATTTGAACAAATACAGAAAGTATCTAGACCAAGTGGCGTATATTTTTAGGAGACTTTAAGTCATGGAAACATATATGGCTGGTCGCGGATTGCCAATCTTGGAACCCAGATTGCCGAGGCACGAGGGCAAGACCCAATCATTATCAACTACACAACCTTGGAAGGGACACCGAGATCCAAGTGGGATGGGAGTTTTTCCAACTGTAAGTTTCCTCTTCTTTTCTCGCTCAAGTATTCCATTTCTCTAGGATACACCGTATGTACATATTGTAGAAATTCGAAGAATTCATCATTGCTAGAGAAGACCGAGGAAGGTCAAAAGCTGAGCATTGCCGCAACTCGGTTAGCCAGGGCGCGTTGAGCGACTTTGGAGGTTGGCGCAAAGCGTTGAAAAGCATGAGGAACTCCTTCGTAAACATGCATGTCAACTGGAATGTTTGCCATGATGAACTTTTGGGCATACGTGGCCCCCTCGTGGATAAACATATCTAGTTGACCGCAGTCATAATAAAGGGGTGGGAGGCCTCTCACATCCTCCAGTCTGACCGCTGCTGCATACGGTGGAACCTTATCTGTCTTATACAGATCTCCCAGGTAGGCTGACCAGCCTGTTATAACGTCCTCCGTAGCAAATACAGCAAGTCCGCCGGTATGGTCCGTTTCTGTCCGGTCATCTAGCATGGGGTACATCAAGATCTGCTTGGCTAGCGGGGGTGATAGCTCTCTGTCTCTGGCAAGGATGGCGAGCGCCGCCGTCAACCCGCCCCCGGCGCTTTCACCCATGATCGCAATCCGATGAGGGTCAATGTTGAGCTCCTCAGCGTGATTCTGAATCCACAGTAAAGATTCCCAGCAATCCTCGAGGGGGCGAGGGTACAGATACTCCGGCGATAGTCGGTAGTCGATGGACAAAATAGGGACGCCCGTTAGCGAGACATAGTTGGTTAAAGTCGGGGTCATTGCAGCGGCAGTGAGGCAGGTGTAGCCTCCTCCATGTATGTGAACAATCGCGGGACCAGGCCCAGAGCTAGTCCCTGTTTTGGTGAAATGGTAGATAGCGACTGGATGACCGTCTGATGAGGGGCTATGGTGCACCTGCTGCTTGATGTCTTTTGGCAATTCTTGGTTTTGTGACTTTTCGATAAATTGCGCAATGCGATCTCTTCGACTTTTGATGTCACCGACCGGAATCACATCTCGGTGGTCAGTGAGAGATTCGCCCGCCAATTGGGCGAATTCTGGATCATAACTTAGCGCAGACATGATGTTCGTATTCTTTTTGTTGGTTGGATTTCGTTTGGTGGTTACAGAGCGCAGTAAGTGTAAATCACACGCAATGGGCTAATGACGGTGGTTGTGCCTAATATTTAATGGAATAAACAAAAAATTCTGCGTGAAATGCTGGGCAATTTTCTTTACATTATGTGAATGTGTATATGTGGGAGCATTAATCGGCCGCGGCCCGACAAACCATATCACCTTGGGTTTTATTCAAGGGCCCACCGGCATCCTCGGTTTAGAGCTTCACCCCTTAGCCCTTGAGAGTCTTTTCTTCGTAAGCCAGCCTTTAGACTGAGTCTATATTGTTCTCCGTCGGGAAAGATATAAACCTGAATCTTTCCATCTCAGACAATCGAGACCATTTTCAGTTGTTCTGCTGTGTTAAAAGTGCTCATTGCTGGAAGAAACGCCTAACATGAATCTAAACTTTGAGAGCCAGGTTGCAGTGGTAACCGGCGCTGGTTCAGGTTTGGGAAAAGCCTATGCCCTATTTCTTGCGTCTCGAGGCGCTAGCGTCGTGGTCAATGATGTTGGAACATCGCTGACAGGGCAGGGCAACAGCCTTGAGGTAAGTTTGTGAATAACTGAATACTTGTTGGGTTTACTGTAATAGCTCACATGGCGCGTCTAGGCCGCGGATGAAGTTGTCAAAGAGATTACCGACCTTGGTGGAAAGGCGGTAGCAAGCTACGACAGCGTCGAGCATGGAGAAAACATCATCGATACGGCACTAAGGACATTTGGCAGGATTGACATTCTCATCAACAACGCGGGAGTTTTGCGCGATGTCACCTTCAAGAACATGACGGATGCACAGTGGGATGCCGTTATCGCAGTGCATCTCAGAGGAGCATACAAAACGACTCAGGCAGCATGGTCGCACTTTCGCAAGCAAAAGTACGGTCGCGTCATCCTTACCTCGTCCGCAGCTGGCTTGTTTGGCAATTTTGGCCAATGCAACTACGCTGCCGCGAAGGCAGGCATGGTAGGATTCGGCGAGACCCTCGCAAAAGAGGGAGCCAAGTATAATATCCTGACAAACATCATTTCACCCATCGCTGCCAGCCGGATGACAGCCACCGTGATGCCGACAGAGCTCCTGGAGCACTTGACACCCGAGTGGGTGGTCCCGCTCGTTTCCTTTCTCGTACACCCCAGAAACCAAGACGAGAACGGCTCCATTTTTGAAGTTGGCGGGGGTCATGTTTCCAAGCTACGGTGGGAGAGATCCCAGGGTGGTTTGCTCAAGTGCGATGAAACAATGACCCCTGGAGCGGTTTTGGCTAACTGGGCTGCTATCAACGATTTTCACAATGCCGAATACCCGACCACGACCGTCGACCTTGTCGCAAAGCTAAGAATGGCACAACAGCTTCCGCCAAATAAGCCTGGGGTGGATGTTGATTTCAACGGAAGGGTAGCCGTGGTGACTGGTGGAGGGGCAGGGTGAGTCAAGCTGTAGCCATGCATCTACGCGTACTAACACATGTCCCCGCTGCAGTTTGGGTCGAGCATACTGTATACAGCTTGCAAAGCTGGGCGCATCAGTCGTCGTGAACGACCTAGTGAACCCCGGCCCGGTCGTCGAAGAGATTCGGGCTTTTGGAGGAACGGCTGTCCCCAAAAAGTCATCGGCCGAGGACGGCGACGCCATTATCAAGACAGCTATAGAGAATTTTGGACGGATCGATATTCTCATCAACAACGCAGGGATATTGAGAGATAAGGCATTTCAGAACATGACAGAAAAGATATGGGATGAAGTTGGTAACGTTCATCTGAGAGCCACATACAAATGCTCAAAGGCAGCATATCCATATATGGTCAAGCAGAAATACGGCCGTATTGTGAACACGACAAGCACGAGTGGAATATACGGTAACTATGGTCAAACCAACTACGCCGCCGCTGTAAGCCTGCCCCGAAAATAACTTACTGTGCATTCTACTGACCGTTCCACTGCAGAAAACTGCAATCATAGGATTCTCGCGGGCCTTGGCCCTTGAGGGGCGCAAGTATAACGTTCAGGTCAACTGTATCTCGCCATCGGCGGGGACGAATCTGACAAAGGCCGTTCTGAGCGAGGAGATCGTCAAGAGCCGAAAGCCAGAATTCGTCGCACCCATAGTGGTTCTACTATGCTCTGACAAGGCCCCAGCAACAGCTTCTGGGCAGGTCTTCGAAGCTGGATGCGGGTGGCAAGCGAGGACACGATTTCAACGATCCGATGGAGTTGACTTCCCTCTAAATGAGCGTCTCACACCCGAGAAAATCTTAGACCGCTGGCAAGACATCACAAGTTTCACCACTAGGAAAACAAGTAGCCCTGAGGTTGCTTCCGACTTGCGAAAACGCATTCTCGAGAATATAGACCGCGCCGCTCGTGCTCAGGACTCTGCCTCGAAGCAAACGCAATATCTGGACTTGATTGAACAAGCCAAGAATGCTGAAGCCCAGGAGTCACGAATGAGTTTCTCGGATAAAGATGCCATCCTCTACAACATCTCTCTTGGCGCCACGTCGTCCCAACTGCCTCTCGTGTATGAGAAAGATCCCCATTTCCAGCTTCTCCCATCCTTTGGCGTCATTCCAGGGACAATGGCTTCTAGGTCTTTCAATCTAGAGACCCTGGTTCCAAATTACTCTCACAAGATGCTTCTGCATGGAGAGCATTTTCTAGAGATTCGCAAATACCCCATTGCAACATCCGGAACCCTGGTTTCTTTTTCCAAGCTCGAGGATATTCTGGATAAGGGGAAAACAAGCGTTGCAATCGTTAGCACGCTGACTATTGATGCTACGACCAGAGAAGAATTGTTCTACAATGAATTCTCACTTGTCATCCGTGGGGCTGGTGGCTTCGGCGGTCCCGCTGCCCGGTCTTCCCGCAACGAGGCATCGGCTACATACCATGCGCCCGATCGCAAGCCAGACGCTGTATTAGAAGAGAAGACATCAGTCGACCAAGCCGCTCTGTATCGCTTGAATGGAGATCGAAATCCTCTACATGTCGATCCTGCCGTCAGCCAGGCTGGCGGCTTCGAAGCCCCAATCTTGCACGGACTTTGCACGTTTGGAATAAGTACTAAGCACATCGTCTCCCATTTCGGGCAAATCAAAAACATTAAAGTTAGATTTGTCAGCACGGTAATTCCGGGCCAGACCCTTTTGACGGAGATGTGGAAGGATGGAAACAGGGTGATATTTCAAACAAGGATCAAAGAGACCGGCAAGCTGTGCATCTCAGGTGGAGGTGCCAGGATTGACAGCCCCCCAGGAGCTCGTCTTTAACTGTACTCATACACTTACGACCCTTATGGTCTTCCTTCCTTATCGCTCGCCAGTATTACCATATTACCATGATTTATTTCCATGCTTATTCTTACTGCTCCTGCAGGTTTCGGGCCCGGGCCTGATGCTCACAAATCATCATCTTCTACCCAACCTTGCTGCTCCTGCAATGCTGTCCTTAACATAAACACGTGAATCAAAACCTCCCGATTGCGTTAGAGCCCTTGTCATTCACCCAGCTCGGCTATCTCCAAATGCCTCTCTCCCCAGCTCTCACCTTTCTCCTCCATTAGAGCCCCTAGTATGCGCGCTTCGCCGTTCAAGAGACTAATCATGTCTTCCGATGCTTCTCAGATGTATACATGGACTGTCTTGCCACTAGCCAGCTCTCTACGTAAGCTGAATGGTATAGCTGTAATGAGGGGTTAAAAATCAATTTCCTCGTGGGTAACAGTTTTCATCATATGCTTCACCATTATGGGGGACTCAACATTCGCCCTCTATACAGACAAGTTCTGAGATTTACTGTTTTCCTGACATGGAGTACCGTGTTAGATAGCCGAGGTGACGATCGTACCGGCAACTAAAATTCACCAACCTCGCTAAAGGCCGCGGTATCGGATGGCTCCAACATTCATTAATGCATCAAATCAAGCTGTAGACTTCTAAGTCAAATTATTCCATTCGCTACGACTGCAGCAGAAAATGAGAGTTGTAGTTGTCGGCGCCACAGGCGAAACCGGCCGATCCATTGTGGACGGTCTCGTCACTTCGGACGTCAAATACGTGCGTATTACCACACCACGGTTCGCATGAATCTTTCTTGCTGATACCATGGCATTCAGGATATCACTGCTCTTATACGCCCCCTTTCTTTGGATAAACCGGCTGTCCAGAGTTTGAAGGCTCGCGGGGTCAAGATCGTCGCGGCAGATCTTCAAGGGTCCCACGATGAGCTCGTCGACATTCTGAAGGGAGTGGACACAGTTATCTCTACTATCCATTATCAATCGCTTAATGATGAGATTTTCCTATCGAATGCCGCCAAGGCCGTAGGTGTGCAACGATATGTACCCTGCTTCTGGGCCACTGTTGGACCTCGAGGGATTATGCAGCTACGTGATGCAGTGAGCGCGCCCGATCAGGAGACTCTTCGAATTTGAAATTGCTAACAAATTGACGACAGAAAGAGCAAGTTCTCGACCACATACAGCGCCTTCGTCTTCCCTACACCGTTATTGATGTCGGGTGGTGGTTCCAGATCGCACTCCCACGCGTCCCTTCCGGCCGCTTTGACTACGGTCTGTTGGCACCGCAAAACAAGATCTTCGGTGCGGGAGATGTTCCATCCTCTTTGACAGATGTCCGTGACGTGGGAAAATACGCTGCGAAGATCATTAGCGACCCACGCACCCTCAATAAGAAGGTTTTCGCCTTCACTGAAGCCATGACGCAAAACCAACTTTTTGGATTGGTTGAGTCCATGACCGGTGAGAAACCGGAAACAACCAAGGTAAGACAGCCTTTCCATACAAAAGAGCGCAAAGTTGTGACCGGTCACTAACGATCCCGATCCATAGATTCCTGCAGCCGAGGTTAAGGCCAAGGTTGCTGAAGCAAGGAAGCCTGGTGCTGGCATCAACCAAGCGCTGGCCGAATATGAGTACTATAACTCGTGGGGTGTACGTGGT